TCGTCACTTGTCTTCCGTCGTACTCGAATCGGCTCTGCGGCGAATTCGCTGCCGGTCCGAACCCCTTCACCAGCACTATCGGCGAGTCTTTGTCGGGTGTTCGCGTCGTCGAGTACGACACATAGCAAGCCACGTTCTTGACCTGCTTCAGCAGCTTCTGAGCCTGCGCACTTGCCGGCTGGAACTGCTCGACCTGCTTGTCCAAGTAGTACAACTTATCGGCCAAACTGTTTCCGGGAACGTGGAAAAGCGTCTTCTTGACTGCAAACTGCCTAATTAGTCGGCAATTAGCTGATTCAATTATTCACCCTCCGCCACCATGTATAATTGCGGCTTCTTCCCGTCGCCTTCCAACGTCTTCACGGCCTTCGAAAGGCCGAGACCCTCCCATTTGGTGAAGAACCTTCTGAAATGGATGGATTGAGATGCAAGGATCATTCAATTCAAATCGAACCCGTCCTCGTGCGGATCGAACAGGAAGTGGTTGCTTCCATGGATCGAGAACACGTTCGGCCGGTTGTTCGGAATGTCGGAGATCATCGCATTCAGAGCTTCCAGCAACGTCTTGTTCGCATTCCTGGGCACCGCGTGGACGGTCGCCTGAATGTCGTTGGTGGTAGCCTGGAAATCGCATCCGACTCGCTCGATCTTCATTCTGATCTCATGCGCCGAAGCGTGTGGAGTGATGACACTCGTCGGAATGCTGAAGTCGTTCTGAAATCATCGCCAATCATTTCCAATCGTTGTTTCAGATGCCAAACCCTCGCTCCGAGGTCCTTCGTCGAATACAACGAGGCCTGTTGGTCGTAGAAGCACGTCTGCTCGGTTCCGAATACGTCTCGATGCTTCTCGAGCACATACAAATAGACTGCTCGGCACTGATCCTTCGATCGGAAGTTGTGCTCGCTGAACACCATTGCGATCAGTCATCCGTTCACCTGATTCGACTACCTGCTGCGCAATTCCTTGCTGATTTCATGCGACACGATTTCGCCGTCGTCTTTCTTGTAGAAAATGTCGATCTTCACATCGTATTTGTAAATTGGCACGTTTGGCATCAAGTCTGAATACGTGATTCGCCTATATTTGGGTCTCGCGGCGATTTGATTCTTGCGTGGAAATCCACCCTTCTTTTTTTTGGATTCAAATATTCAAATTACATACCGATTTTCTTGATATTCGCTACACAAGTCGTCGGTGTTCCGATGAATCCGGCAGGCTTCTTTGCGGCGAACGGAGTCAATCCGAGATGGTCCATTTGCTTCGTCAATTTCTCCACGTTGTCCGGCATCGTCGCCTAAAAAGAGAGAGACGGACATGAGAAAATCGAACAGTCGAGGAAATTGGCGAGGAACAAAAAAAGAGAGGCGAGAAGGGGAGTATTGGAAAAAAGGAATGAGAATGACGGGAAGCGATCACACGAATCGACCCGACGAGCAAGGGGCGTGGTCAACAGCAAGGAACACAAATGGGCGGGACTCACAACAAATGTGACTGAGTCGAGGAGAGCTGAGGATTCGAGAAGGAATCGGAAGAGAGTCACGTCGAATGCGAATAACTCGAAATTGAAATATTTGAAATGTGATGGTTTTCAAGGAATCTCGAAATTTCTTAATTTGTCGAATCCGTCAAATTGCACAAAAAAAATCGAATTTGTTTGTTTGATTGCTGACTATCAAAGATATTTCGAAACAATTGTCGAATTGCTCATCGCTTTTTTTTGATTTTCAATTTTTGTTGATATTTTTATGGTTTCTTGAGACGAAACATTCTTCAGGAAATATTTTTCTAAAAAGGGCAATTTTTAATTCCAAAATAAATTGTTTCAATTCAAATTTGTTGTTCTAACTATTCAGTTTCGATTATTCCGTGAACATGTGCTCTATTGTATGCCTTCTAATCGTAAATCAATCGAACAACATATGCTCACAATCTGCTCAAAAATGACTCGATTATCTCATTTCAAAAAGCGAAAAAAAATATTTTGGAAACGTCTAAAATGAAGAATCTCGCATCGATGTGTTCGAACCATAAATAGAAGATTGTCGATGAAAAAAATGTATAAAGAAGGAGAGGGCGAATCGTCAAAATTTAATGGCCTCAGAAATAGCGTTGTCAATCGCGAATGTATAATCGTACGGAACGCTCGATGAAAATAATCAAATATTGTCGAAAAAATGGAGCGGCTATTTCGTGTAAAAAATGCAAGTGTCGGTATCTTCGAAAACATTACACGAATTGAATAACGAATGATTGCCTTCGGAATCGAATGCGCCTTTAAAAAGATTACATGAAAAACGAATGACTGGGTCTATATACAAACAAATGTTCCACCGAAGGGACCACAAACATATTTTTGAAAATCACGAAGCTGAGGTGGCCCATATGGGTCCTATATTCCCAATATTCCAGGCCGAATTTTTTACCTATGCTATTGGCATTTTGAATACATATTTCTCCCAAACACTGTTGGGGCCACTATTTTTTGTATTGCGTCCCCAAATCAAAAAGTGTCGTGGCGAAAATCGGGGTCGCCGAAACCATTCTTTGCGAAATGTCCGGAAAATGGAATGCTGGGCGGATTTCAAAGAAAACCAATTGCAAAAACAAATACGACAAGTTTTATTTTATTTTCTTTTTTATTTATTTTTTTTTAATGATTTTCATTTTGGCCCCCCTAAAACTTTATCTTAATCGTATTTCATGAATGCAATTTTTGATATCTGAAAAATCGGCTTAAAAAAATGGTTTGAATTCAACTCGTCAGAAAAATATCGTAAGTATAGGGTATATTTGGCACCTCATTCCGTCTGATGGTCCTTCAAATTTCCCCCGTCCGCTTTTTTTGGCTATTTTTTTAAAATTGAAAATCCCAACTTTCAACTTTCATCCAAATTATTTGCTCTTGAATTCGAATGGACATCGTCGCAAAAAAAAATAAATGGAATAACAATGGTGATTCATTCATATGTTTTTTTGCATTCTTCAACAAAAAAAAACAATTCGAAACAAATTTGTGTGTATTTTTTTTTGCGACGCGCCCCGGGGTCGTTTTTTTATTCGACGATAAATAGCACGTGAGAAGAAGCAAAAAAAAGAAAGCGGCCATTTTTTTTTCTATCCCATCTGACCTCTTCGTCTCACTTCCAATCCTCTTCGTTTTGCGGGTTTTCTCATCGGTCCCTATCACTTCTTGTTGCGTCTCTCTCTTTCTCTCGCTCGCTCGCTCTTCGAGTGTGTGTTCAGAAAAAAAATTCCACCGTCCTGTTACTACACGTATTATAAGAAAACTTGATCGTTTTATTTGATAATGTTACGAGTTTTTTTTTTGTTTTAGAAAATTGATTGAGCTTGAATGAGGACCCGCCAATTTTCACAGAGCAATTGGACCACCTCAGCTTCGTGATTTTTAAAAATAAGTTTGTGGTCCCTTAGGTGGAATATCTGCTTGTATATTAACTCTATATGCTTCTGCTTTTTTCATTTCATTAATAATGAAATTATGTTGTGCACAGTGAGAACTCGATACCGCGACCTCTCGCACACTAGGCAGCGCGTTGACCGACTGCGCCACAACCGCACGCTTCATTGTCAAAAATGCATCACGACGTCCGAGACTCCTCGAGATATCTTGATTTCCTCGACGTCGCACACTGATTCCCAAATATATTTTTTTTCTTCCCAACATACCACCAAAATAAATAGCAATACGACAATGAGAATGTCATAGCACATCCATTGTTTCGTATTGGTGTTACTTGATTGATGGCCACGGCATCGATTATACCATTGTCCGAGATCTCCAATTTTCGAAGACATTTTGTTCTATCGTCTTCCATTTTTATCATGTTGATCAAAACGGATATCCAACCGCGACGGAGCAAATTGAATGAAATTTTAACCATATGCGGACATCTTGCGGGATCTGCTGTGTTACCTATCGCACAACAGTCAGCTGGCGCAGGTGACCGCAATTGGGACCCAGTCATTCGTTTTTCATGTAATCTTTTTAAAGGCGCATTCGATTCCGAAGGCAATCATTCGTTATTCAATTCGTGTAATGTTTTCGAAGATACCGACACTTGCATTTTTTACACGAAATAGCCGCTCCATTTTTTCGACAATATTTGATTATTTTCATCGAGCGTTCCGTACGATTATACATTCGCGATTGACAACGCTATTTCTGAGGCCATTAAATTTTGACGATTCGCCCTCTCCTTCTTTATACATTTTTTTCATCGACAATCTTCTATTTATGGTTCGAACACATCGATGCGAGATTCTTCATTTTAGACGTTTCCAAAATATTTTTTTTCGCTTTTTGAAATGAGATAATCGAGTCATTTTTGAGCAGATTGTGAGCATATGTTGTTCGATTGATTTACGATTAGAAGGCATACAATAGAGCACATGTTCACGGAATAATCGAAACTGAATAGTTAGAACAACAAATTTGAATTGAAACAATTTATTTTGGAATTAAAAATTGCCCTTTTTAGAAAAATATTTCCTGAAGAATGTTTCGTCTCAAGAAACCATAAAAATATCAACAAAAATTGAAAATACAAAAAAAAGCGATGAGCAATTCGACAATTGTTTCGAAATATCTTTGATAGTCAGCAATCAAACAAACAAATTCGATTTTTTTTGTGCAATTTGACGGATTCGACAAATTAAGAAATTTCGAGATTCCTTGAAAACCATCACATTTCAAATATTTCAATTTCGAGTTATTCGCATTCGACGTGACTCTCTTCCGATTCCTTCTCGAATCCTCAGCTCTCCTCGACTCAGTCACATTTGTTGTGAGTCCCGCCCATTTGTGTTCCTTGCTGTTGACCACGCCCCTTGCTCGTCGGGTCGATTCGTGTGATCGCTTCCCGTCATTCTCATTCCTTTTTTCCAATACTCCCCTTCTCGCCTCTCTTTTTTTGTTCCTCGCCAATTTCCTCGACTGTTCGATTTTCTCATGTCCGTCTCTCTCTTTTTAGGCGACGATGCCGGACAACGTGGAGAAATTGACGAAGCAAATGGACCATCTCGGATTGACTCCGTTCGCCGCAAAGAAGCCTGCCGGATTCATCGGAACACCGACGACTTGTGTAGCGAATATCAAGAAAATCGGTATGTAATTTGAATATTTGAATCCAAAAAAAAGAAGGGTGGATTTCCACGCAAGAATCAAATCGCCGCGAGACCCAAATATAGGCGAATCACGTATTCAGACTTGATGCCAAACGTGCCAATTTACAAATACGATGTGAAGATCGACATTTTCTACAAGAAAGACGACGGCGAAATCGTGTCGCATGAAATCAGCAAGGAATTGCGCAGCAGGTAGTCGAATCAGGTGAACGGATGACTGATCGCAATGGTGTTCAGCGAGCACAACTTCCGATCGAAGGATCAGTGCCGAGCAGTCTATTTGTATGTGCTCGAGAAGCATCGAGACGTATTCGGAACCGAGCAGACGTGCTTCTACGACCAACAGGCCTCGTTGTATTCGACGAAGGACCTCGGAGCGAGGGTTTGGCATCTGAAACAACGATTGGAAATGATTGGCGATGATTTCAGAACGACTTCAGCATTCCGACGAGTGTCATCACTCCACACGCTTCGGCGCATGAGATCAGAATGAAGATCGAGCGAGTCGGATGCGATTTCCAGGCTACCACCAACGACATTCAGGCGACCGTCCACGCGGTGCCCAGGAATGCGAACAAGACGTTGCTGGAAGCTCTGAATGCGATGATCTCCGACATTCCGAACAACCGGCCGAACGTGTTCTCGATCCATGGAAGCAACCACTTCCTGTTCGATCCGCACGAGGACGGGTTCGATTTGAATTGAATGATCCTTGCATCTCAATCCATCCATTTCAGAAGGTTCTTCACCAAATGGGAGGGTCTCGGCCTTTCGAAGGCCGTGAAGACGTTGGAAGGCGACGGGAAGAAGCCGCAATTATACATGGTGGCGGAGGGTGAATAATTGAATCAGCTAATTGCCGACTAATTAGGCAGTTTGCAGTCAAGAAGACGCTTTTCCACGTTCCCGGAAACAGTTTGGCCGATAAGTTGTACTACTTGGACAAGCAGGTCGAGCAGTTCCAGCCGGCAAGTGCGCAGGCTCAGAAGCTGCTGAAGCAGGTCAAGAACGTGGCTTGCTATGTGTCGTACTCGACGACGCGAACACCCGACAAAGACTCGCCGATAGTGCTGGTGAAGGGGTTCGGACCGGCAGCGAATTCGCCGCAGAGCCGATTCGAGTACGACGGAAGACAAGTGACGATCGAGGAGTACTTCCGAGCGAAATACAACGTCCAAATCAATTATCCGTCGATGATGACGATCAAGGGCCAAACCGGACGACGATCGGGACTGTTTCCGGCGGATCTGCTGATTGTGTGCGAGAAGCAGGTCGTTCGCAACGAGCAGATGATGCCGAACGAACAGCAGGCGGCGATTAAAGTAGGGCGGTCGAATGACGACGAGAATGATGCCGGAATGATTGCAGAGTTCGGCGATTCCGCCGGCGGCTCGTCGCCAACAAACCGAGAGCATCATTCGTAGTGTCGGGTTGGACACTCACGAGACGATCGCCGGCGTTCTCACCATCGGAAAAAGCTTCGTCTCGGTGCCGGCGAGGGTGCTCGAACCGCCGCTGATCAGGACGAGAGACGCGAGTTCGACTGTTCTGCCCGACGTTGGTCAACCCCCGATCGCAGCGTGTTTTATCGTGTTGTTCAGAGTACGTGGACTGTCAGCAAGTTCGTGCAGCCGGCCACCATCAACAAGTGGAGTGTGATCTTCATCGAGGTCCAGGCACCGTTAGTTGATCGCGATTTGAATTCAGCTCGCAATCGATGATTGACTTCAGAAATTTCGTCGAGATCTTGCTGAGAGAGATGAACAAGGTCGGAATGACGGTGTCGGCTCCGACGGTGTCGAACTACGACCGCTACCGGAACAATCTCGAGGTGAGTTCGGCGCGCCTCATTCGGGAATCGCGTTTTTCAGGAGATATTCATCAACGCGAAGAACGCGGGCACCTCGTTCTTGTTCTTCATCAATCGCGACAATTTGAATCTGCATTCGCACATCAAGTATTTCGAGAAGAAGTATGATATTCTGACACAAGACAATCGATCGAAGGTGGCGAACGCGGCGAAGAAGACACTGGAGAATGTGATAAACAAGGTAGTCGGAGACATCGAGAAGCGAAGCCAATGAGAATCACATTTCAGGTGAACATCAAAAATGGTGGCCTCAACTTTGTGCTTTCCGCCTTGTAAGACCCGTTCGGCTGAATTCTGAAAAAAATACATAATCGTTTTTAAGGCAAACCGAGCAATACAAATATCGATTGATCGTCGGATTCGAGACGTCTCAGCGAAACTCGAACGCCGGGGTAATTGCGCGCGGAGATCGCCGTCGGATTTTCGACATTGTTTTCAGACTCCCATCATGATCGGATATTCGGCCAACTTTCTCGATCATCCACAAAAGTTCGGCGGAGGCTTCAGATTTGTCAAAAAGAATTCCGATGTGAGCGATGCCTTTTTTGGTGTTTGAAATACGAAATGAGGTTGATAGGTGTTCGGCCCGATTGTCAAAGAGACCATGAAGGAGATGCTGCAGAAGATGAAGGAGAACCGAGGAATCGCCAAAGAGATCTTCGTGTATTTCAATGGCGTCTCCGAAGGCCAGTACAGCCTGGTTGGGGGTGTTTCTTTTCGGTGATCCACCAATCAGTCGGATTCAGATCAACGAGCGCTACGTGCAGTCGATCAAGGACGCGTGCATCGAACTCTCGCCAACCTATCGGCCCCACATCACCGTGCTGGCCGTTTCGAAGAGCCACAACGAGCGATTCTACAAGCAGGTAGTCGCCCGTGCTCATGCCGATGTGCACGCCGATTTGCAGGATTTGAGCGGAAGAAACGCGAGAGAGCAGAACATCAAGCCGGGCACCGTCATCGACAAGCTCATCGTGAGTCCCGTCATCAGCGAATTCTATCTGACGTCGCATGTGACGCTGCAGGTCCGTCGACAATTCGATTCGATCAATCGCTTTTCGCGTTTCAGGGCACCGCGAAATCGCCCAAATTCTCGGTGATCTACGATACGATGAAACAGAAAATGGATGACATCGAGACGTTCACCTATCGCCTGTGCTTCCTTCATCAGATTGTCTACAGTCCGTGCTCTCTTCCGGTGCCTCTCGTCATTGCCGATCGATTCTCGAAGCGCGGAACCATGATCTACAATCAGTCCGGGTATGGTGTTGCTTCGAAATTCCTGATTCAGTCATGATTCAATTCTCAATTCACCATTTCATTTCAGTTTTGTGATGCCATCAAACGAGAAGGACGTGGATGAATTCATCAAGAAGTGCAATGATCAGCTGACCTACTCCGGAAAGAAGCTCGACGGCAACCGATTCAATGCTTAAATCAATTCCCATTCGACTATTTATTTTGGCATTCCTTTTTTGGGTGGACAACACATCTCTTGTTTTTAATTCTTCTCTTGATGGCTTCTTTCTATTCCTTCTTGTTTGTTTTTGTTGTTTCTAATAAATCCCACTTTCCATCGATCGGAACCTTTTGGGCCTCCTCTTCCTATTTTGGTGTGAATGTGCGATTAGCTTGCAAGGGTACACATGTGGCGATGAGGTTGTTGTCGCTGATGGCGCGATGTGTAGTTGGACGGTTGTTTAGTAGATGGTTGAATTGCGTGTACGGTTCGCTTTTTGAGATCGGCCGAAGTGAGCACTTGGGTTGCCTGAATAGGTTCTTTAAATTTTCGACTTCAGGAAGGACTTGGTTTGAAAATGAAGAGAGAAACGTAGAAGAAAGTGGCTGCACTGGCGACTGCTTCTTGCTGTCGAATGTTCTGGGTTTCAACTGTTCTTGATGTGCGGAGAAGTTGCAAGAGATTCTCTAAAATTTTTTTGTTTTTTTTTTTTTAAATTTCTTTAGTTCTTACGTTAATTTACCGTTTCAGCTTCTTTTTTCGCTAATTATCTCTCTCGCGTCTTTATCTACTCGAATTGAATTCATTTATTGAATTCACATAAGCAGTTCATCTCGAAAATCAAAAACTGGCGGAGTGTAATAGAACCCGATAGGCTTTTCCTTTACAAACCATAATTTATATCACAATGGCCCATAAATTCATGTTGATAATCAGAATAAACATCGTTCGATCAAATAACTTGGAGTATGTCAATTTGAACGTGTTTTGCTGATTTTTTGGCGATCATGCCGATGAGGTCCCCCACAATGAGAGAAAGGTCCCCACAATTGCAGCAGAAGTCCCCACTTACACTAAAATTGGGGGACATTTTCTTCACTGGGGACTTTAACTTCTTTTTGCTAGTTGTGGAGCGACTTGTTTTGAGTGCATCGTGTGGATTATTGTTAAGTAGAAGAGTTCTTCTTGATAGGACCCTTTTAATTGTCTTGCACGCTGTTTAAATGTTACTTTAACTTCAACATGGCGACGTGTATCGATGTGGGGACCTCATCTGCACTATGGGGATCTTATCTGCACGATTTTTCAATGGAGTGGTGAGCTGATCTTTCATTCCAGGCGATCCTGCAGATAGGTTCCCCACCAGATGCATTATACAGCCCCGCGGGCAAATTGCATTTAAGGGACCCACATAGTGCAGTATACAGTACCGCTCAAAAGTCTATCAACCTTTGGTTTTTTGAGGATAACTTTTTTTAAAGATACGGTATCGATCCAAAATTTTTCCCATTATTTTTTGGAGTGGTTTAACGTGTTTTGGTCAGCTGATTTGACACCTGCTTAATTAAAAAAAATTAAAAAAAAAAAATAGAATTTTCGAAAAATACCGATTTTTTGGGGTTTTCAATAAACAGTTTTGGTTTACCAAAAAACAAAGTTTATTAACAAAAAACAGTAACAAACATAATTTAAAGCTCAATATCGAGTTGCAAAGCCCTTAGCTTCAATGACTGCTTGACATCTTCTCGACATGGAGTCGATCAAAGTGTCGATGGTCGACATGGTGATCTTATTCCATTCAGACTGCAGTTGAGCAAACTTCTCATTGCAATTTTTGGCTCTTTTGTTGGCACAACGTCTTTCCAACTCTTCCCATAGATGTTCAATTGGGTTTAAGTCAGGAGACTGACTCGGCCACTCGATGACGTTGACCCGACGGCTTGCGAACCAATCCCGAAATTCATTGTGATGCTGTTTACTTATCAATTTTCTCACCTTAACATACAAAGAAGTGTGTTTTGGGTCATTGTCTTGTTGGAAAACACTTCCACGACCCATTCTCTTCAAGTGCGGAAGCATCTGATTCTGGCGAATGTCTTTGTAGACATTCTTGTCCATGATCCCATTCACGCGATGAAGCGGTCCAATACCATTTCCAGAGAACGCACCCCATACCATACACGAACCACCGCCATGCTTCACAGTGGGTAATTGATATTTAGGATCATACCTGGACCCAATTGGTCTACGAATCCACTGAATTCCATCACTTCCGAAAAGCAGAAACTTGCTTTCGTCGGACCACAAAATCTTATCCCAGTCTTGTCTTGTCCAGTCGACGTGTTCCTTTGCCCACTTCACTCTGGCCATTCTATTCTTCTCAGAAATTAAGGGTTTTTTCACTGGACGTTTCCCATAATCCCAGCAGCACAGAGACGACGTTTCACAGTCGAAACGGATGGTGGAGAAGGAGAATTCACGAAAACTTCCCGTTTGATTGCAGGGGCAGGGAGTCTAGGATTGTTTCTGGACGTCCGCAAAATATTTCTATCTTCACTACGATCAGTAATTCGTGGTCTCCCGGAGCGATGAGGCACAGAAAAATTTTTTTGAACTTCCCAGCGTTTACAGAGTTTGGAAATACATCCTTTCGTTCGATTGAACATTCCGGCCAGCGTTTTCAATGTAAGTCCACTTTGACGACCAGCCACGATGGCTTTTTTCTCGTTATTCGTCAAGTCTTTGTTCCCAAAAGCTCTAGGCATTTCTGAAAACATGAATAAGAACATGAACGGATAACTACTCTAGAAAAATTAAAAAAATTAAAATTAAAAAAAAAAGTTGAAAAACGCAAAAAACCTGAAAGTGTGTAAAATCGCGTCATGGACTTTGCGGATATGTGTTTGTGTACCGAATGACATGAATTATGTTTTAAACCCCATTTCACATTATCTCTAAAAGATTCATGTTGATCGGTGCAGTACTCTTTGAGAAATAAAGAAAAAACCAAAGGTTGATAGACTTTTGAGCGGTACTGTAGGTCCCCCCCCCCAAAAAAATCGGAAATGAACTGAAATTATCGATATTTCATAACAATTTGAAAATTCAAAACTACCTTATTAACTCAATAGTAAGATAAAAAAATGAAATTGGATCATCGCACATCATCATTTTGCTGAAAACATTGATGTTACAATATTTCTTAAAATGTCAAGATAACGCGAACTTACATTGCCGCTGCATTTTTATTTCAAAAAAGGCGATTCACGTTCAAATTGTTAAAATCAGCAAAAAAAACAAATGAATAGAATGGAAATAAAAAATCGCCACGCACATGCGTGCCAGCAGGATAATTTTTTTAATGACCAATTATTAAAAATTATGCTTTAAAATATATTTGCTAATTTCGAAATGAAATAATATTGTCAAACCCTCATTGTGCCGGTACCGAATAATTTTTGATCGCGGTGGACCTATACTGCACTATGTGGGTCCCTTAAATGCAATATTCCCGCGGGGCTGTATAATGCAACGTGTGGGGTGTTTATCTGCATGTTAGCCAATTTTTTTTTGGAAAAGTTATTTCATTATTTCAACACAGAAATACATCGAATGACTCATGGGTACTTTCATATCGAGTGCATATTAGTTGATAACGTCGTTAAAATGATCATAAATTCCAACAAAGCAGTATCAGCAAAGTTGCAAAGGTTTCGAAGCACATGTGATTTTTCCGCACTCTATAAATATATAAATGTCTTCTATCAATTTTTAATTCCAACTGATATTGCAGAAAATTGCGATGGAATCGAATGCGCAACGAACATCGGGAGATCCAATTCGAATTGAAGACGTCGGCGCATATTCAATCGACATGAAAACGTACTTCATATTTTGTCGAAATGAATTTCTTCAATTGTTTCGATTATTTCAGAAATAAGGTGACGATTGGATACGATCAGATTCCTCGTTTGATTCCGAATATTGATGACGTCATCGGAACGAATTTAGATGAAGGAATGGAGGATTTCGAGGATAAATATGGCGGCGAAAAACTGGAAAGCCTTCTCGATTTCATCAAAATGCAATGCAAACCTGGAACGGATTTAAAGGAGCACATTCAGGCAGATTTTGTCACGAATCGCTCCACAGTTTTGGCCCTTATCACTTTAAAACTACGCAAGATCATTGCGGTTCGCGAAAAAGGCGTCATATTCTTATACAATGTGACAGATGATGAATTTGGAGGTGCAGGAGGCAAGTTTTTTTCTTGGTATGTTCATTGAGTGTTTTAGCTATCACCGAAATTGTCAATTACAAGACTTCCATTCTACGTCGTGGCCGCAAATTGTTCGGCCATGACACTTTTCACGGGCCAATGTTCATTGACTCATACTTTTTGACTTGACTCATGATTTTTGACTCATAAAAATTGTATAATGATTTTTTATTCTTTGACTCATGATTTTTGACTAATTTTTTTTTTTTGACTAACAATTTTTGACTAATGATTTTCTGAATCTTTTTTAGTTGAAATTCCTGCAGTTTTTTCAGTATTCAATTCTGTTTTTTTGGCCAATATTGATGGGTAAGAAGCTGAAGGGTGGGAGGAATTGGGGGAAAGATTATTACTGAAAGGAAAAAAAGTTCTTTTAACTTCTGTAAGCATAAAAAATTGTTTTTTTGGCATTTCATCGCTTATCGATTTCAATGAGAAGCTTAATCCCAGCTAAGCGGATCCACCGAAGGAATCGACTGTAACATTAAACGAATATCCGTAGTGGGCCAAATGGTATGTATGATTTGATATTTTTAGTAGTCTCCGTTAGTTTAATGAAAATAACTAAACACAGTTTTTATTCGCTATCATTTATTATTGAACGTGAATAAAGGAGGGAAATGGATGGAATAACGCGATAAGTGATTTTTTATTAATTTATTTTGCAAATTATTTTAGCTTATTCGGTCAGGCCTGTTTTAAAACGGCATAATTTTCGATTTATCATCAAAATTCAGGAAAAACGGTATATTCAAAAAAATTATTAAAAACTTTTAAAATTAATCAATCATTGAAATTTTCGATAGATCATTATACCGTTAAACCTTTATCAAAATGGTACTTCTAACAAAACAGCCTTCAAAAAACTTCTCAAAGTATAACAATGTGTTATTTTTGCTAAAATAATTTGCAAAATAAATTAATAAAAAATCACTTATCGCGTTATTCCATCCATTTCCCTCCTTTATTCACGCTCAATAATAAATGATAGCGAATAAAAACTGTGTTTAGTTATTTTCATTAAACTAACGGAGACTACTAAAAATATCAAATCATACATACCATTTGGCCCACTACGGATATTCGTTTAATGTTACAGTCGATTCCTTCGGTGGATCCGCTTAGCTGGGATTAAGCTTCTCATTGAAATCGATAAGCGATGAAATGCCAAAAAAACAATTTTTTATGCTTACAGAAGTTAAAAGAACTTTTTTTCCTTTCAGTAATAATCTTTCCCCCAATTCCTCCCACCCTTCAGCTTCTTACCCATCAATATTGGCCAAAAAAACAGAATTGAATACTGAAAAAACTGCAGGAATTTCAACTAAAAAAAATTCAGAAAATCATTAGTCAAAAATTGTTAGTCAAAAAAAAAATTAGTCAAAAATCACTAGTCAAAAATCATGAGTCAAAGAATAAAAAATCATTATACAATTTTTATGAGTCAAAAATCATGAGTCAAGTCAAAAAGTATGAGTCAATGAACATTGGCCCTTTTCACGTCCATCATTATTTCGAAAATTTCTATTTATTTCCAAATTTTTTTATCAGTTTCTCAGGTAAATGATAAACAATTGGATTCGAAAGAAATTAAAATACATATAAATTAATCTGATTCGATTTGAAAACTTGTTTTCGATTCAGAAATCTTTGAAATCTGTTGATTTATTTCTCATTTTTAATTTTGAAATCGTACTTAAATTTTGAAATAATTCAAAACAGATTAATTTATATTCAATTTCGATTCAAAACGATTTTTTTCAAATCTGATTGATTTTCATTTACCTGAATGAATTATTTATGACTTAAGTAACACAATAGCAATTATTTACAGCTTCTAAAGCAATTAATGTCGAACGATACGCTCGTGTTAATAAGTTTGAATGGATCACTTCATTGGGGGTAACAGTTTTAATAATTAATTAATTAATTGCTTAATTACTATACAGAATCGTCCTCACCCCAACGATAATTTGATACCAGCAAAGGTCGTTTTCCGTGCTACACTCAAGGCTGGATGGCGATTGTATTATAGTGCAAGAATCGATGGAATCGATGATAGTGGGCCTAATTTCAAATTTCGATAAAAAACTACGATTTTCAGATGGAGGATATGTTGAGAAAAAGCTGTCATATATTTCTGTTAATGCACGTAACAAGAGCTTGAAGAAAACATTGGATACATTTCAAAATTGTCTTTCGACAACCAAAACAATTTTGAGAGGAATCTACGATAAGAATGCCGTACTTTGCGAGGTGAAATGAATCGATTCGACATTCAATCAATTGCAAATTTCAGATTGAGCGCGAAAATGTCGAGATTTCCACAATATTCCCAAGACTGCGTGTGATTGAGAATAATTTAATGATGATTAGACGTCGACTTCATCACGATGGAATGGCTTTCAATATTTATTTCGAGCCTGATCATTCTTTTAAATTCGAGCAATTGGACGAATCCGATCTTGTTCCGCAAGATTTTCTTGATCATTTCATATAATTCACGCGCATCTGATAGTCGACGGCTCGTCTTTCGAAATGGTCTCGCCACGAGCTGTTTCTTTCTTGAAGATACATTTAACGTGCCAGTAAATGTACCAACGTACGCCGACTAGGTACTCAATTTAGAACAATCTGATGTTTATTCAAATTTGCGCAATTTGAATTTAGCGATTTCAAAAAATCATTGTTCGAAATGGCCGGGCCGAAACGACAAGCCACGCGCCTTCGCAATGGTCTCGCACCGACTATTTTGCATTTTAGAAGTTGTTTCATTGATTTTTAATTTCAGTAATATTAAGAATTCAAGACTGTCATCGATAAAAATTAAACAGCTCGCCTGAAAATTTAAAAAGAACCGTAAAATGTCAAATGGCGCCGTGCCTAGCCTTCGCGCGTGGCGAGACCATTTCGAAAAGACTATAATAATCCAAATTTTCGTCTATTTCGGACGGATAAGTTTTTTAAATAAATAATAAAATTTTCATTGTTTCTATTCCGAAATTGAGAATTCTAATGAAATGTTGAATTCAAACAAAATTTGAGATGATTAATTATGACTACATCCAAAGTCGACATTAAAGGATCATGCAAATTCTTTTCTCGAATATCGCCTAGCGATCTACAGTACCAAATTTTGGCGCCTAAAAAACAACGTCTCTTCATAATGCAGAAAACAAATTACTGGAATCTGATTCCATTTCATTTCGACTCCTCCCGATGCTCATTTTCAACTGTTCGAAATTTTTCGTGTCCCCGTGGTTTTAAGAAAGTGTTAATGTTATTTTCGAGATTTGAAATAAATTGAGAATTCTATTGTTATTTTTGAGCACGTTGTGAGCACATGTTGTTCGATTGATTTACGATTAGAAAGCGTTCAATAGAACACATGTTCACAGAATATGATTGCCAGTTTTAAACAAAATTCAAAAAAAAAAATATTATTGGCTATAAGTCAACGTGGCCGAGGATTTCGCGGCCGCGGCCGCCCCATCAATTTAGCGTACGCGCATTTAATTTAACATGAGAATTCGATTCCTAGTCAAATCTATACTAATTTATTTATAATCTGTTTGACTATTTCATTCTTCAATGTCTTCAGACGCGTTGCGGTTCGAGATTCTCTATGAACCAACCGGCAGCGCGCCTTCACCAGACTTCTCTGCCCCTATGGACCGAACATTTCGAAATGTGCAATTTTGCGTCAAAAACACCGAATTTGACGCACATTTTCAGAACCAGCCGCGTTGGATTTGATGTGGGAACGACCTAGGAATGGAATGTGCAAACACGGCGACGCAAAATATCACAAAATTAATTTTGTTAAGCAACGGAGACATACATATTTTCAACATACATGTTAGGAAATTGTCCGCAGTACGATCAAATAAAACCAAGGGAAATGTCCGCAGATGATTCCTTCTTTCTGCACTTTTAAATAACGCCATTTTTGAGTTCTGAAAATCGATTTTCTCAAAATGACGAGGTCAAGTCAAAAAAATGATTTTTTTTTAAATTTTGATCGTCTCGTCATTCCTCAATTTTATTAGTAATGCAATATGTTGATAACTAAACTGATATTCATAATTCTCTTGATTTCAAATGCCAAAATGAGACGACAGACGATAACCGTTCGGGTGACGTTTTTGTGTATCGATCACGAGACGGCGAATATTGGAAGAGGGCATCAGACGCGCGTATTCCTCATGGAACGCGATCCGCGTGAGTGGTGGTCCTGACGGGATTGAAATTAGGCAATTTTAAAGGCGCACTTGAAAACCCACCATAAATTGCCAAATAGTTGCGAGACCTCATTTCAGTGGATCCGGATGATCTACTCGCCGAGGCCTACACATCTCCCGACGTCTTCGTCAACATTAGCGGCGTCGACGACGAAGACGCGCCGATTGAGCCGTATCTCAAAGTGCATCACGCGTGTGGCGCGCGGCGGGTTTGCTTTTTTTTTTTGGTTTGATCTATCTACGAAAACGGATTCTAGGGATGTCGACGAATCGTTGAGTACCCGATACCGGCGGACAAGCTCAACGCCATCTATCATATGGGCTATGTGACGCTGAACAATTATTTTCATGGCGAGACCGTTGTGTGCGGTTTCGACGACTAATTTGAGGCCGAATGATAATTTTGAGACGAGTCAAATAAACGTTGGTACTATTTTTTGTTGAAGGTGGTAGACATCTGCGGACATCTTCCGGGATGCGCCGCCTCGCCTCCTTCCCTCCAACTTGCCTGCTGGTTGTTGCGCCCCGCTCAATTTCACATGAATATTTCCATCTGCGGACATTTGTCCACCTTGAATTCGCATATTTAAAGGCGCACGCATTCAAATTGGCGACTCCCCTGTCTTATTGGTTCTCCGATGTGAGTCACAAAGGAAAAAAACAGTGCGATTGCGGCTAATAAAAAAAATTGTGCGATTATTCCGAAAACGCTTTGGACCGCCCCGACACGATGTTTTCTCATTCGACGAGCCATCACTATTTCGTGCGAGACGAGAAAAAAAATCGCCGTTTTTGTCGTTCGCTTCTTCATCTTTTCCTTTATTTTTATGCCCGATACCATTTTTTTCTCACGATTCTCTCCACCCCTCCCCCATTCATTCAAAACTGTTTTCGTTTTGCCAATACTATTCTATTCTAAGGTGGTCTTCATACAAAATTTCGTCAAAATCAATGATTTCGAAATTTTGTTCCCAATTTTTTGACGAGAATTCAAAAATTTGGAATAGGGAGCCGCTTGCTCTTCACCACAATTTGAGCGCAATAATAATTGTGCATGGTTGGTGGAGTGGTTGCGCAGCACGCTAGCGCGCGGGTTTTGCCATTTTCAATCCCCGCTCCCACTTCTCCCATTTTTGCGGTCCTTATTTTCAAGCTTCAACCATTTCAAAAAAAGAAACCTAGTGGCACACTTAACATTTTGAAATCCCTCCAACTCCCTCCAACAATCGTTCACCCAAAGTCGCCAATTTGGCGTGAGAATCATGGCCATATACAAAACCGAAATCAAATATGGTTAGGGAGAGGAGGGGGTCACGCTCATTTCGGCGCGCCGCTTCCACCCATAAACAATAATTCGTCATCGGATTCCCATCACTCGTCAGCAACAAAAAATAGTCGTTTGGCGTCTCTTCGATTTCAATACGTACCATTCGTGGGGGGACCCCCTCCGATCGCTATCCTCTCGCCACCTCCTTTAAAGGCACACACGCGCATCTTGCCCAATATTAATAACACGTGATAATAACCCTTTAAAGGCGCACACGCACATCTTACCAATATTAATAACACGTGTCGCACAAAAATAATCAATATTTTCAAAAATTTCGAAATTCAATGAATCACACGCCGCTCCCCAGCCCGCGGAAAATGCTCGAAGCTTGTACCACAAATGGGCGGAGCTTTCGCGTGTGCGCCCGTCTCAAATCGAAACGTTCTAGATGACAATCGGCTCGAATTTTGCCCAATTCGACACATTTGCAATTCCGAGAATGATCAACGCCCGCTATTTTCACGAGCCGCCGAATTACGCCGAGGTAGGGACCATTTGAAGATGCGTTTGATTAGCCTCTCCTTCCAGCTGATTGCCAGAATCGAGGCCATCGAAAAGGTGTGCGAGCAGCAGACGCGTGTGATCGACAAACTCATCGGCGATGTGTCGACGATGAGCTCGGAGGTTCGAATCGCCAATCACACGCTCGATGAATCGAAAAGAAGTCTCGTCCTCTACAATCTTCCCGAGTGTTCGCAAGCGCAAGACATGCACGTGGTTCGTTTTTTGTCGAATTCAAATTGGCGCGCCTGGGGCCGCGTTGCGTACGCGTCGCGGTCGGCGGCGATTTCAAACTGAAATTGGTGGTTTCAATAATTTTTTTGTTTTTTTGAAATTTTCTAAAACCACCAAATTGAATCAGTTATGGGGAATTATGCGAAAAATTTATTAAAAATGATTTTAGAATTCAAATTTTGTAGAATTTTCTGCAAATTTTTATTATTTGGATGAAGAAATCCTAAAATATTTGGCTTTAATTAATTAATTGATGTTAATTAGTTTTTACCGAAACAGGATTGTTTAAAAGTGGATATTACTACGAAATAAAAAATTAAAATCGATTTCGACAAATTTTAGATAAAAAAATTTCGAAGGAAATACGAAAATTGAGCGAAAAATGAAAAAGCGAAATTTGAAAAAAAATCGCTGCGAGGATTACTGTAGCTCGCTAAGCGCATTGCGTACAATACGCAGAATCCTACGACACCATTTTGTCATTTATCAACAGACTATGAATAATCAATTCATGCTAATTATGTTAATTATAATTAGAGGGACTCAAAATGCGACAAAAACGACAAGTTTGGCCAAAAAATGAAATCATTACATTTAAAGGCGCACGCTATTAAAATTGATGATTCTCGCAGCGATTTGATAATCACTGTGGTACTGTAGACCTCGACAAAACGAAAATTTCAAAATTGATGAAATTTTCAAAAAAATTTTGTCACATCGAATAATTCCTAAAAATAAAGATTTTGAAAATTGAAAAAATCGAGAAAAAAATTTTTTTTAATCAATTCTTTAATTTTTTTTTGACAACTTCGAAATTAATTTATTAAGTTTTCAGCTAATATCTTTAAAAAAAAAACATTAAAATTAAAATTTTTTATATTTTAATTTTTTTTTTTCAACACGGCCATATCTGAATTTCAGCTTGTATTTTCCAGAGTTTTAAAAACTGAAAAATCAAAATTTGATTTATCAAAAAAAATTTTTTTCTCCACTATCAATTAGATCGTCTGGCGTTTAGAGCTTCAAAAATAATGGTGCAAATGCGCCCCATTGATAACCAACCATTTTTTTTTCAAGCGTCCGGTGGCTGCTGTAGATTTACGCGGTGCGCCTTTTCGAAATGGTCTCGCCACGCTTGAAAGCTTATTTCAAAATTTTAAATTTTCGCTCGATGAGTATATGATTTCCTTGAATTTTTAATGTCTCCTGAAATTCAAAATTCACAAAATGGCGTCAAAAATCCAAAATAGTCGGTGCGAGACCACAGTGAAGGCGCATACGCGTAAATCTACAACAGTCTTTCGGTGAATAATGTCCGCAGCTGATTTTCACAATAGCTGAGAAGTTGAATTAGTGTAGATCGAGATTTTGAATACACTGATGGGGGGCTTCTATCTATTTAAAGGTGCATGTGATCACGATCGCGACAAGACCCAAATTAGTGTAGATTGAGATTTTGAATACACTGATGGGTGATTCTATGTATTTAAAGGTGCATGTGATCATGATCGCGACAAGACCCAAATAGGGGTAGATCGAGATTCTGAATACACTGATGGGGGTTCCTATCTATTTAAATGTGCATGTGATCATGATCGCGACGAGACCCAAATAGGGGTAGATCGAGATTCTGAATACACTGATGGGGGCTCCTATCTATTTAAAGGTGCATGTGATCACGATCGCGACAAGACCCAAATACTGGATTGCAGGTGGTCTGTCTTCTGCGCCACATGAACGTGCCATGCATCCCAGTGACCGCGTACCGCATCGGCTCAAAAACGGGCTCGGCGCGACCGCTGAAAATCGTGATGCCCGTCAAACATCTGGCCGACATGGTGGACCGATGCAGATCGAAAGTCGCCACGTTCCAGGCGCCGCGCAAATTATTTCTGATGCGATTCATGGGCGTCGACGAGCGTCGCGCGTTTATCGACGACTACAAAGCGCGCAAAGCGCGTCGCGCCGAAGCCGCCGGAATCGCCGAAACGGCGCCGAACAAGGCGTCGTCGTCGTCGAACACTTTCAATTATTAGGTCGGACCATTTCCCTCTTTTTTTTTGAAACATTTTATATGTAATTCATTGTTTTTCATATCCCCCTAGCATTCTATTGTGTATCACCTACCTAAGGCATTTTAGAACAAAATTCTAGTACAAAAATTTCCTTTAAAAATTGAATTCTCGATCTTTCGCCTTAAAAACTATTTATTTTTCATTTTCAAACATCCCAAAACATTTAATTCAAAAAAATCCAAAAAAATCAAAAAATTCCAAAATTCCAAAAAAAAAACCTTCAAATTCCATTGTTTACCAGGTCTGCTCATAATTTGACGAAAATAATTTTTAATTTTTGAGAACAAATTTTAAAAATTTAATTTTTCGCTTTTTATGAGTTGAACCACACCTCAAAACATTTAATTTAAAAAAAATCCAAAAAAAAAACCCAATATTCCCATTTTTCTTTAAAAAATGCTGTTCCTTTGATAAAAATCACTCAAAATTTTCGCGAAAATTCCCAATATTTCGAAATTGATAAAATTCAAACAAATTTTTGAAATTGTTGGCCTACAAACCATCAAAAATCTTCAACCATTTTCCATCAAAATCAATTTCGATTATTCATTTCAAATTGAATTTGTTTATTATTTTTTTTCATCAATTAATTGTTTTCATATTTTCTCTAAGCTAATCGAATTGTCGAGACCCGGATTGAGATCCACTTCGGAGTTTGGCGATCGCGCCAATGACGGCGCTGATGTCGTTGTACTCACATTGAACACATTTGTCTGAAATTCGCAATTAATTGTTCTTTTCTATTGTTTATTTCATTTCTCGAATAAATAAGTTCAAATTGATCGGAATTCATTTTGAAAATAAGGGTCGCAAAAATGGGAGCAGTGGGGGCGGGGATTGAAAACAGCAAAACCCGCGCGCTAGCGTGCTGCGCAACCACTCCACCAACCATGCACAATTATTATTGCGCTCAGATTGTGGTGAAGAGCAAGCGGCTCCCAATTCCTAATTTTTGAATTCTCGTCAAAAAATTAGAACAAAATTTCGAAATAATTGATTGTGACGAAATTTTGTATGAAGACCACCTTAGAATAGTATTGGCAAACCAGAATATGGCGATATTCATATATTCAATTAAAAAAAATTATTAAAGGCGCGTCAGGTTGGGCCTCGGCGATATCCCGTGGCGATGAGACAAATCGCGAAAAGTGGTGATTTGAAAAATTCCCAGGATTCTATTAATGCCGAGTGGGTCTCGAAGTGATTTTCAAAATCCAATGGTCTCGCGACGACGAGCGCATTTTAAAAGTGCAATCGTAGTCAAAATAAATTACCTTCGAATCATTTCGTTGAAGCGACTCGCTGGATATCGCCATTTCGGAAATCGTGTCAAGTCGACGCTTCAACAACAATTCTCTTTTTAAAATTTCCATCTGCGGACATTTCCAGAAGTGGCAAGAAATGTCCGCAGCACAAATTTGATTTATACAATAACAACAAAAAGAAAAGAACACTAACATTTCTGGGCAGATTGTATTCTTTGTTGAGCTCGTTCGAATCACTCTGAAAAAAAAAAGAAGAATTGCAAAACAAAAAATTCGTTTTGATCTACCTTTTGCTCGATTCTCGCCGTCTGACGCTCGCCGATTTTGGCCGTCATCGCCATTGTCGTCGTCTTCGCATTTTTTTGCCTGAAACGAGAAAAAAAAGGTAATGGTCCGTGTTGGTAAGAGAAGAGAAAGAGATAATGGTCCGTTCGACTCACGCGGTCTCGAAGCGATCGAGTTGAATCGCGCGGTGTTCGGCGGCGCGAATTTTGTCGCGACGACACGCGCACAACCAGACGGCGAGAGTGAGAAGCGAGAGAGAGACGCAGACGGTGACGAGGACGACGATCGAGACCACCTGCAATTGGGTTTTCTCATTCGGTGTCGATTTACGCGCGTCGCCTCGAGACCCAATTCGAGTATGTGAATTAAAGGCGCATGAGGTGCTCGCCGATACCTTATGTCCAAGATAAATAATTATTTTGCTCAACACCCTTCAATTTTGGGTCCTACAACGAAATAATTGGGTTTAAAGGAGCATTAAACTTAGTTGAAAATTTTTTCATATTTTAAGAATTTGATTGTGAAATAATTGGGTTTCTTTGAGAAAAAATTTGAAATTTTGAAATTTTTTAGAATTTGACAAAAAAAATCAAATGTGTGCAATTTTGCGTGCGCGTGAATACACAATTTTTGAAAAAGCCATTTGAACTTTAAAGGCGCATATTCCGAACATGACCCGATTTTTTTCGTTGCAAAAATGATTTCATATGAAACTTTATAAAGATTGGAAAAAATTCCAAAATTTTTGGGTTCTCGGAAATTAATTTTTTCGCTTTATTTGTCTGCGCGAAACGCGTAAAAAACCAAAAGCCTCGAATATGTATTTAAATAAATTTTGGCTAATTTTGCATTCACACATTCTAGACCCTATTATGAAATGTGATTGTCAAAATTTCCTACTCACACAACTCGCTCGTTTTCGAGAAATTCGCATCTGAATTTTCAATTTTCAGTCGAGATTTTCTCGAATTTCTGCATGGGATGCTTGTGGCCGCCATCCTTATTATCACCGACGTTTAGCCCCCCCCCCCAATACCAGCGGGCTCGAATGGTTCAGTGGTGCGTGTGGGTCAGGGCTGTGCGGAAATGGAATTGCCGAATTGCCGGATTGCCGAAATTTCCGAAATTGCCGGATTACCGAAATTTTGATTTTCGGCAATTTGATATCAAAAAAAAATCGGCGAAACAAAAATCAATGTCCATTGAATAATTTGGGATACCGTGAAAATTCGGTATTTATGTTTCGAATTATCGTGGAAAAAATTTAATAGCCGAAATTTTTATTTTTGGCAAATTTCCGAATTGCCGGATTGCCGCACAGCCCTGGTGTGGGTGTTTGTGAGAGTATACAGTACTGGCCGTAAAGAATGTCCCAAATGGTTTTTCGAGCATCGGTTTTCTAAAAGTGAACCGATCATTCTGAAAACTTAACACAGTCTTTCTGACACTAAAATACAATATTTAAACACTTCGTAGCCATTGGTTTCGACAAATTTCAGAAAACATTTTAAAGCTATGGTTCAGGGTCGAAACAAAAAAATAATGTATTAATACTTTGTTGCGTTTCCTTCTGCATCAATAACGACTTGACATCGTCGCGGCATCGACTCCAGAAGCTTGTGAATGACAGACATCGGAATGGCTTTCCATGGAGCCTCGAGAAGCTCAAACTTCTGATTGACATTCGATACACTGGCATCTTGAACACGACGTTCCAGCTCCTTCCAGAGATGCTCGATAGGATTCAAGTCAGGAGATTGACTCGGCCAGTCCAGAAGATTCACACGACGACGTTGAAATCATTTCGTGACGTGCTCAAAAGTGTGCTTCGGGTCGTTCTCCTGCTGGAAGACGAATGCCCGACCGAGTTTCGCACGTGCCCATGGTCTCATTGTGTTCTCCAAGATGTCTTCGTACACGAATCAATTCATGATTTCCATTGAAGTGTCTGAGAAGCAGCCCCAGACCATGCACGATCCGCCTTAATGTTTCGCAGTTGGGTACTTGGGGTCGAAGGGGGATCCAACAGGACGTCTCACCCACTCAATTCCGTCAGTTCCAAACAAATTGAACTTAGATTCGTCACTTCAGACATGGTTTGACCACTCACGACGTCCCCAAGTCAAATGTTCTTTTGCCCATGCAACTCTCGCTTTCCTCGCTGATGAGCGGATTCTTCACTGGACGTCGTCCGAGCATTCCATTCTCCACCAGACGTCTTCGGATAGTTCTCCTGGATGGTGTTGGTTCATTTGGAGACTTCTCGATGATTTGGATGTCCGTAGAAGTACGTCTAGGGTCCTCTCTCAATCAACGTTCCTGGTGGTTTTACGGGGTCTACCCGGTGACTGGAGCACATCACAGTTATGCGAAACGTCGAAAATAGTTTTCGAAAGTTTAAAAAACAAAACCGAGTTTCGAAATTGCTTCAAGATTCTGTTGATTGTCCTTATTGAGCAAGAAATCTGATTCGCAAGGATTTCGATTGAAGCTCCTTGTTTCTGTCCGGTCGAAATCGCTTTGCGGATGTCTGATGACATGGTTTTTTTTTTTGCTTGAGGTCTATTCATCTATAAAAACGTTTATGAAAAACGAGATTTCAAAAGTAACTCCAGAAAAAAATTTTAAAAATAAAAAACGAAAAAATCGAGAAAAAAATTATAAAAAATAATTTTCAGCACATTTCTGCAAACAGAAAAGCTGCAAACATGGGTATTGTGTGTACAAAACCCTGTAAAAAATAGGAACTAATGGACTACTTCAAAAAAAGTTATGCTAGGAAAACCATTTGGCCAGTACTGTAGCTGTAGGTTCGCTCAACGCAATATGGCGTCGCGGTGTTTGCAGAATGATACTGTGATTTATAATATGCGTATAATTATTCGGGCGGCGCACTCCCATTTGCCGTGATATAAAATATTCAAAAAATTGTCCTTTGAATTCGTTTTCGCAATGAATCACGTGCGAATTTGGAACAAAAAAATCAGCGAAATTATGGCGATTATCGCATTTCCATGAATCCGATGTGATAATTTGCGGGTTTCGAAAGAATCTTACTCATACATGCATTAATGTATAATTATTCAGGGGGGGGGGGCTCGAGTTTTCGAAGAATCGTTGAAATTTTGATTGTTCTAGCTAATCACACGTTTCAAATTGAATCAATTTGGCGGGTCTCGAGCCCTTCTTTTCTGGTCCCGACGCGAAGTTAAAGGCGCATTTGATTTTTTGGTTGCGCCACGATGGGGCCGAGGATGCATAGAATGCCACCATAAGTAAACGACAAACAAAGCGTGGGTCCTGGCACGAAGGGTCACATCAAAAAATTGGTCTCGAGACGGCATTGAATTAAAGGCGCACCAGTGTGCACCTGGGCGATATCCCGTGGCGAAGAGACGCGAAAATTTGGCCAAAGGATTAAAGAGCAACACATGGATGTAGAATATCGGATTAGGAATTTTAATGGGTTTCATTTTGAGAGAGAAAACAAGAAATTTGAATTCTGAAAATGTCCGCAGATGAATTTTGCCAAAAAAAATGTCCGTAGATGAATTTTGCCAAAAAAAATGTCCGCAGATGAATTTTGCCAAAAAATGTCCGCAGATGAATTTTGCCAAAAAATGTCCGCAGATGAAGTTTACCAAAAAATGTCTGCAGATGAAGTTTGTCAAAAAATGTCCGTAGATGAATTTTCCCAAAAAAATGTCCGCAGATGAATTTTCCCAAAAAATGTCCGCAGATGAATTTTGCCATAAAATGTCCACTGATGAATTTTGCCAAAAAATGTCCGCAGATGAAGTTTGCCAAAAAATGTCCGTAGATGAATTTTCCCAAAAAATGTCCGCAGATGAATTTTGCCATAAAACGTTTCGTTGCAAAGATATATTCACATTTTTTGATGGCTGGCAAGGCTTCCAGTGCTCTATCAATAGAGCTAATCCCTATCAGTTTGCTATAATTGAAAATTGGCAAGAAATAATCTAATCCCCCCCCGGCCCCAACCATAATTGAGGCAGCTCGAAATCGAATTATTGAATCTTACCTCTTGTGACAACTCCATAAGGCGCGATAAAGCGAAGCGAAAAAAATTTAGCAATCGATTTTAGATGAAGAACTGCATAGAATAACACAGGAGTATTACAAATTGCCGACGGATCATCCGATGAGCCGTGCACTGAAAATGAGCCGATTAAGCGTCATAAGCATCGAAAAACATGCATAATAATAATAATAATAGTAATAGTAAGGAGCCAAGACAAATGGGCGAGCGTACGCGCAAGCGCGCGGCGAGCAATATGAGAGCTCAAAAAAAAAGTCATCAAAGTTTGTTGCCCCCCCCCCTTCAACATCGCTATTCTCCCTTTTTCCATCTATATGGATTGCTATGGTAACTTGTTAGTCGCGATACTTTTTTTTGCGAGCGTTTTTCTTTGCTCGCTGACGCGCAAAATAAAATGTTGCTCATTTTTAGACGTGAAATTGTCGGCGATGATTACGGTAGCCGCCCGCGCGACACACGTGTACCGAGTTTTTATAAAGGTGAAATGTGGCAAGTGTGGCGCAGTCGGTATCGCTTTTGGACGCGCGCGCCGGAAGGGAGGGTTCGAGACCGCGTTGGCTGAATGCGATTTTTGCAGATGTTGAGAAGATGAATGAATTGAAGGCAGCAGGTGGCGCAGATGGCGGCGCCGCGTACCAATCAACACACACACAAAACACTTGTACAAAAATAAGCGATTTATTTCATGTGAGGGGGCTGGGCAATGTTTTGCCATTTCTTATTTCGGTTTTCTCCACGGCGTGTTCTCCTTGAATAATCGTCGCTCGCTGCACGTCGGCGTCATACACTGCAATTCGATCAATCGATTATCATGTGATCGGCAGAATCCTGAACCGCTTGAATCGCGAGAAGCGTCGCGACGAGCCACAATAGAATAATACGTGCGAAATTGCGCGGTTCCATTTGGGAATGTTTTTGCCAATTTTTTCCGGCCCATTTTTATACCAATTTTCGGTGTAATGACATTAATTTTAATGATGTGAATTAATGGGATTTTTTTGCGCAAATTTTCATTGTCAGAAAATCAAAAATAAGCAATTGACTTGTTCAAAAAAATTTTATAAAAAATGGTTACTGTAGTGTGCAATCAACGAGACGCAAAAATGCACACTTTGTTTTTGCCAGAAAAAATTGAGGCCTTGAGTTTTAAATTTAAAAATTTTTTACATAAAAAAATTGAATTTGGGTCTCATGGCGACCAAGCTAACCATAGTTTTGTCGGATTTTTGAAATTCCGGAATTTCTGCAAGAAAAAACCCGAATTTTGTCGGTCGCCACAAGACTCAACTGATTTTCCAAGCCATGCGCCTTTAATCAATGATTTTTTTAAACAAATTTCATTTAAATTTTTAAAAAAATAATTTTTCACTAAACCTTTTTTTCTCGGATAAAAATGAAAAGTTTTTTTAGTCGTACCCAGGTTTTTTGATATGAGTGGGCGGAGCTTGTAGCTGAAGCTCTGTTTATTCGTCAAACTTTTTAATTTTCGTCAATTTTTTTTTTATTTTCGTCAAATTTTTTAATTTTCGTCAAATTTTTTGATTTTCGTCAAATTTTTTGATTTTCGTCAAATTTTTTGATTTTCGTCAAATTTTTGATTTTCGTCAATTTTTTAAATATTCGTAAAATTTTTTTGATCTTCGTCAAATTTTTTAATTTTCGTCAATTTGGCTTCTAGCAAATATGGTGCGAGAGGTCACGAGTTCGAACCCACCCCACCCCTCTCAGCATGGCGTCCGGCTTTTTTCTCGATGAGAATGCTAATGAAGAGCGCGATCCGGTGGCCACTTTACTTTCACTGACCGGATTGACCCATACCCGGCGGGGCGGCCGTTGAAAATCGCCATTCAAGTACAATCGTGCGCCTATTAATCGCTTGATTTGTTGTTGTTTTTCCACATTTCGTTGAATCAACTCAAACCAAAAAAAATTTATTTTTCCATTTTCAAAGGAACATGCGGTGGGTGTCGAGCAGAATTGCACCAAGTCTTCCGTTTTGTTTTCTCTGTTAAGTATTCCGTGGTCCGCTAAACAGAAATTTGTTCCTATTTCGTGACACCTAGCACGTCTAGCAAATCTAAGAGGAATTTTTAGCTCAGCCGGAAAAAAAGAAGGTCCTTCTAATAATCCCTTAGAGAATCTCACATTCTGCACTAATAATTTCAAATTTTTCGAGTTTTTCCGTATTTTTTTTCAGCTCTCCTCTCGACGCGACGAGACCCATGGTGTGGGGTGGGGGGTCCGGAAAACCAATCGTTGTTGCCACCACTTTCGATTCATTTATAATTTACACATCGTCGTCGATTAGTGGAAAAGCATTACAGGAAGCTTGTCAATTTTCACACGTACACCCAGTGAAAGTCGGCAACGAGAAAAAAAAACGAAGACGAAGAAGGAATCGAAAAAGGAGATTAGTATCGAAATTGGTGTTGCCCTTGAATTCGGTTTTCACGCCAAAAACCCCCGCCTCGATTTTTGATTGGATTGATTTTTTTAGTTGCCATTTTAAATTGGTGTTAAAAAACCTAATCGCCTCTCTCTCTCTCTCTCATTTTTTTTGGTTCCAATTTCGATTGTTCGCCGCCAATGTTTGCATTTCGATATTGGTTTTGATCTACCAGTTTCGTTTTTTTTTCTCGCTATGCAACCTTTTCAGACATCTACAGTAGTCGTACTACGCTAGCTTCTGGTGCACACTTTAATTTTCACCGAAATTTGCATATTTTCTAATTAGGGTTACTGTAGCAATTGTTTCTCTGGCACCAAAGCTCGAAAATGGTTTTGATCTACCCGTTTCATTTTTTTTCGCTTTGAAACCTTTTCAGACATCTACAGTAGTCGTACTACACTAGCTTCTGGTGTACACTGTAATTTTCGCCAAAATTTGTATATTTCCAAATTTTGGGATTACTGTAGCAATTGTTTCTTTGGCACTAAAGCTCGAGAATGATTTTGATCTACCAGTTTCATTTTTTCGCTTTTGAAACCTTTTCGGGTTCTTTAGACATATACAGTAATCATTCTACAGTATGTCTTAATGCCTACTGTATTGTTTTCAAAATTTGAAAATGTTTAATTAGGGATTACTGTAGCAATTGTTTCCTTAGCACCAAAGATCGAAAAAAGGTTTGATCTACCAGGGTTCGTTTCTCATCTACAGTAATCATAGTACAGTATGTCTTAATTCCCACTGTAATTTTCGCCAAAATTTGTATATTTCCAAATTTTGGGATTACTGTATCAATTGTTTCTTTGGCACCAAACCTCGAAAAATATTTTGATCTACCAATTTCATTTGTTCGCTCTTAATCATTTTTTGGGTTTTTTTTTTACATCTACAGTATGTCTTAATACCAAAATTTGTATAATTTCTAATTAAGGATTACTGTAGCAATTGTTTCCCATAGCACCAAAGCTCGAAAATTTGAAAACACAATTTTATTAATTATAAATAATTTACATAATTGAGCAAAATAAATGGTGATGTGTGCAAACACCGCGACGCCAATCATCACACATAAAAAGATACTATCTATAATTATAGTATGTCCATATATGAAATAGTAGGTCCTTTTAATGGGGGTCCTTTGGCATCGCCCAAAAAGTGAAAATTGTTGCGCGCGTGTGGCGATATCGTCGAGATCTCATTCCATGTAAGGTCAAAACGTGTCGGGTTCGAGAGCACCAGCATTGAACCGATATCGATCTGACAATATTTCAAATATTGACTATAGTTGGCTACAAAAAATAGATTAGATCAGAACATGGGGGAGGGGGAGGAAGAAGAAGGAAGCGTGTCAAAAAAAATCAAAACTCTATCATTCAAAACACCTGCGGACATTTTACGGGAAACGCCACAATCCCCCCGATTGGCGGCAATTCAAAACAAGAGCATTCATAGGAATAGGGAGGCGGTAGATCAAATAGAAGCATTCCGGATGATGGTATTCAAAATCGGCTACATGACTATGTAATCCGATTACACTTTATTAATTAGAACGTTACAATTTGAGAGGCGATACGATCAAAACACTTGAAAAGCTGAAAAAAATGAAAGAGAGAGGATAAAATTGGCCAAAAAATTGTTACTACGAAGCGCGAATTATCGGCAACCCCCCCGCCCCCCCCCCAAATTCGATAAATATCTTCGCCTCATTTTGCGATCGTTGCGTTTTCGCCGATCGACGCGCGCGCTTTTCCGCTTTTCGATTTTTGAGTCGAAATTCCAAAATTCTAGGCCACCTCCTTCCCTCCCCAGAGATTCTCTGCGTCTCTCATTCAACTACACTCTCTATGAGAGCGATGTGTGCAAACACTGCGACGCAAAATCGCGTACACCATCGGATTTTTTTGCGTTCAAGACCTATCATGAAAATATTAGACATTTTAGCTGACAAATTGAATTGGTCAACCCGATTTTTGGTCTCAACGCGAAATGTGCATATGCGCCTTTAATTCCTACTGTAATGTTCCCCCCAAAAATTGAATTGGGTCTCGTATGGATTCAAACTCTTTGAAGCTAATTTAACCATCATTATTTGTAGGATCAAAATTGGCGAGCCGCGAAATTCAAATTTTTGAAAAAAAAATTCGTTTCCACCTTCTTCTATTGAGCAATTCTCATTAGGGCTTTTCTTTTCGAGACCCGTTAAGGGTGTTTCCTTTTTCGGACAAAAAAAAAAGAACAATAGGCATTTGAAGCCATTGTACACGCTTTCTTCAAATTCGCTCATTTCTCACCCCCCCCCCTTAATAAAACTGTTTCGTTTAAAGGCGCATTCCTCAAATTTCTGTTTAAGACCCGAAACTGATGACTGATGATTTCAGCGGAATGCAACCGCTAACACTTCTCGTATTCTCGCTTCTCGTCGCCGACTCAATCGCGTTGTTCTGGAATCTTCTGGGTACCATTTTTGAGGTTGATGATGACGAGTTTCATCTGCCGACAATTTTCCAGGACTCGGCTGCAATTGTTGCATGTGCGCTCCACCGCGATCACCGCACAACATCGCCAACATCATGTATCAAACGCATCCGCAAAACTATTTGGTCGGCCCGCCATCGCCACCATCACCACCACCACCACCACCAGCGCCATTCGACTACTCGACAAGCTACACCGGCAACATTCCGATGGTCAGCGGCTATGCGCTCCAAGAGCACGGTGAGCGAGCGACGAAGCAGAAAAAATGTCCGCAGATGAGAATATTGATTTGTGATACATTAGTGTAGAACTGAATAGCTTTGTAGTCCACAAAACCATTCATGGTCCCTCAAAAAGAAAAAAAAATTCCAATTCCAGTCTACTCGGACCCTCTTCCCCAATTATTCCAGCCGGGACCGCCATCGGCGATGCCAAACTCCCAAGAAGATCTTCATCTCGAAGACACCTCGCCGCCGTCGCCTCAACGCCTCATCAATAGCCTCGAGAACGAGCTCAACGCTCATCGATACGAGCCGACGGTGAGCAGCGCCGGTTTAAAGGCGCATGACATGATATTCTAGGCGACACGGCGACCATTTCTACCAAAGAGGATACGCGTTTTCAAATTGCACAATCGTCATCAGCATTTGAGGAATCGGCTGAATAGTTCGCAATTCTCAAAGGATCCTTAAAATCAAGAATTTTCAATTTTTTAGAAGTTCATCACCTTCTGAGAACAACTACAGTATCCACAATATTCGATTTTGACAAAAATGAGAATGTGGGTTTCCATTTTTGAACAATTCCTACAGTAATCAGTTAGTGGTGCTCGATTGATTATGAACTTCGCGTCGAGACCTCCAATAGAGTTGTTCGCGACGAATCAGATTAATCAATTTCAGCATCATGTAATATATGAATATTATAAGCATAGGGTGCAATTTCTCGTTTGATCTACCTCGAAAATTATTTGTTTGATCTACCTGAGTCCAACGCTCTCAATTTCAGCAGGGTCTCGAAGAATTCATTCCGATCGAGACTGGCAATGGTCCAGATCTCGCCGACCAGGAGCCCGCCAATCTTCCGCCATCCGTACGCGCCAAGGTAGATCAAAATCGTCGAAATGCGCATTTTTGTTTGGTTTTGCAGATCTCGCACGAGCCATTCGATTCGACGAACACGATTTTCCGAAATAGATAATTTCAGCAGTGTTGTGCGCCATTAAAAAAACCCCCCAACAATTACGAGTATTGTGTGCTCAAAGCACGATTCCATTTCATTTTGTCGTAAAAACCGTCGAACCGGTAATTTTGTGGTTGAAACCCGCTCAAAACTACTGACCATTGAAATCTAATATATTGGCGACCCCTCTCGTTTCATTTAAATAAACTATGCTATCTATTTATATGGTGTTGTTGTTTTTCAAGGTTAAAAACTGGTCGAAAGGGCGTCGGCGATGAGAATTCGTTATTTCTCATTTTAATTTCAAGTGTGAAAGAAACGTATTGTTTTCAATGCCCAATAATCATTTCCATCTGAGGACAATTTCCGCGCAACTCCACTAATTTCTCATGTGCATTCCTCATTCGCTAATAGCGTTTCGCATCTGCGGACAATTTTCAGTGATGATTTCGCTCATTCCTCTCCTATGCCTTCTTTCTCCAATAGTCGCGGGTCTCGACGCGAACAAATCGCTGCACTCGATTCTACACGAGATGCGACTCAACAACTCGGCTAGCGTTTTGTCGGCTCTCGAAGCGATGCCAAAGGTACCGTATCCTCGATTACGGTATTGCGAGAGGCGGCTTATTTCAGGAGTGCACGAAAAATGGCAAAAAGTACAACGCCGGCGACGAGTTCGAAGTCGGACACCTTCGCTATAAATGCCGGGATTACGGTGTGTACTCAATGGAAGGTACGGGTTACTGTAGACTCGATTACGGTAGATTTTAGGATGCATCGCGAATGGAACGAAACGAATGAATCCCGGCGAATCGTTCGTCGAGAATCATATCAAATATCAGTGCATGAAGCATGGTAGCTCGATATTCTATCGGGAGACGGTAACCTAGTTGATCCGATCCGATGCGATCCGATCCTTGCAGACCTGCGGCATCCTCGGACAACCGGAATGCGACAACGTCCCATTGCCAACCGGCTTTCAGAAGGCGTTGGAGCACGAGAAGGAGAATCCGCCGATGGTCGGATCGACGAGAATCAACGGCGTCGAGCTGCCGAAAGGTTGGAAGCTCATCGGAGAAGGAAGCAAGCCGGTGAGCGAGGGCGTTTCGAGGAATCGCATCTGCGGACAATAAAGATTCTATAATTCTTTGTAGATTCCTTCAACGAACGCCTCAGTGATCACCCAGATTCTCATGTTCCAGCCGACGCGTGCCAAACGCGACGGCTTCTCAACGAACGGTGTTGGTCGTGTGATCGCCGTCGAAGACATGAGCCGAGGGGTATGATGAGCATTTGAGAGAGGGCGGGGCGCTTCAATCAGCGATGTCGTTGCAGGACGCAAGTCGAAACGCGCCCGACGTCAAGAAGAGCGGAGCGCGACCGCTTCGCATCGGCACGGATCACGACGTCGATCTCATCGATCTCGATTCGCGTCGAGACACACGTTTGAAGAACGCGAGCAAATTCAAAGCGGGAAGCGTCAGAGGCCAAAAATCGAGCGTCGATTGGAATGGAAGGAAGGTGATGGTGAATGGGAAGACGATTGGCGTCGGACCCGGCACCTTCACGTTCGGCAATCGGCCAACGTCGTCGTCGTGAATCGCCCAATTTTTCTTAAATTGTTGTTTTTTATATAAAGAATTTCGAAAAAATATTAAGTCAAGTTTTGGACCACCAACATTGTTATAATATAGATTACTGTAACAGCCAAACTAGAAAATTTCAAGAACCCCAACGCGTCTGTTGACATTCCCCCTAATTACGGTAGTCATTTTGTTTTTTTTATGGGAGACAGACGTTGTGCAACAAACGCGCTCCGCCGCACCCATCAATAATTTTGATTTGACTACCTTAGTATTTTATTTTTTTTTGTTTTAAAGGTCCTGAAGCAAATGCAGATGAAGCTAGAGTCTTATCTCGAGGAGAACAGCAGATGGATCGATTGTACGAAACGGGTTCGCCGGAAACGTCGCTTCGTGGTTCTGATTCTGACACCAACTGAAGATTCTGCTTATTATTTTACCCCGCCGTTTTGTGATTAATCTGCGCTATGTGACGCTTGCCATCAAGTTGTTGCCGTCTTATGGAGCCTCTGGGCCGGTGGACTCATAACCGTGGAGATCGTGAATTCGATGCCGCTCTGGTTTTTCAAAAAATGTTCAAGCATATTTCGAATATAACAGTATTGTCGAAGCAATAAGAATTTTTGGATAATTAAGGCGCAATCAATTTTTTGAATTTGTCCTCAAACGAATTATCGGAGCGATTCGACATTTAAGGAAGAACGCTCTAAGCGTTCACTGAAGTTTAATCCTTCTTCATAACATCTGTCCTACTCATAACTTCACCTGATATTTCAATCATTCACACCGAATTTCCTTATTAGGCATAACAAAACAAATCTATTATAAATTATCTCACAAGTGTGAGCGTTGTTCCCGCCAATGTGTTCACATCGACGGTCGGGTGCACAGATGAGCCGTCGGCGTTGCGAAGTTTCACACTTCCTTTCCACAAGTCAAGAACTGACCGAATTTGGTAAAGAAGGTCCGCATATCCGTTCAATTGTTGATTTCCAGAAGTCACATGAATTTTGACTTTCTTGGATCCATCGACAACAGTGATTCCTTCGAATGAATCTCCTTCAGCGAATAGCCAAAGCTAAAAATTTAAAATTTTCTTCTCTAGAAAATAATAAATACTATCTACCTCAACTTCCGCCTCCTTCACCGCACTCTTATTAGTAGCTGTTGGTGCTTTTGCTCCATCCGCTGGTGTTCCAAGCTTCAATGGGGTTCCAGTCGTCGTCTCGATATCCTTTAGCTTGGCCGCCACAACCTGAGCCAATTGCGAATCAGCTGGCGTCACAACCAAATGCACATAGGCCGAATCGGTGGAAACGAGCTTCGCCTGCTTGCGGAGTCGCTGAATGCGATTCGTGACCTCGCGACAAAGTCCTTCCTCAACGAGACTCTCGTCTTCGCTCGTGTCAACCATCACAATCGTCTTGGCATCCGAATTCGTACAGTATCCATGTCCAGTGTTGGAGTCGCTGCTCGCGTAGCTCACGGCGACCTCTTCAGAATAGAGCTCATGTCCGAGAACAGTGAGTTTTCCTGAAGAATGATAATTTGTGCAAATTTCTTGCTCATGTTTTAGGGTAGATTTACTAGAATGACTTTTTTTAAATGGTTTCACCACGTTTTAATAATTTTAAAGATGTAATCATGCGATTCTTATTTCCAGAAGCATTTTCACGAGTCTCAAACGTTAAAACTGTTCAAATTCGATATGAACCCTAGATTGCGCAAAAACCAGTAAGACCATTTTACCGGCTCGAAAAAATATGCGATGAATCACGAATACTAATAGTAGTATTCTTTTTTTGCAATGGTAACACACATGGTTTTTTTTGCATACCTTCAGCCAAGAATTTTTCCAATTCCTCTTCAGAAATATCGTTCTTCAAGTAATGGGCGACCTTCTTCTGTTCTCCCTTAAGACGAGCTCCAAGCAATTTGAAGTTTGGATCAGCCTAAATCCACCAAAAATCTGTTTTAAACATTTTTAATAAATATGCCTACCTTGAGCGTAATTCCATATTTATGTTTATCTTGAGAAACCGTGAGCTTGCGCACATTCAATTCGAGCAAAATGTACGACTCCAAACTCTGCACATCTTCCAAGAACTGGCTGTCACGATTGATCACAATCATCTCCTTCAGCGGATACTTGACAGCGATTCCTTCGCGATCACGCACCAATCGAACAAGATCAATGACGTTCCGCATCGCTTCGACTCGCCGCTCAACCGATTCATCGATGAGGCTCTCATCAGGCTTCGGAAGGAGTAGGAAATGAATCGATTCTTCAGTGGCTCCGACAATCTTTCTCAAATTCTGCCAAATGTACTCGCAGAAGAATGGCGTGAATGGCGCCATGAGGCGAACAATCAGCACCAAGACTCGGCCAAGTGCAGCAAGCGAGTGGTGTTGCTCATGCAATCCATTGTCGCCCTGAAAAAAAAAATCAATATTTCAAGAGAATTTCCGATAAGAGCACCTTGATGCGTTTTCTATTCAATCTGATATAGATGTTAGTCAAGGTGTCGAAGAACTTTGTCAATGGTCCCACAACAGCATAGAGACGGTATCTAAAATATCGAACCCATTCTCTAACATTATACCATCAAATCTCTTACGCTTCCATTTCTTTCCTCACAAACGCGATAAGACTGTTGGTGAACGATTCGATCCACCTGTCCATCACATTCTCGCTGGCAACAAATTTACCCATTTCAAACGCGTTTCCGGTTTCGTGCTCATAGAGCTGAACGTTTTGAACGAAGAATCGGTAGGCGTTGAACCATGGAAGGAACACGTCCTTGAGCAGATCGCGAACACCTTCCTCTCTGAAGGAAATGTGTTTTATAACTTTTGTTTAAAAAAAAACAAAGTATTACCGGAATTTCAAATTGTCTCCTCGAACTACCGGCGAGTTGATCAAGTACAATCGAAGAGCATCGGCACCGTATTTGTCAATGATCTCCGTCGGATCCGGATAATTCTTCTTTCTCTTCGACATTTTCGCACCATCCGAAGCCAAGACAAGCCCGTTGCAAATAAGGTTCTGAATTTAAAAATTCTCGTACAGGTTTTTTTCGTACAAAAAAATTACCTTGAATGGAGGCTTGTTGAAAAGTGCCGTCGACAACACCAAAAGTGTATAGAACCATCCACGAGTCTGATCGATTCCCTCAGCAATGAAATCGGCTGGGAAATTGTCTTCAAACAACTGAAAAAATGTCAACTTCACGTGGCAAATTCGAAAAATTTCCACCTTTTTGTTCTCAAATGGATAATGATTCTGCGCATATGGCATCGATCCCGATTCGAACCAGCAATCAAACACCTCCGAAACCCTCTTGAGAACCCCTTTACCGGACTTCGATGGAATTGTGATGTGATCAACGCTCTCTCTATGAAGATCGGTGATCTTCTGTCCGGATAGTTCTTCTAGTTCAGCGATCGACGAGATGCACACGACTTCCTCGCCGTCGTCACTGACCCACAAGTTGATTGGAGTTCCCCAGAATCGATTTCTTGACACCGCCCAATCGCGAGCTTCACGAAGCCAATTGGCGAAGCGTTTTTCTTTGACGAAAGATGGTACCCTTTAAAAATTGATTTTGAATTGTGTTTTTTCACAAAATCATTACAATTTCCATATAATCGAATATCAATAAAATGATTGATAGGAATTAAAAACAAAAAATCGCAAATCTTTGGCTTTCACAAAATGTGAGGAATTTTGCCAATGTTTAAAGGCACACGCAATTATTATATTAAATCTTGCATGTGGCCGGTCGGTTTTTCAGAAACACACTATATCGATTGGCACTTACCAATAGGTTTCCATATTATTCGCTAACAAATTTGGCACTAGGCTCTCGACGCGAATGAACCACGATGGGACCGCCTTGTAGAGCAAGGGAGTGTCGGATCTCCAGCAGAATGGATAGCTGTGTTTGCATTCAGCATGTCGCACAAGATTTCCAGTCTCTTTCAACCGCTTGATGATAAATTTATCAGCACCTTTGACGTACACTCCGACGAAATCGGTGATCTCTTCCGTGTATTTTCCAGTCTCATCAACTGGACAGATCATTTTCGAATCTTTTGAGATGATGTTGTTCTTCAAGCACACGGCGTAATCGATTTCTCCGAAATATGGCGCCTGGTGGACAATACCAGTACCGGAATCCGAAGTGACGAACGTGTCATTGACAACGCGGAATGCGTTGCGTTCGGAGCCAAGATGGGCAAAATAAGGGAACAATGGCTCATATTTGATTCCTTCCAATTGTTTTCCCGTCAATTTCTCGATAATCTCAAGGTTGTCGTTCTTGAGCTCACCGAGCCGCACCTCGAGAACAACATACTCGACATTTGTCGTCTTGTCTTTCGCGACAACGTACTCCATGTCAGGATGGACGCAAAGTGCCAAATTTGATGGAAGGGTCCATGGCGTAGTTGTCCAGGCGACAAGAAGCCGATTTGGGTTGTCAACCACGCGGAATCCGACGAAGACTGCCGGATCAACGACGTCTTTGTAGTTTTGACCGGCTTCAAAGTTTGAAAGCGGAGTGGAGCAGGCCGTGGAGTACGGCATAACCTAGATAATTGATATTTATTGTATAATTATGGGAAGTTTTCTACTTTGACTCCCTTGTAGACCAATCCCTTTTTGAAGAGCTCGCTGAACGCCCACCAAACGGACTCCATGAACCATGGGTACAATGTTTTGTAGTCGTGTTTGAATTCGACCCATCTTCCGAGCCTTCCCATCGTTTTTTCCCATTCTCCGGAATATCGCATGACGATTTTGCGACATTCTGCGTTGTACTTGTCGATTCCCATTTTCAGCACATCAGGGGGACCCGAAATGCCAAGAGTCTTGTCGATTTCATATTCCTAAAAAATTGATTCTAACAATCGCTCTTTTTTTCCAAAATTGCCACTTACGACAGGCAAACCGTGGCAATCCCATCCGAATCGGCGTTCGACGTAGTGACCGTTTTGATGCGCCCAGCGACCTACGACATCCTTGATGGTACTGGCTAGCATATGACCATAATGGGGAAGACCCGTTGCGAATGGTGGACCATCGTAAAATGTAAAGTGTGGACGATCCTTTGAAAGCCTGAATATTAAAGAAGAAATTTACAACCAAAAAATAATGGACTTACTCAACAGATTTCATGAAAGTATTCTCATCTTTCCATTTTTGAGAGATTTTCTCCTCTTCTTTCGCAAAGTTGATATTGTCTGGAACGGTTGACAAGCCGCTCATTTTTACCCTAAAATGTGAATGAAGTTTGCACACTTATTGACACAAAGGCAGCACAACACCACGCAATCTGATGTAATTCGGTGGTGTTGCGAAATATTTTGAAATATGACAGTTCCAAAAAGCGAACAAACCGAGTTTACGAATATTTTGATGAGGAAATGCTTCAAAAAAGTTTAAATAACCAGATAGGGGTTGAAAATAATTTTTGGAAATTCGAAAATCAAAACGTGTGAAATTTTTGGAAAAAAAATTATTAGTTAGGATACATGCACTCTTTTCTTGGAGTAATTTCGATTTTCTGCAATTGGATCAATCAATTTGAAAGAAAAAAGGGAAAAATAGGGAAATTCTCATTGAAAAATGTAGAATTTAAACGAATGGTTTAAAGGTGCATACATTTATGAGCATTGGTCTCGCAACGCTCCCCCGTATTTCTATTTATTTTTACGTGCTTTGCACATTTTTTCTAAAATTTCGGGCGAAATTGAACTTTTGACACATTATCTGATAACGAAAACGTGTTATTTTTATTATTTGTACTATTTTTTTGTATTATTTGTACTATTTAGCGTCTTATAAATATTTCATTGCAGATGCGATTTTTCGCAGCTCGTTCGTTTCAAATAGCTTCTATTGCCGGATTCTCTTGGGGAGGAAGCTCAACAAAACTTGATGAAAAGCCAAGAACATGTCCGATTCAAATTTCAATTCCAGAAAAAGCCAATAATGATGTGTTATTAAGCAGAAAGGTAAAACTTTTTAGCCAATAAGGCGAATTTGTGATGCAAATTTTTGCAGATTGTCAATCATTTGGATAGAAGTAATCTGAAATTGCGGCTCTACCAATATGAAACCTGTCCATTTTGTTGTAAAGTGAATTTAACTCTATTTTATTTTTAAGCGCATTCGTTTAGGTGCGCGCCTTTCTTGATTACTACGGATTCAGCTATGAGGTTGTCGAAGTCAATCCAGTGACGCGATCCCAAATCAAATTCAGCACCGCTTATAAAAAAGTGCCGATTTTGCGAAGCGGTGAAAATACGACATTGACCGAATCATCGTTGATCATTTCGGAACTAGCGACATATCTGACAAGACCCGATCAAACTCTGGAAAGTATTGAGAAAATGTACCCAGCAGTTGACTCAGTGAACGAAAAAGGGAAACCATGTTTGACTTATCCTAACAAATTCTTTGTGATGAAAGGAGAAGTTGGTTCTGAGAAGGATATGGCATTGGCAAGGTTTTAATATATGATTTACGATTTTTTTTAATTTTAAAGTGTTCAGAGAAGAACGAGAATGGCGCGAATGGGTTGATAATTGGTTTATTCATTTAATTTCGCCGAACGTCTATCGCACCTGGGAAGAATCGCTTGAGACGTTCAAATGGTTCGAGAAGGTCGGTGAATGGCATCGAACTTTCCCCGATTGGGAGCGTGTTCTGGCTGTCTATATTGGAGCGGCGGCGATGTTTTTGCTTTCGAAAACACTCAAAAAGAAGCACAATATCGTTGATGAGCGTGAGGAGTTGAGAAAAGCATGTCGGGAATGGATGGAGGCGATCGGACCGAGTCGGCAATTTTTGGGAGGTGATAGGCCGAATTTGGCGGATTTGGTGAGATTTTCGCAACTCAATAAATTTATATCAGTCTTAATAAATTTGCTTGTGAGAAGATCCTCATAGGTCTGGTTTCGGTGCTCTTTTAATACTCAAAAATTTCAAAAAGAAATTTTTAGTTACTGAGACCATGACTAAAGGCGTAAAATTGAAAAGCAATGTTTAAATATGCCTAAACGATTTTCAGTCCCTCTATGGCGCAATGAATTCGTTTTATGGTTGTGCAGCTTTCAAAGAAGTGATCCTCAACGAGAAAATCGCCGACTGGTATAATCGAATGGACAAGCTAGTGAAAAATCACGAGGGTAGAACAGTCTTGGAATCGAGGACTCTACGAAAATAATTTTTTTTTCCAAATCACTTTAGTATAGTCGTATTAGAGAGATTTTCGGAGTTTTTCAGTGAAAACCCCCAATTTTTTATTTGTTGATTTTCGACGACTTTAATGTATCGAATATATAGGATCTCGCTTTGTTGTTATAACCATTTTAATATTCCTTGGCAAACTCGTCGGGTGGGCAAAAAACGAACTTTCACCCAATTAATTTGTCAAGTCATTTTTTATCCTCCAATAAAGTGCATATTCTATTACTCACGGTTCAAGGCGTTGTGCACGAGAAACGCGCCAACACTCTTGCCTGGCGCATTTCCGGGGGCTTGGCGCAATTTGTGGCCTGCTTGCGCGCAAATCGATGGATTTGCGATTTTTTTTTAATTTTCGAAAATACTGCAAAAAAAAAACAAGTATGATGCGGTTTTTTCTCGGACTAACCTTTTTTTGTGTTCGTTTATTCGATAATTCAAATTTTGAATTAGACAATGGAAGTTGGCGTGCCCTACTATAGATAACTTTAAAAAATTGTTATTTACGTGATGGCTCTCAATTTTTTTCGCAATATTTATAATTTTAATATTCAAATTTTAGGATGATGAATGTTGAAGTGGACGTTGAGAGCCAACCCGATGTCGATCTTCCGATTCCGTCTCCTCAGGTACCAAATGCATTGATTTTTAACTTGAATTGCGGTGGGAATGTAAAAGTATGAGAAAAACGCACTTAAAAATTTTTATTAATGAATATAGTTAATTATGCTCAATTTATTTTAATATATTTTTTGCGTTTTAGTAAATTTAAAAAAATATTACAAATTGTTTAATTCCTTTATATTATCTTTTAAACATCGATCTAAAAAAATATTTATTATTTGTCCGCAGCTAGATTGAATGAAACAATTTCGATTTCATAGGTTCACCATTTTTTTCCAATTGTTATCTTAAAGCTTCCCGACATCGTTGAGCCACGAGAAGAGCCAGAAGTGAAAGAAGATTCTGTTGAGCCAGAAGATTCTGAAGAAGCAGAAGATTCCGAAGATGCGGAAGATTCTGTACAATTAGGAGAAGCTGAAGTGCAAGTGGCTCCGCGAAACTCTGCGCCGAATGACGATGATGGCACTGGAAGCGACACCACTACTTATGGATCGGAGCACTGGCAGACAGTTGTGAGCTTTTAAAACTAATATTGAGAAAATGTATCAAATCAGCGACTTGGTTAGTATTTTTGAGAACGCGTCATTAAAAATGTTTTTTTTTTTTGCAAAAAAAATCTATGAAATCTCAACCTATGAAATCTGTTTTTTTTTGCAAAAAAAATTTAAATATTCAAATGACCTTTAAAGATGTTTTTAATTGTTGTAAATCACCAACTTCTTTAAAAAAAAACTCATAATTTCCACGTGCATATTTCAGAATCGCGTAGATCGTGGTCTGCTCTTAAAAATGGAGCAACTTCTGACGGATGGTCATTCGACGGCCGACATTATCCACAAATTGTTCCCCGAATTCAACGTGGATCTGGACAGATTCAGTGAAAATGTTGTAAGCGAGTTTTTTTGCCTCAAAATGTCGATGCTGCGGACAAAAGAGAAAATTAGCTCAAAGAAATATCCGTAAATTGATGAAAAAAAAATTCGACCGCTCGAAAATTTTCAATCCCCCAGTTTCAACGATTTTTTCCACGCCAATCGTTGACAATGTTGATTTTTAAAAGACGCACTCGTGTTTTCAGCTAATGGGTCTTCTTATGGACTTGATGGAGTCGGCGCCGGTGCGCGAGAAGCTGCCGCAGTACAACACGTTCGAGGACGCCATCGAACTGTTCCGAACCAAGAAGAACATTTTGATGCTCACTGGAGCCGGTGTTTCGGTCTCGTGTGGAATTCCCGATTTTCGCAGCAAAGATGGTTAGTTTATTATAATTTGGGGGGGGGGTCACTCATTGATAAAACTGCCACCTTGGGGTCTCGCATGGAAAACGAACCTTTTAGAAGCGAGTTTTTTGTAATTTAATCATCATAATGCAATTGAGCATAATTTTTATGGACTTTAAGTAATTTTACTATTTTTCTAAAGTGTCCAATAGCTTAGTATGAGCTCATTTTGTTTTAAATTCATCCCACCACGAAAATGTAAAGAAAAATAATTCGATTTAATACAATTGGGTTTTTTTGTTTCAAGGAATTTACGCGCGATTGCACGTCGATTTTCCGGATTTGCCGAATCCGACGGCAATGTTCGACATTCGCTATTTTCGCTCGAACCCGAAACCGTTCTACAATTTCGCCAAAGAGATCTTCCCCGGTCAATTCAATCCGTCGATCGCTCATCGCTTCATTAAAGTTCTCGAGGACGACGAAAAGCTTTTGCGGAACTACACCCAAAATATTGACACTTTGGAGAGGCAGACGGGAATCACACGGGTCGTCGAATGTCATGGTAAGCGTTATTCATTTTTGCGCGTTCGACGTCCGATGTGGCGGGACTGAGAGCTTAGACACTTCTTGTCGCGAAATTCCCAAACTTGGGCGTTTTCGATGATGTTTAAGCAATAGATAAGTAGGAATTACCGAACTTGAGCATGTAAATGGTTGTGATCGGGTTTGCGATATTCCTCGACAATTCATTTTCTGGTTTTTTTTGCAGGATCGTTCTCGAAGGCGACGTGCCTCAATTGTGGAGCCAAATATGATGGTGAAATAATTCGCGAGGATGTCATGGCACAGGTATTAATTTTTAATTTATTGAAAAAAAAAGAATATCGCGAAATCCAACAACCGATATATATATCTGGACGATTGAATTGCACTTTTTACGAAACTTTCTCGAAATTTGAAAAAAAATACCCAAAAATCAATTATTTTTGTGACAACTCATTGGACTCGATAGTTGAAGGCACACATCGATGATGTTGTTTTTCTTTTTTTTTTCCTTTTAAGCATGCGCCTTTAAATGTGAGTTATTGTAGAGAGTGGCCAAGTGCCGAGTCTGTGACGATGGCGTCATCAAGCCGAATATCGTGTTTTTCGGAGAGGATTTGGCTCAAGATTTTCATCGTCAAATTTCGGAAGATAAGAATAATGTCGATCTGGTTGTCGTTATCGGTAAGAATTGCATTGAAATTTGGTATTGTCTAAAAGTGCCGATCTCACGAGGCTGAACATAACGACATGTCAACGGCGCGTTAAGACCTTTACCTTTTTCGGTATTTTTCCAATTTTTCGCAATTGCAAAAATTGTGGACTATCGCATTTTTTTAGGCGGGAATTCAAATATGTATATAAATTGTGTGAATTGTGCGTCGTAAATGGATATTCTTCAAATTGTTCTTTTAATTTTCAGGCTCATCGCTCAACGTGCGTCCGGTTTCGTTGATTCCGTTCAGTGTCGACGAGAATGTGCCGCAGATTCTCATCAATCGGTGTGATTTTTTTTTGATTTTCTTTCGAATGTTCGCTTTTTTAAGCGAGCCACTTCGCAACTATCGTGCTGATATCGAACTTCTCGGCAATTGCGATGACATTTTGCGCGAGATTTGCCTTGCACTTGGCGGAAGATATGAGCGAATGATTCGAGAGTACGACGAGGCACTGCCGGTGAGGCCGATTCAGACGCCGCGCACGTTCCTCACGTCTGAGCAACTTCAAGAGGTTTGCCAACGGCGTTTTTGTCGAGAATTGTTTTGGTTGCTTTCTTTGTTTTTTAGAAAATCAATGAGCACTGCGACGCGATTCAGAAGAAGGATGCTCAAGAGGAGGCGGCTGAGGAGAATGAGGAGCCGCCGATGAAGAGGCCAAAGCCCGATGAGCCATCGACGTCAATGGTGGGCATGTTCGCATCGAAGTTCGAGAATGTCACTGCCGTATTGCCGCCGCATTCATACGCGCATGTAATTGAAAAAAAATCATTCATTGTGTTTTTTCGTCATTAAATTGTTGATTTTTTTTTTAGGTTTCTGAGAATCAGACGGTGTTTCCCGGCGCTGAGCTGAGTTTCGATGTCGACTCGCGAATGATTGTGAAGATTAGTCGGCGAGTCGGCGGCGATTCGGAGTCGATCTCGTTCGATAGCGATTTTTCGGACGACGCGCCGGAGCGATGCAGATCGGCCGGTTGCGTTGATACGGTAATGACAGTAATCAACAGGAATTTAAATATTTTGGGGGCGAAGCGCCCTTTTTGGGACTTGAATGAAAAAAATCATTTATTTAAAAAAAAATCCTAAAAATTAATTTAGTAAGAAATATCCATCATTTTCAAAAAAAAATACTTGAAAAAGAGTGAGAATGATTGAATTTGGCTTTAAAATTTGATATTGTTACTTTGTGGACTCGCGGCTACCTTTGTTGAAGTACTGTAGCCCGCGCAATTTGAATTATTCGAATTTATGTGTTTTCTTTTTCTATTCACAAAACTCAAGATTTCATTCTTCAAAAATTGAAAGGAAGAAAAATCTTTTGAATTTTCAGAACCATTCGGAAGTCATCAATGACAATGGGGAATCTTGTCCGCCGTTTTTGGAATACGAGGAATCGGGACCCATAACCGCCACCGGCTTCAGGGAATACGCAGTCAAGTATTTGGGAACAAAATAGAATTTTTTTCTAATGCATTTATCTAATTTCCCTTTTCTAATCAAAATTTTAATACATTTGCTTAATAAGTTTGCAAAGAGATGATATAATTAATAAGCTAACTATTCCTAATTTTATTTGACATTCATTTCATTTCCATTGGTTTATTTTGAATAGATCTCCCGACATGTCCATCCAAAGAATGATTATGTAGTAATTGTTCGCATATTTGAGAACATTTATGTGATTCTTGCAGATTTGATGCCTTTCAATGAAAAAATTTGATTTTTGCCAATTTTTGCGCGTGTGTTTATTTCGTCTCCTCGCCATCGCACATATGTGCCGACTTGGCGGTGCGCCAGAAATGCGGGGGTGGTGTAGAGGCGTAGTGTCTCGTCTGGCGAGCGAGACATCGCGCGATCGACACCGCACCGCGAGAGCGATGAATGAAATGCTGTGCAGTGTCCGAGGCGTTCGGAATGCAGTGTCGCCTGAGAAGGCGGAACCCAACGCTGCGCCGAACGCCAGAAGATGGAGTGTGGTTGTACAATGTCTGAGCTTGTTTTGTCGAATGCTTGAAATTCTTTATTACTCCGTTTTCCCTTTCGATGAGCTCATTTTTAAGGGTAGTCGAAGAGCGGAAATTGACAATACAAATAAAATTTGGGCTAGAAGTAGGAGTTTGAACACGCCGTAGCCGTTGTGAGCGATAAGATTCGCCAACGGACTTCCAGCGAACACTGAGCCTGCTGGAAAAATGACGAAAAATTCTGAATAAAGAAATTGCTCAGCTTACAAGTTGCCACGAAGCTGATGAATGCCGAACAAGCTCCAGCGTTTGATGAGTTGCCGCATTGGGAGCCAATTAGGCACCAGATGTTGATTGAGCCGTTGACTAGGAATCCAGTGATGAATCCGAATATCGTTGCGAGAGACTGAAAAAAATATTCATTGGAAGGGGGGAAACAAAAGAATGACTGACCGAAATCTCGAAGACGCCAATCGCGCACAGCATCATTAGACACGAAAAAAGAACGCCGCTGAATTTTCGCGATGTGTCGACGCCGATTCGAGCCGAAAGACCATCGAGAAATAGGCCGGACGCGACTGTGCCAATCATTCTGCAAAATGTTGGTTCTGTGCTCTGGTAACTCAAAAAAAAATCGGTTCAACCTTATCCTATTGGAAATTCTACTAATAAGATTGTAAAATTGTAGGATCCGATTGGTTTTTCTCGGTTAACTCAAAATCCAATCGGATCCGTCAAAATTTGGCTCCGGAATCAACCGTATCCGATTGATATTTTGAGTATTCCGATTGGTTTTGAGCTACCAGAGTTATTCTAATCCGGTTTTTTTTAATTTTTCAATTCCTGTCGTCAGAAAATTTTTAAAATTGGCTCATTTACAAATTCAGAAAATGCAAACTTTTTTTTCAAACATTCTAGAACAGCACCTATAAAAATAAATTTCAAAAAAATTCTCGAATATTTTTATGACCTTTTTGACTCTTATTTTAAAATTCTTTCTATTTTGACAACAAACACAACACACAAAAAATGCAAAATTTGATTTTTTTGGGGGGGGGGCAATAACTCACCCTCCAAGCTCATAGGCTACTTGAAAACCATCTGCGGACATTTGGTTGTCCGTTAAATATAACGGAATCCACGTTTCGCATATTGTGCGCATCTAGAATTCAAAAAAAAACACTCAACACTTTTTTTTCGAATTATTTTGTCGAAGACAGACGACTTCCAGATTAGCGCCAAAATTTGAAGGCGATTTGGCTGCGTATCCAATATCACAATACCCATTAAACGAGCATGCCAAAAAAAAATTAGATAATTTTTGAATTTCTGTCTGTCTTCAACATTTTGAATGTATTCCAAACCTCCATCGAGAAAAAATAAATCAACGCGATATGCCAAATCGCCGTCGATTTCACCACACCGCCAATTGCGCTCGCGTTCGCCTTTTTCTCGTCACCATCCACATTTCGAACCTCTTGCAGATCGAATCGAAGCAACCAGCGCGCAAAAGCGACCATGACGATGACGGCGAGCCCAAAATTGAGCTCGATGGTCCGCCAGTAGAAGTGTTTGAAGATTGGAAGAAGGAGACCAGCGAGCGTCGAGGCGCAACCGAGAATCGAGAACATTGTGGCGTATGAGGAATCATTGAACCACTAGAAGAAATCAGACAAATCGATTTGTTTCGAGCTCTACCGTACCCTCGCAATGCATTTCGTCGCGGGAACCCATCCAGCACCCTGAAGGCCTCCAATAAACAGCATAATCATTATAATCTGAGGGCAACTCGACGAGAATCCTAAAAAGCAACGTATTCAAGCGATTTTCTAACAAACAAAAAATCACCTAGACAAATGCTCAGTGTGGCGCATCCCAGCGAGCCCATCGTGAGCAGTTTGACGTTCGAGCTGCGATCGGCGGCGACGCCAAAAAACAATTTGCTCGCCGTCATGGCGGCCGCATGACTCGAAACAAGAACGCCTGAATTCGGTCATGGGTTTATTGGAAAACAAAATTACAACAAAAATTAAAACAAATGCAATAGGCAGATAGAGAGAAAGAAAAAAAACCGGCAAAAACCTGTGTGTGATGAAGGGAGGTGTGTGCGTGTGTGAAGAAAAAAGAAACACGATCTGTTTTGAGCCATTTAATATTGCACGTAACAAAAAAAAGCACATACATACATATATATTGATTACTATATATAAATATACCCTAAATTGCCTACTAGATATGTTTAAAGGGACACACTAAGAATCTGTGAGCGATTTTCGTTTCCGGATGACGTCGCAGAACATCTCGTAGAAGAGAAACGCGCAGCCCGAATTGGCGGCCGCTTTGATCTGGCTCGGCCAGAGGCCTTTGAATAGGCCGTACCAATCCTCGTTGCGGACCACCTGAAATTTTCGCGTTTCTTTTTCTGAATCTGTTTAGCACCACTATTGGGAAAAGCTTATGGGTTCTCTTTAAAAAGTGCTGATTTATCTTGAATTTCTGAAACCAAAATATTGATAGCTTTCGCTAAAATACTGATCTAATTTTTTTTTGGTTTAATTACCCAAGTTTGGGGTAAATTGACCTTCCCTGATGATGATCTAAAGATCGAAACGTCGGATAAAAACATTTAAACAGTGTGCAAGACAATTAAAAGGGTCCTAAGAAGATCTCTTCTACTTAACAATTATCCACACGATGCACTCAAAACAAGTCGCTCCACAACTAACAAAAAAAATAATTTGATATTATCACTATTCATCTGCGGACAATTTGAAGAATCAGCCCAAGTTACAATTAGTCATGAACTGCTTTGAATTTGCACAAAAAGTTTTCTCTTCAATTATCACAGTTCACTGAATGCATTTTTAAATGTGTGCAATCTTGCGTTCGCGTGTATGCACACTATTGCATTTTTCTTCCACTTTTTTTTTTTGAAAAATGTGTCCATATGAGCCGTAAATGGTCATTCCAAATGAATTCTCATCAACACCAATGCTCACCATTGCGACGGTCTTCAACAATCCCTTATTGTAATCACTGGTTTTTCCGAATCCGGTCCTCTCAAATCCCCGCATTTGCAATCGATGTCGGACCATGTCGAGCGGGTACAATATCTGCAAATTTTCGAAAAATGCTCGCCACATTCACCAATCGCGTTTACCGTTTTCGCCACCGTGCCCGCCATCGCGCCGCTGGTCAACGAAGCGGCCGACTCCTTCTCATCGAACGGCCACAATTCCATGAAGAAGTTGTACAATGAGAATTGCATTCCGGTGTAGGGCGCGATCTGGAATGCGCGACGACTGAATTACGCAACTCATAGCGAGGGTCGAACCTGCGCGACGCTGGGAATCCAACCGCGAAAGTAGCCGGCGACGCCTTCCTTCTGCCAAATGTATTTGATGGCGTGCCCGGTGCCGGTGTAGACGACACTTCCCGACTTTTGCGCGACGAGACGCGTTCGGATGACGTCAAGCGGCATCGCGGCGGTCATCGCGAGGCATCCGCTGAGCGCGCCGCAAGCAAAGTCCGAACTCGAACGTAAAGCTTGATCATCGTTGGGGAGGTAGAAGCCGGCCTGAATCGACAATTTCGGAATTGTCTTCGAGTTGCCTGACCTGTCTCGAAAGCCATTCGAAAGACGAGAACTGCACGAGACCGTACATTGCTGAAAGACCTTGCGCCGGAATATGGCCCTTCCAGAAGGCGGCGGCGCCCTCTTCTCTCGCAATCAAGAATATCGACTGAAGGACCCCTTTGTATTTGCCTGAGGTCTTGCCGCGAATCGGCTCTTCTTGCAATTGGAATCTAATTTTGAGCACATCAAGCGGTTGAATGATGACTCTTGTCACGATGCCCGACAAGAGACCGGCTTCGCTACAGGAATCCATGAATTTGCATAAAATATGCCGAAACGATGGTTACCTGTATTCCGCTGAAGTCAACGGCAGCTGCCCATTGATCGGCTCTGGATGGTATCCGACCATATTTCAATCATTCGACGATTTATCGCATCTATGTGGTGCTGGTCCAACGAAACTGCGATCAAAACCAATAATGCAACGATTGCAATCACAACAGCGAATTGGCACAGAACGCGACAAGACAACAAAAACGACAAAAATAATGGTGTTGCGAAAAAAAAGAAGAAAGAAAGAGCAAAAAAATAATTGTTCACACGCCTCCCTTCAAAAAAAAAACATTCTCTCATCAACTGTTAAAAACGTACCGATTTCGTCGTTGTCGAGCTGGATTTCTTTGCGAATTTGCGCCAGAAACACTATCGGCAGTCGTCGCGAAAGAACATAGGCGACATAAATGCAGAAGACTACGGCGAATTTGACGAAGATGCTCATGAGGGGGGAAAAATCACAATAACTGAACGTTCGAATGCATTTGTTTTCGATTGGAACAAAGAAATGAAAGAAACAATTAAATGTTAGAAAACGGAATTGTTTTGTTTTGTTTTTTAATATTGTTGGTGAAATAAAATTAAAAAGAATTATGCACGCGTTTTACGCTAAGCTCAAGAAACTGGCTCATTTTGAAATGTGTGCGTATTTGCGTCAATTGTACTGTCTGCGGAGTTCAAATTTCTTTTCATTTTTTTTTCTTATTTTTAGCGAATTTTTGCATTTAATCCAAAATAATTGATTTTTTCAGAGATGTCGCATACAGTAGAAGATGAGGAAAATCCTCCGTTCCAAAACACAAAATTGTTCGGCTTGTTTAAAGTGAAAATTTTAATTTTTTTTATTATTGTTGATGTATTTAATTGAAATGGCAGAATCCTGATCCTGGCTTCACTCAAACGGGAATTTCCATGTTCACGAATTTCCTTCTAACCAATATGTTCGTATACGGACTAACAGGGCGCGCAAAACTCGCCTACCTTCTCGGCGTGGCCACAATTCCGATATCCGTCGTCGTCAGTGTTCGCGATTCTCAAAAAGACTACGAAAAATGGAAAGAGATGCGAATTTTAAAGCTAAAAGGAGTTCCAGAAAGGTTAAGCTTCAAATTTTAACGCAATCAAAGTATTCACAAATTCCAGATTCATGCCATACAAGTGTAAATATGATTGGACAGATTTCGATCAAGGGAAGAATAAAAATAAATGATATGGCTTAAGGATGACTGAATAGTAAACACGGAAGTCTTTCATAGATATTTAATAAATTATTCGGAAAAAAAACACACAATTTTCAATATTTATGCAATAACTGGAAAATTATGCTTAAAACCCCAGACAAATAAATAAAAATGACCAACTAATTAGTAGAAAACGCGGCGATAACTTGAATATCGAGACTTATTTCAAAAGCCGTTCGATGGCATGAACCGTAATTGGGTGCATGTTCGGGATATTTGCTTTGAATTGCTCAATCGCGCGATTTCGAGTCAAACTCCACTCAAACAAACCCCTAAATGTCGAATTATTTCAGAATTTCTGTCTATTTCTCACTTATAAATCGGTTTGCAGTACTTCATTCGTCCAATATTCAAAGCGAACGCGAGACTCGCTTCAATAATCGGCTCCCATTTCGTGTCAAGACCCAACATGAGCCATCTGAATCGCAATTCGGCATTCTTCGCCTCATCGAGCTTATAGACCGATGTCAACGACGGCATCTGATCGCCGAACGTCTTGCGATTCACTCGAATCGTGTCAAGAACGGCGAGTTTTTGCGAATTGGACATTTTAAGGAATTCCGAGCCATCAGTTGGAGTTGGTCCTCCAGAAGTCCACTTCGCGGCAAGCTCCTTACAAGCAAGCATCAAACTTGAGTCATATTGCGGCTTCGGCGGGATTCCTGGCTGATTCAACCACAATTTCCAATCGACTTGATCCAAAATTTGCCTCTTATCGGTGAAAAACCCATAAAGAGCTTCTTTCCATTCCTCGGTCGACACTGATTTGTACGAAAATCTAGAAGCAGGATTTCGAAAAACCGGACAAAATCGCCATACGTTTTGATATACTCCCTCAAAAATTGCTCGAATCTCGAATTATCTCCCAATTGTTGCTCGATGGTGAGCAAGAATGCCGATCCTTTTTCATAGGGAATCGAGCTGAATGCCTCATCCGGATCAGCCGATCCCAAATTTTGGATCAACTTCGTGTATTCGTGATCGGCACCCCAAACCTCATTGACAGTTTGGACAAGCGTTTCCTAAAACGGATGAATTTCAATAACAGAATATTGATTAAAAATGTCCCCTACATATCCGCTTTCGCTTTCAAATTGCCGCTCTTTCTCGCTGTACATTCGTCCGTGAATTTTTCGCTCAAGGAACACCGTAAAACCCTCATTAAGCCTTAAAAATTTGACGATTAGTTTAAAGACGCAAACACCATTCACCAAAAATGCTCCCATGAGAAGTTGGTGACCAAATTTCCCGTCCAGCTGTGCGATATTTCATGCGCAATCACGTTGACCAATGAGCGATCGCCAGCCTTTAATGGATTTTCGTTCAAAAAAATTTCGGATCTAAAAATATTCATACCAAGAGGGTCGGCGTGACGAACGTCAAACACGGATTCTCCATTCCACCGAATGGGAACGTCGACGGAAGCACGACGAGATCGTATCTGCCCCACACATAGGGTCCGGCGAGGTCTTCAGCGATTTTCAGAATCTTCTCGGTCTCGGCGAACTCGAAAGAAGCGAGTTCGGCTTGCGACGGCTCCGCCCACACCGAACACCGATCGCTGATCGTCTTCTGCTCGAGATGGCCGACGACGATTGCCAGCAGGTAGGCGGGAATCGGGACGGGCTGCTTGAAATTGAAGAACGCCTTGTCGCCGACTCTTTGCGAGCTGCCGCCGATCGCCGACATCAAGCAAGTCAAATCGCGAGGCACGGTGACCTGAAAAAGAAAAAAAGTGGAATTCTGGAAAATGAGGAAAAAAAAGAAAAACCTTAGCTTCATAAGTTGATTTGACGGATGGCGTATCCATACAAGGGACGATCGAGCGAGCATTGATTGCCTGACATTGAGAGAAGAGGTACGGTGCCTAGAAAGCGATCTTCATAGAAAAGCAACAAAACAATGTTCAACCTTCTTATCGGTAGTTTGCTCTTTTGTGAGAAATTGCAAAGCGGCCGCATTTTTGCCGGTCTCGTAGTTGATGGTGACCTTTCTACAAACAAAAATTCGGCGTGATTCTTGGAATTTCTAAACGAAAGCGATTTTACACTTGATCTCCCGGATTCAACGCGTCCGTTGAGATGTTCAATTTTTGCCCGAGAGCCTCGTTATCCTCGATGGTGAATTTTTGAGCGTTTCCACCAATGCTCACTGTGGAAATTGACAAATCTCGAATATCGAGCACCTGGAAAAAAATTTAAAACATTTTTTGGAACAAAAAATATTTGACTACAATTTTGCTCGTCGCTTCCTTGACCTTCAAATCGATGTCGACGCTTCCGCGAATTGCCGATTTGTCAAAATCAACCTCCCATTTAAGGGAATAATGGGAAACGGTGATCTCCCGGTAGTTTGAGCCAGTCGACGGGTCCAATGGATGAGGTGGTGCCATACCTTAAAAGGGACTCAGTCAGCAAATTCTTAAAATTTTTAAAAATATCATGAATTAAACATTTCAATTAACAGAAAATATCAAATACTCACTAGAACATCACAAATAATAAATATTTATTATTAATTAAAGCTCTTTTTTTTTTCCTTTCACCACCCGGGAATATCAATAAATGCAATAAAATGTTGAATAATTGTTTAAATGCCAAAATTATGATTTTTTGACAAGTTTTGCAATGACAATATCTTCAGCAAAGTAATCTTCGTCAAGCTCTTCTTCAGGAATTGCGACAATATTGAAAAATTGTTTAATTTTCTCGAAAAACATTGTTTGCGCTTTAAATGGTTCGCCGATGTCGCGCTTCTCGCTGACTATCAAAATTTCTTTGGCGCAACTTTTTCGAAAAAATTCAATTAATGCGTCGATTGATGAGGTATAGTAGATGCAGTCGACGGCGAGGATCAAGTCGAGATCGTTGGGAGCCTCATTCTTCGTCCAGTCGAGTGGTTCGGCTTTTATTTGATTCTCGACGAGACTCTTGTTCTTCTCAATGTTTTTTTCAAGAAGGGGCATTCTTTCGGGAAGATCTGTTGCTGTCACCTCGGCTCCGAGAGCGGCGAGCACCAGACTACACACGCCGGTTCCTGAACCGAGCTCGAGGACCTTCAAATATTTACTTTTTTTTTTAAATCATTCTTGATGAAATTGATTATTTCACCTTCTTTCCGCTATACAGATCGGGGTGCTTGAAAAAATAGTGGATTGTTAACAATGCACTATCCCAAATCACACCGCCCACGTCGGTGAGAATTTCCTTGAATAAAATCAATTAAAAATTTGTTTTGCTATTTTTCTGTGAAACCTGATATATTTCCAATTCTTTTGGTTCGTTTTCTGAGTTTCGGAAGCATATTGTACGTGGATAAACGCTTGAAGAATCTAAAACGTCCATAAGCCTGAAAATGCTTTTTTTGGAAACAAAATGTCGTCAATTAAAATGCACTGTTCGGTTTAGTATTCCATGCGAGACCAAATTATTAATGAAAGATGCGTCTTTGATTAGCACGGTACATGATTTTATTATTTCTTATTTTCACATTCTTGATTTTCCAGAAATTCTAGCGAAATTTAAAAAAAAGAATACGTACACTTTTTCAAACTTAATTAGATTTTATTCGCCATCAATTTTTTCATTTTAAAAAGGTTTATTGTAATTAATAATTGAACGAAGGTTTAATAAAGCATATCGCCCTCAAAAAAGCTATAAAAACTGCAATTAAATAAAAAAAAAATGTGGATGCAATTCCGTATTTCCGGCTACTAAAGGTTGCAATATTGCTCTATTGCACACGAAATTGGAATTGTGCCAAGCAACGTGTTTTATTTATTTAACGGTGATTCAATGGTGTGCGAACCTCACAAATTATCGTTTTCGGCCAATTAAATAAATTTGTTGAAATTTGCTTGCATCACGGAGAACCCCCTCCGAATTATCCAAAGATTCTTGCAGCGAATGAAGGCCCTGATTCTGGTAGGCGGCTATGGGACACGTCTACGACCGCTGACCCTAACGCAACCGAAACCATTGGTGGAGTTCGCCAACAAGCCAATGATGCTTCATCAGATGGAGGCGCTGGCGGCCGTTGGCGTCGATATTGTGGTGTTGGCGGTGAGCTATCGCGCCGAGCAGCTCGAGCAGGAAATGGCGGTGCATGCCGATCGGCTAGGCGTCAAATTGATATTCTCGCTAGAGGAAGAGCCTCTGGGAACAGCGGGACCACTAGCATTGGCGAGGTTATTCATCGAATTCAGGCGTTTTGAAATTTTTCGAAAAATCTCGATTTCAGAAAGCATCTCGAAGGCGATGAGCCGTTCTTTGTGCTTAACAGTGACGTCATCTGCGATTTTCCGTTCAAAAAAATGATCGAATTCCATAAAACGCATGGTCGTGAGGGGACGATTGCCGTCACAAAAGTCGAAGAGCCGTCGAAATACGGTGTGGTGGTGTTCGATGAGAAGAATGGCAAAATCGCCGAATTTGTCGAGAAGCCCCAAGTACGCAAAATGCAAAGCAATTTGAGAAATTCCGCAATTACGACAACCTTCTTAAGGAATATGTTGGAAATAAGATCAACGCGGGCTTGTACATTTTCAGTCCGGCGATTCTCGACCGAATTCCGCTTCGCCCGACCAGCATTGAGAAGGAGATATTTCCGCAAATGGCGTGCTCGGAGAATCTGTTCGCCTACGTCCTGCCGGGCTTCTGGATGGACGTTGGCCAACCGAAGGACTTCCTTAAAGGGATGTCGCTGTTTCTTGCGCACAAGCAAGAGACCAATCCGAATGAGCTCAACACCGGCGCTTCAATTCATCCTTCGACGGCAATCGAGGGAAATGTTCTAGGTTGGATTCGAAAAATTGTTGAATTTTTCTGTATTATAGCCGATTTCTAGTTGACCCAACCGCGACAATCGGCGAGAATTGCGTCATCGGGCCGAATGTTGTAATCGGGCCACGTGTTCGCATCGAGAAAGGCAACTGCATTCGACAAACCACGATTCTTTCGGATACTGTAAGCGATGGATTACTGATGATTTCATGGAATCCGACTTTTTTTGTAGACGATCAAAAGCTTCTCATGGGTTTCTGAGAGTTTGATTGGAAGGAAATGCTCGATCGGAAGTTGGGTTCGATTCGAGAATAATTGTGTGATTGGAGACGATGTGGTAAGTTTGAAGCAAAAAAAATTAATTTTGAATCAATTGGCTAGTTAAAATGAGAGTGTCATAGCAGAAACCCGAAAAACTGAAATTTATTACGAAATCGCAAAAAAGAATAATTCGATATCAGATTTTATTCGATTTGGTTTGAAAAAAAAAACATTTTTTATTAGAAAAACTTAAATTTCCGAGAGGTTCATACAAATTTAATTATATTTTAAAAAATTTATTCAAAATATTAGTTTTTACTATTCGTTTGTTATCAAAAAACTTTTTTTTTTCAAAAAAAAAATGAAGATTGCGAAAAATAAATTGTTATTGCTAGATTTTTTCGCAATTTTTTACCACCATTTTTGAAGGTTTTAGTTCAAAGCTTGAATATTTCCATAATAATTTTATAGCCATCTTTGAAATTTCCTAAAAATCACAATTTTCAGGTTGTGAAGGATGAGATTTATTTGAATGGAGCTCGCGTTCTTCCACACAAATCAATAGCATGCAATGTTCCGGAACCCGATATCATCATGTAATTAACAACATTCCAAAAATCAATCATTTTGTTTTCTATTTATTTATTTATAATATTCAAACCCTAATCAAATTTTCTAGTGTTTAAAAGTGTGCCAAAAAAACCGACAAAAAACGTGATGAGTTGATTTTGTTTTGTGATTTTCTTTCCATTTTTGTTGCATTTCATTTACTACCATTTTGTGTGTCTTTAAGGATTTTGGCGGGAATTTCAAACACTCACTTTCCAATTTAAAACAATATATTCTTGGTTTTTGTATTTGTTTCAGCGTTTTCTTTTTCTTGTTTCATGGGTTACTCGTTTTCGTTTTCAGCCAGGAATTTCCGATTTACTTGTTGTTGCCAAATAATTATTAATAGTATTCTTATTTATTGCACCCTTTTTCTTTATTGTTTCTTTTTTCTGCAATTGAAATTATTTAAATAAAACATTTGGGAGAATGATGAGCAAGTTTTGGGCAGGTTCGATTCCTTTCACAATTTTTCTTTTCCATCGATGCCTGATTTCGACTCGCCTGGATTTCGTTTTCATTTTTCTAGGGTGTATGAGCTCATCGAGAGGATCGGCCTCATATGATCCGGAGGATTGGCTTGATATTGGCGATGGAGCATCGATTCCGAGCCTCGCATTGGATGATGTCCTCAATGAGGTATTCTGGAGAAGTGAAAAGCTGGAAATTTTAAAAGACTTGCGCGAAAGGTCAAATTTTTAGACCTATTTTTGATGGGGGACCCTCAACAATCTGTGAGGGCATTTAACGGACCATTCTTCCGCGAGATTCCATTTCCAACGGGGCCTGAAAGGAACCTCATCTTCGTTTTTTACTCCCAAAAAATTACAGAAATTTGTTAATTGTCTTTTTCGGAGCTTTTTGAGAAGCAAAAGCTTTTAAAAAATTGGAATTATGGTAGAATTGAGATTGTCGAAATTTGTGTTTGAGCCCACAAGGAATATGTCCGCAGATGAATAAAATAAATTTGAAAATATTGTGGTGAATTTGCGCATTGTTAATCAGGCAACGCGAAAATCAAAAAAATTCGAGAAAACGATTTGCAGATCGAACATCTAGATGAAGGATTGTCATTCACCGACGAGACGATCGTCGACGGCGACGTTTCGCCGATTCCGGAGATCTCATCCGAGCCGTCGGCTCTCAGCTATCAACTTGATTCGGCCGTCGTCGTTCATTCGCATCGTGAGCCGCCTTCTCATCGTCATCGCGTTTCAAATCGTTCATCATTCAGATTCGATTTCCCATCAAATCGCCTCGCTCAAATCGAAATCCGGCAATCCGGTGGCGATCGCCGAACGCAACGGAATAATCGCGGTTGGAACCAGTCGCGGTCATCTTCTTCTATTCGATTTAGACGTATCGCAATAAAAAATTGTTAACAGAATGCGATTCAGAAAAAATGTTCTAGGGCAAATTGGATCGGTATCATCAGAGCGATAGTGCGATGGGCTCGGCTTCATGCGTCGCATTTTCCTTAGATGGCAAGCATATCACGATTGGGTACTCGAAGGGCGCTGTCAAGGTTGGAAGTTGATACGATCCAAAGATCATTAGACGCTTCAGATCATTAGTGTCAGAACTGGCACCGTGCATCATTTGATACCTGAAGGCGGTCAGCCCGGTCTTGGAATCTTGCAAATATTGTACATTGCCGATTCTTCCTCATTTCTCACATTGGACACGGGCGGTTCGGTGTATGAGATTCGCGTTAGGACCAAGATAACAAGAAAGAAAGATTATTCGGTAATGGAGTCGCTGTGGATTATGACTATAATGGAATTAATTGTTCAGATCAAATGCATATTCTCTGGATGCAACGGAGAAGTGATCAACATTCGATTGTTGCCCAATTCGATGTTGGCCCTTCTAACCGTCTCCAAGGTTCGCAATCAATCCACAAGATTGATTATCGATTTTTGCGAGTTTCAGCTGCTTCTCGTCTCGACGCGCTTCGGCGGAAGTATTCTCGGCGCGTTTCCATTGAATCACTCCTACACATGCCCGCCATTGTTCGCCTATTGGCTCGGCGGTCACGCGCAGCCGTCGTCGCCGCTAAAATCGCTGACGGCTCGCTCGTTGCGCGACCTCAAAGTGTGCATATCGCGTGGCATCGAGATGGTGATTTTTCGGCTGCATGTCGCCAATTTTGGAACCAAACATGTCAGGCGATCATCATTTTTTTTTTCGATTTTCAAGCTCCTCCTTATTTGTTTTAGAAGTCTGCCACGTTGCACCGAAAAATTCGCCTTCCCGTGCCCATGGTGAACTTGCACTGGACGACGGCTCACCTGATTGTCGGAATTGATGAGCATGGAAGTGTTTGGCAGGTCGGAAAAAACGTGAACAATTCCAATTATGGAATGGTTTTAGATCGAAACTGAAAAAGGCAAATGCGAAAAGGCGATGGTCGATCAGCTCGAGCTGATTTTTGCGACATCGGATTACAAGGTAGCAGCGTCATCTCGATTCGAATCGCAACAATCATGTCAGCTTTAGGGTCTCGCCACCGGCGGACGCGTTAGCGAAGCGATGTGCTGCATCGCCGAGATGGCGTGCTTCCAATCAATCACCAACGCCACATCGACGTCTCATCGATTCATCGTGCTCGCTCATGATGGATTGAAGATCATTGAGAAGGTGTCCGATTGGGAGCAGCTTGAACGCTTCCGAGAGCGGTATTCGGGCGCTTTCGTTCAAAAAATGAGTTTTTATTTTTGGTTTTAGCGATGACGAGATCTCAGCCGCGCTATTCCTTCTTGACGTCGTCCGCAAGAAGGTCAAAGCTAGCGAATCGTTCAACGACGAGGCCAGCGAGCAGCTACGCCACTCAGTTTACAAGCTTCTCGATATTACCATGAATGGATATCGCGAGGGACGGGTGGCGCAACTCGCCGCCCATTATAAGGTTTTGTTTTGTTTTGTGTATGCCACGTCATCGATTACGGTATCTCAGAAGTACATCAGAATTTTGTTGCACGTGTGCATCACTGGAAAAATGTTCGACATCCTCTATGACGACGTTTGGAATCGCGTCAGCGCCGATTTGATATCGAGAAATATTCTATTGGAGTCGATCGATGAGTATGTGCTCGATGGGGCTCTCGTTGAGCCGCCGCCGACGATTGTTAGCGACTATTTGCAATATCTATGTAAGAACGGAATTTGTGGAAAAAATTTGAATTTCGCGCGTTGGGATCTCCTGCTCGTTTGTCTAGAAAATGCCAATCCGAATTAAATTTTTCCGTACAAGACCCAAGGCCGGAATTCAAACGAAAACTCGTGTGCTCCTAGAGGACTTCACAAATTTCAGCCTCGGAGGGACACTTTTCGCAATTTCAAGCCGCCGTTGTCCGATTCCCGATTCACTCGATTGATTTGCACAGTGTATAATGATGACATCGTCGAGACCTCTCGCCGTCAACGAATCCGATTTTGCAGGTGATGTCGATATGCCGCCAAAACGGCCTCTATGATGGTATCATCTATGTGATGAACAACGCGTTGAACGACTACATCTCGCCGCTCGAAGAGATGCTCAACGCGATTCGTGAGTTCGCCTCGCACGAGGTGCTCACCGATAATCAAGTTGGCGCCGGCAATCGCCTCCTCGTCTACCTTCAATGCTGTTTGGCTGGACGCGGCTATCCCTATGGGACAATTAATGATCCTCATGTTCCTTTGGAGGTATGCGGAAGCCGACGGGACGATTCTAATTCTTGAACGCTTCTAGGTTTATCGATGTATATGCTCGCTGAAGGGGAAGGATGGAAGCGGTTCCGAGGAGAGCTATCCGAATCTGCGGCTTCTGTTGGACTTTGACGCCGAGTCTTTTGTGCAATTGATCACCACATGCGCCGACGAGACGCTGTTTCAGACCGATGGCCGATTGCAGCGCATCACTGATACGGTAGGCAAAACTCCAGCATGATTCATTCATGGCGTCATCGTTTGCAGATCGGTCTGGTGTGTGTCGCGATGCGCAAAGAATCGCCGCTGTCGCACTTCCTTCGGCTCGTCGTGCAGCTCACTGAGCGATCGCTCATCGTGCCGCCGGTCGAATTGGTGCACGACGTAATTATTATTATTATTTTGCGAGAACACGGTAGTTGAGAAACAATTTTTTTAGGCGATAATTTCGCTATTGCGAATTGCCACGTGGCAACACGTGTCCACAGAATCGTCGATTCTCAGCGCGCTTCGAGCGGTGACGAATTTGGATCGAAATTTGATATTGCGCGCGGCACATTCGCCGATGAGGTATTTTTGCTTCGTCTCGAGACCCCGCTCGAAAATTGAGGCGATGCGCCTTTAAATTTTGTTTTTGTTTTTCTCTCGATAAACAACATTTGTTTAGAGCGTCGATTTGCACATTAATCTATCTTGGCGAGCGCAAATTCGTCGAGCTGATCGAATGCTATATATTATCGAATCAATTGAAGTCTAGCGAGGTTTTTGCATCGATCACGCAGATTCTCGAGAAGTGCGATATGGATTCGGAGGAGGCGAAACGATTCAATGAATATGTTCGCAAAATTTTGCCGGTAAGAAATTTTTGACCAATTTTTTTTGCCAAAATCTCGTTACTATTTTTTTTTCTCTTGTTAGACACTCATCAGAATCGATGCGCGAAAAAGTGCGAGACTCATCATTGACAATTTTGCCGACTACATGAAGAAAATTGCGGGCGATTCGCATCGAATGTCGAATTTCGACGTTATCAACGCGATTATGCTGATCAGGTTCGATTCGTTAGTCCTCAATCGATCATTGAAGGTGTTGTTTAGGCGAGAGCAGAAGCAGATGTTCATTTGCTCCGACGAGGAATTGGATGAGAAGTTATTCGGAATTGTGTTCGAAGGGATTTGCAAGAAATGGATCCGTATTGCGAATATTGACGAGCATTTGATGGTACATTTTGTTTCCCTCTTATTTTCGAATTGTAAAATCAAATTGTTGATTAAGGATTTGTTGGCGTTTTGGCTGCCGACCGGGTCTCGCAACGATTTCTGTTTGAACCAGGCGGTCGCCAACGGCGAATGCGTTCGAACGGTGGTGTGCTTACTGGAAGCCAGACAGCACACGCAGCGAGCATTTGAGGTGCTCTTCGAGCAACTTGTCAAGTTTGCGGGATTCGACGACGCGCAAATCGGTTAGCCAAAAATTAATAAGCTATTATTTCTTTTTTTCATTGGGTCTCGCATGGAAAATGAACTTGGCGCGAGTTTTCGAGATATCATAACTTCAAAAAGCATAATTTTTTAAAAAGAATTTTAAATTTTTTCTGACAGCCGGCGAAATTCAAATTTGAAACATTGGGAAAAAAATCAACAAAAAAAGGAAATTTTTTGATTTTTCAAACTTGTCGTTTTGCAGTTTTTTGGCTCGACGAGCTCCTCGCGTTCTGCTCGCGACACTCGAAAATCGCCAACGAATGGCTTTTGCGTGTGTTTCGATTCATTGCCGCCCAATCGGAAGCGAGCACGCTTCCGAACATCAAAGCGCGCCTCCACTCGCTGACGATGCGAATCATCGAGAGCGGCACCGAGCACGCCGCGCAATTGCTCGAGTCGCTGTTGGAGTGTCCGTCGTTCGCCGACTCCGCGCACAGGTGAGTTCAGTTCGTGTCGAGACCCCGCATACGTTTTTCGTTTTGTTCCAGTGAGCATCAAGAGCTGTTGCACTTTATCTTCACCTCTTGCAACTACGAAAACACCCTTCTAGCGAATTTATTGAATGTCGTGGTGAGACCTTAGCTTCTGGTTTTTTTCCTCTATGAATGCGATGTTCTAGAATTCCGAATCCTCCGAATACAATCGAATCTTGGAATCTCAAATTGGGCTCAGAGGTGAGCTCATCGTCGACCATCAGTGTGCCACGTGCTCGGGACCATTCAACAAATCTGTATATGCGTTTAGGTGCTTTCACACACACACACACACACACACACACACACAACGTTCCGATTTGAAGGACCATTTGTTTTTTGCAGATGTGGTCATTTGATGCACATTGAATGCGTGAATTCGAATCGAAAAATTTGCGAATGTGAAGATTTGGAGGATCATGAGCCGCTTCGGCTGCTTCCCCGCCAACTGCCCCCCAATAGACCGCCGAAAAAGGACATATTCGCTGAATGGAACAATCCGCTTGATCTGAAACCTGCCAATTCGTAATTAACTACTTAATTATATCCATAATTGCATATCATTATTGCCATGTCTGTGATATAGGTGCTATCTCTTGTGTGTGTGCCAAATAGTTTTTTTTTCAATAATTCTTTAATAAATTTCAATCTTGCCAACTAATTAACGTCAAATTAATTGAAGTGCTCTTTAGTTTGAAATGGATGCCGAGCTGAAAATTTTGATAATAAAATTGTCAACTTGGCGAACACGCCAATTATCGCGAACACCTCATGCGAATGATCAGTTAGCGATTTTATAAATCTATGTGCTGCGGTCACGAGAATGATACAATGAGGTGAGATGATCAGCGCATGTTGATTGCCTTGAATATTTCGGATTCAGCGCTGACGACGATTATCCGCGTGTTGCTCCGTTCCTTTCCACTGAGGGATTGCTCAATTGTCCCGTTGAGCGACCGGTCTTCATATTTTCGCCAACCGCTTATCACAATATAAGGCTTATCGAAAATTGCAAACGAATTTTTGAACGTCTCGATTTCCTAATTTTGTAAATGCGTTTCCCTGTATAACCAGAAAAATTCAATTTTCAGAAAAAATAATTTACACCGGTTTCCATGTTTGATTTTACAAGCTGGCTCCCAGGCCACGATGAGATTGGCGTGCAAATTCCGATTGCGCGCTGATTGGAATACTACTGTTGAAATACCGTTTTGCCTATATATTACCCAAGTAAGTTTTTTTTTTCATTTTCTAGAAATTAACGAAATTTCGATTTAGAATGGATGCTGCTCCCGTGAACTAGATTTTGAAGATTTAGATAAGCAAGAAAAATGGTTTTTGATACTCGAGGAAGTATTGGCACCTTTTGATAGATTAGAGCACCGCTATTATCCAATTATTGCACCGCATCAAATGAACAAAGTTGTTAAGGATATTCTTTCAGTAAGCATTAGACAAAAATTGATTGAAAAAATTGAATCTTCAATTCAGAAATCTAAAGTTTCCCCTAAGCCTTCAAGCGTCATGAGTGAAGAAATCTCTGACTACGATTCTCCTAATAGTGACTCTTCGTGATTTATATTATAACTACTGACTAATTATTCTGTTCTGTTTTATATCTGATAAATGATTTCATAACAATTTTTTATGTAAAATAACCAACAATCAGATACATCTTAGTCCTTTTGGTGCTTGATGACCTTGTTCACAATATTCTGCTCTTCAACGAGGAAAGCGCGGGTGATTCTTTCCTTCACAGCATTTGGCGACAAGCAACCTCCATAAGCACGGCTGACAGTTCTCTGGTTCTTTTTCAAAAGGGTAAGAGCACGTGGACGGGCGGGCGTAAGCTGAAAATTAAATAAATGTAAACGAAGCAATATAAAACGGTATTCTATTTTAAAATCTTACTAAAAATAATGCAGCGTTCAACCAGAAACAGAAGTTCGGAAGTATAAATTTATTAATTTTTTAAGTGACCAAATCATTAATTTACGAAGTATCGTAAATGCTTGAAAAATTTCGGTTCGTTCAAAAAAAAATTATTTTTCGACAACTAAGTACGTCGCTTTTGAATAATAGTGGTAAAAGAAACATACTCCGTGGAGCTTAACTCCGGTGTCTTTGCAGACTGGGATCTGTCCGCGCTTCTTGATGTACTGAACAACAAGACGACCTCCTGGGGTCTTGACGATGCGCTTCTTGTTAGACTTAGTGTTGTACGAGAGACGGCGTCTGTAAGTGACCCGGTTCGCCATTTTACCTGAAGAACCGCTAATTAAAAATGATGTTAGAAAATTTTAAAGAAAATAGACGAACTGGGCAAAACGAGAACAGAAGTAATCATAAAATTATGAATTTTCAATGTCTAAAACGTAATTTAACTAATTATATACTGCTTCAGCGAAAATAATATAACAGAATAGGTTTTTATACGACAACGAGAAGAAAAAAAATCATTCCTTGTTTTAAACGAAAGTTTTTAATAAAATTAACAAATAAATTAGTGGAAATACATAGGAAATTACTGAAATAAATAAAAATTCAAAAAAACTACTGCAAATCAACGTAAAATTTTCAAAAACCTATTAGGCCGGGAAAAAGAAAAGCAAAAATAGCAAGGAATGGAGTCTTGCGGCAGAGGGCGGACTACGGTAACACAAGGTCATGTGTGCGACTCTCGTTGTTGATTTACGCGAGTGCGTGAGAAAAATGCGCGTCGAAAAGTAGCTGCAGGGGAATCGATATAAGCTAACGATGGAGCCGTGCAAGGGAATTAGACTATTGGCTCTTGGTGCGGGCGGGGGGGGGGTTAACATTTTTCAGATTTGTATAGCGTATAATTAAATCGCACTCATTTCGAGGAAATATGCGGCTGCAAATGCCGCTAGTCGAATCAATCCACCTTCCATTTTTGCATATTTTCCGCAACACCATCACACGCCCGTTTTTCAGTGTTCGCGAATGGAGACGGCCGCGCGAATAATGGCCAACGTCGTCGGTCGCACATCGACACAATCCGAGCCAGCGCAAAACGTCGAGCCCATCGTCGACGTGAGTGAACTCGAATTCCAAGGAAAATTGCGTCCGCGTAGGAATATTGCCGTGCGAATTGCCGCCCAACTCATCTGAGAACAAATTGCAGAAACCATCGAAAAACACGATTATCCCTATTTTCGTCCGGAGTTTTTGTATTTCTGCACCGACGACATTGTCGTGTCCGCCGATCATTTAGTGCGTCCCGTCATTTGTCCAAAGTTTCCCGCGAGAATGCCGCTCTTCGCTGGATACGCGGAAGCGATTAATTCGGGTTCTCGACACGAAAATAAAAAAGCATTTTCAAAAAGAAAAAAACAAATTCGTCTAGGTAAAACGCTACTGAACGAGGATCAAGCGACCGCGAAAATGTTGCTGTTGACGACGGCGGTGCCGTTGTCGCCGGAGACGGCGAAAGCGGTTCTGAAGAAGCAAATGGAAGAGGACGATTTTCCGATTCTCTCGAAAACACCCAGAGTCGTTGAAGTTGTAGGAAATATGAAAATTACGATGTAATTCATCTGATATTTTGTTAGGACGTCGATTTCGGCCCGCGAGTTGAGGCCGCCTATTTCGGCATTTTCGACGGACATGCGGGAACTGCCGCCGCGATTTTGGCAAGCAAATCGCTTCATGAACACATCAAAGTCAAATTTCATTCCAAAAACCAAACAATGAATCACACAATTCAAATTTCAGTCAAGATTAGTCGACGCGCTCGACCATATTTTGACGCTCGACAGATTTGAACGGCACGAGCTCACCAAGCGGCGTTCCGAATCATCATACAGTTTGAGCTCGGTTTCCTCAAAATTGAGCCAAATGAATCATGCTGGAGTTGCAGACTTGCTTCGATAAAGTGCGAATCGAAAGCGAGGAGCTGGTTAAAGGCGCATTGGAGACCGCGTTTCTCGACATGGATGATTGCATTAAATTCGATAAAGGCGTTTGGAAGCTTCATGGAGGTTGCGCAGCGATTGTCGTTCTAGTGTTCCTCGGCAAGATTTACGTTGGTAGGAATGACGGAAAAAACGCGAAATGTCCACTAATCGCAATTTTTGCAGCGAATGCCGGAGACTGCCGAGCGCTTCTCGTTTCATCGCTCATGACGCGCCAACTATCGCGCGATCTCACACCGGCCACCGAACGCAAGCGACTTCAGGAGATCGCCTTCCGCAAACCGGAGCTTCTTGGCAACTCGTTCACGCGTCTCGAATATTCTCGACGACTCGTTCGAAAGGATTTGAACACCCGGGTGTTGTACAGGTCTCGCTTCGTTCTTTTCGTTTTTAAGATTGCAATAAGCTAGGGCTTCAGGGATTGGTACATGGATGGCTGGTCAACGAAACGAGTTGACGAGTTGGATCTCAGGACACCGATGATCACCGGCGCCACTCACAAGAAGCGTCTATTGAGCACGATTGGCGTCACAAGAGGGTTGGGCGATCAGACGCTGAAGACCGCCGTCGATAAGCTGCCGATCAAGCCGTTCCTCTCGGCGGTGCCAGAGATCAGCGTATTCAATTTGCGGGAGCTCGACTCGATCAATTATCGCGACGTGATCATTCTCGCTTCCGATGGCTTCTGGGATGTGATGACGAATGAGGACGCGAGCTTGATTGTGAGAAGCTCGCTGGGCGTCTCGGATTTCTCGGATCCAAATAGGTTTCAATAAATGTGGTTGCTCGAATCATCGTGAATTTAGGTACACATTGGCGGCTCAAGAGCTCGTCATTGCTGCAAGAGGCACGCCGCATGCGAAGAATACCCATAAGTGGGTGATGGCATCCGGCGGAATGGCGTCGCACGACGACATTACTGTCTTCGTGATTCCGCTCAAGTATTGTGCGGCGCCGCCGAATAATCTTGAAGAGTCTGATAATGGAGAAATGAATAATAACGACAACACCATGGAAGCCAAAGAAGACGCCAAGAAGAAGGACGTCAAGGAAGACGCGGTGACCAAGGAAGACGATGTCAAGAAGGACGAGGTCAAGGAACAAGAAGTCACTGAAGGCGATGTCAAGAAAGACGAGGACACGAAAGACGATGTCAAGAAGAACGAGGTTAGGGAAGACGATGCCAAGAAGGACGAGGTCAGGAAGGATGATGTCAAGGAAGATGATGTGAAGAAGGACGACGTCAAAGAACAGGAAGTCACCGAAGACGATGTCAAGAAGGACGAGGTTAGGGAAGACGATGAAAAGGACGAGGTTGGGAAGGATGATGTCAAGGAAGATGAAGCCAAGAAGGACGACGTCAAGGAACAAGAAGTCACCGAAGACGATGTCAAGAAAGACGAGGTCATGGATGGCGTCGTCAAGAATGAACCAAACGAAACAAGTTGATGAGAAAATTCTTGCGATGATTTCTTTTTTAATAATCATAATATCAATAATAACAAATAATAAATATAATTATTGATTCTGGAAACTCAACGTGAACTTCTTCTTGAGTGCTGTGAGATTAATGAGATTTTTCGCAGATATCAGAACTCTGCCGGTGTCTTGATTGTAATTACCAGACGCCGTCACCGATTTTCCATCCAGCGTTAAGCTGCTGAACTTCGGACTATGCCGGTAGCCAAATATTTCGATAGTGTCCAAGGTTGGAGGCTTGACAGCCTGAACATCCGATTAATCAGATTAAATATGGGTCTATTGACGTACCGCTGAGCATCCTTCGCAATTTCCGCTGAACACAGCGCCAGCAACAGAATAGCTGAACGAGAATTGCCAGTGAAGCCGATTGTGCTTCTCAATGTCATTGTTGGGTAGGAGATCGTCGCCAGCGTCGAAATACAATTCGCCCTAAACTAATGAATTCATCGAAACTCCATGTGAACACCTCTTACAGATGAGATTGTGTTTGGTTTCACTGTGATAAGCACTTCAAACGGATTCAACCTTGAAGCAGTCGTGGTTGTGTTCGGAGCTTGTCTCGGAAGAACGAAGCCGCCTCTGACGAACACCGGCGTCAACGATGATAGCGGAGCATCAACATCATTGAAACCAGCGCTGATCGACATCGAATACTGCTCCGGCTGTAGGGAGTACCAGGTGTCCGACGGGAAGTAGGCGTGCACTTTTGATTGGCCTTTGTGAAGTGCTGGAGCGATCATGAGCGCCGAACCCCAAAGGAATTGCTCATCAATCTCCAATGTCTCTTGATCTTTGGGAAACTCGAAGAACAATGGACGGACGACGGTGTGGCCGTATCTCGCCGCGTTGTAATGAAGACTGTACAAATATGGAAGATAGTTGTATCGGAAGTTGAGCGCAATTTTCGCCGCTAACGCCACCGATGGCCAAACCGCCGGATCCTGAGCGGGCATCTCGATGCTGTTGTGGTTTCGCGAGAACGGCGAAAACGCGCCGAATTGATGCCAACGCAAGCAGAGCTCCTCGCTGGTGATGCCGTTGAATCCGCAAATGTCGGAGCCGACGTATGGTATTCCGAACATGTTGAACTCCATGACGCCGATCACCGACGTCTGCAGATCCGCCCATCTCGCCGTGTTGTCGCCGAGCCAATGACCGCCATATCTTCCCGACGACGGGAATGTGCTTCGAGAGATGACAGCGCCGCGTTTGCCGGTGACACGCGGCAACGCAAGATATGTCGCTCTCGCCTCACTCCATCCATAAAGATTCTTGGTGTCGTAGAAGTTGTGCGTTCGTCTCGCGGTTTTGCCAAGCATACACAACGTCTTTGAGCAAAGATGCTCGCCTTGGTGAAAGAAAACCGCTTCCGTCTCATATGGCGGCTTGTCCAATTTCGAATCCGGCCCTGAGATTGGACACGAGAGCTTGTCGGTGGCGAGATGACTGCTCACGCTGTCATAGGTGGTCGTGTCGAAATTCGACGGCTCGTTCATATCAATCCACATTCCGTCGAATGCAAGCTGCAACTCAGCTTATGAATATGTTTTACTTCTGATTAAAACATAGTCACTTTAAAAAAAGAAGAGACTCACAGAATTGGTCGTTGCAAGACCTTATGCGTTGCGGCTCGTCTGCGGTCACGTTTTTAAAACTTTCTTAATTTTTCTAGTTTAAATAGTTTACAATGGGACTGGAATCATTTTGAAAATCGAGATCAATATGTTCAGAAATACGTTTTTGGGACCGACCGTGCGCGAACCGCAACGCGTCTGACGACATTGAGATCCGCGTTTTTTTTTTCAAAAACAGCCTATACTTTTTTGTGAAACTCGGCAAATTCCACAGCCCACCAGTCATTCGTATTATTCTTGGTGTCAAGGAAGTCCGGGAACGCCGTGTTCCGCGCCGGCCACACATTGCCCAACATCGCCCGCGTGTTCTTCGCCATTGGGTACTTATCCTGAATGTTCCTTGGGATTTGCTCGTCCTTCGCCCATTCAATGAACGACGCGTTCTGAATTGACACAATGTTTTGGTGTTTCGAATGCGCTTTCTTACCATTGCCAACGCTCTTGAGAATGCGTCATAGTCGACTTCAATGGCGGGATCGAAGATCACAATGAGATGAAGGCCTTGTTTGTGGAGCTCAACAGCGTACGCCGGAAATCCTTTCCAATTGTCGCCTTCGGTGAAATCTTCATCTCCTCTCATATAATCGATATCCGCGTAGGGCACGTCAAGCGGAATGCCCAACGCTTGATTCCGAGCGATCACCGCCTTCATATTGTCGAGACTCTTGTATCCCCAACGGCACAGCTGATAGCCAAGAGCCCAATACGCTGGAAGAAACGGCTGGCCGATGTGCAGCAAATATTGATGGACAACGTCTTCAGGAGTGGGTCCCGGGAAGAAAGCGAGGTCCAATCGGCCGCCAATGGTACGATAGACGAGATGTGGTCCCGGTGCGGTTTCGACCTCTTGCGCGTTGCTGTTGAAAATCAACACACCGTGCGCTTTTCCATCGCCCTCAATCACTACAAGGAAGATATCATAGAAGTCACGAATGCGCTAGAAGTCAAACCCATATAGAATGGATGGACTCCGTAGAGATTCTGAGTGGAGAGATCAGATTGAGAATCCGGTCCAATGTCTCTGGCAAACATCGGCCAACGCGTGTAGCGGTCCATGTTGTGCTGAAAAGTTGCAAAGAAACAAATCGTCAAGATCCCCCCCCCTCGATTGGTTGCTTCTTCACACCGATAGACACCCAAAAGCACACACATGCGGCTCAACTCGTCGCGACCAGCTCCATTGTGCTGGCGAGTTTCAGGCACAATAGGCGCCTGTTGGCCACATCGTTTTTTTTTTTGGCCGGCATCTCCATCTCCTCCTCGAGTCGTCCAACTTGCGTGCTCGCGCAATGTGTTTGCCGAGCAGCCGTCCAACCGATGGTCAGCAAACTATTTTTTTTTGCAGGCGGCTTCGCCGGCATCAGGCACCCGTCAAAAACTACAGGTATGCGCGCGCCGCGCGCGCGGGTTTTCGCACCCCGCAACACAGTTTCCGGAAATGCTCGCGGGCGTCGGCAAAAAAGTTTCGAAATGCTTGCGCGTTGGGCGGAGTCGAGTTGGCGGCGCATATTTAAGCAAAATTGTTGCAAATCATTCATTCGGCGCCATCTTCTCATTTCTTTTCTTTGACATTCGCAAAAAAAATCGCTTACAGGTGCCGAAATGTTCTCCAAGATCCTCGCTACATCGTGCCTTGTGACATTGGCGCTTTCCGCACCGGAAGGTTCGTCAGCTTCTTCTGCCACCAAGAAGCATCGCCAGTATGTCGCGCCGGCCGTCCCCGTCGCCCCCGCCGTGGTCGCTCCTGTCGGACAGTGCCCCGGCGGACCGTCCCTTCCTGTCGAGTGTGATCCAAAGCGGCCATGGCCACAATGCCCACCGCAATCCTATTGCTACGCCACCAACTCGGTCGACATCGGACCATACTTCTGCTGTCCAGTTTGGTCGACGTACGGTGCCGCCTGGCGGCCAGCCACCCCATTCTACAATTACGTTCCACCAGTTCCAGCCAACTGGCCAGATGTTTCCAAGGTGGCGTCGCATTTGATCTCAGCAATTCGAAAAATCCATGTTTCCAGATCGCCGCCAACTGGCCGGCCGCCGCTGTCGCCCTGCCGGTGAAAGCGCGCAAGCAAGCCAAAGATGACGACGAGGAGAATCAAGATCAGGAAGGATCGGAGAGCATCAAGTCCTCAATCAACTCATGGGTGCAACGCCAAAAGTTGTAAACAAATATATGTTGCATATGCACACACGCGCGCCCAACGCGGCGATTTCCGTATTTATTTAACTTTCTGCTTTATATAAATATTTGAAAGTGTTTTGACTCGTGTGGTGTACTCACCGAATACATAAAATGATGCCTGCAATTCGATCATACCTTCATCCTTTTATGGACGTGATCTCCGAATCCGTAGACATTCTTCGACGGCAAGTAGGTGGCGATTTGAATGAATTTGTCAGCGAACTGCATTCCTCCTAAAAACAAAATGGCCTCATTTGGAACATTCATCATTTTTACCGATGCTTGTGTCCCACAGCGAAACTCCAGTGCTGGCCCGCTTCACGGTAAAATAGAAGATATCGCTGGTGCCGATTGTGCCGAAATCAAAGTTCAATGATTCGGAAGAAGTGGAAGCGGCTTGCGGTAGATTCACCGGCGGCACATAGCGATCGTCATTTCCAATAGTGACGAGCAGAGTGGCACCGTTCTTGCGGTATCGAACGTCTAGCGGTGAGATGTTGGTCCCGTATGGATTTGCTGCAAGTTTAAAGGATCAACATCGAATAATTTGATGTGAAACTGTTTACGGGTTTTCGACTTTAATACAATTCCACGCTCATTTCTTGTTTGAATTGTGTATCCGCTTTCAGTTGGATAGTAACACCATGGCGTTTTGGCGGGGGCTTTTGACTGAAATATTAAAAATCATGTTTCAAAGTCACATTTAAATGTTACTGTTTTTAAAATCCGATGTTAAATATTTATTACAATGGACTAATTCATGAAATGAAATTTCTTTCTATTTTCAAAAAAATGTTTTTAAAAATTATTAAATTCACAATTTTTTACAACTTTGGAAAAATTTGTTAATTTTTACAATTTTATTGCATAAATAGATTCATGAAGAAATAAATAATCGATGACAACTTGCATCTCCACATTTTTTTGCTGATAAGTGATCATTAGTTTTATTAAGGCACATAATTCCCTATTTGAACCTTCTGGTTCAAAGACCAAAAAAGTGGGAATTAGAATTTTACTCTATAGTAACGAAATTAGCAGAAAACACGAAATGTTCAATTACAAAAAAAATGCAATGAAAAAATGTTACAGTAGGTTAAAGGCGCATTTCATTTCGAATTATTGGTCTTAAAACGATTGTAACATATGTATTACGATTTATGCTACTATTTTTCAACTCATTTTTCTACTCTGCGACTTTTTTCTGCAAAACTATTATCTTTTACCGATGCCTCATCCCAAATACAACCTCTCGATGTACATGCATCTTGAGTTGCTCCAGGTTCGGGGAAGCAGTCAACTCTAGAACAGACCTCCATCGAGAATCGAGACTTCTTGATTTACCTGACCGCCTCGTCGACAAACCCGCCAGAAATGGGTCCCGCCGCGATTCGCGCGAACAACAAAAGAAATACAGAAGCGTGCAGCATTTTTGACGAGAGAAACAATTTCGACTTTGGTTTTATACGGCGACAAGGTGGAATGCACGTGTCACTCGCGATAACGCATGTATTATACGATATCAATCGGTAAATGTTTCGCGAATGTTGGAAATTCCCCCCAAAAAAGTTGTTCAATGCTCAAGAGGAATAATTTCAATTTATCGTACAAGCCGAAGAATAATAACAATTTATCAAAAGGAAACAAAAATGAGAAGGTACATTTGGGATTAGGGTGGGGGTCCTAAAACGAATCAACATCATTCTCATCCGAATCATCATCGCCCATCAATTCGCGCACTTGCATTTTCAGCTCATCATCGGCTTCTTCGATTTTGCTCTTTGTCAATATTGACATATTCCTATAATCGATGTGTTCAGCCAGTTCTCGCCGTTTCACGAGTTCTACCTTAATTTTTCGCGCTGCTCTTTCCCAAACTCATCAAAACATTCAATTCTCAATCGCATTCGCACGTTTTCGCGCTTCGCAATTCGTCGCTCAAACTTTTGCCGATTCGCGCACAATTTGCAAAGCACACCGTAGTCGTAGTCATTGTTCGGCGGTTGATCGTCATCATCCGAATCCGACGTCCAAATACAGTCATCTAGAAGAATTGTTGATGTGAGAGCGCGCGATGAAGCTTCACCATATTTCGAATTTTTCGGCAGCTCGTATAAATTCGCATTGAGCTCGCCAAATTCCTCCAAAGCATCCAAATATGAGCGCTCTAGAATCAATCGAGAATCGAAATTTCCGAAAACAAAATACGCCTACTCCAATCACTTATCACTTCTTTTCTTAAACATTCCAAATTTTTCATTTCAATTTCTTCACACTTTTTCTTAAACTCCAATTCCATTTCTTTGATTTGCTTCTCGCTAGCTTCCAAACTTTCAAACCCCTTCCGATTCACATTGTTCAACGCTGATGTGTACTATAAATCAGAAAATTCGCAATTCCCCGCCTACACAAATCCAACCGTAAGAATCAATTGTGATTCAGCTTCTTTTCGAGCTCGTCGTATTCGATCCTCCTCCTTCAGCATCCACTCCTTCTTCGATTTTTCACCATTTGCGACAATCGTCGCGAGACCACACTTTCGGCACAATTTCGACGAATCGTCGACGCGCTCCGATTTCACGATCAACTCTTTCAGTTTGGTTCGCGTGATCGCCGACAACGCCTGCCGTCGCTTCTTCAACTGGACATTCTCGAGTTGAACGCTGAGGTGCTGCTCCACCCAGCTCGAGCAGCCCTCAATGAATGAGCAGTCGTCGGGTGGCGGCTCGTCACGCTCCTAAATTTTCAAAAAATGATTAGGATTAAAGAGGACAACTTTCGGGACTGACTTTCTTGCGAACTTTGACAAATTTAATTGAATCGAGTCGATTTTTGAGTTCGACTTTTCCAAACTTCTTGCGCTCCATCCGAGGCTCTTCCTCCTTCTTGCTGGGCCTTTCGTCAATAAGAATTGCCGGCCGTTTCGCCAACGGCGCTCCTCGCTCAACATCCTCGCCATTCGCGTCAAGACCACGTCGAAGTTCTACAAATCGAGAAATGGTGAACACGCGCGCGAATTTCACTGATTACTCGAGAACGATCTGATCGGCGCGTTTGCTCTCGGCGTCGACGTCATCGTCGGAATGAAGCTGGTCTCCAACGGGAATGTTTCATCATTTACATCACCATCCTCTTCCATCAGCTCTTCGCCATTCTTGCATTCTCTGACAGGAAGCCGTAGGCGATTCTCGTGGCGAAACGCCGACAATTGCAAGACGCTCGGTCGCGAATCTCGTCGCGGCGTTCCCACGACGGCTTCTGAAGCGATTGATTCACATCCCAAAATTCATGAAAAACCAATTACTTGACTTTGGTGTAGAAGTCGCCGGCTTGAATAACGGACCACCTATCTGAAGAAAAAAGACCGCTGTAATTGGGCCAGTAAAACTCGCCTACCCTAACCGGGACCTTTTTAATCTGGACCCCGTGAGGTGGAGTCTCCTTAGTCGACGAGTTCGCTGCCACTTCATTGTCATACTTCCGACAAGAAGCCATCGTCTTCTGAATAGTGGTTGAATTTGGTAAGCTTCATATCGTTCAATACCAGCATCTCATTCTGCGTCATCAGCTTCTTATATTCATCCTCTTTGGCCGCCATTTCAGCTTGATGCTTCTCATGAAGCTCGCGGAGCTGAAATTTCATGCGGCTAAGCACATTTTCAGAAATTGAATTTATTCTGTGATTTTCATTGTTTCAAAATTTGAAAAAAAAAAAATAATTTTTGTACTTTTTCTTGCATTTCTCTTTAACATTTGTTGAATTAGACATCAAAAAAAATTTTTCGCATATTTCTCTTACCGATTTCTGCCATTCGGCGGTCATTTTCGCCTTCTCCTTCTTCTCCTTCTCCAGTTGACTTCGAAGCATCAACGTCTCGCCGCTAGGCGTCGATGGCCGCTGTGAAGCGTTCGGCGGCGTTCTCATCGGAGCTTTTTGGGCTCCCAACCGGAAAAATGAGTTGTCACTTTCATGACGTGAAAACGAGCTGTTCAGTGTGGCATTATTAATAGGCGACGGTCTCGCGGCTGAAAATTGTGATCACGATCGAAACAAGCATCCATCGTTACTGTGGCTAATTTTTGGCTCCACGGGTCTCGCAGCGATCGAAGACATCTAGAAATGAAAATTTCTAAATAAAAAAAAAAGATATTAGCAAAGTGCCTACCTGTGAAGAAGCTAGAGGTGGCCTAGCAGTATTAGCTAAAACAAAGATCAATTTTTTTGAAATTCTCTAAAACTGAATACCATGATAAGCCTGAGTATGAGAAGAATGAGAAGATCGAATTGCCTAGAAAAAAAGAAGTTCAATATGGTCATTTTGCGAGCATCTCTACCTGAGTTTGTCGAAAATACGATGAAGGTTCTGAAATTATTTTTAATACACAAAGAATGGATAATTCCATCAACAAAAAACCCCCCGATTACCTTTTAAAGCCTGGGTTGAATTAAAGCCGTTCGGTTTCGAGTTCTTAAAATTTTAAGAAAAATTATTTGTCCACAATAATATCAAAAGTCTACCTCAATTTGTGAGCATCGCGACTGTTGTGAGATGACGGTGTCTGAAAAAAAAATAATTGAAAAAATTTTGTTTTCAAGCCAATTTTACTCATTTGCGTGTCGGGAATCGTCGGTTTCGCAATTTGCTGCTGACTCGGCGCAACTGAAATTTTAAGCATTTGTCTAAAACCATGAATGGATCTTGGAATGTTACTTGGGTCCCCTCGAAAATTTTCAAACGAGTCATCCGATTTCGCGTCATCGTCATCAGCAACATCGACTGGCTCAACTTTTACCGTTTGCGATTGGCGGATTAAAGGTACAGCGCTGGAAACAAACAATTTTTTTGATGAGACCAGTTCGCGGTGAGACCACATTTCATAATATCGGTAGAAAGCACTTGAATGCTCCTCTAAATCACGATCCTAGATTGTTGCAAAATAAATTCACTTTAAAAAAGTCGTTTAAATTTTCTTTAGGCGGGTTTTTGATTTCTAGAAGAATTGACATCGTCATGGTTTTCATGGTCCAAATGCTTAAAAGGGTCTGACGAGCATGGTAGATGATTAATATAAAAAAATTTGCATTTCATTTGCAACAAAAAACTTGGGGGGGGGAGGGGACCTTCAATAATGTCCGCAGATCGAAATGATTACCTCGGAATCGGTTTATAGAAGCTTCCATCACCATCATCGCTATCCATAGCTAAAAAAAAGATGAGAATTTCCAAATTTCCATAAAAGATAGTTGATTTGTCAAAACAACACCCCAAAAAAAACGAATCAAATACCAAATTTCAAACGATCAATAATTCATTGGGTACAAAGTATCACAATTCTCGAACAAATGCCATAAAAGGGTTGATGAGGGAAGAAAAAAAAAAGACACCTGAAGCTTTAAAATCAAACATTATGCAAATGTTGTATAAAGAGACCGCGTAGATCATTAAGTAACCGGATCTATTACATACATACATACATAAATATTCAAGGTTATTGGTGCTGAAAGCAGTTCTCCCGTAGTGGAATCGAATCGATAATTAAAAATTCAATTAAAAAAAACTACACAAAACGATATTCCTGAATTATCGGCGACTTTCAAATCCGCCAAGACGATCGATCGGAATCGCCTCCGGCACCGCCTTGCCGCCCTTTTTGTTCCTCTCAATCTCGGCCCGGAAGTAATCAATAGTCTTCATCAATCCATCATGCATCAGAACCTGGAATCGAGCCAATCAATGTGATCATCGATTCCGTGGAACCACCCCGTACCTTTGGCTTCCATCCGATCTCATTCGCGGCTCTTGTGATGTCCGGCCTTCGTTGTTGCGGATCATCCTGTTGCGATCGCATATTGACGATTTGACTAGTCGATCCCGGCACCAAGTCGCGAATGATTCTTGCAAATTCGGCGATCGTGTGCTCTTCCGGATTGCCAATGTTCACCGGAAGCGAGTAGTTGCTATTCATAAGCGCGATGAGGCCATCGACAAGATCTGTGACGTACTGAAACGATCTCGTCTGCGTTCCGTTCCCATAAATCTGAAACAAACGCAATCAGATGATGATGATGATGAAATTTTTGTGGTTACCGTTATCGATTTATCCTGCAACGCTTGAATTATAAAATTCGACACCACTCGTCCATCATTCATATGCATTCGTGGGCCGAACGTGTTGAATATCCGCGCAATTCTGATCTGCACATTCTCCTGTTTGTTATAAGCCACCATAAGAGCCTCGGCGACTCGTTTGCCCTCGTCATAGCAACTTCGAGGTCCAATCGTGTTCACATGGCCCCAATAGACTTCGGGTTGCGGATGGACATCCGGATCACCATAGACTTCTGATGTCGAGGCGAGGAGTACTGTAGCCTTGACTCTTCTAGAAATCAAAGAATTCATAAAAACTTATTTTGCCTTCCGACGAACTTGGCCAATCCTAGCATGTTAATGGTCCCAAGAGTATTTGTCTTGATGGTCTTGACTGGATTGTACATATAATGAGGTGGGGACGCCGGTGACGCCAAATGATAGATTTGATCAACTGAAAATCTAGTTGGGGCGGATTTTTGCGAAACGCGTGAATACCTTCGACAAAATAGGGGTTCACCACATCATGATGGACCATTTCAAAATTTGGGTGACCGATCCAATGCTCGATATTCTTCTTCCGGCCAGTGAAGTAATTATCGAGAGCAATTACCTGAAAAAAAAAATAGTTGAAAAATTGTCCGCAAATCGATTTCGATGAATACCTCGTGCCCATCAAGCATAAGCTTATCTACAAGATGTGAGCCAACGAATCCCGCGCCGCCGGTGATCAGAATCCTCTTTCTCGTTTCCTCATTTCGATACCTAACCGATGGAAAAGTCTTTCTGAAAATTCTCGAATAATTTCATTAATAAAAAATATTCAAATAAATACGTTGTTGGAAGCGGAGCACCAATGACCTGCTCGGAATGGTCATTCTCGTCAATTCGATTCCGAAGCGACGCAATCTCATCCTCAAGCATTTTGATCTTCTCCATCATTTCGGCCATCGCGTTGTCTTCACTGAATTCTCTGAATTCCGGTTTTTCTTCTGCGAAGAATAAGAAATCATAAAATTTTATTGAATACTAATTGCCAATTATGAATAGTACCGTATTGTTGTTGTTTGATGAGCGAGTAATTGAAAAAGGAAATTTTAAAAAGTGAGAAGATTGAAAGAAAATCGTTTACGAGTATTCATTTAGGACGTGATTTACGTGAGTTTTCGCTAAAAAAAAATGAAAGATCGACATTTTATGAATGTTTTGAACTTGCTTAAGTGCATTTTTAATGTATGCAATATTAATGGAATTTTTAATATGAAAATAAGATAAAAATACCTTTTTGGGACAACTTCGGGCATTTCCTCGACTTGACTTTCCACTGGATTCGCGGTGATTGCCTTATTTGAAGTTTGCGAGATGAGAACTGCAATTTTATGTTTCATTATTTCCATTGAATAATTCTCTGGATTAAACCGAATATGACAAAAAAGACCAATAGAATGACGCATCCGCCGCGCGCCGCCATTGTATTGAAGGGTGTTGCGGCAAACCTCGGCCTTCTTTGATTAATCATTCGGTTGGAGAAAACGACGCCTTTCGAATTCGTATTTACATGCGGAGAGCGTTTTGGCTGAAACGAAAAATGGTTTATAATAAACAATCGCCGATTTAAACAAATAACAATGATGAATTTTTTGGCATCGCAATGAATTCTATATATTTACAAGTCAATGTACTGGCAACGTATGTCTACGCGGCCTTGGCATCAGCGTCAAACGAGTTTTCTCGTCTCGATGACGCGCACAAAATGGTTTTTTGGTTTCGAACGCGATTGTAACATTGGCTTTGACGGATTACGACGACGATTTAATTCGTTTTCCAATTTTAAAACACAAAACGATGGCGAAAATGCGGCGAATAAATGAATTGTGCATTGCGTCGGCACGATGTTTGCACAACTTGCGTACCGTAGCACGCTAGTGAAAGTGCATGAAAAGTCGCAACTTCTCGGAAATTTGAGCCAATTTGTGCAATGTATGGGCTCAAATTTCATCACAAGAAAATTTGTTTCCCACAATATTTACTAAAAACGAACACAATCATTGAGAAATTTGCAGAAAACACTTGACAAAAGTGTTTTTGCAAAAAAGAAAAATGCAAGTTCAAATGCCTGCCATTCTTCTCCGTGTGGAATCCGAAAGCGACAGAGTACTCGAGTGGCAAAATCAAGGAATTTCATGTGAAGTACTCTGTTTTTTTGAACCTGCTAATAGAGTATTGCCGTTGGCTGCAAATCATTCAAAATTCCGCGGAGAATGTCCGCAGGTGATTTTCTACAAACTCGATTCTCTGGGCGAAATCGCAAAATGTTCAATTTTCGACCGGAAATGTTCGCAATAAGCGAGCTTCCTCAATATAATGGTTAGCCGAACGAGGGCGTTGATTGTTTGTTGTTGACAGTTTTTTCCACGTTTGGCTCACCGGGGTGGAGCTCTCTCCACCTCATTCAATGCTTCATCCTCTTGCGAGCGCGCGAGCACTCCGTGTCACGCCAAATACGGAAAGTGGCAGAGACGCAGAGCGTATGCCTGTTTTGGCGAGCAGCTTCCTGCTCTCCTTGTGTTGCCTTCAGCCAGGCCCCCAAACCTCAAAAAAAAAACATATTTTGCTTTATTTATTTATTTATAACTCGCATAGTAATATCGCTGATTAATTCACGCTCTTTTTCGCCATCGGCCACGCCCCATTTTGCTTTCGCCTTCCGCCTACTGTAATTTCATTATAGTTATTCGCCGATAATTGTATTCTTTTCATTTTTTGCACAAAATTTATTATTTCAGTATCTAGAAATTGAGTTTTCGCTTATATATGTATACTCTTGCGCGCACTACAATTTTTTAATATTTGAGAAAAAGCGAAAAATATTTTCATGAAAAAACTTTCAGCTAATCCTAATCTTGCATCGAAAACACGCATTTATTTTTCTTTTCTATCATTTTTCGAGTAGTTCTACTTGTATGTTGACGGCCAGATTCCAACCTGCAATTATGCTTCGGGTCTTGGCGCGAAATTCGAATGTCGCCACTAGAAATGTGATAGATCCTTTGAAAACCTGCAATTAAGCAAAAAAAGGTGATTTTTCTTTGTGAAATTTGAGTCACCTTCTGATTATTTTTTGTTGGATAGTGTCATTTTCTTGTTTTCCGCATGGCTGCGCCGCCCTCTATTTGTTCTTCCAACTACTACATTTTTATATATCACATAAATCGGAGGAAAAAAAACGGAAAGCAGTTTCCAAGGCGACTCGTTTGGCGCGAAATTCCGAGAATCTGAAAATGTTGTTTTTCTCGTGATTTGATCGCAATCATATTTGATCTCGCCTCACCGCCATTCTTTTTTTTTGTCTTGTTCGCATTCACCGCTTTCTGTTCTGCGCGTGCCGCCCAATCAATTCCGGGCCGGACAAAAATCGAACGATGACGATGATGGTCGTGCGCGGCGGCGGCGACGACGACAACACCGCTCACCAACCCAAATCCCCCTCTCTCCTTCATTCAATTTCAAGGCCAATGTCGTTTTCTTGTTCACACGATTGTTCCTTCATTGAAATACATTTTTTGTTTGATTTTCCTCCATCGAAATTGCCCTAAAATATTGAATTTTGCAATTGAAAAATGAAAATTAAAAAAATTTTCCGATTAGTCTGCAAACACCGCTCACACGCACAACACACACATTGACTACCGTACCCATTGCGCGACTATTTCAATTTCAAAAATGGACCAAATGCGAATGCAGCAGAAATGCCAAGTTTCAGATGATTTATGGGCTAGAATTAAATTTCCAAAAAAACATTCCGTTGACGAAATGTCGTTTCACACAGCTGAAATTGGGATTACGGTGGAAAACCGAATCAAGTTAGGAGAATTCGTGAAAATTGTCTGGAAAAAAGAAACACGTGTTTTCGAGTAACAATTGTTTTTGATCTACCAAAACAAACTTCTATTCGCTTTTTCCTTGTTGGGCGAGAAAAAAAAAGTGCGCTTTGATGAATCGTTGACCTCCACTTGTCCTTGTCCCCTTTTTTGTATCTTCTGATATCACCATTACCCGCACCTAAACTGGAAATTGTTGTTCATCAATGAGAAAAAAATGCGCAGTTTTGGGAAGAATGTGAAAAAATTTTGGGTTTTTGTTTTCGCCAACACCTCTGTTCAATCATTTGCGTATATCGAAACCAGTCAGTCGACCCCTTTGCGTTTTTTTTTCGTTTCGCGTCTGCGCAATCTACCTATCCAGCGCTATACATCTCAATCGACATCTCGTTTTGCGCACCCACCCGAATTCATCTCAACCATATCCATTCAACTTTACCCTCTAGTTCTTCGCCATGGCAGGTGTGCCAATAAGGGCACCTGCTCGAGCTTCTCCAGCTCCCCAACCATCCAACAGCATTTCATCATGATTCCTCCTTTTCCTTCTGAACATTTTGATATGCTTTGTTCTTCTGGAAACAATGGCCATGATTTCGTCAAATTGCAGAAATCACCACCCCCTCAAATGCGGCGCGTGGCCATTTTATGGCTGACAGCGGCGATCGCGTTCGCCGCCGATGGTCCGCATTTGACGACCGACGACGAGGGCCTACTCACCGTCATTCAGGGATTCGCCACACAGATTCAATGTGTGCTCAACACGTGCTCGAATCAAGTCGTTTGGTACAAAGACGATGTTCAAATCACCGACGGCGCCAAATTTGTTAATCAATCTCAGAAGGCGTTCAAATTGCAGCATTCGATTGAGGTCGATTATGAGAAAGGTTGGCGGGTCACTTGGGAATCGCACCCCCATCTGTTCTCATTTCAGGGTGCAAAGGTCAATGCGATGACTCGAAACCATGTGAAGCTGGCTACTCATGTGTCGATAATCAATGTTGCTCATGTCGAAAGGAAGATTTCACGCTGGTGCTGCGAAATCTGACTTTTGAAGAATCTGGAAGGTATCGATGTCAGCTTGGCAACGAGTCTGAGCTTCTTGAGTTCCAGGTTGAAGTTCTTGGTAGGTGTCGAAATCCCCCCCCCTCCCCTTTAGTCAATTTCATTGATTTTTTTTTTCTATAGAATCTGGATTGAAGGGCGGATTCCATGAGAATATCTCGTATGATCATTCGGAATGCTGCCAACAGAAGGGAATCTCGCCGTTGTGTCGCGGAATGTGCAAACCATCCGAAATGGATCAATATCATTTCGATCCCACGAGGTAATTGTTGGCTTCTAATGGGAAAATTCAAATTTCAATGGAAATCGCCAAGAAAAATAAAATTTATTTTTTTATTCTACAAAAATCGGAAGACGCATACCTAAAATGTAACACTGGTCTCGCCGCGCGTTTTACAGTAATCCATAATATTCATTTTTTTAATGAAAAAAAAACGTCAGCGATCATTTTTTGTTGTTCATTTTTTTCTGAAATTGTGAATTATTTTCACTGCATAATTTTCTCGCTTTAAAAATTCAATTTTTCAAATAATTCCAGTTGCAAAACCGACGACTACAAGAATTTCTTGTCATGCGCGACGGAGAACAATACGAGAAGTCATGTGCACTGCTGCAAAACGCAATTGGTGCCGAGCTTCTGCTACGATTTTTGCTCCGGCAATTTCCAAATGCTCCGCCGATCGCATCGCTTATGCCTTTACTATCTTCCGGAGATCTTCTCATGCCTCGACCGAGCCTATCGTATGTTGCCAGTAAATCGTAATCGTAAAGACATGCCTCGCACCAGTCCCAACGTGCACCTTTCCGCTTTCATGATTGAGAAGCCGATTGTCGGCCGATAGAAGAAATGCATGCGATGTTATGTGATTTGTCTATATGTAAATATATATTCTCCAAGCGATTCAGATATTAATAACGCGATTTTTATAGGATAATCGCGTATTAATATTTGAAACGCTTAACATTTCTGCGGAATTGATTCATAGCCAACTCATTCGCTAATTTTTCTACTAGAGCAATTGCGCTCCATCGAACTCTGAATTTTTGCGGTGATCTAGTGCAATGAATCAATTCCACGCTGACCCTCAGTTATCCTATCCTCTTTGGTTTTTTTCTCATTTTTTTTTCTGTCCGCCGCTCACCTGCATGAATAAATTCATTTAGTTTTTGCTCATTTTTTTCCGATTTGTGATTGTTGTTGTTTCGCGATGGAGAGAAAAAAGTTATTGCAGCCGCAAAAAAAACGAGCCTACAAACAAATTGTGTTTAATTGAAAAAAATAACAAGCCTGCGAAATAACGATTATTGCAAATACGGAACTAAACCGGAGCGCAATATTTTTTTTTCGAGGCGGTCACACTTTTAATAATAAAATATTTGATTGAAAAGGGAAATTTTGAATGATGATTGAGATTTCAGTGCCCTATCCGGATCCGCCGGTTCAAATCGAAGTCAATCCGGTGGAGCATGACAAGTTGTCGGTGTGTTGGCAGCCAGCTCGCACATTCGATTCCAACAAAATGTTTCCCGTGCTCGATTATTCGGTCTACTATAAGGAGATCCCGAATTTCCCGTTGCTCGGCGGCGACATGTAAGACATTTTTTTCTTTTTGGTTTCTAAATGAATTTTTCCTTCTCTCAGGGGCCTTCCGTTGTTGGCCGGCGATTATTCCGACGTTGGCGACATTCAAGAAGACGAATACCAGCAGGAGGACGACGACGGCGTCGAGGAAGTGGTGAAAGACGACGACAAACCGACGAGATTCAAGCGACTCGCTGACACGATTTCGGTGTCGGTTCGAGAGAAACGATCGATGATGGTGATTGTGACAAGAGATGATACCAACAATTCGACGACGATTCGTGAATTCGCCTTCAAAAGTGTATGTTCCTTTTTTTGAAGAAGAAGAAGAAGAAAATTGGGAGTATCGCGGGCGGCCTTGAAATGGCCTGATAAGGGAGATTAGAAATTGGAAAATTTGAATTTCGCGGGCAATTGACATTTTAAAGCGAATAGTTCAAGTACTTAAAATATTTAAAAATTGCGCTCATTTTTATAGAGACTTTGAGTCGCTACGATTTTTTCCATACGAGACCCCAAGGCGGCAATTCAAACCAAAGTTGTTTTCAGATCAATACGACCGAGACTTGTGCAACACTGAAAGACCTTCGATCCGCTTCCAAATACATTGTCTACGTGACGGCTCGCAATGAGTACGGCACCAGTGTGCCTTCAGTCCGCAGCATCGCCTCGACAAATGTGCACATGATTACGAATAATGAGACGATTCCGGATACTCAAAGTACGAATAATTTTAAGTGATTTTAATTTCTTCAAATAATTGTTTTAGAATGCTGCGCGGCCAACAATGTCACTTCGTATTGCGCTTCAAAAATGTGCAGTGTCGTCGAGGATCCGAACTCATTCTCGACGATCACTGTTGCCACAACTTGCCGCACCGAGTGGCCAAAAGTGTCGCCGTGTATTGCCGACGGACGAAATCACACGGATTGTTGCGTGCGAAAGGGTGTTGATCGCGATTGTCTCAAAATTTGCGCGGGAAGCACGGAAGAGCTTGGCGTCAATTCGGTGTTGTGCCTTAATCTCGATCTGCAGGCGATCTATCAATGCATTCGGCAAGGATACGGTAGGCGTCTGTTTGATTAGAACGCCCAATGTTCGTTTTTGCTCGTTTCTTCCAGAATCGCATCCATCGGCCCCGGAGAATGTGACAATTGTCGGCACCACCGCGCACAGTGTCACCGTTCATTGGGACGAGCCGGCGGCGAATTCGCATCTCGTCGAGAATTACACGATATTCCTCAAGAAAAACGAGCACGGCGAGGCGGTGAAGCAGATTGTCGGCGCGAAATCGCCGCACACCGAGAACGGTTTGGAGGCGGACACCGAGTACGTGATCACCGTTCAATCGCACTCGGTGAAGGGCACGAGTCTGCCGTCGACGGCGAAATTGTTCACCACACTGCCAACGACTCGGCCACCATTGTGCACCATTGGCGAGCCGATTTACATGCATGGTGGGAGGGGGGATGAGCGAAAAACTGACATTATTCGAAATTTTAGACGGAAGAGTTCTGACCTGCGATACGACTAGTCCATGCCCCAATGGATTCCGTTGCACCGGCCTCAATACGGACTTGTCGTATTGCTGTCCCGATGATGGCCTACGATCGTCGGAGGAGTTCCAGCCGTGTTGCAGAGAGCAGAAGATGCCGGATAGTTGCATGTCGACATGCTCATACAACTCGTCGCTCACCTCCGATTGCAAGCAGCACATCAATATATGGATTCAGTGCGCTTCGGAAGGACGCGATCACACGAGATGCTGCCTCCGCGAATCGGTGTCGAAGAGCTGTCGCACCGCGTGCGCTCATCCGTTCACAGTTGACGCCGACGAATGCTTCGGTGACGTCGACAAATTTAAGGTGTGTTTCGCCGGCGCGCATATGCAGCTTCCAGCGGCGGTACGAAGTCTCGAGGTCACGTCGATCACCAAAGATTCGGCGACGATATCTTGGGAGGACATCGAGTCGAATATTGTTGCGTTCAGAATTCAAGTAAGCCAATTGCACTTTCGTTTTCATCCCGCCCCCGCGTCAATTCGTTTGCAGCTATTCGACAAAAATGGAGGTCTCGTCAAATCGGTGAACAGTTCTGCCGACATTTACCGGTTTTGGGATCTCGATCCTCAGACCGAATATAAGGCTCGTGTAATTGCAATCAATTTGGAAGGTGAAGGACCACCATCGTGGAATATCACGTTTACGACGAAACCGGCTCAAGGTGAATTGGAGTTCTACGAGGTGCCAAACAATATTCTGTGTTTCAGTGTATGAAGCTGATCGACCGTTGGCGCCTGAAGGGCTCCGAGTCGCGTGGAACTCGGGCCCTCGTGTCAATGTCACATGGAATCGCGTGACCACTCGACGAAACGACGATCCGATCACGGGAGCCGTCGAGTACACCGTTTACTTCTTGGACACCGAACAATCGACGACATGGACGACGTTGCGGACCAATGAGACCTGGGTTGTGATGAGGGACCTTCGAAAGGATGCGCTATACTATGTCTATGTGACAGCCAAAGAGGACAACAAGACGAGTCGAAGCTCGTCGATAATCACAATTCTTGCGCAACAGGACAAGTTTGGCTTGCCGGAGCCAACGATAACAATTCAACCGGACCACAAAGATGGGATTTACTCGCCGGGAGACAAGTTGACAATCAACTGCTCGCTTCCGAACATCAAAGAGAAGCATTTGAATATTGATTTAACGGTTGGACCGCATGTGGTAAGAATTGAAACTGTTTTTTTTTTTAATTTCATTTTTAAAATTTATTCAAAGGCGCAAAACGATCATGGCGTGATGTTCGTTGTTCTCGAGACGGAAGCCGATGAATCGATGGACACGGCGACTTGTGCGGTATCGGATACCGATGGACGACAACACGTTGCCATGAAGCATTTGGTTCTGGAGAGTAAGCTTGTTTTTGTGCGTGCCCTCTCGAGTTGATCTCCTATGTGTGTTCAGAGCACGCTAGCGTCACGATGAAGAAGGACAAGGTGAGAGTGCTCGACGATCAAACGGTGGAGATTGAATGCATTTATCGCGGAATCGCGCGAAATCCGATCATTCGTTTCGAGAAGGACGGAAAACGCGCGACGCGCGGTTATTTGACGTTGAAAAAAACAGAAGCCGGCTATGTGGCGAAATGGCACATTCGAAAAGTGAAGGCGTCGGACGCGGGCTTCTACAAGTGCGTCGTCGAAGCGGTCGGACAGAACAAGTTGGAAGCGCAATCGGAGGTGATATTCAGCACCGAGACGCTTCCCGTCAATCCGAAGCTCATTCTGCAATGTTGCGAAGATGAGGGAATCACTGGCGATTGTCTACAGGTTGGAATTCGTCGTCATTCGTCATCGGCGTATATCCCATATTTAGGCGTGCTCGATTGGTCGTCCGTCGTCAACATTCAAGGGTCAGAATTGCACACGATTCGCCGCGTCGCTTCTCAAGTGCGCCAGCGATGTGCGCGATCATTCGGATTGCTGCATCGCGAACGGCGTTTCGGCGAAATGCCTTCCGTTGTGCTCCGGCGACAGTTTTTCGCCGGATGTCGATTGTTCGGAGCACGCCGTCACGATCATGTCGTGTTTCGTCAAAGGCAACGAGCACATTCCGTTGGAAGTGACGAATGTTCGTGTGAAATCGACGGAAGGCAAAGACGCCGTCGAGGTCGAATGGGACTATCCGCCGACGCGCGACTACAAATATTTTGCCGTCTATTATCGAAAAAAGAATGATGAGGATTCGGATTGGAAGATGCAGAAGAGCCTTCAACAGACGGTATGAACGCGTTGACCCGAATCAATTCGGAATATGGTGTTGATTGTAGATTGAGCTTGAAATCGATCCATCTGAAGAGTATGAGATTGGAATTCTCGCGGCGAACGCGTTGGGACACTCGCCGCTCGTCTATTCGAGCATTCCGAAGAATACGATCGCTCGAAGGAGCTCGTCGAAGGGATCATCGTCGGCCTTCTGGATCTTCGTTATTCTGCTAGTGTGTGGATCAGTTATTGGAGGTAAACGAATGTGCCGTTCTTTTTGTTTTTTGGTGTGTTTTGTTTTTGGAATTTCCAACATCCAATTTCAGTAATGGCGGTGATGGCGAAACGACGCGAATTGCCGTATCCATTCGGGAAGCTGATGCGTAGACGCAACAACTTCAATCAGCCGACGGTGGCGTTCGAGAATCCGGCGTACGGCAACGAGGTGGAGATTCGCGGACTCGGCGAGCCGACCGGATCGTCAACGGCGGCGTCGACGACGGCCGGCGATTGGCAGAGTCCGAGTCTCGAAGCGAACTCGAACGATAGTGGACACGAGTATCGCAACGGAATGCGCTACGCGAAACTTGATACCTAATGTGATTACTGTTATATATACCTTTTTTTTTAAATGTCTACTAACTTATAAGGATTGTACTTTTTGATTCATTATTTTGTTTGTTTCATTGTTTTTTTTTTCTTTGCTCTGCGTGTTGTGACTAGTTGCGGGTCGGAATTTGATGATAAATTATTTCATTTCTCTTCGACTAAACAGAAAAGCGGCGACGACGTCTAGACCCACGTGCCATAGCTAGGAAGCAGTTCGGGCACCTCAAATCTTAAAATGTGCTCAAAACGTCGAACATCGAAAACCATCGATTCGCTTACCTTCTTCTCGGTGGCTATTGTGGGTGTGGGCGCGGCGTCCGGCGCCTTCATCACCGGGCTCGCCGTCTTGGCGACGGGAATCGTCGAATTGGCGTCGGCGGCGAGGCTGGCGGTGCCGGCGGTCGCTGTCGTTGTGAATGGACCCTGTAGGCGTCAGAGTTGCGTTGAAGGGAAATCACCGAAACGAAAAGCGTACCCCGGTGGCGGTCGTTGATGAAAGAGGCGTGGGTTTCGACGCGGTTGGCTCGCAACCGGATAGCGTGGTTACGGTGGGTGTCGCGATGAGACCCGACGATTTACTAGTGGGCGCGGGAAGGTTTGACGCTGAAATTTGGTTTTAAAATTTAATTATTAAAAACAATGTGCAAATTGTCGTCGAATAAAATGCCCAAGTCCGCAATGACAACAATCTCGCGTTTTTTTTTTTCAAAATTGCTGGACTATTTCTTCACAAACACAAAAAAATAACACGTTTTAAAATAGTCGTCGAATAAAATGCATTGGGTGTAAATACAGACCTTTTTTTGTGCATTTTATTTGCCGATAATTTACACTTTTTGAAGTTGGCGCGAAACTCACTAATCGATACATTTGTGCGATCGTCACCATTTACGGTAAACGACGAGAACGAATCGTTTGAAGTGCTCGTCTTGCTCTCGACGCGCTTCTTGTCGCCGGAAGTCGCCGTGCTCATCTCAACCGAAGTCGCCGGCGTCAATGTCTTCAATTCGGCCGATGGCGGCGCCACGGTGATGACGGGCGGCGCGATCGACTCGGCCTCCTTCGACGCCGGCTTGACGGGCTCCGTCGAAGACGGCACTGAAGCGGCCGGCGGCGTCGTGTTGCCGGACGCCGGCGGAATCACCGCCATCGGAACACTAGGTATCGAGGAGATGTCGTCGTTCGATGGACGATCCGACACCGACACACCTTTCCGCTTCGACGATTTTGATGAGGCCGAACTCTGCGTGATGTTCACCTTCATCTTCATGCTCTTCGATGGAAGCACGTCCTTCTCATAGACGGACACCTTATTGGGCTTCTCTTTGGATTTGGTGGCCGCGGCCGTGGCGCGCGCACTTCGGCCACTGTTCGCATTCGGCTGAATGACAATCGCCTGCGGGACGCTTCCCTGCAAATTGTCCGCATATGGAATTGATTAACGCATTGGCAATCACTTGTTTGCTTTTTTTGCGGCGATCGCAAATCATGAATCCGATGATTGCTAACATGAGCACGAGCACGATGGACGTGAGAACGGTGAGCACGAGCTCGCGCGTATTAATCACCGACAATGTTTCTTTTATAGTGTTTCTAAATGTGGGACGAGGGGAAAGTGAGTTGCACCGAAATGGTCCCTACTCACAATTCTTCATTGACGCGACTTGCATTCTTCGCGTTGCCTGATTTGTCCGTCATTGCTTTTCGCACAAAAAATGAGAAATTCTCAAACAGCGGCACAAGGATTCACGTGAATTTAATTGATTCATATTAATAATTATGAAATTCGTCGCCGTCAACCTTCCACACGGCGTTCACACTAGTGGGATTTACATGAAAAAAAGATTTTTCTCAATGGAGCGCACATGCAGCTTAGCGCTATTCCGGTGCATAAATTCAACAAATTAAATTTGTGAAATAAATTAGAAACATTCTCAAAATGGAGCGTTTTTTCAATAAGAACGATTAGTTTTTATATTTCTTCGAGTGGATCATATTCACCGCAATTTATGGTCTAATTAGTTATAAATTAAATAAGTTATTTTAATTTAAATTGGATCTTTTTTTTTTGAACATATACATAACATTTTTAAAAGATAAAACCATCAATTAAGCGAAAGAAATACTACACAATTGAATTATGATATAAAAATTGATGATATGTAGCAGATGAATTCAATGCGAGTAGATAAAGACGCGAGAGAGATTGAATTCGGAAAAAGAGGATATAAGGACATTTGGAAAATTGCAATACTAATAGGGAAAAAATACACTTATCAATTTGGAAACAAATGGATAATCAACAAACACATTTAACAAGATTCTCTTTACCGATTTCATTAGGCAGCTTGAAAAGAACACTTTGATGTTATACAACACAAATGACTAAAAAAATACATTTTTGAGTTGAGGACGTCTTTCCATTGGTCTTTTGAAGTAATTCGGAAGTTTAAAAAATCTCGAAAAGCGAATTGTCCGTGATATCGTTTCATCACTCCGCCAGCTTTTGATTTTCGAGATGGAGTGCTTATCTGAATTCAATAAATGAATTCAATGCGAGTAGATAAAGACGCGAGAGAGATAAATAGAAAAAAAGAAGCTGAAAACGGTAAATTAACGTAAGAACTAACGAAATTTAAAAAAAAAACGACAAAAAAATTATAGAGAATCTCTTGCAACTTCTCCGCCGAAATGACACACTATTTACATTTAAAATTTGCAAAAAAAAATAAAAATAAACAACTATGAAATGTTTTTCCAAGTGTTACCAAACATAACCGTATAACTCAAACCATATAATATAATAATAAATGATATTAACAAAAAAGAGAGTGAAAAAACAGAGAAAAGAAATGTGAATATTTTTACAGTTCAATCTTTAAAAAACTACGGACCTCTGAATACTTATCCGATTGAATTATAGTAAAGCTTTTTCGATAGAAAAAAGCCTTGCGAAAAACGTGGTCGGTGCACTTTTTTGTTAAAATTTGAGAAAAATTCAAAAAACTTGAAAAATGAGCCAAAACCTGGCGATTTTTAAAAAATTCGTCTGCGCGACAAAGACGCCAACAATCGATCACTGACACAGTTTGAGTTTTCATTTCAGGTAAATCCCACTAGTGTGAACGCCGTGTCCAATCGTTTGGCAACAGCGGCTGGCCGAGTTAAGCGTGGCCGTGGCCGAAGCGCGATGAAATTTAAATCCTGCGCGGATTATTGCTTTTTATTTTTGCACAATTGAGTCATATTAATATAATAAGTCGTTTTCTTTATTTGTATGCTAAATTCGGATTAAATTACCAAATTTTGAATTGTGGCGCATTCTTGGTGAACAACAAATCAATTCAAACCCAACCGCAATTAAATTTTAACAAATTTTGGCTATTTGTGTGTCGAGTGCAAAGAGGCGTGCGCGTGTCTGCGTACTCTGCATTTTAACGCACGCGCAATTATTATGTAACTCGCAAGTGAATTAACAAATTCTGCGAGGCTAAATGCCAGCAGTGGTTTTGTGTACTCCACACGGAGCATTTATGGTGTGAGACCCAACTCGTACTGTGGTACCGCGCCGACTTCGACAATACAGAGTAAGTCATTTGACACCGACAATATCATATCATTAATCTTTTGGTTACAGCGGTTTTCTCGTCTGCGATCTCTCTGGCCTAGAGAGTCGCCTTTCGAGGTCACTTCTCATTTCTTTCCCGACATGCAACAACAATTCCCGTCGTTCATTGTCGACGCGTTCACCACCGAACGATTCGCCGGCAATCCGGCGGCGGTTTGTTTGATTCCGCAGGTTTAAAGGCGCATCGCGTCGGGATCTTGCGATGATATATGTGCCAACTCTTTCTAGGTGCTCGCCGACGTCGACTATCAAAAAATTGCCGCCGAATTCAATTTGTCGGAGACGGCGTTTCCGGTGCCCATCGGATTCACCGATTATAAAACATGTTGGTTTCCAACGATTGTCCGCAGATGCATTTTGAGATGAATAGAAAATTTATTATTTTGTGTCTTTCAGGCTCTCAATTCAATCTTCGTTGGTTCACACCGAAAACCGAGGTGCCGCTTTGCGGTCACGCCACACTAGCAACGTCGCATGTGATTTTTAACGAAATCGGTAAATTGGCATTTTTTGAATTGGTGAAAAAAAAACAACACCAAATTCAGGCAATATAAACGACGAGATCAAATTCAACACGAAATCCGGTGTTTTGGTGGTCCGCAAATCGGGAAATGGTCCCGCACTTGAGATGAACTTCCCGCAATATGAATTGACGTCGGTGAAATTCTCGCACGCTGAAAATCAGTTGCGCGGAATTCTGTCGGAGGTAGTTTCGTCGCGAGACCCATTGTGGGTTTCATCCCCCTACGTTCTAGTCTCGTTCAGCCTCATTAATTTCGTGGTATCGATTTTTTACGACTGACGGACCAGTTGATTGATTGAAATCAAAGGTTCAACGCATTGGTTTAGACGAATATGCCTTTAAATAGCAATTTTTAAAAAGGCACAAAAAATTGATAAAATTAGAATTTTATTTTTTTTAACTTTTTTCAAGACAACTTTGAATGTTCAGATTCACCCATTGCTTTTGGTCAAAAGTGAGAAAATATCAGAAAAATGTAATTTATGAGATTCGATTTTTTAGCAAAAGTGAAAAAAAATGAAAATTCAAAGTAAGCAGAAAACTTAAAAATCGGGCCTCAAAATTTTTAGAAATTGTCGAAAAAAAGAAATGTTGTGCATTCACGCTGACCAAACTTTGCGGACTTGCACTTTAATTTACGCCAAAATATTTTAAATTCCGACTTTTTTTTACAGAGAAACTATATTTAAAGCTCTCTCGCTTCTAGCAAAAATGAAAACTCAAAATTTTTCAGTTCCATGCTCCTCCATACCTATGCGATATCGTGAAATGCGTTTTTCCCGCCGAGGTTCAAAAATGCAATTCCTTGCTTCTTTCAAGTGTTTCCAATTTCAGACAATCGTTGAAAGTGTGGCCTACTCAGCGCTGGCGAAAAAGCTTCTAATCGTTATTGATCCGAACACAACGAAATTCGAGTTGGAAGCGGTAATTCGAATTTCGTTAAAATTTAACTGCGTTTAAGACATTTGAATTGTGCCGCCTGCTATTTAAATGGATGGTCCCGTTGAACAAAATGGGACCATACTCCTTCATTTAGCACTTCTAAATTTCCAAATTACTTCGAATAACGAAAAAAAATTCCGCATTGTTTTATTCAGCGATGAAAAATTGTTAAAAAAAAAGATTCTTTATGTGTTTTCCATATGAGACCCAAGGCGGCAATTCAAATATCTAATTAATGAGACGCCGAAAATCGTGCACCGACTTCATTGTTCAAAATTGTAGATCAAAATCGATTCAGCTCGAATGCTTCAACTTCACGACGGCTCGTTTGTTCGCGGAATCGCCATCACTGTCAAACCGACGTCAGCAATTAATCAGGTTCGCGTCTCAACGTGGAATCACACCAATCGAAATTCTCCTAGGGCTTCACCAATTCATTGAACGAGCCTTACGATTACGCGTGCCGCTATTTCGCACCATGGGTCGGAATCGAAGAGGACCCGGCGACGGGCTCGGCGCAATGCGCGCTCGCTCCCCTCTGGGCGGCCATCACAAAATCCAACAAGTTATACGCGTTCCAATCGTACCCAGGTCGTGGCGCCGAATTCCATTTGAGTCTCATCGACGATCGCGTCAACATTGTCGGCACCTCAGTGACCGTAATGAGCGGCCAAATCACACTAAACGATCCGAAATTTTATTGATTTATGTGTCAACACAAAAAATTGAGAGATATGACATCAAAGCGATACATACAGTATAATAATAAATAGATGTACATGCTTGCAGGAGGGTCAGTGTCAATCAAATGCTCGGGTCTAAAACAATGTCGCGAAGCTTCTCGCACGGCGCAAACGTGCGATTCGACTGCTTCTTGACGAGAAATGCCGATTTTGTGAGTTTGTTGAGATCAATTGAGAGCGGATTTATCGATGTCCCGTCGTCGTTCATATTTGGCATTGGTTTTCCGTAGTAGTTGGCAAGGGCGCAGAAGCAATCTGTAATTTATGATTTTCAGAATTTTAAATGTCCTAAGAGTATTTCACGATTAAACTCACAAAAATCTCAAATTTCAAATTAGATTTTCTACAAAAAAACAATGTGAAAATCAATTTTCGCATTCAAAATTTCACCTTTCAAAGCGAAATCGAATCCGAATTCATCGCCATAGAAGATTCTCGTAATATTCTTATTGCCGAGCACTTTTCCGATTGAATTTTTGACATATTCGACCATTTCGAGATCATCCGTATAAAATTTCTGATCAATTCCATACATTCTCATTCTGGAAATGCGCAACAACAAAAAAAATTAGAGGCATTCGTTTCTCATCAACCCAACCGCTTCTTAATCTCATCGGAATCGATTTTGCGTAGATTCGCCTCCGGATTTTTTTCGGCAATGTCCGCAAATATCTCGAGTATCGCCGACAACGTCTCGCGCGTTATATAATTTTTGACATTCTACCAAAATAAAAATAAATTGAATCAAATCAATTAATCGCATGCCTTCTTCTCTTTGAAAACTTGAACACTCGTCGGAATCGGCACGATTTTCTTCAGGAATTTGTCAATGTTCTGACAATTTTTTTTCGCCTTCTTTCCCGCCGCCTTCACTTCAACATCGACGTACTCACACTCTTTCCTTTTTCGATTCGCCGTCTTTCGATTGTCACTCCTTTTGAGCATTCGCTTAAGAAGGTCCGTGTCAGAATCGATTCTCGCCACAAATTCCATATTTTCTCGAATTTTCGCCTGAAAACAACAATAAAAGTTTCCAAATATTCAATTAGCAAAAATTGAATTTTAAAATTTCAAGTTGAAAATATTTGGATCCCCAATTGAGCCAAAACACACCGTTCCCTCGGCAAGCTGCTCGGCGTCCATAAAATCAATTTCCGAAATTAGACTATCATCCGAATCGTACATTTTCGACGATTCGCCACAAAGAATGTGATGAAGCGTCTTGAGATCGTCTTTTCCGATCGTCGCCTTCCCATTCCGCACGTCGTCCGGAAGCACAAGAGCCGCTTTGCTACACGACGCTTCAAACAGTTCGGTATCATCGGCGAAATCTTTCATCGTTAGTCGGCCGGTTTTCTGAAATCACAATTTTTCAACAACTAATTGACACACACACACACACACACACACACATGCGCCTTTAATAATGGGTCTCAAAGTGATCAGAATCATTTGTGTGACTTTCAATTATTCAACGCGATGCTTTAAATTTAGCAAAAAATGTTGAAAAAAACTTAATTAGACTTTTACGGGCCGAAAACTGCAATAGTTTCAGTTTCAGACTAATTTGGTCAAGTTTAAAGGCGCATACAATGTATGCTATTTTCGTTCAAAGAAAAAATTACAATTTTCTGAATCTCTTTGTTTCTCCCCTCGTCGACATTGACGATATCCGGAGAATGCCGCCTCGACATCACCTAAACGCCATTACAATAGTCGCGATTACTGTACCGTTTGAATTGCCGCCTTAGGTCTCGTACGGAAAAACACTCTTACAATTAAAAACATGTTTTTCTTTTAATTAAACGAATTTTAAGTGTTTCGGTTATTTTTAAGTGTCAAATGACAAGGTGTGGTCCGATTTTTTTCTAAAAGATCAAATTTTGAATGCAGAGCCCGCGAAATTCAAATTTCTCAAAGTCTCCGACAATTCAAAATCAACATCTATTCAATTAAATATAATTATCGCAATTTGAACGATAGAAAAGAAAACAAACAAATAAATAATGGGCAATTTGAAAAATATTTATAAACCCCCGCGATTGTGACAATAAAAAAACAAACTATTTCCTATTTCTATGAATCCTTTTTTTTGAGCTACCAATTCTTCTCGAGTGGCGATTCAATTGGATAGCCGCCGAGATCGAACACGGCTCTTCCGGCGTTCAGAAGCGACGGATTCATTTTGACGAGACCGAACACGTCGGACAGAGCGTCGAGCTCGAACCACGTTTCTCGAGCGAGCCTGAAAATCACCATCAAATTTGTTGATTGATTCATGACCAATCGTTGAGAACCTCGAGCAAATCATTGTCGCCCACGCGAGCTCGATGTCGGCATTTCGGAGCCCAATTGAATAGGAGCGTGAAGCGCGCGAAATTGTCGAAATCATCATCAAATTGTTCTGAAACCGATTATTAAGGCTGACAATTATAATTATAGTTGGTTTCTGAAAAAAGAAAAGCGCGGCTCTAGCATGACTCAGGACAAAAAAAAAAGATTTCTGACTTTTTGAGAATCAATAAAAAATTGTTTTTCATGATATTCGAATAAAATTCCGAAATTTCAATGAAACAATTGATTAAAGGAGCATTACGCGCCAAAATCAAAAGGGTTCTGATGGCCGCTCTTTCTTTTTCTCGAAATATCCTACCTTTAAGACTTTCACAATTGCCTCATGCGTTCCATAATCCTGCTCAACATTTTTGCCTTGCGATTTTAGAAGTTTCGAAATCACCACATTGATGCGAGACATTGAGAATTCGAGCTCCTGGCACGCAAGCTGAAAACAAAAACAATTCTCAAATACGCATTTGAGTTTGTATCATTTGAATTGAATTGGGTCTCGTGTGGAAACATCCTAATCATCATACATAGCATTTATAGCATAGCTATTATGCATAGCATTTTTTTTTAAACAAATCTTAAAAGTGCAAAAAAATAGGACCCAATTATTTGGCAAAATTCTTTGCAAACCTGCAATGACGGATGAGCGTGCTCGGCAATATAATGCGTCAAACCCGGATTTCGAAGCTCTTCAGCTTCCTTCTCATTCGTCAACCAACGCTTCAACGTGCTCGTTATCCGCTTATGGGACGATGATGTCGCCCATGTGGAAATTGTGGCCAATGCGATTTGATCGACTTCAACACCATCGTCCATCTTAAAGGGAATCGTGAAGAAAACAACAGAGAAGCGCATTTCGAATCAATTACCACTGATAAAAGAGTAGTGGCATCTCGGATGAGCTTCTCCTGCGGGGATCCTTGCTCACTGGCCGCCATTCCGATGAGCTCTAGCTGCACCGAAATGATGGATTGGATCACCTCCTTCGAAAGAATCTGCAATTGTTTGTCAGATCATCGTGAATTCGGAATTCTGCCCCTCAATTACACTTAGAAGCGCGTTTTCGATGTCAATCACCACTGCCAAGCCCTCATCAACCATTCCGGCGATATAATACAACGCCGATTCCAGCGCGTAGACTTTCAGCGCCGCGTCCGTCACGATTCGCTGAGCGCTGAAATCGTCGGCGAGCGTCGCACGCGACGTGTTTCGACTCGGCGCACGATTACACCAAATCGACAGGTCTCGAAGCGCTCGACGCGCGATTCCGACGACGCCGGCGGCGAATGTGATGCGACCGCTGCACACTAGCTCACTTCCAACCTGAAACTTGCTTTTTTTTTTCTTCCCGTTTATCATTTGTTATCAATTTTGGTACCTCCGGACCATTTCCAGCATCTCCAAGAACATTTTCCGGTGTAATCAACGCGGTGAATGTGATTTTTCCCACTAGGATTTGTCAAGATTCAATTGAACCGAAAATTGATAATGATTACCATCCACCGCCTTCAATCCTAACGTGGAGTCCCTTTCGAACTTCAAGCTATCAGTGCTCTCGAAATCCGGCTCGTTTAGAATATAGCACGTCTGCTCGATTTGCCTTGTGCTCTTATTTGGCGAGTCGGCGAACACGAGAAAGAAATTCGCGTTGTGTTGCCCGACAACTCTCACATTCTCGCCGGTGATCATCGATTTTCCCACACTTGCCATCGTTAATTTTGCTCTAAATTGCGACGAAAACAATTCACGCCGGCGATTGTGTCGGTTTTACCCAATATTTTTGCTGAACGCGATAGCCGCACGGCATTTCGATGAAGCGAGAAGCGGAAGAAATTTGGATTTTTGCTCATCGGACCCATAAATTGTTAGAATTTTGGCGACCATTAGAGCGATTTGAGCGGTTGTGAACACGTTGAGATCCACGCTGAGCTCCTAAAACGAAAAAATGAGCTTAAAGCCTTTCGAAATAAAAAAATACCTCAAAAACCTTCGAAACGTCCTTATTATTCATTCCAACTCCATTGAAATCTTTGCCGATTGATAATCCAAAAATTGCATTGCTTTTCATGGCATCGAGAACTTCTGGCGTCAACTCGCCGGCTTTTTCGATTTCTGCACTATCGCCTAAAAATAAAAAAATAAATAAATGTCAAGTTTTTTTTTTTCGAATAATTTTACATGCAAGTTTTAGTGAATTTCGTAGGATATCGACGAAACCTTCAATATTTCGAACATCATCTGAATCCAAATATTCCGGATAAATCATAAAATCCTGAAAGAATACCAACAATTTCAACATTTTATACTTCTTTTGTCTCACTTTTTCGAATTTATTCAACGCTAGACCCCTTGAAAGCGATAATTTTTCCACGGGAGCTGTTGGATCAAGATTTCGAATGGCGAATCGTGGTTTGTCCGCGTTTTTAGCAACTGGTTTATTTGCCGAATCGCTTAGAGCTCGAATGAATGCCCTTTTATTTGTCCTTGATAGAATTCTTTGCATTCTGCTATAAAAAATCGAACGTTTTCAAGATAAAAACGAAATTTTATGATTGAAAATGAAAATTTTTAAACTGAACAAAAATTGTGTGCACTTTGTTGCCTCGGTGTCTGCAGACTGGCTATTCCGAGTTTGAATTGCGCGCGTTTATTTTTTGAAGGCTTGTTTCTCCATCGGATTTGACTTGATTAAAGATATATCTGAAACGATCTTGATAATAATTCAATGAACATCCGTAGGCGTTGGGAAAATAACAAAAATTAGCAAGAAGAACTCCAATCACCTCGAATGACACTAATATTGCTAATTTTTTGGAAATCATCGAATCTAGCCGGCTCAAATCGTTCTAGGCAGTGAATTTTTTTTTGGAAAAAATTAGTTTTTCCTCAAGTATATTTGGATCATCGCACCAAACGAATTGCTATCATGGTTTTGATAAGGAGTAGTGCGAACTGACAGGACGGACGAAAAAATTGAATGGCCAAAAATTATTAAATAATTTAAAAGTGCATACATTAAAAAATGTATATAGAAATTTCTAGTCTTGCTTTTTCAAGCAACTTCCCACAATGGGCCTTTTCCTTTCAAGACGCTGCTGCTCTCGTAAATCGACAACTGTGATCGCTTCCGGAATTCGAAAATTTTGCTCGATAATGTCAAAATTTGACCAATTAGTGATCTTTGATTAACTTTTCTCACTCTTGAATATTTTTCTGATTGCGTTCTGATTCTAGTAAAATTTATTCCAAAAACATAAAATCTGAAATTAATGCAAATTCCTCTTGGAACAAAATGAAGACGTATCTTTTCTTTATGGGGTAAAATATTTTTTTTAAGAAAATCGATGTTCAAAATTTCGCAAACGAAAACGCGATGATCTTTGAGCGATTCGCTCGAGATAACACACTCGACACAACTTGCCAAAATGTATTTGCAATGATTTTTCTGCTATTGTTCGCCGGCCTCATTTCAATCGCGTTTTACAATTTTTATTGGAAAAGACGCAATTTGCCGCCAGGTTGGTTTGAATGAATCAAATTTTATTTGAGAGAGAGTTGCAGGACCACTGCCACTCCCTTTAATTGGCAATTTGTATCTGATGACCGATGACGTCAAACCGGGCTACAAGTTGTGGGAAAGTCTAGCGTTAGTCTAAATTTTCGATTCAATCACTTCAATTGATTGTTTTGAATTTCTTGCAGCAAACAATATGGTCCGGTCTACACATTCTGGATAGCAAAATTGCCGGCGGTTCACGTAACCGATTGGGAGCTGATCAGGCAGCATTTCATAAAGGATGGCTCGAAATACATCGGACGTCCTGAATTCCCGATGTCGATTATTATGAGAAGTAAGTCGGAAGCATATCGAATCACAATTCGCGAAACGCTGCAGAGGGACCTTATGGAATTGTGGAATCGTATGGCGATCGATGGGTCCAGCAACGACGATTCGCGCTGCACGTTCTTCGCGAGTTCGGATTGGGCAAAAATTTGATGGAGACGAGAGTGATAACAGAAGTCGATATTCTGTTGAAAGAATTGAAGAGGGAATGCAATGATGGTCCAATCGATATGAAAAATCGTTTCGATGCCTCGGTTGGATCAATCATTAATCATTTGCTGTTCGGCTACCGATATGACGAGGTCTGGCTGGGATACTCGCTTAGAAGGGGGCTGAATGATTTCAGACCAATATGGACGAGTTTCTCCGTCTGAAACATGGCCTAAAAAGGCATTTCGATGAAGCTGCAAAACCAATTGCGGGTCTCATCGCGATGAATCCATGGCTCGGCCAACTTCCATTCTTCAACAACTATTATAACAGTCGGTTTGAAATGAAATTAGTCGAAGCAATATTGATATTTAGCCTTCATGAACAATTGGAATGATCTTCAAAGTATGTTCAGAAGGCAGTACATGGAAAAGATTAAAGCTGTCGACTATGATAGTGATGAGTATTCGGATTATGTTGAAGCATTTTTGAAGGAGAGGAAAAAGCATGAAGACGAGCCCAATTTTGGGGGATTTGAGTAAGGAAAAAACGAACAAATTGCCTTTTTCTCCCCCCCCAATTTGGTCTATTTTGGATTGGAGCAGTTAGACAGTGTTTGCTTCGATCTATGGGTAGCTGGAATGGAGACGACCTCGAACACACTCTACTGGTCGGTTCTCTACTGTTTGACGACGCCGCGAGTCGTTGAGAATATCAACAAAGAGCTGAAGGAGAAAGTGAATGGCGATCGGATCATCACGATGGCTGACAAAAATGATCTCGTCTATATCAATGCCACAATTAATGTCAACAATTTGAGGGCACAAAATTCAGGGAAAATATTGATTCGTTTTTGCAGGAAGTTCAACGACTCGCCAATTTGCTTCCATTGAATGTTTCGCATGCGACAACTGAAGACGTCGAAATCAATGGCTTGCGAATTCCGAAGGATACCATTATTGTTCCACAGGTTCCAACACAGATTAGTTTCTTTCCTGAAAATAGGGCTCATTGACCAATTGCAATTGTGCCGAGATTTAAATTGGTCTGAGCCCACAAATATCGGCCATTGGAATTTCCACAAAATTTGAAATCCGCCAGCCGGGCGCCACGAATAATTTGCCATCGATTCTGCAGATTTCATGTGTTCTGTACGACGAGAAGATCTTCCCCGATCCACATTCATTCAATCCTTCAAGATTCATTGGAGACGATGGAAAATTGTTGAAAGTTGAAGAGGTTTCATTATTTTTGTTGAAAATTCCAACAATATAATTGCATAATTAAGTTGGTCCCATTCTCTATCGGAAAACGGCAATGTCTCGGCGAAGGATTGGCTCGAATGGAGCTTTTCCTCTTCTTCGCCAATCTATTTAACCAATTTGAGGTATACATGCACCTATAAGAATATTCAATTGATAATCTTGTATTCAGATTTCTCTCGATTCGATCCATCCAATCCCTCGCCATCTCTTCAGAAAGAGTTCGGAATCACAGTTTCACCACAAAATTATAAAATTCGATGTAATCCGAGATGGTAGATCAAATAATTGCCAACTATTATGCAATTTTTTGAGACAAAATTATAAAGTTGTGTTAATACCAGAAAAGAGAGTCAACACACTTCAAATGACGCCATCTTTGAGAGTAGACGATTTTGTGATTGTTCGAAAAAAATAAATATTAGAGATGGCAATATCTGCCGACGGGTTGATTTTTCGGTGTTCATTCATTCATTTTCACTCTAATTTTGTGGTGTCTTCGAAGAACCCATCTTGATCTTTTCAATAATTTCTTGTTGAGTTCTGATCATTTTGAGCTCTTTCAGACACATCAGATGTATAACACATTTCTCTTGTCGCTTTTCAGCACAAAATCTACAATTTCAAATTGTTTCAGTGATTTTTCTGCTGCTAACATGCAGATTTGCTTTATAAACAACAATATATGTAACTATTTATTCATTTAATCAATGTCAATTTGGTGTTGGTGGTTTTGATTCAGATTTTGAAGCTCCCGCCGTCTTCTTGTCGTAAACATTACCAGATCGATAACACATATAAGAGACAACGGAAAGAATCGAAAACACAGCGGATAGCACAATTGAGGATGCTAGAATAATCTTCAACGAGTGATCGACAGCAACTCGAGAATCGATCAGAGGATTGTGGTAGCATTCTGATCCAGATGTAGTACGTACACACACTTCCTTTTGGTTTGGGCAATCTCTAAAAGAAACAACGACAGAATAAACCTGGCGAGTATGAAAACATTACTTATTAATGCTGCATTTGTGGCCAGTTACGATTACCGACCTCGACGACGCCAATTGTTTTTCTCCGATGACCGTGAGATTGCCGGAGGCCGGATCGCAAAACATAAAGTTCGAATAATCCGGTGGAGGCGCAGCTGGATCACATTTCCGTGCAGTGATATATGGTTTCTCGCCCAATTTCAACGACGGCATGGTAACCAACGGCGGACAACATCTGCCATAAGAGCAAATTCCGGCCGGCTGTGCCTTGCAAATTCCCGAATTCGGATCATTCGCGACGACATTTTCACACCTCGGCTCATTGAATTTCGGAGTTTGGTAATCAGGGCAGTGCCACAGTAATTTATCGAATCTTCCTGAAAGTATTAATTGTTTATTAAGTGCAATTAGACGACTCACCGTTGCAACAAACTCCACTTTTTTCGTCGCACCACAAAGTTTTTAGTCCACGAGCTCCCTTATTACAATCATCAAAAGTTGAACATTTTCTGAATGGAGTAGCAACATTTCCATATTCGCACATCCCAGTTGTATCTTCTTAAAAATGGAGAGATTTACTCAAGTTTTTGACTATAACTTCATACGGTAACAGCATAGTCGCACTTCCTCATTTCCAAGAGCTTCATTCATTTTTGTGCATTTTCCACTGAATTTAATAGAGTTTTAGATTGTTCGAATATAATTTCTAACATTTTGTTGAAACTATCGGGTCCTGGGTACTTTCCACCTTCTATACAGTCTGCATCTCTATTGCATAAACTTTTTGATGACGAGAGTTGTCCGACGGGATCGAATTTAGCAGTTATTCCTTGGTTCGATGAATCACCATCTAACGTATTTTGATTCGTGACTTTACACAAATCTGCTTTCTTGGCGCAAAAACCATTCTGCTCTACATATTCGCTTTCGACAATCCGTTGAAAACCACCAAAGAATGGTTTGTAGCAGAAATATTCGGGGTTTTTGCAATTCTTTGACTTCGTGCACAATTTCAGACCGACATCATCGTCTAAGATCACTTGGACGTGAGAAAGTTCTTCAGGAACTGAAAACGTGATATTGGAATAACTGAGTTTATACTCGACTTACTTTTATAGCAGAATCTTCTAGACTTATGATTATTGCTTCGGTCAACATTTTCAACCGAATACGGCATGGAACCATTGAAAGATGGGTTGACTGCGTCGTCACAGAACTCATTTTTATCGCAGTCCGAATTCTTATTACATGATTTTGGAGTGCCTTAAAACACACTGAAATCGTTCCCACTGAAAATAATTACCGGAAGGTAGAACTTTCATCCATTTGAAAAATTGAAATGAATATGGAATTGCTTAAAAACGGAGTTTGATTTGAAAACGACGAATGCAAAACATACGACAGCAAATATCATTTTCGGGTGTATAACCATCTGGACATTTTCCATCAATTTTTCCATAAAGATAACTGCCATCAAAACGATTAGTGGCACCACTAACTGAATGAAACGTCCACATTTTGGTGCTACAGTATGTCTCTAAGTTGCCTGAATTCACAGAATAAAATGAATTGAAATTGAAGTGAATCAAGTTGTTTTATTGCTCTTACCGCAGCAGTACCTTCCCCCCTTCGCCCCACGATAACAAATTTCGCCATCGGGACATGCCTCATTTCGACATTCTTTGAGATTCGGCTGTTTTTTAGCACATACTGCAAGGATATCTATAGCTATGACAAAACCAATTCGTTTACCGTTTTCGGCTGTTGCTGATCCAACAAGAAACGCGATAAATATCAGGGTCGTTGTAATTGAAACGACCATATTCGGATTGCCAGTCGACAGCTTTCAAATTCGCAAAATGCGATTTCTTTCTTCTTTTCAAAGTATAAAAAGAACTGATGCTGGTATTTTCTGGGTTTTTCGAAAATAACACACGTGCAGTTCACGTACTTGTTCATTTTAGCTCACTTTTTAATGAATCTTTTTCCATTTTTTTTTCGAAGCATTCCATTTTTAATCCTTTTCTTTTTATCCTTCCTTCGCTGTCCCCTGCCTCGTCGAGTGTGGTCGCTTGGTGGTCCGTTGTTCTCACATTTCGTGGGATTCTACGGTTGCGTATCCTTTTGTTCTAATAACCAAAGTACAGTAAAGAGGTTAAGCTGCCGTCCTACCAAATTGTGGTAGGGCGGCGCTTCCCTTATTTTTCTCACTTTCATATTCATTAGGAATTGATAACGTTTTGAAAAAAAACTGATTTTTTTCTTCTATGAAGTGAGGAAATTACAAATAAATAAAGCGGTGGATCAAAAAGAATAAGAGTTGGTAAAACAGGGCCGACATAAGCGACTCTGGAAGGAAGGAAAAGGACCTTGATAGAGGGTTGCGGGGGTTTATACATATACAGGGTGGCTGAAAATTACCCGGACTAAAATTTCGAGCCTTCGTGAGGCGCACTGGTGCTTTTTCAGCGCAATGTTTTTTTAATTTTTTCAATTAGCAATGTTTTTTTTTACTATCTCTCAAATTTTCATGATAATTGGTTCGGTTTTAGCAAAATGGCGAAGCAAAATGCAAACCGACCCGCAATTATCGCATTGCACAAGTCCGGAATAGGCACGTATGCAATTTGGAAGCATCTGAGAATTCCGAAAAACACCGTCTACGATGCAATTTCTCGTTTCAAGGATCTTGGCACAACCCAGGACCGTGCAGGCAGAGGAAGAAAAACTACGGTGACGACTTCTTCGAACGTTAAGATCGTCCGAGTTAGACGAAATGCTCATCAGAGCATCAAAAAGATGGCTTCCGCCCTGAATATTTTTTACCCCCATAAAGAAAAGATACGTCTTCATTTTGTTCCAAGAGGAATTTGCATTAATTTCAGATTTTATGTTTTTGGAATAAATCTTACTAGAATCAGATCGCAATCAGAAAAATATTCAAGAGTGAGAAATGTTAATCAAAGATCACTAATTGGTCAAATTTTGACATTATCGAGCAAAATTTTCGAATTCCGGAAGCGATCACAGTTGTCGATTTACGAGAGCAGCAGCGTCTTGAAAGGAAAAGGCCCATTGTGGGAAGTTGCTTGAAAAAGCAAGACTAGAAATTTCTATATACATTTTTTAATGTATGCACTTTTAAATTATTTAATAATTTTTGGCCATTCAAATTTTTCGTCCGTCCGGTCAGTTCGCACTACTCCTTATCAAAACCATGATAGCAATTCGTTTGGTGCGATGATCCAAATATACTTGAGGAAAAACTAATTTTTTCCAAAAAAAAAATTCACTGCCTAGAACGATTTGAGCCGGCTAGATTCGATGATTTCCAAAAAATTAGCAATATTAGTGTCATTCGAGGTGATTGGAGTTCTTCTTGCTAATTTTTGTTATTTTCCCAACGCCTACGGATGTTCATTGAATTATTATCAAGATCGTTTCAGATATATCTTTAATCAAGTCAAATCCGATGGAGAAACAAGCCTTCAAAAAATAAACGCGCGCAATTCAAACTCGGAATAGCCAGTCTGCAGACACCGAGGCAACAAAGTGCACACAATTTTTGTTCAGTTTAAAAATTTTCATTTTCAATCATAAAATTTCGTTTTTATCTTGAAAACGTTCGATTTTTTATAGCAGAATGCAAAGAATTCTATCAAGGACAAATAAATGGGCATTCATTCGAGCTCTAAGCGATTCGGCAAATAAACCAGTTGCTAAAAACGCGGACAAACCACGATTCGCCATTCGAAATCTTGATCCAACAGCTCCCGTGGAAAAATTATCGCTTTCAAGGGGTCTAGCGCTGAATAAATTCGAAAAAGTGAGACAAAAGAAGTATAAAATGTTGAAATTGTTGGTATTCTTTCAGGATTTTATGATTTATCCGGAATATTTGGATTCAGATGATGTTCGAAATATTGAAGGTTTCGTCGATATCCTACGAAATTCACTAAAACTTGCATGTAAAATTATTCGAAAAAAAAAACTTGACATTTATTTATTTTTTTATTTTTAGGCGATAGTGCAGAAATCGAAAAAGCCGGCGAGTTGACGCCAGAAGTTCTCGATGCCATGAAAAGCAATGCAATTTTTGGATTATCAATCGGCAAAGATTTCAATGGAGTTGGAATGAATAATAAGGACGTTTCGAAGGTTTTTGAGGTATTTTTTTATTTCTAAAGGCTTTAAGCTCATTGTTTCGTTTTAGGAGCTCAGCGTTGATCTCAACGTGTTCACAACCGCTCAAATCGCTCTAATGGTCGCCAAAATTCTAACAATTTATGGGTCCGATGAGCAAAAATCCAAATTTCTTCCGCTTCTCGCTTCATCGAAATGCCGTCCGGCTATCGCGTTCAGCAAAAATATTGGGTAAAACCGACACAATCGCCGGCGTGAATTGTTTTCGTCGCAATTTAGAGCAAAATTAACGATGGCAAGTGTGGGAAAATCGATGATCACCGGCGAGAATGTGAGAGTTGTCGGGCAACACAACGCGAATTTCTTTCTCGTGTTCGCCGACTCGCCAAATAAGAGCACAAGGCAAATCGAGCAGACGTGCTATATTCTAAACGAGCCGGATTTCGAGAGCACTGATAGCTTGAAGTTCGAAAGACTCCACGTTAGGATTGAAGGCGGTGGATGGTAATCATTATCAATTTTCGGTTCAATTGAATCTTGACAAATCCTAGTGGGAAAAATCACATTCACCGCGTCGATTACACCGGAAAATGTTCTTGGAGATGCTGGAAATGGTCCGGAGGTACCAAAATTGATAACAAATGATAAACGGGAAGAAAAAAAAAAGCAAGTTTCAGGTTGGAAGTGAGCTAGTGTGCAGCGGTCGCATCACATTCGCCGCCGGCGTCGTCGGAATCGCGCGTCGAGCGCTTCGAGACCTGTCGATTTGGTGTAATCGTGCGCCGAGTCGAAACACGTCGCGTGCGACGCTCGCCGACGATTTCAGCGCTCAGCGAATCGTGACGGACGCGGCGCTGAAAGTCTACGCGCTGGAATCGGCGTTGTATTATATCGCCGGAATGGTTGATGAGGGCTTGGCAGTGGTGATTGACATCGAAAACGCGCTTCTATGTGTAATTGAGGGGCAGAATTCCGAATTCACGATGATCTGACAAACAATTGCAGATTCTTTCGAAGGAGGTGATCCAATCCATCATTTCGGTGCAGCTAGAGCTCATCGGAATGGCGGCCAGTGAGCAAGGATCCCCGCAGGAGAAGCTCATCCGAGATGCCACTACTCTTTTATCAGTGGTAATTGATTCGAAATGCGCTTCTCTGTTGTTTTCTTCACGATTCCCTTTAAGATGGACGATGGTGTTGAAGTCGATCAAATCGCATTGGCCACAATTTCCACATGGGCGACATCATCGTCCCATAAGCGGATAACGAGCACGTTGAAGCGTTGGTTGACGAATGAGAAGGAAGCTGAAGAGCTTCGAAATCCGGGTTTGACGCATTATATTGCCGAGCACGCTCATCCGTCATTGCAGGTTTGCAAAGAATTTTGCCAAATAATTGGGTCCTATTTTTTTGCACTTTTAAGATTTGTTTAAAAAAAAATGCTATGCATAATAGCTATGCTATAAATGCTATGTATGATGATTAGGATGTTTCCACACGAGACCCAATTCAATTCAAATGATACAAGCTCAAATGCGTATTTGAGAATTGTTTTTGTTTTCAGCTTGCGTGCCAGGAGCTCGAATTCTCAATGTCTCGCATCAATGTGGTGATTTCGAAACTTCTAAAATCGCAAGGCAAAAATGTTGAGCAGGATTATGGAACGCATGAGGCAATTGTGAAAGTCTTAAAGGTAGGATATTTCGAGAAAAAGAAAGAGCGGCCATCAGAACCCTTTTGATTTTGGCGCGTAATGCTCCTTTAATCAATTGTTTCATTAAAATTTCGGAATTTTATTCGAATATCATGAAAAACAATTTTTTCCGATTCCGAATTTGGCGAAACATAATGCAGTGTATGTTCAGTCTTATTAGACATATGAACACCACAAAAATCCATTCCAGTATCCTTGAATGGTCGGGTCGGTTGCGTTCGCGACTCCGGGAATTGCGCGAAGTCCGGCTGTTTGTATGGCTTCAATCGACGGCGTTCACTTTGTCGGCAACGGGTGAGAATCTTCATCACGTAGCTTCTCCCTTGAGTTATCCAAACAACTTCACGAATTGCAGCTAGCGTATATGACGTACTGGCGTGGCCGTGACGTTCGTGTTTATCGACAACGAAAAGTTCGCCAACTCTACCATGGGAAGGTAGATCAAGGGCTTATTGATTTGTCCATGAAATATCCATAAGTCATCTTGTCTCTGCAATCGGAGGTTGCGGATGATGTCGTCCGAAAGGGGATGTTCTTGTTGGGCCAGCTTGAACGCGGTCCTCCGACTCTTCGTGGCATAGGATTGCACTGATTCGTTTAATTTTTTACGTAACCCAATGCATATAACCAATGCTTACCGAAACAGCATAAATTACCATCTACCTTAGGCTCATCGAGTTTTGTGCATTTTCCGCTATAAAAAATTTTCGTTTTGGTGTTCATATGTCTAATAAGACTGAACATACACTGCATTATGTTTCGCCAAATTCGGATCGCGTCCGTCGCTTACACAATCAGCATCAGTGTCGCAGAATGTGTAGCCAGCAGTCAGCCGTCCGAAAGGACCAACAATTCCGCTTTTACTAGCGACTTTTACGTATTCTAACTATCATAATATGAAAGAGCATATTTTTTTAAATGAAATTTTAAAACTGTAAAGGATAAGCCTGTCAGGTTCTACCACAAAAACTTAATCAAACCGCATCAGCTCGACCGGAAGCCGTGGGCGACCGGGAGCTGATGCAATCCCTTATCAATCTCTTATCAATCCTTTTTTAATCCAAAATATTTTATTGTAAATACCAACATACATATATGTATAAACCCCCGCAACCCTCTATCAAGGTCCTTTTCCTTCCTTCCAGAGTCGCTTATGTCGGCCCTGTTTTACCAACTCTTATTCTTTTTGATCCACCGCTTTATTTATTTGTAATCTCCTCACTTCATAGAAGAAAAAAATCAGTTTTTTTTCAAAACGTTATCAATTCCTAATGAATATGAAAGTGAGAAAAATAAGGGAAGCGCCGCCCTACCACAATTTGGTAGGACGGCAGCTTAACCTCTTTACTGTACTTTGGTTATTAGAACAAAAGGATACGCAACCGTAGAATCCCACGAAATGTGAGAACAACGGACCACCAAGCGACCACACTCGACGAGGCAGGGGACAGCGAAGGAAGGATAAAAAGAAAAGGATTAAAAATGGAATGCTTCGAAAAAAAAATGGAAAAAGATTCATTAAAAAGTGAGCTAAAATGAACAAGTACGTGAACTGCACGTGTGTTATTTTCGAAAAACCCAGAAAATACCAGCATCAGTTCTTTTTATACTTTGAAAAGAAGAAAGAAATCGCATTTTGCGAATTTGAAAGCTGTCGACTGGCAATCCGAATATGGTCGTTTCAATTACAACGACCCTGATATTTATCGCGTTTCTTGTTGGATCAGCAACAGCCGAAAACGGTAAACGAATTGGTTTTGTCATAGCTATAGATATCCTTGCAGTATGTGCTAAAAAACAGCCGAATCTCAAAGAATGTCGAAATGAGGCATGTCCCGATGGCGAAATTTGTTATCGTGGGGCGAAGGGGGGAAGGTACTGCTGCGGTAAGAGCAATAAAACAACTTGATTCACTTCAATTTCAATTCATTTTATTCTGTGAATTCAGGCAACTTAGAGACATACTGTAGCACCAAAATGTGGACGTTTCATTCAGTTAGTGGTGCCACTAATCGTTTTGATGGCAGTTATCTTTATGGAAAAATTGATGGAAAATGTCCAGATGGTTATACACCCGAAAATGATATTTGCTGTCGTATGTTTTGCATTCGTCGTTTTCAAATCAAACTCCGTTTTTAAGCAATTCCATATTCATTTCAATTTTTCAAATGGATGAAAGTTCTACCTTCCGGTAATTATTTTCAGTGGGAACGATTTCAGTGTGTTTTAAGGCACTCCAAAATCATGTAATAAGAATTCGGACTGCGATAAAAATGAGTTCTGTGACGACGCAGTCAACCCATCTTTCAATGGTTCCATGCCGTATTCGGTTGAAAATGTTGACCGAAGCAATAATCATAAGTCTAGAAGATTCTGCTATAAAAGTAAGTCGAGTATAAACTCAGTTATTCCAATATCACGTTTTCAGTTCCTGAAGAACTTTCTCACGTCCAAGTGATCTTAGACGATGATGTCGGTCTGAAATTGTGCACGAAGTCAAAGAATTGCAAAAACCCCGAATATTTCTGCTACAAACCATTCTTTGGTGGTTTTCAACGGATTGTCGAAAGCGAATATGTAGAGCAGAATGGTTTTTGCGCCAAGAAAGCAGATTTGTGTAAAGTCACGAATCAAAATACGTTAGATGGTGATTCATCGAACCAAGGAATAACTGCTAAATTCGATCCCGTCGGACAACTCTCGTCATCAAAAAGTTTATGCAATAGAGATGCAGACTGTATAGAAGGTGGAAAGTACCCAGGACCCGATAGTTTCAACAAAATGTTAGAATTTATCATCGAACAATCTAAAACTCTATTAAATTCAGTGGAATATGCACAAAAATGAATGAAGCTCTTGGAAATGAGGAAGTGCGACTATGCTGTTACCGTATGAAGTTATAGTCAAAAACTTGAGTAAATCTCTCCATTTTTAAGAAGATACAACTGGGATGTGCGAATATGGAAATGTTGCTACTCCATTCAGAAAATGTTCAACTTTTGATGATTGTAATAAGGGAGTTCCTGGACTAAAGATTTTGTGGTGCGACGAAAAAAGTGGAGTTTGTTGCAACGGTGAGTCGTCTAATTGCACTTAATAAACAATTAATACTTTCAGGAAGATTCGATAAATTACTGTGGCACTGCCCTGATTACCAAACTCCGAAATTCAATGAGCCGAGGTGTGAAAATGTCGTCGCGAATGATCCGAATTCGGGAATTTGCAAGGCACAGCCGGCCGGAATTTGCTCTTATGGCAGATGTTGTCCGCCGTTGGTTACCATGCCGTCGTTGAAATTGGGCGAGAAACCATATATCACTGCACGGAAATGTGATCCAGCTGCGCCTCCACCGGATTATTCGAACTTTATGTTTTGCGATCCGGCCTCCGGCAATCTCACGGTCATCGGAGAAAAACAATTGGCGTCGTCGAGGTCGGTAATCGTAACTGGCCACAAATGCAGCATTAATAAGTAATGTTTTCATACTCGCCAGGTTTATTCTGTCGTTGTTTCTTTTAGAGATTGCCCAAACCAAAAGGAAGTGTGTGTACGTACTACATCTGGATCAGAATGCTACCACAATCCTCTGATCGATTCTCGAGTTGCTGTCGATCACTCGTTGAAGATTATTCTAGCATCCTCAATTGTGCTATCCGCTGTGTTTTCGATTCTTTCCGTTGTCTCTTATATGTGTTATCGATCTGGTAATGTTTACGACAAGAAGACGGCGGGAGCTTCAAAATCTGAATCAAAACCACCAACACCAAATTGACATTGATTAAATGAATAAATAGTTACATATATTGTTGTTTATAAAGCAAATCTGCATGTTAGCAGCAGAAAAATCACTGAAACAATTTGAAATTGTAGATTTTGTGCTGAAAAGCGACAAGAGAAATGTGTTATACATCTGATGTGTCTGAAAGAGCTCAAAATGATCAGAACTCAACAAGAAATTATTGAAAAGATCAAGATGGGTTCTTCGAAGACACCACAAAATTAGAGTGAAAATGAATGAATGAACACCGATAGTTAAATTAATGCTTTCGGAATTAAAACGCGGAAAGAATATTGACACATTTTAAATGATAAATGTGAGGTAAACAAGAATACTCAATTGAAAATGAACATTTTACGATGTGATCGAATTAATTGATTGACTATATAGAATCATTCAACCATTCGACTTCGGCAATCTTCCACATCTACAAATATCGATTGTTACGAATTGTACCATTCAAGTAAATTTTACCTGACGCTCATTTGATCCATTACATGATTCAACAATCGGAGGATTAAATTCATCATCATTTCCACTAGATCCTTTTTTGATTGGCATTGCTAAGCATAGCCCACTTTTTACATGTTTCAACCTTCCAATCTAAATAATTATGATGAGTGTATGTCTTCGAAGAAATTCTCGAGAGATTTTCATCGAAACGGTTCAAAAATTTCGAACAGTAGTGACAAAAAATGATCGAAAATCCTTGAGGATTTCTCGAGAAATCTTTGATTATCTATGAGAATTTCATATCGACTTTGGAAGAGTGTGACGAAGGGCATCCACTGAGAACTCGCAAATAATCATTTCAGATGTATGTTGCTACGAGAAATGCGAACCCGAAAACGCATGTCGGCGAGGAATTGCCAATAATGCGCAAGAATAGTCATCATACAGGTGACGAAGCCCCTCTATATAACGGTCTATTAGAAACCACCCCGACTTTTCACCCCCAATTTTTAGATTTCACCTCTATTTTTTCACTGCACTTCAAAATTTGCAGTTTCTAACAGTAATGTTTAGCAGTAAGTTTAAAAAAAAATTTTTAATCTGCAATAATTCAAGTTATCAAGAGGAAATTGGCAAAATTGATGTCTGAATTAGATTTTTCAGACACTATGTAGGCTTGCAAATACGCTTGATATCGAAATACACAATTGGACACTCGAAATATTGACAATTGTTGGAAAATCCGAAAATCTTACGAAATACGAAATCTTTCTGAACCGGGTTTTCCGAGAATATTTCATTACTTGTTAAAATTTTCAGCCTTTCATAAGAACATTACATAGTTTCTGAAAAATCTAATTGAGACATCAGTCCTGCGAATCTCCTCTTGATAACTTGAAATATTGCAAATTAAAAAAAATTTTACTACTAAACATTATTGTTAGAAAATGCAAATTTTGAAGTGCGATGAAAAAATTGGGGGTGAAAAAGTGGGGGTGGTATCATAAATTAAAGGAGGGGTGGTTTCTAATAGACCACAAAAATGATCTCGTCTATATCAATGCCACAATTCAAAGATTGGCAAAAATTTATTGAGTCTATTCAACGACCAGCGGAATGACATTCACATTGTAATCGAGCGAATTATTCATTTGGAGCTCTTCGAATGCCTGAATGGCACTGCGGCCAGGCGCGTTCTATAAAAACGAAATATCACGACGATACGGTGGTGACGAGTTTTGGCACCTTTGTGGTGACCACAACAAGCTTGTCCGATTTCGGACCGCCATTCTCGCGGAGCACATTCACCACGGTGTCGGTGTTCGGCTCAACGTTGCCGAACACCGGATTCACACTGTATAGAAGATTGTCCGAGCATTTAACCTAAAAACGATTTAAAAAATTTGTTCTTTTTTTTTTTGATCTACCAGAAATGCCGACGTTTCTTTGGTGGCGTTTCGAATTCGAATTTGCTTGAGACCGCCGAATGGTTTGAACGCGACCTCATGGGGAATCACACGAATATTGGCATAGGTGGTGATATTGAGCTCGGCGCTCTCGGAGCTCGGATTTTGGGCGTCGGCTCGTCGGACGACGGCTTTCGACGCCGCTTTTTTGTCGGCGAGCAGCATTGCTTGGATTTTGCGCTTCAAATTATTGTTGTAGAATTCGCTAAAAGAAAAACAAAATCTTACCTCCGACGGGTTCAGTCTCTTCGATTTTGATTTGTTGGACGCCGATTTTCGCGAGCTCGACTTTGTGGATTTCGATCGCGACGGCTTCGGACGACGTCGTCGCGTCGCGCGGCTGCCGCTTCGACGCGATGATTGCGTCGATTTCGTCGAAGCATTCGATTTTCTTGATCGACGATTACTACGCTGAAGTCAAAATGATGCGATTTTGGTGAGCTCGTCGAATCGGCCGAAAACCTGAGAAGCGCGACGCTGCGGTGATTTTCGATCGGACGCGCATTGGAAAATGGTGTTGACGATGATTGCAAGAGCAATGGTTACATAAACAATCAACATTTCAAAATGGTCGAACAATTGAATTAATTTTTTTTGTTGATGATGTCATCACGCAAAAAAAATAAGAAGAGTTGACGAGAAAAATTTCAGCTCATTTTTGAATAGAATCGAGTTTGAAAGCAGTTGTTTGATAAAGTCGTGAGTTTTTCATTTTTTTTTCTCCAATGCGCCACTTGGCGGATTCAGATGGCTTCGACACCAGCGCCGGGAACCGGCGAACCGCCTGCCGAAGGCGCTGATGATGCCGCCGCCGAAGAGGCCGCGTGAGTTGGATGCGAGAGAATCGCCATCAATTTTTTAATTGTTCAGAAAGAAAACCGAACTCTATGGAGGTGTCATGCCACCAGAGGTCGAAGAATCACCAATTGCGCCATGCATTCAGAAGCTCAAAAGTGCAATGGTATGTTGGAAAAAAATGACCTAGAAAAAATGGTTTGGCCACGGCCACAATTGATAGCTTAATTAATTTAAATAGGTAGAACTAAATTAATATATGCGTGTGAAATTAAAAAATTGTAAGTATTAATTTCGAATAATAAAAATAAAGTTTTTAATAATTTCGATGGTATACGGTACACACTGCGGTGTTTGCACACACACATACGAGTTGACGCGTGTATGCGGAATTTTTGTGGGGAACGCTGGTTTTGAGCGATTGCTTATCTTTTCTTCTATTTTATGGCAATTTCGCTAGTGATAGCATAATTTGATATAATTGTTTGTGTTTGTTTGATTTAGAATATATCTGATTCTGAATTTTATATTGCCGATTAATTTAATTATTGTTTGTTCGTTGCCGCTAATACATTTTATCAGATAAATTCGTATATCTACAGAGCGCGACTTACAGCAAGTAACCTGAGGTTGCTAAATTTTTCTAGGCCAGACCCGAGCTGTGTTAAACTCTTAATTGGTCCTGCAAATTAACTGGTGACATTTTCATCAAGTTAATCGGTTTCGAGGGTTATTCTTGCCAAATAATTAAACAAAAAACAAAATTTCCCAAAATTACAAATTGTGCGATCACCTTTCAACTCTACGTACTTGCATTTAAATCTACGGCTAATCATTTCAAAATATGTTCAGGTTTTTTATTTTATAACTTTGAATTTTTTAAAATTCATATTTTCCACAATTGTTTTATACGACTCAGTATTTCTAATGCTCATTCTCGATTCTTTTTTGAAATATTTCACAATCCATTTTTTTTGAATTCGTCGAAATGTGTTTAAACGGTTTAAAAATATGCATTTCTTCAGCAACGATATAGTATTTCGACTAAAAAATTTTTTTTAATCGCCTCACACAATATTGATTATTTCAGACGGTCGAATTGATAATCTTCATCATTGGCGTCGCTCTCGCATTCATTTCGTTCGGAATCCTATTCCTCTTCCACATTTTGTCGTCGAATGGCACCATTCTGTTTGTCAAATTGCCGCCGACACCACGAAAAGTGCCGATGAAAGTTGTCGAGGAAGTCACTCAGGCGGCATTGAAGGCAGTTAGCCATAAATAATTTTTTTTTCAATGAAAAATTGGATTTAAAACAATCTCATAATTAGGAATCGAGTAGAATTATGCTCGCTGTGGGATCGGATAGCAGCACAGTCCGTATGGGCGAATCGAATCGTCTTTGGGAACCGCCCAGATCACACTATGGTTATTGTTCTCCAACCGGACAACTGTTATAGCTTCAGGGTTCACACGAGCTTGAAATATCACTAGTTTGTTATCGCCCTATAATTTTTGAATCATTATTTGTTTTCCCCCAAATTGCGTCATGATGATTACGTTGACATTTCGAACATCCGAGTATTTTAAAGCGGTTTGCGGATCGGGTGAGCAGAAGACGAAGTCGTCGTCGTCGCTGTATTCGCCGGCTAGTTGGGAAATGATTCCGTCGGCGGCGTCAATCGTCAACTTGGTTCCGATATAGGCGACGGGCCATTCGTCGGGACTGCCGTTCATTTTCAGCCACTCATCGCCATCCGTGTATCGGCCTTCCAGCTGAATGAAAAACAATCAATCCTTCGAGTTGGATTCGTTTTTTTGCAAAAGAAATGCGGGATTTCGTTTTTTTTTCTCGAAATCCATTCTATTCAACCTGCATTTCTTGTGCAATATAAATATTTTTCAATAATGAATTGGCTTACTCTGATAGCATGTCGCTCTGAACCGCATGGCCTAATATATCGAAATTTTCCGCGATAATATTCTTTGCCCCTATCCTAAATCGTAGAAATGAGATTCATTTTTAAAAAATTCGACCACGGCCACCATTTTTAAAGTTTGCAGTATCAAGATTTTAATTGAATCGCTTCAGGAATCATGAAATGTTATCATATGCGCCTTTAATCGTTTTGGATTCGATTCGGTAGAGAATTTAGATGGCGATCAAATAAATTGCAGCGCGAACAATTAAAATCTTTAAATTCAGAAAAAAAAATGGGTGAAATATTCTAAAAATTCAAAAAATAAAAAATTGCGGATGTGAAATATGCCATGGCCGAACAACTCGTGGCCGCGAGCGGGCGGCGGCCGCCGTTTTTTCTTCCCAATTTAATTTTTGTTAATCCAAGTTTTTCGATTTCGGTTAAAGACGCATATAATAAAATTTCACGATTTTTATAGCGATTTAATTAAAAAAAAAACTGTGGTGATATAGGCTAGGCTTCGAAAAACGTGGCCGTGGCCGAGTTTTTTTTTTTGCATAGCAATGCTTCACCTTTTTGTTTGTAAAATTCTTAAATTTATTCGGGTCAAGGAGTTGATCATTGAACGTCTGATTTTGCAAAAGTTCGTCGAGTCGCTGCTAAAATTTATTTTGGAAAAAAAATCAATATTTAAGAATAGGAATTATTGTGACCAAAAAAAAGGGCGTATGTCTGAAATTCTGAAAAAAAGGTCCGACAACACTCGGATAACTCAAAAACCAATCGGATTCGACAAAATTCGGCACCGGAATCTACCAAATCCGATTTGAATCGAAAACAATCAAACAAATTGGATCGCCGTTATTCCGGTGCCGAATTTTGTCGCATCCGATTGGTTTTTCGAGTTACCAAAGCATTCAGAAGCGATTTTTTGAAGATTCCAACAAAAAAAAATGCAATATATTGATTTTTTTTGTCCACAAGTCCAAACTTACTCGAGCTGCGAAAATATCGCCCGGCTCGTTGTTAATTACTGGAACATTTTCGTCATTCATTCCTGAAAATTGAAATGACGTTGAAGAAAATCGATAGTTTTATTGGCATGTAAACAATTTTGAAGATGATAAGCGAAATGGTGTGATGCAATCAAAAAAAGAGATGATAAAAATTATCAAAAATTTGGAAGTTTGATTTGGGCGGGGGAAAAATGCGATTTTTGGGCATCTGTGATAGCTCAAAACCATTCGGATTCGAATTGCTACTAAAATGCGAACATTCTATGAACAATGTATTCGCTTATCAGTCACGAGTCGGTTCGAACAACAATCTGTGTTGGTCAATCATCAAATTTCTTTATCCGATCATGATAACAAGTTTCATCAAATCTTTTTTAGTGCCATTTTTCCAATTTTTTAGGCGTTGAATATTTTAAAAAAAAATAGAAAAATAATTGGGAACCAGAAACTCAAAGCTCAGAAAATGATTGTTTTCAAATATATTTCTATAGCACTGAGAAACATAAAACTTTTCGATCCTGTGTGATTGCTCAATCAATTGTTCTTGTGGTGATCTCCTTCCGAAGCAAGTCCAACCATCTCATAGGAGGCCTTCCATTCGGTTAGAATAGTAGTTTATCTTCCATCTATCCTTCTCGCTACGTGTCCAGCCCAGGTCATCTTCCTCTTCGTGATGTGATTTTGGGGGTCTCGAACTTTAGACATGATGCGGATGTCCTCTCGAAGAAGGTCTTGCTCACGATAACGTGAGGCCAACCAGTCTTTCGCTTCACAGGGCCACAACGATTCCAATTTCGAAATCAAATTTAAAATGACGTTGCGGTCTTGTGCACTTTATTTTCGCAAGCAGGAAATAATAAAAAAAATTGCCACTTCCGTGAGTTTATTCTAAATATTATATAAGGTGAATCACCCAAAAATTAAACAATCACATCAGGACTCTTCGGACAGATCAGAGAACTTCAATGCAGCGTCTCGAATAACAGATTGCACGTTTTCATTGGTAATCTAAAATATTTCTTACACATTCAACTGCAGAAAGCTTTCAAAAAATTTTTTTTGGAAAAACTCACCTGACTTTTGAAAATGTGAAAAACGGCGTCAGTGACAGTAAAAGGTTTGTAGGCAGGCAATTCGGTTCCGGGATTTATTTCGAATGTGTTGGGTCTCGAAGTCTTAATTAATTATATTTAATTATTACAAGCGATTACTAAAAATTACCTTTACCGTTGAAAAGAATACAACGATTTGATCTTCAGTTTGCTTCTCAAAATTCGACGAATTGACGAGACATACCTTTCTGACACGAGGGTCGCCAAAAGCTTTTAGCTGAACATTTTGAAATGAGTTGGAATCGAATAAAATTGAAACAAAAAAAACATTGGGGTCAAAAGTTAGTCCGCGCATTTCTAGGCCACGTCATTTTTTTAGAATTATTGTTGTCGTCAAACTAAAAAACGAAATTAATTAAGAAAAACATGATTGGTTGTGCGATGTGCGTCTCAAAGCACCGAAAAGTACGCGAGACTGCGTACATTGCATTATAGTGTACGTGCATTTAATATTCAGCAACTTTACATTCAAACAGCAATGCAAATTTCGATTTAAAATTTTTTTCTCCATTCCATAATAATCTATTCTATTCACAATTTCAATAGAAATACTTAAAACAAAAAACACATTTTTTTTCATTACAATTTTCTTAAAAAAATGGAAAAATTGACGCCGTAGGCCTTATTTTTTTCAATAGCCAAATCGAGAAATTTAGCGAGTCAATTTCGTTGCTATGATTTCTTTTCATATCTTATTTCTGTGGTATTTATTTTTTGCGTTTGAAGAAAAGACAGCCAAAAACATAAAGTGTAGATTTACGGACCTATGTATAGGTTAAAGGAGCACACCGCGCATCGGGACCTCTTTTTAAATATGCGCCTTTAAAATTAAATTTCTGAGAACTCTGGTAAATGATTCCGAGTCGTATACGAAGAAAGCTCAATCGTATACGCTGATATCGCTCTTCAAACGCGGCCAAATACGATTGGGATTTCTTAATATACGATTGGCATTTCTTCGTATACGATTATAATTCTTCGTATATGATTGTGATTTCTTCGTATACGACTATAATTCTTCATATACGGTAACGATTTCTTCGTATTCGATTGGGATTTTTTCGTATTCGATTGGGATTTTTTCGTATTCGATTGAGATTTTTTCGTATTCGATTGAGATTTTTTTCGTATACCATTTCACTTTACACTACTCGTTTGGCATTTTAACGCTTTTAAATATATGATGTAAAGATTTCTATACCTGTTTATTTAAAAAAAAAATATGAAAGACAAAAAAATGAAAAAGAAAAAGGAATAAATTAATTAATTTTGGTTGGCGCATCAACCATTTTTTTCCACTGCTCGCGCTTTCGATCGTGAATTGTTTCTGAATTAAGTTCATTTGAATGATTAATCATGAGGCAGTCTTCGGCATGTGCAGATTTTGGAGAAAAACGCGAAAAATCTGATTAAGACTAGTTTAGCCGAATCTTTATAATGTTGTCGAGTTTCTTTAAAAGGTTTTTACTGCGTTTCTTTTCAAAATCTGCATAGGCCCACTAAAAAAGTGAAAACTCACAGGAGATAGGTCATATGACCGTGTACCAAATAGGAGATTGTAGAATTCGTCGTTTCGTCAGCCATTCCATCGATGGTAACCGTCTTTTGTAAAACAGCTGAAATTAATTTAAACATATTTTAAACATTTTTCGCGCTATTTGAGCATACCAATCGCTGTGTTGACAAACCGAACTGGAAGCGTTGCGTGCGGCGGAGTTGGCTTAAACGATGTTGAATAATTCACACGATCGTTATTGGGAATTGTCTGAAGATATTTTTTGCAACTTTAAATAATTGTAAGATACCTTATCGACAAATCTGTTGACTGTAGTATTTATCACATGCTTCAGAGCTGCCTTCATGAACGGAATTTCCAAAAATATTTGGGCGACGTTGATGTCTCCTGTTAAAAGATTTAATACAAATTCAAAGCTTTCGAAACACAAAAAACCCACTATTTCCATCCAGTGATGGAATAATTATTTCTGCGTCTTTAAGAGCTTCAGGGTTGTATACGGCGATCACGTCGATCTAAATTTAGAGAATAGCAAAATTTAAAAAAATACTCACATTGTTTTTGTTTGGCTTTGCCGCGAATTTTTGGGATAAAGTTTCTATCTGGAAGTATAGGGTTTCTATAGTTTCTATTGTGGTACTATGCAGATTTCGCCAAAAACTCAAACAGCGGTAACCATAATTATAATGGTTTTTGCCGGTTTTGACGAGTTCTGATATTTTTTACGGCTTTTGATGATTTTAATGCTTTTTTTCGCGGAATCTGGTACCATTACATTTGGAATGATTGAACAATAAATAAAACATACCGTAAACATGATTCCTTTCATTTAGAATGTATGGTTGTAGAATAACCCGGTCACCGAACTTCTCATTGAGGAGAAATCCCAATACATCGCCATATTGCAGTGAATTTCGCCAACGAAACATCACGACGCTATTATCCGAAGCAATATTTCTTTGTATTGAGTAGTGTGAGCCTTGATAGCTGTATTTCTCAGTAAACAAATCGCCTTTTTGAGCCAGCATTGAGTACTTCAGTGGTACATCTGTCGTTTTTTCGATATCATCATTCTCCGAATATCGAAATAGCAGTTTTCTCAGTTTCACGATAGACACATCATGTTGTTTTCTCGTTGGGTCCGAATGAAGTCTTGCACGAACTTCGGTCGTCAAATCTTGCAAAATTGCAGCACTAAAATTTTTCTACGGTGTACAATTTTATAATAAAGCATACTTCCGCAACATTCTTTGCCCAATTCCCTTTGTGATTTCTGACGATAATAGTCGTTTCAAACTGTGAAAATAAAATCTCGCGAAGATAATGCTTCCCATTGGCCTAAAGCGAAATAATTTCAAAAATATGCAAAAACGGTAACAACCTCTCGACGTAATGACTCTTTGCAAGTTGTCACAGCTCGACATTGACACAAAATCTTCTTCCGCGCAAGTGAGCTCATCTTCAGACGATTCTATAGAATCTATAGAAATTAAATCTTGCTCTGTTTTTACTTTTAGTTATACCTGATGTTAAGTTTCTCTATTTTCTGAAAATAGTTATTTTCTTCATTTTTTCTGTTGTTATCACCTGTTTCTGTCTCGTTCCGATATTCCCTATATATTTTTTTCCATGATTTCTCGTGTGGTGTAACGATATCGCTTTCGATATGCAAATAGTTTTGAATTTTGCGACATATCTGCAAAGAAAATATAGATTTCTTAGAGCGGAGCCAGTAAAATGCACGATTTTTTTGGAAAGTATATATATTAAAACGCAATATACGCATAAAAATCGAATATGAAAAAATTCGAAAATTTTCGAAAATTGTTTTTCGAATTTAGACGTCAATTTTAATGCATGTCCGCAGTGTATAATTGTGGTGGTTACACTACTGTGATAAAATCCAAATCGTATACGATCCTTGCAATAACGTATACGACGAGGAAATGCGGATGTTTCGTATACGATTACAAACCATTCATCAGAATCGTATACGATCCTATACGATTCACATTAACTAATACGATTACCATTAACGTATACGATTTTAATTTTATCTTATACGATGAAGAAATTCGCTTTTTTCGTATACGACTAGGAATCATTTACCAGAGAATTATGACAAATCGTGTCCGACTTTTGCGCGATTTCTTCAAAACCATGAATTTCAAAAATCAATTGTGTTAAAGGCGCAGTGATGAGTTTTTGAGACTGTATCTCGCAGCGAACCGATTCAAACGGGCGCGCAAAATATTTACCGTTTTCTGTAGATGTCCTGCTGCTTCGTTCTGTGCAAACACATAAATTTGCTGACATTTAGTTCGTCTTAGAACACAATTCCACGCATTGATCACGTGCTCAGCCGGTGAACCGCTGAACTGAAAACATGGGAGATACGCATTCTAGGCTATATGTAGCTCATTTCGACGCACCTTTAAAGGATTCCCCTGCTCGTCATAATTATGATTGGGATTGAATACAACGACTCCCCAATCAAGTTGTAGCGCTTTTCGAATGTAATTCAACTGTGATCCCATGCCCAAACTATCATTGATTATAACATTAACGGACCACTGCCCAGCGCGAGCCTTTCCATTTTCCTGGATGAGCACAACGATTGTCTGCTTCTTGTCATAGTCTTTTGAGGCGAACACGAATCCGCTAGAATCGTCGACGGCCAGCGACGCGTTTATACCGATTCTCGACATGTTCTGTTTGTTCTCCATTATTCCATAAATTTCTTGAGTCACCGCCTCAACCAGCCTGTCGAATTCGTCAATGTTGGTGAACATGAACAATTTTCCCTAATAGCAATATAATAATTTTTCGCGGTTTCTCAATTTTCTATCATCCATACATTACTGATCGTTCGAAGAATTCCGTGATCGTCAAAATAGTATCCAAGGTCTCGCAACGACACTTTTTTCTTTCCGTCTCGACGTTGATGGGAAGCCTGAATTCATGTTGAATTTCAAATGCCTTTGAATTGAACGATAGATTTATTGCGAATCCGAACATTGTAAATTTTTTGTTTCTATTATCAGGCGCATTCACTCACATTTCGGGTGTAGCTTTGTCAATTGTGAAAATGTTTAAATTCTGATTACAGAATTTAAGTCAGGGCTAAACAAATGAAAATGTGTACCAATTTTCATAATAATATCTGAAAAATTGGTCGGGTGACGTTGAAAACACTGAAAATTTGACGCTTGCAACCGCTTCACATTTATAAAGCCACCCCCGTGGACACCGTAAAAACTCTATTATAAAACCAGATCAAAAATTAGTTGCGCCACCATTTAAGAAAATAACGTCGTGAATTCGATTTGGCATCGATCGGGTCAGGTTTTCCATATTTTGGGTGGTTTTGGTGTTGTTGAATTCTTGCTCCACTAGATCCCACTCGTCGGTAATCGCCGCTTTCAATTTATCAATGAATCGATATTGCTTGCCATGACGATAAAAGCGGCGAACCAGCTCTTCCCAAGCATTCTCCATCGGATTGAAGTCTGGTGAGCACGCTGGCCACTCCAAAACGTCGATATTTTCTTTGCTGAGCCAATTCAAAGTCCATCGATTCACATGAATTACGGCATGTTCTGTTGGAATATGACAATTTCTGCGCCGAAATGACAATGGAAGTTCCTTTAACACTCGTTAATAGTCCAGCGAGTTCATCCGACAGTTGACTTTGAGAAATCCCGCCAAAGCTCACCAGAGATCATGAGATTCCCCTTTGAAAAAATTACTTCCGTAAGTTGTGCCAATAACACTTATTTTCATCGGCACCATCAATGTTTAACTTTTTCTCATCCGAGAAAATGATCTAATGATAATCGTATTGTTTTTTTTAAAGAAAAGTGTCGTTAAAAAGTTACCTCTGTCTAGTCAATGGCCCATGTTGTCTCGAGCAAATGCGAGACGACGCAACTTGTGATGGTCCTGGAGGCATAACTGCCCGGATGATGTTGGAATCAACTTTAAGTGTCCTCCAAATCGTCGTCTCATTTTTGATGTTGCTGAAATCCTTCGGTTCGACCATCCAGCGATTTTCGAGAATCGATGGTTGCCATTTTGGCCTCGATAGGCAAAAATCCCCGTGATATGTTCAATGTTCACTTCTAATTCTCCTTCAGGTCTCCACAATTTCAGACCTTTCACAGGTGTGGCTTTAAAAAAGCGAAACGGTTGCAAATGGCCAATTTTCCGCGTTTTCAATGCCACTCGGCCAATTTTTCAGATATCATCATGAAAATTGGTACACATTTGCATTTGTTTAGCCCACAGAGGTGACTTTATATATAGATATATATTTTTTTAATATAATTTTTTGCTTGCGCTGAAATAAACCCAAAAACTAACCAATGGAGCTGTCTGTTGATTTCCACGCCCAGCTGAATTTTGCTTTGAAACGTTCTGAAGGAAGAGTGTTTAGAAAATGTAAAAATCCTATGAACTTTAAATCTTGGAGCCGGCGAAATTTGATGGATTCTTTCTACTCAAACAGGAGATACCATTGCAAAAAAAGAGAAGAAAGTTTGACTTATGATTTTGAATTTCGTTTGGGGCTCTCCCACTTTTTTCGAAAAATTTTGAACAGTTAATTTAATATCAAATGCTGATATCTCAAAGTTTTCGAATACATTTCAACATTTCACTCATTTATTGTTTGCGCCGAACAAAACCCAAAAAACTAACCAATTGAGTTGTCTGTTGATTTCCATGACCAGCAGAATTTTGCTTTGGAACGTTCTGAAGGAAGAGTGTTTAGAAAATGTAAAAATCCTATGAACTTTAATTCGGCTTTAAGTCGACAAAATTTGATGGATTCTTTCTATTCAAACGGGCGATACCATTGCAAACAAAGAGAAGAAAGTTTGACTTATGATTTTGAATTTCGTTTGGGCTCACGCTTCTCCCTTTTTTCGAAAAATTTTGAACAGTTTATTTAATATCAAATGCTGATATCTCAAAGTTTTCGAATACATTTCAACATTTCACTCATTTTTTGTTCGCGCCGAACAAAACCCAAAAAACTAACCAATTGAGTTGTCTGTTGATTTCCATGACCAGCAGAATTTTGCTTTGGAACGTTCTGAAGAAAGAGTGTTTAGAAAATGTAAAAATCCTATGAACTTTAATTCGGCTTTAAGCCGACAAAATTTGATGGATTCTTTCTATTCAAACAGGCGATACCATTGCAAAAAAGAGAAGAAAGTTTGACTTATGATTTTGAATTTCGTTTGGGCTCACGCTTCTCCCTTTTTTCGAAAAATTTTGAACAGTTTATTTAATATCAAATGCTGATATCTCAAAGTTTTCGAATACATTTCAACATTTCACTCATTTTTTGTTCGCGCTGAAAAAAACCCAAAAAACTAACCAACGGAGCTGTCTGTTGATTTCCACGACCAGCTGAATTTTGCTTTGGAACGTTCTGAAGAAAGAGTGTTTAGAAAATGTAAAAATCCTATGAACTTTAATTCGGCTTTAAGCCGACAAAATTTGATGGATTCTTTCTATTCAAACAGGCGATACCATTGCAAAAAAGAGAAGAAAGTTTGACTTATGATTTTGAATTTCGTTTGGGCTCACGCTTCTCCCTTTTTTCGAAAAATTTTGAACAGTTTATTTAATATCAAATGCTGATATCTCAAAGTTTTCGAATACATTTCAACATTTCACTCATTTTTTGTTCGCGCTGAAAAAAACCCAAAAAACTAACCAACGGAGCTGTCTGTTGATTTCCACGACCAGCTGAATTTTGCTTTGGAACGTTCTGAAGAAAGAGTGTTTAAAAAATGTAAATATCCTAAAAGTCAATTCTAAGAATTTTTCTATGCGAGATCCAAAGGCGGCAATTCAAATTTGATGTCGATCGCACCTCGTCAACGATCGAACGAAATTTAAAAAAAAATATATATATTGGCTGTGCCAATGCGTCTAGAGGCAGCAAGAAGTACGAGAGGCTGCGTACATTGCATTATAGTGTACGCGCTTTGGCTAAAACGCAGTTATGGTTTCCACCATGTGCCGTATAGGTCCCCCCTGGGGAACATTTCATTTCAGGTCCCCACATAATTCAAAATAGGTCCCGATGTGACGTGTTTCTCTGTAATTTGACACAGATAAGGTTATATACACGCACGATGGTGTCAATATAATTCTCATTGGTTGTGAAAAGGATTCATTTTATTTTAATATGATGACAAGAGTCCCCTTTCCGCGCGAAAAGCAGTTTATGTACCCTATTTCAAACTTTGTGGGGGGACTTTAGTGGGTTCGTTGGACTTGATGTCCGACAATCTCAAGTGATTATCGGGAAGCCTAAAAACTGGCACGACTCGCGTTATGGCTCCCAACGTTGGGCTCCCTACGGTTCATTTTTCGTCACTGGCTGACCAATCTCCGTCTTTTTCGGACTCGATTGAACAATTTGACTGCGATGCGCCACTGAATTTTTCTGCATTTGGATCTTGCAAAAAAAAAAGACAGCAATTACTACATAGTTAATTTATTTCTAGCATACCTCCGATGGCTCATTGAAATTTGCCGCCAAAAAACAGCAAATCCCGTAGATTCGAATATCACCGGGCTTACTCAATTTCCATAATTCGCCAAACTCGCTGTTTGCCGATTTCGCCACTCGAATTTCCTTAGGATTGGCGCGCACTTGAAAAATCAATTTATATTTGCGATTCTGCAATTTTCAAAATCGAGATATCGGTTTTTTTTCTACATACTTTAAACGTAAAGTCGGAAGCAAATTTTTTAGCTGTTTTCACATCAGGAGTGACGATTTTGCCGCCGATTCCCAGCTCAAATCCGTTTTCCAAAATTTTTGTGATCTCTTCGCTGTCTGTTGGAATATAAGCGACCGCCCATTCGAACGGATTCCCATTTTTTGTCAGCCATGTCTCGTCCTCGAACTTTCCAGCCACCTTTAATTGATTGATTAAAAAAATCGATTTGATTATAGAGTATATCAACCTTAATAGCCAGCCGATAGCAGCCATGCGGCTTATCGTATTGTCGACGACCCCGAATAGCTGGCTAGAACTGATTAAATAGTAATAATAAATAATTGCTTTGTGCCAACCTCATTTGGATCGTCGCTTGTGTCTAATAATCCCATTCGTCTCAGTCTCTCGAAAGTCTCTCGTAATGATCTATCAAGTGTTGACGATGGATCGAAATCATACATAAAATATGAGCCTGATGAAATAAGCAAAAAAGTCGAATTACCTCGAATGTTCTAAAGTCCTTATCGAATTTCGCGTCACGAAAAGAATCGTGAATTTTAAGAGAAAGAACGGCGGCTTTCGAATCAGAATTGCTCGACATTGAATTTCGCAGCTTTTTTCCAAAAGAATGCGGTCGGTTGTTGACTCTCTTATCTAACACTTACCAATATGCTTATCAGATGAATTTGTTTCTTTTTATCTAGCGAATCGTCCCAGATCATTCTTGTAAAAGATGCATGATGCCAAGGTTCCTTTCGGGATAAAAACAAGTAAAAGAAATGCAGACATCTTTTCGAGAACCCCAATAGATCTCTTATATGAATCAAAAGTTTATAAAAATTTAATATTCTAATAGCTTTTATTTGGAGCGCGAAATTTGAATTGCCGCCATGGGTCTCGTACGGAAAGTTACAGAAGCGACAGGAGCGAATTTCGCCTAATATTATCATCATAAGTCTGTAAAATTTAATTTTTTCAAAGTACATTTCGTTTTAAGGGGCCCAATTAATTGACAGCTCGCGAAATTCATTTTTTCAAATGAATGTAACACAATTGTTTAAAATATTTATTCGAGACTCATTGGCACATGGTCAATAATTTTTTTAATTTCGTCAAGTCGCTTGACTTTGACAATACCTAAATAAATTAACTTCCAAGTGTGGCCGTGGCCGAACCTAATTTTTGAAGACAATTTTTCTAGGCCGTGGTGAGTAGGCTCCTCGGGAGAATACAACACAATTAATTTTGTTTCAATTAGTTGCGGTATTGTGCATTTTATTTTCGCAAGCAGAAATAATAAAAAAATTTTAAAAATATTTCTTACACATTCAACTGCAGAAAGCTTTCAAAAAAATTTTTTTGGAAAAGCTCACCTGACTTTTGAAAATGTGAAAAACGGCGTCAATGACAGTAAAAGGTTTGTATGCAGGCAATTCGGTTCCGGGATTTATTTCGAATGCGTTGGGTCTCGAAGTCTTAATTATTATATTTAATTATTACAATTGATTACTAAAAATTACCTTTATCGTTGAAAAGTATACAACTATTTGATTTTTAGTTTGTACGTCGAAATTCGACGAATTGACGAGACATACTTTTCTGACACGAGGGTCGCCAAAAGCTTTTAGCTGAACATTTTGAAATGAGTTGGAATCGAATAAAATTGAATAAAAAAAACATTGGGGTCAAAAGTTAGTCCACGCATTTCTAGGCCACTTCCCAAAAAAATATTACTGCTTAAATTTACTAATGCTTGAAAACGTTTTGTGCGGTTAAAACAGCAATAAAGGATTTTAAAAAGAAATATAGGCCGAAAATTAGAAAAAATGTTAGGGGAAAACACGTAGTCCGTAAACACTCTACGACTAATTGCACAGATATACCGTACGCTGAATATTTTTTATTTTATTATTATTATCTTTTAAATCCTTCCTTGCAGTTTTTAACCGCACAAAACGTATTCAAACATTAGTAAATTTAATAAGTAATAATTTTTATGCATATCTCGTTCTTTCGCAACATTCTTCATCGTTTTTAACGTTTTTTTATTACTAGTGGGAATTATTCGAGTTATTTATATTAAATTTTACTGATTGAGCGAATCGAGGACTTTACCGGATAAGTATTGGATTGTAGAGCAAAATATTCGATGTTTCCTAACAAGGGCAGTCATTTTACCTCCCGTCTTGAGATTTTTGTAGCCGCCGCTGGCCGCGTGGGACGGGACCCGCGCGGGTCCCGCCATCAACAGAATGACTAGCTTTATAAAAAAAGGTATTTATTGTACAAAAAATAACAAAAAAATAATAGAAAAAATAAATAAACAAAACACATTAAAAAAAAAACAAAATATTGAGTGAAAAGCGAAGGATTTTTCTTCATATTATTGTATTTATTCATAATTTTAGTATGACAATCTTTAACGTTTCGTCAATAAGTAATGATTTCGAACCAATTTCAACAAGTTTGAGAAATGAAGAGAACGTGGAGTCTGTGGAAAGTACATCATGCGCAGAATGTGAGTAATAATAAAGCGACGTAAATATAACAATATGTCTTCAGAGAAGTTGAATCGACACAGTGTCGTCTTTTTAGAAGTCCACAACGAAATAAACGAAGGCGCCGTTCGTTCTCCCCGCTTTAAATTTTTTTCAGTTATGCTGTTTTGCCTTTTTTTTAAATATCATATTTCCTCGCCACCCCACCTTTCGATTACTACTTTTTTAATTTTGTTAATTATTCTTCTTTATTTGAAATTGAGCTATTTAAGCACGGTTGTTAAAATCATTAGTTAAAAATCGGCAGTTAAAATCTGACGGAGTGCCGATTAATGCATTCGAACTGTGCACAACAATATTTACGGAAATTATGCCGCGATTCAAATTGAAACAAAGAACAATGTATGTGCCGGGCGTCAGGATGGTTTCATCTGAACTCGATTTCTACTATAAAGTACTGATTAATGAATGAAACCTGTTGAAACGTGCCGATCTAGAACGCAATTTGTACTAAACACCAATTCACCAATTTGGCCATTTTCTGAGACACGATGTACTGATAGCATGAAATCTCTCTGAAATTTTATTACTTTTTGCACCATTTACTACGTTCCTAAATTTCTTACCGCCTTTTCATGATCCATTCCAACCGAGCCTTTCTGGAAAATCATGAAAGACACTTCACATGTTTGAATAACATTAAATTGAAGAATTTTCGATTCATTATCGTTGAGTTCTTGCGAAAATCGAAGTGCTGACCAATTCGAATTAACCTTACACACGGTAACTATAAGAGAGAAATATAAATTAATGTCGAGAACCTAATACTCATCAATATATAAAAAAGATAAGGGTGATTTATAGGAAAAATGTAACTATACTGCAGATTTTGCAAAAAAAAACACAAAATTCGGTCTCAGACCTATTTATTTACCCCAATTCGCTCTATACTCAAACTCCTACACACCTTTCGGCCCCCATTACTCATCCCTCATTATACATATGTTAATTCTTACATATCAGTGTGTACTTCCTGAGACTTCCCCAAATAATCGGCACAGATTCCTTAAAATTTCCCGGAAGCTTTCGGGAATTTTCTACATTTCCGGGTAGAAAAACTACTCAGGAAAAACACCTCGTAATATCTAGGAAAAAAATTCCCCGGGAGCACACACTGCTACACATATTAACTCATAATCAATTTTCTACTTACCTTATTTATATTCAAATTCTTTTTATTTTTCTTATTTCTCTTTTCATTTTTCTCACGGATTCCTTTCAATTCGTAACTATAAATTTTTACGCAATCTATATAGGGTTTCTAGAGCTTTGTTCATAGGCGCACAATAAGCGCCAAGACATCATTTCAAATGTTTGATATTTTGAAAATCTTACCTAATGAAAACAAACTAATGAAATCGTCAAGTTCTATCCAAAATGCTCCTATTTCCTGTTTTCGGTCTATCAAGAGTATTCGTTTCAAATCTGAAATTCGTTTTGTTCTTCGAACCCGATTAGAATTGAAACCTGGAGGCCAATGAGGCCAAGAATCTGACCATTTTCCGTTCCATACAAATGATCCCCATGGATTCCTAATCCGCAAAAGACGGTGATTATGAACTGTTACCACATCCAGAATTGAATACGCATGATTTGCCATTTCTACTTGCAATCTAAAATTGGCATAGGAAATGAGAAATAATACGATTTTCGTTTACTCATAATCGAGCTCGTCTGTAGTTTCTCGTCCACCACAAACGCAGCACATCAGAAATCCCGATTCTCTGAAAATCATTACAATTGGCAATTCAAACTTTAATACAACCCGACTTTGAGCTAACAAGTTGGGCCCAAAATGTGTCGAAGTCCGCCGGTTGCTCAGGCCTATTGTAGTTCACACAAGCAGCTCCAGTTAACATTGAAAGACCTTGTGTAAGAGATGCTCCATAAAGCTTCGAATAATTTCCAACAGCTTTTGCTAGTGCTTTTTCAATCAAGGGTACCCATAGCTAAAATATTCAACTTGCTTAAGCACTTAATAGTAAATGCACTTGTTTTCTCCTTCCAATTGCCATTCCAAATGTTCGAGTGTGCGGATAACAAGGAAAATAATCATCGACGATTATCACTTTCCATTGTCCCTCAACGCATACCCTAAACATTATCAGCTTGATATCAAAATCCACAATTAGACACGTGAAAAATATCAACAATTGTTGGAATAGATTCACGTTTACAAAATACGAAATCTTTCTGAAAGGGGTTTTCCAAGAGTAGTTTATTACTTGTTAAATTTTTTAGCCTTTCATAAGAACACTACGTAGTTTCTGAAAAATCTAATTCAGACATCAATTCTGCGAATCTCCTCTTGATAACTTGAAATATTGCAAATTAAAAAATTTTTTTTTTAATTTTACTGTTAAAAATTATTGTTCGAAACTGCAATATTTGAAGTGCAGTGAAAAAGTGAGGGTGGTATCATAAATAAAAGTCGGGGTGGTTTCTAATAGACCCCAAATTTGCAACATTTGTCACCATTTCATCAGTACATATTGTCGGCGTCAAACGGCTGAAGGAAGGCGGGACCTTCAAAGTCGCGAAATCAGTGTAGATTTAAATTAATCGTTGACTAAATATTTAATGCGCGTACGCTATAATGCATTGTACGCAATCTCGCTGCCTCGAGACGCATTGGCACACATGGCCAATAATTTTTTTTTAAATTTCGTCAAGTCGTTTGACTTCGACAATAATAATATCATTAGACATAGTCTATCATTTAATATTACGGGAAGACGTAAGTCTGATAAAACACGTACTTGACTTGATAAACTCCGATGTCTGAATACTCATTTCTCGGGAGTATCTCCGCAATAATATTTTGGTTTTCGGCAATAAGAGCCATCTCAGACATCAGCCAACAATTGCCCATTAAATTTCCTTTTTTAATATCCCATGGCACCGGGTTATTGTATATCGTCCATTGATATTGTCTTCCATCGTTGGTATTAATTTCAGTGGGTCGAAGCCATAAGAGAAAGTCTGGATCGTGGTCTAAAAATTTAAACATAGTTATGAAGAAACCAGAATCTGACTGATTTCGACTCCATTCACAATTCCTATTGAGCTTTTGTTATGCAGAAATGAATCATCGATAAAATTTGTTTTTAGACTTCTGAAACAATTCGAATTCAAATGTGATGTTCAGTGACTCATGATTTTTGACTCATAAAAATTGTGCCATGATTTTTTATTCGTTGACTAATTTTTTTTTGAGTAACAATTTTTGATTAATGATTTTTTGAAATTTTTTAAGGGAAGGGTCTCAGGCGATTTCTCATCCAATTTTTATGAGTCACGTCAAAAAGAATCACTGAGTCCCTGAATTGGCCAAACATACGTGCAAATCTCGACAATGTTACGATAGATTTCATTGTTTTCCTTGCCCAAATCAATTTCAATTTTCGAAGTGATTTCGGAGCACATTTGTTCGTGATTGGAAGATTGAGGAATTGACGTTGGATCAAGATTTTCGTATTTCTGAAACAAATATTGTTGTCCTGGTTTCTATAGAAGCAGGATATCGAAATAAGGCAAACATTACAGTGCGTTTCACTTTTATAAAGCCACCCCTGTTTTTGGTCTTAACTTTGTCAATTGTGAAAATGTTTAAATTCGGTTTTCAAATTACAATTCAGGGCTAAAAGTACATGTACCAATTTTTATAATTATATCTGCAAAATTGGCCGAGTGATGCTGAAAACACTGAAAATTTGACACTTGCAACCGTTTCACATTTATAAAACCACCAGGAATTCCGAATTCCCGCTTCCATAGAACCCACTCGTCGGTAATCGCCGCTTTCAATTTATCAATGAATCGATATTGCTTGCCATGACGATAAAAGCGGCGAACCAGCTCTTCCCAAGCATTCTCCATCGGATTGAAGTCTGGTGAGCACGCTGGCCACTCCAAAACGTCGATATTTTCTTTGCTGAGCCAATTCAAAGTCCATCGATTCACATGATTTGGGAATTGTCTTTAGAATACGAACTTTTTGAACCGAAATCGTCGTAGAAATGGGAATGGTCCTTTAAAACTTGCTGATAGTCCAGCGAGTTCATTCGACAAATGCCAGCTTGTGAAATCCCGCCAATGGGAATGCTCCCAAGACCATGAGATTCTGGCCACAAAAACTTTGAAAAAATTACTTCTGGTAATTGTGCCAATAACACTTATTTTCATCGGCACCATCAATGTTTAACTTTTTCTCATCCGAGAAAATGATCTAATGATAATCGTATTGTTTTTTTTAAAGAAAAGTGTCGTTAAAAAGTTACCTCTGTCTAGTCAATGGCCCATGTTGTCTCGAGCAAATGCGAGACGACGCAACTTGTGATGATCATAACTGCCCGGATGATGTTGGGATCAACGTTAAGTGTCCTCCAAATCGTCGTCTTACTAACATCAAAACTTACTCGGTCAATTTTTCAGATATGAAAATTGGTACAAATATGTATTTTTAGCCCTGAATTCATTTTCGAAATCAGAATTTAAACATTTTCACAATTGACAGAGTTACACCAAAAAAACAGGGGTGGCTTTATAAATAGATATATTTTTTATATTATTTTTTTTTGCTTGCGCTGAAAAAATCCCAAAAACTAACCAACGGAGCTGTCTGTTGATTTCCACGACCAGCTGAATTTATCTTTGAAACGTTTTCAAAACATGAAGATTAAATTAAACAAAACTCAATTCTAAGAATTTTTCTATGCAAGATTCCCTCATCATGGTAAACTCGTTCAATAGAAGTCCCCGTAGATCCATTAGAGGTTTCATCCATTATTGATTCCCACCCGTTCCCTCATTCATTATAGGTTCGCAAATTTGAAAGCACCGCCCCTGTTCATACATATTTGAGAATTTAACCAACCTGAGTTTGAGTTGACGCATTTCTCAAATTTTGATTTGAAATTGATATCGGTGTGCAGCAAATCGCGTAGACTCGAATGTGTGAACCATCGTTTACCTTCCAAAACTGGCCGAAATTTTGGAATCTCAATTTCGTTAGTTGAATTTTGTCGGGCCGGACGCGAACTTGAAAAAACAGTTTGTAATTGATGTTCTGGAAATTGAATCGCCATTGGGATTCGTGGGAGATGTTTCTCATCAGACATTAAACATATAGTCGGAAGCAAATTCGGCCGCCGTTTTCGCATCAGGAGTGACGATATTGCCGCCGATTCCCGGCTCAAATCCGTTTTCCAAAATTTTTGTGATCTCTTCGCAGTCTGTTGGAATATAAGCGACCGCCCATTCGAACGGATTCCCATTTTTTGTTAGCCATGTATCATTCTCGAACTTTCCAGCCGCCTTTAATTAATTGATTTTTTTTATTGATTTGACTATAGAGTATATCAACCTTAATAGCCAGCCGATAGCAGCCATGCGGCTTATCGTATTGTCGACGACCACGAATAGTTGGCTAGAACTAATTAAGTAGTAATAATAAAAATTATTACTACTTAAAAAAATAAAAATTATTACTAAAAATAGGAGCATCCACGCGGACGTCCGCAATCGGTAGTTCGTACGCGGCCGAGAAAAATTAGTCCGCGGCCATTAAGATTTTCATTTTTTTAATCGAAATTTAATGTTTGTATAGAAATTTTATTGATTTTTGCGTTTTTCGTCTAGATTTTTTTTTTATTAAAAAACCGAAAGTGAATTCTTTTTACATTTAATTTTAGGTTTAATCATGGAAAGAGAAAGTTTTGAGATGTCAGAATTGCGAGAAGTTCATTCTCCGCGATGAAGAAACGGAGGAGGCGATTATCACAAAAAACGCTAATTGAGGTATTGTGTAAAAAAATTAATGGTGATTATCATGGAAGCTTACAGATTTCGATTTCGATGATAATTTCAATGTAACTAACGGTAGAAATGGAAATGATCATCAACTCCGTTGTAAAAATGGTTTGTCGCTAATGAGTTACGGCCCTGGAGGAAGGAAATCGTAAGATTGTTATATCCAACTAATTATTAAGTTGAAGAGATCTTCTTGATGGGACCCTTTACATTAACGCTGACTTACATTTTTATTGTGTTTCGGCAAATTCACAAAAATAAAAGGGTCCTATCAAGAAGATCTCTTCAACTTAACAATAATCCACACGATGTACTCAAAACAAGTCGCTCCCCAACTAACACATTTAACTAAAATAGATTAAGAATTATATTTCAGAAGGGAAAATGTGGGCACAATTCAAATGATGAACAGAATGTTGGCACACAAATTAAATACTTCTGATTTCGAAGAAATTCGAATTGGAAAAGCTAATCAATGATGAAAATGATTTTTTTTTTTGAAAATCTCACGGACGCATGGATGTTCTAATAAATAATTGTTTCGTGCCAACCTTATTTGGATGAGTGTCAATTGAAGTGTCAACGACTCCTTCCAATTGTCTCATTCTCTCTAAAGCCTCTTCCTTTGCTTTATCAACTGTTGGCGATGGCTGGGGACCATTCTTAAAATATGAGCCTGATAAAATAAGCAAAAAAGTCGAATTACCTCGAATGTTCTAAAGTCCTTATCGAATTTTGCGTCACGAAAAGAATCGTGAATTTTGAGAGAAAGAACGGCGGCTTTCGAATCAGAATTGCTCGACATTGAATTTCGCAGCTTTTTTCCAAAAGAATGCGGTCGGTTGTTGACTCTCTTATCTAACACTTACCAATATGCTTATCAGATGAATTTGTTTCTTTTTATCTAGCGAATCGTCCCAGATCATTCTTTTAAAAGATGCATGATGTCAAGGTTCCTTTCGGGATAAAAACAAGTAAATGAAATGCAGACATCTTTTCGAGCACCCCAATAGATCTCTTATATGAATCAAAAGTAAAACACTAGCTTCTAAAAATTTCAATCGTTGTTTATAAAATAGGAGCGAATTTTGCCTAATTGTATCATCATATTTCTGTAAAATTGATTTTTTTCAAAATACATTTCGTTTTAAGGGGCCCAATTAATTGACAGCTCGCGAAATTCAATTTTTTCAAATGAATGTGACACAATTGTTAAAAATCTTCATTGTTATAAAAATAAATAACAATAATCCTTATTATCATAAAAAAAGCACGCAAGTATCCTAAGAATTAATCATGAATATTGAAATGGCAACGAAGAACCCACAACAAAAGAATTAGTTTGAAATCAGCAATATTTAACTGGAACCGAATAGATGCAATGTAAACTATATAACAAATAATATCTAGCTATGATATCACTAGGGTAATTGCGACATAACACAAGAATATCAAGTAATCACTCAAAAAACCAACTTTCAACTCAAAAACGATGACAGTTCATAAAAACTCTGTAGATGCGCGTCAACTCGGGTGTGTGTGTGCAGACACCGCAGTGTGTACCGTATACCCTCGAAATTGAGCAGAGGGTTTTCGGCTACACGGCTCGGCCTAGAAAGATTGGTCGACACTTTCAAAAATCAAGACTGCAAGTGCGGCACACAAATTCCGAGAAAAACTGCAAGTGCGGCACACTATCGCGGACAAATTTTTAAAATTATATGAAATGCTTACAATTTCTTTTATTTCTAGGAAGTTTTGGTTTTTGGTTTAATTTTTGGGGTTTGAAATCGTGAAAACACAAAATACATAACTATTCATTTAATTCGATTGTCGGCGTCAAACGGCTGAAGGAAGACGGGACCTTCAAATTCCCGAATATGGTGTTGATTTAAATTTTTCGTTAACTGAATATTAAATGCTCGTACGCTATAATGCAATGTACGCAGTCTCGCGTGCGTCAAGTCGTTTGACTTCGACAATACCTAGTTAAATCAATTGATCCATCAAGTGTGACCGTGGCCGAACCAAATATTTGACGACAAATTTTCTAGGCCGTGCGTGAATGGGCTCCTCAGGAGAATACAACACAATCAAATATATATTTTATTGTCGCAATGAGCAATTCGAACTACACTCATCGCTTCCTTCATCCATTTTTTTGCGACTCTCCTTCCTGTCTCGACACTCGTAGACGCAGATACCATAAGGTCTGATGAAGTCGCTATCAGGCAGCAGCCAATATTCACCGCGGGCTTCATCGGCTTCTTTCACCACTTGAAACTTTTCGGGATGAACGCGCACTTGGAAAATGATGCGATAATTCTTTCCCTGAAATCCGGCGATCATCCGACATGGCACCAGAACTGCACGGAACTCAAATTTTCCGAAAACGGAAGACGGAATTCCGTGCAGCTCTGATAGACCCACCGGCGTACATTATGCATGAATTTTTTGCCGTATCGCTTCGCCGTTTTCGGGTCCGGCGTACAATAGATTCCGAAGCCGTATCGCGATCGTTTGCTGCGCTCGACGTCGAGCCCCTCTTTCGCGATGCCGTACGTGTTTTTCGAGCACGTGCCGTGATAAGCCGCCGGCCATTCGCCCTCATTTCCGTCAGATCCCAACCATTTATCGCTCTCGAATCGCCCTTTCACCTATAATTAAATTTTTATGCAAAAATTGAATTGGCAGCTAAGCAGATTCGGAAAAATCAACTTCGGCCACGGCCACGTCATTTGAATTCCACCATATCGTGCAATATTTATTATATGCGCCTTTAATCGCACCATTTTTACTACGCTAGTTTTTCTGCATAGTGCTATATGAGTAATTAAAATAATTAAATAATTAATTCCTCATTAACTGATTGGCACAATTGTCGTGAGATTTGGTGTTCTGGTCCGCAATGCACCGATCGATTTAAAGAAAGAAAGCAGCTGGTTCTCGGTGTACTGCGTACCAAAACCCAAAAAAAATGTAAATTTGATTTTCGTTCGAAAAACTTACATAAAGTGCGTAGCGATTCGATCCCCATGGATGAATATATTTTCGTCCCCCACGGAAGTACTCGTCGCCATCGTCCTGCAAAGATGGTGACGCGTTGCGGCTCGCGTGCGGTTGAATGAGTTGAGTACATTCCGGAGAGCAACCGGATGTATGCAATTTGGCGATTTTAGTGGTGTCGCAAAAAGAAAACAGAGGATGACCGCACGCGAGCCGCAACGCGTCTAACAACATAGGTAGCAAAATTCTCACCTTGCGATTTCGAAAATCGCAATTGTATTTCGGTTGAAAGTGAAGAAAAGCGGTCAAATTGACAACCAAATCATCATTTTTCAGATTTTCGCTGGAAAAAAAATCATCGCCATATTATATATTGAATTGCCGCCTTCGGGTCTCGCATGGATTAATTCGTAAATCATGCATTTCGGGAATTTAGAAGGCAGCCCGCGAAATTCGAAATTTTCAAATTCGCTAGTTTGCAAAAAAATGTGAAAAAAATAATTCGGTCGCTGAAACCACCAAGAATTAAAGGCGCACGAAGTTTGGGTCTCGAAGCGACTCGTCTCGCAGCGCCCATAAGACCCAACTCATTTTTAGCATTATGCGCCTTTAATCGATTACTTTATTTCTTTATGTTTCACGATTCTGCACAATTTTTTTTTGAAAAGAAAAATCCGAAATCAGTGGAACAGATTTTCGGATACTGTAGTTTTGTGCGCCGGGTCTCGCAGCGAATTCGACAGAAAAAGACCATAGCGCGTTTTCCCCCAAAAAAGGTGACAACCAGAATTTTTGTGTTGATGGAAAAAAAATTGAAAGTCCGCAAACACGCTCGCCGTCGTTTGCGGACATGATGGAAAGACCCACAAAATTTTAAAGTTGAGAAATTTTCGAATTCCCTTCGGCAGCTCCGGCGGCTCGCCAGTAAGATAGCGAATCAGTTTATCCTGAAGAAATATTCGAAAATTGAAAATTGCTAGTCACAAGCACTCACGTTCGCATCGAAATCGAGTAGATCAAGAATTTCGATGGCGCTTACTCGAGAGTAATCCGACATCACTAAACTTGACATGCTCGTTTTTTTTCGGAATTCAATTATCCGATTTTGAAGTTCAAACTATAAAAAGCAAAAATTTCTGCTTTGTGTCAGTGTACTCCACACGGACAATGTGACGCTCTTCAATAGAGCGCGATTTCAACAATATCAGTCCATTATTTTTTTTTCTTGAATAATGGAATGATGACCGTAAAGCAAATTAGCAAATTCTAAACTAATTAGCAAATTAGCTAATCAGTTTTTAGCCCTCGCTTAAAGGGGGGGTAATGTTAAAAAGTATAAAAATATGATGGGAAATAGATTGGAAAAAAACGAGCGAAATTCTATCGACAATTCGTCGCTGTGAAAAAAGGATAGTGTGAATTGTCGTCGAATAAGATGCATTGCCCGCAATGATTTCAATTTCGCTTATTTTTGATAATCCTAGGGAATTTTTCATTCATTCCAACCTCTGAGACCTCGAAGCTCCAAAAAATTGGGCATTCAGAATGTTCACTCTCTTGAAAAATGACACGTTTTGAAATTGTCGTCAATTAAAACGCATTGGGTGTAAACACACGACCAGCTCATTTATGGAACATCGATTTCAGATTTTTTTTGTGGACACAATTTTTTCAAACTAAAATTTTTTATTGAGCGGGTTGTGATTTCGGTCTGTCTGTTTTCAAAAAAAAAAGTTTAGGTATGAATTGAATAAAAATAGGATCGAGGGGAAATTCGGGAAAAATCGTGCAAACACCGCGCGCTCAAATGCACACTTTTCAAATATTGCGGTTTTTTGTAAATTCTGAATGAATTTTGTTTGAAAATTTGAAAAATTAATATACCAACGCCTGATTTTTCAAAAAAAAAATCCAATCATTTTCAAATTTAGTTAATTATATAATCATTTTTTTTTCTAACAATTTTGATTTTTTGAAAATCCCAAAGATGAGCAATTGGATCCCAATAATTCATTTTTCCAAAGGGACCCTTGGAAGATTTTCCAGAATGATGAATGTTAGAAAATTGGGAATCATTGGTTATAAATTTTCTTAAAATGGCCAAATTAGGAAGAATTGTTGGCACGCTGAGAAAAACGACATTTTCAATTTTTTACCTCTGAAAATCAATGAGAATCGCAAAAAAATTCAATTTTATTCAAAAAAATGAATCGTTTTTGGTGTATTTCAAAATTTTTTGGAACAGTTTTCTCGTGGGAATTGACGCGGTCTTATCTTATCGAGTCACGAGACGAATCAATTTTCGAATTTGTAAAATCGATGAAATTTATTTTACACAGATTGCTGAAAATCAGGAAAAAATGAGCTTCTATGAATTCAAGGAAAATTTGATTTCGGCAAAAAAAGCACCAAAACCTCAATGAAGTTTTTTTCACGTGACCGCAACGCGAACCGCGACGCGTTTGACGACAAAAGAAACTTTTTAAAAAAATTAGTAATCTTGCGAAATGCAATGAATGGTTTCGGCAAATATTGCTAATGGAAAATGAACCTTGAAAAATTAACCTTGAACATAAGAAAGAAATGATAAGAGCTGAAGGCGGAGACTTGTGGATCCTCAATGAAAATCAATCGGATTCGCAAAAAAATTTCTTTTTCAATCTAAATCGAATGTAAATTAATCAGTTTCGAATTATTCCAAAATTTCAATCGAACTCGATTTCAAAATTGAAAATGAGAAATAAATCAATCAATTTCGATTATTTTTAAATCGAAACCAAAATTTAAAATCGAATTTAACCGTTTTCTTAATCGAATTTGAATTATTTTTCAATCGAAACAGGTTAATTTATATTTCTTCGAATCCGATTGATTTTCATTTACCTGAGTCGATTCAAAATCAATCGTTGAACGCATTTGGAAGGTTTTTGCTTGTAATTCAATTTCGCATTTAAACTTGTAAATTAAAGAAAAAACAAAAAAAACTTGTGACGGCCATCTTGAATACTAGCTTGGAGCAAGTTCTCGAAAAAAAACCCCAAAAACTGAGCTCAAAAACCCAGTGGAACTCGGTTCTCAATAGAGCGCAATTGCATCATTGTTTTGTTCCATTCATTTTTTTAAATCCCATTTTTTTAAATCCCAGCCATCAACTTCTAAAAGTTCTCCTTCTGGCACACATTTTTTTCAAAACAACTGCAAAATATACAAAATTTCGAAGCAAAAATGTTTAAAAATCCTCAAACGAAACAATGATGCAATTGCGCTCTATTGAGAACCGAGTTCTATTAAAGAAAGTTCCCTTCCAAAAAAGTTCTATCACTTCGAGTTCCACTCCGGCTCTAAAATGTCGCCCCCTCGATTACTGTCGGTTTTCGCCACGAGATATCCTAGCGGTCTCACTATATCCACCTTTAGCCTCTTGCATTCTGCGTCTCTCTGTCGCCCACTGTCTTTCTTATATCTCTACCTCTCCGCGCACGTCCAGGAACAACCAATGGCTAAAAAAAGGGAATAATTTTTTTTTGATCCGTCGTTCAGCTAGCTTCAAATCGAGATCGATTCAGGTAGACGATTTAGAATTTAAGCAGGCAGGATCCTCATGCCGTAGAGCGCATTTTATCCGCGTGGGTCCCACTCAATTTCAGCGAGCTGATGCAACTAAAATTCGTTTTTCAGAGTTTATTTCACCACATCATTTTCAGCGTGTTAGTTCGTAATCATATTTTCGTTTTCATTTAGTTCTACCTAATTGACTCCAAGACGCCACAAGACGCGCGTAGTGTACTCCACACGGACAATGCGCAATGTTGCGTTTGCGTGGCGAGACCTAACTCCACAATAGTAACGCGCGTCTTTGAAATGATCTATCAAAAAATATTTCAAAATTCCAAAAATTGATTTTTAGATGCCCGCCCCCCTCATCGCCAGTATCTCTTTTGCTGTTTTCTGTTGTGTTCGTAGGTACACGAGATTTGGTCAATATGACTTTATTGGGTCAACCAAATCGAAGGACAAAAAGAGAGAAAAAGCTTATATCGCGACCCGGGACCATACTACAAAAATGGAGAAATATAAGAGACGCAGAGAGAAAAAATATAAAGTGAGAGAGTGAGAGGGTGCCATACAACGAGACATTTCTATTGAGCGCGTTTGTGGTCGTGCACTGTAAGAAATCGTTCGTTTCTTAGCGGCTTTATTGAATAGAATAATAGAAGAAGAATATGTAAACAATAACAGTAACAGCAACAGCAAGAATCACACCAAATCAGCCCCGAGCGACCCCTTTATATATGCGGCCGTTTTAATGTGCCAGACAGCTTAATTGGGCAAAAAGGAAAAAAAATCGTTATGATGTCATGGGAGAACAGAAAAAAATCGTTATGATGTCTAGGAAAACAAAAACGGTATGACGTCATTTATCATCGTTCGCGACGTCGCCATTCGCGGCGCCATGTGTGTCGCCGCGACATGCACAAAATCAGTTTCCATAACTTTATAGACACACCATTGATATTCATTGCCAACCTTCATCTTTCTAACCGCAATACGCACACCTTTACTGCAATCTTGTGGCAACTGCTCGAATTTATCCGTCTGAAAAGGAATGATCAATAAAATTAGGGGCAATTCAAGAACTCTGATTACAATTCGACCGATGTAACGGTCATATGCCATTGGATATTCATTGTCGTCATAGGGCACATTTCGTTGAAACACGGTGAGGTACACTTCGATTCCGTTATCGAGCGGGGCTACGTCGAGTATGTTCGAAAGGATTGTTACTACCTTCACGCAACGCCAACGATCCTGAAAAAATCGATAGAAAAACAATTTAATGAAATGAAAGTTATTGAAGAGTTTAGATATGGATAGTCTTCAAAATTTGATTGAACTTGATATTGCCGAAAAACTAAAAGTGTAGATATACGGGCCTAACAACAATAGTCATTTTACCTCGCCTCTTGGAATTTTTTGTAATTTTGTAAACTAGAAGGTCTTCTGAGTGTGTTCACAAAATTCCAGCCTGCACTGGGACGAGTAATGGTCATCTGAAAATTCAGGGTGTTCTTCCATTGTCAGCAACCACTTGGGCAATAGGTTACACATATACGCCAGGGCTGTGGGGCAAATGGAAAAAAAAATCCCGATTACCGAATTGCCGAAATTCCCGATTTTTCAAATTGCCAAATTGCCGAAATTTTGATGTCAAAAAAAGCCGGCGAAATAAAAATCAATGTTCAATATTGAATAATTTGGGATACCGCGAAAATTTGGTATTATCGCTGAAAATATTTAACAGCAGAAATTATTATTTTCGGCAATTTGCCGAATTGCAGAAATTTCCGATTGCCGCACAGCCCTGACAGACGCCCCTTGGGGCCCCGGTTTGGCATTGATAACAATGGAAAAACACTTTGAATTTTCAGACGGTCATATCTCGTCTCAGTACAGGCTGGAATTTTATGAAACACACTCAGAAGACCTTCTAGTTTACATGTGAAAAATTACAAAAATTCCAAGACGCGAGGTAAAATGACTTCCCTTGTAAGATTGGTTATGGACCTATTCGGGCAATGAAACATTTTTTCGAATTTTATTTGCACACACTTCGAAAATCATAAAAAAAATTGACGCGTATATATCGTAATTCTCCCATATTTATTTTCAAAGGCGCACGCGAAAAGTTGCGCCGGGTCACGACGCGAAGTCGATACTGTAATTTTTCAATGTCTGTTTTTTTTTCGATTTTTTGGGCGTTTTTAAACGTTTTCCTGGTTTTCGAATAGTGTTTTTTAATACATATTTTCTGTTGTCGTTTTCGAATGTTTTACAAATAAAAATTGCAATGTGAAGGAGTTTGACCACTCAAAACCCGTCACGCAGTCGGGAGAGATATACATATGTATTGTCGTATAAGAGAATTCAATTGAAAATATTGGATTTATTTTTTTTTCATTGCATGAACAGGTCCATTAACCGACCTCTCCTCTAATTTTTTTTTGAAATCGAAAAACGGATGGTCCCACCGGAATAGAACTCGATTGTCAATAGAGCGCAATTGCAATTTTCTCCCAATAATAATATTTGATTTTTTATTGATAATATCTGGCTAGAGAATTAAGCATTGTTGACAGATTCTGTATGAGATTATATCGGTAAAAAATGAATTGGAAGGGTTGCAATGGCGCTCTATTAGCAATCGAGTTCTATTCCGGTGAAATGTCTTACCGTATATTTGAATTTTCCGATAAAAAATTGTCCAACTCTCAATTCGTCGTTCGTGCAATAATAAACCGAGTCTCTGAATAACGATTCTAGACATTAATTAATCGAAATTGATTACTCGTGGTCATCGATGAGCCACACAAAGCACGAAACCTTGCCGGGATCATTTTTTATCTTCATTATATGAGTTACCACCGCTTGTTTGTACTAACACCAAAAAAACGCAACCTTAGGATTTTTGAATACACTTGAAAATCAAACTTCTGATTTGCCGTCAGAGGCCGAAGGGAAGCCAATGTTGTTGCCAAGTTTAGGAATAGCGCCAAGCTGAAAATGTTGAATTGTTCTTTTTTTTCAGTTTCTTTTGTCGAAGTCAACCGACTTGACGAAATTTTTGAAACTATTGGCTATGTGCGGGTCTCGAGGCGGCAATGTACGCAAGACTGCGTACATTGCATTATAGCGTACGCGCATTTAATATTCAGTCAACGAAAAATTTAAATCGACACTGTATTCGCGAATTTGAAGGTCCCCGACTCCCTTCAGTCGTTTGACGCCGACAATATTTTCCCTCGAAGCCCCCGCGCACTTTGATGGCATAAATTTGCGGGCGCCGGTTTCGGCATATTTGGCAATTAGGGCTTCGAACGAATGCTTCTGATCTGGATGGCCATCAGTGGAAGAGAGCGATAAGCTCCACTTCATTACACTCCGTGGAATGATGGAGTCTCAAGAAAACGTTACTATGTATACATAAGTGCCGGGAACGGTGTGTTTCGGCTCCCACCCTCTTCGTGAAAGTACAGGGAGCCGGACCGGCGTCAGACCGGCGGCAAATCGCCTAGGGTTGATATGCGACGGTCCTGGAAGGTTTGGCCCGTCGGATTTTGAAAATCAAGAATGCGGAGATCAAGAGCGTAAGAGCTCCAGTCTTAGTGAAGTCAGGACCAGCTAACATTTATACTCTTACACCACCATACTAGTTCTTAACGGGACCACACGAGTCGGTATACTCATGGGGTCGTGGTCTCGAAATGCTTCGCGATCTCGCCTTCCACGTCGTCAAATTCTCGCCATTGCTGCTCAATGTGACGGGACGTCTTCATCGAAAATGAATATGATTTCGGTTGCTAATTCCTCCATTTACCTGTTGTCGGGTAGCGCGGCTTTCGGTTGTATGCGAGGCTGGGATACTGATTCACCGGGACCGCTCATCAACGATCTTGCGGGACCAACACTCGTACTCCTTGATGATGAATGGGGAGGACGAGGTGGTGAAGTGAATGACGATGGCAGGAGGAACGAATTCGCCAACCCCTGCGTGCTCACCAGTTTGACTCTTTCAGACAAATCCGGCAATTGTTTCTTAGTGGGTTCGTTGGACTTGATGTCCGACAATCTCAAGTGATTATCGGGAAGCCTAAAAACTGGCACGACTCGCGTTATCGCTCCCAACGTTGGGCTCCCTACGGTTCATTTTTCGTCACTGGCTGACTAATCTCCGTCTTTTTCGGACTCGATTGAACAATTTGACTGCGATGCGCCAGTGAATTTTTCTGCATTTGGATCTTGCAAAAAAAAAGACAGCAATTACTACATAGTTAATGTATTTCTAGCATACCTCCGCGGGCTCATTGAAGTTTGCCGTCGGAAAACAGCAAATCCCGTAGATTCGAATATCACTGGGGTTTCTCAATTTCCATAATTCACCGGACTCGCTGTTGGCCGATTTCACCATTCGAATTTCCTGGGGTTTGGCGCGCACTTGAAAAATCAATTTATATTTGTGATTCTGCAATTTTCAAAATCGAGATTTCGGTTTTCTTTTCTACATACTTTAAACATAAAGTCGGAAGCAAATTTGTTTGCCGTTTTCGCATCAGGAGTGACGATATTGCCGCCGATTCCCGGCTCAAATCCGTTTTCCAAAATTTTTGTGATCTCTTCGCTGTCTGTTGGAATATAAGCGACCGCCCATTCGAACGGATTCCCATTTTTTGTTAGCCATGTATCATTCTCGAACTTTCCAGCCGCCTTTAATTAATTGATTTTTTTAAAATTGATTTGACTATAGAGTATATTAACCTTAATAGCCAGCCGATAGCAGCCATGCGGCTTATCGTATTGTCGACGACCACGAATAGTTGGCTAGAACTAATTAAGTAGTAATAATAAAAAATAAGAGCATCCACGCGGACGTCCGCAATCGGTAGTTCGTACGCGGCCGAGAAAAATTAGTCCGCGGCCATTAAGATTTTTTCATTTTTTTAAATCGAAATTTAATGTTTGTTTAGCAATTTTATTGATTTTTGCGTTTTTCGTCTAGATTTTTTTTATTAAAACTGAAAAAAAAAGTTAATTCTTTTTACATTTAATTTTAGGTTTAATCATGAAAAGAGAAAGTTTTGAGATATCAGAATTGCGGCGATTATCACAAAAAACGCTAATTGAGGTATTGTGAAAAAAAAATGAATGGTGATTATCATGGAAGCTTACAGATTTCGATTTCGATGATAATTTCAATGTAACTAACGGTAGAAATGGAAATGATCATCAACTCCGTTGTAAAAATGGTTTGTCGCTAATGAGTTACGGCCCTGGAGGAAGGAAATCGTAAGATTGTTATATCCAACTAATTATTAAGTTGAAGAGATCTTCTTGATGGGACCCTTTACATTAACGCTGACTTACATTTTTATTGCGTTTCGGCAAATTCACAAAAATAAAAGGGTCCTATCAAGAAGATCTCTTCAACTTAACAATAATCCACACGATGTACTCAAAACAAGTCGCTCCCCAACTTTCACATTTAACTAAAATAGATTAAGAATTATATTTCAGAAGGGAAAATGTACGCACAATTCAAATGATGAACAGAATGTTGGCACACAAATTAAATACTTCTGATTTCGAAGAAATTCGAATTGGAAAAGCTAATCAATGATGAAAATGATTTTTTTTTTTGAAAATCTCACGGACGCATGGATGCTCTAATAAATAATTGTTTCGTGCCAACCTTATTTGGATGAGTGTCAATTGAAGTGTCAACGACTCCTTCCAATTGTCTCATTCTCTCTAAAGCCTCTTCCTTTGCTTTATCAACTGTTGGCGATGGCTGGGGACCATTCTTAAAATATGAGCCTGATGAAATAAGCGAAAATGTCGAATTACCTCGAATTTTGTAAAGTCCTTATCGAACTTTGCGTCACGAAAAGAATCGTGAATTTTAAGAGAAAGCACGGCGGCTTTCGAATCAGAATTGCTCGACATTGAATTTCGCAGCTTTTTTCCAAAAGAATGCGGTCGGTTGCTGACTCTCTTATCTAACACTTACCAATATGCTTATCAGATGCGTATTATATTGGAAATGCACATTGAATTTATTAATTTTTTTAGATATTGATAAATACTGGCCACAAAACTTCTTAATATCCTCTGTTAATCGGCGGGTTCGCCTCTGATCGCTGATTTTTCAATTTTTGAAAATCCCTCATTTTTGGTTGCTTTTCTTCTTACATTTTTCAATTATCGCATTGGTTATTTAATTAATTGCACTTAATTATCCAAAAGTTTTTTTTGTTAAAATTATTTTTATTTTTGTTGCTTTCAATAATATATATCAAGGTAATTGTTTTTTTCTCAAATTTTAAGCATTGTTTTAAAAACTTGGGCTGCCGAAGAGCCATTCGATGGAGTTGGACTCCAAAATGTGTCATTTTCGTGCTTTTTAAAAAATCAGTGGATGGCGATTTTAGAAAGAAAGTGGTAGTCTCTTTTTGGAACCGCTGAGAGTGGTATTATCTCTGAAGATAAAAAAAAAGCACAATAAATGAAAAGGCATAATTATTTTATTTAAACTTCAACGTTAACATAACACTCAAGCAAACAAGCACCTAAACAATAAAAAATGAAAACTTGTGATTACAAGGTCGGGCATAATTACCGGTAATTTTTTTTGCGCTATGGTGACTCATGATGGCGCGTTTTTTGTGCGTTCACAATTTTTTTCCAGTTGTTTAATGTGTTTTATATTGTTTTTCCAAATTTCGGACAAAAATACTAATTTTCAACCAAATGGTAAAGGCTAGTATCGATCGAGTCACTGTTTGCTCGTTGTTCGATTAGGGTGTCAAAATTCCCATCAAACGCCTCAAACTCCCTCCGAACATCGTTTATTCGACGATTCGCCGCCATCAGGAGACTGGAGGACTTGATGGCAGACTTGGGAGAGGAAGAAAAGTTTTTGTTACAACTCCAACTAAGGTGAAAGCCGTGAAGGATCGAGTGAGACGAAACGCTCATCGAAGCCTCACAAATCTTCTTGTGCCGGTAATTTAACTTTCCTTGTCCGAACATCCTAAAAAAATTAAAATCAATTTTATTTAAAATCAATTAAACCAAACCTCGACTGTGGATGATGTGGACGCCAGAGATTCCCAAAATTCGAGCATATTTCTGTTCCGCCGATGACTCCAGACATTCACGAATCGTTGTGTCATTATTCACACCGGGTGTACCACCGAGCAAAATCACCGTCAAACATCCAGAACTTTTGATAATCGGCGCTCCAGAATAACCACGTCTTATTCCAGGAAGTCCAACTGAAAAATTTGTTTTATCATGATGAATTATTAAAAATAATGATAATAAATAAATGAAGCATAATCATTCTTACTTAAGTGAACTTGATCGTCCATCATTCTTTTCATAATCCCTTTTGCAACAGACGGTTTTGAACTAATGCCATTGGGATACCCCTAAAAAAATAGTTAATAATATTTAAAAAAAAAAAAGAGATTTTCTGCAAATTTTATAAACTCAAAAATAAAGTCATACCATAGTCACATATTTGTCTCCTCGTCGAAGGTGTTCGATTGGCGTTCCGCATTCAGGCAAATCCGTCGACTTCAGCACAGCGAAATCATATTTTTTCGAAATAAATTCGCATTTGGCAAAGAAGCAGCGATCATTTGTTCCTCGGACGGTATAAGACTTGCCGATCTTGAAGCGGAGATGTGCAGCGGTTAAAATTTGTTGATGCGATATTAAGATTCCAGTGCATTGTAGGCCATCGCCAGACACCATGAAGACTCGGTCCTCCCATGCATTGATTATTTTCTTGGTTTCTAAATTATTGTTTTCAAGCATTTATTAGAAATATATCATACTTTCCACTTTTTCGAATTCCACAGACATCGATGTGGCTGGCCGCTTTTCCATTTTAACTCGAACTTCTGTCCAGTCCAATTATTTTCATTTTGAAGATGTTTTTCAAGCAAAGTTCAATATTTTCTTTTCAGATGGGAATGCTTTTCGTCTCAAGAAATCTCTACTTCTTCATAGAAAGTGTAAAAGTGAACAGAAACAGGTCAAGTCTATTCTGTTTGATACACTAGATTATTAATTATTTGCGGGTTTTACTACAAAATCAATTTAACGAAATTGGTGAATCACTTCGAACAGTGAAAGATGTGTTCAATGATCAGAGATTTTACTATGTTTAACGAGAAGAAAGATTCAACGAACTACTAAAGGTGAGTAATGAACGTCTTCAGAATAACAACAAAGAATTTAAATGATGAAGGTATATTTCAGCAGGAAATGTTGAATCAGCAATCGAAATTCTGAGAAAAAGGTCTATGTACATAACGGAAGAAGAGAAAGTGAATAATCATTTGATCGTTGTTGTTAATTTTTTTTTGTTTTCATCTTCTTGTTTTATTTTCAAAAAGAAAAACAAATATTTTGTTTGATTGAAGCCAAGTGAAAAAGTTAATACCTCAGGTGAGGTAGCCATGTTTGGGGTTCAGGGCTAGGTGGAAGTGAATTCACTTTTGAGAGAAGAAATAATTTAAAAAACAAAGCGAAGAAAATAGCATATGAATTGTCGTCAAATAAAATGCATAGTCCGCAATGATTTTAATTTCGTTTTTTTTTAAATATTCCTGGACACAATTTTAATTTGTATTCATCTCTGAAAATTGAGAATTCAAAATGCTCACGTGAAAATTAAACGTTTAAAAATCGTCGTCAAATAAAATGCATTCGGTGTAAACACGCGAGATTCGATTTCAGAGACTAAAAACAATTTAACAATAAAAAAAATAAAAAACAATTTTAGAAATAAATGAGAATAAACGCGAATAGCGAAATTAGTGCAATCATATATGAGGAGTTGAAACCCGCGAGCCACGCGTCTTCGTAATCATTGAAAATTGGCACAGTCGTTGGCGCAATTGGTGGCGGTGGTGAAGATTGTCTCGTGGCCATTGGTGACGGCTCATCTGACATGGTGAATGGCCCTTCGTCGGCGGTCGTCGTCGTCTCATTCATTTCAACGTCCGCTAGAAAGTGTGAAGTCGCCGTTGGCTTCGTGATCGACGTCGTCGTCGGCATCGTCGTTGGAACGTCTGAAAATTTTCAGCGAGTCAATCTCACTCAATAAATTTACAATTTGACCTTGAATTTTGCAATAACGAAGGCAAATTTGATTCAACGCCTCTATGCTCTGTCGGCTGAGCAACGGATTGCCATCAACGATCACGTCTGCAATTCATTTCGTCGTGAATCGAATTCATTCGCGTTACTCTCAAATCGATTTCGTGTGCCGGCGTTGAATCGAAACTCCCTCAAACTCGGATTATTCCTGATTGTCAGATTTCCGTCGGCATATCGCATTTTTGTCAGATTGATGTATCTCAAATCGGCGACGTTCTCCCAAATCAGATGCACGTCGGTGTATTGAAACGCCCGAAACGTGATCTCGTCGGTGAAGTTTTGCGATGGGAATTCGAATTTCATGCTGCCAAACGTCGAGCAAAAATAGAATTCGCGCCACATTTCTTTGACAACCGGTTTCGACGGATGGCCGGTGCAACATGTTACATCTAAATATTTCTATTTGATTATTATTATTATTTTATGTCGCGAAACTGGCTAAATGCCAAAAAAAATTAAAAAGAGGTCTCGGTGTCTATCATTTTACATAGGCCCGTAAATCTACACTACTAGTTATGCGCCAAGGCCACTGCCGTTGTTTTTTTTTATATGTGGCACTTGTTATCAAATTATAGCTTGCGTGTTGGGTGGCGCAATAGCGCAGTGGCGGAATTTTTGGGCTCATAACCGTGGAGATCGTGAGTTCGACTCGGTGCAAACGAAATGCTCCAGTTCGGACGATAGCGCTCGATTGGTCGCCGACACACTCCCGAACTGGGACCGATAGGTTCCCACTGGTACAGTTCGGGCGATAGCGTTCAATCGGTGGCAGGCGGACTTCCGAACTGGAGAGGATTATTTCAACATCCGAACTGCAGCCAATTTGCATCCAATTGGGAGCAGGGGTTTTTAGCGGTTGACTCCAGTTCGGGCGTGAGCACCCGAACGGGAGCAGTCAATGGTGTGCCGCAGCAATTCAAAATAGCGCGCCGCGGAATTGCCGCGTCGCGGTTGTTTTTTTTCGAAATGGCGTCTTTTATTTTAAACACTTTTATTGCTTTTTTTCGATCATTTCTCGAGCTTTTTTCGTAATTTTTTTTTTCTAAAACTTAAGAAAATGTGTATCTATCAATTCGCTCGTATTTTAGTGGAACGTTTCTGTTTTTTATTAAACTTTCGCGTCTTTTTGTTATCCTAAATTTTTAACTGAAACTTTTGGGCATTTTCATTGTCTTTTCTAAGAAAAAAGTAGTTTTCAGACACATTTGTATTGATTTTTGCCATTAAAAGCCGGAAACGCGTTTTTGGATGGTTTTAAATGCAAAAATGATGTTAAATTAGGAGAACTTTTAAAGTTTTGTTATAACGGTAAAGGTTCGATAAGTGAATAGAAATTGATTTTAAATTTGCGCATAATTTATCGTCGTTTTTCGCAATTCTATTATCTTTTAAACACTTATAATTTAGAAATGAGATGGCAAGCTGCGGTGCTGATTTCTGATGCTGAATGCGATGCTGGATGAATTGGCTATATGCTTAATGGAGGACCAACTGGTTTTTTTGGAACTATATATTGAGTAAGTGTTATAAAATATGGATGCTATCATCAATTAACCCTTGTTTTACAGAATGAAACTACAAGCTGCTAACTGCCTCAACCTAGACCCAGCTCATAATGCGAAGACCAAGGAAACTTCGCAAATGGATAAAATGTCAAGAGTCATGAGGAAGAAGAATTTGTATTCCCTTCCTGTTGTAAGATGGTTTAATACATTTATTAATTGTATTTAATTGTCGCAAAATTGCGGAAAATTACAAAGTGCCAAAAATTGAAGGAGATGTCTTGGTGCAAAACTAAATGTGTAGATATACGGACAAAATATAAGTATTGAGGCTCATGCCGTGGGCCAAGACATTTCTCATTTTTTGGCATTTAGTTTATTTTCCGATTTCCGCGACAGTAATTCCTCGATTCCTCTTTTAATGTTCCCTCTCCCTCCCATTTTCTTCCTCTTTACTCGATAATTAATATTTTTCCTTCGATATCTATTATTTTATTTTATTATTTGATTTAAATAAATCTAATGCATCGAAAATGTAGCGAATACACAAAAAGAATAAAATTTGACTGGAGCCGACTGGGCGTAATCTGGCGCCAGTTCGAACGAGAATCTGGCGTGAATCGGGCCCAATTCGCAACCAATTTGTCGCAGTTTGATAGCAGTCTCACATCGGTTCGGGCGTGAGACTGCTCCCATTCGGGCGTGAATTGTCCCCGTTCGGACGTGAAACTGCGCCCCCTCCGACGTCGAGCGAGAGCAGTTTTACATTCGAACGGGAGCATTTCGTTTGCACCGAGCGATCCCGCTCTGGAGCAAAGTGTTTTGCAGATGATTTTTATATGTATTATCGTTTTTTTTTTCGAAATCCAAAATTTTATTTTTTTTTAATAATTTTAATTAGCAAGCCAATCACAAAAAATAATCTGAATTTTTTGAAAAATTACCGATTTTTCTGCAATTTAATGCACCATCGCTTATTACGAGAAAACTGAAGGCGAAAAATATCCTGATGATCAATTTATTCATTTAGAAACTAATTTCAATTTTTTATTCTTCATAATCGTCACATTTCACGTCATCAATTTTTATTACTTCTCGTTTTGGTTGATTTTTGTAAATATGCATTCAGATCAATGAAAAATCGACGAAGGAAAAAAATAAATGGAAAATAAATGTGTTTGGGTTGCAATTCGCGTCGAGACCCATTGCTTAAATAGCATTCTTCTGTTTCTTTCTATTTTTATAAATTTTTTACGAGAAAAAAAGCGCTGTTCTTCTTGTTTTTTTTTGCTAATTAATTTTCCACAATTTTTTTGAAACTGGCTTATTTCAGATGCGTATCCTCAAACTAAACGTCTATAAAAAAGAATGGAAAAAACCCAAAAAAATATTTTTTGTAATATAGAGAAAATCAAAATAAATTAAATGGCCTAAATTATCTTTTTGATTACTGTAGCAGTAGGATAAGTGTGCACGGTAAAAAAATGTGGCGGCTTACTGTAATTACAGTAATCTGAATATGTGTTATTCCAATCGATCTGATAATCGACTAAATTTGATACGCTGAAAATTTGCATAACCCGATCTTATGAGAAAAACCTTATCTCCTTTCTCATTGCTAATCGAAAATTGGTATTAAAGGTGTGAGAAAAAAAATTAGCAATACCCATGAGAACATTGACGAAACGCCTCCCGAATCAGCATTCCATATTTTGTCGGCGTCGCGAAAACCATGGCAGTGGTCCTGACGCGAATGTGAAATTTTCGATTTACTTGCTTGTGTATAAGGATTGGCACAAGACCTTGAACTAGGGTTTCTCCATATTTTCGATAACGTGACATGAATTCTGCGAATATGAAAAAGGTTGAATTTTTTGTTTCCAAAAAAACCGGGCATATCCTGTACAATAACAGTATCCCAACAATTTTTTCGATTTTTTTAAATATAGCGATAACACTTTTTTTAATACAGGATTATCAGTACATCGCCCACAGTCGGAGGGTAAAGTATCATTCGGGCGGCTTCTATTCGCCCTAGCCAGTCATGCTTCTGATTCCAAAATTTGAAACCTGAATTCTCGTGATATCCTGTGTCTGATCAAAAAACTCCTCAAGAATTGCACTTCGTTTATTTTACACATTCACATATTATGCTGTTGGTGATGATCGATATCGAATTGCTCATTGTGCTCTTCGTCCTCTCCAATACGATTTATCACTTCCGCAAATGGTGTCCGCGATGGGAAAAACTCTAAAAATCTGATATTATGATCTATAATTGGTAGTTGAACAAAACCTCGAAGAACTCCAGAATTGAGCCACGCGATTGTGCGCGCTATCGAATCGTATTCGCTATTTGGATCGCCATTGAAACTTCCATGTTGAATAATATAACGTATAAAATACTCCTGAAAAAGTTATATATTTAGAACGCATAGAGTTGCCAAATCAAATAATTACAATCGATTTTGACATTGCTACTAATCCACTTTCGTCTGGTTGAATATCATCCTTTACAAGTTTCAGATGGTCGATAATATCCTTAATTGGAACCTGCAAAAAACCAAAGTTTCGTTTTAAAATAAAAAAAAGAGCTTACTACTAATGATGTTGATGCTTCTCCATTACAACTATTCGCTGAAAACCCATTTGATTCCATTGTATATTCTAGAACATTTTTTAATAATTTTCGCAAGAAAATTAGTAGAAAAACTATGCGAGAAATCAATTTAAACCTAAATTATTATTATAAAACGATAACGCATGGAAAAAATCGCGCAATAGCGTAAACAAGATATTTTTACAAAAAAATTTTTTAAATAATTAATTGTCCACGAGGAGTACACAAATACCCATCATGGCCGAGATTTTTTATGTTTTGCAATGGAGCGCATTTGCCCGCATTATCAGTTTTTTAAATGTTGATTTTTTTAAATTAAGAACTGCCCAACGCGTTTCATTTCAACATGATTTTGGTGTCGTGCAAAATGTAAAAAAAAAACGACGACGAAGAAAATTGAGGCAATTTCAAAAATCAAAACCATCTGTCGCGATACGCTTGTTTACAAGAAAAGCGGCGCTAAAAAAAAATTCGCGCCAGACCATTTTTTTCCTCATCATTTCATTTTGCCGTTCGCTTTGCCGAGCTCTGCTTCTCTCGCTTCGCGACCCAGTATTCCGTGTATGTACATATATGTATTTATATATGTGAAATGTGTGTGTGTGTGTCGAATCTGGAAACGTGCGACACTCTTTGCCGCCGTGCGGTCTCTCGCATCATACCTCAACACCATCGTCTCTCATTCTCGCGCACTATTTCGCCGATGGTTTGCGTCTGCCTCGTGTTGTGTGTTGTGTTCGGGCCCCCCGTCTTCTCGCCCGCCATCTTCTACTTTTCCTTTTCATCTTTTTTCATGTGATGATGATTCCTTTCATTTAACATTCTTTTGCCGCTCATATTGTGTATATTTGAGTGTTTTTTTTTATTCCTCCAGCGCTGAGCATCCGCCGTTTTTTTTTTCAAATAAAAAATTATACATATGCGTTAATTATTGTTCAAACTAATTTTGCTTTTTTTTTCCTTCCAGGTGCGCTGGACATGCGAGCTCCGGAAAAATGAGCGTGTTGACCGGATTTGCGAATTTGGCGTGTGGCGATCGCCTCAACATCAACACGCCGCTCATCATTGCCGCTCGCAAAAAGACGAACGATTCGATTTCGAGGCGACTCGCCAATTATCGCGAGGTGAACCACTTTATTTTGTTCATTCTCGACGAAAAAAATAAATTCCTGAAATATGACGTCATCCAAATTGGCTTCATCGAAATTCAAATTGTTTGTTGGTATTTGAATGACCTTTATTGATAAAACGACGAATTCGTTATCAATTGAAAATATTGCGGAATTTGAAAAATTTGAATTTCGCGGGTCCCCTAAATATATAATGAGCTCATACTTCATCATTTTACACGATTTTTTTTCCAAAATTCTAAAAATTCATTTAAATTTATGCTCTTTCACATGGTGATTGTTAAATTATGCAATAGTCGTTCGTTAGAGGTTTTCCATGCAAGACCCAATAAGACGATTCAATTGATACAGTAATCACCCCACGAATTCGTCCGTCGTTTGACTATCGGAAAAAAATGAGGCTTACAGAATTAATTTCTGTCAAAATTTCGATAAAGTTTGAAAATTCCAAATCAAATTAAGAATTTTTCAAATTTTGGAAAATATTTTCTAAAGGCGCACACAGTTTTTGTTCGGAGTGTCAAAATGACAGTCGGGTTTAATTCTATAGAAAAATTATAATGAAATTTCAGCATTTCAAAACCGATCATGTCAATGTGCCGGAAACAAATGTCAGAGAGCTTGGAGCATTATTCGATCGGCTCACATTCAAATTGCCTTCCAAGTAATTGAACATTTCTTTTTCATCGAAAAAAAAAACCAAATAGCGAATATCAATTTTTAAAGATATATCGAATATAAGCCGCCGGAGGCGCTGGAGAACACAATCGAATATGATATTGATGAAGAGGATTCGAAATGGATTGAGATGGCGAATGCGGAGAGAATTCGAAGCTCGGTGGAGGAGATCAGCGTTGAGAAGTTTGAAATAGCGATCGATCGAATGGAGAAATGCTGTAAATTTGAGGTACGAGCATATTTTTTTTGTGTGTTTGCCGAATTTATATGTTCATTTTAAGCCGCTTGCTGGAAATTTGGGACCATCGAACGCGCAGGCATCGTGCGACGATGAAACCGACGATGTGTGTTGCGTTTGCGCCGACGGCGACGTCTCCAACGCGAATCAGATTATCTACTGCGATATGTGCAATATTGCCGTCCATCAGGTACCTCTCCGTCGTCATCATCTTCTAGCCTCCCCTTCTTAGGATTGCTATGGGGTTCCCTACATTCCCGAAGGTTCGTGGCTGTGCCGAAAATGCAAATTGAGCCCATCGGAGCCGGTCAAGTGCTGCCTGTGTCCGCATCCGTTCGGAGCGTTCAAACCGACTTCCGACGGTCGATGGGCGCATGTCGTTTGTGCAATTTGGCTCAATGAGGTATGGTTTTGAGATTTGCAGAAAAAAAACCATTGAAAAGTTTTGGCGCGAGTCGTTTTCATTTTTTTTTATTTGAAAAAATTGTGCAATTTTGCGTGTGTGTATGCACATTTATTTTTTTTCCGCCAAGATTTTTTGAATTATTTGTGACAAATCAAATTTTTCAAAAAAAAAAATAATTTTTGAAAAACCCTTTTTTTCAGGTTCATTTTGGGAATGCTGTGTTTTTGGAGCCGATTGAAGGTGTTAAAGAATGTCTGAAGGAGAGGAAGATCTTGCGATGCTTGTACTGCAGGTAGGTTATGCCGCTAAAAATGGAGAGACGTTTATAGACGTCATTAGAGAATTTTTAATTGGCTCATTTATAGTTCTGAATGAAATGAGCTTTTTTTATTGGCAAAATCAAATTTCATCTGAAATTTGTATACAAAATTTGAATGGCGGCATCAAAGGGCGATTTAATTTGCGGAAAAAAACGTCTAGAAATTAGCCAATTAAAGAAAAATTCGATATTGGTGACTATAAGCATCGAATTGCAAAAATTTCCAATTAATAGGGCTATATACATACTTTTAATGCAGAAAAACGAGAAAAAATGGTAATTTTTCCGTTTTTTTTCTTTTCACTGTCCTTACATGAATAAATGTCAACAGCTAGACAATTTTTGTTGCAGGAAGAAACATGGCGCCTGCATTCAATGCTCGAGTCGAAGTTGCATCAAAGCGTTTCACGTGACGTGCGCCCAACAATTGGGTCTCGCCATGAAAGTCGAGACTGTGCTCGACAAAGACGACGGCGAAGAGATTGACGTGAAACGATTCGTTTATTGTCAGAAGCACGCGGCCGGCAATAATATGACGAAACGCGAGATTGAGCAATCGATTCGAAAAGCGCGACGCAATATGGAATCGAGCGGAGCTTATCGGCCGACGATCACGTGAGATTATTCGCCCCGCTGTGGGAGCTCTTGATAATTCATCGAGTTCAGAATGCCGACGATTAGTCGCGAAAATGTCGATCGAATCGCGCGAGAGACGGGCATCGAGAAGTTCGAAGACGTCGTCGTCTATTGGTATCAGAAGCGTCGATCGCGCGCCGGTGTGCCGCTGATTCGTCGACTCAACGTCGAAGTGGCGCCGAAAGAGCGAAAACGCGCCAACTCGACGGTTGTGGCGTTGAGCAGCGCCGAAAAGGCGCTCTATGAGCAATTCCAGAGGATTCGCAACTCGCTCGAGACGACACGAATGTTGTCGGAGCTCATCAAGAAGCGCGAGGTCAACAAGAGGGGCTATGTGAGTTGAAGAAGTTTTGCTTGTCGGAGCTAAATTGCAATTGTCGGCAAAAAATGTCATACAAATTGAGCGAAATCTAGTTTTTTTTCGAGTTTTCTTACAATCTTATGCTCATTTGATTCCATTTTTCAGCTTATCCATCATCGCAAATTGTTTGAAAAATCGCTGATGCCGATCGAGGAGATTTTGAGTCGAATTCTCGATGAGTTTGACAAAGAGGATGAGCAGAACGTGTTCGCCGAGCCCGTTCAACTCGATGGCTATTTGACGATCATCAAGAATCCGATGGATTTGTCGACGATGCGACGCAAATGCGCCAATCGAAAATATTGTGGGTTCTTCTTCTTATTGTTTTGGCGCCTTTGAATCGGGTCCTGACGCGAATTATATCGTTTTGACAGTTTTGAGTGAATCTTGAGGTTTTCTTTTTTTTCGCAATTTTGAGAAATATCGAGACCAAAATTAGAGACAATGGTCTTGAATCGAAGTGGCAGAATTTTGATAGAAGGCTTCTGAAAAAATTAATACTCAATTCGGTTTTTGCCATGGTTGTCAATTGGGTATTTAAAGGCGCATGCAGCTTTTGTTCGGAGTCTCGCAGCGATCGATGCTAAAAGCTTCGCGTTTTTTTTCCAGCTTAAGCTTTTCTCAATGTTTTTTTTTTCTCCACAAATCCACAATTTTCAGCGTCGGTGAACGATTTGCGCAAAGATCTTCTGCTCATGACCGACAACTGCGCGAAATTCAATCACGACAATCGCTACTATTTGCGGTACGGCAAAAAGTTTCGAAAAGCGGCGTTGTCGATTCTCGACGAGGCCGAGAAAATGGCGAACGAGACGATTCACAGTGGCAATGTAAATGATTTCTTTTTTGCTGTTGATTCCATTTTTTGTTGTTGTCGTTCTTGCAGAAAACCGCCGAATTTGTCGAGATTTTCACGCGCGAGCTGGGCGAGAACTTTTTGCGTCAAAAAATCCGAATTGGCGGCGACGAGCCGGAAGCGAAACGCTCGCGAAACGAGCCGATCGACGATGACTTCGGTGCGGGACCATCGAGCCAAATTGCCGACGACATTGACGAGGATGAGCAGATTGATGGTAGGCAAAAGTCGAAGACGACGACGCCGTCGTCGAGTAGGAATCGCGGACGCGGACGGCCGGTGATGCGAACGACACCGACGGACGTCGTTGTCGTCGTTCAGAGTCCCATCGAGCAGGACGAGCAATTGGAGTCGGAAAGTGAGAATGCCGAGAATTTTAGACATTCTGGTGATAAATTTTCAGCTTCAATCGCTCCGACGCCAAAATCGGGTGGCACACTCGCGTCGTCGTGGAAATCGATATTCACCGGTGCCGTCGGACAAGTGAAGCGCAAGAGCACATTCGGCGCGACGGCGACGACGCCGAAACGCAAAAAAGAGTTGGCGGCGAACCAGACGATTTTGCCGTTTTTGTCGACGACGACGACGACGACATCCGAACCGCCGCTCACGTTTTCGGCGATCGCGAAATCCGGCGCCAACTCGCCGCTGGTGTTGGTGAACGCGCGCAACACGCGCAACGTTCGCAACAATCCGCATTTCTCGGGTGTTCGCGACTATGACGCCGTCAAAAGTCCACTTCCGGCCGATTCGGCGTCGTCGACGGAATGCTCGACCGACGAGGATGTGGTTCCCGATGAGGTATTGCGATTTCTAGTTTTTTTTCTCTCACTCTCTCTCTCTCTCTAAATCCAAAAAATACGAGTATTACTGTAATTTATAAATTTCTCTGAATTAGTGTGCCTTGTAGATGGATTTGAAATTTGAACTCCAAAGGCTTTCGATGGTCCGGTGCAAATTTCGCGGAGTGAGGTGTTTTGGTCCTTTGGAAAATGTTTTTCAGCAAAGACAACTGTAAATTTTAAAGGTACATGTGGGAAAATCCCACGTTTGTATGCAAAATTCACGGCGGAGGGGTTACAAATTTGAAGGTCCATATCTCGATAACTAGAAGTTTGCGCAGGTAGCGACCTAGTTCATTCGATTGGAAATTGTTTAAAGAATCGGAAAGACCCCCCCCTTGTTGTGAGAAGCGAAAAGATGATTTTCAAAAAAATTTTGCGAATGAAGGATTTTGGCGCATTTTTGTTGGCGAAAATGCGATTTTCAACATATTTTTATTAAAAAAAATTTAAAACGCATATTCCTGGTTCGGTGCTCGTGTTTTTTTTTATTTGCGATTGCAAGTTCGACTCAACGTTTTTTTTCGTTTTGCAGGCGACGAATGTTCGGAAGAAGAATGGAAGTGCGAAGCCGAAGCGAAAGAGTTTCCCGCGTCTGAAAGGCGGCAAAGAGAGTCCGGTGGAGAAGGCGAAAATGGATTGCAAATCGAAGTTTGCGCACAATGCGATTGTGAATGTCGATGGAAAAGCGGCGAAGTGAGTCATTTCTGCATTCGTCGTCGCCTTTTTTTTCAAAACGCAAAAATAAAATTTTGAGGACGGGGGGGGAGACCGAATTTTTTGAGTTGGTTTTTTTGGGAAAATCGTAAAACTAAAAAATTTAAGAAAAGTTTCATATTTTTTGGTAGACAAGTGAGCAAAGTTTGCGTATTTTGGGCTTTTATGATTTTCGAGACGACAAAAATGCTCAATTTTTATTTTTTCACAGTAATTCTACTAGAATTCCTATAATATTGAATTATTTTTTGAAAAATTTGGTTCAAAAAGACAAAATTCTGAAATATTAAAATTTGAGACATTTTTTTTCGCGAAAATTTCACCGCGAAATTCTCTTCGTAATTTTGTGGTATTTTTTTTTCTGAAAAACTTGAATTCGTCATTTTTTTAAAGGGTGATTGACTCGCAATACGCCCATTTGTCGGACATTTCACGCGAGCAACGCCAACAGATGTTCGCGACGCGGCCGCATCAGAATGGCGCGTCGCCGCGGAATCGGCCGTCGTATTGCGGCGGCGGCGGCGACGACGATCATCTCGTCTACGTCGAATTCTTCCAGAAGACCAACAATTCCGAGCAGTACGTTTTTTTTTTGAGAATCGTTTCACACTCAACATTCTTTAGGTATAAATGGGTCCCGTCGGAGCGAGTCACACTGCTCGACATGTCGAATACGAATAAGGCGAAAATTGTTGGACTGAAAGCTGCCAAAGAATGGTAAGAGTACTTTTTTTTGGGTCTCGCCGCGATGCCTGCTTCTCAGTTTTGAAAAATGGAAAATTTTTTTTTGCGAAATTCAAATTTTCAATGGTTTTGAGCCAAGCTTGTGATTTTTCAACGCCGAACATCCTATGCGCCTTTAATTATCGTTTAAGAATCAGAGAGCGTTTTTAGGCAACAAGCGATAATGAATAAATAGCCGCTGGATTACGGTAGCAATTTCCGGACACGAAAGAAAAAATCAAAAAAATCAAAGCTTTATTCGCGTTTTAACCCCATTTTTTGTCGAACCCCTTTAATTTCTGTGTCGTTTGTTCCACCCCCCCCCATTCTCAATTCATCAGATTACCCCGTACGAGTTGATTGAATTTTATTTTTTTTTGTGACATTAAGCCCCCTCAATTTTATTTGTATAGTCTGGTTAGAGGGGTTGATTTTTGCTCCATTGTCTCCTCCCATTTGTTAGTCCCGGTTTCTGAATTCGATTTGGTCTTCTTCAATTGTTCCTTTTTTCTCTTCGTCTGTCCGGGACCACTTCATCTTTTCGTTTATAATATAATTGATGTAATTGCAAGAGCAACGGGTAATCGATTATCCGTCGTGTTTCAAATGTATAACAAGAGAAAATTTTCGCGTTTTGGTTTAATGTGATTCATTGTTTCGTTTTTTTCTCTCTCTCTCTCTATCCATCGTTTTATATGTTCGTCTGTTTCTGAGAAGAACTCAATCATGTTTTTTTTTATTTATTGATGACCTTCTGGCCTCCACCACAAGAATTTGCAGTTTTTTTTGTGTGTTTCGATTCTTCTATTCATTTTTTTTGTAAATACATTAGATTCTGATTCTGCTCTTTGTTGTTGATGATGATGATGATGATGATGATGATGATGAGGTCTCGAAGCGTTTTCGGTGGAGCACACTTGCAGCGTAGATCATTGAGGCGATTTTATCGCGATCTTCCTGAAAAGTTTGTCGGGGTTACGGCCTCTCATTTAATTTTTGGACTAGCCGTTTCGTGTTTGGCGTGATGCGACGAAGCCGACGAATGGAATCGCGGCTCGCCGAGCTGGAAGAAGCCCATGTTGAGGTAGCGTTGAAGGAATTCGAGGTAGCAGCCGCTGACTAAATCAATCGATATTTTTTTTATGTTGTGGTCTCGTCGCGACAACTACAGTAATCGCATTTTTGCAAGAGAAAACACACATATTTGACGAGATTCTCGAAGCGAAAATTTCAATAATCCGAATTTTTTGAAATTCAAAACCCACCGGTGAATGCGAACAAATAATCAGCGGGGAATAGGGTCTGTGTGAATATCATGCAAATCAAAGTGGTACTGGAATATCTGAAAAAAATTCAAGAATGACAATTTTGAAAGAAACCAAAAAAATGCTTACTGAAATGTTTCATCGGTTAATTGATATTTGATGAGGGCGGTCTCGAAAAACGTGATACCAAAATGCACCCATGCCATTAATAGGCCGCCAATAAAAGCAAATGGCAGAAACGATTTGGTGGCAATGCAATCGGCGTCAGAGAGAGCCAGAAGGCGACGAACAGCAAAATATTGGGACCATTGAGTGATGTGGATGACGACGAGATTGAAATTCTGGATGATGGCGTCGGAGAGAATTATGAAGCCGTCGACACGTTGATATTCGATTTCGACGGATTGCAGAACCTGAATAGTCAACATTGGATTTTTGATTTGAAAAAAAAAATAAATTTTTTCGAAAGTGATTTGATTTTGAAAAAAATGATTCAAAATGCAGAAATCTTTGCTTTTTCTGAATTAAAAATGAATATTCTATTTTCAATATATTTTTCAATTAAAAAAATAGATATTTCATTGAAAAAAGCTAAGAAACCGGCAAAAATAACAAGAAAAATTGAAAAAAAAAACCTTGCCGAAATACGCTAAAGCGCGGGCAGTGTGTTCCTTTGGAGTGTCGTTGTGTAGAATAAATTTTAAATTAAAAATCTCCAAAATTCATTATTTTTTCTCTCATAATTGCATCGACCCTTTTTTCATTCAAATTACACACTGTTTCAAACATCATTCAATTTCAATATCATTTCCCAAACAAGGAAACTCGTAAAATCTCACCAATTTGATAAGAAGAACCACACAGCAGCCGAAAAGAATGGAAATGTCACCTCTCGCGTGCGCCTTGTGATGAGCATCGAGTCGCTCATTTTTAATGGTCAATGAATAGGCGTAAAGCTCAAAAATGATGAAATAGAAGAAGAAAAAAAAATGCATGACAAATTTGAATTACCGCCAAATAGAATACCGTTTGCAGCAAATTCGCTCCAAGGTTCACATAGTCGTTCATCATGTATTTGTGCTCAACAAGTTGGTCGAAATCTGTGCAAAAATTGTTCGCAAAATTTTCCAGATTAGAAAAAACCGATTGTATAGTAGAAATAAAATAGCCATTTGGCTGTCGAGGCGACACAAACGATTGGTGTGAGAAGCCAGAAAAACCATATCACATAATTTCTAGAATTTGATCGGAAAATATCAATTTTGAGCATTTTTCATTGTATTTCATACTTGACAATTAGCGGAGCGGCGTCGAGCTCCGGATGAGCCACGTAGACGCGCGAAACGTCCTTCATGAATTCTCGAAGCATCCCGCGAACGCCTTCTTTCCTCTAAAATTCGTTATGTGAATATGCGCCTTTAAAAATTATTGTGCCAGGTATTGAATTAAAAAAAAAAACAATTTTCAAAATTTTTTCTATTAAAATTGGTGCGATTTTGCGTGCGTGTGTACCACACTTTTTTTGTGAAAGACAAGATTATCAAAATTGAAACGTTTTAAATTTTTTTAAATGAAAATGTTTCAAGAATAAAAATGTACGCTAAATCATAGGCATTTGTGTTCACCGTGGAGTGTCGTTTGAAATTTGGTTTTCTTCACAATTTTTGTGTCACGAATTTTCGCGAATTTCATCGAACCTCATTAAAAATTGAAATATCATTTTTTTTTTGAATTACGCGCCAAAAATTTAAATATGTGCAATTTTGCGTGCCTGTGTAATACCCTATTATTTTGAGCTGCTTTTGACAATTATGACGAAACCCGATAAAAATTGAAATCGGGTATTCTTTTTTCAATTTTTAAGAAAATATAAAATTAAAAACGTACGCTAAAGCATAGGCATTTGTGTTCACGGTGGAGTGTCGTTTAAATATCAATTTTCTCTCAAATTTTTTTGCGAATTTTTGCGCAACTCAATTTCCGCAAATTTCAACCCTCATTCAAAACTGAAATATTGCGCCCAAGTAGTTTTTTTGAATTTCGCGCCAAAAATATTTTTTTGAATTTCGCCCGAAAAACTATTTTTTGAATTTCACGCCAAAAAATTATTTTTTTGAATTTCACGCCAAAAAATTTTTTTTGAATTTCACGCCAAAAAAATTTTTTTTTTGAATTTTGTTTGATCAAAAAAATTTTTTTCTGAATTTAGCTTTTTTTAATATACGCAATTTTGCGTGTCGGTGTACCACACAATCATGAAAATTGAAGCCGGGGCTCAATTCTGCAAGTTTTAGGCGGAAAATAAAAATGCACGCTAAATCAAAGGCATTCGGCGTTCACGGTGGAGTGTCGTTTGACATTTGGTTTTCTCCACAAATTTTTCAACGCCAAAAGAATTTGTTTTTGAATTTCGTTCTTTTTTTTTAATATCTCCAAGTTTTAGGCGGAAAATAAAAATGCCCGCTAAATCAAAGGCATTCGGCGTTCACGATGGAGTGTGGTTTGAGTGGCAAACCCAACCTACCGACCTTCATTCGCTTCATGATATCATCGGCCTTCTCCTCGGCGCCGCCGCAAGCGAGCCAATGCGCGACGAGAATGACCGGAAAGAATTCGGAGGCGCACGAGATGACGGCCGAGTTGAGGAGTCCCTTATTGATGTAGTACCACATCTTCTGCGTTCCGTGCAAATCGTCCGACGGCGAGCACTCATAATTGCGACGCATCACCGGACACCAATAGCCGTCCAATTCTTTGCGTTGGCACAACTCCTGATGGCTGAGGTAGCCTTTGAAGACGACGACCTTCAGCCAGACGACGGCGAACGTGACGTTGACGAAGAGGCGGCCGATTTTGTCGAGATTCGAGCTGATCGCCCCGTAGAAGCGACGATGCAGAATGTAGATCAATGAGAGGCCGGAGAAGGCGGCCATCAGAATGTTGTAGAAGGCGTCGAGGTAGATTTCCGACGAGTAGACCGAATCGACGAGTTTGTCGCAATTGCGAAAACCGAATTGGAACACGATGAAGTACAAATAGCCGAGAATTATGCCGATTGTTAGCGCGATGGCACCTTCAATTTGGGAGGGGGGGAGGTAGATCAAAACAATTTTTTGCCTACCGATTAGCGCCGGATCGGGTATCTCATGCGGCTCGTCGAGCTTCGGCAAATTTCGCGTTCTGACGAGAAACTCGATTTGCACAATCGCGCATGAGAGCATGAGAACGGCGACGATCTGCAATTTTCGCTGCGGGACCCCCAACGCCAACATTTTTTTTTGCCATAGAAATTTGAATGCGCCTTTAATACTTCTCGATACGCAGCCAAATCAATGGGCTTGTGTGTTTGCACAATTTATATATAAAAATGGAAAGCGACTTTCATTTCCAAAAGCGGCTCAAATTTAAAGGCGCATTGGGTCCCGCACCGATTGTGTTTGACCTACTGCATGGTAAATCCTCAAATAGAAGATGGTGTCCTCGCGGCTGAGAAGCACATAGAAATTCATGAAGATGCACAAAATGAAGATGATGTAAAGACAGGCGGTGCATAGATGATGAATCTGAAAGCGCATAGTTGTCGATTTACGGGGCGGATGAATGGGTGTCGTTGAAACTAAAAAAAAACACAATAGAGGAAAAGAAACTCGTACATGCGATGCCCATTTTTTGTGTAGACGCATCGTTGACCTGAAGGCACTTATCAAATTACGAGCGCTTCCCAAATTTTTGGTGCGGCGTCATTAAAACTCGGTTTTTATGGCACACCGAATGGCGTTGATGTGTCGTGCTCGCGTTTTTATAGCTTCGCAAATATCCTGTTTTAAGCAATTCGAGTCTTTAAAGAGCGACGGGCATCACAAAAAGGAATGATGTGTGATTGGCAAATTAGACGTCATGCGTCTTTAAATCAAAACCTCAAATTCTTGAGTGTCATTCGGCTTAAACCAATTGTGCTGCGGACAATTGGCAAAATCAAAAATTGGTTCATAATTGGTTTTTAGAGTGAAAATGTTGGTAAGTAAGAACTCGGCATTAATAAAATTGTTGCTGCGGACAATTGGCAAAATCAAAAATTCGTTCTTCATCGGTTTTTGAACGGAAATATTAGTAAGTGAGAACTCGGCATTAATAAAATTGTTGCTGCGGACAATTTCAACAATAACTCAATGAGCACAATAAAGCGGTTTATGAGCAAAAATCAACAAGACAAAAATGAATTGAGACCAAAAATAAACAATTTGAATGGCAAGTGAAATTGTTTTTTTTTTGCTGGAGCGGCGCTGAAATTCTCACACCAGCATTCGTCGAGTCCTCTTGAGCAATCTGAGATAGTCGGGCTCTCGTCGCCGCTTCACCGGTATCTCGTCGGTGTATTGGATGCCGAGGCGGCTGGCGGCGTTCCGCAGAAACGTGCGAATGCGATCGGTGGGAAACATCGAGACGCGCGGCACCACGTGGGCGCTGTTCAACAATATCGGCTGAGTCGGCCGACAGCAATAGTAGCGGCCGTCGGTGGCCTTCTGGCATATGCCGAGCGGACACGAATTGTCGTCCCAAGCGCGGCATTGACGCGGCGCGGCGTCGTCGTCGTCGAGCAGCGCCTCCGAGCACATCTCGACGCCGATCGGACAACACGAATGGGTGCCGTCGATGAGCTGTGTGCACGTGTGCTCCGACGGACACGACAACGGATTCGACGGTCGGCACACGTCCGGATTGCCGGTCGTCGGATTGAGAAGCGGCGAGGCGCCGTCGGGACACGTGAAAATGTTGACGGTGTGACAACAGAAGAACATCACGTCGATGGCGTTGGTGACGTTGGCCGAGTCCTCGAGCGCCGGCAGGCAGTCGGTCGACGGCGGACACGAGGCGTCGCCGGGATGGCAGCGTTGCGGACGCTTCTTGGCGACGTCGACGAACGGAATCACGCACTTCTTGTGCGGCTTGCAGCACAGATGGCGAGAGTTCGCGATTGAGCCTGAGAATCAATTTTGCCTTTTTTTTTAATAATCAAAACCCCTGGAATTCCGATCATTGTCTAAAAGGGTCCCTTAAGGTTTGGGCAACAACTTTATTGAAAACTGGAATTTCAGGAAATCCTCAGAGCGACCTTTTTAGAATGGTCCCATCAACAATTGTGGATGATTACCCTACCTTCACCCAACACACACATATGATCGTCGGGACAATTGCCGTCGACGCCGATGGAGCACACGCGCGGCCTTCCGCCATTCTCGCGCAACGCGCTCATCCCCGTCGGACATTCGAGCGGCTTCGTGCAACAAACGAACTCGGCGTTTTTCGCCTGCTGACACGAATAATTGTCGGGACACGCGTCGCTTCGCGTCGGCGAACATCGACGAGCCTCGTTGGTCTGCGATCATCAAGCCGTCATTGTTTGATTCGACGAAATGCGTGGCGTACCTCGTCAAGAAGCAATAGGGATTCCGCCGACGGGCACGTCGGATGGGTTCGGCAGCAAATCGAAGCATACGGACTACTGTAATGATTACTGTACTCTGGTAACTCAAAACCAATCGTATTCGACAAAATTCGGCTCCGAAATTAACCTTATCCGATTGGTAATTCTACGGATAAGATTGGTTTTTTGTCGAACCCGATTCGAATTGAAATATTAAAACAAAACGGATTCGAATAATTACCAATCGGATTCAAAAGAAAAAGAGTAGTAATATACCTCAAGCTTTGGAATTTTTTGTAATATTGCGCTAGAATGTCTTGGGTATAATGAAAATGTCAAATTCGGCGGGAAATTGACTGAAAAATAAGGAAAAATAGAGAAAATTTAAAAAATAACTCTAGAGGTGAGAGAGTGTGTGAACGAGGAGGGCGCGCGCGGTGAGGTAGAGATATCGCGCGTTTGGAGAAAAGACAGTGGGCGACAGAGAGACGCAGAATGCGAGCGGCTAAAGGGGGATGCAGTGAGGCCGCTAGGATATCTCGTGGCGAAAACCGACAGTAATCGAGCGGCGATATTTTAGAGATTGTGGAGAGAGGTTTTTGGGCTCAGTTTTTGGGTATTTAAAGCCGCTTTTTTTCAGGATGTGCTCGAACCTATTATTCATCAGTTTAGAAGATGCGAGGGAACTTTTTAAGACGTAAGTTTGGTGTTTTTCGATATTTAGTGCTAGAGGTGTTGCCCTTGCAAATATCCTGATGACAGAAGGTTGCGATGAAGAACTTCTATCCTCTTCTTGTGCCACGAAATTCTGTTCCTTGGGGAACGTTGATTCTGGGTTAGACCAGGAACTTCAAAGAAAATGCCATTTTTTCAATAAAATCATGTCAATCAGGATTTTCAGTGGAAAAAACGAAATGCAAAAATTTTGGGAACCTTCGTCATAAAATGATTGGCTCCGACACTGAGTGTAAGGCGCCGAGCAGTGAGAACCGCTTGTCTGTTAGGGAGAATGACTTTTAGGATTTAATTTTCAGACGGCCATAACTCGTCTGAAACACACAGTACAGTGAATACACTTAGAAGGTCTTGAAGTGTGCAAAGTTACAAAAATTCCAAACCGCGAGGTATCCAATTTTCAATGAAAACATAGTTTTTTGAAAATTTGAAGAAATTGTTTAAAGACGCATGACGTCAAAAATCTGCTAGGGTCTTGATTGAGTGAAAGTCCAGTCCAAGTATTTCCATTTCGCGTCCCCACCTTTTAAGGCATTCATAACCCATCGGACATCCAACATTTTTGATCAAATCGCACAGCACCGGCTGCGCCGTTTTTCGATTCAAATGCACGTCGAGACCATTGGGACACGTGCCGATGCAATAATCGGTGCATTGCTCCTGATTGGCGAACGAGTTGAAGTGCTCATCGCAATTCGAGTGCTCCGCCTCGCGGCACTCGCCTTTGCGATAATCGAACCACCACGTCTTCATCGGCTCGCCGCTGCCGCGTCGGCAGTTGTTCTTCGCCTCGAACGGTGTGCCGCAAACGAAAGCTGATTCGAAATTTTTGAGGTTGAAGCGCTCGATGGCACCATCGCATACCTTTACTCGGACAACACGCGCCTTTCTTGCCGCCGCGCGCCGTGCACGTGTAGTTTCTCGGGCAGTGTCGGTCTTCCATGCACGACGCAATATTATTGATCGAATATCGATCGGCGTGCGGTTCACCTCTCGGGCAGATCACTGGAACACTACAGTGTTTGGGGAGGCTTCGGTGGCCGATTACCCTCGGTGTTGCAGAACGTCATGCATTCGCCGCGCGTCTTGAAATTGTTCTCGTTTCCGCCGCAACCGGTGTAGGTGAACGGCCGGCACGTTTTCGACGACGAATCGAAATAGAAGCGCGTCGTCGGCGGCACACCGCACGGTGTGCCCAAATGCACCGACGACTGACAGATGCGATCTGTGCGAAGCTCATGAATTTCGCCAAGGACTAGAATTTTCTTTTTTCGGCCGGCCACGGCCGGCTTATCAATTTTGCATTTCAAAAAATTAATTGGTGTTTGGTGTAAAATTGCAATTATCATAAATTGAGAGGGAACCCCCCCAATCGAATTTCATTTTTTTTGCTAAAAAATTCTTTTTCACAATTTTTGAATGTTTTTTTTTTCTCAAAAACGACATTAAAATTATCAATATTATATTAGAATTGGATTTTAGGACCATATAAAATAGGGGTTCCAATCGGCCGCGGCCGCGAAATACTCGGCCATGCCACATTTCACGTCCGCCATTTTTTAATTAGAAAAATATTTTTTCTAAGCGATTTCTTTTCAAAACTAATTAATTATATAAAAATCTAATTGAAATAATTAATTTTTAGCTAAAATTGCCTTAAAATATTTTTAATTGAATATTTTTTTGAAAAAATTATTAATTAAATATTAAAACAAAAATTTTTTTGAAAAAATTGTGTTAAAATTTTTCGGATAGATGAACTTGAAGATTTTTAAGAAATTTGGCTTCAATTTTATCGGTGCCCTTCAAAAATGATATTTTGTAAAAAAAATGAATCTGGAAAGGGGGTATTCCATACGATACCCAAAAAGTCGAAAATTCTCTGCATTCGCGCGCCGGCGTGTTTGCGTACAAAACATTTCAATTTACGCGCGATCGCCATTGTTGAGAATTATCGAACTGATTACCGGCTTTCTGGCAGCACACGCTCGACATGCCGCTGCCGACGCATTCGTGGCTGCCCGGACACGGCACCCGTTCGCCGTCGCATCGTTTGATGTTGCCGGCGAAGTCCATCAATGGCATTCCTTTGCCGCAGGAGGCTGAAATGACAACGACGATGACACACACACATCGGAATCAGAATCGGAATCGGCTAGCGTCGACGTACTCAAACTCCGACATCCGCTCATACACTCATCCTTGGTGGCGAATCGATTCTGATTGCCGCCGCATCCTTCGAACATGAACTCGATGCATTCCTCTGAAAATTAATTTTTTCCGCATTTTGGAAGTCGTTGCGAGACTCCACTTCAAAATATTTTTGCGTGCGCCTTTAATAACAGTTTCAAAAAATTACCTATTTTTGTGGGAAATTTGAATTCCCACTGATTTCGGGCTTTCAAATAATTTTTTTGTTTTGATTTTTGAAAATGAAAAAAAATTGAATATTTTTTTAAAGGCTCATATCGCTGAAAGTCGATTGGGTCTTATGGCGAACGATTTTGAAATTCGCATTTTTTCCACAGAATAGTTTTGAGCACCATTTTTGGAAATCGTCGAAATTTTGAATTTTTCTGAAACTCATTCAAACTAGTGGGCTCGTTAAGCTTTTAGGGACCATCATGTTTTCTTTTTCGAATTAAACATGCTGCGGACATATTTCGGGTTCGAGAAAAGAGAATGCAAAACGATTGAATGTGTCATTTAAAGGAGCACTAAATTTTTGATGGTTCAAACTAAAAATTTAAACCGATTTAAATACTGTAGCGCGAATGTGTGCAAACACGGCGACACAAAACCGCACACAGGAGAATTTCAACAACAAGAAAAAATTATTACTAATATCGGAGTCGAAATAGAACGCCGAATGCGGAGTGGTGACGCCGCACGTGTAGCCAACATTTTTAGGTAGTCGACAAACGAAGCCTGAAAATCGATTGAAAATTGAGAGGGGCCCACGTTTTTGCGGACCATTCAGCCCCCCCCCCACTCACCGCCCAACTCATTGGCGACAAAAATTGGCGGGACTAGAAGAATGATGAGAAATTGAGCGCGCATGGTATGAAGCTTGGGACTACTAGGAGCTATTGTGTGCTCAACTGTTTGTAGACGACGACTCGCTCGTCTCCTCGATTAGCGAATGTCGCGAGTCGAGTATTTTGATAAATAGCCGCACCATCGAATTTGGTTTGGGTTTCGAGTGCTACAACAAATGTTGTCCATCGGTTTGGTGGTGTCGAGCATCGATTTCGAAGGGAGGCTATCGAATTTCAAAAAAAATCCATGGCTTCGATTTGATCGACGAGATACTGAAATAAAAAATTTGTCTGACTGTCTGCACTCTCTCACTCTCTCACTCGATCAATTTGAATTTTTAAAAATTCCATGGATTCGATTTGATCTACGAGATATTGAAATAAAAAATTTGTCTGACTGTCTGCACTCTCTCACTCGATCGATTTGAATTTTTAAAAATTCCATGGATTCGATTTTATCGACGAGATATTGAAATAAAAAATTTGTCTGACTGTCTGCACTCTCTCACTCTCTCACTCGATCGATTTGAATTTTTTGAAAACCCGCCAAAACTTGAAAATTGAAGGATTTGAAAAAAAAATATAGACGAGAGCCGCACGCAAACCGCAACGCGTCTGGCGACATAGAATTATGACGGTAGCCGCCTGCATTAGAGAAAAAAAAAATTTTTTTTAATGTGGCGTGCAAACACCGTGACGCAATGTCTCAGATTTTTTTTTCATAGCAAAGCTTAATTCAAATTTTTAATCATAAAAAAGAAAAAAAAGAAAGTCGCCACAAGACCCAACTGATTTTAATTGTTATGCGCCTTTAAAAAATTTCATTTCAACGATTTTAATTGAATAGCTTTTCGACAAGAACACCAAAAAGAATTGCCTGCACTCTCTCGATTTTGCGTAATCTCTCGTCGACAATTTTGATGCCCCCCATCAAATCATTTTCACTTAATTGATCGAGAGAAAAAAAAACAGAAAATTGGCTAATTAGTCCAATTAGCTCTCGGACGCCGACGTGTGAGAAACGCGTCGTCGAGAGCGATTCCAAAAATAATATGGCAATCAAGCCCCCGCACTCCACACCAATCATCACGACGATTTATCAAAATTGTTTCGTCGTCAACACGATAATCGCAGAGGACAACGACATGGGCGGACGCACGCACGCGCGGGATGGAAAAAAACCGGACGTCGAATTATTGTCCCTCGAAATTCAATCTTTGAAATATTCCATCATCCAGTGTGACGATGAAGCTTCGCTGATTCGCCATTATGCAACGATGGCAATTCCAGTTATTTTACCACACAAATCCCAAGGAAAGGCGGCACCACGCAGCGCGCTGTTTATTAACCAACATGTTGCGGACATGTTACGGGTTTCGCCGCCCTCTATGCTCACCGCACATTCTTGCCAAAATTGTTCGCATTGTCAAATTTTCCAACATATTTTTAACTGAAAGTTCCAAAACCCATTTTTTTGGTTTAAATGCGCACTCCGTTCCAGTCGAGACGCATTGTTTCCGGGTTTTTCCAACATATTTCCGGTGGGCCACGGTTTCACCAATCCGACCATTGATGAGAAAAAAAAACACACACACAAAACAAATCGCCCATTTTTTTTTGCGCTAATGACGAGAAGCGGAGACGGGCCAAAAAACTCGTTCCACCTCGAGTTTTCGGGCCGTACCTGATCTCTTCAAACCCCCCCCCTCATCTTTATCCATACACACACACACACACACATCGAGACCATCATCAAATTAGACATTTTTGCAGAATGCCTATACGACATTCATATCTATTATTGGTATTGGTTAGTATAGTTAGCGGTTATGCGAAACCGCCGGGCACCTATCCCGATGAGGAGATCAAAGAGAATGAGGTGGTCGTGCCGAGGAGCCCTTATCAGTCGAGCTCGTTCACCGGCTATGAGTATTATTATGAGAAGGATCCGAAGACGAAGAAGAAGGACGGGGGAATGCCGGCTTATAAGCCTCAAGGTATACATTCTCATCAGCACACTTCTAACTAGTGTTACAGTAACCCGGGAGCAGGAAGCGACGACGCCAACAACGAGCACAGGTACACCATTGGCACCATCTAACGATTTGTTCGCCATCACCATGCAAGATATGTTTGACAAGGATGGCAAACGCTTGTTGGCACCCGGTATGCACAAAACCCACACCAATCACACCATCATCATTGCACCACACACGACACCCACATCGATTTCAGATGAGACGCCCGAAGAGGGATTCATGAAGACGTACATCGGCGACGAGAAGGCGTCGAGCAAACGGCACATCGACGAGATGAAGCATCGCGATTTCGAGACGGCCGCCGATGAGTTTGACAACGATCGAGTGAAACAAATTCAGAAGCTCGCCGACGATGATGACGACGAGCAGACAGGTATCGGAATGAAGCAGGAGTCTCGTGGAGGTGTCAGCACCACCGCATCCACAAGTATGAGAGCACCGGGGATCCTTAATGATCCGATCACGTCCACCAGCACAACACCTTTGCCACAGGATTCTGATGATCACACGGTTCCATCAGACGTCTTTATTCCTGGCAACACCACAAGCATTAACCCTATGCGAGAAGGATCAATTGATGATCCACTTGATCCAAGTGCTAGTGATCTGTCCCATCCTAACAATCATAGTGTTCCATCAAGCGTGTTATCATCGGACAATAGCACCAAGCCTGGAGGATCAATAGATGATCCACGGGATCCACGTACCACTGATCCGTTCCGTCCTAACAATCATAGTGTTCCTGATAATAGCACCAAGCCTGATGGATCGATAGATGGTCCACGGGATCCACGTACCACTGATCCGTTCCGTCCTAACAATCATAGTGTTCCTGATAATAGCACCAAGCCTGATGGATCGATAGATGGTCCACGGGATCCACGTACCACTGATCGTATTGTTCCGTCAAGCACCGGCACCACTCACCCCAATGATGATGATGATGGTCCGATGCGAAGTGAGGATTCTAACCATGTGACGCCAAGAAGCGATGAATCGCCGACAACGCATGATCCCATATTTGATCATATCATCACAGCGGCGCCAAGTGCACCAACACCACCCGCACCAATTGAAGGATGGGGAAGCGAGCCGCTAGCGATGATGCCGTCTGGAGCTGGAGCTATTCGGATTGCGATCAAGCCAGTGTCCACCACCACCACCACCACCACCACTAATTTCCCACCAACTAACCGATCACCCGACGATTCGACGAATGAGGGGAACAGTTTAGACGTCGCCGCGATCACCAGCGATCGCGAATATCCGGACGATCCCGAATCGGCATTTTCGGACGAGCGACGCCAATTGAGCACACCAACACCAACACCATCACCATCATCATCATCATCATCGAATCTTCTCGAGTCCACGTTTTTGCACATTGTCGACGATCCACAAGTGCACGGCACGAAGACGAAAAGCAATGAGCACCCACCAGCACCGCCCGTAATTCATTTCGACAACCGACATGCGAGATTTGAAGGTGACGATCGCGGCGTCGACCGGAATCCGCTAGAGTTCGTCGGAATCGATCTGAAAAACCATTAACTATGAATATTCAGCGCTTCGCGTGGAGCCAATGACGACAACGATCCGCTCGTCGAAGTGAGCATCGGCGATATTCAACGCATCGCCGGTACGCCCGTTTTTCTTTTTGTTTTTGGCGATTTGCACAATTTCAGACGAGTTCGAGAATCCGGCACGAGAAAACGTCAATTTTGGGCAGACGATTGGCAACGATGCCACCAAGGACATCATTCTTGAGACGTCTGAATCCGAATCAGTAATCAATTTCGCGTTTCTCGCCTCAATCCTTCCTATTTTTGCAGTCATTATTCGGACGAAGTGCTCGAAAATGCTGTTCGTGTTGTGAGGAGAAGCAGCCGGTGTCGCGACAAATCGAAACCAAGCCCTCCGACAACCATTTCCAGCAACTCGTCGATCCGACTAATAGGCAATGTAAGTAATCGGGGTGGTAGCATTTATACCGCGTCTCATCTGCCGATTTCAACCGGCCGCGTGGCGCAATGGATAACGCGTCTGCCTACGGAGCAGAAGATTGTAGGTTCGAATCCTGCCGTGGTCGAAACACTTTTGCCTTCCACTTTTTGTTAAACAAAACATTTTCAGCTGAGTTCGCTGAGGAGCCGTATGACGATCCGGTGTCAAATCCGGTTCCAGTCGTTGGAAACGCTTATGTGGAACCACCGCAAACGCAACAACCCGTTTCAATTCCACGAGATCCATCGATGTTAGAAAACGCGAATTTAATTCCATAAAAAATCATTTTTTTTCTAGGACCTATTCAGAGCATCCATTCGAGCAATACCAGCCGCAGTATCCGCAGAGCTATTCGCAGCAGGGATGCGCTTGCCCAACTCCGCCAACTCAAAACTGTTGTCCAGCTCCCCAACCGTGCTGCCTGCGTACGACACTCGAAATCTCGAAAATTGCGTAAATCGACAGATTTGCAGCCACTCTACCGTGTTGCCCGCCAATTCAGATTCCATGCTGCCCACAGCCGCAAATCTGCTGCCAACCGCAGCCAATCTGCCTTCCGCCGCCAACATGCTGCACAATTTCGATAAGCCTTCCGACAATTCCGATCTGCGGACGAGCCTGTCCGGCGTGTCCATGCCGCCGACGCGTCCATCGCGCCAGACGACTCAAGAGGCATCTGATTGGCTCGCAATGCACACAATGCTCGAGAAGCGGTGAGCCGTTTAGGACGTTGATTCATCGAGAGAAGCGGCAGACTGGATGCAGTGCTAATCCATTGGTACTTTGTTCACTCTTAAAGTTTCTTCAAAAAAAATTACCCCCGTTATCATTCAGCAAAGCACTTGTGGAAAATGCCAAGGATCGGCTCTTCGTGCTCATCGCGTGAAGCGAACAATCTGTTTGCCGTGCATGGGTCGAAAGAAGCGAGACACTTCTCATGTTAGAGTTAAGAGAATGGTAATATTTTAAAATTATATTTTATTTATTTGATTTCCGCTTATTTAGGGTTGTATTCCGTGCCTTGGAAGAAAGAAGAGAAGCTTGGTGGGTTTTAAAATCGTCGAAATTTAATTAACATTTCAATTTTAGAACACTAACTGCTCGTCTTGCTCAAACCTTGGCCAGATTTTCAAGAGATATAAAAGAAGCTTTGGATGCTCGCAGTGTCGTCAAAAGAGACAAGCGGTTTACAATTTTTCATTTTTTTTAAATCAATTTCAACATTTTTAGATGTGTCCATGCGCCTCTGCACCTCAAACTTCACAATATAGGGGAAAACGATCGACGTTGTCGTCACCTAAAAGAAGAACCAATATTAGCGGCGAAATTTGCGATTCAAGATGTTGCGATTATACGAAGTGCAAAAGAAGAAAGAAAGAAGCTCTATTGCCAATGTGAATCTGAATTTGTTCTATTTAACGTTGAAACATACGGGTTCCACATAATGCAATAATTTTTAAAAATACCTCGTTAATATTTAATATTATTGCTTTTTTAATATTATGTACAGAAATAAATGTATTTATTCAATTTTGAATCAAAAATAAGGATAAATTGATAAATCCTTGAATATCCACAAGGAATGACACTGATAAAAAATTAATTTTACAGAACAATTTTTAAAAAGAACAACTTTTAAAATAAACTCACACATAACATTGAAATTTATTTAATAAAAAATTCGAACACTTCAATGCAAAAATTTGGCCAAAAATTGAGAAGAAAAGAGGAAAACTGGGGAAGAAATGGAAAAATAAATTCAAATTTCCCCCTCGTAAATCGACACAATTTGGCTGCGTACATTCTGCTGTGGCGAGACCTTGGCTGCCGCAACAACAATAAAGCATTGCACCAGTTCATTTTTCCTTCAATTTTCCCAGTTTTTCACCTATTTCTTTGAAATTTTCACCGTTTTCGGAAATTTTGTATCAAATTTCATCAATAGTTATCTAACTCGCAATTTTGACGACTATATACTTTGTATTTCGGTCGATTAGGTCATAATTTTCTAAGATATAACTTAATATTGAATGAAAATTCTACTACAGGGTTACAACTTCACGATGGGCGACGTCGTTACTATCAGAACGAGAAAGGTTATCACCAACAAGCTTCTTTATAGAAAGCAAATGGTATGTCGTTATTTTCAATTGTTTATGCTGTGTATCAAACCGGAATTGATAGATTCTTTGCAATTTTTTCCCAAAAATCATTAATTCATAATGTTTCAGACCGTTGAGGTGATTCACCCAGGACGCCCAACTGTCCCAAAGGCGGAACTCCGCGAAAAAATCGCGAAGCTCTACAAGACCACCCCGGATACCGTGATTCCATTCGGATTTGAATCGAAGATCGGAGGAGGAAAGTCGCGTGGATTCGCCTTGATCTACGACACTGTCGATTACGCCAAGAAATTCGAGCCAAAGTTCCGACTTATCCGCGTATGTATTTTCGTTGAAAAAAAAAAGAAATTTGAAACATTTTTTACCAACAGTTATGTTTAATGCTTCAAGTTATCAAGAAAACCTGATAAAAACTGGAAGTTTGTTCTATTCTTTTTCAATTTTCGAAATTTTCAGATGGGACTCGCCACCAAGGTTGAGAAGCCAGGACGCAAGCAGCGTAAGGAGAGAAAGAACAGACAAAAGAAGGTCCGTGGAACCGGAAAGGCCAAGGTCTCGGCTGGAAAGAAGTAAATCAGCATTTGTTGTTGTTTATTTCTATTGTTATTTCTACAATAAATTTGTTGAGAACCCAATTGTTTAATATGAGAGCATTTAAAAAATAAGGTGATTTATTCAACCCTACAATACCAAATGTGATCCACTGAAGACAAAACCAAGTGCGAGAAGAATTAGGCGATGACATCTCGTGGAACATGTGAGAGCTTCGATGAGATAGGACAGTGTAAGTGAGAATTCGGAGGGTCCCGCGACGAATATGAATCAATTTGAAGATATTGATCGACTTCGAGAAGAACGACGATTAACAGAGCATTCGATAAGAAGATTGGAGCATGAGAAAGGCGTATTGGAAGAGAAAATCGAAGTAAGACGAAAACGGAGAATTCTGACAGAAGCCATTTTCTAGGATTTGAAGCAAAAACGCGATGCGGTCGACGTGAAGCTTCAAAGTGAGCTCGAACGAGCCGAAAGACAAGACCGCGGTCTGAAAGAGGTGAATTATCGAGAAAATCCGAAGCAATTTGGCAATCTTCCAGGCAGAAGCCACTTATAACAAATTGATGGAATCGAAAAAATCGTTGGTTGATTTCGTGAAGAAGGAATATCAAGACACGAAGCGTTCGAGTTCGAAATAACCGAAAAATCGACAATTTTCTTGTATATTTACTCTCGACTGGTTCATTTTTCTTCGAAAATCTCACTTTCTGTACCATTATTTAAGGGTTCTCGTGTTTTCTTTATCTCAACTAAACGTTTTTGCCGAAAAAACCCGTCAAATTTCAACAAAATCGCCAATAAATTAAGAAGAAAGATGAGAAATCATTGTCGAAATTCGCTGCGAGCATTGCGATGGTCCGAAGAATTCGACGAGTTCCGAGATTGGTGGTCCCTTCTTCGAGCCGATCAGCGAGATCCGAATGATCGCCATCATCTTCGAATCGGATATTTTGTGGGTGCGCGCGATTTTTTGAATCGACTCGATGGTCCAGTCGTCTAAAATCGAAAATGATCCGTTCGAATCGGTTCAAAATTTACCCAAATTTCTCAAATCGTCGAGAATCTCTCGCAAATTGCCTATCGTTGTCGTTTGAGAAATCAAAACCTCGGCGGATTTCGGCTGAGTGAAGAACCAGACGAAATCGCCGCGAGTTAGAGACGACAAATTCCCAAACGTTTCCTCTTTCGTCCGCAGAAAATCGACAATCTGTTGCGATGATCAATTTTCAGCGATGATTCGCGGCGAGACCACTGCTCACCTTTCGAAGATACTCGTCATTCGGCAGCTCATCGTTCGCCAATTTCAAATCATTTTGAATTCGCGCCAAAATTCGCGGCTTCAATGTTGTCTCAAAATCAGCGCATTTGAATGCCATTCGAGCATACTTGTTGAGAACGTCGGTGTCAAGCTTAAAGGAGCATGATGGTCTCGTAAATCGACACAATGTCGGTTTTCGAGAAAAATTGTCGCCGCAAGACCTGCGCCTTGAATCTCCATTATTGAGAGGAAATGAATTTAAATGGAAAATTGTTTAAAGGGACAAGTCGGGTCTCGAGACGATAAATTCAAGAAACACGTTATTCGTAAAAATGCCAATGATTTTCAATTTTTTAAGAGGAGCACCAAAAATGAGAAAATTACCAACAAATTGCGTCGACCCAATAGGGTGTGATCAAAATCGGCAACGAGATCGGCGAGTGTGTAGAATCGATTGGCGTCGAAATCGCGAATGCCGCTTCCGTTGCGAACGAGCAAATTGAGGAGCGCGTCCGGCAGAACGCCGAGCACATCGCCGTAATAGGCGACGAACGCATCGCGATCGCGTTTCGACAACTTCTTCGCCGCCGTTCGCATTATCAACGACAAGTGGACAAATCGCGGCGGCTTCCAGTCGAACGCCCTCAATTGTTGCATTCAATTTCGGCGTTTGTGGTCCCTTGATAGCCTACTTGTACAATAGATGATGTTTTCCGGTGCTGCTGAGCCATTCCATTCCGCGAATCACGTGCGTGATCTCCATTCGGCGATCATCGACCACGTTCGCCAAATGGTACGTCGGGAAGCCGTCGGATTTGAGCACGACGGCGTCGGACTCGTCGATGAGCTGCGTCACGTGGCCGAACACCTCATCGTCGAACGCGATCGTCTGTTTGTCGAGCTTCAATCGAATCACGTGATTCTCGCCGCTCTCCGCCATTTTTCGCGACGTCTTCGCGTCGAGACTCGCGCATTTTCGATCGTATTTCGGGATCTCGCCGCGACGCGACGCGTCTTTTCGGAGAAGCTCCAAACGCTGTAAAACAAAAACTTGAAAATTCCGAATTGCCCGTTTTCATCCGAAATTCAACATCAAGTTCGAGCTGTTCTCGAAAAAATCGCAATTTTCATCAAAAGTCTTTTGAAAAACGCTGTTAAAATGAAGAGAAAATCTCAAATGTTCAATTTTTGCTGAAAAATCCAAATTTTCCCTTGCAAATTTCATTCAATTTTTATTTTTTGGCTCAACACGCTACCTGTTCCGAGCAAAAGCATCTGTAAGCGTGGCCAGAATCGATTAGCTGATGGGCAGCTTCCTTATAAAGCCCTAATCGCTTCGACTGCTCGTATGGACCAAATGGTCCGCCTGCAACTTTTATTAAAAATATTCGATTTTTAGATTTTCAAGTCTAAAAAATCGCCAACCTTCTCGCGGTCCTTCGTCTGGCTTCAGACCGTACATATCCAATGCCTCGTAAATCTACAATTGTCTTCAATTTTCCCCCCTCGCCATCGAATTTCCAACCTTTTGCTGAGCATCGCCCACAAATCTTGCTCGATCCGTGTCCTCAATTCTCAACACGAATTTCCCGTCGTGTTTTTTCGCGAATAAATAATTGAACAGCGCTGTTCGAAGACCGCCGATGTGCAAATGTCCGGTTGGCGATGGAGCGAATCGCGTTCGAACGCCGACGAACGACATCCTTCAAAATTTTCAATCATTTTCTGTAAATGTGTATTTTTCCTATTTTTTCGAAAGTTTTGAGGAAAACATTTTTTTGAAATAGAAATTTTTAAAAAATTCTCTTAAAACAAAAAAAATTAAAAAATTCTCTTAAAAATATGAACACAAAAAAATCATTTTTAAAAATTCGTCAGTAAATCGACACCAAAGCATTAAAGGAGCATGCAAATTGGCTGCGGGCTTTAAGCGTGGCGAGACCTTGGCTGCCGCAACAACAATAAAGCATTGCAGAAGTGATTTCTTGTTAAAATGCATGCTTTTCCAATGGAATTTTTTTATTTTGAAGATTCATCAATTATTTTATTAAATTGGACGTATCATTGTATTTCTTCGAAGCTTGAAAGGCGTTTTTTTCGTTCATTTTTTATAATTCATGGTCGTTTGATATATTTTATCTAAAATATTTAATTATAATTCGCCAATTTTATTTTTCAGGGTTAAAACTTTGCGATGGGCGACGTCGTTACTATCAGAACAAGAAAGGTTATCACCAACAAGCTTCTTTATAGAAAGCAAATGGTATGTCGTTATTTTCAATTGTTTATGCTGTGTATCAAACCGGAATTGATTGATTCTTTGCAATTTTTTCCCAAAAATCATTAATTCATAATGTTTCAGACCGTTGAGGTGATTCACCCAGGACGCCCAACTGTCCCAAAGGCGGAACTCCGCGAAAAAATCGCGAAGCTCTACAAGACCACCCCGGATACCGTGATTCCATTCGGATTTGAATCGAAGATCGGAGGAGGAAAGTCGCGTGGATTCGCCTTGATCTACGACACTGTCGATTACGCCAAGAAATTCGAGCCAAAGTTCCGACTTATCCGCGTATGTATTTTTTTTCGTTGAAAAAAAAAAAGAAATTTGAAACATTTTTTACCAACAGTTATGTTTAATGCTTCAAGTTATCAAGAAAACCTGATAAAAACTGGAAGTTTGTTCTATTCTTTTTCAATTTTCGAAATTTTCAGATGGGACTCGCCACCAAGGTTGAGAAGCCAGGACGCAAGCAGCGTAAGGAGAGAAAGAACAGACAAAAGAAGGTCCGTGGAACCGGAAAGGCCAAGGTCTCGGCTGGAAAGAAGTAAATCAGCATCTCTTGTTATTCCCTCGAAAGTGTCATATCGGGTTCAAAATAAATGTTACGAGTTTTTGAAATTTATTTAATCAAAAGAAAAACCACCAACAAAATTACGCCATTATTTCAATTTTGTCCAGTTCGCGGATGCATGAATCAATCATCTCAAATATTTTTGAGCTGTTTATCGGCGATGTGCAAAATTCCTGGTAGGTCTTCAAAAATCGAACATTTTTGTACAAAGCGTAGCGATAAGATAACAACGCTCAAAAAAAAATTAAGAAAATCCTTAAAATTAATAAATCTGGTAGATATCGAAATTTTTAAAAATTGAAAACGTAAAATCAAACCGCTGTCATAATTGATTCGAATTGTCGGAACATCATTTCCTTCTTCTTCATCTTCTTACGATCTACTGGAACGCATTTGCGTTCCAATTTAGACATCATCGGCATTAACAAACATCTATTTTTAAAAAATGAAATGAGAAGTTTTCAACAAAATTTCGTACTTGGATTCGCGCGACTCCGGACCATTTAAATCAGAAGGAGATGGATCGACAAATCTGTGATATGCAATTAATACCGCTAATTACTGCATTTTTCTAATTAAAACCACAAGCCGCGAAATTGTTCAGGTCTCGTCGCGAATACCGTAATTTTTATAATTTTCGTATGATAAAAAAACCAAAAAGTAAATTTTTCAAAACCCATGTTTCCTGTTTGATTATCCACGAAATTTTTAATTGGCCAATTGATATTTGCCAGGAAACATCGAAAATTGAGAAAAAAACCAATTTTCGCGTCAAGACCTCCAATTTTTGGTATGCGCCTTTGATAAACAAAACTTACACATCCGAATTGCCAAGAAAATCTCGAAAACAGAAAAAAGTGTCCCGAAATCGCTGTGATGCCGTCTCCATTTGAATTTCCTCGTCGTCGTCAACCCAGTCATTCTAAATCGAGCATTTATTTTCCTTTCATTTATTCAAAAAACATTTTTGAAAGAATCGAAACAGGAAAAATTGGTTCTTTTTTTTATCCGAATTCTATTAAAATCGTAATTTCATCGCAAAACGCGATCGGTCGCATATATTTCTACGAAAACGAACAAATTCACGTTTTTCGACCACTCTGAGGACACGAAAAAAATTATTTCCGGGTTTTTTTTTCTCCGCGGAAACAGAATTCCGTGCAACAATATTCAAAATAAATCAAGAATTTAAAAGAAACCAACATTTTCCAATAATTTTTTGTCCCTCTGCTCAACTTTTGACTTTAATTCCAATAATTTCTCCAATAATACTTGAACGCCATGCTTTTTCTCATTCTGTAATAAAAAACTTATTTTATTTTTATTTTTTTGGAATACGATATTGAAGAAGATCAAAAGACAAGAGAATATCCTTAAAAATCAAATGGAAAAAAATAATTTTTGAATTTTTTCTTGAGTCTTGAATGGAAAATCCCTTAGGAATCATCTAACCGCCAAAATTAAAAGGGGCATACATTTTTCCAAGATTTAGGTGCCTTGGTTGCTTAAAAATTTGTGAAATGCCCAATTTTTAAAGGGTCTGATATAATGGTGGCGTGTAATCCTTAAAATCCAACAATTTTCCGAACTAAATTGAAAATTTTTTATAAATTTAATTACTCTTTTATTTAATTAATGTTTTGATGAAAGAAATTGACCAGAATTTGTGAATAGTCGATTTTTGAAACCCATTTCTTTATAATTTGAATTCGCTACCTGGTCTTGAACAGAAAATTATTGTTGGGGACGATTTTGGTGTTTTCAAACCGAAATAATTTTGAAGGGCGAAATATAAATTCATTTTGTTATACGGGACCAATTTAAAACTTAAGTAAATGACAATCAATTGGATTCGAAGAAAAATGAAATAAAAAAAATTGAAATTTAAATTCGATTGAGAAAGTGATTAAATTCGATTTGAAAACTTGGTTTCAATTCAAAAATCTTCGAAATCGATCGATTTTTTCTCAATTTCAATTTTGAGATCGAATTTGATTGAATTACAATCGATTTCGATTGAAATTATTGTCAAATACAATTATTTTTTATAAATCAGAGAAGCAGAATTCAAATTTCTCGAAATTTGTGAAATCGCCATAGGAAAACCCCAACTTATCACTAATTTTTCTTTCCAAAATCTGCAAAAAATAAGAAAATTCGAAATTCGTTACCTCCAAAATTCGTTTCAATTCATTCTCCATCACCAAAATTTTGCGCGACGCACTTTCCATTCCTTTTTTGTGCATCCATGCCGCATAATTGTTTAATGCTTCTTCTTCTTCGTTATCGGCGGACGACATTCTGATGATCACGGTTAAAATTTGAGAAAAAAAAACGAAATTTTTGCTCATTTCAGCGCAAAAATAGAAAAAAAATGTCGATTTTCGATTTTCAAATATTCGCCAAGAGTTGTGCAAACACTGCAGCGCCAATTCGCGGATTGTCTACCGTAATACGCTTAATTATTTATTTCAATTTTCTGAAAAGAAACAATTGCTACCCAACAAAATCGGGATTTTTTTAAAAGAGAAAATCAACAACAACAAAAAATAACAAATAACAAGAAGGATTAAACTTTGAGCTTCACCTTGCCTTCATTTACTCCAATCGTTTTTCGATGGGATTCCAAAAATTCGTCGAACATGAGAACGGCGAGTTCGGAAGCGACGACGTCACTCTGCGATGAGACGAACGAGAAAATCAGAAGGCCGTCTGGAAATTCGAGAAATCAATTGAAGAAGCCTCTTCAGCGCGATGCACCTTTTCCGAGATATTTGGCGAATCTGGCCAACGTCTTCTCATCTGGAGTCTCGATCGAATGGAGAAGACCTTTGAGGTAAGAATGGCTGATAATATAATACGACGCAATGCCGATTCCGATGATGGTGACAATTCCGACAATTATGATCCACACCCTGAAATTGAAAAATGCAATGGAATCTGCGGAAAAAGCGATACCAAATGAATGAGAAGATCTTCTCGTTGAACTCGTTGACGGCGAGCACACACTGGACGACGTGATTCTGAATTTGCGGAGCGCGAATTGTGATGTGACAGAAGGTGACACGCGGGAAGATGCCCGTGTCCGACCACGAGACGTCACTGATATGATTCTTCAGGATTTCGTATCCCCAATCCAAATTGTAGCTGTGGCCGAGGAAGAAGCTGAGCAAGACAAACTGGACGACATTGTTGAGAAGGTAGAGCAATTTGATGGCGATGTAGGTGAGTGCCAGACAAAACCTGAAACCCGCACAATTGTCCGCAGATGGGATGACTGAAGAGTTACTTGCTCTTCTTCTTCTTCTCTCTGACCACCAGCTTGCTCTTTAAATAGTTGGCCATCTCGCGGACCTTTTCATTCATTTCGATGCTCGACTTCATTTTGATCTCGTCGGCCGTCTCGCAGAAGTACAACAGCGGAATGTCTAGAATAATCTAATGGATTCGTTGAACCGATTCCGACAACCTACCAAATTTGGATTGCACTTTTTTCCAGATCAATTTCGGAGCTATGAATCCGAGAGACATCAGCGTGAGAAAAATTGCGGACCATTGATAGTAGGTGACGTGATTGTCGGGATTCTCGACATGAATGAGATTGTTGAGCGGACTCGTGTCCCGAATGAAGTGCGTCTTCTGCACGAAGCACAACGTCTCCGAGTACTCTTTCCAATCGTGCTCGAATTGCGACGGAAACCAGCACTGAATCGGCTCGCCGACGTACGTTTTGGCCGAGATGAACACGGCGAAGAAGATGAGCAGAAAGGCGGTGGCGAAGCTGTTCAATCGATCGGTCGCGTCGTCGATGGCACTAGACGCCACCAGCGAGCGGAGCTCGTCCATAAATGGAAGTTGGAACATGCTTCGCGGCGGTCGAGAATCGAGTATGCGCCTTTAAACGAAAAAAAAAATGGTGAAATGGCGAGATGGATATTGTGGCATAATTGCGGGCGCAAATGTGCCCTGTTGAAGGGGGCGTGGCCTAGTGGGCGGAGTCGAGACGAACAAATCGAATGAATGGGCGGAAATGATGAGAGAGAGAATGGAAATTGAAGAGAGAGAGCAGAGAAGTGATATTGAATTGTTTTCAGTTATTCATATCATTGGATACGGTAACAATAGTTCAAAAATTGAATATAAATGTTTGGCCTAAATTTGAGAAATTCCTATCGAATTGCGACAATTTTGAGGAGATTTTTTGATTTTTGCGATTTTCGAAGACTGAGAAGGGAATGATGGCACTTTTTTGGGGAATTCTGGGGACCAGAAATAATTGGTGACTTGTAAAAAAAAAAGGAAAAGCTCGGTTTTCTCAGAATCTATATGATTTTGGAAGAGTTTTTTCCAAATTGAGAGCCGATTTGAAATGGAAATCGAAAAAACCGGACGTGTTCGCAGCGGCGATTTGGTTTTCGAGGCGAGACCCAAAAGAGATCTCCTCGAATTTCAAAACGGATTGATAAGAGCGAGAAGCCGCGAGTTGTCGGCAGCACCACATGGTTGATTGCTGTTTTCGAATGCCCGATATCGGCCGCATTCGAGCCGTCTGTCTGTCTGTCTGTCTGTTCGCACCCCCCTTTAAACAATTGCGCAATCCAACCCGCGTCTAGACATTTCGAATTTCGCCTATTCAAAAGAAACACAAAAATTTAATAACAATAGATGGGAATTTGAGGTTCAAATGAGAAATTGGACACACAAAAACTTTTTTTTGGATTCCAAAAAATGAGATTTGTTGTCTTTAAATATTTCGCCCAATATGAGTGATTAAAAAATTTAAAAAAAATCGAATTATTGACATTTATGATTTGTGGAATTTATTGTGAAAAAAAAAATTCATCCCACTGCCAATTTTTTTTCAAATTGGAAAAATCGCTTTTTTTTTCAAATCGCTTTTTCCGCAGATTCCATTGCATTTTTCAAATCCGTTTGAAAATAAAATGGATATTTGAAAAGACAAGAAGCGACGAGAGAATCAGAAGAAGGCCGTCTGGAAACGTCGTCATGTTGGATTTGTCGCTAATCAGACGGTTGACGAATTCATGGCAAGCGACGACGATTCCGCGAATTCGATCTGCGGACAATCGATGCCAAATGAATGCGAAGATCGTCTCATCGACACTAGGGGAAGGTGGCCTTCCATGTGATTTGCAAGTCCCCTCCGACTCATGGTCACCGTGTAGTCACGAAAGTGGCCGATGAGAAGGAGTTGGAGGATGATGGTGAGAAGGTAGAGCAATTTGATGGCGACGTAGGCTTACATTCGTCACCCACGACTTATACTGAAATTCCAATTCAATCTTCACAGGTAAAACCGTTTGCAGACCACAGCAATCAACCATGTGGTGCTGCCGACAACTCGCGGCTTCTCGCTCTTATCAATCCGTTTTGAAATTCGAGGAGATCTCTTTTGGGTCTCGCCGCGAAAACCAAATCGCCGCTGCCAACACGTCCGGTTTTTTCGATTTCCATTTCAAATCGGCTTCGAGCTTTTCCTTTTTTTACAAGTCACCAATTATTTCTGGTCCCCAGAATTCCCCAAAAAAGTGTCATCATTCTCTTCTCAGTCTTCGAAAATCGCAAAAATCAAAAAATCTCCTCAAAATTGTCGCAATTCGATAGGAATTTCTCAAATTTAGGCCAAACATTTAAATTCAATTTTTGAACTATTGTTACCGTATCCAATGATACGGTAACAAATTTTAAACAGGCCACGTATTTAAGCATCGTCGTTTAAGTGATCTAGTCTATATTTGATCTACCGTACGTAATAATAAAGGTTTAATTACCCAAGTTTGAGGTTCACTCGACTTATTTGACGGTTCCAATAGCTTATCAGTATTTGGAAAAGTTACTGAATGTTTTCATCATTAGAATTTTTATAATTGAAGAAAAAGATGATCCCAAATCAATTAAATGTGCAAAAACATCTGAGAAAAAGTTGTAAATATTGACGCAGTTATCTGGAAATTAATTAAATTTGAAAAAAAGTGTTCCAAAATGAATAGAATGAATCACAAGGAATTCCAATTATTGACACAAAAAGCGATATTGACCAGCATGATAATAAGGCAATCTGAAAAAAAACTTAATTGCTTTCTTAATTGGCAAAAGTACACACTCGACCATTATGGATATGAACTTGCATACTGAAAAATACCACGAAAAATCGATTTTACATAATTGTGTTAAAAAAAGAAAAGAAAAAATCTCAAAAGAGAAAAATGGACTTTTAATATTGGAAAACATATTCCATCTGCATTCTGTATACTTGTAGTTGATTCTTGGAGTCATACTCTTTCTCTCTCGCATCAAAATCTCTTCAAAAAGGAAAAAAAGAGCAACGATGGCCCGTAACAATGTCGGCAGCATCAATATATTGAATTTATTATTAAATACATTGGCGGCGAGCGAACTGAAATTGGTTGGCGTCTGTCTCAAGCGCTCTCGTTGGCGTACTCCAAATCGAGAACACGATCGATTTGCTCGAGGACCGACAATCCTTGTCCGATCCACGTCTTGTCGTCGAGCACTTTGACGGCCTCGCTCAGCGGATCGATGTCGGTCTGGGCGGCGGTGTCGCGAAGCGAGCCGATCGAGTCCTCGACGAATCGCAGCCGATGGCGGACGACTTCCGCGTGTTCGCTGATTCTGCAAACGAATTATGGATCGGATCGGATCGGATCGGATCGGATTACGTTGATCCGAATTGATCGCCGTTGCTCGAGTAGCCCGAGCTGAGCTCCGGCGGCGAGAATGCGCGACGCTCGACGGTCTCGTAGCCTGAAACGTTGAGCGTGTGTACACCGTGACGCGAAATTGCACACATCGCAATTTTAATATTGAAATAAAAATAAAAATTGGGATTTGAGGCAAAAAAGTTGAAAAACGAGACGTACCATTGGTATTGCTCGAATATGACGTCACCACTCCGGGGCTCAATGGTCCGCTTTGAAGTGAGCCGTATTGCGAGAGATCGTGCATCGATTGCGACTTCTTTTTCGATTTCGACTTTCGTTTTTTGCCTTCAAAATTCAAAATGAGCCGATTTTTGATGCTTTCGCACCTTGATATGAAGCCACAAGACGCTCCATTTCGAAATGATTCCGAACCGATGCGATCGATTGCGGCGAATGGCCGGACGTGTTGATCAACGACGGATCGGCGCCGCTTTCGAGCTGCAAAAATTTTTTTTGGAATTTGAAAAAAAAATTTTTTTTTGATTTTTTTTTTGAAAAAATAATTTTTTTCGAATTTGAAAATTTTTTTTAGAATTAAAAAAAATAATTTTTTTGGAATTAAAAAAAATTTCTTTGGAATTAAAAAATTACGTTTTTTTTTTCGAATTTGGAAAATTTTTTTTTGGAATTAAAAAAATTATTTTTTAGAATTTGAAAAAAAAAAAATTTTTTGATAAAATTTTTTTCGAATTTGAAAATTCTTTTTTTGGAATTAAAAACAAATAATTTTTTTTTCGAATTCGGAAAAAAGTTTCTTTGGAATAAAAAAAAATTACGTTTTTTTTTCGAATTTGAAAAAAATTTTTTTATTTGAAACAATTTTTCTCCCCTTTTTCGGGGAATTTACAAAATTTTTGAAATCTTTGAATTTCGAAATTTGAATTTTAAAAATTCAATTTTTATTGTTTTTTTTCTCTCGACGAAAAAATTGGAATTTTATTGATATAATCAAATGTGTGCAATTTTGCGTGCGCGTGTGCGCACACTTTTTTCGGCGTCCAGCCAAATTTCGCTTTAAGGGACCTGTTCGAATGAACCTTCGTAATTTCAAATTGGGTCTCGTACGGAAATCCTCGTTTGAAGCGAATTTCGCGTTTTCTAGGATTTTATTTCAGAATTTCGAATTTCAATCTTTCATTTTTTTCAAATCCCTTCTCAAAATTGAGAATTCGATTTGATCTACTCAAAATTTGAGCAAATTTCTGGGTGTGCCAAAAAATTCGTTTTTTTTTAAGAGAAAATTCGTTTTTTTTTTAACGAGAATTCTTCAAAAAAAAATCAAATGTCCGCAATTTGGCGTACGCGTGTACGCACACAAAACGAATTGTTGCTTGAATCGCGAAAAATCGCCAAATTTCGATTTGGCCAACCCGCAACAATGTCCGCAGCAGCTCAAATTCAAAACCAACCATGTAAAGAGCGGCGTCGAGGTGATTATTGATGGCCGCCAAGTGGAGCGGTGTGTTTCCTCTGCAAAAAAAAAATTTTTGAATTGGCGCCAATTCATTTTTCATTTTGAAATTTCACCTGGAGTCCTTCAAAGTCAACACGTGATGACGCTTCTTTTTGCCGAACGCGCTTAATAGATGCGAAAGGACGGGAACGCTGCCAGCAACTGCAAAAATAGGTTCAGTGGTCCCTAGCGGACGCCCCCCTTACAAGCTGCACAATGCACCGCGTTCGCTTTGTCATTGGTGGTCCACAGAATCGAGTCCGAGCCGGCGCGATTCAAAATCCATCGAACAATGTGCTCGTGGCCGCAAAGACAGGCAATATGTAGAAGCGATTGGCCTGAAGGTGTTTCGATTTTAATAATATTGTGCTGCGGACAAGTCGCGGGTTTAAAAGTCATTCAGCAAAAAGCCCGCTGCACGAGGAATGTGGAAAATATGTCGCGCTCTGTTTATATACCACCTGCAGCCTTGCTGCGGACACCTTTCGAGGATTGGTCATTGTCTATACTTAACACGTGCACTGCGTTTTTTGACGGCGCGAATGGATTTCGATGCAAATCTCACCTCGATTGCTGACCGATCCAATCTCGCTGCGCGCTTTTTCGACGAGAAATCGAACGGTGCCGAGACAGCCGCCCTGAACCGCGTAAACGCACGGCGTGCACCCGAACTCGTCGCGCGCGTGCACCATATTGGTGTCGAATTTGACGGCGGCGCGCAGGAACTCGATGTTGCCTACAATCATCGCAACTCGGCTATCGCGAATTTCAATCGGATTACTGTACCGTGTGCGGCTGCCACGTGGATCGGCAACATTTTCGAATTGTTCTCGAGTTGCGCCAGCGCTTTTCCGAACCTGAATTTCGCATTTTTGGATGGAAAAGAAAGGCTTTTGCTTTTTTTTCGCCAACTTTCTCAAAAGCCACATTGCCATTTCGGTGTCGCCGCGAGCCACAGAGGCGATCAGAATTGAGGTTCCGTTTATATCTCTGCAAAAAAAAATCACATTTTTTATTCAAAATCAATTTACGAATTTAAATCGAATCTTTCGAATACCGAAATTGACAAATATATCGGCGTTTTAGTTAAAATTTTCGAAATCCGCTTTTTTCTGAACGCATTTGCCACCTATGACTTATACTGAAACTCCTGCAACGCACGCCGGTGGTATGTGTGGCGCAATGGGTTTGTCGCGCATATGGTGCGCGAAGGGTGCCGTTTTGGAGTCCGCGCAACCAGTATCGGCCGTTTTTTTATTATAATATCATAATCATAATTATCATATATGAGTCCAACTTTTTTGCTCAATCCTTGTGAAACTTTAAAAAGCTCAATTCTAATGCCTTTAGCTACCTTCTCACAAAATTTCAGTTAATTTGGTGGCAATTTGAAAATTTCGATTTCGAGGTCAACCCCAAAAAAAAAGTATTTTCATCGATCTCGCTAATTCTTTCCAAATTTCGTACATAAATTCTCCATAATTTTCTAAGAATTTTAGTGTTTTGATTTTAAGAATTGGATCATTTTGAAGATAGTTATGATCATATAAAAATTTACATTTTAGGCTTGAAATTGTTTTTCAAAATTCCGCATGCGCCTTGAAATTGGTTACTGTATTTTTTTTTTAACTTGAATTTTTGTTTATTTTTGAGCGGATTTTCTCGCAATTTTCTCATTTTTTGCGAAAATCTAATTTTCTTATTGCTTTAGAGTGAATAAAAGTATAATTCTAAATTTAAAACTGCCAGAAATTTACACGATTTTTCTCCTGGTTCCCAAAATCTCAAATTTCCCTCCTTGAGAAAATAAATTCTCCATAATTTTCTAAGAATTTTCGTGTTTTGATTTTAAGAATTGGATCATTTTGAAGCGAGTTATGATCATTTTAAAATTTGAAAATTTTAGACTTGAAATTGTTTTTCAATATTTCACATGCGCCTTGACAATAGTTACTGTAACTTCTTTTGTGAAATTATCAATTTTTTTTTTGATTTTCGAGCGGATTTTCTCGAATTTTTTGGCGCAATTTCTACTCAATCGATATGAGACCTTTAAAGGCTTCATACTAATGCCATTTTTGACCAAATTTGGGAGAGGTTTTCAAAATTTTGGATTTTATTTCAAATTTTCTCACCTACACATTGCGGTTTTCATCGCCGATTTCAGCGATCCTCCAAGAATGAGCTCCAGAGCTCGCATATCTGCAAAAAAAAAAGAAACGAAATTCCTTCGACGATTTTCCGTTCGCGTCGAGACCCGATGCGAGAGATTACGGTACCTCCATGGGCAGCACTAATATGAGCGGCAGTTTCACCGTTTGTCGATTGGATCTCGCGGAGTTCGGGCAACCGATCGAGAAGATATCTGCAATTAAAAAAAAAAACCAATTTCGCGGTGGGACCCAGTTTCTCTTGTGGGTTACTGTAGGTGGCAACATAACACTTAAAAAAAAAGATTTTCGACATTTGACATCTACAGTAATTCTAAACAGACCACGCATTTAAGCATCGTCGTTTAAGTGATGTAGTCCATATTTGATCTACCGTACGCCCCAACCATGCTGAATGGTTATTTTTGATCTACCATTCAGCCAGTCCACTTTTTGCATTTCTATGGTGTTAGTTTTTGATCTACCACTAGCCCCGCCCACATTCCGAATTTAAACAGTGAAATGTTTGACCTACCGTCAGGTTAGTCATTTCTAAACTCTTATTTTTGATCTACCATAAGCACCGCCCATTTTCTGCATTTCTCTATAGTCATATTCTTGATGTAGCGCTAGCTCCGCCCACTTTTTGAATTTAAATAATCATATTTTTGATCTACCATAAGGCCACCCGATTTTAAGCATTCCTTTAATGTAATTTTTTATCTACCACAAGCCCCGCCCACTTTTTGAGTTTAAGTAGTCATATTTTTGATCTACCGTTATGTCAGTCTACTTTTTCTAAAGTGTTATTTTTGATCTACCCTAAGGCCACCCGATTTTAAGCATTCCTTTAATGTAATTTTTGACCTACCACAAGCCCGGCCCACTTTTTAAATTGTACACTTTTTAAAATTTTTTTAAATTGTAAATTTTAAAGCCATCTATCCATTGTTTTTCACTTGAAAACAAAAAAAAAAAACGCGGTGCTCAAAAGAAAGGCGGTCTCATTCAATATTTTTCATCTCAAGTGCGAATTTTTTATTGTTTTTTTTTTGTCGGCAGCACGAACACTTGAGCCCCGTATTTACCGAGAAAATATCGATTTCAAAGATTTGAGAAGGATCGGATTTGGATTTTTTTTTTGCTCGGGGGCCAATAGCGGCCGGTTTGGGGACCATTGTGGGACATCTTGGGGGCGGGGGACCATTGGACCAAGCGAAAAAAAAAAACCACCGACTTCAAAATCGACACATCGCCAATTTTGGCGGCCAAATGAAGCGAATTCTGTCCGATCGTGTCCTTCGCGAGTAGATCGTTGTTGGTGAATCTCAAAAACGCGATTGACAAGTCGATAATGGTGCATGGTGAACCTCGCGAGACATTCCAAATGTTTTTTGGTGATCGCCGCCATCACACCATCGCATCGGTGACCGTCGTCGGCGATCGTCGAGTCGTCGTCGATGATTTCCAGCGGCAAATAGTCGCCGACGCTGAATATCGCATTTAAAGGCGCATCGGGTACGCGATTTCGCGTCGACGTGTTTGCACACGCACACACAATTTTGATCTCTCAATTTTTTAAGTTTGGAAAAATCTTTAAAGGCGCATCGTGTGTCTCAAAGCGAAAACTCACTTGTCGATCGTGGTCCCCATTATTGCAACCGAGCGATTGGGTTTTTTTTTTGTCGGGCTCAACAGATCAAAAAAATTTTTTCCGATTCCTGCAAAAAAAAATTTTGAAAAAATTATGCAAAGCCGAGGATCGCTAAAAATCGAAGGTCAATTGATCAGAGTTTAAAGGCGCACGTCGAATGCGCCTTTAAATGATTCCAATAGTCGGATTCATTTTGGAGATTTCAAGGCGCATGACGAAGCGTTTAAAGGCGCATCGCGGAAAAAAAAATTTCGCATATGCGAACTCGTCGATATTTGAGCCGAAACGCACACATTAGACATTTTTTTGTTGACAAACAAAAATCTGAAAAATTTCAGAATCGAAGGAGGGAAAAGCTGAAATCATCTCGAAATTTAAGAAAAAGGAAAAGCTTAAAAAAAATGAAAAGCGAAAATTCGGGAATTTCACGTAATATTTCAAAATTCGGAAAAAAAATGTTGCTGAGAAGCTTCGAATTTGATTGATTGTAGATTTACGGGATGCGTCTTCTCGAAATGGTCTCGCCACGCGAAAACGCGTTTTTTGAATTTTCAAGTTTTCCTGATGTGCTCTATGATTTTCTTGAATTCGTAATATCGCTGAATTTTCAAATTCACAGAATGTCCTCAAAAATGCAAAATAGTCGGTGCGAGACCATAGCAAAGACGCATGCGCGTAAATCTACAACTATCTAAAAAATTGTTCAAAATTCATTAAAAATTTCGCTTTTTTTCCCTGCTAAGACCCAATGAGAAAGAAAAATGAAAAATGTCCAAAAAATTATGATAAAAACGAGGATAGAAGAAAAAAACAGTGTGCATTCACACGTACGCAAAATTGCACACATTTGGCTTTTTCTCAAAAAAAAAATAGTAATTCGAAAATTGACAACAAAAAAATGGTGAAATTTGAGAAATCAGGGCCAAATTTCAAAAAATTCGAAAAAATTGATATATTTGAGAAACGGTGGTTTTTTTTTTTTTTGAATTGTCAAATTCAAACGACTCTTGGCTCTGTGCCAAGGCACCGAGAAGACTGCGTACGCGCATTTAATATTCAGTCAACGAAAAATTCAAATCGACACTAATTTCGCGAATTTGAAGGTCCCATCTCACTTCTTTGAAGGTCCCATCTCACTTCTTTTTGGCGTGGACAATAAAGCTGGGTCCCAATTGCGGTCACAGCCGATCCCGCAAAATGTCCGCATATGGTCAAAATTTCATTTAATCTTGTTGTGGCGCAGTCGGTCAACGGTTATTGTGCGAGAGGTCGCGGTATCGAATTCTCACTGCGCACAACATAGCATTATTAATGAAATGAAAAAAAGCGACAAAAAATATTCCATCAAAGGGACCACAAGGGGAAATCTTGGGGGTCGTGATGCGTTTTTGACAATAAGAAGCATGCGGTTGTGGCGCAGTCGGTCAACGCGCTGGCTGTTGTGCGAGAGGTCGCGGTATCAAGTACTAGTACGACTTGACGAAATAAAAAAATGTATTGCGAAATTGCGTACATTGCATCATAGCGTACGCGCATTTAACAAAAAATTTAAATCGGCACCATATTCGCGAGTTTGAAGCTCCCGCCTCACAAATAATTTATCAAGACGAGCGTTCGAAGCTCTCAATGGCAAGAAGAAGAAGAAGAAGAAGAAGGTTGAAGGATTAAAGAGTCATGAAGAACAGAGGGGGGAGCAGTTTTGTCAGTCAGTGTCACACACACACGCGCGCGAGGTACGAGAAGCTTCGTTTCGCGGCCAACCGGTCCGGTCGACAAACATTGCCGAGTCGGCGCCATCGATCTCGCATACCAGCTCGCCCAAACTCAATTCGCTACTTTGCCGCCTGCCTGATGATTGCTGTTTGACAAGACTGGGAAATTCTTGAAGCCATCGCTACGGTGTGCGCCTTTAAAGTCGGTTTGGTGCTTCTCCTTTTTTGTCGCATTAGGTTTTTCATGAATTTCGACTGCTTTAACTCAAAAGTTTCGATTGTAATTTTAAAGGCGCAGCAATATTCGAAGCCGGCGGGTCTCGACGCGAAACGACTTGCAATTTTCAATTTCTCGAAAAAAATTTTGAATCAAATAATTAAAGATTTTTTTATGAAAATTTCAAAAAAATGAAATAATTGATTAAAGGCGCATGAGGCGAAAAATCGGTTGGGTCTTGCGACGATTCGCTCTGGAATTCCAATTTCTATGCAAATTTCAAAAAAAGAAAAAGAAAAATCTCTTGGGACCATTGAATTCCTCGACCAAACCTCGATGAGTGTCCGCAGATGTAATCCCCAAAAAGCGAATTGTGCAAAACGTGCAGTTTTCAACAAAGTAGATTCAAAACAAAAAACACTGGGGACCATCAAAATCGATCGAGGACCATCTCGCAAAAATTATGGGAAGAAAAAGAGAGAAAAAAATTTCGATTGAAAATGTCCGCAGCAGAAAAAAAAACGCATAAAATCGATATTTGAAATTTCTCTTCAAAAACCTCGAAACGACACAAAAACGAAAGTGGCAATTTTTGCGAGTTGTCCTGTTTGCTCAAAAAAAAAAGAAAAAAGAAAATAAACGCTCAACCCATTCGATTTTATTTGAACAATCTCAAAAATCAACAAAAAAAAAACAACAGAAATGTCGGGAATTTCGAAAAAAAAATGGCCAACAACAGCAATAACAACAAGAACAAAAAAATTCAACAACGCTTTTTCGACTTATTTCCTCATTTTCTCCACCCACGCTTTTCGATCGTGGCGAAATTGGTGAACGTCGCAGCGAAGCATCGCGAATTTGAAGAATTTCGACGAATTCTGCAATTTTGTTTTTGTAATGCGGAAAAATGAAAAAAAAAAGAAAAAAAAATGAAGAATCGAATAATTACTACGTATAATTTATACACGTATAATTTTATATATATTTTTTTTGATACGTATAATTTTTGGTGGATTCGCATCGAGACCCAAACGGTATGCGTCTTGAAATACCGTATCTCTGCGTTGCTTTATTTTTAGGAATTTTACTTATTTTTTTCACTTTTTTAAAGGAATTTTACTTATTTTTTTTTTAGTTTTTAATTAAAAAAATAAAGGAATTTTTTTTAAAAGGAATTTTACTTATTTTTTTTTTTAATTTTTTTTACTTAATTTTTGTTGAAATGTTTTCGTTTACGGTATTTTAAGACGCATGCCATTTATTTATTCGATGGGTCTCGACGCGAATCCACAAAAACCCACGTATCTTCGATTCTTTTTTTCTGCATCGCATGTTCCTGATTTTTTCCATTCAAAAAAAATTTCTGCATTGCCCGCTCAAATAAAAAAAAACCGAAAGGCGTCATCATTTTTTTCAGTCCAATCTGTTTTTTTTTCTTTTCCAGAAAATCCACGCATCATAATTCAAATTTTATTTTTTTAGAGTTCAATTAGTGGCCAATTATGGGATTTTAATTACTCTCTCTCTCTCTCTGCCAAAAAAAATTCGTCCAAAATCAACAATGTTCGCAAATTTTGCATTTTGTTTTCAGAAAATTCCATTCAAAAATTCAACTTTTTTTTAAAGGTAAAATTTCACGCGGTGTAGATTTACGACGATGCGCCTTCGCTATGGTCTCGCATGGAATTTTGCATTTCAGAGAGTCATTCTGCGATTTTTTTTAAATCGAATGACACCGGAGATCAAACGAAAAAATTAAAACGCGGCGGGAGCCTCCCTCGCAGTCCCCGTAAATCTACATCAGTCTCCTTTCTCAAATTTTCAGGCAAAATTTCGCAACTTTTTGTTATTTTATAAAGCGAGATATCTAATTTCGAATAAGAATTTTTTTAAAAAATCGAATTTAATCTCAAAATTCTCAATTTTTCCGTCAAATTTCGAAGCGCAAAAAAAATGAAAAGAGAAACGCTTACACGAATTCCGACCAACACCTTCATAATGTCCTGTTTGCGTCTCACATCGACGAAATCCCAAAGTTTCTCGAACACATGACTGCCGTACGTGTCCGACACCAGCGATTCCCAGTCGTTCTGTAAAATGACGAGTTTCTTTTTTTTTTCTTCATTCTCTCCCGAAACTACTACGAGTGCGTCGCGTCGCGTCGCGTCGGGTTCAAGTGTGACTAGACGATCCGAACACACACACACACACACGCATGTAGGCACACTAAGTACGATTCGTTTTGTTGGCTCAACGACACAAACTACGAACGGAGCCCCGAGCCCAGAGAGCAACTCCAGGAACTCATGAACCAATCGGATCCGACCAAATTCGAATTCGCAATCAATCCGATCCGATTTGGATCCGATCGGTTTTTAAAATATTTTCCGATCCGATTGAAGATTCTTAGGATCAGATTGTAAAATTGTCGGATCTGATTGGATATTCGTCGGCTCCAATTGATTTTTTTGTGAATTATCGGATCCGATTGGATTTTCTTCGGATCTGATTGGTAATTTTTCGAATCCAATTGATTTTTTTTGGAAATTTTCGGATCCGATTGGAATTTCTTAGGATATGATTGTTGTAAAATTGCAGGATCCGATTGGTTTTTTTTGAGTGTTTTCCGATCCAATTGGATTTTCTTTGGATTCAATTGGTAATTTGTCGGATCCGATTGGATATTCGAATCCGGTATGTTCTAATTTTTCAATTCGAATCGGATTATTTTGAGCTACGAGAAAATCAAAAATTGGTAGCACATTGACGCGAATATATTTCATTCATGGACCTATTCATGCAATGAAAAAAAATCAATTTTTTTCATTTCAATTCCCTATGCACGCACGTCGAAAATTACAAAAAATTGACGCGATATATCGTAATTCTCCGCCATTTATTTTTAAAGGCGCATGTGAAAAGTTGCGCGGGTCACGTCGCGAAGTCGGTACTGTAATTTTTTATTTTTCATTTTGTATGCTATTTTTCTGTATTTTTCAAAAACTTCGAAGAGAAAATGACTAACGGAATGAAGAACGAGTAAAAACAATTATTATTGGTATAATTACTCCTAATTCGTCATTTAGATGCCAATTATCATGAAAAATAGTGATATTTGTGTTAATTTGATGCAGACTTCGCTCTATGCCGCTTCCAATGAACCTTTAGTGTTGATTAAACAAAATACTTCTACAGATTTCCAAAAAACTTTTTAAACGCTCAAAAAATAAAAATTAAAAATTACAGTACCGAGTTCGCGACGAGACCCGCGCAACTTTTCGCATGCGCCTTTAAAATTAAATAGCGGAGAATTACGATATATCGCGTCATTTTTTTGTAATTTTCGACGTGCGTGCGGAATTCAAATGAAAAAAAATTGATTTTTTTTTTAAATTTTTTTCATTGCATGAATATGTCCATCAATGAAAAAAAAAATGTCCTCCTTCCAATTTTCTGCTTTAAAATTAAAAAAAAAAGTCGAAATAAAACTTTTTTTTGAAAAATTCACATTTTTCGTAATTTTCTGACGCTTTCTAGTTTTCCAAAAGAATGCCAATAGTGCAATTTGTTTAAAATAGAAAATGCCAAATTTCAGCTATTTCTGATTGTTTCTGTTTTCGACTTTTTTCTTTTCATTCCAGCTTATCGAATCAATCAACACTCACCGCCAACGCCTCAACCATTTTGTATTTGAGCTCATCGCTGAGAGTCGGACTCGTAAATGCGCTCTGAATCACACGCGAACCGATTTTGTGGCGAGACTGAAAAATTGATAATTGTTGATTTGGAAATCAGACAACAAAAAATGATCCATTTTTCTTCCTATAGGGCAATTTGGTTGTGAAAATGAAAAAAAAAAACAAAATTCGCGCCGAGACCCAACCCCACAAAATCGCAGTCTTCAAAATTTTAGCTACAGTATCCGCGCGACTACACCGAAAACAGCCTACTGTAGAGTTGGGTCTCGCAACGCGAGTGTCGATTTACGCCACATTGTCCGTGTGGAGTACACAACGCGCGTCTCAAGACCATTTCGACGATATCACCAACCAAAATACCGTACCAGACGCACAGACTCTGCAGTTATGCGTCGCGTGTTGACACGGACCATTTTTAAAATTCAAAATCGATTTTTTTTCTCCTCGCTTTTTTCAAAATCATTTTGTTTAGAATCGTCGCACAAATTAAACAAAAAAACCGGCAAAAAATGAAATCTGATGAAAATTTTTGAATGGTCCCTTGAAATTTAGAAAAAAAATCCTGTTGAAATAGTTTTTTCAAATGAAAAAAAAATGAAATATCCAAAATTCATTAATACAGAAAATAATTTTGAAAAATGGTAATTGACAAAAACAATTTTTTTCGTGATATTGTCGAAATGGTCTCGAGACGCGCGCTGTGTACTCCACACGGACAATGTGGCGTCAATGGTTAAATTAACCAGAAAAAAAAAGCGATAGCTCTCGGAAAATCAAAAAAAAAAAAAGAAAGAGAGTAGAACCCACCATTTGCATGATTTGCTGTTGAGTGAGCGCCTCGAATCCCGCCGAAATCGTTTTGATCTTGCCGAATTTCAACAATTCCGAGACAAGAAGACTCCCCTGAACGGTGAGCTTCTCCAAATTTACGTCGACGCCGTCGAACGCGTTGTTCGTGAGCACATTGAGCAGAAAATGCGATTTTGTCGACGCCTAGAAAAGCGAAATTTTCCAATTTTTTTTTTTCAATTAAAAAATTTTTAATTTTTCAATTTTTTCCAATTTTTTTTCCAATTTTTCAATTTTTTTAAAATTAAATTTAAATTAAAAAAAATAAACATGCCACCTACCTTGGCGGCGCGAAAATATTGCCGCAATTGTTTCAAAAGAAGCTCTTGGACGTTTTCGTGTCGAGACGCGCAGCGAATCGCCGCACGCGCGACACCATCGCGATTCGATAGCAAATATCCGGCGAACGTCGGCGCAATCTCGTCGATGACGTCGGTGGCCTCAAGAGAGAAAAAAATGCATTAAAAAATCGATGAGCTTTTGGTATTTCGAGCATACCTTCCATCAAAGTGGTCGGATCGTCATGAAATTTTAAAACAAGCTAAAAAAAAATAGAAATAGAATTCGTCGAAACATTTGAAACTGATTCCTTCAAGTTTTCCATTTTTTTTCGATTCCTCACAAATTCTTGAGATTTTTCACATTTTTCTACGAATTCTATTTCCATTTCTAGTTTGTTTTAAAATTTCATCCCTTTGAGAAAAGTTATGTACGAAATACCAAAATTACTTTATATTAAAACACAGACTTCAATTTTATTCCGAATGGTCTCTGTGTACTCCACACGGACTTGCCAATACCAAAAAAAAACCGCAACGCGAATCGCGAGGCGTCAAAAAACTTGAGAACAAAAAAAAATGCTTGAAATCAACACCCACCAATTCCAAGCTGCTCACTGAGCCGATCAGCTTCTGGAGCACGAAATTCGCGTACGGATCCTGCGAGAGCTCAATCACCTACAAAAAAAAACCGATTGCTTTTTTCAATTATGCCAACAAACTCGCACATTTTTCGCGACCGCCGTCATCCAGATCAAGCTTCTCGTCTCCTCGCGACAATTTTCGACAATCTTCTCCCAGAATCTCGACGATTGTTTGCATTTCCACGCGTTCAACAACAACTCGCCGCCTAGAATCGTCAATTTCGATTGAAACAAAAATTGGCGAAAAATTCTCTACCCGCGTCTTTTTCGAACCATTTCGTCACCAAATCATCGCATCGTCGCCCTTTCCACAATGTTTCGGCGTCGATCGCCTCCTGTAGTGTCAGACAGCAAACCGGATTCTCGATGAGGTCTGAAACGATCCCTTCAATGCTTCGACAGTGACTTTAAATAAAATTTTGAAGTGCAAAAAGATGAAAATCGATATTCTTCTTCTAAATATTTCAATAGTTGCCGCGAAAATTTCGCAAGCTCTTTTCAATTTTTAAAATTTTCAAGCTTTTTGAAAAAAAAATGAAATAGAAAATCGAATTCTGGATTACTTTTTCTCGCCGTTTTCAATCAACGCTATGGCAAATCGCATATGCGCACATTTTTTGCGGGGTTTATTGAAATTTTTCAAAAGATTTACCGGCGTTCAATTGTAGATCGAACGCAAACGCGGCGATCCTCTCATAAATCGCCTTCAATTCCGCCTTCATCTCTTTGTTGGCGAATTTCGGCGTCGACGCCACCACCACTTTTGCCTCTGTCGATTTCGTGTCGAGACCCGACGCGATTCGAATGATGAGCCGCAAAAGGAATGCCGACGGCTGCGAACCGACCGCTTCCGACCAATTCTCGCATAGCAAATCGGCGAATTTCGAGATCAACTGTAATGAGAGATTGAGAAAAATACGATTTTTTGCCAAAAATTAAAAAAAAAATTTTGATTTATTCCCGAAAAACTTTAATATTTTGTAATTTTTAGGCAAAAAAATTTCTCAATTTTAAATTTTTACGAAAATGTGACTTAAAGATAAAAAATATAAAAAATCGCAAAAAATTTTTTCTTGCATTTTCTTATAAACATTTTGAAACACGCTTTTCACGGGCAATCCAAAAAAAATAAAACACCATTAATTTGTCAATTATATAGGGCATTTTCTTTTCGAAGGGACCAAAAAAGAAATCGAAAAAATCCAACCTCGACGTGCTCGCTTCTCGAAATCGGGCACAATTTGAGCAGGAGATTCTCGATGGTCCGCGCGCTGGCGCCGCCGAAGAACAACGCCAACAATTTTTTGTGTTTGAGTCGCGATAGCGCCGATAGGAACAACGCGGCGCCGTACGAGCAAGAGCCGAACACGTGCTCAACCTGAAATCGATCAGCTTTTCGATTTACATCTTTTTTTACATTATTTTTTTTTTCGCAATTAATTCTAAAATATCCATAGCACCGAAAAAAAGAAAAGAAAATTAATTTCTAAAAAATTTATAAATAAAATGTATTGATTTTTTCATTTTTGCACATTTCAAAAAAAAAGTCCGCAAACACGTTTCTTTTTGTGAACTACAGTAATCCACATTTCAAATTGTTTTTAAATTGAGTTTTTGACTTCCGGTCAAAAAATTCCGCTCAAAAGTAATGACGAAAAATGTTTTCTGCTGCACGCGGTGTATATTTACGCGCATGCGCCTTCTCTATGGTCTCGCACCGACAAATTGGTTATTTTGAATCTCAAGGGTCAGGCTCGATGATTGTTAATTAGAATCCGGTTCGAACTTCAAGGAAATGGCAAATTCATTAAAAAAAATCAAATAAATGCTCGTATTTTGCTTGAAAAGGTTGGCGGGGTTCAAAAGCTGCCTAAAATCATTTTCAAAATGACCCCGATTTTTTTGTACATGTTTAACACACATTTTCGAGATCATTCCGCTAATTTTTTGAATTTCATCAAGAAAAAAAAATTAACAGTTCTCACGCGTTGCGAGACCCATTTCGAAATGTCGCATTCCGTAAATCCACATCAAGATTTCATATTTGGGAACAAAAATCACAACAAAATGTTGTTTCGATTCAAAAAAAAATTTGGAAATGAGCTATTCACAAATTTTTCACAGGAAAAACGACAACCGTTTTTCGCGTCGCGGCTCAAATTCGCCGGAAATCCGAATTCGTTCAATTTTGAGTGGTTTCAATCAATATTTTTTCATTTCTCGACACAAAATCGATAATCCAAAATGAATAAAATCCAAAAATCAAAAAAAAAAATTGGCAAATTCAATTTCTACATCCCCCAAAACCCAATTTTCGGCGCACATCTCACCACAACGGCGGCTTCGGTCCATTCGAGAAGCGTCGTTTCCATTCCAGCGACTTCTTCCGCGCATTTGTCCAAAATGAATTCCTCTGGAATTCAATTCCAATTAAAAAGAAGGAATCCATTTTCTAAATTTTCAAAAAAAAAAACGAAATTTTATGAGAAAAATTTTGAATTATTTCCAAATTGGTTATTTTTTTTTCTCTAAAATTCATACCGATTCGCCCTTCGGTTTTGCCAATCTGCTCAATATTCCGCAAATAGCCGACAATCTCCTTCGGAAACTCGCCACGCTCATCGGTCGGACGACGATCGTGCCTAACAAAAACGGCAAATGAAAAACTGGGCCGAAAAATCGCTCTCACTTTTGCTCGTTTTCGCTCTCATCGAGGCGATTCGACGCGTTTTCGCCACCAACTCGTCCGTATTGCTGAAAAACGAAATTGAAAGAATAAAAAAACATCAAAATAAATTCGAACCCGCTCGAAATCGCTCGCGTCAAACTCTCGTTTTTGTCCATTTCGACGATTTCGGTCGTTTCGACTCCGTTTTTCCGGAAACGAGCGAATCGGTTCTACAAAAAAAAAGTTTTTTTTTTTTCGCATTTCTGAATAATCGCGTTTTCAATTAAAATTCAACAATTTCTGGATTTTTTCTAATTATTTTTAATTGGAAAAATTCATTCTAAAATCGCAAAATTCACGAAAAAATAGCGCTAATTTCCGCCAAAATCATCAAACTCTCATAATTTTGAAAATTTGCACGTGTCGAAGCAAAGAAATCAAAATACAACTCAAATTTCTCACCAATTTCGTGTTTTTTTCTCTCATTTTTCGCTTTCAAACCAAAATTTTCAGAAAATTATTGCCATTTTCAGCTATTTCTGATAACAATTCACAAAAAAAAATGAAAATAAAAAATTCGGACTTTGATAAATAATATCTCTGTCCTTTTTTCTTTAAACTAAAATTAAAATTATCAAAATTTTGATTTTAACACCAAATCTAGATTTAGTTGCCAAAATTGAATGCGCCTTTAAAGTCTACTGTATTTTTCATTCTAGATCCAATCGAACATGGCCGAATTTAAGAATGCCACAAATTTCAAATTTGAATTGCCGCTTTCGGGTCTCGGACAGAAAATCTCCAACAAATAAAATTTTCCTTTTTTTTCAAATTTTGCGAAATTCACCCGATCGCCGTTTTTCTGCCAAAAATTCAAAATTTCCCAAACATTTTCAGTCCAAAATTTCAAATTTGAGCAATTATTTCAAAAATTGTTAAGGCAAACGTTTTTCTCGAAATTGGCCAATTTTAGGGATCGTTTAAAAATTCGAATTGCCGCTTTCGGGTCTCGAATGGAAAGTCTCTTGCTTGAAGCGAGTTTTTGTCTAATTCAACTCTCATTTTGCTATTTCTAACCAATAACGGGACCCAAAAAAAAACTAGCAACCCGCGAAATTCAAATTTCATCTTTTTTTCAGATTTTCAAGTAAAAAATATTTTTCCATTCGCTTTTTTTTCCCCACCATGATCTCGACGGCTCGCCGCCTCATATCCATATTCCTGAAACGCATCCGCCGGCTTCTCCTCGACATTCTTTCGTTTTCTTGTCATCCTACAACTAAATGCCAAATTTCGAATAAGACAAAAATTCAAATAATTTGTGAAACAAGGCAAAAATACCGCAAAAGAAGAATTCAACAAAAAAGAAAAGAAATCCCCAAATTGCAGCAAATTTCAAATTTATCAGTCATTTAACAAAAAAAATGAAAAAAAAAAAGAGAGAGAGAGATTGAGAGAAGAGTAAAAGAGACGAACGTCGAAGAAAGAGGAAATTTTCTAAAGGGGGGAGGAGATTGGCCAAGGAATGGGTCTCATGTCGAAAATAATTGAGATGAGTGACAACCAAAAAAAAAAGAATGATTGGCTCGACATTTCAAACACCAATCATTCTTTTTCTTCGCTTTCTTTGTATTGGTTAGTGGGGAGACAGAGAGAGAGAGAGAAAAAAAAATCGACAATCTTCGGTGGGGGTTGATCGAAAAGGGGGGAAATTGTGGGCGGAGCCAATGTGAATCTATTTAACAACACCAAAAATGGGCAAAAAATGAAACGGAAACTAACAAAATCATATTTCTTTGAAAAAAAAGAACACACAAAAATTAAAACCGGCATTTTCTTCTTCTTTTTTTTTTTTTTAGAACAAAACGTAAAACGCAATTTTTCTTTTCTTCTTCTTTCAAAAATCAAACAAAAACGCAAGACGAAAATGCGAAAACATTATAAAGCATTATATATATATATATATATCTCAAAACGCACGGTGTTTCACGCTAATTAAATCGATAATTAGGGATAATTGGATTGATATGAAAAATCATTTGTTTTCCAATGAATCGATACATAATTGGAAATTGAAAATCTAGACGAAAATGTGGGGGGGGGGCGTGGCCAAAATAAACAAACAAACAAACAAACAAATTGAAGTGAGCACTTTTTTTCGCTTTTCTTTCGGGGCGTTTTTTCTTTGCAGATCGGAAAACCACAACGTCTACATTATATCGCACTTCTTCTTCTTTTGTGGCTTCGTGTTGTCGTGCCGTTCGCGATGCTAAATGGAAAAAAAATATATTTTTGTCAGTTTTGTCGGAAAATTTTCGCATTTTTGGCGATTTTCGATTGACGACAAAAATTATCACGAAAGCCAGAGAGATCAAAACTATTCGAAAATTCATTTCTTTTTTCGTTCGAACGCAAATTTCACAAATTTACGCAAACTCAAAAATTTATCTTAAAATTAACAGAAAAATTGATATACGTCTGCTTTTTTTTTAAATTTTTAACCGGCTTTAAAAAATTAAAAAAAAAATCCCAGAATTTTCCATAAAACTGTGTCAGTGGGAAATTTTCAGCAATTTTTTTTAATCTGCGAGAAATTTTATGAAAAAAAAACCATGAGTGAGTGGTCAGGGCGCGACGTGCGCCTTTAATATTTAACTTGTAAATCTACACCATTCATTTTTTCGCCAAGACCTTTCTCATAATTTTTTAGCCAATTTCACTCGTATTTGATGGCGGAAAAATCCAAACTGGCCAATTTTTGACAAAATGATGAAAAATTCGATTAGTGAGAAAAAAATAAGGGTTTGAAGTTTGGTTTTTTAAGGAGTTTTTAAATTTTCGTTGAAAATCTGCACGAATAGTTTCTTATAAAATTTCAAAATTCCAAAAATTTTCGGCGCCAATTTCAAAATATCTCGAATTTCAAAAAAAAAAAAAAAACTAAAAACCTTTCGAATCTCGCGAACCAGAGTGTAGAACGCGTCGTCAACTCCCATTCGAGTTTTCGCCGACGTGTCGACATTCGGAATCCCGTATCCTTTGGCAGTATCGCTAACCGTACGAAAATCGACGCTTCTCGACGGCAAATCGCATTTGTTGCCGACGAGAACCATCGGAACCTGCAATGAAATTCAAAAAAAAAAATGATGAATGTGTCAAAATTTTCAATAAAATCCCAAAAATCACCTGCTTCCCGAATTTGGTAGCGCATTTGTTGAAAGTTTCAAAAATTTTCGCTAAGCTAAAAACCATCTGACTATGGTTTTATTTGGAAGGAAAAATTCGACAAAAAATGTGAAAATTGTTTTTTTTTGCCGCAAAACTAATGCAGCTCCATCAAAAATTAAGTTTCCTTTTTATTTTTTTTTTCATCATAGAAATTTTGCCAATTTTTAAAAAATATTTAATGCAAAAAAAATCAATTTTTTGCAGTAAATCATTCAAAATTTGAAAAAATTTTCAACAAAAAAAGACCTACATCATCGCTATCCTTGACCCTTCGAATCTGCTCGCGATAATTGGCGACATTCTCAAACGATTTCGTCTCATTCACGGCGAACACGAGCAAAAATCCCTCGCCGGTTCGCATATATTGATCGCGCATCGCCGAGTATTCCTCTTGACCGGCCGTGTCCAAAATATCCAGCAAACACGTCTCGCCATCGATGACAACCTGCAAAAAATTGAGGTCGATTGAGCCAAAATCGAATTAGTCGAAGACAAAAAGAACTTCATTCAGCCTCTCCCCCCGTTCTTCTCTTCTTCTTCTTTTTTTGCTCATCAAATTAGGAGGCTCGCAATCCCGAAACAACCCTCGACGAGCCAACAAAGTCCACAATTAATTCTCTTGCAAAAAAAAACTATTTCCTCCCTTTGGGGCTCAATACTGTCGGACCAATTCGATTAATTCAACGCGTTTCAAAAAACAATTAACATCTTTATTTATTTAATTCACACTGCAGTTTTCAATCATTCTAAATCAAATCGAAAATGATTAAACACACTTTCTAAACCAAAATTGGCACACTTTTTGTCAATCAGAAACTATTTTCTAAGAAATTTTCTGTAGTTTCAAGCTTGGAACGCAAAAAAATCTTAAAATTACGAAAAAATTCAGGAAATAATTCAAATTTTCTCAAAAAAGTCTTTTTTCATCGCTTCCAAGCCAAAATTGTTGTAGGCGCACATTTAAGCAATCTTTTGAAATTTTTTTTTTGATTTGACTTCATTATAACAAATATTTCAAGACTAAATAATTCAATATCAAATCAAAAGTCGTTTGAATTGCCGGCTAGGGTATCGTGAAGAACTCGCCTATTCGTCAAAATCGGCGTATTAAACCCACTAATTATTTCGTCTAATGTTTGATCATTGATCGAAGTTAACACCTAAATTAGAAGGTTCCCCCGAACCAGTGCATTCGTTTTAGAAGAAGCTCAACAACCATTTGGCAATTCCTCTTCGTCATCGCCGCCGTTGAGGCAAAGCTCAATTCGGGCACCAGATGTGAAGAAATGAATTGGAGCAACAGCGGCGGCGGCGAGGCGAAATTGAGACAATCGATTTATAATGAAAATCTCATGTCGATTAAATGAAGAAAAATTGCCTTGCCGAAGCTTTTAGCGGCGATTTCGCATCAAGACCCTATTTTTTTCCATTTTTAAAATTTAGTAGTTTTAATGAAATTTTTAGGGCCGGTTTTCAATAAGGGTCCCCAAAACAAATTGTGTCTCTTATGATCCCAAAAGGAATTTCAGAAAAAATATCTTTCAGTGACAAAACCTCAATTTTTTGAATCTTTTGAGATTAAAGGAGCATTGACATAGGGGGTCTCGACGCGCGTCAAACATTCCTTTAAACGAAAATTTGAAGGAAAAATCATACACACATGTGGGGGGAGTTTTATAAGCCGAAAATGAAACGCCCACCTGTTTGCGATAGCTGTCCTCTATGGTCGGATCGTACTCCTCGACGAAATGATTCTGAATGAGTTGGATCGTGAGCGCCGATTTGCCGACACCACCATCGCCTACCACAACCAACTTGTACTCCGTCATTACCCCTTCTGCAATCAAAAATTGTAAAATGAATCAAATAAAATTGGGACGAGTTTAAAGGCGCATGCGAAAAACGGCCAATGCGAGCCGGCGGCGATCCACCGGCTACTCTCGTATATCAAATTTCTACTCGAGTTTCTTATGTTTCAAACACACACACACACACTCTCTCTCTCTCAAGACTCCTCCCACTCTCAGTAGTTTCCATTCTTGAAATCAATGGTGTTGGTGTTGGTGGTGGTGAGGTAGAGGCGGAGTCTGACGGAATGCCGACGAACAAGCGAGAAGGACGAAGGATGAGACACATGTGAAGCAACGAAACAAAAAAAACGGGCCAGCAGCGGTTTTGGGCGATGCAAGTGGGTTTCGACGACCAATTTGCGCGCGCGGGTCATTCAATTTTTGATCTACTCGCGTTGTTGGGCGAAACTTTTTTTTTTCAAATGGAAATGGGCTGGGGGTGCCAATTAGCGCTAATTATCATTTTCGGAATTTCTTTTTTTTCGGTTTTTTTGAAAATGGGTTTCTGGAATCTGGAAGACCTAAATTTCACGTTTTCATGAGGCGAAAAAATCGAGAATAAATTGAGATTCTGAAGGCATTTTAGGGTAAACTGGACAAAAAAAATTGTTTCTAGCTAGTAAATCACAAACTTTGCCATTTTTAGCGGGATAATATAAAATTCCGTCAAAAAAAAAAAGAAAAACACGTTAACCGCCATCAAAAATTCAAATCAACGAAAATCGGGCAAAGTTCAAATATTTTTCGTCGACAATTGCGCATTTTTCGCTTCGAGATTATCAAAATCCGCTTTGACAATAAATAGAGCGACGTCGGATCAATGAGCTAATCGCGTCGCATAAATTCTATACATTTGAAAAGCGACCCCCCCCCTCCAACACAATTAAGCTCAGTTCATGAGAAATAATCCGCGGTGCGCCTTTAAAATATTCTAAAAATAGTCAAGAAATCGTGAGACTCGTTTTTTTTTTCAAAAAAAAATGCGAAAAAACTGGATGCGCCTTTAATTCTCTAATGACAGAATCCCAAATTTCGCAGAATACGGTGCGTCTCTTCGAGACCGCCGCATCGACAAAATGCGTGCGCCTTTGAAGCTAGAAAATGGCGATTTCGCTTCAAGACCGAGAATACGGCAAAATCGATTGTTTCACATCTAAAATCACGAAAACGCTAGCATTTTTTGCAATGCGCCTTTAAAGTGACAGAAATAGCACGAATCGAAGAAATCCATGCGCATTTAAATCGAATATTTCGCAATCGATAAAAAAATTAGTATTACGGTATCGTGAGGTGAAAAAAAAAATCCCCACCAGACAGAAATATAATAATAATAATAAATCAAATAAATTGGATTTTTGAGAGATGATAAGAAAGAGAAGCAAAAAAAAACCAAATGGGCTCGATTTGACGAGGAAGAAAACCGGTCGATGACTAATGGGCGGCTCACAAGTTGAAGTGGATCGGCGAGGAGGAGGATGCGGGGGAACGCGAGAGGAAGCGGGTGGGCAACGGTGTTTGTGCATCATCATTATTATATTATGATTTCGGACGCACCTTCGTGGCGCCAATTCATTCGCTATTGTTCGACGCTCGCAGAGACAACGACGAAATTGATGGCCGACTTCTTCATACATTTTTTCTTCTTCCTTCTCTTCTTGTCTATGATGATGACTCGTTACCGTAACCCGTTTCGATGAAGCTCCTCGCACAATCGCAGACAATGAATCGATCATCCCCTTCGAGAATGTGAAGGCCGACTCGATTAGAAAAAGCGAAACAAATCAATAAAAAAACACAGAATCGGTTTTCGAAGCGCCGGAGAAGCTTGCCGAATTTTGTGATCACCTAGGGAAAAAAATGCCACGTGGATTCTGAAACATCGATTTCTAGCATCTTCTGAATTCAAAAAGATTCTGGGAACGCGATGCAAGTGGCTTTAAAATGTAAGAGACGGTCTCACAAAAACATAATGGTCCCTTCTGAAAACAAATGGAGCTATGAAGATTCAATGAAAGGAAAAAACTTGCATTGGGTCTTTTTTTTTGCGAAATCTGCATGGTACCATAATAGCCTTCTTTCCAGCACTTAGAATATATGCATATATTGAGCATGTGCACATAATACATATATATATATATATATATATTGCGGATTAAAACACAAGAATCCAATTACGACTAGTATATGTCGGTTGAGGAGATTAAGAATCGAATCAGTGTTTCCGTGACAACATTTCTAATTAATCTCTCGGCTCACATATTTGTCAAAGAGACAAAATGAATTGGTTGGGAAGGGGAGGAAAAGAGAGAGGACATTTCGCAAAAATTGCAGTGAATCTCGATTTATTCTTGGGTGTGCCTTTTTTTTTTTCAAATGATCCCGCAATGGAGTGGGCTAATTAGGATAATTAGCTGCCGCAGCCAATTTTCTCACGATTAATGGCCAGAGAAAGAGAGAGAGAGAGAGAGCGCGGTTCGCTTAATTGCTCGTTAACATCGAATTTAGAAGTGAGAGAGAAAAAATGGAGAATCACGAAATATAGGGATGAACGGCCGGCGGGGCAGGTCGAATGCGACGCACTCAGAAAAAAAAAACGACGAACTCGAAAACCCCAAGCCGAACGGAGTGTGTCGAACAGAGAGACGGCCGAGACCGCGACGCGTCGTCCGCGCCGCACTCGCCTCGATATATATATATTTATTCAAAAAAAAAACTACTGGCGAAACCGGCGGGGCTTCGCGTTTTCTTCATCGCGTTCACCTTAATCATTGGCCGAATAATCAGGACACGAGCGAGAAAAAAAAATCGAAGAGGAGGAAGAAGAAGAAGACGTGCGCCGACAAAAAAAACGCGTTGTCTAATTTCGGGCAGAAATGATGTAATTTTAGAGCGAATACGCATAAATTAGCGAGATTCACGCATTCACATGAGATCCCTCGATTTTGTGAATATCAATTGGTTGGCGAAATAGTCGAAAAATTGGGGAAAAATTGAAAGAATGAAAAAATTTTCGACGCCGACAAATCGAGATGGCCTAGGAATTGCGCGCGGCCACGGCCATCACCATACCTCCGGATTTCCGTTGCCAGGCAGCAGTAATTGATTAATTCTGGCAATGCTCACTAGCTAAACTCAATGCGTGTCAAGACCCGCTTCCTATACGGTGTTCCGTGTAAGTAAATCACAAAAAAGTGCCTCGAAAACGATTAATTTCTCAATTTGCAGTTCTTGTCTTATTATCGAGCTTATTATGGAACGAAAAATTCGCCTATTATTATTTGTCGAAAACGTGGCAAATCCAAAAAATCGACGGAAACTGCCAAAAATGGCTTTTGGTCGCCGATCCGCAACTCATCGGCTATCGACGCGAGAAATTCGGATGGCTCGCGAGATGGGACAGCGATCGCTATTTGGCGACGGGTTTCGACTACGCCAAATGGCAATTTGCGCCAAACGCTTTCATATTTCTTGGCGATTTGTTTGACGAGGGTCTCGACGCGAATGATGATGAATGGAATGAAACGTATGAGCGGTTCGTCAAAATTTTCCCAATTGATGCCAATGAGGTCGATTTTTTTTTCTGGATTCATGAATTTTGGTCTGATTTTCAGACGGTAATTTATATTGCTGGCGATAATGATATTGGCGGAGAAGCGGAATTAATCAATAATGCGGCCAAATCGAAATTTTATCATTATTTTCGAAATCATGTCGATAAATTGAAGGCGGATTTCACTATTAATGAAGTAAGATTTTTGAATAATTTTGAAAATTCCTACAATCGTCAATTTTTCTAATTTTTAGAGCATCGCGAGCAGTTTTAGCATTTAAATGGTTTTTTGGAATTTTTTCGAAGGAAGTTTTAAGAAAACTACTAATTAATCCTTTAAAAATTGCCCTAAATTTTCTTTTTTTTTTCTGGAAAATCAAAAACTAATTAATATGATTAATTTGAATGACGATTTTCAAGATTTTTCGTATCAAAATCGAAAAAAAATGGAAATTTTCAATGATTTTTTTTTGAATGTGCGTGTTTTCTCTTAAAACAGAGCGTTGACCAGTTTTTTTTCCCATCAAATCATATCAATAATCATCTTTGAACCTTTCAGACTTATCTTTTTGACAATCCGAATAGCAAACGAATTGTTGAAGCTTACAACGAGCCAATCGCCAGAATCCTGTTGACCCATGTGCCATATTTGAATTCTGTATATAAGAGGAACCCTGTCGGCCATCAAATGGATCTCATACTTTCTTCACATGATCATGAGGTATCGAATGCGCCTTTAAAAATGAGGTCTTACCGTGCTTGTTGAGAAAATGAACAGTTTAAATTTAAAAAAAAAACATGGAAACTAATCAATTTCGAATTTATTTTTTAAAATTTAACTTTTAAATGTTGTTTAAATGCGCACAATTTTTGTATTTCTCAGAACGGCATCTACGAAATTCAAAGATCGTCTCCTCAAGCTCTTCTGTTCTCGCGAATCTCCGAATCGTCTCCATTGTATATAAAAACGATTGGACCTGATCAGCCGTTGGTTGAGATTCGAAGTCCAACGTGCTCCTACCGGTAATCTATAACAATTCTTCTTGAATACCGTATTTATTTAAAGAATGGGCGTTCCGTACATGGGCTACGGCGCTTTGACAATATGCCGGAATCGTGGCGAGACCCAAGTGCAATATTCGGTTCTTTGGCTTCCCGCAAGATTCTATCAGCTTCTCTTGTATATTATGTGTCTTATATTTTGCGTATTATGGATGATTCTGCACCGAAGATTACATCGAAAACGATACCAGTGGCTGCAATAATATATGTGATTTTCGATTTATTATGTGATGATCTCAAAGTGATTCGATAATTAAGTTTTTTCTTCTTGTGCCAGCATGCATAATAGTCATAAATTGTACATAATAATGTGTTTCTGTAATTTATGGGACAAGAAAAATAAAAGAAAACCGCGATATTTGATTTTTCCTCGAAAAAATTGATTTTTTAAATAGCAGTCTGCACTTTGGCGTCAGCGTGAATGCACACAATTGATACAAATTTTCAATTAGGCCAGATTTTTTCCACTTTTCAAGCTATTTCTCAATTAGAACTTATTTTTCTAACATTTTTTTCCTTAAAATAAATTATCTAACTAGTAAGACGAGCGAACAATACTCCCCCACATCATTTCCCAAAGGTTTATTTAGATTATTTCCGAAAATGTTAAAACCAAAAGGTAATAATTATGGAGCCCCATAATCTGTTCGCAAATTTTGATGCATAAATCATAATTATATGTCAATATCTCCGCTCGCCGAAAAAAAAAGAAACGCTGAATTATTGCAGATGTCGGCCGACTCCGCCTATTTGTTTATGTGCCAAACATTGGAATAATTCCGACAATTCTATGGAATCGTCGATTCAGCGATACTATCGAATGAATTATACGAATTGTCCGCCGTCGACATTTCTAGATAGTTCCGATTTTCAAGCAACCGCTGCTCATCTCCTATCAATTATTGTGATTCCGACGAATTTGTTTGCCACGTATTTGATTATTTATAAAACGCCGCCGAAAATGAGATCCATGCGGCCTGCGCTTCTACACATCCATATATGGTAATGTTGATATTTAAAAAATCAAAGAGCAATCAACGATCTTGTTTATTCAATGCTTTTCCTATTTATTAAAAAAAAACAAATTGGCAGGTTTTCACGTGAAAAAGTGTTGTTCAGACTTTGCATCTTTGAATTTTAGTTTGAATGGTTTTCTAGCCGATATCTTGAGTCCAAATCTCGTTTTTCCACGCGATTACTGTTGTCGTCAGTTCCAGTGTTTGAAAATGTTGTCAAAAATTGTAAAATAGGCTCCAAATCTCAATTGAGGAGCGATATTTTCAGTCATAGTGTTTCTTGAACCAAATTCAGCGCAATTTTCAACTTCAAACTTCATTTTGGTCTATAATATCAATTAAAAAACCGGTTTTTTTGCAAATATTTTCTTAAAAGTGCATTTTTTCAGCTTTTTTTTTTGAATTTCCGGTGTGCCTAAAATGTGATACTAATTCTGCAAATCCGATTATTTTACACATACGCCAAACACCATTAATTAGATTGTTCGGTTTGGGAAAATAAACAAAGTTCCAGCCTATGAGTTCATTGTGACCTCTTTTGAGGATATAATTTTTGTTGGTGTCAAGACCAAAACATTTCCATTGTAGGTCGACCATCTGCGATCTTCTCACCGGCTTTCTCGTCGTTCCCTACGTGTTCTTCCCATTATGCACCGGCTACGGCGCCGGCATTCTCACCATATTTCGTGTCGCACAACCGTTTCAAATCTACACGAATGTGACGTCGATTGCAGGTGAAGCCATTTGAAACATGCAACCGCATTGCATTTGCTCGTCACAGGCGTTGGAATGGGCATTCTATTTCTGTACGAGAATCGTCAGAACAATCTGGTGCAGAAGAGCGTGTGGCGGATCGGAAGCAAACGCGCGCGTCTCGTTTTCGTCGTCTCGAACTATGCGTTTCTGCTCACCTACACACTGCCAGCGTTTTCCAATATTCCCGAACAGGAATCGGCGAAAATCATTCAATTACAGGTAAATTTTTGAGTGAAATCGAAAATTCCATTATTCGGAATTATTAAATTTTTTTAGTTTTCAAAATTAAGGTATTACTATCGCTTGTGGACCATCGTAATTTTGAATTTTGACTAGCTGAATTAAGGGGGTACCGTATTATGGATAACCTGCGAATCAAGCTCAACGCAAATCTACACATGGTTCCCTTTTGTTCGAAAAAAAAATTCCATTGTCGAGAAAGAACGAATTTGAAAAATTGGAATTTGGCGAGCTGCTAATTAATTGGGTCCGTACTCCGTTATTAAACATTGTTTCATAAAAATGACCAAAATACTTCAAATTAATTTCAGAAATATGATTATTAAATTGAGCAAAACTCGCTCCTAAGAATTTTTTCCACACGAGACCCTCGAGTTCCGGCTCAATTCTGACGCGTTTTAAGAACGTTTTTTTTCATGGCCATCGACTTTTTTCTACTTTTCAAGCATTTTTGACTTCTCCAACATAAATTTTTACTTATTTTCTTAGTTCAAAAAGAGCGATTAGAGTAAAAATCGATTTTTGTTTCGTTTTTGAACATCAATGCTTACAACAAACTAACTATTCAATGCATTCTTTAAAGGTGCATTGAGCGATTTCAGATCATCCCTTGTCCGGCTTCCGACTTCTTCAACGACGATGTCTTCGTGCTCCAATTGACGTCGACGCTCATCGGTGAGCTCATCGGCCTCGCGATGCTCGTCATCGTCGCTCAAATCGGCTTCTTCCTCTTCCACAGCTTAATCTATTTGACGAGCGCCGCGCGAACGGCGACATTATCGGAAAGAACGCGCAAAATGCAGAAGAAATTTTTGCGATCCGTCACATTTCAGGTGTTCTCTTGTTTCTTTTTGTTTTTCAGTTATTCATTTTGAATTTTGAATTTAGGTATCGATTCCGTTCACCGTTTGTGCGATTCCGGTTGGCTACACAATTCTTACGATATTCGCCGATTATTATAATCAAAGTAAGGCGAATTTTGCACAAATTTTTAAAGTGGAGTGGTTTTTTCACAAAAAAAAAATCGCTTGAGAAATCGAGAAAAATTGAATTATTTGAAAATCGCTAAAAATCGAACAGATGAAAAAAATTTTTTTAATTTATAATATATTTTTCTGCATTTTTAAATATAAATATTAAAATTTTGGAGGCATTGAATGAAATTTTCGTTTATATATTTCTAAAAATTCTGAAACACAAATATTTCGGGATTTCTGCGAAATGTTCATCTTCTCACAAACTTCTCAAATTATTCTTCCTTTGTTTGTGGAAAAATTATCAACATTCGCTGCAAGACCACTTTTGACTTTAAAATGGAAGCGAGATCATGAATTAATTTTTATGACGACGCCTTATGCGCCTTTAAAACAAAAAAAAATTAAATGACAATCGAAAAACGTTGTAGAACTCACAAACATCTGCTTCATAATGATTTCATTGCACGGCTTTCTCGAAACGTGCTGCATTCTCGTTCTATATCCCGACTATTGGAAAGCGACGCTAAGAATTTTGAGAGGTGCAAACCGGTTTGCGATTCATCGTATTCTAGAATTTCAGTCGAATCGATCACACCGACGAAGACGCTGAAGAACGCGTCGATGGTCACGAATTCAGTGATCGCATTTTGATGAATTTCGACAACTCTGGTAACTCAAAACCAATCGGATCCGACAAATTTCGGCCCCGGAATCAACCTTATCCGATTGGTAATTCTACGAATAAGATTGGAAATATGTCGTATCCGATTGGTTTTTTGGGTTTTTTCGGATCCGATTGGTAATTTGTCAGATCCGATTGGTAATTCTACGGATAAGGTTGGATATTTGTCGAATCCGATTCGAATTGAAATATTAAAACAAAACGGATTCAAATAATTACCAATCGGATTCGAAGAAAATCTAATCGGATACGACAAATTACCAATCGGATCCGAAAAAACCCAAAAAACCAATTGGATACGACAATTTTCCAATCTTATTCGTAGAATTACCAATCGGATAAGGTTGATTCCGGGGCCGAATTTTTTCGGATCAGATTGGTTTTGAGTTACCAGAGAATATTGTGTCGAATGCGAAAATTGTGTGTATCGTTTTCGGGGAATTCACTTTCGGGATCTGTTGACGCAAGACAATTTCAATTTTTCGATCTCATATTTGGATGTCAACGTTTTTTTTTTTAATTTCAAACATTTATTTGGAAACAAAAAATGAACATAATTAATTAATATGTACAAACTTGGAATGATTAGCGAAGAAAAAAATAATAGAGATTCGGTTCCCTGAAAAGAATGCGCCGAGAACAACAAAAAAGCGAATGATTATCAAATTGGAAAAGGAAGACGAAGAAGAAGACAAGTAACAATCAGAAAACGGTTTTACATCGGTCGGAATGCGTAACACGTGACGTCATCATTGGCGACCTGACAATAAGTCTCGGTGTAAGCGACATAGGAGAAATCGCCCTTGGCGCAGATCACGTTGAATTTGCCGAACAGCTTCTCCTCGGCGGCCTTCTGAATGGCTCGCTTCGAGACCGTCGGATCCGTCGACATATTCTGCAACATTCGCGTTTTTTTTGTAATTCGGCCTTGCGCAACAAGGTCGCTCAACAACATACGTTTCGCATCACTCGACGAAGCTTCTTGCTGTTGCACGTCGGGTCCTCCTCTTCGGCGCTTTCAGTGGTGAAGAGCTGAACTCAAAGAATTGTTGAAGTGATCACTATTGGCGACTTGAATCACCTTGCTTCCAAGTGTTCGGTGACGAGCGACGAATTGGCACGGCGAGCCGCATCGACAGCAGCAATCGTTGGCCGGCTGCATCGCGTACTGGTTGAAGACGGGCGCTGGCGCGTAGCTCTGGCACGGCGACTTTGGCGGCGGTGGTGGTGGTGGTGGCGGTGGTGGACACATTGGTGGCGGCGGTGGTGGCGGCGGCGGTGGGCATGGCGGCGGTGGTGGGCAGAATTGCGGCGGACACACCGGCGGCGGCGGGCATGGTAGTGGCGGCGGCGAGCACATTGGTGGCGGTGGGCATGGTGGCGGCGCCATGGCGCAACAGCCGCCTAAAAATGAATAATTCGGGGTGGTGAGAAGAGCGGGAGAAGATGATACCGAAGGTTGCCGATGCTTGGTGCACAATGGCGATTAGTAAGACTGCGGAGTGCAGCATTTCCCTGAAAAAAATCCAGAAATTAGCGATGGGAGTCGAACCAGCAAAAGGAGCAGCGAAAAGCGCGCGACTTATCCACAAAGCCATGCGGACTCATGAGCACTTGGGCGAGAGAGTGCGTATAAGAAATCGATGGAAGCGTTTTCAAAAAAAAACGATAAAATGGCGAGATCGGGAGAAAAGAATCGTTGATTGACGAGACCTTCTCGAATTTGTCTCGCCTTTATAGTGTGTGTTTTGTCGAATTCGGTTAGCTATCTGCCATTCGCAGCAACGCCCACTTTTCGTTGACATTCGACGGTTGACCTCGAAACTGGTTCGAATCGGCTGGAAATTAACCAAGCTTCTTCGTTTGCCATCGACGACAACCACTGAGTAATCCATTAATATTTCAATTATCGACGTCGCTTTTGTTTTATCGCGCCACGGGAGTTCGAGGGCATCGAAGAATGAAATGGAAAATGTTCAATTTTGGCGAACATGGGAAATTGAAATTTCGAAAAATTCGTGTTGATCGTCAGAAAATTTAGATTTTCAAATAAATATAAATTTGTCATATTTCGGAAAGTTTTCTAACTAATTTAAATTTTAAAAAACATAATTTAGGCCAATTTTTAGATCAATGTACCCCCTGAAAATATTGAACTACTCTCCTTATTATTCAGCTAATTTTCATTATTCCTGTTCGATTCGTATCTTCTGTATGACGCATATATACATTACACAAAAGACAATTTCAAATTTTCAATTCACATATTCTCGAACCTCCAATGCGTGTTCAAGGTCGTAAATGGCACATTGATTCGATTGCTTTAAAATTCACGCCATTGCCAAATTTGATGAAGCCTTATTGTTTGTTGCGCGATGAGTCATTCGTGACGTCGACGATTGCTTATGTCACTGTAAAGATGTTTTGAATACTCAACTTTAATGAGTAAGCAGAATTCCTGTTTTAATCCGACACATTCACTTTTTCGCTACCTTATTGAAAACTTCCAGAATTTATTAATAACCTTTTCTGTTAAATCGAATCTCCGCTCCACTTCAGAACGAGTTCCAATCATTTTTCAGCAAACACTCGCTTCAAATTCTAGGACATTTCACGAACAAACGAATATTCTTTCTTCATGTTAATTTCAACAACAATTTCTTCATACAACATATTTTTTTATTTATAGGCAACAATAACAGAACAAGGTCTTTACTTGGCCTTCTTGGCGCGGATCTTTCTAAGATAGAAGTCAAGCTCCTTTCCTTCGAGGATGTATCCGTTGGCCTGTCCAACTTGGCCAGGAGATGAAGAAATGCGGGCTGAAAATAGAAATAAAATTTCAAATTTAATTGAATTTCAGGTAAAGGCATACCAAGGAGACGTCCGGAGTGGAATTGCTCAATGAGCAATTGATCGACAGCGGCGGTCTTCTGGCGCTCGGTGTATTTTTTCTGAGTGTGACGAGATCTAAATTACAAAAATCAAATAAGAAAAAACCAGCTTTTATAATAAGATGGGAATTATTTAATACTCACCGCTTCTTGTTAAGGATAGCGGCGTCTTCCTCAGAGAGCTTAGCGTTCTTCTTTCTAGCCAATGGAAGAGCATAGTGCGACTCATACCACTGACGGAATGGGGCAGCGTCAATGCTGACGATGGCTCCCTTCACGAGGGTCTTGGTACGGACCAATTCGTTGTTGGTGGCGTTGTAGACGGTATCAACGATACGGGTCTTGCGAGTGGTCTCTGAAAAATTGGATATAATTAAACCATCAAAATAATTAACACTAACGCTCCGAAGCCCAGGAGAAGTTTCCGTTATCAAGACGGAGAGCTCTGTGCTTCAAGTTTCCTCCGCGAGCACGGACGAGACGGACGCGGTAAGATCCGATCTAAAAAAGATAATGTAAGAAATGAAAAGTACCAATTTTGGGTAAATATGGATTGAAAAATATTCTGAACTAACCTTGGTGTTAGCAGCTGGGCGTCCAAGTTCGAACTTCCTCTTCTTGTGTGGGACCGGGCGAGTAGCTCCGGTCTTATAGCGCTTATGCCAAGAGTCGCGCGAGATACCCATGCTGAAAATTGTAATTTTGCAATTAGCAAGCTAAAAGCGAAAAATACAATTGAGAAGAAATTAAGAAAAATAAAAAAATAAAATTCTCAAGAGGAAATGGCCTAAATTCACGAATGCCGACGAAAAACGCAGAGACGTGCGAGAATCCACGTTAAAAATGAATTAGTTTAGATTTTTTCGATTATATTCCATTTAAAAATCCAGAGAATTGAATGGAAAAACCTGAAAAAACCCAAGCAAACGGCAAAAAAGAAAGGACGGGCCTAAATTTTCGGCATGTCCGACGGAGCGCAAATGTGCCTCTCACTGTCGTTTCGCGGCGGGACTCCGGCTGGCGTCGAACGTATGCGTCTTCGCCCGTATTTAAAATTTCATTTTCGTCGTGAAATTTTTTGAAGTTTTTCGATAATTTGGAGCGCATTTTTCAAATTTTTTTTCGAAATATGATAGAAAAAATTCTACTAATATATTACTACTACTTTCCATTAAAAATCGACACAATTTGCAAGTTATCTGACAAAATATGAAAATTAACTTCCATGGCGTTTTAAATTTATTTATCAAAAAATTCCAACTATTTAAAGCTTGTTTCTAACGTTGGATCATTTTTTAAGCATTTTACGATTATCTTCATGCTTTTTATTTAAAAGAAAATTGAAATTTCAAAAAGATTTATTAATTCTCAACTTTATTAATTTTAGCTTTCTCTTTATTAATAAGTCTAGCTATGAACCGCTAGCGAAGACAAGAATACAAATTGTCGACATAATGCTTGATAAAACTTGCAATATTTTTCTGATTATCAGTAATTTCGTGTGGTGTTTTGGGCGACTGAAACATTTTGATATATCACAATAAGAGCTTTGGGTGGTTGAATAAAAACAATTTTTGAAGTAAGAATGTTGAATGATCAAAAGCAAAATGGAAACAATAATTGTGTATAAATAGGGTGTAATATACAAAATAATAACAATTTTCGACCGAGTTGGGGCAGTTGGGTGAAGTTGAATGACTAAATGTAACAAATATGATTGGAGAAACCAAAGAAAATCAATAAATATTCGAAATCTCTCTTAAAAAGCGGCAGCTTTGAGCTGCGTCAAAAATTTGGGAAGTTGCTGCGCGGTGATGCACGAGTCCTCAAATGTTGACGCCGACGCGACAACCTGGGCGCCAAGGTACGCCGCGTTGTACCTCCACGGCGAAATGCTAACCTAGAAAAATGAAAATTCAACAATTCCCAGCATAAAAAGAAGAAGCAAAGTACCTGCATGTGAATCGTATTCGGCACCACTGTGGAAAGCTCCTGCTCAAGCTTCTCGGCAAGCCCCGGCATCAGCGAAGCTCCACCGGCCAGATAGATATTCCTATACAACGTCCTCCTACTATCAATTGGGCATTGTTGAATTGCTTCATGGATGAGCTGATGAAGTCCCTTCGTGTCGAGATTCCATTTCTTCGGCTTAAACAATCCTTCGGTGCAAAGGAATCTCGAGTTATCAATCTGCAACAAATTAGTATGTTTTTTTTTTCTCGATTAAGGCAAAAAAAAATAATACATCAAATTTTGTGAGCATTCCCGGCGTCGGATCAAAAGCATCTAATGATACTCGAACCTCGCGATTCTCGCTCTTCTCCTCTTTTTGGTAATCTTCCGGCACGTAGGTTGTCTGACAATGAAATGACAGTTGTCCGTTGGAATTGAGACAAATGCTACCTGTTCCATGACATATCTTAAAATCAGCTTCTCGACGGGACTCTGGAATGCGTAGAGACCCTTGTTGTGGGCGCTCAATGAAGCTCGCAATGATTCGCCCATTTGCGCGGAACCGTATGGAATCGAGCAGATCGCCGATTCAACAACGTAGCCTAGAAATGTCGCCGATGGATTCAAGTTGGATTCATTCGAAAAACACTCACCATCAATAACCGGTACGATATTGAGTCGATCGCCAATGTCGACGACGACGCCGGTCGTCACATCATAAGCATAGAGAATAAGTGATGGTTGTCGTGTGATCGCCGCCGCCTGCAAATGTACAATTGAATGAAATCATGAGAAAATGGCGATAGAGGCACCTGGAATTTGCAGTCATCGAGGCAGACTTGCAGCAAGTCACCGACGAGCACATTCGGAATATTCTGCGGAATCGACAACAGCACCTTGTATTTGAACGTCTCCAATTTGAGCTCTTTGATGACGTGATCGATGCACGCTTTGACGACGCCTCTATCGATTCGATACTGGTCGACGGAGACGTCGACGGCCTGAATCGGTCGCGCAAACTCGCCGGCGTGCCGATTCGCCGGCGCGTACGCGTCGCTTCCCACCACAATTCGCCCGTCGTCGAGTTTGACGGCGATCGACGGGAAGAAGCATTGCGGAAGCGACGGCTCCGTCGTGAGAACGCCGGCGCGAATCGAACACGAGCCCAATTCGAGAATGAGCACGCGTTCGGTGAGGTGCTGAAACGCTCGCGGAATCGGCTTGACGAACGCGTCGATTTGCGTCGAGGCGCAATGCGACAGAAATGATTGGCGCCATTTGTCGAACAACGCCGACGGCACCCGACAGAAGTATTTGACGTGCTCACGACCGCCGTGAATCGTCAACGTACGCTCCTCCTTGTTGGCGTCGACGTCGGCGCCGGAGAGGATGAGCTCTTGAGCTGGCGCTTCGCCGGCGTAATGCGACTGAAATTTTTTGAGAATTTTCAAGTGGATCAATGAGTTTAAAAAACAGTTTTAATTGCTCCAAAAAATGTTTAAATTCGTCAATTTGTGCGAGATATTCGAATATTTCGAAAATATCATGGTTTTGTGAAGAATTGCAATTTCGACATATAAAAAATGAGATAACTAAAAATCAGATGGGTTTGAGTTTTTCACAAATGTACTATAAAATGATTTATGATGAAAACTAGAAAATTTCGGGTAATTTTTGTTTTTCTTACCGCAAATATCTGCAATCGTCCTTCCTTCGTCCGAATGTATTGCTTCATCCATCCATCATTGTCTAATCCATCAGCTTTCGTTACCTCATCGGCAGGTACCTTTAAGATTTCAATTATGCTACAAATCGGTTTAATTTGCGGATCCTACCTCCACATGACCCTCCATTGAGATGAACCGATTGCGTTTGGTCTCGACGCGCGGCTCGTATGAGACCTCATAGAGCGCTTTGAGCAACTTCTTCGGGTCCCATTCGCGCAGCGCGTTCGCCTCAACCGCTTTGAGGCTGTCGGCGCGAGCCCCATTCGCGGTGCCGTCATGAATCGGCTGCGCGTCGTCGAGGTCCGCCATTGAGAGCCTTGCGTTTTTCTACTGCGTCTGAAATGAATGCGAATATGGCGGGTTCTCGCGACGACAATTACGAATCAATTGAGACGCCCATAAATCAACGGCAAATAACGTCGGCAATGTGCTTTTTGAGTGCGTGTGTTTTTTTTTGCAAAATACCGATTTTGACACGATAATTAGGCTCGAGAATGACAAAGTGCGGCTGACGGGATTTTATGAGAAAGTGAGCGCGCAAAAAAAAATGTCTGATTGGCTTCCGGTTGATGAGAGGAAAGAGGCCTTTTCTGTTCGAAATCGGATACTTTTTGGTTTTTTTTTCAGCAAATGCAAAAAGCAAAAAGAATTTTTCAAAATTTTGCTTAATGAAAAAAAAAAACAAAGGGGCACGATGAGAAAGAGAAGAAAAAGAAGAAGAAGCGTTTTGGCTAATAAAATTACTTGCAAGCCGGACGGCGACTCTTTGTTTCTGGCGATGAAACGCACCCGCGAGCAATTTTTTTGTTTACGAACTGAATGAGCTCGCAATATATATATATATATATATGAGCATGGAACATTGACGAGGAGATTAGCGGGTTCTCGACGAGCGAAGATTAATAGAGCTCAAAGTTGGGCAAGCATGGAAATTTGAGCTAAAATCGCGAAAATGAAACCCGCTCGCTGCAAATTGTTAGTTTTTTTGGTTTAGTAGTCGACGAGAATAGCATCAAATCATGTTTGCTTTTGGTTTTAATTCTCAAATCGATAATTCAAAGCAACGAAAAAAAAATTATGGAAAAAAATTTGAAGAAACGAAACGTGTGTTCACGACGCTGACGACGTATTGCGGACGTTTTGAATACCGTAGCGCACGCGCTTAATTAAATGCCTCATTTCGATTATAATTTGTTCGAGATTCTCAACTTTCCTTTGAATTATTGAAAACATTTCGCGTTACCGGAGAAACGCGCCGTGTGAGCGCTCTTCAGTAAGAATGCGGAGGATTCCGCAGAATCCTTAATTTAAATAGTGAAGACTTGGTGAATTTAAAAGCAACCATAAGCTAATTCGCTGTAAATTCATATGCCAGTCGAAAAAAACAATTTTTTAAAGTTAAAAAAAAATGGGGGATTTTTTGTGGATCTCAAATAAAATAATCGTGAAACAAAAAAAATCGTTTGACGCCAAATTGCGTACTCGGTGTTCACGGACCAAACTGCATACCGTAAGAGGGGGGGGGTTTTGAAGAAACCAGGGTGTAAATCGCAAAACGCGCGTGTAAAAACCTAAATCGATACACACAACACATAATAAATGAATTCATACATATATATGTATTCCATCTCGGTCATCTTGGCGATTCATCTGCAGATTGTGTATATGAGAGGACTGGCAAAACGAGTGTATTGGATTTCGAGGAGAGGGGTAAGCGGCCAACCGATGGACCGACGGACGGACGGACGGACGGACGGAAGACGGCGGCGCGCGCATTTTGCGAAAACACAACACACCGAAACATTTGCAACGAGACACACGAACACGAACAAAATGAAAATGAAGAGGCGAGGGGGGCGGGGAGGAGCGGAAAATATGTACTATTATTGTGTGCCACTCTCGGGTCTCGCATGGAACTTGCCTTGAGGCGATTTTTTGAATTTGCAAAAAAAAACAAAATGAAAAAAAAATTTTTTTTGAATTGTGGTGTTTGCACACATTTGTGAGCTACAGTAACCTAACAAAATTTAAATTAAGAGTATTTGGAAAAAAAATGATTTAAAATTGATGGATCTCGTTGCGAGAACCAGTTTCGCGGCGGGTCTCGCGCGGAATTTCGGCATCGGTAATTATATAGGCGAAACAAAAAAATTCGGGGATGGGAAAATCGAGCGACGCGCGTTGTTATTGTTGTTTCGACGCCAATTTTTTTTTGTCGTGTTTGTTTTTCGACGACGACGCCGACGACCCGGCGAAAACCCCCATTGATTATCATGAATGCCGATTGGGAAATTTGAATTTCAAATTCGCCAAAAATTGAATTTAAGGGACGCGAATTTTTGTCTGAGAAAGAATCTCAAAATAACAAAGTGCTACCGTACTCCGATACAATATGCACAAAAAATCTAAAAGAAGCATTAATGCTCTAAACGATTATTGTATATCGAATGCTTGAAGAGCAAAGTCCGCAAACACCGAAGCAATAAAATGCTCATGGCATATTTATGAGAAAAGTTTGGAGTTTGCCATTCAACTTTTTGTTCTCGTTTGCTGTTTTTTTTTTCCAAAAGAATTCCCTCGTCACAAAAAAAACAACAACAATCTGAGAATGGAATGCCGAAAAATTGTGAGCGAAAAGAATTAAAAAAAAAATGAATGAACTCAAAACACGTGTGGAATTGGATATCTCTCGTCGTTGGCCAACGAAAAGAAGGGGAATCGCTTTGGGACCATTATAATTTTCGTGGGGGCTCTATTAGTGAAGCAACAACAGGAATAATAAATACATATGTGAATTTGCGTTTTTCTACTGTAATGTTTAAAGGCGCAGAAGGCATCATTCAATTGTTTGATGATGGTCTTATCAACTGACAAGCCGGACCAAACCCAAAATGCACTTTTTCTTAATGAATGATGTCCGAACGAATCGTCGGCGTTATAATAATAGGTTTCGGGGTGAAAAAAAAACAAGAAGCAAAAAAAAGATGCATGAAAATAATGGTTGGCTTGGAATGGACGCAAAAAGTGCAACAAGTCGCGTAAAAAACCAGAGATCGCGACAAATAGAACACACCAAATGGATATGGATTAGAGATTTTTTTCGGTTTGCGAGACCAAACGGGTTTTGTGGCAGGAAGGATGGCGGGGGTTCGGAACTCGGGCGCCGGCCCCCCCCCCCCTTCTGGCCTCAACCCCCCATCTCGAGTTGTTGAGTACTGAATGCGGCCGCGAAATAGCGCGCGGAATCGAGAGGCACACGATTGGCACACGAGAGATGCAAAGAAATTGAGGGGTCGCAATGCGCACGCGCGAATCGAAGAGAGCGTCAGACGACGAGACGGCGTGGCGAGAGAGAGAGAGGCGCAGACGCGCAGACACAACGATTGGCTGGAAGGCCGGCCGATTTTCAGAAGGAAGGTTCTTTTTTTGCCGCGGGTTTTGTTGACATTCTGTTTGGGGCCCGATTTGTTGACTTTTGCCCACAAAATGCAACTAACCAAACCAAACATGGCAGCAAAAAAATTTTTAATGACATTTAAAGATAAGACATTTTTTTCTGGCAACGAAAAAAAAGTTGAAGAAGGGAAAAAATTGCTGGTTCGTGGAAACTACTATAATATTGCAATTTCACGAGAGACAACCCATCTTCTAACGGTGCTGCGGACACCCATCCGGGTTTCGCCGACAAGTCGAAACGAGCTCGTTTTTGTTGGATTTTTCTTTATTGTTCGCCATTTTCTCTCCTCTCACATTGTTCCTAATTTGTCATTCATGCCGTTTTTTTTTCTCGAGCTCCCGAACGCGCGCCTATCAATCATGACGGGACCCGCGACGACATGGTCCCTCGGGAACCACCCCACAAAAATTCGAACCGCGTCTCAAATAATAAAGTTTATTAATATTGAGAAATGAAGAAAACAAAATTGAATATAATAGAAACAATAACAATTTGTTCTTTCGACATCTAAGAGGAGACGCCCTCATCGATGGAAATTGGTGAGAGCATCGAAGTGGCGGTGTCTCTGCAAAATATTGAGAAATACAAAAAATCCAAACTAGTCTAACCCGTGCGGCACCGCTTTGTAGACGCGTCGGACCCTGACGGTCGGCTCATCGTCAATCTGCAAATCTCGAGACACACATGATCAACTCAACTCCTCTCCAACTCACTTTCGTGTAATGGTCCGTCTCGTAGAGTTCGACCTCGTCGAGTGGAACGCGTCGAAGTGATTCGCGCGGCTTCGGCGAACTCATCTGCTCGGTGGTGAAGTGAGCCTCACGAATCCGATAGATGATCTGCTCGGTCGAAAGGGGCTTCGAGTCGGGCCGGCTGAAACTCGATGAGAGCTTGATGGCAATAAGAAAGGCTCACTTGAACTTCTTGGCGAGCTCTTTGACGTGACCCTCGTTCAGGAAGCTGCTCTGCTCGATGACCAATGGAGCTGGAACGTTGTCTCGTTGGATGCCAGTGGAAGCTGAAAATCATTGAGCGATCACTTCGACTCCCAACAACAGCTTACGCCGATGAATGACCGTCTGCACCGACGAGGCCGACGACGAGCTATGACGAGTTGGAACGATCGGCGGAACGTCGTACTGAACCTCGTGCGGCTCATCATAGACAATGTTTCTCCGATGAGAATGCTCGACATTGTCCGCTTCCGTCTGATCGTCATCGAGCCGATAGGCGTTGTACTGGCTGATGCGATCCGTCACATAGTTTATCGCCTCATAGTCGTTCGACAAATCGACTTGATTGATTCGCGGGATGTCGATGGTCCGCTGAGTGGGACCCGGTGTCGATGGGCGACTGTTGGCGCGGCTCACCGGACGACTCACCGGTCGCGATCGACTCAGCTGCTGCTCTTCTTGGTACCTCTTCCTCAGATAGCCGTTCTGAAGGAGGAGCTCATGGAACACGACGGGACCCAGTGGCGATACTGAAATCATCGGAATCACAAGATTCGACACAGATCGTCCCCCCGACTTACCGTCTCGATGAGGGATGTCATAGTCGGGCACCGGCGGCGGTGGCACCCATTTCCGTGCCGGCTTCACCGGCGCCGGCTCGACATTCGTCGGCGCCACGAACACGTCGGGCACCTTGATCGGCTGCGGCTCGACGATCGTCGTCGGCTCGACGTCCGCATAGGCGTCGTAGTGCGTCGACTCGTCGACGCGACTATTGCGTATCTCCTCTTGAAGCTCGCGCATCTTCCTCTCCTTCTCCTCGGCGAGTCGTCGCGCCTCGCGTTCGCCTCTCAGCGCCTCCTCGAGCTCTTTGACGCGATCGTGAACGCTTCGATCCAAACCCAAATTGTTTTGATCCGTCGATTTGCCGAACGTCGGCGACACCGAGATCGCCAACGCTTCCTGCCCGACGTAGATGTCGTCGTAGATCGGCTGCGGCGGCGGCGGTGGCGTTCTCGGCTGCGGTATCGGCAGCGTGTGAATCGGCGGCGCTTCAGGTGCGTACTCAATGTGCGGAATGTCGTTCGTCTTATACAACCGATCGTAATCGTGCATCAGAAGGACGTTCGTCGGATAGTCGTGGTAGGGATCATAGACTTCCTCATAGACCGGCTCCGGTTCGACAATCGGCACGGGTTCTGGTTCAAGCTCGACAATCGGCTCGGGCTCGGGTAGCTGATCGTACCAATGATGCTCATAGCCATGAAGTGGACTATACTCCAAATCGTTTGTTCTATAGAGCGCATCGTAATAGGGCTCCGGATCGAATTCCTCTTCGCTCAGATTCGTCACAACTTCCTGCACCTCATAAGCGTCATAGTAGTCGGGATGGGGTTCAACGTGAATCGGATGGTATGCGATGTCATCCATCAAATCGAGCACCGGTGTTGGTGGAGCCGGAGGTGGCGATGGCGATTTGCGGACGAAAATCGGCTCGGGCTCCGGAACAAGTTCGGGCTCCGGCACCGGCTCGGGCTCCGGCACCGGCTCGGGCTCCGGCACCGGCTCGGGCTCCGGCACCGGCTCGGGCTCCGGATACGGGCTCACCACGCGTTTCGGCGTTCCCATATAATCCGAGTACCTCTCAAAAGTGTCCTTAGAGCTGTACGAGTAATGCAGCGGCCTAATGATGTTGCCGCTATAGAACGAGTAGGGATTGTAGGACATCTGATTCGACGGATTATAATACGAATGATAGCCCGGCGGTAGTTCAACCTCAGGTGGTTTCGTCGTCCTGAAATAAGAACGATTATGTTGAAAATCATCTGCGGACAATATTCCTACTTAAAATCATATTTCCTTTTATAGGTGGTGTAGTTATCCGTCCTCGTCGTCGTCGTCGGGACGGCCGGCTGCGCATAGATGTGTTCGCCATACCTACCGTAACCCGCCGAGTAGATACCGTATCTCGAATTGTAGTCTTGTTGGTGTTCGACGTGGAACAACTCGTTCTGCGATTTGGTTTGCGTGTTGAGACGCGGAACCTCTTGCGTCTCGACGGCCACCGACGACAACGATTTCGATCGATTCATCTGGAATCCGTCGTGATCGTCGTACGTCGGCTTCACCGACATGCCGGCGATCTCGTTGACGCGTATCTCATCGCGATCGCCGAAGAACGCGCTGATGTTGCGCGCGAGCTTCTCCGACACCTCGCTCAATTGATTCAGACCGTACGGATGATCGCCGGCATTCAGTGTGATCGTGCGATCCTCGAGTCGTCCGCTCAAACCGTCCTCTTCGGCCACCGTCAACTCGTGATCCCATTCGGCGTGTCCGGCCGGCAATCGACGCTTCACAATGTCGCAATGCGTGCGATCCTCTTTTTTGAGCAACTCGAGCGGCGCGTCGACGGTCTCAATGTACTCGAGAAGCTCCTCACCGGTCGCTCTGCAACAATATCATTGCGATAGGAATGAGATGGGGGAGTGCGACTCACGTGTAATCCTGTGTCATATCCTCCAAACGATCGACTTGATCACCAGCGGGAACCGATTTCTAAAATTAGTTTTCCATCTGCGGACATTATCGCCCCTTACCGATCGATAGTACTTCTGCTCCATGTAAACCCTTGTCAGCGATCGTCCCCTTCGATGAAGCGCATGCTGAAATCAAGTCTCAACAACCGGATAGTGGTGTTTAAAGGCGCACGCGTACCTGATTCTTTCGGACGGTCAACGCGTAAATGTAGCGTTTCACGTGAAGATGGCCATTGAATCGAGTCTGCAACTAGAACAAAGTTTCGGGTCTCGAAGCGAACGCCGGCTTACATTGCGATCGTCGCGTTCGAGTCGCTCGTTCAAATCGACGCATTTGAGTTTGACGGCGAGAAGCGCCGCGTTCAAATCGGTCTTCAGCTCACCCATTTCTGCAAAAAAAAATTGATTTTTTTTTCAAATGGTCCCAAAAAGCGAGAGAAAAAATCGGTTCAAGGCGCCGCTATTCTTTGCGTTTTGGCATGTCGCCTTATCGAGGCCAATTTTTTCTAATCAAAACCTCGATGACTCAAAATCAATAATGACATTTGCTTCTATTACAATTGAATCAAGGCATTATTCATCTGCCGACGTTTTCAAAACAACAAAATTCAACAAATCAAGAGGAAGCGCGTTTCTTCAAATCTCAACAATTGTGTGAAATCAAGTTATTTTTTTTTTTTGAAAAATTCCAGCAAAACACCATTTTAAAGGCGCCATACACCCACAAAAATAATTGGCCATCGGCAAAACCTCAATGCAAATAATAAAAGCGGAAACCAAGTGCAAAATGGTATGCGTGTGTTGGCTCTTGCGGTATTGGAAGGCAACGGAACAATAAAATCGTTTTTCGATTATCTTATCAGCGTGGAGGCGCGACGGTGCGGAATGCACACACACACACACAATGCCATTTGTGCATTAATCAAGAAAGACGACAACTCTCAATGATTATCACCTACGCATTATCTTAAGGGCGAAAGAGAAGGGGGGGGCTTACAACTTCCTTCCTTCCTGCAACTTCCTTCAAACGTCATTCATATTAAATACCTTGTGCTGGGTCGTCATCTCAAAGGGTGAAGCCTAGAATCCATTCGAGACCACATTTAACATTTGCGGGACGTGGTTTCTCGCGAATTGCCGATTCCGACATGATCAGGACGCGGATTGAAAGCGGCAACTTCCTTCAAACGTCATTCATATTAAATACCTTGTGCTGGGTCGTCATCTCAAAGGGTGAAGCCTAGAATCCATTCGAGACCACATTTAACATTTGCGGGACGTGATTTCTCGCGAATTGCCGATTCCGACATGATCAGGACGCGGATTGAAAGCGGCGCCATTCTCATCCTTCTTCAATCGTCATTACCTTGTGCTGAGTCGTCATCTCAAAGGGTGGAGCCTAGAATCCATTCGAGACCACATCTTAAAGGCTCCTCTTCTATAAAAAAAAACTATTGAATACTGTTTTTTTGAACAATAAAAAAAAATTACCCCACTTTTTCAATTCGTTACTCAATGAGATTCAAGGAACATAGTGTCGATATTGAATTGGGTCTCGTGACGTTTTCAAGAATTTTTACGAAAAGAAAAAAAAACAATAGAATCTTTATTAATACAATCCAATATTATCTTCGTCTGCTTCGATTAGCTCAGCGGCGGCCGGCGCTTGCTGAAAACCGACGCAATTTCAGCTTCAAGTAGGATTTTTGTGTTAATCAAAAAATTTCGGACGAGTTTTTAAAGCAATATCTGACTCCTATTTCTCTTATTGATTTAAAATTGAGCTTAAAAAAATAAAAAATATATGAAAAAATGAATTATTGGGAAAAGACAATTTCGATTTATTATAGATAACTGAAGAAATCAATTTCAAAAAATCAAAGAATGTCTTTAAAAAATTCAGATTTTATTACAAAATTTGAATTTTCAGAAATCAAGCCGCACGGAATTAAAAAATAAACACTCACATTCTCAAAATTGAAATTCGGCGATTTTCGCAACTCCATCTCTTTCGGCTCCATGAAACGAAATGCGAGCGCCAAAAATACAAGACTCGTTACAGTGAACACGACAATATAGTTGAAAATCGCTGAAAATTTCTTCTCATAATCAATCAGGCAAAACACGAACCAGTCTTCGGAAAATTCAGATAATAATCTTTTTCTTCCGACCACAATTTCGCATGTTTCCGAAACTCGTAATTATATCGCGTGCGATAGTCTGAAATATTGATATTTAATGGATTTTCAAACATATTTTTCAGAAATGGCAAATGTATTCAGGTGTCGTGAGATTAAAAGAAGCGATTTACGGGGGGGGGGGGAAATTCTCTCATTTTCTTTCCATTTTTTTTAAATTTAAAATCTGTAGCCACTGATTTTAATTTTTTTTTGCAAAATATGCTCGTTTAAACGATTTTTTGGGTAAAATCAGTATAGATTTTTTTAAAAAAACATCTTTTTTCGTTAATAATGTTATTTATTCGTGTTTCTACTACCTTGTTTTTGTATTCTTCAATTCAAAATAATTTTTAGAGCGGGAAAAAAATATATCGTTCAAAAGTAGCGTATTCTGCTAAATAAATAATTAAATTCGGGTTCTACAGACTTTAAATAAACAATTTCGAAAGAAAATACGAAAATTGAGCGAAAAAAATGAAAATTAATCGCTTCGAGGATTACGGTAACCAGCTTATCGCATTGCGTACAAAACGCAGAATCCCACGAGGCCTGCATACATTTTTCATTTTTCAACAATAATTAATATAGTCGGCGTCACGGCGAGTGCTGTACGCGGGTAGATTTACGCGCATGCGCCTTGAAAAGGTCTCGCCACGCGTGAATTCTTATTTTGATGTTTCCACGTGAACTGCTTCATTTTTCTTGATAGAGTTTCACATTTTTTTGAATTTTCAACGATATTCGATTAAAAAATTATCGAACCAGTCCGTAAAGTGAGACCAATTTGAAAGACGCATTCCCGTAAATCTACACTCGTACAGCAGTCGCCGGACGCCGACTATAAATTCTTCAAAAATTGCATGATCTCATATTTACAGGGTCGGGCATAATTACCGGTAATTTTTTTTGCGCCATGGTGACTCATGATGTCGCGTTTTTTTGTGCGCTCACAATTTTTTTCCAGTTGTTTAATGTGTTTTCTATTGTTTTTCTAAGTTTCCGACAAAAATACTAATTTTCAACCAAATGGTAAAGGCTAGTATCGATCGAGTCACTGTTTGCTCGCTATTCGATAAGTGGTCAAAATTCCCTTAATCATCACGCCCCTCAAACTCCATCCGAACAGCGTTTATTTGACGATTTGCCGATATAAGGAGACTGTAGGACTTGATGACAGGCTTGGGAGAGGAAGAAAAGTTTCTGTTACGACTCTAGCTTAGGTGAAAGCCGTGAAGGAACGAGTGAGACGAAACGCTCATCGGAGCCTCACAACGAGGGCTCATGAGATGGGAATGTCCCGAAGATTGATGACAAGGATTTCAAAAAGAGAAAAAAATCAAATGAAAAGCGCACAAACCACGCTCATGCTCGGCAAACACGGTATTGATGATGAACTCAACACCGAAAACCATGAAAATGTCGCGATTGCAACGCACACCGCGGCAACAATATTCGACACTCGTGTTCGTCGTATGAATCACCAATGGTTCGTCAGCTGAAATAATGCGACTAATCGAATTGTAAAGTGTAATTCAAAGGAATTCTGAAAATCTCGAAAAAAAAAACAAAAATTTGGCTAATCGAGAGAGCGATGAAAGATTTTGAAAATTCAAATTGGAATTTTACAAAATGTGTTTTTTTTTTCTAGAACAACTCAAAAATACATTTTCAAAATCGTGAAAATCTATTATTATACTATCTGTGCAACTTTTGATTACTTACTCATATCAAACCCGCAGCCAACTTCGAAACTGACGTTGACTTGGTTGTGAATTCTGCCGCTACGCGAATCGAGAAGCGGAATAACGATAAAACGCAAACTACAAACCGGAAACAATTCGGTTGATTGTACAAACTTCCAATTGTCATCACTTGAATAATGACCAACAACGCACGATGTGGCCATGTTGGCCGAAAGATGAGCGTCCCTTAGCTCGTTGTTAGCAGCTTCAATTATCTGGAAACACGCATAAACCCAATCAATTTGAAGATGATTTCGAATATCCAGGTTGTTTTTTGTTATTATGGAGAAAAATGCAGAGAAAATTTAAAAATATTTTCTCTACATTGACCCCATTATTCTATTCACACTCCGGCAAGCTCACATATTTGTTGCAATGCGGAAATTCGCAGCAGCACATGGTTTCGTACGATTCAAACATTCGATACGTTCGACAAATGAGCAACTCGTGTTTCATCTGCAGAAAAAAAAAACATTTTTTTAAAAAAGGGATACATTTTTAATGTGCCCGATTACTCGAAAAATGCAGCGTGTACAGCCCTCGTCGCGGACGAGTTGCCTATCGATTAAGTTCGTCAATCTCACCGTGCAAAAATCCTCATTCTGAAAATCGAGTTAATGAAAAAATATATTGAAATTATTTTTTGAAAATTAATTTTTTTTTACCAAGAAACATTTAGGTGCCGCATTTGTGCTTAAATCCGTGCGACAATTGCAAATTGGGGAACGCCCATTAGAATTTCGAATTTCATTTTTTTCCTCAATTTTCGTCGATTTTTGTTCAATTTCAAAGCTTAATCTTTATTTTTTCTTTTAAACAGACGTTTTCCAATTTGTTTAAAACTTCGTTTACTACTAAGTTCCGATATTGAGACCAAAACGCAGGGCAATTGAAGTTTTATCGAAACGCTTAATAATTTTGTGCGAGACCTCCTACCGATATCAGTTTACATTTTTGACCTTTTCCATTGGTATTATTTTGCTCGAGCACAAAACACCTATTAACATCGAGCTTAGATATTAGAACTTCTCCAAATAAGCTATCTAGAAAATTAAATTTTAGTCGCAATTTTCGGGAAAATCTACCAAACCGTATAGGAAAAACGCGGTGAATATAATTTCGATCAACTGCATCGCAAAAAAAAACAAACAAACAAAACGGAAATATATTTATTGATATGATCCAGCTGCTGTTTTACGTGGATTTTGATTTTACGTGACATTTTGCCAATTTTTTTGGATTGTCGCTTTCGTTTTGAGCGATTAATAACAACGATAAATTAGCAAAATATTTATTTATCAAAAATTGGAAAAAATACTACATATCTCAGTACAATCCCTCATCTTCATCACTTTCTGGCACAGCTACAATTGATTTCTGAAATCGCGAAAATTAATCAACAAAATCGGTGCCATGGAAAAATTGCCTGCTCGAAATTGAAATTTGGCGATTTTCGATATTCCAACTTCACCGGCTCGAATATCCGGAAGGCGATTATTAAGAAAACAATTCCGGTTATAGTGAATGCGACGAGGATGCTTATCATTGCTGAAATTTAATGCATAATGCTCCTTTAAACGGATAAAAGGGATGTACCCGAAATGGTGAACTCCTCATAATAGGATTCAGTTTCGCTCATCAATACGGAATGCTTGCGGAATTCATGAGTGAATCGCTGACGATATTCTGAAAAAAAAACGAGTTTTATATTTGACAAGATTCTGATTTTTCGATCTCGTTCCACAATTTGAACAACAGAGATCAATCCGGCTCAGCCGAGGATCCGATTAAGTGCAGACGGGCTCTCGCGTGGTCGGATTAATTTCATAATCTCACCATATTCGTGATCGGCGAACATCGAGTTTATTAGAAGTTCGAGGCCAAAATTTAGAAACAGCTTCTGATTGCAGCGATGCCCGCGGCAGCAATATTCAACGGTATCATTGCTGGTATAAATTAAAAGATCATCGGGTCCTGGAATTCAAAATTTATCATTTCATATTAAAAAAAAAATTAAAATCTATATTGATGGTGGCGCGCAGTATATTAACATTTGACAACGACAGAGCTCACATGAGATCTTTCTCAAGTTTCTTAAAATTGGCAAAAAAATTGATAAAATTCTTTCAAAAATGACGAGCACTTAATAATGTCGACCTTTATAATAATAGAGCAAATATTTTTTTTACAAATTGAAAATAATAATTATTGAAAATATATTTAAAAAAAATGGGATTATGATATCTCAGAGAAGTTAATTCATATTTAAAAAAACCCACATATTCAAAATTGAGGTTTTTGATATTAATTTTTTTCCAGTGGTAAATTTCTCCGAAAAATGACATATTGAAAGTTTGAAGAAAAATTAAAAATTACGCAAATTTTTTCGAAAAAAAAAATTGTGGGCGTGGTCACCGCGCGCAACTGGTGCACAGTTTTTCGCAACTCTACGGCACACCATTCGAATTCTGCGTTTTATTTCTCTCAAATTTCTACCCATATCAAAACCGCATCCCATTTCCAAATCAATTGAAATCACTGAATGTACTCGTTGGCTTCTCGGATCCTGGATATTTTCGACATTAATTCGCAGCGAACACACCGGAAATGGCAGAACATCGTCGGTAAAATTCCAGACGGTCATTCGATTGAATCGATAAGTGCCTTCAACACAAGTGCCAACGGCGTCGGTGTTCAACGGAATGTAATCGTATAATGACGAGTTGGCGACGGCTTGAATCTAGAGCAACACCAAAAAAAAATTGGTATCGATTTTCGCGTCGGGACCAACATGCTGATTGCAAAACGGGTACTCGCAACAGCAAAGTGTGTCAAACGTGTCTCGAACGCGATACGTCCGACATAAGAGCTTTTGATGGTCCATCTAGAAGCTAAAAACTCGAAAAAATTGCGAAATTTCTACCCGAAATGTGCATTTTGTGCATCCATAATTGCTTATTTTATACATGTCCAAATTATGGCCGATATGGACGGCGCAAAAGTCAAGACTCTACAAAAATGATAATTCTCATCTGCGGACAATTTCAAAGTCAAAGAATGACAAGAATCGCGATTGTTTCAGCTGCGGACAATCTCGACGAAATTGTCCGCAGCACGATTTCGCTATAAATCTACCGTCATCAAACTGCATAGCTGGCCGTTTTCGAACGTCTCCTGATAGCATCGATTCAAATCAAGACGCGATAATAAAATTTCAGCAAAAATTTCGCCAAAACTCGCCAATAATATTAAAAATCGCATGACCAACAATAATTTATAATAGAAAATAGTTAAAATAATTGAGATATTCACGAAGAAAAAAAAAGAAACAAACGTGAAAATTCACATTGTATTTACAAAACAAAAATTGGAAAAACAATTAAAACCCGTCGAGGAGGAAGTTGAATTATAAATAAATAAATAAATCAATATATATATATAACAATTATGTATATTATAGGGTTTGCTGCGCCGCGCAGATCTCCATAGGGACCCCGCTGAGTTGGTGAAGGTCCGCAGCAGTGAGCTGTTGAATTAGAGTCGATTCGACTTGGCCGATATGCTGGAAAAAAATCAACATTCTCATTTTTCGAATTTCCGGGTTCAACGAGACGATGCGCCTTTAAAGAAGGCGCTTTTCTATTTGTCTACCACCCAACATCACGTGGTAGTTGCTCAAATATTTGGGCGTGAGTCGAAAGGGGCACAAAAATGGAACGTCTAGCCGGGGGATCGAATATCAAATGTCTACCGAGAAGCTTGGAAGCATCAGCGTCAACTTCATCGCCCTCGTCGATCGCTCGAGCGGCGACAAATGCGGAAATTTGCATTCGATGTGAATCGAGAGCGCCTCGAGAAGCCGATCGCGCACCTTGTTCACCACGGCGGCACCGTGCGGCGACAATAAGCAATCTGAATGATTGATTGATTGTTTGGATTGATGGCCTGATCGCCTACCTAGCTGGAATAGCGAGATCGTCTTGATCAGACAGTACTCCTCTTCGCTCATTTGCAATTCAATCATGACGCGGACGATCAAATCGACGAGCTTCTTGCAGACGACGCCATATGTCGTCGCCCATCTGAAAATGTCAAGTGGAATTTGGTAATTTTTTAGCAAACACCATCTGCGGACATTTCTCTCATGTCCGCAGCAGCAATGCTTCGCTATCATTCTCACCTCTCCGGCATCTTCTTCTGCTCGTCATCATTGTAGGGAATGTAGGCGCCGTTGCCCAACGGAATGCCAATATTCTGATGGTTCATCTCATAGCATTTATAGGCGAAATTGATCCAGCCGAACGCCATGAAGTTCTGCTTGAACAACGTCGTCTGATCGGGAAGCGGTAGAATGCGAAAATCGGGAATGCCCATCGCCCAATCGGCGCAGAACACGAACGATCGATACCAGGAGAAGTAGAGATCGTTGGCTTCCATGATTTTGTCGCAAGTGTAGACGAGCTGCGAAAGCATACATGAATTGAATTTTGATATATATCCTACCGGCAATCGTTTGATCACCATTTGCGGATTGTGCAATCCGAAGCTCAATGTGATGTCTCGACTCCACGCGCCCATCAAATCGTTATTGCGAACATCGTCGTCGGTCAACATCTCCGTCTGCTTCTCCAGAGCGCACATGAACAATGTGAGTTGATGCTCTTGAACTGGAAAAAAAAAACAACGGGGGGAATTTGCATTTTGATGGCGGGCTGATGTCTTACTCGGTTTTCGCTCGACGCCTTCGGCTTCCGATGACGACGTCGTCGCATCGGCGCCGACCGTCGCGTGCATCCCGTTCGCCGACACCGCCGTCGTCGCGCAACTCGCGCTCGACGGCATCCGCTCGATTTTGCTTCGCTCCTCGCGCACGTGCTTCGGATTCATGCCGCCGTCGAGGCAATTCCGTAGGCGACACGCGCGACATCGATTCCGCGATTCTGCAACACAAATTCTTTTTCTCGTGTGTGTATTTTGATCTCTTATGATTCCCCCCCCCCTCTCTTCTCACTTTGAATCCATTAAAAGGACAAGTGGGTTGGGTGGGCGGAAAATAAATAATCGGGCGAACACCGTCGATCAAACAGAAAAAAAATAAGTCGCTGGATTGGACTGATTGATCGCAAGAATCAAAGTTCAAGACTACAATTTGTTTCATGGCGATGCGCCTTTAAATTACAGTCATTCATAATTTTGAAATATGGAATTTCGTTGAAACAATGCTCGCCAATGGCGATGCGCCTTTAAACTAGAAAAATCGAAAACTGATTCTCAAAAACCAATCCGGAAATTCTCAGAATAGGATTGTGAAATTGTTGGATTGGGCGATTTCCGATCCGATTGGATTTTCTTCGGATCCGGTTGGTAATTTGTCGAATCCGATTCGATTAAAATAATAAAATAACACGGATTCCAAATCGGATCCGAAAATATCCAAAAAAATTAATCGGACCCAAAGAAAATCCAATCGGATCCGAAAATACCCAAAAAAATTCAATCGGATCCGACAATATCCAAAAAATCAATTGGATCTAAAAAAATTAATCGGATCCAAAAAAAATCCAATAGGATCCAAAAATACCCAAAAAAAATCCAATCGGATCCGAAAATACCCAAAAAAAAATCCAATCGGATCCGAAAATACCCAAAAAATCAATAAGATCCAAAAAATTTAATCGGATCCAAAGAAAATCCAATCGGATCCGAAAATACCCAAAAAAAAAATCGAATCGGATTCGACAATTATACAATCTCATCCGTAGAGTTTCCCATTGGATCGGATTGATCCGGCGTCGGATCCGATTGGTTGGGATTTTGAGTTTGCCAGAGATTCGCCCCTCCCACCCCCTTTAAAGAAAAAATTGGCGAACCATTCGTGATGTCGCAATTGTTCTCCGCCGAGCACATGTAGACGCGTCCCTCGAAGACGGATCGCCGGAAGAAGGCCTTGCAGCCGTGGCACGAGCTGGCGCCGTAGTGGACGCGGATCGCCGTCGAGCTGCCGCAGCCGACGCAACGCTCGCCCTGAAATCACGACGGCGATTAGAATGGCGAATGGCGAACGCTGAACTCGACGCGGCATCGGCCAGCAAGACGCCGGCGACGAATCGAATTGGTAATCAACACTCTCAAAATTTGCCTTCATTTGATCATTTTTGGCACACTGCTGCTGCTGCTGCTGTGGCGCCATAGTTGGCGTGGACGACGACACCATTGGCGGTGGCGGTGGTTGATGGTGATGTGGTTGATGGTGGTAGTAGTTGGGCGACGGCGGCGACGAGGTGACGATGCTGATCGCCGCCGCCGCTATCGTGTCGGTCGGCGATGGCGTCGACGTCGTCGCCGATGACGACGACATGTACGGATGGAAGAATGAGACGTTCGATTGTGTTCGCTCCCAACCGTTTTTCATCTTAATTCAATTTTGTTGCGCTTCGAAAATTGGTGGCGGACGAGGCGGTCGGTTTAAAGGCGCAGCGAGTTGAAGGCACGTTAGGGCGGAATGCAATTTTTGGGGGGCCCGCATGGTTTTTAAAGGAGCGTCAAATTTAAAGGCACATGCTGACTGAATTGGATTGTTGGCGAAATTTTCAAGGAGCACAAATCTCAGACATTAGGCAAGCATCAAATTTAAAGGCACATGATTGGCGGATTTTAAAGGAGCATCAAATTTAAAGGCACATGATTGGCGGATTTTAAAGGAGCATCAAATTTAAAGGCAGATGATTGGCGGATTTTAAAGGAGCATCAAATTTAAAAGCACATGATTGGCGGATTTTAAAGGAGCATCAAATTTAAAGGCACATGATTGGCGGATTTTAAAGGAGCATCAAATTTCAAGGCGCATGCTGACTGAATTGGATTGTTGGCGAAATTTTCAAGGAGCACAAATCTCAGACATTAGGCAAGCATCAAATTTAAAGGCACATGATTGGTGGATTTTAAAGGACCATCGAATTTAAAGGCACATGATCGGCGTATTTTAAAGGATCATCAAATTTCAAGGCGCATGCTGACTGAATTGGATTGTTGGCGAAATTTTCAAGGAGCACAAATCTCAGACATTAGGCAAGCATCAAATTTAAAGGCGCATGATTGGTGGATTTTAAAGGACCATCGAATTTAAAGGCACATGATCGGCGTATTTTAAAGGATCATCAAATTTCAAGGCGCATGCTGACTGAATTGGATTGTTGGCGAAATTTTCAAGGAGCACAAATCTCAGACATTAGGCAAGCATCAAATTTAAAGGCGCATGATTGGTGGATTTTAAAGGACCATCGAATTTAAAGGCACATGATCGGCGTATTTTAAAGGATCATCAAATTTCAAGGCGCATGCTGACTGAATTGGATTGTTGGCGAAATTTTCAAGGAGCACAAATCTCAGACATTAGGCAAGCATCAAATTTAAAGGCGCATGATTGGTGGATTTTAAAGGACCATCGAATTTAAAGGCACATGATTGGCGTATTTTAAAGGATCATCAAATTTCAAGGCGCATGCTGACTGAATTGGATTGTTGGCGAAATTTTCAAGGAGCACAAATCTCAGACATTAGGCAAGCATCAAATTTAAATGCGCATGATTGGTGGATTTTAAAGGACCATCGAATTTAAAGGCACATGATTGGCGTATTTTAAAGGATCATCAAATTTAAAGGCACATGCTGACTGAATTGAATTGTTGGCGAAATTTTCAAGGAGCACAAATCTCAGATATTAGGCAAGCATCAAATTTAAAGGCGCATGGTTCGGCGGATTTTAAAGGAGCATCAAATTTAAAGGTGCACGCTGATTTATTCGGAAAACTTGTCGGAATCTTCGAGATGAACGCAATCATCAATAAATGAGAATCGCAAATTTGAAAAGGCGTACGGTAGCAATGATTTAACTGTGAAAATCGATCGAATGAAGTCAAGATTGCTCTTGAAACTTCATCGGCCGATGAGACACTTCAACAACCAAACGAGAGTGAATGTAGTAGAAACATTTGGTTGTAATGGGCGAGTGTGACAATGGCGGAAAAGAATGGACGGGAAACAAATAAGATTAAGATCAGAAGGGGGGGGGGGTTTCTTGATTTTTTGATTTCCAACAACAAGACCCGACTCTTTAAACAGAAATGCCAAAAATGCGCCTTTAAACATCAAATAATTGCCGAGGAGACCAAATTCGAGCGGTGCATCTACAGTACCATTCGGTGGACAACTGTAGATCATAGAATTCGAATCGCGTCTGACCAGCCCGTAGAAGGGCGCAAACAAAAATGTTGGGGCACCTAGTGGCAAACATCGCTGGACAAACACGAAATTGTCCGCAGCATCGCTGAATGATCATCAGCGGGAGGCTCGTCGACAATGAAATTCGATGAGCGCCATGCTTCTCCGATGTCATCTGATGGAAATTCGGTTTTTCGCTTAGCCACAATTCAAATCGGACCCTATCATATGTGGAATAATCGCGTTTTGGATTATCAACAAGTTTCAAGGCGCATGTGTTCGATGTTGAAGAGATTCCCGAGTGTTGCATTAATTTTGTTGGTGTGCAATTTGGCGCCGCCGTGAACTGCACACAATGTGAAGAATTGAAAACGGATGGGCAATTTAAAGGCGCAGCGAGAGCGAGACAAAAGTTGATGGTGTTTGGCTCATAGAAATTCGAGTCGAGAGTTCAACGCGAGCAATTTCTTCTTCTTCTTTTTTTTTTAAACTTCATCGTCTCACCAATCGGGGAACACTACATATTATTAATAATGATTATGTCAACGACTATAATTAATTGAAGGCTTGAAAAAAATAAGGGAAGAGGTGGAGAGAATTAAACGAAATACACTGTCGAATGTTGGCGAAAAAAAACGCACTCGCACAAAAATCAATACAGGGGGCTTGTTTGCACAGACTGCGTTCAATAAAGCAACAATTTTGGATGGAAAAAAAGAAGATAAATGAAAAAATGAGTGTGCGACTTCGTCAGGCACGAATCAAAAGTGCAACAATCAAAGATCAAACGCTGCAATGTGTGGAGAGAAAGCGCAACCAAAACATGTATTTAACAGGCGGGGGGTGGAGTTGAAAACGCGATGCACAAAAGGGGGGCGCACTTAGTGCCTGCGCCATGAGTCCACTAAGCGCAAGGCGGAATGTTTGTGTACAAAAGTCGCGCATCGCGAGTGCAAGTCCAGCAGAGTTCATCAGAATTATTACACGAAAAATGTTGCATGCAGGTTTTCGGTGGAAAGGTTTGCGCGTAATAACATATATGTAAAGTTGAGTCTCGCCTTCTATTTACTCGACGGGAGACGCAGACGCCACTGAGAATGTCCTAGAATAGTGTTGAGTGAGAGAAACGCGGCTGCAACACAACATATACACACGTTGGTCGGACTGGTGGGGGGGGGGTCGGCGCTTCAAAAAATTCACGTGAACAAAAAATTGCGTTATCAATTGGTTTGTCGGTGGGGAGAGATAAAAAGATAGAAATCGAAAGACCATTGCGCTCAGCAATTCTTGCAAAAAGGTCAATTTATGTGAGAACGGTTTTCGTGAAGTGCAAATTACTGTAGATCGAATATCATTGAATTCTAGACTACAATATTATTTCAGTGGAATTGTCCGCAGATGGAACTCGATTTGAAGTGGTAGCTTCCTGCTGTATGCAGGTTTTGGTAAAATGCGAAACGCGCGAGGTGTCCGCAGATGCAATTCATCTTGAGGTGTTTGCTTTCTGTCGGGTGGCGGCGTAGGCGAACCGCGAGACCCGCGTAATGTCCGCAGACGAAATCCATTTTGTTGCTATGGTGTATTTCATATGTCAGTGGATTCATTTTATTTATTTTTTTTTGAAATTGTTGATTACCAAAACCCGCGAAGCGTCGGCAGCACGTTTTTGCCAAATTCGCCGTGCACTCACCTTGAAGCAATTCACCGGCGAATCGCGCGGCGTCGCGATCTCCATCTTCGTCTCGACACCATCGTTGCCGTTATCGGTGAGTCGTCGTTGGGCGGCGAGCACCGATTCCATGAGAATCGACGTCGCCGAGGTGCTTGGAAAAAACGACGTCGGCTGCATTATGGTAGCGGCTGACGACGACGAGGTTGTCTGCAGTTGTCCGAAAGACGATTTCACCATCATCGGACCACAAATGTCCATGAATGATTAGGGAATCGAGAGGCTTCTCTGCAATGAAAATAAGGAATAGACAAAAAAAAATGAATGATTATGGAAATGAGGCGATGGATCGTTGAAAAATGAGCGAGGCCAAAATGAGGGCAAAAATTTTCGCAAATTGACCGTCGAACATTTATATGGATAAACACAGAATGGAAGGGGGGGGGGCGGGTTTTCGATGGCGAGATCTAATCGACAGCGGCGCCCCCTCCCGAGTTCACCGATCGCCGACAACACTCTCTCAATTCTCCATCCCGCCTCGAAATACTGAAATGCGAAAAATGGGAGGCGCGCAAAACGTTCACCAACAACACAACAGTTGCTTAAATTGTTTGCAAAAATGGGAGGTGAGATGCGCCGTGGAGGGCGGGATTGATCCCGCCACTGTTCGCGCAAAAATGGCGCCGTAGTCAACAAGGCCACGAGTTCTACTGGTGGTGCAGTGCTCTAAGTCCGTATATGCATAGCGCGCGCACACCACCAACCCCCCAAAACAACCAAAAATGGAATTTAATTCCGACGCTTATTTGACACAACCAGTTCGGTGACGTTCGGGGAACGCAAAAGATCGCAAGACCAACAAAATCTGTTTGCTATTTCCAAACCATGGGGGGCATATCACAAAGATCACTGATTCATTGTACATGGTTTCCGTTTTTTTTTGTGTATGTGTGTGTAACTCATCAAATTTTGGGTTCAACCCAGACAGACGACGAATAGCTCAAAAAAAATTGGTGATAGATAGCGATCGACGCGAATACACTCTTCCATTTCGTTTTCCATTCTCTCTCCCTCTCTCTTTTTTGGTTCCGACAAAATTGCGATAGACTATCGTCTCCAGGGAGGCAAAAACGCGCATGAGATCGTTGATTTCCCGATCTTGCGGAACTGTGAGGCGATTACATTAATCTGGTTTCGATTGTTGAATTTTTTCAACACGAAACAATGCGGCTTCTTGGGTATTTTAATGAATCGCTTCAAGACCCGCCGCACAAATTTGACCTATGCGCCTTTCCGCTACTACAGTACCCTCACTTTTGCGCGAAATTGAATTTTCCGTCAAAAATTCCAACTTTTTTTTCCAATATTATTATTATTAGAATAGCAAAAACGAGTGGCTGGAATTTTTGAATATGATATATATTTTTTAAAAAAGCTAAAAAGCAAAAAAAGAGAGTTTTTGAAACTCGATTTTTTTTGTGTCGAAAATTCACAAAAATGGTATGGAGAAAAAAATTGCAGCCTGTTTAGAAAAAAAAAACAACGAGTCAAACACAAATGGACGCTTGAAATAGTTCATTGAGGACAAAATGTTGATTCGGTGGAGGGGAGAAAAAAAAATAAATATATGAGAGCGTGGAATGGACAAACACCAACACAACAAATATAAATAAATATCAGAAAATGAATTTCGACGCGCATCAAAGTCCAATTGCCATCGATTATTTGGTCTCGTGGCGAACCAAAAAAAAAACAACCGTAAACGAATTCATTGCATAATTGGAAAAAATTTAAAGCGATGAGGTCATCGGCTGGAATCGCAATCTCTTCTTCTTCTTATTCTTCGCCGCCGCCGCCGGCTGATTGTAGATGTGTTTGCGGACGTCGACATTCAGCAATGCGTACAGTACCCAATTGCCTGTAGAAAAAAAAATAAAATAATAGGTGGGCAATGTTTGATCCACTTAAAAATCGCGCTAAATTTAGTTGGGGGTTTTTTGTTTCTTTTTTTTAGGAGGTGTTGAAATGTAAATAAATCCATTGGTTTCTCTCTCTTTTTTTTGTCAGTCTCTCTTTTCGCTGTGAAACCAGAGACGTTTTGCAAAATAATTGCAAAGAACTTTTTTCTTTTTTGAGCTTCAATTTCATGACGATAGGATTACTGTAGTTGATTCAGAGTAGGTTTGTTAAACAATCCACTCGTTGTTGTCGGTGATGCCCCGAAGAGAAATGAGCCGAATAAAAATCGATTAAAGGCGCATAGCGCGGAAAATGGAGATGCGACTTTTTGGAGCCTCGAAGGGGAGCAAAAAAAAACAAAAATTCAAATTTCGAGAAAATTAAGTTTGCCTTTTTTCCCAGATGATTTTTTGGGTCGTATTTTTTTTTTCTGTTTGCACACGTTTTTTTTTAAGACCATCCATTGAAATCAAAGAAAATGAATGCTTTTTTCGGCAATTTAAACAATTTTTGATTTTTCTTTCACAAAAAAAAAACGCGTCGTTGCGGGAGCCCTCCTGCGCCTTACTGTATTTCGAAACGTGTTGGAGGCAAAGAAAAAAAAACGTAGAACTCCAAGCCCACCGGGGTTACGGTAACAACGATTCGCCGGTTACGGTAGCGAGATCATCGTTGAGGTGTTCGCCGGGCGAATCGGAATCGATCATCGGCGACACTCTAATCTACCGCAGCCACCACTTCACACACACGTCATTCTGTGACCAAAAATCATGGGATTAATGAGATGGCGTTTCGATTTCGCTGGAATCTCAAATTGAGGAATGAGGCAATCGTCAGCACCTCTACACACTCCCACATGCGCCTTTAAATTGTGGCCGAATAGAGTATAGGCAATCTCTAAGCGTATTGTCTCTGTTGACACATGACATTCAATCGCGTCGAGACCCGCTTGACCGTCTCAACGGCGAGCGCAGAGGTCGCAAATCACTACGACAAGTAGGTGGGATGATTGTTGGGGAAGAAGCTTGATTCGACATTCTTTTGTTTGCCGGGGGGTTGGGGGGCTCTCGTCGCAGGCGAATTCGATCTTTTGAGCCGCAACCCACAGAATAAGTATTCGCCGAAATCACGTCGATTGTGATTTGTTGAACTATTCCTACTGTGTGTTTGGGAAGCGGCCATTGATCGTTAACAAATTTGAACGATCGAGATACAAGATTATATTCTAGATTGGGGGGACATTCTAGTCGAGCGGCGCTGAGATGAATATCTCGATTGGATCGTCACCATCGACAATTTCAATATTTCAAAAGTTCAGTCGAGTTTTCAAATTGTGCTCTCGGCAAGCTCGCTACGATGTGCAGAACGTAAATTTGCTAAAAACGAAAGACGGAATTCCGTGCAGCTCTGCTCAACGTGTGCGGCACACCTTCGCGCTTCTTCTGATTTGATTTGAGACGCGCCTACGGTAGTTGTAATTGACATGTGTGATTACTGTAGCGATTGTTCGACGTGTTCGCCGACTCCGAAAACAACGCGACCAGCGAGTTCACAAAGTCGACGCGAATTCGCCTGACGTCATTTGATCTCTCGGAAGTTCGCCTCGGCAAACGACACTTTCGTCCAAGAAACCATCGAAACTCGTCGTGTCGCATCATCAGCCAGCCCACCGACAACAATCAAATCCGAATCGAAGAAGCGAAACGAAACGAAATACGACGATCAGATAATTTTGGCGCGATGACCAAAAGCTTGACGATGCAATTTTTTTTGGGGGGGGGGCTGGAATTATTGAGGGCCATTGCGAACGCAGAAAATTTCAAAAACGCATTTTTTTTTTTGTTGGAAGGGTCCCGGAGAATGTCTCGCTAATCGTCGAGCTCAATCAATGCCCCGTCAGGTGAGTTTATAGTCTTGTGATTTGGGCTAGCTAAAGGGAAAGTGCGCTCCATCGAATCGGTTTTCAAGTCAACCTAATCATTGCTGGATTAGTCATCGTCAAGACATACCGGCCGCATTGATGTAGGGCAGACAATTGGCGAACAATCGGCAATAGACGAACAGCAACGATTCGCGCTCGTCGTGGTCCGTCTCATTGGGCTCCGGCTCGTCCCAAAACGAGATGTAGTGCGGCAGCATGGTGGAGCCCCAAAACGGCGCCCAACACACGAAATGGAAGACGGCGATTCGCCAAATGCTCTTGCGCACCTCGCTCATGTATCGCGGCTCTTTGCCGTGCGTCGTCAGCGTCGTCGTCGCTTGCGCTGAATCATCATCATCATCATCATCAGTTGCGCGGGGGGCGATTCAACGAACCTCTCCGCCGAATCTTGTACTTCTTCTTGACGTGACTGACGAGCAGAATGTAGCACGCTGTCATGATCATGAACGGGATGACGAAGCCGACGAAGAACGTGTACTGGGCGAACATGTTGAACACACCGTCGCCCATCATTGGCAAGCAGAGCCATGTGGACTCCTGAATCACTTCTGAAATGCGCTGGCGTGAATGTCTGATGTACCTCTTCATCGGTGATGCCGTAGAGTTGAAGCAACGCCGGCGAGAGCTGAAAGTGTTGAAGGTAGAGGAGGTGGAAGACGGTGGGAATCGCGACGCCGAACGTGAAGCCGATCAGCAATGGGACCAGCGACATCCAGGCGCGATACACAAGTCGGAGTCTGCAAAGATCGAATTTTTGAAATCCACAAATTCTACGACGACGGGTGGGGGGGATTACGGTAGCGAGAGAGAGAGATTGACGCCAATGATAGCGTCGTCCAGTTCGCTGAATAGGCAGCGAGAATTTTTTGCGAGGAAGAGAGAGCGAAAAAAGTGACATCATTTCGACCTTGATTTTGATGGGCCTCGATGGATGTCCGCAGATGACCACCAACCTGGTGCACACAATGAAATAGCGCTCGAGGCTCATCACCGTCAAAAGGACGACGGAGAACAATTTGGCGAAGATCTCGATGGATCGAATCATGTAGCAGGCGAAGCCGCCGAATATCCACGTGCCGTAATAGTTGTAGCTCGACGTCGCCGGCAGTGTGAGCAGAAGGATGAGGTCGGAGCAGGCGAGCGCGAAGATGTAGATGCGCGAGCGTTGCGAGACCGTCAACTGCACCGAGCTTGTGCTCCACAATCTGCCGGAATTGATTGATGCTCGATGACGCCTACATTCGGAGGACTCACTTGGCTCGGAACAGCTTGTAGATGATCCAAATGTTGCCCGGTGTGCCGATCAAGCATACCGTCAGATAGACAATTGTCATGAAGCCCTTCGCGAACGCCATGTGCTCTAGAATAACATTTTTTTCAAGACGAGATCTAGAAGGTTTAAAAAATGATAGATTCCAGCAAATTCTAATTAGATTCTATTTGCTACCGTACCCGGTACAGTAACCGGGTTACGGTAACGAAGACATGCTTAAAAAATTCAGCATATCGAATTTTGTCATTCGCCAAAATCTTAAAGCGATTGGATCAAGATTCGCTATTCCGGGTTACTGTACCTACAGTACCCCCCCCCCAACTCTCTCTCCCAAAATGGACAATTTTCATATTTTGAAAAGCCCCCGACAAAATTAGACTCGTCTGATTCAGAATTGCACGCTGATTCTGAATATCGCTGTCTCGAAGCGTAAAATTGCCAATTAGGCGATTTTCAACAAAAAATTGCATTTTCCGGAAAATGAAAAAAAAAAGCAAAAGAGGAAAATGCTGGCAAAAATGGCAAGCAAAAAAATAGAAGATGGTCTAGAATTCACACCGTCAGCTAGACAATTATCATATGTTCTAGAAGCGCGTCTGATTCAGAATTTCACGCTGATTCCGAATATCGGGGTCTCGAAGCATAAAATTGACATTTTTTGAGAAAAAATTGCACAAAATCGCCAGCTGGCCTAGAATTTTTTGCCACGTCCACGATGGCTCATTTCTAGTCCATTGGCGTCGAATAGCAATAGGCGCAGATCTCTTTCGATTTTGCTATTTTTTTTTTGCGCTGGCCCGTTTCTGAAGTGTAACTGATTGAAAGCCGAGACCCCCCCCCCTTAAATAAAGGGACCATCAAATTTGATTGTGTGATTCGAACAAATGAGCAGCAGCTCGTCGAGCATTCAATTTCCCTTTTCGGGCAATGGGGGATTATGACGAACGAATTGCAGCGAGAAAAAAAACATAATTCGAGAAGGGCAAATACATTGGATTCGCCTTGCGGCGAAATTAATCACCAGTTTGGTTTTGCAGACCCTAAAGGGGGGCGGGGGGGGGGTTGGGACCACTCAGGAACACTCACCTTGCTCCTCCTCCTGGTAGTCGGAACTCGTCGTCGTCGTCGGCGAATTGTCGGTGGTCGACATTGCGCGTGGCTGAGGACCACCTGAAACAACGCGATTTGGATGGTCCCTAACAAAAAAGACGAAGAAGCTGAAGATGAGACGAAATGACGGCATTTCTCATTTGCGCGACATAAAACAACGGACCATCTCGAATTGGCAATTCGCCGATGGAGTTTTATGCGATCATTTTGTTTTATTTCCGTTGAATTTTCGGTGCCACACCGAATTTGACGCAATAATGCAGATTTGAGATGTTTTGAGATAATTTTGTTTTTTTGGAACTCAACGAAACCTCACACACGATTTGTTTTTTTTTTCGGGGAAATTTGATTTGAGCTACATTTTGCGGACGCAAAATTGCGGACTCTTTGAAAGAAAGTGGGGGCAAAACACCGAAGTCGACGCGAAATTGCAGATTTGGAAACATTTGCGAAAACGCGCTCCATTGAGATTTTTTTGATTTTTTTTAGAAATAAGATAACATCAAAATTGACAAAAAATCGCAGAAAATGAAAAAAAAAAAAACACCAAATTCGACGCAAATTTGCAGAAAATTGAAAAAATCACAAAATTCGACGCAAATTTGCAGAAAATTGAAAGAAATCACCAAATTGGACGCAAATTTGCAGAAAATGAAAAATGTACAATATTCGACGCAAAATTGCAGAAATTTGAAAAAAAGCACCAAATTCGACGAAAATTTGCAGAAAATTGAATAATTTGCAGAAAAAATGAAAAAAGCACCAAATTCGACGAAAATTTGCAGAAAATTGAAAAAAGCACAATATTCGACGCAAAATTGCAGAAAATTGAAAAAAGCACCAAATTCGATGCGAATTTGCAGAAAATTGAAAAAAGCACCAAATTCGACGAAAATTTACAGAAAATTGAAAAATGCACAATATTCGACGCAAAATTGCAGAAAATTGAAAAAAAAACACCAAATTCGACGCAAAATTTGCAAAAAAAATGAAAAATTTTTATTGAAAATGCTCAACTCAATACTAATTTGCGGATAAGCTCGAAGCAAATAAAAGAGCAATCAAAAAAAAAAGAAAGAAAGAAAGAGCAAGCGTGTCGTTTTCGATTTTTTTTCGCACCTAATCCCCTTTCCCATCGCAACAACAACGTATGTGTTTAATTCGAAACAATCTCATTTCGAGTTGGGAGCACGTTTCCGGTGAGCCGCGAAAAACAACAAACAAACAAAAAAATTCCACGCCGACCAATTTGGGTAGGTAGGCTCGAGGCGGCTCCCGCGAAGAGAGCAATCGTCGTGGCGAGACTTCCCGCAAATGTTGAAGGCACCGTCTCTATGCGCCTTTAAACTCGCCTTATACCTGAGGCTCGTAAATCTACAATTAGACAATTCCATTTGTTGTTTGTTTTCTCATCTAGGGAGGTGAACTTGATCTACCGTAATCCATCTAAATATGGCTCTTTTCTCTCTTTCTCTTCACTCTCTCTCTCTCTCTCTCTCTCTCTCTCTCTCTCTTTTTTTTTCCTTTTCTCTCTCTGCTCTCTCTCTCCCTCTCTTCACTCTCTCTCCCTTCTTTCTTTCTCTCGACTCTCTCGACTCTCTCTCTCTCTTCCTTTTCTTCTATTTTCTCTCTATATATCTCCTTCTCACCATTCTCTCTTTCTCTCCACTCTCTTCACTCTCTTTCTCTCTCTCCCTTTCCTTCTCTCTCTCTCTCTACACTCTCTCTCTCATTCTCTCTCTTTCTTTCTCTCTTTCTTTCTCGTCCTTCTCTCTCATTCATTTTTTGGGCAGACTACGGTAGCAAATGTCTTGAGACGAGATGAAATGAATTAGCGAAGCTCTCGCTCCATTTAAGGTATCGAATAACTGACAAAATGGTGTGGGATGGGATGAAGGGGGTCCGATAAAATTGGAGCAACGAGCGATGACGGCATTTTCCAGAAGCCAAGATGAGCAACCAAACGGGTCCCAAGTGGAAAATCGAAAATAGTTTCAATTTGGAATCCACACGTAGAGACGCGACCCAACATATATATATATATATGAAAATTTTTTTGGGCAGAGCCTAGTGGTCCCATAAATTGAGAATCGAATTCGCCGCAAAAAAAACGCAATAAAAGATTGGCGCACACCAAAAACGGAAATTTGGCGCCAATTTTAAGCCGCATTTAATTTCCGAAATGAATTTTTTTTGCATTTGAAATAGTCAAAAAAATGAGTAAATTTTCAAAATTTTCATTTTTTGGATGAAATTTTTGAAAAAATCAATGACGAGAGTTTTTTGTGTGCAATTTTGCGCGCACGTGTTTACGGACCATAAATATACAAATGTCAACATCGAGATTATGTGCATCCGATTACTGTAATTAACGGGTCTCACAGCGTCTACCGTACTCTATATTTTTCAATATTAATTTCATAGTATGTAGATCAAAATTGTCTCGTGACATCCCTTTAAAGGGACACACCAAACAACTTCCAAAATAATGATGGCTTAAAGGCGCATCGTACAAGGGGGGTCTCGCAGTGAATTGCTATCAGTTGGGATGTTTAAAGGCGCACATCAAAAAAACAGAAATTTGGCTCCAATTTTAAGAAATGAATTTTTTTCTTGTTTTGAAATAATCGAAAAACTAAGTTTTCAAAAATTTTGTCTGCAATTTTGCGTGCGCGTGTTTACGGACCATAAATATACATGTGTGTACATCGGTCCGATTACTGTAGCTAACGGATCTCGCAGCGACTACCGTACTCATTGTAGATCATACCCCCCCCCCTTTAAAGAGAGAGAGGCGCGCCAAACAACTTCCAAAATCGTGTGGTTCGCTTACAGGGGGTCTCGCAACGAATTGTCACCAGCTTGGGTTAAAGGCGCACAGCGCCAGGGGAGTAGCGGGTCTTGCAACGAATTGCCCATAGCTTGGGAATTTAAAGGCGCACAGCCCCAGGGGAGTAGCGGGTCTTGCAACGAATTGCCCATAGCTTGGGAATTTAAAGGCGCACAGCCCCAGGGGAGTAGCGGGTCTTGCAACGAATTGTCACCATCTTGGGAATTTAAAGGCGCACAGCGCCAGTGGAGTGGTGGGGAAGGTCTCGCAGCGAATTGCCACCAGCTTGTGAATTTAAAGGCGAGCGGGTCTCGCAGCGAATTGCCACCAGCTTGTGAATTTAAAGGCGAGCGGGTCTCGCAGCGAATTGCCACCAGCTTGGGAATTTAAAGGCGCACAGTAAAACGTGCATATTTTCACAGATGAAACAACTTGCAAAAACATATTTATACGTATAGTTAGCCAAATTTCGCATTCAAAACATATCAAGCGCAACAATTAATGAATTTTGCGCGCGAATTCGAAATTAGGCCACTTCTCCATAAATGGGAGGGGGGGGGTCCGAAAACATTTGCCGACGACGTCTCCCACAACTAATACAATTATGCCAATTAATACGGGGTGGTCCGTTGTGTTTCAGTGGTCCCTACAACTATAAATATCGGGGGGGAGGCGAAACAAAAAAACCACGACGTACTAGATTTGAAGGGCCTTATGAGAAGGTGCTCGAAGCAAATATTGAGGCGTCGCACAAAAAAAAACAAGAAGAAGAAGAAGGAAGCCATTTAAAAATAGGAGAAACAAGCCAAAAACGCAGGTTGCCATAGCGCGACTCAGGGACCCCCATAATTAGGAGGCGGGGGGGGTGGCTTCTGATTTCGCCAGAATGAGCCATTTGTTTTTTTTTTTTCGGCTGACATTCGCATACAAATTTTTGGAAACCCGGTAGAACGTCGGGCAGATGGTTGGAATGAGATTCCCCCCCCCTTTAAAAGCGCGACCACGCCTCCTTATTAGGACGTCTAATTAGGATTGTGAGCACTACCATAGTATGGTATCGAAATGTCGGGCCGGAACCACGCTTCCTTTCGCGAAAAAAATTTTCGGCGCGTGCCTAATTAGGAAGGTTTGCAGAAATCGCCAACTCCCGGCTCTCTTCTTATTTTGGAGACTCGCCGGTCGGAAATTGTCGGCGGCGAGATCTTGCCAGATGCGAAACCGACGAGTTGTCCGCAGCAGCACGATTATTCTAGAAGTCGAGTTGTCAAAGATTGATGAGAGTAGTGGAAGGAAATGGAAGTCGCGAGATGTCCGCAGATGCATTTTTCTAAATTTCGAATTGCTGCGAGTTTCTTTCAAATTGACGCGATGAGTGAAAATGGAAGTCGCGAGGTGTCCGCAGATGCATTTTTCTAAGTTTCGAATTGTTGCGAGTTGGCCACACAGTGCGAAAAATCGGTGACAATAATTTTTTTTTCCCAAAAAAAAAAGTGGAAAGTTCAGTTTTTTATCGAAAGCGGATTTGGGTCTCGCGGCAAATTGACGAAAAAAAACCGAGTCTACAATATCGGACAGCTATTTTTTCGGGTTACTGTAGACGACCTATGGACCCAAGACGTGTTTTTTTTGGAGGTCGTCTAGCCGACAATTTCTTAATTATATATCACATAGTATGTGCTTCAGAAAAAAATTGAAAGTCGCCGCCCGCATGATTAATAATTAATGAATCAAAAATCGGCTGGATATTTGAATTCGGCAGCTGCGGACAATTTTCGACGAGCATTTTTGCATTAATAGAAGCCATCTGCGGACATATTATGGCAAAATTGTCAAGACAATGAAAAAAGAGGGGTTTTGAAACGAATTTCATGTTTAAATCTGTAAGATTCAATTATAATCCGTGTTTTTCATATAGAGTCTAAAAATTTTGATCTACTATGCTTAAAAAACAGAGATTCTCGGAATTCGCTCGTTAGTGCCTCGATATCAATTAATAGAAACCATCTGCGGACAAATTGTGAGCGGCGAGTTGTCGGCAGCAGACCAACAACACATATAGACGGACAATTTTTGGTGGCCCGCGAATTGTCCGCAGCAATAAAAAGCGGATTGCCGAGTGAGGGAAATTGGTGGACGGCTTAAGGATTCGGGCGGAAAATTGCGTCGACCACTCTCGCCGCCACATTTTCTCGTTGGCGCCAATGAAAAATCGCCCTTTGGTGTCGCTAATTAAAGCGAGCACTCCATATTTGGGTGGGGGGAGGCGACGATTAATCTCGACATGATATTCGTCTCGTCTATAATCTACAAAAGATTAACACGATTATAGTAGTTGGCTATTGTCAATTTTCGTCTACGAGAGCACGTCATTCCGCAATTGTGCGTCAACTATGATGTATACCGTAATCGGCGAATTTTCACTTCTTTTGTTTTCTTCCAACACCCCAGATTTTACGCAAAATTGCGGAGCAGCGATTTTCTTCGAATTTTTTGCGAATCGCACTTTGCAAAAACTATCTGCGGACAACTCGCGGGTTTCGAAATTGAGAGCGGCCCCTTGGAGCACGAAAAAACGCCTGCGAGCTTACACAATTTAGCAAGCGATTCAATGAATGTCAATTAAATTATAATAATTTCGTTTGGCTCGGATAAAAACAAAAACATTCGAGGGCGATTAAAGGGCAGAATAGTCTAAAAATGGAGATTATTAACTATAATTTCTTTCTTTTTTTTTTGGAATTAAAATGATTCATCGCCGATGAGATCAAAATTATGAGCAAAATACGGGGATACAAATTTGGACGATGTGAAAAATAGAGGCGAAATTGAGTTTGCCTAATAATTTAGATTGAAAATGGCTTTTCGTGGGGGCCCCGAACCACAACAACGCAATAGACATTAGAAAATTTGATAAATGAGAGAGCAGCGAAGAGCGGCGACGGATGAATCGATTATGATTGTGGGAAAGCCGTAAAAAACCGTCGTCGGCAGTCATCGCGACGCGTGTTAAAAACTAACATCGTGGATGGCATTAAAATATCATCCCACTCCCTGCAAAAACCGCGAGCCGCGGTCGAACCAATGAGGGTCAGCGCGCAAGGCAAACACGTCTGCACACCGCCATGCGCGCACGTTGGGTAACCGCACGCGGTCAGCCAATAAGTGCCGCGCGCTTAAAAACATCCATACACAATTTTTTTCAAATCACTCCCCCTCAAAAAAAAAATCAGTCGCGATATACTCATCAAAAATTTTTTTGTGAGCGGGTGTGTGTGTAGAGAAAATGAATAATAGATAGAATAGTGGCCTTCGACAATGTAGATTCATATTCGCGTTGGTCGCTCTCGAAATTCCAACACGTTTTGCTTTTAATGTCGGATCGCGCGTCGATTCAAAAGCGAGAAAAAAAAGAAATGAAGAAGCAGTGGGAGTGGCTCTAATTGGGCGTCGCCTGGTTAATTATGCGTCTGATGTCGATTACGGTAGAGCCAATTAAACAGCTCTCGGCTTACTGTAAGAATCCTGACAATGACGTGGGCGCTTTGTCAAGGAGTTCGTCCAGCTCAGACTAGATCCGTTTAAAGGCGCATAACAAATCAAGTGAGACACTTGACAAAAAAAAACTTCCCACATAATCAAGAAGACGATTTTTGAAGTTTTTTAAGAAAAAATGATGTGGTCCGGAAAATGTCCCATTAGGGGCTTTTTGCGAAAAGGGCTCTTCAGAAACATCAACAATATGGAATCGCTGCTGCGGACAACTGACGGGATTTCATATTTCGATAGTTTATTCACAAATAGTCGAAAATCGTCAATTTTTCTCTTTCACTGGCTCCTTCGAGTTCGATTCGATCGCCGTTTGCGTCTCGTTGACATTTTTCGTGGTGAGAGCCACCTTGTAGGTCTGGGACAGAAAAAAATGAATAATTCAGAAACGAGACTAATGCATTCTCCTACCATCGTATCAATTTCGCCGAGCGAATCAATTAAGCGAATTCGGCGAATAATTGATGTGACGAACAATAGAGCTGCAAAAATCGCATTTTCGGCGATGAGCACGCATTCCACGACTTACAGTAGATGATTGACATCGCGAGAGCGGCGCCCAAATAAACAACCCATAGACGAACGTAATACTCGTTGCTCGCGATTTCGACATAGATCTAAACGGGATTAATTAGAATGGAGCTTGGTTTCGTGATTTTAATGGATGAACACCAAACATCGTTAAAAAAACATCACTGCAAAACGGACTTTTTAGCGTGAGGACTCGATCCAGTGACACCTTGTGTAAAGCAGCCGCCTTACCGCCTGCGCCAAGTGGGCTGACAAGAGTGGGCGGGCGAAATGCGTATATGTGTGTCGTACACTGGCTCAATACCGCTTTTATCTATATTACAGTTAGGGACCATTCAGTTTTTATCCAAAGGGGCGCGTAGTTCAAAAAATGCAAAAAAGTGAAATGGAACTTATATTTTTGGTTCTTTCGCATATTTTTAGATCGTCTACGCGAACTTTCTAAACCGATTAGAGTACTTTAATGTATGCTGAATTTATTCGGGCGGGATTTTGGCACAGATTCCAACTGTAAAACTTTCGAAATAAATTTTCAGCGATTACATATAATTGTGTAAGGTGCTCGTTTTTTTTGCGACATCTCTTACGAGAACCCAAAGAAATTAAAAAATTACAATATTCGCAGAAACTGTAAGAAAATTGCAAACCAGACCAATAATTGCACTTTTGCTCGAAAACATTCTAGAAATGAATGAGCAATTGTCATTTTTTCACGCGATGCCTTTGGCTCTTTCAAGAATCTCCGATTTTTGAGATTTATTGCTTCACATTATTCCTTCTAACCTTTAATTATTTAAAAAAAAATGTATAATTAAGGGGCACATGATTGTTCTAAATGCTAGATTATTTTTAGGAGAATGTCGAGTGATGTGGTTTTTGAAATAGAATTTCTATGTGACTATCAGGGATTTTTTCGATAAACAAAATTGAATCATAAAACATTTTTGGGATTCGAATTTTTTTTTCAAAAAAAATTGTTCTCTATAACTCGTTCATAATAAAATTTCAAGGGAGTTTTTTGAAAATTGAAAAATTTTAAATTCGCTCCGTCAAATATTGCGCACGTCCGCAATGACCTTACGATAATTCGCGGACCGTATTTTAATTTTTCGAATTTTGTCCTATCGATTTCTTACGTTTTCACCCCTTTTCAACACAGAATTCCTAAAATTCAAATGCTGATCAATTTAAAATATTTTTTCGTGTTTATAATTGCAAAAATTTGCAGGGAATTTTAAAAAATTAAATGTTAATTTGCAGATTCAATATTAATGTGTTTAAAAGAAATATTGAGGGATAGTAAGTATTGAAGCGGTTTTTTTTTGAAATTGAATGAATTTCAGAGTTTATTGAGAACGTTTTCCGGCCATTACACCACACAAAAGATGGAACTCGCCACAATGTTTTGGTTCTCGACGCATTTGCCACAAAAATCATTTCCTCGTGTTTCGCAATGACCGAAATCTTTCAAGGTTTTCAATCAATTCAGTTTTCCACTAAATTTCTCTATTCAGAAGGTGTGATGGTCGTCGAGGACCTTTCAAAACGCCGCGAACCATTTCCCAATATCGATGCAATCTATATTATGAAAGCCACCAGAGATTCTGTAATTTTTCCAATCCAATGAAACGCAATATTATTATTTTTTTCAATTTCAGATTGATCGATTATCCCTAGATTTCACCTCAAAAACCGGCCAATATAGGCATATTCATTTATTTTTTCTAAACTCTTGCCCAGATGATTTGTTTCGGCGCCTTTCAAAAAGGTATTCAATTCAAATAAATTAGAAATCCTACATTTGAAATTCAGTTGTGTCTCGAAACGAATTCGAACTCTCAAAGAGCTCATGATCTCCTATTGTCCTCTCGAATCTCAAGTATTCCTCACGGATGACGTAAAATCGGAAATTGATGGCGATATCAGTGAAATCGCTTCGGGAATCGCGAGCTTCTGCGCGAATCTCGACGTCTATCCGCTATTAAGGTAGTCGAAATAATGAATTTGATGATGAGAGTAATCGTTAAATCGTTTCAAGATATCGCTCAGATTTCGGACGAAGCGCCGAATTGTGCTATCGCGTCGAGCAGAAGCTCGACGAGCTCATGAAATTCAACCCAAAAATGGGCATCGAAACCGACGCGCAATTGATTATTGTCGGTGAGACGTTCGTCGAGATGTCGACATTCGCCCACATTTCCAGACCGCAATTTCGATCTACTCACACCGCTTCTGCACGACGTCACGTTCCAATCGATGTGCGCCGATTTGCTCGGCGTCGAAGCGCCGGTGTGCACGCTGACATCGGCGAGCGGCGAGAAAAAGGAGGTGGTGCTCGACGACGACGAATGGAACGCGACGAAACACATGCACATCGCGAGCGTGTTGAGTCGCGTCGCCGAGAAGACGCGAGAAGCGCAAAAAACCGCGCGCGCGAAATCGCCGATGAAGTGCTCGCTGAGAGCGCTCGGCGAGACCGTCAAACGATTGCCGATGCAGCAGAAAAAAGTCGACAAAATCTCGTGAGTCATTCACAAAATTGTTTGCGAATTCGGTTTTTTTCGACTTCAGAATATACGTGCAATTGGCCGAGAATTGTATGAGGGAGTTCAATAAAGGTCTCAACGAGATTTGCATTATAGAGCAGGTATCTCTTACCATTTTCTGGCGGGTTTTGCAAGGAATATGAAAATTGGTGCAATTAATTGGATTTTGCGTAAAAGTCAACAAAAATCATACATTTTTGGCATTTAAATGTGGAATTTTGTTTTTCAATTTTTCGTTTTTTTTTTCAGGATTTGGCTGTTGGCTATACGACAGAAGGAGCTCCAATTCGAGATATTTCAATAATGTCGAGAATGTCGCCGATTCTCGTGCCGATCGCCATCGAGAATCCGACGAAATTGTCGGAGGCGACGCGTGTTCGCCTCATTCTCATCTACCTGCTCACGATCGGCGCGCAAACCGAAGAGCACTGCGAGACGCTCATGCGATTGTCGCAAATTGGCGATTATTACTATCCGATGATTTGGAATATGATGAAAAGAGCAAAAGTGATTGTGTGTGTTGTTTGAAGTGAAAAACGAGACGAATTTTTAGAAGAGCGAATTTCGGGTGAAGAAGAAGTCGGTGGCGACGTACGACGGCAAATTCGCAACAAATCGCTGGCAGCCGATGATTTTTGATGTGATTCGCGAGATTTTTGAGGAAAAACTCGATGAGAAGCAATTTCTTTATATGGGCAGACGGCCGATTGCCAAGAAACACGAGTGGGACCTTCATTTTTCTTTTTGTTGGTCTCGAAAAATTGATTGATTTTTAAGGATGGCGAAATCGGCGAGATTTGGCACCAATGGCGAAATGGCGAAGAAATTCGAGAATCGAAAGAAATTGATTTTATTTATTGCCGGTGAAACTTGTGTTTTTTTTTTGAGCCAAAAATGGATTTTTAGGGGGAATTTTGATGGAATTTATCTCCAAAAAACCGAAAATCTGCATTTTTTGCAACAATTTACCTAATATTAACAAATTTTTCAATAATTTGCATTGGGTCTCGTATGGAATGATCGATTACGGTCATCGTAATACTGAAACGTGATGAGCTTCTCAAAAATCTGACAATTTTCACATTGAATTTTTGAAATTGTTTCGAATATTTCAAGAAAACTGAATGGAATTATTCAGTTTTTTTTTCAACAATCAAAAAAATTACGTTAAATTTGTCAATTTTTACATACTGAATCGAAAAATGTGTATTTTTAATAAAAATCAATTGCAGGCGGAATCACGTATTCTGAAATGCGAGCAATTTACGAGCTGACGCGACAACAGACCGACTGGATTGTGTATCTCGGCTCGAATCGCGTTCTGACACCCAATAAATTCCTCGAAAATGTTCGATGCGACCCTTGAACCTCTCGATTTTTGTCTCTGTTTTCATTTTACTGTATCATTCGATTTAATACGTGGTCTTTTATTTCAACCGGTTATGTTTTTTTCTTTGTCCTTTGTTCGTTATAAATAAATATTTTGAGCTTTTTTTTTCGAATACCCGCCGTTCGGGCGAACGTAAGCACGTTGGAGCGCACTTGTCTTATTGATGAATTTGCCGATTTTTTTTAAGAATTTGTTTTTTTGAAAGAAAATTGAAATTTTGTGTGCACGTAGTACTGTCGTATTTTAAAGGTGCATAGCAATATTTATAAAGGGTCTTACGTGGAAAATCGTAACAGCATCTTTTTAAATTTAAAAGTCAATAGTTTTAATTAAAAAAAAAAAATCTTTTTTAACAACATTTTTGATTTAGATTTAATTTTCAGGTATTCATTCACATTACCCAAGCCAGTGATGCCATAATATCGAAACATTTTAAATTTGTATGCAATTTTTCGTCATTAATTTTTAAAAATATCAAAAAATGATGTAATAAGCATCCAAAAGGCATCAATCCAGCCAAAAGTATTTATTTTTATTCTCGAATAATTTTGCAGGAGAATGATTGAAAATTTTGAAGGATGTCGTTCGTCGGCGTTCGAACGCGATTCGCTCCATCGCCAACCGGACATTTGCACATCGGCGGTCTTCGAACAGCGCTGTTCAATTATTTATTCGCGAAAAAACACGACGGGAAATTCGTGTTGAGAATTGAGGACACGGATCGAGCAAGATTTGTGGGCGATGCTCAGCAAAAGGTTGGAAATTCGATGGCGAGGGGGGAAAATTGAAGACAATTGTAGATTTACGAGGCATTGGATATGTACGGTCTGAAGCCAGACGAAGGACCGCGAGAAGGTTGGCGATTTTTTAGACTTGAAAATCTAAAAATCGAATATTTTTAATAAAAGTTGCATTTCAGGCGGACCATTTGGTCCATACGAGCAGTCGAAGCGATTAGGGCTTTATAAGGAAGCTGCCAATCAGCTAATCGATTCTGGCCACGCTTACAGATGCTTTTGCTCAGAACAGGTAGCGTGTTGAGCCAAAAAATAAAAATTGAATGAAATTTGCAAGGGAAAATTTGGAATTTTTCAGCAAAAATTGAAAATTTGAGATTTTCTCTTCATTTTAACAGCGTTTTTCAAAAGACTTTTGATGAAAATTGCGATTTTTTCGAGAACAGCTCGAACTTGATGTTGAATTTCGGATGAAAACGGGCAATTCGGAATTTTCAAGTTTTTGTTTTACAGCGTTTGGAGCTTCTCCGAAAAGACGCGTCGCGTCGCGGCGAGATCCCGAAATACGATCGAAAATGTGCGAGTCTCGACGCGAAAACGTCGCAAAAAATGGCGGAGAGCGGCGAGAATCACGTGATTCGATTGAAGCTCGACAAACAGACGATCGCGTTCGACGACGAGGTGTTCGGCCACGTGACGCAGCTCATCGACGAGTCCGACGCCGTCGTGCTCAAATCCGACGGCTTCCCGACGTACCATTTGGCGAACGTGGTCGATGATCGCCGAATGGAGATCACGCACGTGATTCGCGGAATGGAATGGCTCAGCAGCACCGGAAAACATCATCTATTGTACAAGTAGGCTATCAAGGGACCATAAACGGCGAAATTGAATGCAACAATTGAGGGCGTTCGACTGGAAGCCGCCGCGATTTGTCCACTTGTCGTTGATAATGCGAACGGCGGCGAAGAAGTTGTCGAAACGCGATCGCGATGCGTTCGTCGCCTATTACGGCGATGTGCTCGGCGTTCTGCCGGACGCGCTCCTCAATTTGCTCGTTCGCAACGGAAGCGGCATTCGCGATTTCGACGCCAATCGATTCTACACACTCGCCGATCTCGTTGCCGATTTTGATCACACCCTATTGGGTCGACGCAATTTGTTGGTAATTTTCTCATTTTTGGTGCTCCTCTTAAAAAATTGAAAATCATTGGCATTTTTACGAATAACGTGTTTCTTGAATTTATCGTCTCGAGACCCGACTTGTCCCTTTAAACAATTTTCCATTTAAATTCATTTCCTCTCAATAATGGAGATTCAAGGCGCAGGTCTTGCGGCGACAATTTTTCTCGAAAACCGACATTGTGTCGATTTACGAGACCATCATGCTCCTTTAAGCTTGACACCGACGTTCTCAACAAGTATGCTCGAATGGCATTCAAATGCGCTGATTTTGAGACAACATTGAAGCCGCGAATTTTGGCGCGAATTCAAAATGATTTGAAATTGGCGAACGATGAGCTGCCGAATGACGAGTATCTTCGAAAGGTGAGCAGTGGTCTCGCCGCGAATCATCGCTGAAAATTGATCATCGCAACAGATTGTCGATTTTCTGCGGACGAAAGAGGAAACGTTTGGGAATTTGTCGTCTCTAACTCGCGGCGATTTCGTCTGGTTCTTCACTCAGCCGAAATCCGCCGAGGTTTTGATTTCTCAAACGACAACGATAGGCAATTTGCGAGAGATTCTCGACGATTTGAGAAATTTGGGTAAATTTTGAACCGATTCGAACGGATCATTTTCGATTTTAGACGACTGGACCATCGAGTCGATTCAAAAAATCGCGCGCACCCACAAAATATCCGATTCGAAGATGATGGCGATCATTCGGATCTCGCTGATCGGCTCGAAGAAGGGACCACCAATCTCGGAACTCGTCGAATTCTTCGGACCATCGCAATGCTCGCAGCGAATTTCGACAATGATTTCTCATCTTTCTTCTTAATTTATTGTCGATTTTGTTGAAATTTGACGGGTTTTTTCGGCAAAAATGTTTAGTTGAGATAAAGAAAACACGAGAACCCTTAAATAATGGTACAGAAAGTGAGATTTTCGAAGAAAAATGAACCAGTCGAGAGTAAATATACAAGAAAATTGTCGATTTTTCGGTTATTTCGAACTCGAACGCTTCGTGTCTTGATATTCCTTCTTCACGAAATCAACCAACGATTTTTTCGATTCCATCAATTTGTTATAAGTGGCTTCTGCCTGGAAGATTGCCAAATTGCTTCGGATTTTCTCGATAATTCACCTCTTTCAGACCGCGGTCTTGTCTTTCGGCTCGTTCGAGCTCACTTTGAAGCTTCACGTCGACCGCATCGCGTTTTTGCTTCAAATCCTAGAAAATGGCTTCTGTCAGAATTCTCCGTTTTCGTCTTACTTCGATTTTCTCTTCCAATACGCCTTTCTCATGCTCCAATCTTCTTATCGAATGCTCTGTTAATCGTCGTTCTTCTCGAAGTCGATCAATATCTTCAAATTGATTCATATTCGTCGCGGGACCCTCCGAATTCTCACTTACACTGTCCTATCTCATCGAAGCTCTCACATGTTCCACGAGATGTCATCGCCTAATTCTTCTCGCACTTGGTTTTGTCTTCAGTGGATCACATTTAGTATTGTAGGGTTGAATGAATCACCTTATTTCTTTAATGCTCTCATATTAAACAATTGGGTTCTCAACAAATTTATTGTAGAAATAACAATAGAAATAAACAACAACAAATGCTGATTTACTTCTTTCCAGCCGAGACCTTGGCCTTTCCGGTTCCACGGACCTTCTTTTGTCTGTTCTTTCTCTCCTTACGCTGCTTGCGTCCTGGCTTCTCAACCTTGGTGGCGAGTCCCATCTGAAAATTTCGAAAATTGAAAAAGAATAGAACAAACTTCCAGTTTTTATCAGGTTTTCTTGATAACTTGAAGCATTAAACATAACTGTTGGTAAAAAATGTTTCAAATTTCTTTTTTTTTCAACGAAAATACATACGCGGATAAGTCGGAACTTTGGCTCGAATTTCTTGGCGTAATCGACAGTGTCGTAGATCAATGCGAATCCACGCGACTTTCCTCCTCCGATCTTCGATTCGAATCCGAATGGAATCACGGTATCCGGGGTGGTCTTGTAGAGCTTCGCGATTTTTTCGCGGAGTTCCGCCTTTGGGACAGTTGGGCGTCCTGGGTGAATCACCTCAACGGTCTGAAACATTATGAATTAATGATTTTTGGGAAAAATTGTGGAAAATCTATGAATTCCGGTTTGATTCATAGAATAAACAATTGAAAAAATGGCATACCATTTGCTTTCTATAAAGAAGCTTGTTGGTGATAACCTTTCTCGTTCTGATAGTAACGACGTCGCCCATCGCAAAGTTTTAACCCTGAAAAATAAAAATGTCGAATTATAATTTGAGATTTTATTTTAAAAATGTTTCAAACGATAAAATATTATAAAAATTGAACATTAAAATAATATTTCAACTTTACCTTAAGCACATCTCCTCAAAATCGTTGCCAAATAATTTAAAATCGAAAAAAATTTAAATTTGGTTCAAAACTGGGAAAATTGAAGGAAAAATGAACTGGTGCAATGCTTTATTGTTGTTGCGGCAGCCAAGGTCTCGCCACAGCAGAATGTACGCAGCCAAATTGTGTCGATTTACGATGGGGAAATTTGAATTTATTTTCCATTTTCCTTTATAATAGCATTTAATCCTTTCAAATTCAGTGCCCAATTTGATTTTTATTTTTTTAATTCTTGTCTTTTTTTTTACTCACAATATTATTTTGTGATTTGAAAAAAAGCATATTCTGTTTCAATTGTAACTTCATTTGTTTTGAAAATTATGCTCAAGTTTTGAGAAACCGATTTATTTCAGGTAATCGCAATTAAACGATGAAAATCTCTGTGAAGACGTCTTCGAACATCGGATGAATGATAGAGAGAATGTAATTTCCTAGGTTTGATAGTACAAAAAAGGATAAAATCAGGACCTCGCTTATATTTTTAAATTTCAGGGGGTCATTTATTCCATGCGAACAGTCGAATAAGTCAATCAACAAATCGATTCCAGACATGTTTTCAAATGCTTCTGGCAAGAAAAAGGTTTGGTTTAGCGTGGTAAACTTAGAAATTTAAAATTTCTTTAAAGAATAATCGAAACAGTCAACAAAAATATATGAATAAGCGTTAAAATTTAGATAATTGATTTTCAAGTAGAAAATTTGTCTAAAATGATTTTTAACTATCTAAATCTCGACCTAATCAATTCATTTTAAGAAAATATTCTAAAAATAGACATTTTGACTTTGTCAAAAAAGAAAAAATCAAACCGAATAATCTTAAAAAATACATTTTTTCAGAGATAAACGAATTGGAAAATGAAGGGAAGAGTGTTGAAAATATATTCCAAAATTGCTTTTACTTTGTTTAAATATTTATTTTATTGAATAAATGTAAAAAACATAAAAACAACAACAAACAACAATAACAATAAGAATGCAAGACTATACATTGAGAATAGCCAATTTCTCCTTCTTTTCAATCTCCGCGATCTTTTCTAAATGGGATTTCAAGAAGGCGTCGAACATGAACATGGTGAGGTCCGAAGCGACGACGTCACTCTGCGATGAGACGAACAAGAGAACCAGAAGGCCGTCTGGAAATTCGAGAAATCAATTGAAGAAGCCTCTTCAGCGCGATGCACCTTTGCCGAGATAATTGGCAAATTCGGACACGATTTCCTTCTTGGGAGTATCGAGAAGAAGATCGTTGATGAATCCATAGTTCAAGAGACGTAGAAGCACAATGACCATTCCGATGAGAGTAGCGATTCCGACGAGGATGAGCCACACCCTGAAATCCGATTATGCTTTGTCATCTGCGGACAATCGATACCAGAGGAACGCGAAGATCTTCTCGTTGAACTCGTTGACGGCGAGCACACACTGGACGACGTGATGCTGAATGATCGGAGTGCGGATGGTGAAGTGGCAGAAGGTGATTCGCGGGAAGATGCCCGTGTCCGACCAGGTGACGTTGCCCACGAGATTCGTCATGATGTCGATGCCCCAAAACAGATTCGCGTTGTGTCCGAGGAAGAAGCTGACGAGCGTGAGTTGGCTGAGGATATTGAGGACGTAGAGCAACTTGATGACAAGGTAGGTGTAGGCGAGACGAGACCTGAAACCAGTATGATGGTCCGCAGATGGAAGGAGTTACTTGGTCTTCATCTCCCTGTCGCGATTCGTCAGCTTGCTCTTCATATAGTTGCCCATCTCGCGGACCTTTTCGGCAATCTCGATGCTCGACTTCATCTTGATCTCGGCGGCCGTCTCGCAGAAGTACAAAAGCGGAATATCTAGAATAATCTCATGGATTCGTTGAATCGATTCGGACAACTTACCAAATTTGGATTGCGCCTTTTTCCAGATCAACTTGGGCGCAATGAATCCGAGAGACATCAGCGTGAGAAAAATTGCGGACCATTGATAGTAGGTGACGTGATTGTCGGGATTCTCGACATGAATGAGATTGTTGAGCGGACTCGTGTCCCGAATGAAGTGCGTCTTCTGCACGAAGCACAACGTCTCCGAGTACTCTTTCCAATCGTGCTCGAATTGCGACGGAAACCAGCACTGAATCGGCTCGCCGACGTACGTTTTGGCCGAGATGAACACGGCGAAGAAGATGAGCAGAAAGGCGGTGGCGAAGCTGTTCAATCGATCGGTCGCGTCGTCGATGGCACTAGACGCCACCAGCGAGCGGAGCTCGTCCATAAATGGAAGTTGGAACATGCTTCGCGGCGGTCGAGAATCGAGTATGCGCCTTTAAACGAAAAAAAAATGGTGAAATGGCGAGATGGATATTGTGGCATAATTGCGGGCGCAAATGTGCCCTGTTGAAGGGGGCGTGGCCCAGTGGGCGGAGAGTGATATTGAATTGTTTTCAGTTATTCCTATCATTGGATACGGTAACAATAGTTCAAAAATTGAATTTAAATGTTTGCTCCAAATTTGAGAAATTTTTCCTATCGAATTGCGACAATTTTGAGGAGATTTTTTGATTTTTGCGATTTTCGAAGACTGAGAAGGGAATGATGGCACTTTTTTGGGGAATTCTGGGGACCAGAAATAATTGGTGACTTGTAAAAAAAAAGGAAAAGCTCGGTTTTCTCAGAATCTATATGATTTTGGAAGAGTTTTTTCCAAATTGAGAGCCGATTTGAAATGGAAATCGAAAAAACCGGACGTGTTCGCAGCGGCGATTTGGTTTTCGCGGCGAGACCCAAAAGAGATCTCCTCGAATTTCAAAACGGATTGATAAGAGCGAGAAGCCGCGAGTTGTCGGCAGCACCAGATGGTTGATTGCTGTTTTCGAATGCCCGATATCGGCCGCATTCGAGCCGTCTGTCTGTCTGTCTCCCCCTTTAAACAATTGCGCAATCCAACGCTAGACATTTCTTTTGAAAATAATAAGCGACGCGAATTTGAATTCAAATAAAAGATTGAATTTCTGTGAATTTATTTTCAAAGGTGTGTTTTGGGGAAACTACAAGAAATATTTTAGAAATTAAATTTTCTGCTTTCCAAATTTAAATTTCAGTGTTTTGATTTTAACAATCGGACCATTTTGAAGCGAGTTACAATCATTTTCAAATATTTGACTTTTAGGCGTGAAATTGTTTTTCAATTTTTCGCATGCGAATTGAAATTGGTTACTGTAATTTATTTTTTGCCGAAGTTTTTTGAAACCAATTCTTTTGAAACTTTCACGATTTTTCCGCCAATTTTTCTTCAAACACATGTGTATAATTATTGGCTGTGATGAAAATATGCATAAAAAAAGAATTTTGAGAGTTTGAACAAATTGCCAAAATAATCAAATCTTTTTTTTTACCGAAAATGGTATTCGAAAGGATTTTGAGGATTGAACTACACGTTAATATGAGATTAAATAAGAATACGAAATGAATTTCATCGAAGATTTTCAACAATTCAGAAATTAATTGATTTTTTTGGAATCGATTTATGTCGATTAAACATATTTTTGGGGGGATTTTTTCACAATGAAAAATTGAAAAAAAAAAAACATTTTGAGACAATTGAAATTAGACGGTTGCAATGGTCTTATGAATAAGAATGCCATTGGCCTTCATTCCAGTCTTCTTGAAGGCGTCGAACATGAAGACGGCGAGTTCGGAAGCGACGATGTCACTCTGCGATTTGACGAACGAGAGAATCAGAAGGCCGTCTGGAAATTCGAGAAATCAATTGAAGAAGCCTCTTCAGCGCGATGCACCTTTTCCGAGATATTTGGCGAATCTGGCCAACGTCTTCTCATCTGGAGTCTCGATCGAATGCAGAAGACCCTTGAGGTATCGATGACTGTTGATGTGATCGTGAGCAATGATGATTCCGATGAGAGTAGCGATTCCGACGAGAATGAGCCACACCCTGAAATCCGATTATGCTTTGTCATCTGCGGACAATCGATACCAGAGGAACGCGAAGATCTTCTCGTTGAACTCGTTGACGGCGAGCACACACTGGACGACGTGATGCTGAATGATCGGAGTGCGGATGGTGAAGTGGCAGAAGGTGACTCGCGGGAAGATGCCCGTGTCCGACCAGGTGACGTTGCCCACGAGATTCGTCATGATGTCGATGCCCCAAAACAGATTCGCGTTGTGTCCGAGGAAGAAGCTGAGCACGACAAACTGGACGATGATGTTGAGAAGGTAGAGCAACTTGATGACGACGTAGATGGTTGCCAGATGGGACCTGAAACCCGCATGATGGTCCGCAGATGGAAAGAGTTACTTGGTCTTCATCTCCCTGTCGCAATTCGTCAGCTTGCTCTTCATATAGTTGCCCATCTCGCGGACCTTTTCGGCAATCTCGATGCTCGACTTCATCTTGATCTCGGCGGCCGTCTCGCAGAAGTACAACAGCGGAATTTCTGGAAGAATCTCATCGCAATGGTGCCGACGGATTCCGAATTCACCCACCATACATCGACTGCGCCTTTTTCCACACCAATTTCGGCGCCACAAATCCCAAAGCCATGACGGTGAGATAGATGGCGGCCCATTGATAGTAGGTCACGTTGTTGTCGGCACCCTTGACGCTGTCGATGGTGTCGATTTGGGCGGCGTCGCCAACATGGTGGGTGTTCTTGATGAAGCAGTACGTCTCGGCGTACTCTTGCCAGTCTTTCGCGTACGTCCTCGGAAACCAGCACTGGATCGGCGAGCCGACGTACGTCTTCGCCGAGATGAACACGGCGAAGAAGATGAGCAGAAAGGCGGTGGCGAAACAGCTGAGCACGTCGGAGAAGTCGTCGATGGCGCTGTAGGAGACCGCCGAACGCAGTTGATCAACGAACGGCAGCTGGAACATTCGGCTCGCGCTGAAACTGTGCGCCTTTAAACAGAAATCGTATGAGTCATTTGAAGCGAGTTCTTGGGAGGTCTACTATCAGAGCTTGGTGGAATAGAATGCGCCTTTAAAATTCGCTGCGAGACCTACTAGGGTTTGCGAGAAGTGGAAAATGAAGAAAATGAAGCGAGTGGAATGAGCAAGAGTGTTACAAAGGGGCGGAGTCGTACAAGAAATAGGCGGAGTCGAGGCACAGGGGAAATCGAGGAGAGTCCAGAGAATTGATTTCTAGAATGTTTTTTGATTTATTTGAAAAAAAAAACAATGACTATTGGAAACAGAATGAGCCTTTAAAGGGATGAATTGAAGCCGAAAAAGGTGGATGAGCCTTTAAATTTCCGATTACGTATATATTCTCTGAAACGTAATGTAAAATTCTCCATAATTTTCTAAAAATTTAGTGTTTTGATTTTAAGAATTGGACCATTTTGAAGCGAGTTATGATCATTTTAAATATTTGAAAATTTTAGGCGTGAAATTGTTTTTCAAATTTCACATGCGCCTTGAAATTGGTTACGGTAACTTTTTTATGGATTTATCAATTTTTCATTTTTGAGCTGATTTTCTTGCAATTTTCTCAATTTTTGCGATAAACATTCTTAATAATTTACCATTTTCAAATAATATACGAGAAATTGATTAGATTCTTTGCAGGATCGTTTTCAACATGACTCATTGGAATCATCGATTCGATTACAGTCGGTCAGGATCGAAAAATGAGTCATACTAGAAAAAAGCCAAGCAATGTTCTAATAATTACTCATCAATCGCTTCTTGTTTTTCAAATATCAATATTATTCAGGAAAGGGATCCTAATTTTTTTTCATTTGAATCAAATGCCAATCCAAATACGGCTCGCTTTAACATTTTCTGTTCTTTGCCCAATTTTTGCTCAATCGTTAAAAACTTCATAGGCCCGATTCTAATGCATTTAGCTACCTTCAAAGAAAATTTCAGTTAGTTTGGTGGCATTTTGAAAATTTCGGTTTCGAGGTCGACGGAGGTCAACCCCAAAAAAAAGTATTTTCATCGATCTCGCCAATTCTTTCCAAATTTCGTACATAAATTCTCCATAATTTTCTAAGAATTTTAGTGTTTTCATTTTAAGAATTGGATCATTTTGAAGATAGTTATGATCATATAAAAATTTACATTTTAGGCTTGAAATTGTTTTTCAAAATTCCGCATGCGCCTTGAAAATGGTTACTGTATTTTTTTTTCTCAACTTGAATTTTTTGTTCATTTTTGAGCGGATTTTCTTGCAATTTTCTCATTTTTTGCGAAAATCTTTCTTTCTTATTGCTTTAGAGTGAATAAAAGTATAATTCTAAATTTATAACAGCCAGAAATTTACACGATTGTTCTCCTGGTTCCCAAAATCTCAAATTTCCCTCTTTGAGAAAATATTTTTCATTTATGTTTTTTTTAGAATACTTCCTATTCATTTTTAGCATTTATTACACGTTTAAAAAATGCTCCTTTTGGTCAAAATTTTCAATTTCAGATCGACTCAACGCATGCCACCAGCAAAATTTGCGAATCAGCCAATTTTCCGCGATTTTCCATTAAAAATCAAGGAAGCTTTTCCAAATTGTGCATTCGATTTGCGAAAATCACTCATAAATATAAGCTGTCTCACGATTTGATTTAGAAAAATCATTCATTTTGGTCCATATTTTTTAATTGTCTCATTTTTAGGAAAAACGCCCAAATTTCGCAAAATTTCTGAAAATTCATTTTTTTTTCAAATCGATTTATGTCGATTGCGCATTCAATTTTTTGTTGAGTTTCTCACGAAGAAAAACGAATCAAAAATGATTGAAATTAGATAGCAGCCTTCTCCGGCGCGTTGTGAACGAGCGGCTCATCGGATTCCATGAAGGCGTCGAACATGAATACGGCGAGTTCGGAAGCGACGATGTCACTCTGCGATTTGACGAACGAGAGAATCAGAAGGCCGTCTGGAAATTCGAGAAATCAATTGAAGAAGCCTCTTCAGCGCGATTCACCTTTTCCAAGGTAATCAGCGAATTCTGCCAAAATCGGCTTGTCGGGAGTTTCGATCGAATGGAGAAGACCCTTGAGGTATCCATGACTGTTGATGTGATTCTGAGCGACGATGATTCCGATGACGGTGGCTATTCCGACCATGATCACCCACATCCTGAATTCTCATTCGGGTTGTGAGACGATTCAACTCAATACCAAATGAATGTGAAGATCTTCTCGTTGAACTCATTGACACCGAGCACGCATTGAATCACATGACTCTGAAGAACCGGTGTTCGGATCGTATAATGACAGTAGGTGATGCGCGGGAAGATGCCCGTGTCCGACCACGAGACGTTCAACAGCAGATTCGTCATGATGTCGAATCCCCAAAGCAGATTCGTATTGTGTCCGAGGAAGAAGCTGAGCAGCACGAATTGGCCGATGATGTTGAGAAGGTAGAGCAACTTGATGAAGATGTAGGTGTAGGCGAGGCGAGACCTGAAAACCCGCAAAATTGTCCGCAGACGGGACGAGTTACTTGGCCTTCTTCTCCTTCTCCCTAATCATCAGCTTGCTCTTCATATAGTTGCCCATCTCGCGGACCTTTTCGGCAATCTCGATGCTCGACTTCATCTTGATCTCGGCGGCCGTCTCGCAGAAGTACAACAGCGGAATTTCTGGAAGAATCTCATTCGCAATGGTGCCGACGGATTCCGAATTCACCCACCATACATCGACTGCGCCTTTTTCCACACCAATTTTGGCGCCACAAATCCCAAAGCCATGACGGTGAGATAGATGGCGGCCCATTGATAGTAGGTCACGTTGTTGTCGGGATTCTCGACGCTGTCGATGGTGTCGAGCGAGGCGGCGTCGTGAATGTAGTGGGTGTCTTTGAGGAAGCAGTACGTCTCGGCGTACTCCTCCCACGCCGACGAGTACGTCTGCGGCAGCCAGCACTGAATCGGCGAGCCGACGTACGTCTTCGCCGAGATGAGCACCGCGCAGAAGATGAGCAGAAAGGCGGTGGCGAAACTGCTGAGCATGTCGCAAAAGTCGTCGATGGCGCTGTAGGAGACCAGCGTGCGAAGCTGGTCCATGAACGGTAGTTGGAACATGATCCTCTGAAATATGGCAATCTAGTGGCGAAAAATGGGGGGGGGTCCCGGCTTGGTTTCGTCGGCAAAAAAAACGAACGAAATAAATGATGAATGGACGAATCGTATCAATCCGAGCGGCGAAATCATTATTAAAAAAGATATGAAGGAAGTGGGCGGATCGCAATGAAATTGATCGTGTTGGCGAGCTGAAAACATTCGTTTATTAAAATCCATAATTGGAGATTTCAAACCAACATCTTTCGATCCAATCTTTCGTGTTTTGGATCAATTTTAAATGGTTCCTTAAAGCTAAAAAAGGTGCCAATTATGATGGTCGAATTAAACAAAAAAAAACTCGCTCCAAACCTTTTTCCACGCGAGACCTCAAAATGATGAATCAATCGCAAATCGTCTTTCGCCGTGGAAATTCGCCGCGAGACCCAACTCAATTTTCGACGGCTGTTGAATCGAATTGAACATTTTTTGCGATTGCGGAAAATTGGCAAAATGTCAAAAAAAAAAACACAATGACAGGTCTTGACAAAGGATAGCTTAAAGGCACATTCCAAAATTTCTATGTCCACTAGATCTACAGTAACCAGGCGAATCTGGCGAGTTCCCACCCAACAATTTGCTTCGTCATTTGCGAAAAGCAAACAAAACCAATTGCAATTTTCGAAATTGAAAAAAAACCAAAATGATTGCAATCATTAAAAAAAATTTATCCGTCCGGAAGTGATCATTATTACACATTCTTTTTTTTCCGTCTTTCGAGTCTATTTACAAAATCGATTCGGCGTTTGCAATTCATAAGAGCTCGAAGCCTTGCCGATTCGCCTGCTCCTTCTCGGCGACCGTTGCCGTCGTTTCGTCGTAGGTCTCGACGCGACGCTCGCCGTAGACGACGCAGAACAGCGGATCGTTGACGCGCTTCATTCCGTCCTCTTCGCCTTGATCGATGTCAATGTATTGGTGCTGAAATGAAACAAAAATTCATATAGAAGCTAGCGGCCAAAAAAAACAACAACAACAACAACAACAAAACATCAAAAGGCGGTTTGAGTTTGCAAAATATTTCGTTTTCGTGGCAAGACCTCATAGATTCAATCAGGAGCAACATTTGCGAAAATTGTTCGCCGAAATCGGCGGGGACCCAAAGAATTCAAAATTTTTTTCGTTTTTGATGTATTTATTTTTGAAATATGACATAGTCGACGTCCAGCGACCGCTGTACGCGGGTAGATTTACGAGGATGCGTCTTTCTCTTGGTCTCGCACGGACTAACAGGGTATTTCAAATTTTTTAATCGAATGACGTTGGAAATTTAAGAAAATGTGAAACTCATCAAGTTCTCGTGAAAACAGCAAAATAAGCGTTCAAACGTGGCGAGACCTTTTCAAGGCGCGTGCGCGTAAATTTACAACAGTCGCCGGACGCCTACTACAATTTTTGACAAATTCTACAACGCCTTCCGGATTCGACAAGCCTAAATCGCACAAATTTCGCAGTTCTCATTTTTCGAGCGTAATTTCTTCAACAATCAAATTTTGGCGTATTGGGGAAGCCGAACAAAATAAAATCAATTCCTACCAGATTCATTTCTTTCATGTCGCGATCGAATTGCTCCCTCGTCTCAAAACTGAAGCAAATCTGGAAAAAAGAAAATGAGATCAAATGAGATGCGAATCGGCGAGTTCGAGCTTACCGCGCAACTCGGATCCATGTCCAAAAAGTGCATTTTCGACAACAGCTGACAATGATACGATTTTTCCGGATTTTTCGCCCTTTTATTTCCGCCGCTCGTTTCACCATCGACGACGGGACCATCGACGTCGATCGGCGCGTATTCATGAGCAACGTGCGGATCCAAATAGATGACGTGCTGTAGGAAACAAAAAAAAATGCGACACACAATTAGGGACCATTATTATCGTGAGCGTTTACATCATCATAGCATCCGATAAACCAACACGATCGATTCGGTTTGCCTCCGGTGACTCCCAGCGAGCGTTCCATCGAGAAAATGTACTTCAGATGCGACACGTAGACCTGAAATTTTCGAGCTTCCACAAAAAAACAGTGTCAAAAATTAATTGTGCCTGCTTTTCTCTTTTTTTTTCACAGCGAATTGGTACATTTTTCGTATTTCACCAGCTTCGAGCTAATTTCGGTCAAATTGAAGCAATCAAGAAAAAAAAACGACGCGACCGCTCGCGAACCGCAACGCGCCTGATCTACCAAATTCAGGCAGCCGAGCTTTTCATGGAGTTTAATGGTTGGAAATCATCAAGTAATTAAAAATGCGCAATTTTTTTCAATTAAAATTTTTGTCGTCGACCTTCGCGTGATTGCGGCTAAACACCAAAAAATTTAAAACAGGTCTCGAAACTATCCCTATATGTACTTTGATCCCGTAAATCTACACTTTGAATTATGCGTCAAGACCACTGGCATTTAGCCAATTTTCCGCAGTGAAAAAAAACGAAACAAAATGCGACCGACCGGATTGATTTCGCTGGCGCCGAGTCTCGCGACGACAACCAATATCAAGTGTTTCGACCAGTTTCGCGTTTCGATCTCAATATCGCGAATGTGAATTTTGCCGTCGATCGCCAAAACCATTGCGATGTTGCCGAGAAGCGCCGACGACGACTCGTTGATGCATTTTCTGCAATTCGATTGATTCTTGAAGCGCAATTCGATGTCAAACATTTCCCCCAAATGGTCTCGCCACGAATGAATGCATATTTTAGGCACTTAAAGGATCAAAAAAAATTTTTTTTCGAGTTTTTCCAGTTGCAGCGAAATAACATGATCATTTTGGGAAATCTCTTTAAAAAAAAATCTTTAAAACCCATATTTTAATTGTAAAATTTTTTAAAATGAAAATCTCCATTTGAATTTGTGCGTCGGGTCTCGTCGCGCACTCAATTGTGGCTAGAAACCCCCAAAAAAAAATTCATTTCATTTTTTTTGGGTTTTCAGAACGATATTTCAGAAAAACCGGCATCCTTCACCAAATTTCTCGTTTTTTCTCATTAAAAAACTTGAAACTTTTGATTCTATGAAGTTTTCGTGGCTTTTTTTTCTCAAAATCAGAAAATTCGCTTCTCAATTGACAATTTTCGAATCGTTTGAAAACCATTTCGCCATTTCACATTAGGATCATCAAAATCAAAATAAAAAAAGGACAAATTACTTCATTATATGTACAGCTTCACTCGGCGAATACCACGATCCGATCGCTTTGTCGCCTTTTTCTCTTTGCGCAATCGAAACGAACCGATGAATTCCGAGAGGCGCCGAGTTGTTGTCCTGCAGAAGAAAAAAACCCAAGTGATGTCAATCGAATTTTCAAAAATTCAAATTTTGGCATCAAATACAGTTTTCCGTTTTTTTGCAATTCCCCGGCGCAGATTTAACAAATTCAAAAAATATCGAAAATTCCATTAAATTTGTGCATTTTTCTATTCCTGCATTCGAAAAATGTGTCATTTTTTCTCTTCCATGAATAAATCCAACAGTTTTCATTCTTGGCACGAAATTGACAAATTTTTGGCATGCGCCTTTAATGTTGTACATATACGGTTGGTTTAGGTATGTCTGATCCGCAGTCAAATCGTTAATTTTTTTCCGGAACAACATTTTTCACCAAAATTCGACATTACAGTAATTTTGAAATTGAATTTCGTTTTTTTTTCAAATGACTTTAAAAGGCGAAAAAGAATTGTTGAAGAGGTCTCGGCGCGATTGGCTGCCTCCAGTATTTCGTCGCGAAATCAACAATTTTTGGCATGCGCCTTTAATGTACACATACGGTAGTTTTGAATATTTTTAACGGGTCAATTTGAACTTTAAAAAATCGACAAAATTTTCGCATTTTCGCACTTCCTCATCAATTTACCTCAAATAGTTTGAGAATCGCGAGCTCTTGCCGCTTCGTCTCATTCAGTTCCAGCTGACTCGTCGATATACCTTGAACGCACGATCGTTTCCGTTTCGTGTACCTCCAGTCTAAAATAAAAAGAAATAGCATTTCCCAAAAAAAAGAATCTAAATATTTTCTGACATTTCGCTGACTACCGTAATCCGAAAAACCAATTAAGTGTTAAAGGAGTCCTGTTTCAAAAGCGTCAATTTCGAAACACTAGGACCCCCCCCCCTTTAACACTATTGACAAAATATTGGATTCCTAGGAGGACCGAAATTCATATTTTTGAAATAGGACCCTTTTTAACATTTTTCCCCGACACTTCGGTAGGACCATTTCTCAAAAAATTTCAAATTCGGACCCCACCTTTTTGACACGTTTTCGTAAAATTTACCAAAAGCGCACAAATGTGATCCCGCGAACGTCAGAATCACTGCGAACTAGTTTTCGCTGGCATATACGCGACTCAGCCTCAAATACCTCGTCCGAGTCGTTTGACAAGAATCGCCTGCGCCAACATCATCTGCGTCGTTCGTATCATACATCCCCAACCGCAGTCGGTCGTCGATGGCGTGTCGAGAAGCGGCGGAAAATTGGTGCGATACGTGATCCAGATGCGCGAGTTGTAATCGGCGCAAAACTCGTCGAATCCGCACTGCTCGACGGCGCGATTCGGAAAATAGCAGCGGCCGAGGAGAAAGACGATCGTGTTGCCGGTGTACTCGTCGCTTCGGTCCGCCATCCACGTGCTCGAATACTTCAGATTGTTCCACGTCGACCAGACTTTCGCCTTCCAGTGCTGATGCTGCTGCGGCTTCTTTTTGTGCTCATCGTGCGACGATGATGACGACGGCCGAATCGAGCCCATCACAGAAGCGCTGGCGCTGTAAATTTGCGAGCATTTTCAGAATGAATTTCTTTTTTCAGTCGCATTTTTGGCGGCAAAAAACTCCCAAAAACCCCAACCTTCGCAATTTCGTTATCCAATTTTCCGACGACGACGACGACGACGCCTGCGGTTTCGATTGGCTCAAATTGATCGGAATCCCATTCGAGTCTTCTGAGAAAAAGAAATGAGTGTACTTGTCATTTTTCGCTTCGGGACCAATTCTTACCAATAATTACCGTATCCATGTCCGGCGGCGATCCATGCCTCAATATATGCTCCATCATTCCGCGCTCATCGTCGGAGTTGCTCGATTCCGACGAGGGTCCTAAAGCAAATTATTCGAAAATTTTCGAGGCAACCTACTTCTCAACGACGATGAAGGCTTCCGATCATCATTCATTAATAATTCCTTCAAACATTATTATTTTAGAGCATTTTTTGTGGAAAAAAAAATAGAAATTAACGGTAAAAACCGAAAAGTGATGAAGATTATTAACAAATGGAAGATTATCAAAAATTTTATTTCCTCAAATTGCAAACATCGCTCATCGTCTTAAAACCGGCGAATGCGAAAAACTCGCGATTCATGTAGTCGCGAAAATCGTCGACTTTGCACAAACCATCAATGAGCACCTGAAATTTGCATATTGGCGAGTGGATATGACGGGCATATTTCTTTCACTATATATTGTAGTCGGCGTCACGGTGAGCGCTGTACGCGGGTAGATTTACGCGCACGCGCCTTGAAAAGGTCTCGCCACGTTTGAACGTTTATTTTACTGTTTTCACGAGAACTTGATGAGTTTCACATTTCCTTAAATTTCCAACGTCATTCGATTAAAAAATTTGAAATACCCTGTTAGTCCGTGCGAGACCAAGAGAAAGACGCATCCTCGTAAATCTACCCGCATACAGCGGTCGCCGGACGTCAACTATGTCATATTTCAAAAAGGAAACATCAAAAAGGAGAGGATTTTCGAAAAAATTTCCGAAAAACATTAATAATCAATCAATCAATCTAAAAAAAAGTATATTTTGCGTCTTTTTTTTTTGAAAATGCTATTGAAATTCGATATATTCGACAGTCATTGATTTTCGTGTTTTTTTTTTTTTGGAATTTTTTTCCCATAAAATTTGACAGCAGTCGCCGGACGCCGACTAAATAATCAATTTTGGCGAGTTTGAATTTTAATGGATCTGTAAAAAATAGTAAAAAAAAATAGCGGCGAGTTCGACATATATCTCGAGTTTTGATACAAAATTCTACTTTATAAGGGCCCAGTTGGAAAATTGAAAATTTTGGGAATTTGATATGCTTATATACCGTTCAAATACGTCGAATTTCGAGAAAAAATTGGTTCTACACCAAAAACTTTAATAAAAATTCGAAAAAGACACGGTAATTCCGAAAAAGTGCACTCATTTGCTTATTTTCAACAAAAAGCCACTCATGTTTATGAGACCCGGGTTGTTTTTATAAATTCTTTGAAACCTATGCTATACTGGTGAAATTCAATTTTTGGTTTTAAAAATTTATTTTCTTTTCATTAAACCAAAATCACCTTGCAGAATCCAATTTTATTCGTGAAATCTTTTCCGTTGAACAAAACACGAAACATTGAGCCGCTCGGGTGCTCAAAAGCCTACAATTCTCATTTCGAAATTCCCGAATTCAGGAAAACCACCTCAAAAACCAAACGCGACGTGTAGGGCACCGGCTCGTTGTGCTCGATGCCGAGAAGGAACAATTGAGCGCCGATGAAAATGTCGTGATTGGAGAAAATCTGAAAAAAAGCGTCTTGTCAAATAGAAAAGCGCGAAATTTGAATATTCTAGAGAAAATCGAAAAAAAAAACCGTTGTTGGGCCCATAGAATTACCTTAAAGACTCGCTCATCTCCCAAATTCTGCATTCCGTCGAGGACGTATGTGAAAAACGGATACGCAGCCATTGCGATGAATCTCCGCGTGATTCCCTCGTCGTTTTTGATATTCGATTTCCACAATTCCGCAACATATTCATACATCTAGCAATTGAATGATGGAAATGACAATTTCGGCGGTTAGTAGAACCTCATAGAGCGTCGAATAATCGCGACAAATCGGCAAATCGCATTGCGGATGGCAAACGAATCCCGATATCGCTTTGTCGATATAGTTGAACGGCGTTCCCACGCGTCTGAATTCGAATAGAGAGCAAAATTGACGCAAAAATGCGGACACAGCCAAACTACAGTACTCAAAAAACACAAAATATCTACCCAATTTCGGGATGGCTCAATTCCAATGCCGAAATCGCCGATTTCAATCGTTCGACGGGCTTCCTCTCGAACATCTCGTACATTTCGCGAAATGGTTTGTGCATGATCTCGGTGAAATTTCGACATCGACAAAATTCGTCGGCGCACAAATTCGAGTCGTTCGAGGCCTACCAAAAAAAAACTATCGATTCGCTTATCGATCGTCAACAATTCTCGCTACCTTTATATCAATCGACGCGTTGAGTTGCCGGTTTTCCAGCAATCCGGCGAGAAACGCTTCGGCTGACGTGAAAGTTCGCTCGAGATTCGATGTTCGCGCGCTGATTTTCGGCGATTTTGCCGATTCGAAAACTGAAATCGACGGGTCTCGAGAAGAAAAGAAAACAAATACAGTTTGAGTAGGCTTTTGCCATGAATCGTCCCAATTTGAGATGTTGGATGACACCTTCCTTGGCGAGAAAGCCTTGTGTACAATTTGATCTACAAAACCGCTTATATTATCGTCTACAAAAAAAAAGAGCAAATAAAAACCTCACTTTTCCCTTTCATTCTTCCATTTTTCGAGTTCCGCGCCGATTTGGAAAATTCCCGACGTTTCAAAATCATTTCGAAGCTTCTTGAATTTTTCAAATTCTCGCACTTCGCGCTTATTTCGAAGGGAATTACATTCGAGATTTTTCACGGGTAGAATTCTGAGAAAATCTCCGACTTTGTTAACCCAAAAAAAAACCATCCCGCCCAACTTTTTTCCGTGTCGAAAAATCATAAAAACGCCGCGAAGCGTCAAATTCTTTTTCGCGCCTTCATCGCCGCTAAGCGGCTTCTCGTAGAATTGGCATTGATCCAAAACGAATTCGCGTCGCGTGCCATCATCTTTCGGCACTTCTCTGGCGAGAATCGCAATTAGAATAATCGGCACCAGAATGACCACAACGATTAGCGCAATACACTGCAATTTATTGGAAAATTTTGCAATTTCGATTTGAAAAAAAAAATCCTTACTAATATCAATCTTCTGGTGGTGATCTTCTGCGGAACATCGCTGAAAAACGAAACTCGCTTTGAAAAAAAAAAATTGTAAAAATCGAGAAAAAATTACCCCCACTCCATTTTGAGATTTTTTCGCTAAGAAAACTATTGGACGAGGGACGTTTGAGAATGAAAGAGATTGGTTTCGCGAGATAACAAGCAATTGAACAGTTTTTTTCAATTTCACCAGTCAACGGAAAGAAAATTGAAATTTATGGCCAAAAATTCAAAGTTGTGTGCAAACACGCAACGCACAAATGCAGACAAATGAAACTACAGTACTCAAAATTTTTATTTATTGTTTTAAATATTTTTTTTTCTCCCAAATTCCCACCTTAAAAAGTAAAATATTGGCAACTCTTCCATTTTCGTCGACAAAACTGTCTCAAATTAAAAATGGCGAGCAAAATTGAAATCAATTAACGCGACCATCTCATAAAAATTTGCCAACAATTCGAATTAATGGGCCAATCAATTAACAAACCTCACATTTTCCACAATAAACCTTTCAAACTCACCCTGTTCACGATATTGCATCTAAAAATCGCAAAAAATTACACCAATCCTCACATTTTTTTTTGCAGATATTTCATTGTTTCAACAATTGCGACGAAACCAAAAAAAGAAAAGAGAAGCCCCGAATAAAACGGAAATCACATGTATTAAATAAATTGGAGAACCCATAAGACGAACAAAACGAAAAAGGCGCAAAAATTATCACAATTTGCAAATCTCTTGAAAATCCCGCACTTTGGCCAACTCGAATATTCCCGATTCGACGAAACGCTCGAACGCCGACGCCCGACACATGCCAAATTTCAGGTCATCGTTCTGAAATCGCAAATTCCAACAAAGCGTCGAAAAATGTGCGACCAACCTTACAAAATCGCACTTCATCGCTTCGATTTTTTCCATTATAAAGTACCCGAATGAAGACACCTTCGTCCGAATGCTCGTAAATCTGCAATTATGGTCCTCGATTTTTGTTTTCAAAATCCAAAAAAAAACTATTAGGACTGGCTATTTTAAATGCAAATTTTTCTTAAATCGTCAATATTTTTTGGCTTTTCTTTTTAGCGTAAAATTTTTCTTTCTAAATCTTTTGGGGACACAAATGAAAGTCCTTTCAATTTGAAAAAAAATCTTTTAAAAATTTTTTCTTTTAAACTTGCCGAAAAGAATGAGAAATTTAATTATTAATATAGCAATAATTGAAATTTTCATCATTTTTTTGGCTAATTTTTTATTGAATTTCTCAAAATGGGCGAAAATTACCTCAAAAACGACTCGAGCCGTGTAATGCGGCGGATCGATGAATCGAATTCCGAGAGTTCGAAGAATCGGCCCAACAACCGCGTCGTGAGCCGAAAAAACCTGAAAATCAAAGAAAGGCTTGCAAATTCGCTAAAAAAAAAAAAAACAAAACAAAAAATTCTCACGCGAATATAATTTGTGTGCGGAAATTTGCGAATCCTCTCGATCGCCATCGTCAAATAAGTGAGAATCGGATAGGATTCGAGAATTTGAAGGCGTCGCGCGATTCCGATCGTTTCATCGAACATTCGAGCACCGCGAATCGTCGAAATGTTCACAATCTGCAATTTTTCTTGAAATTTAAAACAAAAATAAATGCATGAGATTTTGAAGCAATGATTATTGTAGTGATTTAAAGGCGCATTTGCATAATTTTCAAAGTTCAACAGCGAAAAAAGAAATTATCATCGAATTTCGTTTCGCGATTTTCTTTATGTCATTTTTTCGTTTAAAACATGAGCAAAATTTGGTTAAAACAATCGAAAATCAAAAATTTTCCGTGATTTTGGAAAGACAAAAAATTTTGTCAAAAACATCTGCGGACAATAATCGAGTTCAGAAATTGTCTTCTCTTTTTTTTATCCAAAAACTTGTTTCTCACAAAAATTCAAAATTTCATCTCATAATTCTCCTTCATTTTGTCCGCAGATGGAATTTTCTTTTTACAAATTCTTAATAACATTTGAATCCAACGAGATTACCTGATTCAAAAATTCATAGGTAATGCATTTCTCCTCGAAACACGGCAGCGTTTTTCTACGACAAATATAGTGTCCCAAACTGATGTCGATTAACTGGAACGGATCTTTCGCGAATCTGAAAACTTTCAAATTCTTTTCGCAATTTCAAATTGCTTAAAATCGATATTCCAATAATTTTTTTCAATTCAAAAAATTTGAAAAAAAAAAACGCAATTTCAATTCTGACAAATAGTGGAAAAATTTGAAATTTTCATGAAAATCGGCATCAAATAAAATTTTCAGACGCAAAAAATCGTCAAAAATGAGCATTTTTCAATTTTCTTGGTGCTTCTCATTAATCTAATTCAATTCCAAAATTCTCAATTTTCGGCTAAGAGCCAAAAAGAATCTCCGACTCACTTATATTTTTCATGATTCGCGAGAATCTCATCAACGCGTCGCTTAATTTCGGGCGACGCTCGACTCAGAAACTCTTCGAGATGCTCCTTCTCATATTGAAGACGCATCTTCTTGCCGATCGGACAATCGCAGAACGCGTCGAGACATTGGAACGAGTAATTCGAAACCTGAAACACATCGAAACTCGTTTGCGATGAAATTTAAAGGCGCATTAGTTGAATTGAAATGCTTACCCGAATCGGAATCGGCGCGAAAATCTCCTTTTGTTTGTAGAAGAATTCCGAGGCGAACGCCAAAGCCGATTGAAACGTTCGAAAATAATTGGACGTGGTGATTTCGGCAACAATTCGCTGATTCTCTGTAATTCGATTCTGTGAATCACACGTGTGTATGTGTGTGCTCAAAACCAATCGGATCCAACAAAATTCGGCTCCGGAATCAATCCGATCCGGATCCGATTGGTTATTTGGATATTTTCGGATCCGATTAGATTCGAATCGGCTCCGACAAATAACCTATCTTATCCGTAAAACTACAAAAAAAAAATCCGATAAAATTCGGTTGATTCCAGAGCCGAAATTTATCGGATCCGATTGGTTTTGAGTTGCCAGCGTGTGGTGCTAACCTTCAAGCAGAAGCGACGACGCCGAATATTTTTTGCGTAGAAATTTGCCGAGCCGCACGTGCTGGAGAGCTCCTTCCGCCGTCAAATTGCCAGCGGAGCATTCAGCGCTGAATGGGATAACAATTAAAAAATAATAATAATAATTCCACAATCATTTTTTTTTTTCATTTCAATTCACTATGAACTCACGTCAAAAAAAATGACGCGAAATTTCGTTATTTTCAAAGGCGAGGTCTTGGAGTGAAAATCGTATTTTTTTTCACTTTCTTAATTTTTTTCGATTTTCTCGCGATTTTGTTTATTTTTTTGGGTATATTTTTTCATAATTAAAAAAATAACGTTTTTTCCAGGAAAAACAGCCAACCAGTGTCAGTTGGAACCATTAAAAATTGATTTTTTTTTAAATTTTAAGCCGCCATTAAAAAATTAATCAAAACACTTTTTTTATTACCTGAACAGGCCTTTAATATCATTATTTTAAAAACTTCATTCCTTTATTTGATTCCAAATCATTTCTCAAGGTTCTTAAAACGAAAATATTTGCAATTTTTCAACTATTTTTTTTTGTTTTGACACGCGTCGCGGCTCGACCGCAACGCGTCTCATAATCGTCAAAAATTGAAGAAAGATCGTACTCGAATGGATATTTCCGCCATTGTTTCGCTTTCGCATCAATATTGACGGTCACTTGGAAATCGTCGCTGTCGATGAGACGCTTGTAATTTTGGAATGCGATTCGATCGGCGTCGCGCGACGCAAGACATCCGGTTTTGTCGTCGACGTCTCCAATGCTCGATCTACAAACTCCAGAGTTCCAGTTTTTTTTTCAAGCTCGTCGAAGCTGCTCAAAATGACCAAAAATTTGAGACCACGAGAAATTGAATTAGTAGCAACGAAACGACACTGCTAAATTGAGGGCGATGTGTGAATGGAGTGTCGTACTCGTAGAGTAGAATTTTTTGGAAAATCCCACAATTCGAAGTTTGGCACTCAAAAAAATTCAAATAAATCGATTTTTGAGCATTCACACGGAAATCTCAAATTCCGCTCGTCACACCTTTTGCGATTCGACGAGCCCCGAGCTGCTCCAGCTCCACCCACCTCTCACCGTGCCGAAACGTGATAAACATTCCGCGCATCTTCAATTTGCCTTCATAATCGCTTCCTCTGATCCATTCGTCGCCTTCTTCGCCGACAACCTCGTGCTCCAAAAACTGGCACAACTCGCGAATGTCCTCCTTCTCCCAGCGCGGCGTCGCCGATTCGCCGTCGGCGGCGTCATTCACCGAATCGGACCCTACAAATCGAAATGGTCCCTTAATTCGTTTCTCGTCTACCATTGTGTGAAATCGTGTAAAGCGCAAATAGAATTAAAGCGATAATTGTGCAATCCTGCAATTAGTTGTCGTCAGGGACCAACGAAAATCCTTACCAATAACCGTAATCTCGTCATTTCCACATGAGACCAAAATCGCTGAAAATGTCCCTTATTGAATGGAGGCGGCAATTTCGAACAAAAATGAAGCAAATAGAAATTTCGGAGGATAACCAGTTGGAGAATTTGGCCAAATATTGATGAGCCGGAATTCGATGAATATAACAATCAATTTATTATTGTTGAGATCCGAAAAACGAACGGGTAAAACGGAGATCGATAAAAAATGGGAAGATGACTTAGAATTGGGGTCAAATACAAATATACATACAAAAAGTGAACAAAAAAGGTTATTATGCGCGAAAAGAACGCAAATTTATGCGATAAAACGGGTCGCATAAAATTATAATTATGGGATATTCAATATTTACACACATTTGCCCATTTTTGAGCACAACAAATTTTTTGAAAAAAAAAATTCGAGCATTTTTGAGCAAGATTTCGCGCAATTTGAATTTCTTCAAGAAACATTTTTCAATACGATATCGATTTTCGAAAAAAAAAAATTATTTTCGACTAGAACAATTATAAACTTGACTAGTAACCTTTCAAAAAATTTGTAATTAAATTAAAATTCTAAAAAAAATGCTTCCAACATTTTCGCTTCGAGGAAAAAATGTTCAATGCTCCTTTAAAGTGGGTAGGACGTGGTCCCGAAGCGAAAATATGGGAAAAAAATTTTGGAAAAGGGGCAAATTTTCCATAAATACTAGTGTAAAGCGAACCCACAACAATGGGAATACATTAAAAAAATGAAAGACGACAACCGCTTGATTAATTTACCACCATTCATCATCATTCACATGATCGGTAGGCTTGTCGAGCTGCAATTCGTCGCCCATCGTGATCTCCATTTCTTTGGGCGGAGCTTCAACAACAGCAGCCTCTTGCTTCTTCCTTCCCTGCATGATTTTCTGCATGTATTCGGCCATGACCGGATCGACGCCAGTGAAAAGCTGATTCGAAGCTGATGTGTTTGAATGAGGAGGAGGAGGAGGAGTAGGAGCTGGAGCTGAAGCAGGTTGAGGCTCATCCACATGAGTCTCAACCTTCTGCTGATGCTGCTGTTGCTTCTCGACGTTCCGCTCTTGAATTCTCCTCTCAAATTCCGTCATTTTCTGAAATTTTCAAGATTCGTTTAGGATTTTCGAAAAATCTTGAAAAATATGTGTTTATAATTGGAATTTCTCGAAAATTCCTATTTTAAATAAGAAAAATTATCGAATTCGATATATTTTCTATTAAAATCCGTTGAAAACACCATAATTTTGAAATATTTTAGTCAAAAAAAAAAAATTCTAAAAACACTCACATTTTCTTCAATTCGCTCCTCCACATTCATTGGCTTCTCCTCAATCATCGGTGGCGCGATTCTCGGCGAGATCAATCGAATGCCCTTCAAGTGTTTCGGCTGCTCTTGCCTCGTCGCTTCATCAGAAGCACGCCGTCTCGTCGACGGCTTCTGCGGCGACGACGTCTTCGGCGACGTCGTACTCTCATCGTCGACACTGGTTTGATGAAGGGCACGGCAGAAATCATCATAGAGCTCGACCTGAAATCACTTTTTCTTTTTGACAACAAATTTTTCAATATATCAAAAGTCATTTTTTGTCATTTTCTTTTCAAAATTTTTTGTCATCTTCAAATTCACCTTCGAGTCGTCATAATCGATCGGCTCCTTTCGATTCGACGAAAACGAGAAATGCTCAACGGAAGCGTCAAGCTCTTTCGCAATCTCATCAAGATTCTGAATCCGCTGCCGAATATGGAGAATCTCCATTTCGCCTTCCGACAACGACGACGTCGACGATTCCGACACCGTCGACTTCTGCCGTCGGCATCTCTTGTAATTATTATTTGTTCGCGATTTCGTCGTCGAATTCAGAAAACCGCCACGCGACACCATCTTCTGCATCGTTTTGAGCTCCTGTTTGAGCATGTCGCGCTCCATTTCAAACTCTCGACATTTTTCCGTCAGTAGCGCGATTCGCGATTTCGCCGAATTCAGCATTTTGCGATGCTTCTGCTCGGATTCCTCAAACTCGTCGCATTTCTCGGCGACGGCCGCTTGAATTCGCTGCGAATTCTGAATTCGGAGCTCCTCAATCTGAAAACAAAACAAAAATTTTGGAATTTTCTTTTCTTGAGAAAAAAAGAGCCAAGAGAGCCCACCTCTTTGCGCAATTGCTCATTCTCCGCCTTCAGACGATCGTAATCCGCGGTTCTTCGAATCTCGAGCCTCGCCGCCGCCAATTCTTGGCGAGTTTCGTTCAAATTTCTCGCCGTCAACTCAATTTCGGTCTGAAATTTTCAACCAAAATCACTTTTCCAAGAAAAAAATCCTACTTTAATATGCTCGACACTCGAATTCTCATCTAAAAGTCGAAAATTCTCGGCCATCAGCTCCGCAATTTTGCGTCTCGTCTCATTCGCGTCGTTCTCGAGATCCTTCGTCCGCTTCTTCCACATTCGCAGCTCATGCTCGTGCACAATGTCCGAACTCTGCCGCGCGCTCACCTGCACCGCGTTCATCGCCAACTTCTCCTTCTCGAGCCGAATCTCCTCCATTTCCGCCTCGAGCTTCCGATTCCATTCCTCTTTGACCTTCTCGAAGTTCTCCTTGTTCAACATCAATTCGGCCATTCGATTTTCGATGGTCCGCCGTCGCGTCTCGACGTCGTGCTCCTTCTCCGAGATTCGCATCTCGAGACGATGCTCCAACGTGCGTTCGCGTTCGGCGAGCTGATCCAACGCATGGTTCTTCTCCCTCTCGACCTTCGACAACTGCACCTTCACCTTCGCGTCGTATTCGGCCTTTATCGCCAACAAACGTCGTTCGGTGTCTTTGCGATCCTTCTCGCGCGCTTCCTCAAGCTTCTTCTCATACCTCCGCTCGACTTTGCTGCAAATCTCCTGAGCGAGAAGCTTCAACTGCATTTCCATGTCCGTCGACGGCAGCGCGCCGATCCGATGATTATTCGGTCTCGCAATGGCGACAGTCTAAACGAGAACGAAAATTTTGATAGAAAGTGAAAACTCAAATTACCGTATGAAAGTTGGGTAGTCGAATTTTGTCGACATTGTCCGCATTTTGTGGTCTCACAACGGTCTACAAAATTTTTTCGGGGATCATTTCTTTAAATCGTAATTCTATTTACAAGTTTTCAACTTTACTAAAAAAAAAAGAAATCCGAAAAAATGTAATATTAAGCGATTCAATTTTCTCAAATATTTTTAAGTAGAAGAGATATTCTTGATATATTTGATTTACTAACATCCTCACATTAACGCTGACTTGGATATTTATTGTGTTTCGGACATTTTTTGTTTTTTGATTGATACTTACAACTTATGTTAATTAACTCTCGCCGTTTATTCCTTTTTTGACCAATCTATTACTTATTATCTTGTAGGTAAATTGACCTTCCCTACTGTTGATCTAAAGATCGAAACGTCGGAGAAAAACATTTAAATAGTGTGCAAGACAATTAAAATGGTCCTATCAAGAAGATCTCTTCTACTTAACAATAATCCACACGAGGCACTCAAAACAAGTCGCTTAACAACTAACAAAACTTTTTCAACTATCAAATACTATTTAGATGCATGGTTAAAGAAAAAAAAATCGATTGGCATTTTTTAATTGCGAGTCAATTTTTTGAAAATTTTCACAAATTATCGACTTTTTCGTCATAGATTACTAACATTTTTTTGCTAAACATTTTAAAGAGAGAATTCATTTAAAAAATAATCAATTATGTGCAATTTTTCGTTTTTCTTCCTACAAAATTTTTATGATAAATCAAATTCTTCTTTTTTCCAAATACTATTATGTAGAGCTCGCAAAAAACTCGAACCATCAACATCGACAAAACTCTTGTAAAAACTCAATGCATGGTGCAAAAAAAAATATTTTTTTAGATTTTCGTCGAAATCTTCTCAGTATCCTTAAAGGCACATGGCCGAACGTACCGGATTATTATTCAAGACCTTATAAAGTGATCTTGTGAGCAAATTCTCCATATTGAAATAGTTTTTCCCAATTGCATCCTAAAAAATTGGGGGAAATGCATGGAGAAAATCTTATTGAATGCAAACCTTGCGAAGAATTCCAACACTTGGCTGATGTTGATGCGGATTGCTAGCCATTACATTACCTTAAAAGGAAATTAAGCATTGGAAGGCAAAATTGTGAAAAAAATATGAAGGAAAGCGAGAAATTGACGCTTTAAAAATGGAACGACAATGAAGAAGGAGTCGAATATTTATTCAAAAAAAAAAACCGAAAAAAAATCTACAACGATGAGGGGGAACCTATTTCATACACATATTTCTCTACCATGGTCTCTTCGTCTCGCCGACATCCAAATAAGCAGTTCTCTTATTGAATGTTGGCGTGTAATAATCGTCTTTGGCTGGATTGGCGAGCCCTTTCGCCATCAGACCGGGATGCTTTTCCTCAATGGTTTTCGCGTTGAGGTACACTTCTTTTTGTGGCATCGTTTCGAGACCTCGCAAATGCGTCCAATCCTGCAAAATTGTTGCGAGTTTCGCACAAATTCCAAAAATTTCGTTTTAATACCTTCACTTCATATTTCCAATAGTAATAGGCGGTTTGGATGAAGACGAACGCCATGATCACTTTTGGGACGGTCACTCGAATTGCGGTTCCGTAGTAAACGCCGAATGTTGGCTGAAATCGACATTTTCACATTTCGTTTGTTGAGAAACCCCAATTTTCGTCATTTTTAGCATGTTTTGCATGGCAAATTAGGGATGTTTTCGGAGAGAGGTGTCAATTTTAATTTTTTTCCAAAAAAAAAAGATTTTTTTGTTGGATTTGATAAAAATTGATAATTTCTGGTATTTAGCGAAAAGCTGCTTTTTGACAAGATTATTAAGAAAATGGGTTTTTGAGATTTCGATTGCAAGAAATGGCATTTTTTCAAAAATAGAAGAATATTCCAACAAAAATTCAATAATGCTTCACTACCTTCAAATAATGTAGGTAGAATTTGTCCCATGGAAGTCTGTAGAGAGTTCTGATCGGGTTCAATTGTCTATGAACAGCGTCCACAACAATTGGCTCGTCGGCGTGCAAATGTTGGTCCTGAAATCCGACATATTTTCCGAACGCCTTCAATTAAATGCCATACATGGACCCATTTCTTTCTCCACTCGCGTTCGGCGGGACTGAGGCCAGCTGCGCGAACACGCTCATCGGCCATGTGCAACTCAAGCGACATTCGATCGTTGACACGATGAAGCGGCTTGTCACTGGTCTGAGTTAGGGCTGGCGGCGGCACACCGGAGCGTGTGTACGGCGAGTTGCCAGTTTGCTGCGGTTTCACGTACTGATTACCCATTTTTCTGCAATAAATCCGCCATTGAAAATTTGGACGTTCGAATGGAAAAAAAATCGCGAAAAACAAGTTTTTTTTGTCAAAAATTAAATATTTCGGAAAATAATCATTTCACCATATTTAAATGTTAACATCCAAAAAAACACATATAATATGGTTTATTAATTCTAGCTTCATAATAAAATTAATATAAAACTCATGAAACATGCGGAAACAACCCAAAAAGCTTGAAAATCCGCGTATCCTCGAGCAACGGGCTGTTGTGCGGCATGCAAAAATGGGCGGGGCCACACGAGATGCAACCCTACCGCACATTTCACAATTACTTTATTTTTTGCTTAAAAAAATAATTTATTGCAGAAAAAAATGAAAACAAAGCAATTAAGTATACAAAGCCTGAAGTGCCGCGGAAAACTCGTAACGATTTATATATTATGATTTTTAAATCCGTGAATTACCAGCTGAGATGTCTACAAAAAAAATATATTTTAATAAAAAAAAATAATAAATTATTTAATTTACTTTTTATTTTTCACAATTTTCATGCATCCTTTCGACGACTCGATGTCTTTGATATTCTCCTCAACGGGAATGTAGGCGTGCAGTCTCGGGCGATGCTCAGAGAGCTGCCGCGAATATTTCGAGTGCGGTAGAGCCGGAACAAGAGCGTTGCCGTTTTGGCTCTCGCGCCACAATTTGTCGCTTTCGGCGTCAAAATTGGCTGAAAAATATTCAAAATCAAGCATTTTCAGAGGAAGTATCGTTTTTTTGAGAGAGTGAGAGCTTATGACTTACGAGGTGGCGAGGATTGAAGTTGATTGACAATGGAAAAAGAGACCTTCATATTTCGATCCAATATGTAATTGAGCTCAATATCATCGTCGTCGAGCCCAAACGGTCTCATAAGGTCTTGACCAACCTGAAATTTTTTGTTTTTCACTGAAAACCTCGAAAATCTTGCCTTGAACCATCCGACGAAGAACAAGAATTGAACGATGGTGAACAACGGAATGCGCAAATCGATCTCTTTGCCCGACTCGACGTCGGGAATCAGCGTCTGGCGGCCGAACAGCGAGAAGAAGAAGAACGCGTAGGTGGCGAGCGCGGCGACCTGGGTGTACACCAATGGCACACACACCCAATCATACGAATAGAGTTTGCGAAGCGATTGCCGAAATATGCGGAGTTCGGCGACGAAGTGATTGAGCAGCGACGCCGTCGGTTTGTTCTCCTGCGAACAAAATTTTCTTTGTTGGGAATTTGCCGAAAAATTTTTGAGAGTGGTTTTTTCTTTTTTTTTATTTTCTCTGCTTTGACTTTTAAAGCGCGAATTGAATCAAAAACTCAAATTTTTCAATTTTTGGTAATTTTGAAAAAAAAAACGCGAGCAAAATTACCAGAAAACATATTTTTTGGGAGTTCGATTTTAAAAGATTTGCGAATTTTTTAGAGAAACGTAGAAAAAAAAGAAAAAGCATTTATTCATTCATTAAAAAAAATTTTTTTTGTGAAAATTCATTAAGACTTTATTACTTTTTCAAAGTTTCAGCAAATAAAAAAATCAAAAATTCTATTTTTATGGGATTATTTTGGAATTTTGAAAGAAAAACGCAGTAAAAATTACCAGAAAAATAATTTGTGAATAATTTCAAATTTTCGACTCCTAGTAAAAAAACTGGCGAAAAAATCATGAACAATTAATTATTATTTCAACGTTTTGCCGTAAAATATATTTAAATTTCAATTTTTCAATCTAAAAGTGATTTTTCAAAAGAAAAAATGCACCAAAAATTAGTAGAAGACGTGTATTTTTGAAAATTTGGGCAAATATTTCCAAAATTTGAAGATTCCTTTTGAGATTTTTTGAAAGTAAATTCAATTTTTTGTCTTCCTCGCGAAAAAATTAACCCAAAAGGTGAAATTTTGAAGCGATTTTTCGAGATTTCGAGGACCCCCTTCAAAAAACCCAAAAAATTACCTCTTCGACTTGCCGCAAAATGTGCTGAATCCAATGAATCGGCGTCATCCAACGCGTCGATTCGCATTCCTCCTGAAAATTCGCCGATTTGTCGGTGTGTCAACAAAAACAAAAAATCTCACGTGAATCTTCTCAAGAATCTCAAACTCTTTTTCGGTCAGCAGGCCGCCGTCGATCAAACTATGAACATTCGGAAATCGGAGGCGAATTTTCGATGAGATATCCCTCCTAAAACCATAATTAATTAATTGTTGGTGATTCTCAATGGCTCGTCAGCGAGGAAAAAATGGTGCGAGCCTTTAAATTTAATAGTTGAATTTTCACTTCAAATTCGCCCAAAACTTGCCTTTCAAATTTTCTTTTAAAAAATAAAAAATCAATTTAATCAAACACTAGTAGCCGATTTTTCTTTAAAAGCGAAATCAACATTGAGCTGAATAATTGTGAAATTCTATTTTACATAATCACTTACCACGCCAATGCTGCGGACAAATTGAGATATCTGGCGATGGTGTGTCTTCGCTTCTTATTCGCCTCGTCGTTCTGATGAACGACGGTACACAGAACGGAGAGGATGTCTTCCGGCCAGTATAAGGTTTCAAATTGGCGCCACCACCTTTAAAAAAAAGTAATTCGATGAGATGCGAATGAATCAATACCTCGCGACCACATTTGAGACGTAGAAGCCGAGGAGGAACGTCAACGGAATGAGGCGGGTGTACGAATCACACATTCGGCAGAACGCCTCGAACTGTTTCCTGAAAAATTTTCAGCATTTCTGGGGGGAAATTGAGTTTTTTTTTGTTGCAATAAATTCGTGTTTCCCCCAGAAACAGCAAATTTTCTTAATGAAAATCCATCATTTTGGAAATAAAGAAAAAAATCAATGTTTGCAATTGAAATACCTCATTTTATCCTGATCGCTTTCATCATCATCGATCAATTCGAATCCTCTCAAATAGAAGAGACGAATCGCATAGAAAAAGAGCAAATAAATGACGAGCTCCTTCCAAACCGTCCGCCAAATCGATCCCTTCCAACGCATCAGAATCCGCACCACATTTCCATTATACGAAATCGTCATCGCGTTTCTAAAATACAATCGTTTGCGGCATTTCAACAAAAAAGAAAAGAGCGGTGATAAAAAAATAGTATATAAGAATTTTTTGTTGTGTAGCTATGGCAACATATTTATTTCAACCAACTAGTTTTATTTGCATTTTCGCGCGTTGTCGCACAATGGTGAGAGAACAAATAGAAACTATTTTGCGGGGAGAAAAAATAGTGGCCTTGGCGTATATAATTGAGGTCATTTCAATCAATAATTGGGCAAATTAATCGCATTGGTTACTGTAGCTCGACGATTGGTGTAATACACCATGACGTAAACATGCGGAAATTGAAATAATTCTTTTTTTTTTTCATCGATTTTCATGACAAATTTTACAGATGATTGTTGACTCATCGAACTAGACGATTGGCAAATGATAAGAAATTGCTATTTGCGAGTTTTTCTCTTGGAAAACCTTCATTCTTCCATTGCAAAACATCAACAATTAAATGATTGTAGCCAGGTTTCGCAATTAACAGATTATTCAGCAGTATTGATTGGTTTGGAGCAAAAAATGCATGGAAAATGGCGTTTTTCACCATGGTGATGGTTTTTTTTGAGGTTCGTCTTTTCTAATTTTTGAAAACATTACAAGCTTTTTAGTTGATAAATTCAAATTTTAAATCGTCGAAGACAATTTTTGAGAAATTTCCAAAAAAAAGAAATCCAATAAATCGTTAAAAAGAAAATTTTTTTCTTGTTTTTTCGTCAAAAAAGAAAATTTTCAATCGAATTTTCAAAAATTCATATTTTTGGCGAAAATGATTAAAAAAAATGAAAATTTTCATTTGAATTCTCTTATCAAAATTTCTTTGCAAAACCTACTCAAATTATTTTTGGCGCGAAATTCAAAAATTTTTCCATTTTTTTGTGAAAGTTAGACAATTTTTCTTTAAAAAACCAAGAATTTCTCTTTAAAACATTTAATAGTTTGGCGCGAAATTAAAAAAAAAATCTATCCCCGCTAAAAATACGCGATTTTTCTCATTTCTCTTCAAAAAAAAATGCAAATTCTGTCAGAATTTTTTCTTTTTTTTTCGAATGACATCAACAAAATCAAATCTATTAAGAATTGGAAACCAAAAAAAAAAAACACGAAATCGATTCAAAATTACCATTTTTTATATTTATAATGCGCAGTGGAAGAGAGAAAAAGATAAAGAGTGGACGAACAGAGTATACACAATGAATGGTTTTGTTTAAAGGGGGGGGGGCGGGGCCAAGGGGTCACATTTACAAATTTGGGAGGGGCGATTTGAAGGCACAACAACATTCTCCAGGTTAGTCTCGATCACAGTATTCTAGTTTTTTTGCCAATCAAAAAAATAAACGATTTGAGATTGATAACAACCCCCAAAATCTAAATCACAGAACAAAAAAAAGAACGGAACAAAAATTTTTTTTGAAAGACTCAATTGGTTATTTTTATGGCGATGCCGACTGAGTCGACAGATGCTGTCGCGCTCCGTCGAACACCGATTGAAGCGAATACGCGTCGGCCGTCAGCTCGCAGATCTCACGATCGCCCCACGATTGTGTCGGCAAATTTTGGAGGAGAATCATGATGCCCTGAAAATGGCAAAAAAAAAACACTCATTTTTTTCTTGATTTCCTTCTATATTTGGAAATATGTATGTCAATATTTGTTGCGCAGGGGGGGTTTCAAGTGGGCGGTTTTCGAATAAGCTTTCCAGAAATCGGATTAGCTGGAAATTTTCTGTTTAATCGTCAACAATTTTGAGTATGCGCCTTTAAAGTGTTGAACACATTTCAAAGGCGCATTCCGTCGTCAATAATAATAATAATTCGAAACTTCAAACTTCGTGGTTCTCAGATTTTCTTGAAATTAAAATTTTGCGTCTGCAAGATTCAAAAATCGGCATGTGGGAAAAATCTTTGGGATTTTTGCAGAAATTCTCCTATTTCTGAAATTTCAGACTACAATTCCAGATGAAAAATCGAAATGCACCTTTAAAGGCGGGCTTCAAAAGGCACACAATTCTTAATTATTCGGTCAAACCAACAAAAAAAAAGAAAGGAATGTACTTGTAGATCCAATAATGTTGGAACTTGTTTAAAGGCGCAAGACAAAAAATCACATTTCTAAAAAACGAATGTGAATTTGTCGAACATTTTCCAGCAGAAATTAATCCGATTTTTTTTCTATGCGCTCTCTCACCTGAAAATCCTTTTCACTCTGCAATTGTTTCGACCACGTGCGCAGGAATGCCGCACACACATAATTATGGAATTGCGAGAAGCCGTCGGGTTCGCTCTGAAAATCAAATTTCTCAAATCAAAAAAAAACATGGCAAATTCTCGAAACCAAATAAGTGTCCCATAGTCGAATGGTGGCTCGCAATGGGATCTCTCTCATCAGAATGTTGTTCATCCAGCGGAACGCGAATTGTAAATATTCAACGCCATTCGACTCGAGGTGTTTGTGGAGTGGTCCTGAAGCGAATAAGCGTTCGGATCATTTTTGTCAATTTCAGGGTAGATCATTTGAACTATCACCTTTGGGGTCTTGTCAGGAAAATCGTTTTAAGATGATTTTTTTTTCAAAAATCTCAAAAAGAAATCAAAATCAGCTCACTGTCAACGCGACTCATCAGATGTCTGAGTCGAAGCACCTTCCGCTGAATTCCGGGCTGCGCGAACGTGTAGTTGTCCTGAATCGAATCGAGAAGCGACGAAACACACCAGAACGAGTCCGCCTCGATCAATTGGCATTGTTCGAGCGGCAATTGGGAGACGTCGAACGAGCCGACTTCGACGTCTTGCGGAATGAACTCCGACAGGAACACGACGAAGAACGGCGTGACGAGATCGTTGATGCCCTGAACGTAGCCGCTCGCCGGATGTCGAATCGCCCAAATGTACAGAATTCGTTCGAACATCTACAATAATTGATTTGGTTTTCTAAATTTCAAACATTGATCTACGTGCGCCTTTAAACCGCCTCAACACACAAAAAAGCAAAATTCGATTAACATCTCACCTCTTGGACCATTTTCTGTTGGAATAGTGGAATCAGCGGACACATTCTTGGTATATCAATGTTAATCTAAAATTTGAATGGAATCAATTATTTTATTTAAAGGCGCACTTGTCGAAACGTCTCCGCGTTTTGATCATCGAATCTCGAATGGAAATACTGTTCGACATAATGCCAATATTCGTCGCGTTTGCATTGAAGTGTCACCTCGCGTCGGTCGGCGTTCGTCGGCAAATAGCCCTAAATGAAATCGAGACGATTTGAATTATGCTCAAAAATTGCTCACCGATAGCAAACGCCACGCCTGCGGTCGCAATTTGTGCGGTATTCCCATCCAGCAGTCTTCGCGCAATTTGTCGAGATCAACGTCGACCGACGGCGAGCTTCGTCCGCTCGATTTGCCATTCGAGAAGAGGCGACGGAGGCGCGCAAAACGCGTCTGATCGCGATCGCCGCCTGAAATTTCGATGTATGCGCCTTTAAAGTGCCTTGATACTGAATTTTGGCGATTTTGACAAGGCCAAATTTGTTTAATTTTTCGCCTCGAGACCCGATAATCATAGAGTTCAGAATATATTTTTTTAAATATTTATTTAAATTTCTTTTTCCTAGTGAGATCCCATGCGCCTTTAAAAACAAAAACAATGTTAAGATGATTAATAGGAATTGGAATTTTGGAAAAAAATTGTGAATAAAAATGAGAATTAAAAATTTCTAAACAATTCCGAGCCTCTTTGTTTTTTTTTTCATTTTCACAAAATGAAAATTTAAAATGAAATTTGGTTTTTGTTTTTTCAATAAAACTCTCCCAAATCGTACCATGCGGTGGCGCGCTAACCGCCGGCGCCGCCGATCTCGGCTGATCGGAAATCTCCGGCAATTTCGGATAGATCGGATTGGCGGTTTGCGGCGTCGTCGACATCGACGTCGGCAGCGGCTCCTTCTGAATCGCGAGCCGCTGAAGCGCCAACTGTCGGCTGTTCTTCGTCGGCGCCGAGTTCACCGGCGGCATGATTTCCTAGACAACACGAGTTTTTTTTTTGTTTCGTTTCGCGAGTAAAAAAAATCCCAAACCTCGTCTCGATTTTTTCCGGCCGCGTGAGCCGCTAGCACTTTCGCCGCCGACGCTGAAGCTAATGTCTCGTCAACCTTCACACGAGTGTCCCAAGCATCGCTAACACTGAAATAAAATTTGATATTTCAAAAAGGGAACTAAGAAACAACGAAAAAATTCAAAAACATCCAACAATTTCGGACCTATTCTCATAATCTTGAAATTTATTATGCCTGTGCGCCGTTTCGCCGCTCTTCGTGGGGCTTTGGGTGACCGATTGGTGTAATGGTGGATAGCGGGCGCCATACACCGGCTTTACACTGAAACAATAATTATGCTGTGTTGATTTTTTTTTTGACAAATTCAAATTGCGCAATTTTGGCGAACCTCCCCGGCGTGGAGCCAGCCGACCACCTACTCATTTCGCTCGATTCTGCACTATTTTCTTTGGCTGAAAATTTCAAATTTTAAGATTAGAGCAACAAAAACAACAAAAAAATGGAAAAATTGATAAAAATACGGCGACAAAAAATAATTGTAAAACTCGCCGCGTGGACGAACGCGGCAAACGCGCTCCACGGCACCGATGGCGAAATAGTGTGCCGAATTGAGAGCGTCGCGACACAATTTATGGGAGGGTGGGCTTTTGAACGCGAATTTCTCTCATAATACACTCTGCGAGATCATTTATCGAGACGCAATTAAAAGAAATCGCAAATTTTTCTCACAAACTCGCACGTTTCAAACTTCCCCGCTTTTTTTTGTCATTTCCTTGGCCAAACATTGCGGAATGTGTGCTTACTATCGGCGGGAGAAGAAAAAAAAGTACACAAGGGATAGTTGAAAATAAATATATTGGATACGAACGTCCATTTGAGTTGCAAATAAAAAAAAACAAAACCCATTTTTTTGGGGGTTTTCCAGTTGGTCCGCATTTTTGCGTGTCGGTGAATGCACAAATATCCCCCTCTCAATTCTTTCAATTTTCCCCACCAAAATTTTGTCCCTTATTTTTGCTAGCGCCATATTTGCACAGATTTTTTGGTGGTTGGGGGGGGGAGGCATTCACAATAGCCTCTATTGTGTACCGATTGTACAATCAACAATATTTATTCATAAAAAAAAACCGACCGAAAAAGAAACCGACTTACTCGTTATTGTTGATTTCCTGTGTGACTTTGGCCGAATACTGATCGAGACGTTTGAAGCACAAATTGGTGCATAGCAGCATCTGAAAAATGCCGTCTCGGTGTTTGCAGAAAATCGCGGATACAGTAATCAAAATAAAAGAAAGAAACAAAACGTTTTTAATTCGAGAAATTCAGGAACCTAAAAAATGATGGGATAGTTTTGCGGGCTTGCATAATTACAGTAACCCCTCCCTCCTCCCCCCAGAGAATTGTACGGTAGGATTACGGTAGGCCTGATTAACAATGTGGTGACAAGCGGCGCCAAAAAAGAAAACACGAATTGAAGATGACGCAGGTAGAGCCGCTAACTGGTACCGACGGACCGTCGAATTGAGAGTGGAAGGAAGAAGGGAGGATGTGTGGAGGAAGGGGGAGGGGAGAGGAAGAGGATTAGGGGAAAAACAAACACGAAAATCAACTTGGATAAATAAACACCACGTCAAATATGGGCGCCACATATTTTTTTTTTGAAATTCGCTATTCGAAATTGAGGAAATGGGTAGCTTTTTTTTGAGAGTTTAGGGACCATTATTTGGTAGGCTGGAAAACCATGCGATTTTTTGAACGAAAAAATCGTTTTTTTGGCATTCAATCGACAATTTTATAAGATTTTGAGCGTAAATTTCCGTTTTTTTGCAATTTTGCCAACTGAACGAGAAATTTTGCAAAATTTCGTGAGTTTTTGACGGGAAAATGACATTTTTTACGACAATCACGAGAAATTTTGAAAATGTCAAAATTTTTTGGCTCAAAGTTGGTACAATTGTGCGATTTTTTGGTTTCAACTCGAATTTTTTGCGAATTTTGACAACTAGAAGCTCATTTTTCGCAAAAACCTCAAATTTTCGGGTCTGGACTTGAAAAATCAATACATGGGATGAAGGGTAGATCAAAACTTTGGCTGACATTGATAGTAACACACGGAAATCGATGCAACACGGATTACTGTAGGGGGAGCTTCGCGAGCCCGTGTCCGCGACGATGGACTGATGGCTGCCGCCCAAAACCGGAGCTCTCTCGTCGGCCGCAAGCAAACAAAACGAATTGTGTAGAAGGAAGGCGAAAAAAAAACGAGGATAGGAACGGAACGGACACCCCGCCAGCCGCTAAAAGAGACCAGTCGTGACCATTTGTCTCTCCAGCTTCTGCCGAATTCGGACATACTATTTGTTTTGGGTTGGTTCGCGCAGGCTCAGTCGTTTTTTTTTTTTTGCGTTTCCATATTATGTAACCAGAATGGTTGGCGTGTGTGATGTATACAAATATAATGCATTGAGTACGATACGGGAGTGGAGGAGCTTTTTGAATTGCTGAAAAGGCTCCAATGTTGCGTCATCAAACTTTCTCAATTCTGTCCTTATTAGAAGTTTTTCTTCCATGTCTAAAATTCGGTCATCTTTTGGTTCAGATTCGGGCTTGACGAGCGAGTATTGCGGTCCCGCTCCGCCGTGCGATTTAATCAAAAAGGATTCATCGCCCGATTTCATCATTCTCAATGCAGATCAGAATTTGACCCGTACTGATGACGGCGAATCGCCTCGCCGACACGCTTACACATTTACCCATCCACCGACATCTCACGGGTTTCGCCGCATTCTATTTAATGTGTGGCGCGAGAGGGAAGAGGGCGCAGACGGCGAGGGGAAACGCAGAACAAATGGAGGAAACTTGAAAAACTTGAATTTGGTTTTCTTTGGATTAAAAATTTGAAAATAATTGATTATTAAAGAAAGCATATGAATTTTTTAAGACGATTTCTTTGAAAAAATGCGGAATTTGTCTCGTTGGAGCTGGTCAAGATCAAATTTTGAATTTAAAAAAAGAAGTTTAGATAATTTTTTTTTCATTTTTTTTCTGCAATTTTAACGCAAAAAAAATGATAACCAAAAAGCCCCCCCCCATCGACTCTTATTTTCACATAAAACCGGAAGGATTCCGTGATTGTTTTGTTCGAAAGACATGCGTGAAAAATGTCCGAGACATAATCGCAAACTTCGGCGAAATCAAGACCATTAAACTCGACAGATTTAAAGAAAAAACTGGTTTCGGTCTTGACGCGAAATTGCATATTATTTCGATTTTCTGTGCTCGAAAATGATAAACTTTTTCAAATTTTGACGAGTTTGAATAGCGAAAAATGAGAACTTGGATTTTTTTTCCAAAAATTGCTGTCGTTGTGAGACCCACTCTCAAGAAATACTCTTCGAATATACAATTTTAATGACAAAATCGTCAAAAATTTTGTGCGAATTGCTCAATAGTGCTGTTTGAAACAAAAAGTGTCTCCGTCTCTCGAATTCACACACTCTCTCAAACAGTCGCTTCTAAGACATCAGCATCTTTCGAGTTTAGAAGTCCCAAAAAAAATATTTGAGCAACTGTGGACCATCATGATGAATTAATTTCGAATTTAAATATTTTCGGAGCTTTGGAATTCGCGAATACAGTGTAGATTTAAATTTTTCGTTGCCTGAATATTAAATGCGCGTTCGCTAAAATGCAATGTACGCAATATTGCGTACTTCTTACTGCCTCAGGAAGACAATTTTTGAAATGTCCTCAAGTCGTTTGACTCCGACAATAATATCAAATGATTCTACCGTACTGCGGATAACCTGCGAATCAAAATCCCCGTAAAACGACACCAATTACTAATTGCTATATGAAATATAGACTAAAATTGCGATATAATTCATTTCAAGACCCAAAAATTACGCCCGCCTTGTTCTTTTTTTTGTCAATATCGCCAGTCGCGTTGCGGCTCGCGTGCGGCTCCTGATTATTGTTTTTTTCGATTTTTTTTCACAGGTCTTGGAGCGAAAAATTCTGATGGTCTCGTTTTTTTGAAACGCTGAAAATTTGATGGGTCTTGTGACGATTGATTCCCTTTTTTGGGAAGCTGACTATGCTTAAAAATAAGCTATGTATTTATATCAACCAATTATAAATACTAGAATACATAATATAGAAAAGGGAAAAGCAGAAAAATCAGAATATTATCTTTAAAATGACCCTGAAAGCCGAATTCCCGGAATCTGATTGGTTTTGGGTGGTCAGAGTTCCAGAAAATTATTCGCTTCATTCAAATTTTTTTTGTTTTTGAAGGAATTGAATATTGAATCTTAAAAATGAAAGAATTTTTTGTGAAAAATTTTTATTAAAATAGCCAGTTTTTTGAAGAAAAATCGCAAGTCAACGTTTTTTTTAATGTTCAATTTCATAAAAAAAATTCGAGCAACTAAAAATCATTCTCAAATTGTGCTCATTTCTCTATTTTAAAAATTCACGAAAATTTCAGAAATTCTTGACAAATCTTCAAAAAGAAAAAAAGGCAAATTCGTCGAATTCGTTTAAGTCGCTTAAAATAATCCGTGTTCGCTGAAATGATTTCGATTTTCCGTGTGAAATTTGTACAAAAACCGCCTCAAATCAATGATTTCATGAAAAAAATTGGAGAAAATTGCAATTTTTGGGTAAAAAATCAAAAATTTCTCGACAAATTTTAGATTTTTCGAGCTGAAATCTCTGAAAATCTCAATTTTCATAAATTCTGCTCCATTGTGCCAATTATATGAGCATTTCGAATGGGAGATCAGAAAAAAAAGTTGAAATTTTCTGATTTTTAGAATAAATTTCGCTGCGAGACCCAGGAACCCTTTAAATCAAAAATACAAAATCCAAAAAATTCCATGATTTCGCGTCGAGACCCACACCACCATTGAAATAATCGCAATAAGAACAAAATATTTATCTGGCCTGTAATTTAAGAATCTCATAGAAGAATTTTTTAAAAGTGGAAAAAATATATAAAATATGAAACAAACGATAGAGAAAAAAAACGCGCAAAAGATAAACAAAATACGAAGAAGAAAAAGAAGAAAATAGGAGGAAAATGGATGAAAAAATAAAGAGAGAAACATGTGAGAATTGTGATTTTCAGCACTCAATTGTTTGAATTCGGTTTTAAGCAGAATTTTCCCGGGGAATGAGATGAATGATCGAGTGCAATGATTGCAATAATAGGCCGCATCTGACGCAAAAAACAAATTGAATTTCCTTTTTTGAGCCTTTTTACCAGTATTGATTCAAGGGCAGGGTACCAATCAATAATAATAATTATAATAGTTATAATAATAATCGCCTAACAATTCAAAAAATTAATAATAGGGGACAATCTTTAAGACATTTGAGGCATCCATGATGAAATCTGCGACGTCGGCTCCGGCTCATCATAGCTATTGATGTCGTAGTTGTTGGAGCGAATTCGCGGATCGGTGACTTCGTCGGGAATCGCGATCGCCGCTTTCGCGGCCGCTTCGAGCGCCCGCGATTTTCTCGGATCGTTCGGCGGTATCAAATCGAGATTGTCGACGCCGGCGTACGGCGTCTGCTGGACGGACAGAAGATGGCGCCAGACGACCGAACGCGTCTCCGGAATGACGATGGCCGTTTGCGCGAGGAACGATGACGGCGCGTTCGAGGTGATTTGATTGATCGGCGGCGGCGACGCCGGCGATTCCTCGTCGTCCGACGCCAATGCTTCGCCTTTCGCCAATTTGGTGAGCATCGCCTGGAAAATTCGAAATGTTTCAATTAATTTCGCCATTTTTCTTTTTAAACCTCAAGATTGAACGTTGGCGGCGCCGGCTTCTCGGGCTGCGTCACCGGCTTCGGCGGTTCAATGGTGCGCGGCGGCGGCAAATTCTGCTGCTGAATGTGCGGTGTGGTGCCTTGATTGAAGAAGGCCGTCGGCGGATAGCCGGGCGGCATCGGACGCTGAATCGTCGGCACGACGACGCTCGGCGGCGCCAGTTGTCCGTTCATCTGTTGGGGCACCGGCGCATGGATGATGGGCGCTTGAGGCGGCGACGCCGCCGCCGGTCCGCCGGGTAGAAGGACGCGACGACGCGCGCCGCCGGCGTTCACCGGCTGCCGATAGGCGCCGTACGACGCACCGCCGCGCGCTTCCTCATCGGCGAGGCTCTTCTCAAACAGCGGTTTTGTGTAGTCGGTGAGCGGCACGTGCGAATAGCGGCATTGTTCGGCGGTGCAATTGCCGCGATGGAAATCCGTGCATGGATATTCGCCATGAAGCATCAAGCATTGCAATCCCTGAAAATAATTGCCATTCAAAAATTCCCCCAACAAATCCCAACCTTTTTGCAGAAGCTGTTCGCGTAGAAATTGCACAGGATCGGCCGTCTCAGCGAGTCTTCGGCCTGGTGCGAATACGAGCACTGATCGCCGTCACGACAATAGCCCTCGCGGAAGAATTTGCAAATCTGGTGTTCGGTGTTGAAGCGCGGCTTCGCGCCGCCGCGAAATCCGCCGCGGAATCCACCGCGACCGCCGTAATACGATCGTTTGCCGGCGCGCGATTCATAGTCCGTCTCATCGTTGTGCATCGGCGAATGACGCCTTCTAGAATTATTTAGTATTTCCGGCGATTCGCCAATATTCTCACTTTCGATGCGTCCGATAATCATAGTCATTGAAAGGTGGCTCGTCGTCGATTCGCTCGCCGGCCGCTCCGTTGCCGCCGCGATAGTCCTTATCGCCGCCGGCGGCGGCGGCGGCGTCGGCATGATTCACTTCCGAGTCGGGTCCGAACGGGTCGAGATCGCGTTGCAACGACGACGGCGGCGGCGGCTGAAATTCGAATTGTCGTCGTCTCGGCGTCGCATTCACATGGTTTACACTATGATGCCTACGAGAAGAATGATGATGATGATGATGCTCGGTGGAGGTTCGCGATTCCTTCGAATGCTCTGACGACACTGACGGCACCGGCGCCGCCGGTTTCATCGCTGAAAACATTTTTTGTTGAATGGCACCAAAATGAAGCGCGCACGAACCTTCATCATCGTCATCGCAAATCTCGCCGTCTTCCGGCAACTCGCCATCCTCGAAATCGTCTTTACTCATTTCGCTGTGAGACATGATGTCTACCATCACCTGCAAACCACAATTATTCCATTATTTCTCGACATTTGTATTTCGTAAAAAAGTAAATAAGACGCGACAAAAAAATTGGGAAATCTTTTCGTTTTTTTTTCTCATTTTTTCTAACCGGAATTTTCTGTCTTATCTCGATAAACGATAAGAATTATGCGGCGGGAATTATAGGAGAGAAGATTTTTAATTAATTAATTGAAGACGACAAAACGCGGAATAAACGAAAAAAAAGTATAACAGCGAATCAAAATTTGCTTTCACATTTTCACCAATTCATCGTTTTTTCATACCACCATCAATTATCATTGCTCATTATTCAAATGTTGTCATTTTCCTTCATTAATCGTTCCTTGGTTTCACTCTCTTTCCCTCATTTTGTACTCCTTTGCCATTCATTATTAGTAGATTAGAACAAGTAGTAGAATAAAAAGAATAAAAAAGTGGCGAGAGAAATGGTTAATCAATCGATGATATGAAAATGGAAATGATAAAGAGCGTTGGGAAGATTCGAAGAAAATCGCGGTCCAATCCATTCAATTATGATTTTTTTTTGGGATATTACTCAATCATTTCTCAATTAACTCGATCGCTTATTTTTCCATTTTATTTAGTTTTTTGTTCCGGCAGGTATTGGGGAAAGAGAAAGAATGTTCGCGAGTGACGCTGGCCGCGGGGTGATGATGGTGGGTCGCGTCTCGCGCCATTACACACTATTTTCTTTCCCCCATCGATTTTCCGGCTTTGGAAAACAACGACTATAGTCACGAAATAGAATGCTAAACGAAAAGCGGAAAGAAGCGCGTTTTTTGTTGTGTTGAGAAAAAAAAAACAAAAATAAAAATGCAAGAAAACGGAACAACATGTATAGAAAATTAATTGCGAGAAATAATACCGAAAAATCTCAATTTTTGCCTGTTTTTTTCGCCCAACTGATATTCACCATATCATTGATGAATTGAACCACGCATTTTCTTCGAAATCACTCAACTCGCCGATTCGAGTCGTTTGCTTTTTTTCAAAACTCTTATTTCTCGCCTTTCCGCCATAAATGAAACACAACAAAAATGTGGTGGTGGTGAGCTGCTGGTTACATGTCCGTCGCATAAGTTATATACATACATATATATATATTCATCTCATTTGAAATATATATATATAATATTATATAATACATATATAACCGCATCGTAATGCTTTCGAAAATCACAAGGTCTGACTGACTGAACATACACAACGCAAGCGACGCGCGCCCGCGCGCGCACCGCCCCTCCACTGACATGTGAGCGAGAGATGTGGGGTTGTGTGAGAGACGCCAGACGCGTGGCTCTTATCGCGACGACGCTGCGCGTTACGGTATCACTCGTTGAGATGTGTCGATTAAATTCCAACCACGTTTTTTTTTTCGAGTTTTTCGCGTTGGCCATTGAAAAAGATTTTCAGAGAAGCGACTAAAACTGTTCAATTTTTTGCAGATTGAGAATATTCTGGAAGACGCTGAATGAGTTTTCATGATGATTCGCATATTTTATCGCAGCTTGGAAGTAAATTTCGATTGATTATCACATGATCAATTGTGTTTTGCAGTTCTTGATTCAAACGAGAGAAGCCCGAAGCGCGATTCGCAAGAGGGTGCTGGCGCCAACGAGAAGCAGAAGTTTGTTGACGTGAGATTGAATCCCGGGGAGTCGGATTCGGATGAGGATAGTGACACGCTATTCGACAGAGTAAAAACAAAGAGAAGACTCGAATTTTGAAAATTCTAGCGCAATTTTTAGAATAATTTGCTGTCGGCGAGACGTCAGAATTCGTCATTGCTTCGTCGCGGGTCTGAAAATATCACAATGCGTTATATTATCACATGTCTTCTATTTATAGCAGCTGTAAGTTAACGAATTTTTTTGGAGAAACGCATTTCACGATAATTATAGGGTATGGTTAGTCTACCGGGAACTTTTTCGTCATGCTCCGCACAACATACAGTTCTTTCGTGTTTTTGGATATGTGCTGGAATGCTGTTCGGCTCATATTCGGGTAAAAATGGAGGAAAACACTTTTTTTTGTGAATGATCACATTTTCAGCCAAATTTTCTGCGTTTCGCGGCAATCTTCAAGTATTCCTCATCATTTCTCTTGCCATTCTCATCATTAACACATATCTAATCTTCAACGCGTCGCTGTTCTTCGCAGCACGCGGCGTTTTCATCGGAAATGTGCTCTATGGTATGACGTTCTTGTTTGGACCCCAAGAAAAAACAATGAATGGAAATTTCGATTAGGCGGTGCTCTATCGTGGTTCGGAATCTGGCGAAAGCAGCCGAGAAAAATTCTAATGCTCATTTTGCTCTTCTCAATGGGTAGTATGGTGGCAATGATGTCGGGAAGCAGTGAATTCAAAGGTTTCGCCTTCGATTGCTCACACAGAATTCATTCTTCGAGTTTTCCAGAAGCCACTTCGAACATCGCTGATATGGGCTTGGTGTCTCGTTCGATTCAGGCGCACCGATTCAAACGCGACAACGACGAGAAGGAGCTTTTGCCATTTGGTAAGATTTTTTTGTTCCTGTTTGAGAGTCGAATTTCGATGAAAATCGGTGAGTTTCAGCGGCTGCCGAGAATGTCACTGAAGTTTCTAATACGACGGAAACGATAAACATTAAGAAGTGGGTTTTTTTTTGGGGAAAATGTTCAGAAAATAAATTATTCAATTTTGAAGGCCCGAAGTTGCCACAGGGAATGTGCAGAAGGTGAAGACGAAGACTGAGGAGAATGCTGAGAAGGAATTGGAGATTGTCGAAAAGCTGAAGACAGTGATGGCTAATACGACGACGAGTACAACCACAACGACGAGTTCTACAACGACGACGACTACTACAACTACCACTAGCACCACCACCACTACTACTACAACAACTCTACCTCCAATAACGACTACGGTAAATTGTTATTCCCAAATTTTTTCAAAATCATCGATTTCTAGAGTGTTGTGTACCCGATTGACGTGAAGACTAGGCAAACAGAGACGAATAGGTTTGGATTCGTTAGAAAATTTGAAGAAATCAATGATTTTTTAGAGTTTTGCCATCTTCGGATGCTTCTGACTGTCCTTCTGCGGACATCCTACTTTCCGGTTCGACGAAAATCCTTGAGGATTCGAGTGAAGCGATTGTCAAGACGTTTTCGATTTGCGTTTTTGGTCTTTTCACGATTTGTTTCGCTTTTTGCTGTTTTCCGTGCACGGTTCGAATTGATTCCAAAATCAAAAAGGTTTGGTTGTTTTTTATTTCGTACTCACTAGGAGAATTTTTGGAATTTTAGCTTGAAAATGACTCAACGGTTGGATTGAGAATGCGACTTCGATTGACGATTGCGGCGATTCAGACGATTTTGGGATTTTTGCAACGTGAGAATCTTTGATTACTTATTGTCGAAGTTGAGTAAATGCCAAAATTTAGGAAGAGGTCTCGATGCGCCTTTAACCTGTCATTATACTTAGGCCCGTAAATCCACACATTTAGTTTTACGTTAAAACTTTAAGCCAAGATTCATTGTGTTTTTTTGGCATTTAGCTAATTTTCCGTTGTCGCGTGACTTCAACAATAATTAATTTATTAAGAAAAAAAAAAACACCGAGAAATTAACAAGTTTTTTTCTTCCAGAATTACTCCATTTTCACTCAGTGTTTGGTGAGAAGACTCAAGAAACCATTCAATCGGATCATATTATACTCTGCGTTTCGACGGTTGCTTCATCGATCGTCCTAGTGGGAATGTGAGTGATTTGACAATTTTTGATTAAAAAAATTGAAACTTTGAGATATGCTCCTTTAAATTGGGTTTCAAAATTTCCAATGAAAATGAAATTTTAGACAGCGAATGGGCCTCATGCTGAAATTTTCTCTAAAGGCGCATATCTAATCGATTCGGTTTAAGGTGTGAACGCAGCGGCACCATTTTCGCGATGTTTTCCTCATTTGCTGTGCTCGCCATCGGCGAGCTCTGGATTTTTGTCAACGCCTCATCCATTTTTGGATTGTCGCTGGCTGTTGTTGGAACCCATACCCTATGGATCACTATATTCTTAACTATCGAGGTTTGAGACTCGCTAATTTTTTCCCCGCTGTAATTGATCGAGTTTTGCCTTCAGATTTTCCTCCAAATCCGCTCAACCGTCCAATTGGCGTATTTTTTGATCGCTTGGATCACTGGCAGAATTCTCGCGTGCTTCTTCGCCATGGAATCGTCGCTGATGAATGTTGAGAAGACGATGATGTTCCTGGTGACGACGTCGGCCGGAATTCTGCTATTGAATGCCTCAAGGCATTTGCTGAAGGCGAAACGACTCAAAGAGATTCTCGACAATTCGTCGGCACCGATTCCTAATGGCGCATCGAGAGGCGAAGGCGAATATATATCATTGACGGCGCAGGATTTGGAAGAGGATGAAGATTTTGACGAGGATGTTGAGGTAGGCGAAAATCGCTTGTTTGTACTGTTTTTAAAGAGAATATAAACGAAAATATTAAAAAAAAATTAATTTTTGGGTTTTTTAAGGAAATTTCTTAATGGTGCTACAGATTTTGGGAAAAAATCTCGAAAACTTAATTATTGATAATTTTTATTGTTGCGAAATCTCCATAGTATTATTTGAAACCCAAAATGTTTCGAAATTTGTTTTATACGTTTGCAGAAAAAAATTTTTTCAGACTGATCGTAACTCAATGGATTTGGACTATGAGCTGGAGCAGCTTGGACTTGAGCCCGTCGGAGCTGGATCGAGTAGAGCTTAACAATTATAATGTATATAGGAGTTTTAGCGTGTTTTTGTACAAAAGCCAACCAATTTGTTGTCAACTAGCCGGTTCTTTTTGTTTTTTTGGGGGAAAATGTGCCTTATTCCATTTTTGTTCACCGGAAGTTGTGTCATATATTCTTCTTTTAATCATTTTTTTTTCTCGGACCATTTGAAAATGTGCCCAAAATATGCCCGATTATTGACATTGTCGTGTCTTTTTTGTGCGTTGTTTGTTTTTATTTTTCGGTGATCTCAATTGATTTGTGATTTTTAGATGTGCTTCGTTTCTTTTTTTTTGCGATGTTTCCAATGGGGTTGTCTTGTTGTTGTTTTAACGGTTTGAATAGTAGACGAATAAAATATTTATTTGAAAATTTGGACGAAACACTGACGAATTAAACGAATTTCGAGGCAATATTTGAAATTATGGCGAGACCCGCTCGTAAATCTACAAGAAAATTAAAAGAAATTGGCCTCACATAGATTTTATTGAAAACCGAATTTGAGAAAAATTGATCCATACGAGTTTAAAGGCGCAACCAATTTTTTGACTGTAATAGTAGGCGTGGCTTAAGATTTGAATTTCGCGGTATTCAATCGATGTTCTATTCGAGGGTCTTGAAGCGAATTGGGAAAATAAATCTGGAACAAGATTTGGAAAAAATTTCGCTTTCTTAAAATTTTGACTATGAAATTTTTCTTCTTTTTTGAAAAATCAAAAAAATGTGAATATTTGAGCTTCTCGTTTTTTTTATTGTGAAGGTTGTTGTCCAAATTTGACCAATTTGCCATAAATCTGGATTTGGACGGCGGCTTCTGTTGGATGAAGCTTAAAAAAATGAAAAGAATTTGTCTAACCGTCTGGCGTGCCTCTCCTCGTTTCGCACACTCTCTCTCTCTCGCCGAGGCGCCAACAAATTGTCATTGTTGGCCGGTTTTCGCAAAAATTTTGCTCGAATTTTCAGCGCGACAATAATGTCGACGCGAATCGCTGAAAATAAAGAGCAGGCGCAGATCGACGACGACGGCGATGGCTACCATCCGGATATGCCGAGGAGTCGAGAGGCGCTCGAACAGAATCGCCGATTAGAGTTTGAATTGGCGCGAGAGGGTTTGTCGCCTCGTTGAACTGATTTGTGTCGATTCTCGCCGATTTAGTGCATCGAGCGGTTGTCGAGATCGTCGAGCTCTACCGGGACCAGTTGGTGAACGCGCGAATGCTCGAACCCAATTCGGATGATGAGACGGTACGCCTTATTTGGGTCCCAAAACTACTCTATGATGTCAATTTAAAAATAAATTCAGAATGCCGTTTGAATGGTCCCGTATAGAAAAATTTGTGCTCTTTTACATTATGATGCTTCTAAGAGATTTTCCATTTGAGATTCGCAAGGCGAAAATCGAAATTTGAAATCAAATTTGTTCATATGACAAACTTTTAAAGGCGCATCCAACTTATTTTCTCCTCACTTCAAAGAAAAATTTTGGGAAGAAGAAGGAATGTTCAGAATTCGAAATCACTTTCAAAAAATTGATTTTTATATTGAATTTTTGGAAAATTAATGGAAAAATGCTGAAATTCTACAATTTTTTATTTCTTCATTGTATTATTTTTTACAGGACGGCGAAATGAATCCTGATAGTTGAGACGAATTGCTTTTACTTGAGACTTATCATCATCGTCATAATTACGTATCTCTCAGCTCCATATTTGGTGTTTCTTTGAATGTTTTAACTAAATCTCGGATCTCTCATTGAATATTTATTATTGTTATTATTGTGTATATTTGGCGAATGAATCGGTTGCATAGATAACTCTGGTTCGGAACAGAAATGACGAAATTGAGTTGAAAATTGAGGCGAAAATGATATAAATGGAGAAATATTGAATCCAGGCCCATTTGAGGAGCTCCCAGATGCCAGTTTTGTAGGTGAACTCGAGCTCTGAGATGAATAGGCGGAGATTGAGCGATAGCTGATGAGTTGGATGAGGTTGCGGCAGAAAAATTGTCGATTTTCTGTAAACCATCGCATTTGTGCCATTTTTTTTTTTCAAAAAATTTCGACAAGTGGTGCAAACGCGCTCCAGTGCACACTATTTTTTCAACTCGATTTTTTTTTGAAATAATTCGCCTCAAAAAAAATTCAACAATGTGTTACCTTTTGACCTCTAGCTTAATTGGAGAACGCGTGTCTCGTTCAAGAATTGACATAATTTGATAATGTTCAACATCGAGACGTTGATTATTGATCACCTTCCATTTGTCGTTTTTTCTAAACCGAAAAAAAATGTTGCCTATTTTCCCTTGTTGAAGCTTTACATGAAAGGAATTGATTGATCGACACCTAGCCGGCCTGTCACTAGAATCTCGGATGTTGGGAACGCGAGCTGCACCGTGTCGGTGAGCATGAGCTCGGCTTCGATTATTGAATGATAGTCGAGTTTGAAGTCAAACACGAATCCATAGGTGAACGCGTTTAGACTCAAATTTTGGGTGTTGAGCACAAAATCCAAATTGAGCAATTTTTGATCGTTCTGAAATTGGATTTTTAGCAAACAATTTCAATTTGCACATTTTTTTTTCTCCATTACCTCATCGTTCTCGAAATGGTGTGAAACCCGAGCTGTTGATAATTGTTGGGCCGACGCCGCCGAATTTAACACCGGGTACGATGAGGCGACAATCGAGCTGTCGGGGCCTGCAATTTAGAAATTATTGCATTTTTGCCCTCGAGACTCGTTGCATCATATTTCAACACGCGATATTTATAATTGGCTGCGTTCAATAAGCGAGAAACGCGTTTTGCTGAAAACAAAACTGAAAAAGAAATTAACCAATAATTGCGTCTCGCGATATTTCGGTTCATTTATGCGTCAGCGTGTTTGCACACAACGACTCAATTTTTGTAGTCCACACGGACAACACGCCATTTTTCACTCTTCGCCAACTTTTTTTTGAACGCTCTTTTTTCTTACCATAACCATAAGCGATGAAATTTCCGTTGAATTCGATTTTCGGAATTTCGCGATAAGTTCCAGTTTTCTTCCAAATTCCCTGAAATTGGGAATTTCCATTTTCTTTTTCTCGTAATTAATTTTTTCCCTCCAACCTCTGTCGCGAAAATTACTATTAATGGCAGTAGATACTTGAAAATGTTGATGATTTTGATGTAGATAATTGCCCAGCTGCACGGCGGTGCGCGATACGTGCGATAAACCGGCTGGAAATAGGAGAAACAATTGATTTTTATGTTTTTTTTCTTGTGAAAAATTTTCGAACCTCGATGAAAACGTCCTCGTGCACCATTGCTTTTTAGCGATTCGTGCCCAAATATTGAGGCGATGTGTAAACGACAGCCTGCAAATCGTTCAAATGTTTCAGATTTATTGAATTGTTGCGACCTGAAATACGCAAAGCCAAGTGATAATCACCAAAACCAATGAGAAGTAGTGAATGGCGAGCTGTTGGGCTTTTCCGGCGTTTGGCATCAAGCCGAAGAAAAAAAAATGTTAGAATGGTGTGAACGCGATCGGTGGCGCACTGGCACGTTGCCATGGTGAACGTTTGCTCATTGGATGGTGGGCGGGCGGGCGTCGAGCCGACATTCGTCTAATTCAGCAACAATTAAGCGTGTTCTTGGGAAATAGTTCGCCAAAAGGAGGGGGATTTTCAGCGATTTCAGCTCTTCCAGCGACACTCAGAACTTCAATTTGTTTTTTTTTGCTGCTTCAAACACTCGGCTTTATCTCTCAATCAACGCGCCGCCCATATTTTGAATGTGGCGCGCTTCGGTGGTGTATGTCGAGGGGAGGGGGCGGCGAGCCACGCTCACAACGTATGGCTCTCGAGGGTCCCCATCGTTAGTCCGAAACTTTCCACATCTCTCCCCGTGTCGACCTTATTCGTTTCCTATGCAATTCTGTAGGAAAATTTTCAGCAATTTTCTTTTCCTTCATCCCTTTTTTGCCGTCTCCGACGCTGTCGCTTCTCTCGTGCCTCTCGCGTTGGCCCACTATTTCGCTGGCTGACAGCTGCAACATTTTCAACGACACGCCACCATTTACGCGCGCGTTTGGTTTAGCGCGACCGCGAGATTGAAAAATGCTTTCGCTTGTTGCTATTTTATTCTAATTTTATTCAAAATTGATTATTTTTGTGTCTTGCAGACTTTATGAACGATCAGCCGAGTACGTCGGACAACGTGAATCGACGTCGTCGCGTCAAGGTGAGAAATTTTTAACAGTGACTTTTAAAATTGAGAAAAGATTGAAAATGTCGATATTTAACAATTGAAATAAGCTTGAAAAATGAATTTTGTTTAAAAAATTATCAAAGCGAATTTTTTTGGACTCGAAAATATTTAAAAAAATGCATGATTGTAAATTTTTTGTGTTAACAAAATTATTGTAGTCGTCAGAAAACAATGACTGTGGTCTTGACGCAAAACTAAACGTATAGATTTTCAGGCCTAAGTATGAGAATAGGTTAAAGGTGCACCGAGACATCTTTTAAAATTTTTTGACAGTTTTCCAATTTTTCGCAGTCGCGCGACGCCGACATTAACATTCCATGAATATTTCTATTGGTTCTATTTGTAGAGACCAAATTATCTCGATGAGGATCATGCTGTGATCGCGGATGTTGCTGTTCGGCCAACTCGAGCGTCATCTCCGGACATTATAGCGTATGACGGACCATCGACGTCGAAATCAGTACCAACGGCGACGCCGCTGCCGCCGCCATCGGCGATTGATCCGAATCAAGTGCTACCAAAAATGCAGAGCTGTACGTCAAATCGAAATTTGGCGGGAAATTGGTTTTCGTGAATGAAAAAAATGGATTTCCCGCGAAATTCTGATATAAAATTCTCAGAATTCTGTTGGATATTTCTTTTTTTTTTCAGTGGAAGCCTGCCGCAAGGTTTATAATGCGACACTATCGGCTCTGAAAGATCCAAAGGCGCGGAAGAAGGTGACGACGGCGAATTGCTTCGACAGCCCGCTGCCGTTGTCGTTGTTCGACGTCAGAATTATGAGCAAGCAGGAGGATGTGAAGATTCAGGTACTCGTTGACATTCGAACTCGATTTTCTCGATAAGCTTTTGTTTTTTCTTTAGGATCTGACGGTTATAATGGACTCGGCGACACAGTTGTTCAGCTATCGCGTCGATCGCTACTGGGCGGATAGTCGAAATTTGTACTACGCGATGACGAAGGGCGAAGTTCGCGAGGACGATGATCCGTCGAAGAATGACGAGACGCTCGCCGAGATTGGCGGACGCGGCCGCAAAAAAGTCCACCCGCCGCCCGACAACAGCTATAATGCGATGCAGAAGATTCTGAATTGCGAGGACGCGAAGCAGAATGAGCGCGACGAGCAGGATGTTGACGATGATGAGCCGAATTCGAATGATGAGAGCGCCCAACTCGGCGATGATGGAATTGATACCGATGGCGAATGGGATGAGGATTGCGACATCGATCGGAACATTTATATGCTCAAACATAAGCGGCTTGATGCCCTCCGAAAAGATATTGCCAAGAATGTAGGATTTTTGTTGCGTTTTGAGAAATAATTGAATTTTCCGCTGCTTGGGGGTTGTGGGTCGTACCTTGTGATTATGGACCTCGACATTTTTAAACACTTTTATTGAATGAATTTGGTCTATAAAATTATGGCCTTGCAAGCGCTTGTTTAGACATTAAAGGCGCATGGATCTTTTTTTATTTCGCTCTAAGACTAAATATGAATTCATATGTGAATTATTCCATTTTTAGAGTTCGTCGTTTGTGTTCACTGAAACGTCGTCCATTGATCTGAATAATACGGATATTGATTGGTTGCGATCTAACTCGTATTATCAGAAGGCGGTGATCGGAAGCGCCGACGATTTGACGTCATCGTATCACTCTCTTCTTTATAACGGAATCACGTCGGGCGATGGTCGGCTGTTCAAGCTTCATCCTCGCATCGAGGACATTGATAAGCCGCCGATTGATGAGGATGTGAATTATGAATTGGTCCAATATTTCAGAGGTTTGCGTTTTGATGTTTTGTCCCCTATTTTGGAAAATTTTTAGAAATATTGGTGAATGGAATGTCGGAAACGCCCAAAGAATTGCCCAACTTTTTGATGTTCGAAGTGCCGGATCGCCCGAAGACTGGGGAATTCAAACTGGCGAGGACGATGACGAAGCAGAAAACTGGAGGTGTGTGGAAATGGTGGAAAAACAAGTGGCTGTTGGCTTGAAAATGGCTTAAATTTCCTTTTTTTTTGCTAGAAAATTTTTTATATAAACAAAAATTCAGACGGCAGCATTATGAATGACATGACGGTGTTGATACCGTATCCGAGCGCATCGGCGGCTTCTGGGCCATTGACGAATGATACAATGATGAATATGACGGAAATGGGATCGATGGCGACGATTTCTGACGATGCAGCGGCGGAAAAGAATCGTAAGATGGTTCCCAGAATCTTAAATTTAATTTATTCCCCATTTTTAGAAGATGGTGATACTCCCGAGCCGTCCACGTCGGGACCGACGACGCCTTCTGCTGCTCGAACGCCGACGATGTCGTACCTGCATAATCATTCATTAATTCGGGCTCAAGAGTATAATCCGATGGATCTGGATAAGGTTTTGTTGTCGTTTGATTGCGCATTTCGAATCGTTGAATGTCTAGATGAAAATGCCCGACTCGCTTGATCACATCTTTCCAACTCTTTCGGAATTCCCAACCGATGGCCTCAAAGCAATTATCGAGGCGAAAATGGAGATAATCGAGGATAGTGATGAATCGAAAAAGGTGTGGAGGCGAGGAATGTTGGCTGAGGAATGGGAGGATCCGCAATCGGATATGTCGAAGGAAATCGGAAGTGTCGTGGTAGGTTTTGGCGGCTTATTGGAGAGAAAATATTAAAAAAAAAAATGGAAAATAGTTAAAATAGAATATGCATAATACCATTACAAAAGAGAAAAATTTGATTTGGGTCCAACATTGCTTATACTACATGTATTGTCAAAAGCGGATGAATTTGAGGTGCAACTATTTCAAATTTGAATTTCCGCCTTGGGGCTTTTATGGAAAATCACGTGGGAGCGAGTTTTGCTTAATTTAACCATAATAATGTGAAAGTGGATAAAAAATTTAAAAAAAAAAAGAATTCTTTGCAAATATGAATAAGAAAATGTTTTTTTACGGGATTTAATTGGCAGTCGCGCAATTCAAAATTTTTCAAACTCGTCCGTTCATGACTATATCGTTCATTAAAAAAGAAATTGAATTTCTAGGCGAGTGGAATCGATAGCTACATTGCCGGAATGGATTATATGGTGAATGCAGAGGTTGTGAAAATGGTGGTTGGTAAAGACGATCTCGCGCGAATCTCGAATAGTGAGGATGGTTGCGAATTTATATCGGGGATTCAATTGCGAACCTATACGCCGCCGGTTGGCACGTTTTTCTTCTTGAGACCCACCGATTCGTATAAGGTATGGGGAATTGAGAAATGTTTCTTTGGACTAACTTGAGATATTGTAGAAGCTTTACCCGTTGGATCGAAAGGATCATTTTGTGCAGATCGATTCGCAGGACGATGATATACCGATTTCGTTAGTTTTTTTTAAATTGAAATTTATAGCAATATAAAGAACTGAAAAAAATAAGATTTTTTTGAGATTTTGGATAGAAAACGTTCGTAGAATGCAAAGTTTTCGAGTTTTTTTAAGTTTATCGTGAAATATTGAGGCCTTGTGTCTTTTTTTAAAGACTGAAGGATTACATATTTGAGTTTCAGAACTGAGAGCGAAGAGAACGAAGAAGTGGTGAATTCCTATTACGGACCGGTTGATGACCTTCAGTTTGAAGACATTTCGGTTCGATTTTTTTCTTCACATTCCTCGTGGAATTTAAATTTCAGATTTCCAATGCGGCCGAGCGAGCGGCTGAGGAAGCGCAAAATCCGGAGCCGGCCAACACGGAAGACGAAGCGGTGACTGATACATTGTTTGGGCATGTTGAACAGACTGAGTAAGAGTTTTGAACATTATTGGAAAAAAAATGCGAGCACGTATTGTGTTTGTGTACCATTTTCCTACGATTTTGGCGCTGAAATTGAAATTTCGATTTGAGCGATGAGAATTTGATACTATGGATAGCCAGCGAATCATCAAACTCACGAGGAGTTTGCTGAAATTATAATTTTTTTGTGATTTTAATAATTTAAAAGCGGCTTTAAATATTGTAGATAGACGAATGAACAGACGAAATGGTGGATTTTTCAAGAAAACCGAAAAACAAGTGCCTTGAAATTGATTATTTTAGGGAGACGCTTGATCCAATGGTTGATCGTAGTATGATTGCCGCGAAAGCGGCGGCGATAAGCGCCGACGAGGTGCCGGAGCTGATTGTCGGCGGTCGAGCGCCGGAACGAATTGTGGTGCGACCCGAAGTTGAGGCGGAAATTCAGAATCTCGGCAAAGAGGACAACTCGCATTGGAAGGCGGGCGGCGGCGGTGGCGACGGAAAAGCGCCACGGAAGAAGCGCGAACGCAAAACGCGCAAAAAGATTGGCATCGACGATTTTGCGCACTATTTTGCCGACAGTTCCGATGTTGATTTCGTCGAGAAGGTGACGAGCGTGTTGTGCACCGAAATTCGGAGTCCGGCGACACTTCATATGCGAAAAGAGCAGATTTATTATGACGATTTGCCGACGGATGTTAAACCGCACGTTGCTTATGATTTCGACTCGTTCTGCAAATATGGGTTGTTCTTTAAGGTTGTGTTGAATTGAAAAAAAGTTAATATCGAAATCATTTATTTTTTTTTATAGAAGAAATATGGAAAGTTACGATTTGAGAGGGTTCCGACGAAATTGACGCGAAGAGAGGAGGTGCTGGTGGATGATTTGAAGGGCGAGCAGCGCGATGCCGATTGTGTTCATTGGCTTATGACGTTTAACGCGTTCAAATGCTTCTATGAGTATGATTTTTTTTGGGATTGTGGAATTTTTTGATTTGAGGGTTTGCTATTTTTTTCAGAGATGATGAACCTGCGCAGGAAACAACAACAGACGATTCTTCGGCGCCTGTAGATGATGACGGAATTGTCGAGAAACGGAGCACAATGGTGTTTGATGTAAGTTGCAGTGGTGATTTGAAGATAGTGGTTAAAAATTTCAAAAAAAATGGTTCAAGCTAGTTTTTTTCCCTCAAAATCTTATGATCAAACGATTATTAAAGAAAAAAATTATTTAAAATTCTGGTAGCGAGTAGTACGCGAGACTGCGTATCTTGAATTATAGTGTACGCGCATTTAATATTCAGTCAACGATAAATTTAAATCTACACTGATTTCGCGAATTTAAAGCCCGCCTCTCTTCAATCATTTGAATATAATTTTAAAAATACCACCAAAACTCGAAAATCTGTCGAAAAGAATCTTTTTGGATCTCGTGGTGAACTATTTTATTTTTTTCATTGTGGTGTCTTCTTTCGAAAATGTTAACATTTTAACAATTTAGGATAGCGATGATAATGGGAATTCTGAGCTGCTGAGGCAGGAAGCACTTGCGCGAATGACGGGACTGAATCGCGAAAAACTAGTGAAAGCCATGATTGAAAACGATTCTATGAGAAGATTGATGGGCCGTTTGCGATCCGATGGGCTGGAGGATACTGGATTGGGAGATGTAAGTGGAGTCGAGAACGCGAATGGGAGATTTGAGAATGTTTTTTTTTAAGGATATTAGTGGAGCCAATTATCGGCCGACGAATATTGATGCGTTGAAGCAGAAGAAGAGTATTGCGGGAGTTTTGAACTCGCAAAAGGTTTGTTGCCAAATTTTGTACATATTGCTCTAAAAATCTCAATTTTTCTCGAAAATGCTTGGAAGTTCTGTTGAGTCGCCAGGCGCTTTTTTTTCGCCGCTGAGATAATATTGAACTTTGGCCGATTTTCAGCTCAGTTATCCGACTTTGGTTGGATTTTTCAAAGTGATCAAAGAAGAGCAGAGCAATAAGACGTTGATGATTCAAGGGATTTCCGAGGAGGATCAGCGAGCGTCGATGATGACGCCGGCGCCGGATTCGGAGAATTTGCCGAAGGATGGTCTCGATTCGGTGTTTAAGCTGAAAACGCCGGAAAAGATTGAGATTGGTAATCGAATTTGTTTTTTTTTCTTTGAAATGATCGATTTGTAGATGTTCCGGAGGTGATGCATGAGCTTCAAGAAGTTCCGATTGAGCAAGATGATAATATGCCGCAAACGGAGGATGACATTGATCCATCGAATCCGCCGGTGGTTAAAGTCAAAGTCGCCGGCGTTCACACCTATTTGTCGCTTTTGGCTTGCTTGTGGAGTCGGGCGAATGACAACAATTTGAATCCGGCGTCGTGGTTCTCGTTCTTCCTTCATCTTTGCAATGAGAACGTGAGAATTGGACGAAACGATTATTGAGAATTCTTGGTTTTTGTTGTTGCAGAATTTGCGACTTCATCAGGATCGAACGAATCGCAATTGGATGACGGACTTTTTGATTATGAATGAGAATGATGAGATTCCCGAAGATATTGAGATTGGCGATGAATCGACGATGGATAGTTTTTGGTATGTCTTCGCAGATGGAATTTTGAGAAAAAAATGAAGAGAAATATAGAAAACGATTCAAATTGAAGCCAATTGAATCATTTATGAATCAATTTCAATTTTATTTGTAATTTTTGGAGACATTTCTGACATTTTCGAAATCTTCCGATCATTTTTGAAATTATTTTTTGAAGAATTGTCCCGTCAAAAAAAAGATTGATATTTAGATTTTGGAAAAAATATTTAAAATCTTTGAAATAAATTGACAGAAAGCTAGTTTTAAAATGTTTTTTCTACGAGATCTGCGAAAAGTTATAGAGATTCTTTTTTAGATCTGAAAAATCAAATATTCTATATTAGACGTCACGAAAATAAAAAAAACCTAATGTACAGAAAGATTTACGGGCTATATAAATGGATAGATTAAAGGCGCATGTGGCGTAGCGATGATTTCCTCATTTTTGGTGCACATTGGCCATCTCAAATCGAACAGGGACGTTTAATTTGGGTTTTGATTCCAGGCGCGATTGTCTTGATCCATACGCGGAATTGGCGCCGGTGCAGCCGTTGACGAATGCTGCCGGCCGACCTCCGCAACCATCGGTGTCTTCAAAGGTGACGGTCAGTCTGGCGGATATTCTGGAAGAGGACGACGAGATTGATAACCTGTTTGGCGACGAGGTGCCTGCACCTCCAGAAGCGTTTGAGGATGAGCTGGGACCATCACCGACGGACTAAATAAGTTTTTATTGTTTTCTTTTTTTATTTGTTGCTTGACTACTTCAAACCTGTCCCATAATAGACATTGTTCCATTTGAATGAGAATTTCGGGTTATTTCCTCACTCTCGACGACGATACTCTCTCATAATCGGTGTGGCTCTCCCTCTTTTTGTTGAATTCGCTGCGAGACCACAACTATTTATTTATTTATTTTTGTTTACTTGCTTCTTTGAAATTTTTTAGAAAAGTTTCTTGCCGAGACCGATTTTTTAGCCACCCAACGCGATGTTTTCATTTTTTTTTTCTGATTTGTGTATTAATAAAATTGGGCTCGCAATTTTTTAAAAACTGTTTTTTCTCTCTCTTTCATTTTGGTTTTTACCTATTGTTCTATTTCCATTTTATTTTTTTTTTGTGTAAATGAATAAAAGGTGGATTTTTAGAGAATGTTGGCGAGCTGCTCGAAAAGTTTGCCGAGAGGTTGCCTTTTTTGGAAAGGTTCGACGATTTGAATTGAGTTTTGCGAGACGATTTTGAAAACGCGAAGATTTTATGACATATCGATTGAAATTAATAACATTTTTCAATTTTTTTTGGGAAAAAAATTGTTTTTTCGAAAAAAAAAAACAAAAAAAAATTGAAAGAGAAAATTTGGATTTGAGAAATTTTGAGATGAATTATTTTAAAAATATAGAAAAGCTTGAAATTAGCCAAAAATTATCATAAAAGCTCAAAAAATAATAGTTTTTTCGGATTTGAAAACCATTTTTTAAAATTTAAATTAAATTTCATTTTCAATCTGCCACTTCATTGGGGTTAACACTCTGATTTTAGAAGAAAAGAAAAAAGAATTTCAGCAGGAAATTCAATTTTTCGATTAGAAAATGAGAAAATTCGGTTTTCTTTACTTCAAATTTATGAAAAATATTAAATTTTAATTGGAAAATGTTAAAGATCGCCGGAAAAATGCATTTTTGAAACGAATTTTTGAAAATTTGAAATTTTTTTTAATCGAACCAATCATTGAATAGTCGTTTAGGTCAAAATTTGGGCATCTCGACGTGTTCGCCGGATTTGAAAGGTCCGCGCAATTACGTGAATCGAAGGACCGGACGCGGTTCGGGCTACGGGGTCCTGCCGCGATTCGAATGGCGATATGAGAGAGCGACGGGAAGGAATTTTCAAAAATCGTTCGGATTGCGATTCGGATTCGATATGGGTCTCGAAGATCGATTGTTGCTTTCGTCGTTGGCGAATAAGCAGAGAAGATTGGATGGCAAGAAGATGAAGCAGCTCGGTAAGCGCGTTGTGCGCCTTTAAATCGAGTGAAAATTCAGCATTTTTTTGGAATCATGTTTTTCAAAAAAAAACTGAATTAAAAAAATTTTAAATCCAAAAATTATTTTTTAAACATCTTTGGTACTACTTTATTTTGCAATTAAATGCTTTAATGAAATAAAATAAAAATGAAACTATTTTTTTAATGGGGGGGGGTCCTCAAAAATTTTAAAATATCATTGAAGCTAAGACATCGAAATAAAAAAATTATTTTTCGAAAAAAATTTAAAATGATGACATTTATGCGGCGGACAATTTCAGCGACGATTCTCGAGGAGCGCATTTCGGAGGTGATGTCGACGGATGAGACGTTGGCGTGTTTGGCGCTTCAGCTCACCAAAGTCACCGTCGACAAATGGTTTTCGGTGGTGAATGTGCATTGGATGTGTCGCGGCGACGGCGATGACTATGTGAAGCGAACGTTGGATGAAGCCCGACATCAGCTGAGGCGAAAGACTGGTGAAATTATTGGAATCACGTGTCCCGAGATTCGATTCATTGGTATTTTTTTAAACGATAAAATTTGAGTCAAAATTCAAAAGCCAAAATTTTTCGTAATCAATTTGAAACGAACTACCCAAAAGCTACTGAAAATTGGAATTTAATTTTTTCCGAAATTTTGAGTCTTAAAATCGTGACGTTTTTGAAAAACAATCAAATTCTATAAAAATTGCAGAAAAATGTTTCATTTTTCCTTTTTTTTTGAGCGACGAAACGGATTATCTGCGATTTTTTGGCTTAAAATGTCACCAATTTTTTTTTCGTCTCGGTTATCATTTCATTATTTTTTTTCCTAGGCGATCGTACGAATTTAATGGAACTGGAAATGGACAATTTGTTCAGAAACGCCGATTATGGAGTTGATTATCGGACGTTGAGTCGGAGTGCGAGAGTTCTTGGGAATGCAAAGCCCGACGATGAGCAGGTAGCGACTTTGATGAAACTCAAAACCATACGGATTCGTCAAAATTCGATTCCGGTATCGAATCGACCCGAATTTTTGCGGACAAGATTCTGAAATTGTTGTATCTGATTATTGACTGTGAAATGGTGAACCGATAATGATGGTCCCGAAAAAATTAATTTCCAGCTCGTTTTGAAATTGTTGGCCATTTTTCGAGCAATTTTAGCGAGATTTATAATTTTTCCACAAAAACTTTTCTGTTTCAACATTTTTTTGTTTGAAAATTCAAACCGGAATTTTGTCGACGCGAAAATTGTTCAGTTTTCAAAAAAAATTGCAATTTTTCGCGTGAAAACGAAAAAAAATCGTAAAATTTTCAGAAGCCTATCGAAAAGGTGCCGAATTGGCTGAAAGCGATTCGGGAGAAAAAGGCCGCCAAACAAGGAGACTAAATATTTGAGTATTTGAATAAATATAGGATTTTTTTTTAATAGTTTTCGATATTTTGAGAGATTTCTTCAATTCTTTTGAATATTTTTGAGTGATTTTTGTTTTCGAAACCCCTATTTTTTATTCGGTCTTATTTTGGATGTCGTCGACGCCCCCCGAAAAGCTGCGAATATTGTGCCTTCATGGCTATCGGCAATGCGAGCTCTCATTTCGACAGAAAACTGGAAGCGCCAGGAAAGTGATGAAGAATTTTGCGGATTTTGAGTTTATGAATGCTCCGCATAAAGTTGCGGCTGATAATAGTAAGATATTTTTATTTTTTGATTGAAAATTGAACACGTTGGGAGCAAATTATCATTGAAATTTTTAGAAAATTTGAGTTTTGAATCGAAAAAGATGTAAAATTGAAAAATTCACATAATGAAATGCAGTTTTGCCGAGATTTTCTTCATGTTTTGGTTGAAAATTGGAGTTTTCGCAAAAATTGAAATGAATGAGAGAAAATCAATTCAATTTGGTCCTAATTTTCCGGAACATTGGATTTTTACGATCAACTCGGAGAAATTGCTTTAAAAAATATTTTTTTTGTTTATTTTATTAAAAATTGACGATTTTTATGAAATTTTTGGCAAAACACATATTTTTAAAATTATTATGAATTGAGAATTTCGCTAAAAAATATTTTGATTTGTTTAATAAATGCAGATTTTTCTCCATTTTTGCTTTCAAATTTGCAAATTCAAAAAAAAAAAGAAATTCCGGTTTTGAAAAGAAAATTTTGACATTTTTTGAATGAATAAAACAAATTGGTTGAAAAATTCGGATTAAGTGCTCAGAATCAAAAAAAAAAGTCGAATCCTATCCGGATTTGCGAAGGCGATCAAAATTGTTAGTATTCTTGTGTTTTAGACGTTGAAACGAGCCGCGGATGGTGGTTTTCGAATGAGGAGACGATGAGCTTTTCGTCGCGAGAGCCCACAAATATTGCGATTGGATTCGACGAATCGATCGCCGAAGTTTTGAAGTTTATTGAGCAAAACGGCCCATTTGATGGTTTAATGGGATTTAGTCAAGGCGCTTCGATGGCTCATTTGCTCATTGCCAAGGTTGCGGAAAAATGTGCCATTGAAACGTTTTTGAAGTTTTTTTTTTCCAAAAAAAAGCATATATTTTCTGCAGATTTTGCTCTCTAGAGGATTTTCAGAGATTTTCGCGACAAAAAATTGGTTTGAATGTTGAAAATTTGTCAAAATTTCAGGCGCAACTTGGCGAGATTGATCTGAAAGGCATTCGATTTGCGATATTCTTCTCGGGATTCTTGAGTCTCTCGACGATGCATGACAATCTGACGCAATTGAGAATCGTTGATCTACCATCGGTATGATGACGAATTGGTATTGTGAGAATGGCCGAGTTTTGGTGGCCTAGGTTTATTATGACGATGTTGAGAATAGTTGGGGGTCTCGAATGGTTCAGTTCCAAGAAATTTTTGGTTCCTTGTATCAAATTTTTCTGTCATGAGACCGAACGAAAGGAATATTCGCCATGGGACCAATTGGGGTCTGGTAGAGCTTTGAACCATTCTTAAAAAATCTTTTTAAGCCTTATGAGACCTCATTTCAACCTGGAAGCCGCTGATTTTAGTAATTTCAGAGGCTTACATTTTTTATTAAAAAAAGATATTTTGCATTTTTTTTCTTGCTGAAAAATAGTGAACGAATTTGAATTTCGGCGTTTCAGATGGTCCCGCCGAAGAAAATGTGATGGCACGTTTTTTTAGATTTTACCTATCGAAAATTTATAGAAAATTAACTTGAATGTGCAAAACTCGCTCCATACGAGACCCAAGGCGGCAATTCAAATTAAAAACCGATAACATAATTTTGAAAATTTCCATTTCTATCATTAATCTTAAATCTGATCATTTTCAGCTTCATCTATACGGAAACGCTGATGAGATTGTGGCGAGCTCGAAAAGTGAGCTGTTGGCGGATCGCTTCGAAATTCCGGCGATTCGAATCAATCACGAAGGCGGCCATTTTGTGCCGACACTATCGAAACAGCGAGCAATTGTGAATGAGTTTTTGCAACGAATTTGTAATAATAAGAAATAGTCGATTAGGTTTATTTCTTTTTCCTTAATCTGTTCTGGTTTAAAACAATAAATAATTATTGCCTCGTCGTCGCGGTGCCTGATACCCGCATTGTTTTGTTGATTTTGTGTGTTGCGAATCGCTCAGCCATTTTTTTTTAATGGCACACATTCGCACACGTTCGCCGTGTTTGTTTTCTATCGTTTGGTTTATAAATACACGCCGAGTTTTGTCCGAGTAAAATGTTTTATTTTTGCAAGACGAAATGAAAATGTTGATCGATCTCGCGTTACTGTAGTGTTGAGATTTGTGCAAACACCGAAGTGACGAGTTGCGGAAATTATTTGTAAGCCGACACGTTTTCGGTTTGGCGATTTCTTTTTATTGAATTTATTAAATTTTTCATTTGAAATTTAGATTCTAGACAATCGAACAATTGTATTGTTCGAATTCAATAGAACACGCGCTCTATAGAATTGCGCAGATGTTGGCGATTTTAGGATTTTCGAATAAAATTCTTTTTGATAGCGAATTTAGGACAATTTGAGCGCGTAAATTTCTGTTTAAAAAATTCGACGAATTTTTGTGGTTTTTTGTAATCGCGCTTTTTCAAAAAGATCTTTAAATTTTAATTTTGCCTTATATTTCAATTTCTTGCATGTGAGCAACATTTTCAATTTTTTTAAATAGAATTTTGTTCCAGATTGTTGCGCTAAGGAAAAAAAACCCAACGGTCCCCTTTGATGACATCCATCTCAAATCCGTCGCGTCGCGATTCCCATACAATATTTTTGTGTGGTTTTTTTTTGATATTGAAAAGAAAAAGTGCATACAAACAAAAAGTGCGGAGGGAGGCGAGAGAAGCAATCGAAAAAAAAATTGGGACGCGTCGCGCGCGGGACCTTTTCGAAAATGCTGTCGTCGACGTGGGGGCCCACCCCACCGACGAGACAAATGTCTTTCGCCCTGTGTTCTTCTCTGCTTCTCATCCCAACTCGCGTCTTTCGCTCGCACTCTCTCAGTCACCACGTTGAGCTGTTTGAGAGCTAGTGCTCGCGCCTCGCGCTACGCACCGTCACCAAACTTCCCACCGACACCATTCGGCCTCCCAGTCATCACCCAAACGCGTTTGCCCCTCTGTCTGTTCGTTCTATTTTTAGACCGCCCAACTCTTTTGGCCAATTTCGCCCCTTTCATTGTGATTTGAATCAAAATGTTGTCGTGGTCTCCTGGTTTCGTCTTTTTTTTGCAATACGCGGCGCGCTTTTTTTTGCTGTTTTTTTTTGCAGGAGAGCCGCAAGCGTTTTTCCGGTTTGTGGTCATCGCAACAGGCGCTATTAATATGGTCGCGAGAGAGAAAGAGAGAGTGTTTTGTTTTTCGAGAAAAGAAATTTCAAATTTCGCGCCGTCTGTTTGTTTTGGGTTTTTTCATTTGAAGATCTTCTAAAAGCAATCAATCGCGTCTAAGATTCATGAAAAATTTTGTTAAAAAATTTTTTTTCGCGCGTAAATCTACAATTGACCCTAATCGCGTGGGTGTGTACTGTAGATATCGTCTTTGGGCAGACGGAACTCATCATGCCGTCGTTATCGATACAATCGCTTGATATGAACCACATTCGAGAGTTTTATCACACCTTTTCGCCCGGTTCTTCTAGACCCCAAAATTCGTACTTTTCAATGGATGTTTGTGTGGTGTGCCTTTAAATTTGCACCGTATTCCGCCCGAGACTGATAGGCCTAAAAAAAATTTGGCGTGTTTCCTTAGCTCAAGAAAACAAAAATGAAATCGCCCTTTCCGTTTGGGACCTTTAAATAGTTCCTCTCCTGCAACAATTACGCGTTTGCGCAGCGAATCAGCCTTAATTGGATGTTTTGTTGATCAATTCGCGGTTCGGCGATTCGGCAAAAATCGACTTCCTCCAACCCGATCGGAGCCGATTTCGCAAAGCGAGACTTGTTCGCTATGAAAACGAAACGAATCGAATCGATCAATCTATTTTGATGATTTGAGCGAAGAGGAGGGTCGCGTTGTTTCTTCTCTTCTCATTATTGTCACCCATATGTGGCCAACCTTGAAATTATATGAAATCATTATAGAATGGTTTCGGCGTTTGGCGCCGCCGCCGCCGCCGCTTCTTCTCTAGCCGATGATGAAGCGCCAACTCGATCGGCGTCTTCTGGAGATTCGAATCGGCGCGTCAAAATTGAGGATGTGCCGACGTATAGTCATTCGTCAGGTGCGTTTCCCCCTTTTTTTAATAGTCATTGATACGGCGTTTCCTTTCTCGGTGGTTGGTTCAATGAATTGGCCTCGAATTTTTGAATGACTGGAATTTATTGGAAAAAATCGATTTTCAATTAGAAAATTGAATTTCGGACAATTTTTTTGTTGCAATTTTCCGTAGGAATTAAAATTTGGAAAAAATGTTTTACATAGAAAAAAAAACAAATTTTGACAATTTTAATGCTTGAATAATTTTCGTAATTAAACCAATTTTTTAATCTGAAAAAATCCCGAGATTTGTCGAAAAACTACAATTTTTTTTGATAAAAGGGGAATTTTGTTAATTTTTGAGACTTTGGCCGTGATTTTTGGGAAAATGTCTGAAAATCTGAACGCAATTGATTTTTTTTCGATCTTGTGATAAAGAATATTATTAAAAGCGGGGCATTTTTATTGCATTTTTTTTCTGGCCGATTTTTTTCAATTAAAAATCTCGGTTGTTTTATTGAGCAGACAGAAATGATGATCGTCCCCGTTTTTTTTTAATCAGACATTGCATATTTTCGACCTTGAACTGCCTTGAAAAATTTGGGGGTCAAATCGACAATTTTTTGAGCGAGAGAGGGGGGGGTCTCCAATAAAAAGACGACCGAAAAATGATATAGTCGACGATGGACGAATTTGGCGGTGTGATTGCTTTGGGTCTCGTAGGGGAAAATAAACTCTTGGAGCGATTTTTACGTTTTTTAACTATCATAATATGAAAGAGAATAATTTTTGATGAATTTGAAGTATTTTGGTTATTAGCATAAATGTATGAGCCGATTTTTTTTTAGTGGGACCAATAAAATGGCAGGCGGGCATTTTTGAATGAATTCCTGGAATGGGTGGTTATCAGTGTTTCGAAATTCAATATTGATGTCATAATTTTGAAAGTTGTAATAGAAACAATTTTTGCAAGAACAAAATATGAAAATTTGCTCAAAAATCCACGCTTTTTTTGATAAATATTGGCTGAAATTTGACGATTTTTCTATTTTTCTTCTGAAAATTTGAAATTTCCGGCTGATCCACATTTTTCCCCTGTTTGCTTTTTTTTTTGAAAGCTGAAAATTCGAGATTTTCGAAATGGACCCTTCTTAATTTGGTCCGATAATGTTCGTTGGGCTTCCTCAAAAAAAAAAAATGGCAATGTGCTCACATATCCAATTTCGGTGTGCAAATAAACACGACGCGAGCGTACATCATTGTTGCTCAATTTTGCTATAATTTTTTTTCAACCCCCCTCCCAAAAATTCGCTGATCTCAATGTTTCATTTATTTATTTGACCAGATGTGTGTTCCCCTTCCACTTTTTTTTTCCACCTGCGACGACGAGACCCAATTGCAGTTTAAGCTCCGCCCACACGTGGCCACGCCCATCGGGGGGCATTTTTTTTCATTCGTGACCCACCGAATATCGGCAACGATTTCGATTGTGTCGTCTTCGATTATCGCGTTTTCTTCCCGAAAATTTTTGATTTTTGAAACTAGTGCTACAGTAATCCTTCTATGAGATAGTCTGATAGATTTTTGACAACTCCAATAGATTGTGAATAAAGGCTTAATGGTTTCAATGGTCACTTGAGTAGTAGGCGTTTTCAAGAAATGATACTGTAGCAAAAGTTTTAACTGTACTACAATTATTACAAAATTCGATTATTGCAAAAATTGTGAAAAAGGTTCGTCTGGGGACCAGGATACTGTAGTTGTAGTTCAAACTGTGTTCTGGTCTCGATAGATTTGTTCGAGATTAGATCTTTGTAGATAATTAAAGCAGTTTATAGATTTTTTTTCCCCCCGAAATTCCCTAAAACGGAAGCGATTCTTGTCAACAATCGAGAATAGGTCGACCTGTTTTCGATTTCGATGGGGATTAAATGTGGCAAACAGCATAAAACACCTGCGGACATTGTTGCAGGCTCGTCGGTGAACGAGATGGTGAACGGCAGCGGCGATTCGATCGAAGGCGCGGCCTCGTTGGCGGGCTCAGCCGGTTGTCGAACGCGTCGGCGTACGATGAGCGGTGGACGAGCCGAAAACCATCTTCTCACAACGAAAACGGGAAAGGTGCGTCGAATCTACGCGGTGCATTGCTTTTTTTTTCCTTATTTGCAGAAAATCTACACGAAAGGCCGTCCGCCATGGTACGATAAGCGCGGGCAGGCGCTGAAACAGCCGTTTGTGATCGGCATTTGCGGTGGTTCGGCGAGCGGCAAGACGACCGTCGCTGAGAAGATAATCGAGCGACTCGGAATACCATGGGTCACCATATTGTCGATGGACAGCTTCTACAAGGTGAGTTGTGGTTTGGTTTGGGTCTTGCCAAGAAGGGGGGGGGGAGCAATTATCTCAAATGAAGCGATTCCATTCCGAGAAGAAGTGAAGAAAAAATGTTGAGCGCATTTTGATACGATACGGATTTTACGGTATGATCGTGCATTTGTGCGTCAGGTGTTGAAACGGACCGTATCTTTTTTTTTGCAAGAATCGCTTTTTCTACTTTTTTTCGTTTTTTTTTTTGTTGAAATTGAATTGCTCCGAAACAAAAGACAGAGAAAAGATTGAAGAAAAAATGCATTTTCACTTTTTTTTCAAATGTTCAATTCCGCCCAACTCGGCTCTCGAGGGCCACTGTAAATTGACGTCAAGGTCTTGAAGGGAAAACTGATAACGTGAAAATTTACGATATTCCATATTGGTGTCGATTTACGATTAGCTATCGTATCCTTTATATTTGAAAATTGGAGAGGGGACAATTTCAAAAATTTAGAAATTGATTATCTGGCGATTTTCAGATTCTTAGCAAAGAAGAAGCCGAGGAAGCTGAACGCTCGAACTACAACTTTGATCATCCGAACGCGTTCGATTTCGATTTGCTTCATGAGGTGTTGGTGCGACTGCGCGAGGGCAAATCGGTCGAGGTGCCCGTGTACGATTTCAACACGCACTCGCGCGATCCGAATCCGAAAATGATGTACGGCGCCGACGTGCTCATTTTCGAGGGCATTCTCGCGTTCCATCGTCAAGACATCAAAGATCTGATGGACATGAAGGTGTTCGTCGACACCGACGGCGATTTGCGTTTGGCGCGTCGAATCGTGCGCGACGTCAGCGAACGCGGACGAACGATTGACGGCATCAATGAGCAATACTTTCGATTCGTCAAACCCGCGTTCGATCGCTACATCGCGCCTGGGATGGAGGAGGCGGATTTGATTGTGCCGCGCGGCGGCGACAACGACGTCGCGATTGATATGATTGTGCAGAATGTGATGGCGCAGCTCGTTGAGAGAGGTACGCGTCGCGTCGGACCATTGAAATGTGTCGAACGACTAAAATTCCAAGTGTGAGATGAGAGGGCTGCACAAATTTTTCGACTCTTCTTTTTTGTTCTCCGAAAAATTTGTCGATTTTGGAAATTCGTCAAATTTTGACGATTTTACACCGATCATTTCTAGTTTTATAGTTGACGTTAGGCGGCTCCGGAATTCTGGTCGATTTTCGATGTCAACCATATTTTAGAATCTCAGAATTTTTAGGAAAAGTCTTATCGAGTGACACAACGAAAAGGCCGCAATAAATAGGCGATTTTCGAATTTCTTTTAAGAACGTTTTTTTTTGTACTAAAAATTCGAAATTGGCTGCCCCAAAATGTACGACATGAGTTTGCAAAAATAATGGATGCAATTTTTGAAGGTTACGATCGGAATCAGAACAATCGTGATCGTCATGAGCTTGTTCGAGAGGATCTGCCGGATTGCCTGCCTGACAATTTGATAATTCTGAAGCAGACGCCGCAGGTTCGAGGATTGGTCACGTTTGTGAGGGATCGGGCGACGAGCAGGTAGATCAAAAGAACAACAAATCAGAAAAAAAATGGAGTTTTGTGGATCGACAATTTTCAGAGATAATCACATTTTCTACTCGGATCGTTTAATGAGAATACTGATTGAGGAGGTGATGAATCATATGCCTTATAAGGATATTGAAGTGGAGTTGTCGAATGGAAGGAAGACGATGGGGAAGAGAAAGGACGCGATGATTTGCGGATTGCCGATAATGAGGGCTGGAGAGTGTATGGAGAGCGCGTTGAGATCGGTTGTGAAGGATTGTGTGGTAGGATGAGCTCAAGAAAATTTTTTTCAGATCAATTTTTGTTTGTTTTTCAGATTGGCAAGATTCTCATTCAGACGAATGAGTCGACGTTTGATCCCGAATTGCATTATATTCGACTTCCGCCGCACATCACCAAATACAAAGTGATTATAATGGACGCGACGGTTACCACGGGTAATTGCGTTGTCGTTTGATTGCGAGATTTTGTGCGATTTTGAAATTTTCGCCAAAAATTCGATGAAATTTCCGCCGAAAAAACAAAGAAGAAATTTTTGAGATTTTCGCTTTATTCAGGAAGCGCCGCGATGATGGCGATCCGTGTGCTTCTTGATCACGACGTCCGCGAAGAGGACATATTCGTCGCCTCTCTGCTCATGGGCCAACAAGGCGCTCACACGTTGGCCTACGCGTTTCCAAAGGTACGTGGTTTTGGTATTGAGGAGGACGCGATCAATAGTAGTCTATGGTTGTCTTGGAAATTGTCTAAGTAGTTCAATGGGAGTCTTGGCGCGATCCACAGTAATCCAATGTTGTCTTTGGAATGATCTACAGTAATCCATGAGATTTTAGTTGCTAATTTTTGAGCGAAACTGAGATAATTTAATCGAAGAGGAAATGCGCTCATGATAGATTTTATTGAAATCGTGCTGCGGACAATTTGTGAGGTTTAAAACGATTCAGCGTATTTTAATTGACTATCAATTCATTGAGAAATTTCACCGAAAAATTGATTTTATAATCGTATTTTTAAAAGAATCTGTGGAATTTTCGCGTTTAAATATTGAGATTTTCGTGAAAAATTGCAAAAATTACCAAAATTTTTGATGTTTTTGCGAAAAATCGATGATTTGTCCAATGTTAAACCAGGCAAGCATTCGAAAATAGAATGAGATGGCAAAAAATAGAAAAAATGTTTTGAAATTTTTGAGTTTTCGACCGATACAGCGGATTTTTTCAGGTGAAATTGATCACGACTGCGATGGACACGCACATGACGGAACACTGCTATCTGATTCCCGGCATGGGCAACTTCGGCGATCGCTATTACGGAACTGGCATCGACATCGATCCCGATGAGCCGATTAATTGAAATTTTTGATTGTTGTTTCTCTTTTTTTTTCCCCCTTATATTATTCATTTTGTTTGTTTTGTTGCTTTTTTTTTCAATTATTTATATTAATAACATTATCATTTTGTTTCATGTTTTGTTGTTATATCACTTTTTCTACCGGATTCTTTCATTTGCGACGAGAATGGTGCACGAGGTGCGATGGGTGTGCGATGGAGCGCGTTTGCCGCCGCGCCGAATAATGATGACATTGTTCTTCGTGTTTTGGTTTCCCTCATTTTATTGTTGTTTCATTTTTTTGCGACTCGCTTAATTCTCCATAATTCTTGTTTATTGATTCTTCTTCTTCTTTTTTTTTAATTGGGATGATAAAGTTTTTGATGTTGAGTTGGGTTTTTAGTTGCGCCGAACGAAATGCACGCGTTTTTTCAAGGTCTCGGAATGGGAATGCCGAGCTACGCGGGACGATTCGATGTCAATTTTGCGGTGAGCCGAATCAATTTTTCACTTCGTTTTTGAGATATAGATCGAATTGATGAGAAGTGGCGACTAGAAAAAAATTGGCGGAATTTTGAAATAAAAATTCGAGGCGAGAAATTTCGCGTGGAATTTTGATGAATTGGGGAAAAAAGTTGTTGAAATTTTTGAAATTTCGATGAGAAATTGATTTTATTGGCAAAAATCGAATTTTTAAAAGAATCGGTGGAATTTTCGATTTTTTACATTGAGATTTCGTAAAAAATTTGAAGTTTTTTGATGAAATTTCGAAATGTTTGCGAAAAAATCGATTTTTCCAATGTTAAATCAGGCAAGCATTCTAAAATAGAATGAGATTCCAAAAAAATAGAAAAACTTCGCCGAAAAATGTGTTAATTTGTTAAGTTTATTGACAAATATTGATTTTTTCTGAAAAAAAAAATGAAATTTGCTTTTTTTTAAATGAAAATTGCCATTTAAAAATATTTTGCGGAAATTTATGGTTTTCTTTTCGACGACAATCTAAAAATGATTTCTATTTCATAAATTCCTTTAAAAATGTTAAAAAAAAATCGGTTTTGCTTTTTTTCCAAAGTTGAATTTCTTATAAATATTTTTTTTGGAAAAAATTTATTAATTTGAAATTCTTGCGTGAAATCTCGATAGTCCATCATTTCTCATTCAAAAATGGTGTTCAACTTGTTCGGAAAACGCGTTTTTCAGCTAAAAGTGTGACTCAAAAAAAAAAAAAGAAAAAATATTCAATTTTTTGCGAAAATTATTATTGCCCAATTTTTGTAGGCCTATGGTGCCGTGTTTTTGGAGACGGCCACGCAGGAGAAAACCGAAGAGATCGACAATGGCGGAAAAGTGAGGCGAACCAAAAAAAACTTGCGAAATTGATTTGTTTTTTTTTCTCTCGACAGATTTTGCTGCCGACGTCGGCTCTTGACATGCTCCTTCGAATGAATATCCAATATCCGATGCTTTTCAAGGTACTCTTCTTCTTTTTTGAAAAAAAATTAAATGGAATATGGATCCAAAGTGGATTTATAAAAGCTGATCTCCCACACGATCATCTTATTGATCTAATTAAAAAATGAAAAAGATTACAGAATTTTTTCAATGGAGGGTTGTGAAAAAAAAAAGAAAATTCAATTTTTTACATTAAAAAAATGCATTTCGTTCTCTGGGTAACTCAAAACCAATCGGATTCGACAAAATTTGGCTCAAACTGATCTCATTAGTAAAAATAATTGGATCCGTTTTGTTTTAATCTTTCAATTCGAATCGGATCCAACAAATATCCAATCGGATCCGACAATTTTATCTGCAGAATTTCCAATCGGATAAGATTTTTTCTTCAACATATAATTACAGTACCCACTGCGTTTTTTTTCTGCATTGCAAAAAATGTGAAATTTTTGCAATGAGAAAAGAAATTGAATTTTTGATTGATATGCCACAGATCCATTTTCCAACATGTACTAAAAACAAAATTTGAGTTTTTTTTTTCAGTTGACGAATCCGCGCCACTCGCGCGTCACTCATGCCGGCGTGTTGGAGTTTTCGGCGCCCGAAGGACAAGCGATAATCCCACACTGGGTAGGTTGGGGGGTCTCGAAGCGATGGTGGTGCGCCTTTAAATGATGATCTCATGGCTGGCAAAAAAAAACGAAATTTTGGAAATTTTTTTGGAGCGCTTAAATTCTCGAATCAAATATTTTTTTTTGACAAAAAATTTTTTCTTAAAATAATTTTGATTTTTATGACGGACTAATTCCATTTTTCTCTTTTCTAATCGAAATTTCTTTGAAAAAAATTTTAATATTAAAATAAATGACAAAAATCACTTATAATTCAATTAAAAAAAAACGCCAACTATTGATCTACCAAGAATTTGTGTAAAATCATCGCGTTTTGTAGAGAATTGTCAAAATTGAACGAATTTGCGATTTTTTTGGGGAAAAAGCATAGTTGAAATCAATTTTTTTGGATTTTCTCAGTCTTCGAAATTTTTACTTCTTCAAAATTCGGTCGGATTTGATGTTTTTTTTAGCAGGTTTGACCCACTAGTCGGAGATGCTCCGAATTTTGCGATTCTTCTGAATTTTGAACCATTATAGAGAGTTTCTAATGTTTGAAAAAAGAAAAAAAAACAATATTGAAAATAATATTCGATTTCGCTGTGAAAAAAATGTGCCTTTGGCTTTTTTCCCCATTTTTTCTCGCTCTAGAAATTCACTTGTGAAAATTTTGGCAAAATTGAAATCAAATTATTTTTTTTGAGCATCGAATCGGCAATTTGAAGCGAATTATTATTATAAAAGAAAAAAATTTGATTTGATTTAGATGATGATCCAATTGGGACTCGACGACGGCGAAACCGTTCACATCGAGACGGCCACACTTCAGAAGGCGACGTTCGCGAAACTCAAGCCGATGACACTCGAATTTTTGAACATCACCAATCCGAAGTGAGCGAGAATTGACTTGTTTCTCATTTTTTTCTTTCGTCCAATTGCAGAGCTTTTCTTGAAGTCGAATTGAGGAAATATGCGTGTTTGACGAAAGGCGATCGAATTCCGACATCGGTGGGTGATGTTTTATTTTTTTTGGAATTTCCGCGACAAAAAAATGATTGTGACAAAAATTTTATGAAATTTTGTTTTTTTTTTGCTGAATTGGCAATTGTCGCGAACTTTACTTGTATGGGAAGTCAGTGTACTTCCCGTTTTTATTTTTGTCACTTTGCACACACTAAGGTTTTCTTAGTGTATTCACAATATTCTAGCTTTCGCTGAAGTGGGTTTCAGACTTTTATGGCTGTCTGAAAATTGTAGGCAATTTTTAATTACCTTAACAGTTATTTTTTGGGCAAGCGGTTACATATTAACTGATTGGCGCTCTGAATTCAGCGTCGAGCATACTTGCAACGGGGCGGGTCCGAGTGAAAATTCTACCGACCCGCTCGACCCGCTAATAGATTTTTTGAAGAAAAGTTTATTTTTAAAAAAATCGAAAACGAAACAAAAACAGTGAAAGACGGTTCAATCAATTTTGTTTGAGGACTTCTGAACAATTTTTGTTGCGAGAATAATTAATTCTACTCAAATAATGTAATTCGAAATTTTTTTTTCGCTAAACAAGGGCCTCGCTGTAAACTTGGAGTGTCGTTGCGGGTCGGCGGGGCGGGTCGCGAATTTTTTTACTGACCCGCCCCGGGTCGACCCGGAAATTTGCAAGTATGGCGTCGAGAGGGGTGATGGGGTTAGTGTGTAGGCCGATAATTTTGTGATGAGGGTTCGTTCCCCCCGCCCCCACCAGCATTTTTGCTTTTTCTTTTTTTCCCCCAAAAAATCCTGATTTAAATTATTTTATTGTGAAACGTCATTTTCATTACATTAATTCCCACCCCCCCTCTGTGCAATGTTACAAAAATTTCCAAAGTGGGAGCAAAAATGACACATTTTTTCTCAACAAATTTAAGATTAGCAAATTCAATATTTTGATAGGCTAGAAATGTTGAAAAAATTGGATTTGAGAAAATTGCCAATCCAAATTTTCAGTACGCCGGCCAAACGGTGGAGTTTCTCGTTGTCGACGTGAAGCCGGCGAACGCGGTGTGCATCATCGAGTGCGATCTGAATTTGGATTTCGACACGCCGGAGGGCTACGTGGAGCAGCCGAAGGCGGCGACGACGGCGCCGGCGGTGAGCGCGAAGCCGCCAGCGCCGCCGGCGTCGGCGTTCACCGGCGTCGGGCAGACGGTGGCCGGCGGGCAGACGATACGCGGCAAGCGGCTCGACAGCTCGCGAGCGTCGGAATCGGACGCCAAAAAGAAGACGATGTCGACGAGCTCGTCGGACGCCGCGATGGCGTCGTCGGAAGCGGCTGGCGGCGCCGCCGATGGCGGCGAACTGCCGGCGCTTCCGCCGGTCCTGGTCAACGAGGATTATCGCGCCGGACGATTGTCGTTCGTTCGCTACGACTACAAGCGGCTCGACGTGCTCCAGAAGGAGATTCGCGAGCGCGAGCAGCAGGAGAAGCTCAAATCGACGAATATTTATAAGGGAGCGAGTCAGACGTTGAGATCGTGCCGTTGAGAGCAACACACTGATTTCATCTCCCCCCGGTTTTTGTATATTTATTTTTTCTTTTTTGATAAATTTTTTGAAATTTTGAATGTTGAAATGAAAATTGAGAGGGTTTTTTTGAGTGGGAATTGCTTAATTAGATATCAGAGAGATTTTGAAAACTGAGAATTTCAGAAAATTGCAATTCTAGCTAAAAAAAAAGCTGAAAATATTGCACAATGAAGAACGCGGAACATTTTGCCAAAAATAATTGGCGATTTATTAGAATTTCATGCTGCGGACAATATTGCGGGTTCACAATTTTTTAATTTTTTGGAAATTCCTAATTTTTTGTGGATTTTCTCAAAATTTGTCGCATTGTTTCGGCTCGAAATTGTCCGCAGCACGAAATTTTCAAAATTTGAACGGTTTCGTTTTCAGTTTGATTAAACCTTGAGATTGGAAATAATCAAGATTGTATGCGATCATTTAAAGGCGCATAGGAGCCTCGGTTAAATGCGCTTCATTCAGCGAATTTTTCGAAATCTTTTTGTTGACTTCTTGCTGCGGACAATTTTGCGGGTTGAAAAATGTCCGCAGCGCGAAATTCTTGCTAACATTGAAATTCGCAAGTCTATCAAAAATGCATGCTGCGGGCATTTTTGCGGGTTCCTTCTGAAAGCGACAATCATCGACGAATCGTTTTCTGGGAATTTCGATTCGCTTATGAAATTGTCGAGCTGCGGACAATTTTGGGTGCGGTGGAAACCCGCAAAAATGTCCGCAGCTGTCGGATATTGGGTGAAACGAGAGAAAAAAAAAGAAACGAGAGTGATTTATTCTAGAAGAGATGCAAAAATCGTGTGAGTTGCTGCTGAGAAGCGGCGACGACGAACGGATGAGCGGCCAACACGTTGGCGGACTCGCTAAACTTGCGGGCCATCAATTTGCGGACCAATTGGATCGCCGATGGATCGGCGGTCGTGTTCGACGGAATCGAGACGTCGCCGCTTTGGAGGAACGCCGGCGAGTCGCCGGTGAGGCAGCGGAACAGCACGAAGCCGAGTTGCGACAGGTCCGAACTTCGATTTTCGAGTCTGAAAATTGTATTTTCGTTTTTTGACATGAAATCCGTGAAATTCTCTGTTAAAAAAAAAATCGAAAATCGAAAAAATCGAGATTTGAAATGGTGAGAAATGTGGGATGGCCGAAAAATTTCGCGGCCGCGGCCACCAAAAAAAGTGGCGATTAATTCGAAAAAAGCGAAAACCAAGCATTTTGAATTTAATTAGTACAAATTAATTAGATTTAATTAAAATGCGATCGCAATTAATATGAATACTGGGAAAATCGAATGAAATTTTGAGAATTTCGTCGGTGAGCTCGATTTTTGAGATTTTTGGCGAAAAATTGGAATTCTTATGAGAAAACGGGGAAAAATTGAACAAAATTTTTCAGAATTTAACTTTTTTTCGGCGAAAATTCACAGGAAAAAAAATCGATAAAATTTGAATTTTTTTTGGTCGAGCAATTTTTCGAAAATGCCTTTTTTTTTGAAATTTTCCACGAAAAATTGTTGATTTTTTTTTTGGAAAAATTGAGAAATTCGAGTTAGAAACGTTGAAATTTGAAAAAATTAGCAAAAAATTGGGTGATTCTAGCGAAAACTCATCAATTTTTGAAAAATTCAATCGAAATTGATTTCTTTTTCGAAAATAATTGGAGAATTCTCGAAAAAATGTGCCAAAATCGAACAAATTTTGGCGATTTTTTGAGATTTTCACAAAAACTGTGGAAATTTTCGTCGAAAAAATCCAAAAATTTCAATTTTATTCAAAAAACATGAAAATTTTGGCCGTTTTTTCTCCAAAAATTCGCAATTTTTTGTGAAAATGACGATTTTTACAAGAAAATTTTTAAAAAATTATGTTTTTGATAAAAAATAATCAAGTTTTTGATAAAAATTAAAAAAAAAAAAGCAAGTTTTTGATAAAAATAATCAAATTTTGAAAGTTTTTAATAAAAATTGACAATTTTTCCAAAAAATAACCAATTTTCCAATGGTTTTTGCGATTTTTTTTTTCAAATTTCGCCGGTTTTCGACAAAAAAAACTAAAAATGTCGCATTTTTTTCCGAGAAACTTCAAAAAATTGTCCAGTTTTCGGGAAAATGCAATTTTTTTCGATTTTTAGCCAAAATCGAATGAAAAATCAAAAGTTTTGAGGCGAAATTTGTTTGAAAATTCGATTTTTTGTCAATTTTCGATGAGAAATTCCGAAAGCGAAAACCCACAAATTGTCGGCGTTCATTTTTCGCGCCTGCATTTTGCTCGTCAATAGGCAAACCTGAAAAATTCGATTGAGTTTCGCCATTTGCCGACAATTTGCTAGAAATTGCCAAAAAAAAATCGATTTTTCCAACAAAAATTGCAAATTTCAAGGAAAAAATCGCGAAATATCAAAAATTTTGCCGAAAAATAGCGAAAAATTGTCGAAAAGCAAATTATTTTTTCGAAAAAGATAAAGGATTCAATAGTTTCTCGCGAAAATCGAGCGAATTCATAATAACGCTCGTGCTGCGGACAATTTTGCGGCGAAACCCGCAACGTTGTCCGCAGATGGACAATTCGCGAGTTTAAAGGCGCATGGCTTACGGTATGCGAGTTGTTCATGAAATAGATGTTGTCCGGTGTGACGGCGCCGTGAAAAATCTGCCGACGATGCAATTGCGAGAGGGCCGACGAGACGTCTGCAAATTTAGCCGAAATTATCAAAATCTGATGCTGCCGACATCGTTGCGGGTTCGCAATTGCTTAATTTCGATGATTCGACGATTTTTGCCAACCGAATTTGTCGAAACTTTGCAAATCTCGTGCTGCGGACAATTCCGCAAATGTCCGCAGCACGATTTTGTTAAAATCCCGTTTCTGAAAACTCTAATTATCCCAAATTTGAATTCATAGTAGATGCGGACAACGTTGCGGGTTCAGACAAAAAATAATCTCGTCTGCTGCCACAAATTTGTCGACACTATGAGAATCTCGTGCTGCGGACAATTGCCGGGTCCAAAAATTGATTTTGACAAAAATGTCCTTTTTTTGAAATCCCTTTTTTCCATAAATCGATCGAATATCGGAAAACTGTGATAATCACAAATTTTGGATGCTGCCGACATTTTTGCGGGTTCGCAATTTCGAAATTCTCAAAAATACATGGAAATGCCAGAAAATAATTTCAATTTTTTGCATTTTTCGAGTATTTTTGTTGAAATTTTCAAAAACAAACGCGAGACTGACGGATTTTAGCACAAAATTGTGAAAATTATCACAATTTTTTCTAAAAATTACATTTTCAGTTAAAATCCAAATTTCCATTGAATTATGCAAATTTTGTGCTGCGGACAATTTCGTGGAAAACCCTTTCGAGAAATTTTTCAAAAAGCCCCCAATTTTGAGAAAATCGTGCTGCGGACATCAGAATTAGCAATTTTAAGTCATAAAAGGCGATCTATCCGATTGGAGATCCCAAAAATTGTTAAACTCATCAATATTTCGTGCTGCGGACAATTTTGGGTTTTCAAATATCGAAAAAACACGATTTTTCCTCAAAAATTCAAAATTCCATTAAAAAATCGTCAATTTGATTCCAAAATTGCCAGCTTCTTGAAATTTTTGTCGTTCAAAATGAAAATAATGAAAAAAAAAACAAAAACCCTCATTTTTTTGAAATTTCGTGCTGCGGACATTTTCGAGACGAAAAATTGTGGTATTTTTGGTTAAAATTCGAGTTTTTTTTTAATTTTTCAGCTAAAATTCGAATGAAAAAAATTTTTTTGCTAAAATTCGAATTTCCACGCAATTCGTCGTGGCGAAATTGTCCGCAGCACGCAATTTTTTATAATTTCGACAAATTCAATGCGCATCTAGATTTCCGAGAATTTTGCTGTAAAAATCGGTTCAAAAATGCTAGAATTTCGAGATATTTTTCAAAAAAGCCCCCAATTTTGAGAAAATCTTGCTGCGGACATCAAAATCGTCATTTTTCGATTCAAAATTGCGAATTTCAAGGCGAAGTTTAAAAATTGTTGAATTCGTTAATATTTCAAGCTGCGGACGTTTTCGCGGGTTCACAATTTTTCAGATTAAAAGAATTTTTTGAAATTCCTAATTTTTTGTGGATTTTCTCAAAATTTGCCACATTTTTTTGGCTCGAAATTGTCCGCAGCACGAAATTTTCAAAATTTGACCAATTTCGTTTTCAATTTGATTAAGCATTGAGTTTGAAATCAAATAGAATTGTATGCTTTAAATTTAAAGGCGCATAAGAGCCTTGGTTAGAAATTGTGCCCAGATGGGAAATATTTAAAGCGATTTGATGGAACTTCAGCGAATTTTTCGAAATTTTCGTTGAAGTTCTTGCTGCGGACAATTTTGCGGGTTCGAGATTTTGGCAAAAATGAGAATTTCTCATCGCCAGCGGAATTCGCTCAAAAATTCGGCTCGAAATTGTCCGCAGCACAAAATTTTCATAGGAAAATCGTCAAGAAGTCCAGAGAAAATCGTCTCAATCGGCAACCCGCAAACGTGTCCGCAGATGGAATAGCCGAAAAAAAAAAGAAGAAGCACGTACCTTTGAGAATGAGTGCGGTGAGCCAGTCGGGCAACGCGAACGGACCATAACGTCGAAAATATTCGTCGAGCGACATCCACGTGTCGCACGTTGAAACGATCACGTGTGACGTGGCATTCGCGTGAGAATCGCGCCGCTCATTTTTGATGGCGTGTCGAACGAAATCGAGATTCTCGTCGAGTTGGCTGCAAAAAAACACGAGAAAAACCAAAAATTTGCGATTTTTGTTGAAAATTTCGAGGCAAAATTGCGATTTTTTGAGCTCGACAAATCGCAATTTTTCATTTTTTGAGGTCGAAAATTCGATTTTTGCCAATTTTAAAATATTTCTACCAAAAATTGCCATTCTTGAAGCATTTTGAGATTGAAAATCAATTTTAATTTTAGCATTTTTGGTTAGAAATCCGATATTTTGCAATCTTGAGACTTTTTTAATTCAAAATTGCACAAGAAAACTTTAAAAAATATTTTTAAATTTATCGAGTCTCAATAAATTTTCGATTTTCTCAAAATATTTTTTTTTGATTTGCCTGCGTTTTGCAGTCTTAAAGTTCTTTAAAAACTCAAAATGGCAATTTTCAGAAATTTTGGAGATCGAAAAATCCGTTAATTTGCAAATTTGGACGGGAAAAAACAATATTTTGAATACTTGCCGTCAAAAATTCAATAATTTGCCATTTTAAATAAATTTCTAACAGAAAATTGCCATTTTTGAAGCATTTTGAGATTGAAAATCAATTTTAATTTTAGTATTTTTGGTTAAAAATTTGATATTTTGAATATTTCAAGCCACAAAATTCGATATTTTTTTGCAATCTTGAGATTTTTTTTAAATTCAAAATTGCAATTTTTAGAAATTTTGAGCTCGAAAATCAATTTTTTGAGTTTCCAAAACTCAAAAAATTCGTTATTTTGCAGCTTTGAGCTCGAAAAATCACAATTTTCCATTTTTTTTTTGAGATTGAAATTTCAGCATTTTGCAAACATAAAAAATTTCTACTCAAAATTGTTCGACAAATTGCAATTTTGAGTGTTTTGAGGTCAAAAATTCAGTATTTTGCTATTTTAGATAAATTTCTATCAAAAATTGCGATTCTTGGAGCATTTTGAGCTTGAAAATCAATTTTTTTTTGAATATTTAACGTCAAAATTCAGTATTTTGCCATTTATAAAATATTTCGACTCAAAATTGCTCGACAAATCGCAATTTTTCAATTTTTTTCATGTCCAAAATTCGATATTTTGCCTTTTGAAAGAAATTTCCATTAAAAATTGCGATTATTGGAGCATTTTGAGCTCGAAAATCAATTTTTTGAATTTCTAAGCTCAAAAAATTTGATACTATGTAATTATTAAATTATTTTTTTACTCAAAATTACAATTTAAAGGAAATTTGAGATCGAAAATCAATTTTTTGAATTTCTAAGCTCACAAAATCCGTTAATTCGCAATTTTGGGCTCGAAAAATCAATAATTTGATATTTTAAGTGTAAAATTAATTAGTTTGCAATCTTAAAATTTATTCTCACTCAAATTTACAATTTTTTGAGTTTTTGAGCTCAAAAAATTCGATTTTGGGCTCGAAAACGCAATAATTTGAATATTTGAGGTCAAAAATTCGATATTTTTCCATATTTTGCCCAAAAAATGGCCTTTTTAATGTAAATATTTGATATTTTGCAATCTTAAGATTTTTTTTAAATTCAAAATTGCAATTTTTAGAAATTTTGAGCTCGAAAATCAATTTTTTGAGTTTCCAAACTCAAAAAATCCGTTATTTTGTAGTTTTGAGCTCGACAAATAGCAAATTTTCATTTTTTCATGTCCAAAATTCGATATAATGCCTTTTGAAAAAAAATTTCCGCCACAAATTGCGATTCTTGGAGCATTTTGAGCTCGAAAATTCGATTTTTGAGTTTTTGAGCTCAAAAAATTCGATTTTGGGCTCGAAAACGCAATAATTTGAATATTTGAGGTCAAAAAATGCGATATTTTGCCCAAAAATGGCATTTTTTAGTGGAAATTCGACACCAACTTGTGATCCATTATCATTGTCTCGTTGAGACTTTTCCGATTGCATAGGCTGCTGGTGAGAATCTGCTGTTTGCCGGGCGTCGTCAATTCTGAAACAATTCTCGAAAAATTTCGTCGAAAACTCGAAAACCAGCAAATTTTCCAAGTTTTTTTGGCCAATTTTTGCTTAAAAACTCAACGGAAATCGGGATTTTTTTGGAATCTCGAAGAATTTTTGCAAATTTTCAACAAAAAAATTCGAAATGTCACAATTTTTTTGTCAAAAATCAATTTTTTCAATGAAAATGAAAAAAAAATCAAAATTTTGTTGGATTTTGATGATTTTTGTTTGGAAATTTCGTTTTTCGAATTTTTCAAATCCAAAAATCAACAAATTGAGAAATCTCGGAAATTTTTTCGCCGAAAATCGTAATTTCCTTCAAAACCACAAAATTTGTGAATTTTCGGGCAAAATTCAAGTTTTTCGATTAAAATTTTATAAAATTTGAAAATTTTCATCGAAAAATACACAATTTTCAAACAATTTTAAACACAATCGATTTTTTATGGAAAAAATCGAATTTTGGATTTTTGAAAACTTAAAAAAATTAAAAATCCAAAAATTTGAGCTCAAAATTACAAAATTTGAATATTTTACGTCAAAAATTTGTTATTTCGCAATTTTTTTCCTGAAAATCGCCATTTTTTTTCGATTTCTCACAATTTTCCTTCAAAAAACCAAAAAATTTGTGAATTTTGGAGCAAATCATAAATTTTGGCGTCAAAATCATCAAAATTTAGTTCGATTTTTCAATTTTTCATCGAAAAATCTCAATTTTCAGAAAAAAACCCAATTTTTTGATGAAAAAGTGTCGAATTTCGAATTTTTGAAAATCAAAAAATATTTTTTTCAAGATTTTTAAGCTCAAAAATCAATATTTTGCAATTTTGTGCTGAAAAATCCAAATTTTGAGAATTTCTACTCAAAAATTCGCAATTTTCAATAAATAATCTTGAAAAATTTGATATTTTGAAAATTTCAATTCAAAAATTCACAATTAGCTCGAAAAATTCAATTTTCTGCTGAAAATCGCATTTTTTTCGACTTGTCACAATTTTCCATTGAAATCCATTAAAAATGTGTGATTTTTTGTGAAAAACCAAATTTTTTAGTAAAATTTTTGAAAAATTCTCCATTTTTCATCGAAAAATTTCAATTTTCAACAAAAAATGCGATTTTTTTCGAATGAAAAAAGTCGAATTTCGCCTTTTTTGCGTCGAAATTCGCTCACCGTCGTCGCCATTCGTCATAATATCGCTGATTCGCTTCATTTTCAAGTCGGAAAATCGAGAAAATGAAAAAAAATTTATTTATCACGTGATAATCGATGAGTTTGAATCAATTTTTACACGAAAATTGATCGTCGAGAAAAAATTTTGGGATGCTCTCGCCGTAGTAGATTTTGTTCGTCGTCGCGATCGCCTCGATTTTGCGCATTTCGAGGTATTCTCTGAAAATCGCCATTTTTCACCCATCTGCGGACATTATTCGGGGACGCGAAAAACGAAAAATAACAAGTCTCACAATTTTTTTTTTCGCAAAATGCTTTTGTTGAAAAAAAATTGGGCAAAAATTTAAATTTTTGGATTTCCGTCTCAAATTTGACCGCAAAATTCAATTTTTTTCAATTTTTTCGAATTTTCATGAAAAAAAGTCAACGAGAATTTCAAAATTGGTTAATTTTAGAGGGATTTTTTCCAAAAATGACATTTTTTATCAGAAAATTGAAATTTTTCGATTTTTTTTTTCTCAAAATTGATTAATTTTTGACAGATTTTTTCCAAAAATGACTATTTTTGAAATTTTTTTGAAAAATAAATTTAAAATTTGTGAAATCACAAATTTTAAAGAGATTTTTCCCATTTTTTTACATTTTTGTTTTAAAACATTCGAAATGTTCGATTTTTTTCTCAAAATTTGGTTAATTTTCGACAGATTTTCTCAAAAATGACGATTTTTTGAATAAAAAGTGACAATTTTTTGGCATTTTTGATAAAATTAAGAAAAAATTCGATTTTTTCCGAATTTTACGAAAAAAATGGTTCGATTTTTGAAATTTTTTGATAAAATTGACGAAATTATTTTGGGATTTGAAAAATCGTTCCAAATTCAAAAAATTTTGGCTATTTTTTGTAATTTTAACAAAAAATTCAAGTTTTTCGTCCAAAAATCGTCATTTTTCGATAAAATCTTGAATTTTTGCAGTTTTTTTTTCGCAAAATGCTTTTGTTGAAAGAAAATTGGGCAAAAATTCAAATTTTTGGAAATTTGATCGCAAAATTCAATTGTTGTCGCATTTTGACTCAATTTTGAAAAGAAAAGCAAGTAAAAAAAAATCAAAATCAAAATTTTGAAAAGTTTGCACAAAAAAATTGAATTTTTAAGCGAATTTGATTGAAAATTCGCAAAATTTAGGATTATAGTTAATTTCGGACCCCTTGATGCGCCTTTAAATTCAGACTCGTCTTCTCGTCGCCATCGAACATCAAAAAGTCGTCGAAAAGCTGGCGGAGACGGAGAGAAAAAAAGCTGTGATAGGTAGGAAAAAATTTGATCTACCGCCCCCAAAATTTCTCAATTGGCCACCGAACCCGCAAAATTGTCCGCAGCATCAATTTTTGATAATCTTTTGGATTTCAAGTCAATCTCCAAGTCAGCTTTTTTGATCTATAAAAATTTTGTGCTGCGGACAATTTCGAGCCGAATTTTTGAGCGAATTCCGCTGGCGATGAAAAATTCTCATTTTTGCCAAAATCTCGAACCCGCAAAATTGTCCGCAGCAAGAAGTCAACGAGGATTTTGAAAATCTGCGCACAATTTTCAACCAAGGCTCTTATGCGCCTTTAAATTTAAAGCATACAAATCTATTTGATTTCAAATTCAATAATTAAATTGGAAGCGAAACCGTTCAAATTTTGAAAATTTCGTGCTGCGGACAATTTCGAGCCAAAAAAATGTGGCAAATTTTGAGAAAATCCACAAAAATTAGGAATTTCTTGAAAATTCTCTTAAATTAAAAAAAATTGTGAACCCGCAATATTGTCCGCAGCATGAAATATTAATGAATTTAACAAATTCTATTAAATGATTCCACAACCAATGAGGTTTCGCCTTGAAATACGCAATTTTGAATCGAAAATTGCTAATTTTGATGTCCGCAGCAAGATTTTCTCAAAATTGGAGGCTTTTTGAAAAATTTCTCGAAATTCTAGAATTTTTGAATCGATTTTTTTCGCGCTAAAAATAATCTGAAAATGTCAGCCACCAATATTACCGTGTATGGAATACCAACGATGAGACCCCAGCTTCATTTATTAGACTTCAACATAGGAGGTAATTGAGCGATTGTGCGACGATAGAATATACACAAATCGTGCTGCGGACAATTTTCGGCGAAAATGAAAAAAAGAGCCCCTCGAAAAAACTGATTGCAGAAGCGGAAAAAATCGCCGAAGTCGCCGCGATTCATCAAAAACAGAAAATCGCTGAAAAGGAAACCGAAAAGCTGGTGAATCAGATGGAAGCCGAAAGCAATTTGGGTGAGACACTTTTTTTTTGTTTCAATTTTTCGAAAATGATTGCAAATGCCCAAAAATTGTGTAAAAATCACAAAAAATGCAATTCGTTTGAGGATTTTGAATTTTTGGCCTCGAACGATGTCCGCAGATGCGATAAATTTGTTCGAATTTTGCCAATTTTGTGCTGCGGACAATTTCAAGGCGAAAAAATCGGAAAATCATTGAGATTTGAAAAGAATGAAAATGAAAAGGGCCTCGAAAAATGTCGGCAGATGAAATTCTAGAAAAATAAACCAAAAAAAACACTGCAACCATGGAAATTTCAAATTTTGATCAAAATTCAAATATCGAATTTTTTTCTTTTTCCTCCCTTCTCAAATTGAATGTTGGTCGCTGGCCGCGGCCAACATTGCATTTTTTGTGATTTTTACACAATTTTTGGGCATTTGCAATCATTTTCGAAAAATTTAAACAAAAAAAAGTGTCTCACCCAAATTGCTTTCGGCTTCCATCTGATTCACCAGCTTTTCGGTTTCCTTTTCAGCGATTTTCTGTTTTTGATGAATCGCGGCGACTTCGGCGATTTTTTCCGCTTCTGCAATCAGTTTTTTCGAGGGGCTCTTTTTTTCATTTTCGCCGAAAATTGTCCGCAGCACGATTTGTGTATATTCTATCGTCGCACAATCGCTCAATTACCTCCTATGTTGAAGTCTAATAAATGAAGCTGGGGTCTCATCGTTGGTATTCCATACACGGTAATATTGGTGGCTGACATTTTCAGATTATTTTTAGCGCGAAAAAAATCGATTCAAAAATTCTAGAATTTCGAGAAATTTTTCGAAAAGCCCCCAATTTTGAGAAAATCGTGCTGCGGACATCAAAATTGTCATTTTTCGATTCAAAATTGCGTATTTCAAGGCGAAACCTCATTGGTTGTGGAATCATTTAATAGAATTTGTTAAATTCATTAATATTTCATGCTGCGGACAATATTGCGGGTTCACAATTTTTTTTAATTTAAGAGAATTTTCAAGAAATTCCTAATTTTTGTGGATTTTCTCAAAATTTGCCACATTTTTTTGGCTCGAAATTGTCCGCAGCACGAAATTTTCAAAATTTGAACGGTTTCGCTTCCAATTTAATTATTGAATTTGAAATCAAATAGATTTGTATGCTTTAAATTTAAAGGCGCATAAGAGCCTTGGTTGAAAATTGTGCGCAGATTTTCAAAATCCTCGTTGACTTCTTGCTGCGGACAATTTTGCGGGTTCGAGATTTTGGCAAAAATGAGAATTTTTCATCGCCAGCGGAATTCGCTCAAAAATTCGGCTCGAAATTGTCCGCAGCACAAAATTTTCATAGATCAAAAAAGCTGACTTGGAGATTGACTTGAAATCCAAAAGATTATCAAAATTAGATGCTGCGGACAATTTTGCGGGTTCGATGGCAAATTGAGAAATTTTGGGGGCGGTAGATCAAATTTTTTCCTACCTATCACAGCTTTTTTTCTCTCCGTCTCCGCCAGCTTTTCGACGACTTTTTGATGTTCGATGGCGACGAGAAGACGAGTCTGAATTTAAAGGCGCATCAAGGGGTCCGAAATTAACTATAATCCTAAATTTTGCGAATTTTCAATCAAATTCGCTTAAAAATTCAATTTTTTTGTGCAAACTTTTCAAAATTTTGATTTTGATTTTTTTTACTTGCTTTTCTTTTCAAAATTGAGTCAAAATGCTTAAAATCGAAATTCTCGTTGACTTTTTTTCATGAAAATTCGAAAAAATTGAAAAAAAAAATTGAATTTTGCGATCAAATTTCCAAAATTTTGAATTTTTGCCCAATTTTCTTTCAACAAAAGCATTTTGCGAAAAAAAAACTGCAAAAATTCAAGATTTTATCGAAAAATGACGATTTTTGGACGAAAAACTTGAATTTTTTGTTAAAATTACAAAAAATAGCCAAAATCTTTTGAATTTGGAACGATTTTTCAAATCCCAAAATAATTTCGTCAATTTTGTCAAAAAATTTCAAAAATCGAACCATTTTTTTCGTAAAATTCGGAAAAAATCGAATTTTTTCGAAATTTTATCAAAAATGCCAAAAAATTGTCACTTTTTATTCAAAAAATCGTCATTTTTGAGGAAATCTGTCGAAAATTAACCAAATTTTGAGAAAAAATCGAACATTTCGAATGTTTTAAAACAAAAATGTAAAAAAATGGGAAAAATCTCTTTACAATTTGGGATTTCACAAAAAATTGAATTTATTTTTCAAAAAAATTTCAAAAATAGTCATTTTTGGAAAAAAATCTGTCAAAAATTAATCAATTTTGAGAAAAAATCGAAAAATTCCAATTTTCTGATAAAAATTGTCATTTTTGGAGAAAATCTCTCAAAAATTCGTAATTTTGCAAAAAAATGCCTAAAAATTGTCGATTTTTTGATAATTTTTCTGTCCATTTAAAAATATTGTGCTGCGGACATTTTCCGAGTCGACTTTTGGAGCGATTTCGAGCTTTTGACGAAAAATTCGAAAGCCCAAAATTGTCCGCAGCTCGAAATGTGCTTCTAAAGAATTTCGCCCATTTTGGCAAAAAAATAGCGAAAATTCGTCGGTTTTCCCAAAATTTTTTCGCGAATTCTCAATGATTTTCGCCAATTTTGACCGACTTTTTCAGCTTCCATGTTCTCATAGCTTTGTCGAATCGCTTCCGGAATTTTCGGCTTCGTGACGCGCACCGCCAGTACGAAAAGACCCGGCGCCATTATCGTCAGGTCCTCTTGAAGCGCTTTTTTGATCTCCTCGTCGATTTTGTCTGCAAAAAAACTCAATTTCTGGATTGCGGCGGCCTCGATCAATGTCCGCAGATCGAAATTATTATATCAATCTCAAGTGGAGCTCAGAAATCCGAAAATGAGATTTTCAAAAAATCCATCTGCGGACAATTTCTGTTCGCGTAAATGCATTTTTTGTGCTGCGGACAATTTTGAAATGAAAAATTCAAATTTTGCGATGAAATTAGGCAATTTTCGCCTCAAAATTGCCCGCAGAACTTCAATTTCGTTCAAAAAATATTTTCAGAATAAATTCGGTGAGTTAAAGGCGCATAAAATCCCTTTAACATGTCCGCAGATGAATTTTTTGCAAAAATCAAAATCTTTGTAAATATTTTTCCGAAACCCGGTGAATTGTCCGCAGATGGGGTTTTCTTTAAAGGAATTTGAAATTTAAACATTTGCAGCAAAAATAACAAGAATTCTGAAAGGTTTTGAGAATTTCGTGCTGCGGACAATGTGACTGGTTCGAAATTCGAAATTCCCCGCTGAAAATGCCAAAATTGGTCAAAATTTGATGAAATTTGCGATTTGTCATGGAGCAAATCAAAAATTCTTGATGAGAATCTTTAAAAAATTAAATTTGAAAAAATCTTGCTGCGGACAATTGAAAAATTCTTCAAAATCAAATTTTTTACTAAAAACCTCAAAAATCTTTTGAAAATTGCGTGCTGCGGACAATTTCGGGTTCAAAAAATGCCAAAAATGGCGATTCTGCTCAAATGGTACCAAATAAATCGATGTAGACTTCCTGCAGTGTGTGGCTGCTGCAGAATTGATTGACCTCATGATGGACCTTGTTGAAGATGAGCGGACGGTCGTAGTCGACCGTATAATTCTTGACAATATTGTAAACTGCAATCAAACTCATATTTTCAACGTGCTGCCGACATTGTTGCGGGTTTCGCTTGGCTGATTTTTTTGACGCGAAAAATGCATCACAATTTGGTAGGGAAGATTTCAGTGCGTCTCGTTGACTCACCACTACTCGCCGCGAGAATATTGACGACTTCAATTCGATCGAAATGGATCATTACACCTCCCGACGTGCCGCATGGCACATTTGTTGCCTCATCGGTTTGCAGAGTGATCTGCAAACAGGCAATAAACCGACGATATCGAATCGATCGGGATGATGTCACCTGCACCGATTTCACCGTCGTCAAATATGGAATCGCCATGTGATAGCCGGGTTGCGACACCTCTGAAAGCAACGCGCCGCCCTGAAATTTTCATCTGCGGACAATTTCGGGGGGAGTCTGCAAGTTGAGGGGGCAAGCGGCTTGTATACCCAATCGCCCCTCGCCCTCTCAGTTGCTTGCATAGCGCAGGCGGTAAAACGCTTCGCTTTTGGAAATGTTCGACGGGGGTTCGAGTCCGGACAGCGAAAAATACGTTTTTGCGAATTATTTAACACAATTCTAGCGATTTGATTTGTTCAAAATGCATTGAAAAAGTGCAAAACGAGAAGAATTACCCGATAGTAAACACCAACATGACCTTCTTCGATTTTATGCAGCGACATCGACAAAAATAGCAGCCAAATTGCAGAAATCGCGACAAGTACACGAAACATGACAGGCAGGTTGTCGTCAAGGTGACAAACACGCCGAATAAGGTGAGCCTCTGATTTCGCACGACGCCCTCCAACAACACTCACACTTCCGCATGTTGTCGGTTCATTTTTTTTCGCTCTTGTCAAACCCGACAATTTTTATCGCATCTCTTGTCCGCAATATTGATAATTGACGCCAAATTGCGGACGAGAAATTCGAAAATTTGCAAAATAATGGATTTTTTGCAATAAAATCGCTCAATTATCGCGCAAAATTGAGAAAAATTGAATATCGCCCCAATATTTGATGTCCAGATGTGCCAGCGCGTCTAACTATGCTAATTATGTGTAATTTCTTCGACGCCCGTTCGAATTCGATCTAATGAACATCCCACTTCATTTAATTAGGCAATACTACCGCCCGACGCGTTCGATTTGACATCGAAACCTTGAAATTTCGGTTTTGGTCGGTCTACGAAGAAGTAGTGCTGCGGACAATTCGCGGGTCTCGTTTTGGCAGTTGAATTGCATGATTTCTAGATGGATTTGATCAAATCGTGCTGCCGACAACTCACGGGTTTCGTTTTACTCGCGAAATTTGTTGGTTTGTCGTTGTGCTGCGGACAATTCGCGGGTTTCGTTTCGGCAGTTGAATTGCATGATTTTTAGATGGATTTGATCAAATCGTGCTGCCGACAACTCACGGGTTTCGTTTTACTCGCGAAATTTGTTGGTTTGTCGTTGTGCTGCGGACAATTCGCGGGTTTCGTTTTGGCAGTTGAATTGCATGATTTCTAGATGGATTTGATCAAATCGTGCTGCCGACAACTCACGGGTTTCGTTTTACTCGCGAAATTTGTTGGTTTGTCGTTGTGCTGCGGACAATTCGCGGGTTTCGTTTTGGCAGTTGAATTGCATGATTTCTAGATGGATTTTATCAAATCGTGCTGCCGACAACTCACGGGTTTCGTTTTACTCGCGAAATTTGTTGGTTTGTCGTTGTGCTGCGGACAATTCGCGGGTTTCGTTTTGGCAGTTGAATTGCATGATTTCTAGATGGATTTTATCAAATCGTGCTGCCGACAACTCACGGGTTTCGTTTTACTCGCGAAATTTGTTGGTTTGTCGTTGCGCTGCGGACAACTTGCGGGTTTCGTTGCCGCCCGCGAGTTGTCCGCAGCAGCCACCGCCTATTGCTCATCATAGTCAATTCTCGCATCATGTGTTCGAATTGTGGCCAATTATTGCATATGGGCGGGTTTTTTCTTTCTTTTTCTCGTCGCGTCCGGAAGACGAAAAGGGCACATTGAATCGCACCCACGTCGCCGAAAAATTGGATCAACTCTCGATTGTTCGTCCCCCCCGACCATTTCAACGACGTCTCGAGAACCACCATTCGCGTCTCTCAAAACCGCCGTGTACTTTTCCTATTATGGTTCGGCTAGCTTGATGCGCCTTTAAGCCATTCATCGTCAGCTCCCTTTGAACAATGATGTCGTGTCCCTTTAAATGCAAGTCGCATTTTAATTGAGCTCAATACGCGCCTTTAAAGAGACCTTCAACGATTTTGAAAGAAAGGAGGGTAGATCAAAAGCGAAATTTAAAGGCGCATGAGTATATTGTAGGGGCTCCCTTATTCGTCATTCATTTGTTACAAAGTCGATTATTTTTTTGCGTGTGTTTACCGGCGGCTTGTCCGCGCCGCCGCCGCCGCCCCTTCTCTGCGTCTCTCGTCCCCGACGCGCTATTTCGCCGCCGCCAGCAGTTTCACGTGTAATTCGTCGGCCAACAACCTACCGGACATGTTAAACCATATTTCCTGAACGTCTTGTGTGCTCGCCCCACATAATTCTCGACTCATTTCATTGGCGGCAAACACCCGCCTTTTTTTTTTGAATTTTTTTTTCAATTTCATCGAAATTCGATTTTTTCCCCTCAAAATTCCCCTTCAGTTTTATTTTCATCCTCGATTTTGATTCGGAAATCGTTCCGTTCATGATTGTGCCATCAAAATGAAAATCTTCAAAAAAAATCGAAATTTTTAAATTTTACTCAATTTCCCGTCGATTTTCATGTCGAAAACCCAATTTTTCGAATTCTACACGAAAAACTGAACTCAAAATCCGTTTTATTGGCAAAAATAAGCATAAAATGAAGATTTGAAAGACACAATGAATGTTGGGACGATTTACGATAAACCGCGGGCAGGTGTACAAATGGAGTGTCGTTGGAAATAATGCGGACAACAATTTTTTTTGAAAATTTTTGGATAAAAAAGGTGAATTGGGAGTCAGAATGTTAATTTTTTATATTTTTCCTTAAAAGGCACCCCAATAAATAATAGTAATTGTATAGTAGAAAACTCATTCTCAAAAATTTCTCAAAAAAAAAAAACGATTTTTTTGAAAATTTTTGGAAGAAAATTAAATTGAAAGTCCGATTTTTTTTTCATTTTTTTTTTCCCATAAAAGGCACCCCAATAAGTAATAGTAAGTGTATAAAATTACTCTTTTCCTTCACGATTTTTGTTCTCGAATATTCTTGACCTTATTTGTAGTAACAAAAAAACTGAGTGGTTTTCGATATTCATTCGTCAAGTGCACGTCGAAATTGTCCGCAGCACGCATCGCATAACTCATTTCGTTTTCGTCATAAAATGTTGTTTGAATTGCCATTCTTATAAGAGCTTTAAGAAAAATTCAAGCTTGACATTTGTTTAAAATAAACATTTTTGAGAATTCTAACGAAAGTTTACATTTTTTTGAGCTCTCTCTTTGAATTGCCGCCTTGAGTCTCGTATGGAAAACCAGCATTTCTATTATCAGAATTTTTCAAATTGGTCCCATCAATACACTGATTTTTCGATTCTCTCTGCAATCACGCCGCTTCACCTCTGCGGATTTGCATTTGAATCGACGCCTAAAAAATTCTAGAGGCAGTTTTTTCGCGATTTCGCTTCGAGATATTCCCAATTTTGAGGTCCAAATTCGAAATTCTCGGAAAAATCCGACACGGCGCGTTTGTGTTTCACGCAAATTATAAATAAAATGAAAAACTCGAATTCACCGATTTTTGTTTTTTTATGTTTTTAACATCAATGGTCCCACACAAAAATTGAGAATGTTCCAGAAAATCGTCCCCCCCGCTAGAATATGTCGGCGTCATGCGCCTTTAATCATCTGATCGATGCCGTTTGGAGCACTCGAGGAAAAAACTTGTCAGTTGACACTCGAACATTGCGTTAACACAAAGAAAATGAGGCCACTTGAGATGTGTGTACAATGCTTTTCTAGCTAATTATTCGATTACAAACATTTTTGCTTCGGATTTTTTTTTTCGCCTTGCTAAACACCTTCTGGTTTTACGCTAATGATCGACGACATTGTTCCGTTGTAAGACCATTGCATGTGCCTTTAAAGATTGCATTGAAAAAAAGCGAAAACCACTCATTTTTGTGTTCATTTCGTACTCCAAATAAGGTCAAGAATAATCGAGAACAAAAATCGCAAAAAGAAGGAAAAGAGAGAAATTTTTGAGAATGAGTTTTCTACTATACAATTACTATTATTTATTTTAAGGAAAAATATAAAAAATTAAGGAAAAATATAAAAAATTAACATTCTGACTCCCAATTCACCTTTTTTATCCAAAAATTTTCAAAAAAAAAATTGTTGTCCGCATTATTTCCAACGACACTCCATTTGTACACCTGCCCGCGGTTTATCGTAAATCGTCCCAACTTTTATTGTGTCTTTCAAATCTTCATTTTATGCTTATTTTTGCCAATAAAACGGATTTTGAGTTCAGTTTTTCGTGTAGAATTCAAAAAATTGGGGTTTCGACACGAAAATCGACGAGAAATTGTGTAAAATTCAAAATTTTCGATTTTTTTGAAGATTTTCATTTTGATGGCAAAATCATGAAGGGGGAACGATTTCCGAATCAAAATCGAGGATGAAAAAAATATATATATGTCCCAAAATTTTCAAAAAAAAATCGTTGTCCGCATTATTTCCAACGACACTCCATTTGTACACCCGCCCGCGGTTTATCGTAAACCGTCCCAACTTTTATTGTGTCTTTCAAATCTTCATTTTATGCTCATTTTTTTGCCGATAAAACCGATTTTTGTTTGATTTTCAGCGAATATTTCGAAAAATTGGATTGCTGACACGAAAAACGACAAAAATTGAAGAAAAATTTGAAAATGCACTCAAGGTAAGCCGTTGTTTTTCCATGAAAATTGTGGCCGAAAATTTTTGAAATTTTAATAAAAAAATAATTTGAAAAACCAATTTGTTTCATCGGAAAATCGTCGAAAATAATTCAATTAATTAAATACAAAATTTTTGAGAGAAAAAAAGTTGGGAAAAAAAAGTTTCCAACTTCAATTGGGACCTGGAAATTTGCGATTCACCGATTTTTTATGAAAAAAAAAAGGAAAATTCGTTCTTTTTTTGAAGAAATCTCAATTTTGGCCAAAAAACTTGATTTTTTTCCAAAATTTCCCCCCAAATTTTCTTTGGCCTTGTTTTTTTTTCCATATCAAATCCGACTTCAAAAAAATCGTCTAAGAATAACGGATATGGGTCATCGAGGAAGCGCGAAATCCACTTGATCCGATCCGATCCAATTATCCATTATTTGATAAGCACTTAATGATGTCGAGAAGCTATTAATCGGAAAAATGACGACGAGAAAATAATAATTTATGATTGGCCGCCATAAATTATCGAATTCGACATGCATATTCGATGTGTGTGTGTGTGCACCAATTTGGTGAAATGTGCACCCTCACCCGCCGCCCATTTTGTTTGCATTTGTGGTGACGCGCGCAAATTTCGGGTCCGCCTCGAAAATTTTGCGGCCTTTTGTTGCCAGCTTCCTTTCGCCGCCCGTTTTTCACCCAAAAATCGAACATTTTCGCATGATTTTGATTCCAAATCAATTCGTTTTTGCCAAATTTCGTCGAAAATTGCGTTTCAATCCTCTAGAATTGAGAGTTTCCTCGATTTTTCCGTGGAATTTCGAGTTTTGAGACTTGAAATTGAGGTTTTCCAGCATTTATTGAATATTTAGAGTTTTTTTCAAATTTTTTCTCATAAATTGGAAACATGCTCAGAAAATTGACAATTTTAAGTCAAAAATTGTAATTTTTACGTCAAAATTCAAAAATTTCCATGAAATTTGAAATTGCTCTTTAAAATTCGATTTTTGATTTTTTTTTTGATTTTTCAATTAAAAAATTCGGAGATTTTCGAAAACGACTTTGAAAAATGTTCTGAAATGTGTCGTTTTCAGCAAATTTTTGAAAATCTGACGAAATAATGCAATTTTAGACGATTCTTCGAAATTTTTTTTCATCGAAAATCATCTAAAACCCTCAATGCTGGCAAAACTATGCTAATTATGCGAAAATCAAGTCAATTTGCGGCTTTTTTTTTTTTGGTCTCGCGTTGAAGGGGCCCGTTTTAAAGGCGCAAACTCATTTTATTTTCCGGTTTTCGACAAAAACCCTCAAATTTTTCCAAAAAAATTTGAATTTTGAAGGGAAATTCGAAAAAAATGGCACAATTCCAAACCTAATTTGCCCATTTTTGGCCAACGATGAGAAAAAGTGAGAGGTTTCAAATTTTGTTCATAAATTCAATTTCGCGCCATCTCATTTTTCTTTTTTTCCACTGATTTTTTCTTCGCCGCTGCCGCCGCCGCCCGTTTATTTTCCGGTTGTCATTGACGACGGCAATTCATAATCCCCGCTTTGTTTGCCGTATTTGGGGACCAAAAAAAGAAAAAAAAAATGCCCAGAATTTGGTTTTTCAGGTGAAATGGTATGACGATTCGCAACTGTTATTTGTTATTTCTATTCGCTATTGTGAGTTTTTTTTCTTCAAATTTTTGCCCAAAAAATTGATTTTTCAGTGCCTTTTTCTCGAAATTCGCGCCGAATTCGAAGCGGATGGTGAGCTCATTGGTTTTTGTGTTGAAAAATTGGCCATATTTTCACAAAAAATTGCAAAATCACTCTTTTTTTGTGGGGACCGAATTTTTGCAAAAAAAAACTCGGCCACGGCCACGTTTTTTTTTCGAAATTAAATCGCTTCAAGAATCTTTAACAATTTGAATATGCGCATTTAATTAAAAAAATTGAAAAACTTGGAGTGAAAAAAAATCTTTACGATTAAAGGCGCATATACCATTTTTTTTTCAAAGATTCTTACAGCGATTTAATAAGAAACTTGTGGTACCGTAGGCTTTGAAAAAACGTGGCCGTGGCCTAGGTTTTCAAAAAATAATTTTCCTACAATCTTAGTTTTTTTCTCGCGAAAATTGCATACAACTTTTGTTTTTTTTTCAACCATCGGAGGACCATCGAATTGTTTTTTTTTTCTTGGCGGCAATTCAAATTTGAATTTAAACAATAAGCGGGTACCGTAAAAACCGGTGGTTTTTGCCACACGGAACTCTGTCATTTTTTGGCGGGTCCCAACCAACGCACAACGAAATAGTGGTGAGTGGTGAGAGGGCGCAGAGAAAAAACTCCCGTTGCTATATTAGCATTATTATTATTATTATTATTTATGGTTGGGTTACGAGACACCTGCGGCAGATTATCCCCCGAATTCGCCCGCTACTAACTAGCTACTCGTCTCGATTCCCAATTTGGAATTGCCGATTTTGGGGGCTTGCAAATTTTAGCGGAAATTGCGTTATAAACTACTAGTCGATGTGAGACGCAACCTGAAATGGTATGAATGCGCCTTTAATATACCGTACCCGGAATTTGAATTACGCGATATTAAAAAAAAGATTGAAAAAAAAAACTTTCTTTTTTGCCAAATTTCGAGTATTTAGTGAAATTGGAATTAAAGAACGCGGTTTGGATTAAAGGTGCATTGCGCAGAAAATGAGTTGGGTCTTGTGGCGATCGGTAGAATTTCTCGAATTCGAAATAAAAGCGATTTCGAATGCATACATGATGATGATGGCGAGTATTCGAGTAATGACTTTGAATTTTGTATGTAGATCATTCCGTAATGTAAGACGCATTGTGTGCATTTGTGCGTCGGTTGTTGGCACGGACCCCTGTCAAAATTCTAAATGAGTTGTGTGCTTCACGAAAAAATATATTTTAACAAAAATTTTCTTGTATCGTCCCTTTAAATTGTTTATTCATTGAGATGTGGTGTGAATTAAAGGCGCACATTTTTAAAAGTCTCTGTAAATCTACCCAATCGACACTTTAGCTTTAGACAGTTCATGTCAGAATTTTTTGTTCATTTTTTTGTGAAAAAAATCCATGCCGGGTTTCATCAAGCCATCGTCGGACCTGAATCAGCTTCAGGGGGGTCTTGCAGCCGAAGGTCGGCGCTGAATCCCACTCAAATGTCGGGATAGTGAACTCCGAAGCGTCTCGAGACCACAGCTGCACGGATCTGATCTCGGTCTTCCGTCTTCCGTGTTCCGTACACCGTTAAAAATTTTTTTTGAGTTCCGAATTCCGTCGTCCGTTTTAAGAAACTTAAAGTTCCGTACAGCTCTGACCGACAATGAGAAATTCTAAAAATCGCAATAAAAAAAAATGAGCGTCTGGTGTAGATTTACGGTGAGGTTCTCGAATTTTCATTGCGTTGAATTCCAATTTGAAATACCGCGACATAAAAAAAAACCAACGATTTTCAGTGCGCTGGACGTGCTCGGACGAGACGGTGTCGATATTCGTGCGCACGCCGCTTCCATTCGACGGTCTCGTGGAGACGCGCGCGAATCCCGCGCAATCGACTCGATGTCGCGTTCAAGGTTTCGGCACGAACGTCGCCGTGCTGAAATTGAAATTGGCGAGTGACGAGTGCGGAATGCGCTACAATTCGGTAGGATGGTTTTTTTTTTTTTGAGAGGCGACGGTGGTCGAATTTGGCTCAGATCGACAAGCCAAAAAAAAACCGAATGAATTTCATTAATGGGGCAGTGCAAAAGGAAAAAATAATGGACCTATTCATGCAATGAAAAAAATTAAAAAAAAAATTAATTTTTTTCATTTGAATTCCCTATGCACGCACGTCAAAAATTACAAAAAATTGACGCGATATATCGTAATTCTCCGCCATTTATTTTTAAAGGCGCATGCGAAAAATTGCGCCGGGTCACGTCGCGAAGTCGGTACTGTAATTTTTATTTTTCAATTTGTGTGCTAGTTTTCCGTATTTTTCAAAAACTTCGAAGAGAAAATGAGTAACGGATTTAAGAACGAGTAAAAACAATTATTATTGGTATAATTACACCTAATTCGGCAATATTTGTCTACTTTTTACCATTTAAATACCAATTATTATGTGAAATTGTGATTTTTGTGCTGATTTGATGCAGGCTTCGCTCGATGACGCTTCTAATGAACCTTCAGCGTTTATTAAATAAAATACTTCTACAGATTTCAAAAAAAAAAAACGTTTAAAACGCTCAAAGAATAAAAAAATTGAAAAAAAAACAGCCATTAAAAAATTACAGTACCGACTTCGCGACGTGACCCGCGCAACTTTTCGCATGCGCCTTTAAAAATAAATAGCGGAAAATTACGATATATCGCGTCAATTTTTGTAAAAAAAAATAATCAAAATGTATGCAGGTTTCGTGGGATTCTGCGTTTTGTACGCAATGCGATGAGCCGGTTACCGTAATCCTCGAAGCGATTTAAAGGGGACCTTTGAAAATTTCCTATTTTCATTTTTTTTTTTCGCTCAATTCTCGTATTTTCTTTCGAATTTTTTATCTGTAGAACCCGAATTTAATTATTTATTTAGCAGAATACGCACTTTTAAACGATATTTTTTTGGTAAAAGCAGCATAGATTTAAAAAAAAAAAAAACATTTTTTTGTCATTAAAAAATTATTTATTCGTGTTTCTACTATCTTGTTTTTGTATTCTTCAATTCAAAATAATTTTTAGAGCGAGAAAAAAATATATCGTTCAAAAGTAGCGTATTCTGCTAAATAAATAATTTAATTTGGGTTCTACAGATTTTAAATAAACATTTTCGAAAGAAAATACGAAAATTTAGCGAAAAAAAATGAAAATAGGAAAATTTCAAAGTTGCCCGTAAATTGCTGTGAGGATTACGGTAACGGGCTCATCGCATTGCGTACAAAACGCAGAATTCCACGACACCTGCATGCATTTGTCATTTCGCAACTCTGCACGTAATCTCGTTGAATTCGCGTCGAGACCCATCGCATCAATGAACGGCACGCGTCTTTAACTACAGTATCCATGCGTCATACAAATTCATTTGTAGAATTTTTTAATTTTAATTTTTTGATGAAAACATGCAAAGAAACGACAGTATATTTATGCGATGGGTCTCGATGCGATTCTCTTTTTCCCTTTTTCGAAAATTCTCTGCATTACCCCATAAAAAATCAATTTTTTTTGCTGTTTTAAAAAATAATGAGAGAGTGTGCGAATTTGAGAGACCGTAGACATTTTCTGCATTTCTACGAATGTTTCAGACGACGAAAACCTATTCGGTGACCATCGACGTTCACTCGCATCCGGTTCTGATTGTCGACGGCGACAAATCGTTGGAGATCGTGTGTCGCGAGAATCAGAACGACACGCGTTCGCCGATCGACGAGCCAACGTCGGATTATGAGCTTCGCGTGTTGTCGAGTCGCCTACCGGTCGACGTCGTCAATTATTCGCAGCCCTACACACTTCAAGTGCGTCGACGTCGTCCGACGTCGTCGTCGAGCAGCTTCTACGTCGGCAAGTGTACGGCGGAGCCGATCGGCGGCAACGTGACGGTTCAGCTGACCGATTCGATTGGTTGCGCGCTGTTCAAATCGATAATGGGCGATTTCAAGCGGCGCGAGTTCGTCGAGGAGGCCGACGTGCCGTCGATGTTCAAATTTCCGGCGGCGTCCGAATTGCGAATCGCGTGTGTGGTGACGTCGTGCGACGGCGTCGAATGCGAGCGACGATCGTGTCGCGACAGCGCGTCGACGTCGACACTCCTCGAGCGAACGACGGCGTCGATCGAGACGGACGACGTGCAAACCGCGACGATCGTCGTCGGCCTTCAGAAGCGTCGACGCGAGACGACGGCGACGACGAGCACGCCGGCAATTCCGCAAGTCGGCCTCATAAGGAAGGACGATTCGATGGTGGCGGCGGCGGCGCCGTCGAGTCACGAGTGCGTCAGCGAGTTCGAGTTCAAACTTCTCTACTATCTTTGCATATTTTTGGCAGGTACGACTGATGACGAATGTGAAAAACGAGCAGCGATATCTGATGCATTGTGTGCGTACACCGAGTCGCATATCTCAATCTTAGCTACAGTAACCGCAACTGAAAATTATTTAATCAATTATTGATCGTTTCTTTTTATGTGTATCAAACAATTATGTACGCGGGTAGATTTACGCGTATGCGCCTTGAAAAGGTCTCGAGAGGATTAACTGGTTATTTCGCATTTTACAGATCGGTTCGACAATTTTTTTACTGCCAAACGCATCAAGAAAAAGAAAACAGCAAAATGAGGCGTGGCGAGACCTTTTCAAGGCGCATGCTCGTAAATCTACCCGCGTACATAATTGTTTGATACACATAAAAAGAAACGATCAATAATTGATTAAATAATTTTCAGTTGCGGTTACTGTAGCTAAGATTGAGATATGCGACTCGGTGTACGCACACAATGCATCAGATATCGCTGCTCGTTTTTCACATTCGTCATTTTTCCACGATAATGGGTTTTTTTGGTTGAAATTCCGCGGTTCCTCAGAATCTCAGTTGTAGTTTTTTGTCTAAAACTTGCGAATTATTTTTCATTTTTTGGAAATTTTGATATTCCCTGGCTCGCATTTCAATGGTCCCAATCGAATCGAATGGAAGCGTAGATCAAATTCATCGATTTCTTTTTTGCTACAAACGAAGAATTTAATTTAGTTTCTCAAATAATATAAATGCAAAAAAATGTGAGGGATATCGCATTTTTTTTTTGGGAATTTCAACACAGGAACTAAAAAAAATGAGAAAAATTGAAGAACAAAAATTGATGCCATATTTGGAATCAAATTTCATAATTTTTTGGCATTTTTCCAAAAAAAAAAGTACCAATGGACCTCTAATTTGCAGAAAAAAATTGAACCTTTAAAATTCTTATAAATAAATTTATTTTTTTCAGCGATGTAAAAAAAATTTTATAGACTTTTTCATGAAATAAATAATGTAAAATTGCACCTTGAAATTGATTTTTGCAATTTTTTTTAAATAGAAAAATTCATTTCGTCATGAAAAAGGGATTAAAATGAGAAAAACAGCAAATTTTTTCAATTATTTTTGGCAATTTCAGTGGCGTCCATCATTGGGTTCACAATGAATATAATACTGTGTGTAATGCTACGTCGACGGCGAACGCAGAAGCCGAAGAAGCGTCATGTGCCGGCGAGTCATCAGCTGCAATTGCCGAAGGGTGCGAACAAGCCGCCGGATTTTTGGATTGTCGAAGAAGCGGCCGACATCGCGCCGGGCGTTTATGGTCCGCGAGGCGATTCGCTGCTCTCTTATCAGCCGGTGAGCGACACCACGTCATTCCACGAACGTGTTGAATTATTCAGAAGGCACACATGACGCGACGGCTGCCGTCCGAATACGTGATACCGGCGCTTTCGAGGCATTCGGCGTCTTCGAACGATGGCACTGATATTTATAGGTATTATTGATCGGACGATGAAAAGCAAATGGGAAACCGAATTTAGGCGTCCGAACATTGATCTCAACCACGCCGAAGCGCGGCATAGTAGCAACACGTTTCTGACGCACTCGACTACGATGGAGACAGACATTGATAGTCAGGCATCGTCGACGAATCAAGCTTCTTCGTACCATTGAAAACGGGAATCATCGATTAACTATTCATTTCTATATGTATGTACAGGGTGTCATTTAAGTTCCCGCACAAAAGTTTGACGCCATGAAGAGCTTGGCTGTCGCACTTTTCGTGCACCAATACAATTTATTTTTGTTAAATAAGGTATATTTTACTTACTTTCCAAGTTTTACCTCATTCGGATGTGTTTCCGAGAAATGGCGAAGGCTAACATCCATCGCGCTTCCATTATCGAACTTCATAAGCAAAATGTGAGCCTGAGAGACATCATTCAACGCCTCGGTGTGCCTCTTAGAACGGTTTACGACATCATCTAACGTTTCAAGGAACTAAATACGACCAGTGACCGTCCCAGATAAGGAAGACTCGTCTCGGTAACCACTCCTCAGAAGTTCAACGCCGTTAAATCGAAGATCAGGCGAAACCCACACAGGAGCATGAGAAAGATGGCGTCAGACGTGGGAATGAGCATTTTCGCTTTGGAACAAATCGTCAAAACGAAGCTTGGACTGACCCCATATCGTGTCCAAAAAGCGGCAATTCTATCGGCCGCCAACAAGTAGAGACGCTTCGAAAAAGCAAAACGACTTCTTGCTCGCACGCGGTCTGGAGAACACCTCGTCACTATCTTCTCCAATGAGAAGCTGTTCACTGTGGAGGCGGCATTCAACTCACAAAACCATCGAGTACTTGCCCAGACATCCCAGCAAGCTTCTGAGAAAGGAAGAACATATCATCCAGCCTCACATCCTGCCAGTGTGATGGTTTTCGGTGCCATCTGCTCAACCGGGAAGTGCTCCCTGGTTTTCGCGGATCAGGGGGTGAAAGTGAACAAAGAAGTCTACGTTCGGGACATTTTGGAGAAGCATGTGATACCCTGGGCCAAAACGCATTTCGGTGGGCAGAAATGGGTCTTTCAACAGGACAGAGCACCCGCCCACTGTCTTTCAACAGGACAGAGCACCCGACCACTGCCAAAACTACTCAGGAGTGGTGCCAGACCCATTTTCCCGACTTCATCAAGTCATCCGAATGGCCTGATTTCTCCCCAGACCTGAACCCGCTTGACTTTTCCGTGATGGGCTCTTGCAGGAGAAGGTCAACGCAAAACCCCACTCAAGTATAGAGGCTCTGAAGAAGACATTACTGGTGGAATGGGACAATCTTTCCATCGAATACCTGCGTACCACAGTCACATCCTACCCGAAGCGTCTCCGTGAAGTCATAGCTGCGAAAGGAGACCGAATCAAAAAGAGTTAATAGATAATTATTTGTTATACTATAGATAAAAAATATTTCGAGTCTCGTTTGATTTGGACTTTTAGTTTCAGAAATATATGCCTTCAAAGTTGTGCGGGAACTTAAATGACACCCTGTATTGGTTTTTTTTGTTTTGTTTCGAAATAAAGTCACAAGTCGGAGCAAATGCATTTGAGGTTGCCATGGTTACCTCGGGGGGTTGTCTGCGTGACACATTTCGACTCACTAATTGATATAACAATGCTATACGAATAACTTAGTAGACTTGACCGACGTTTTTATTGAAATTATTCTATTATGTACCGTCCGGTAGACAATATTCAACTACGGCAGGATGTTTTCGATGGTTCGACGGAGCATCGACTCGTTTATCAGCCGCTGACGGTGAGGAGGATTGTGCCGAATGCGCCGCGCGACGAATGGGAGTTTGGAGATGATCCTGCTATGGAATCGTCGACGATCAATCGGACGATGTACCAAGGCGGAACCGGCGAGAGGTATGCTGCCACTCGACCCAAGGATCAGATCGACAAGCCCAACGATCCACTGGAATCGTCGACGATCAATCGGACGATGTACCAAGGCGGAACCGGCGAGAGGTATGCTGCCACTCGACCCAAGGATCAGATCGACAAGCCCAACGATCCACTGGAATCGTCGACCATCAATCGGACAATGTACCAAGGCGGAACCGGCGAGAGGTATGCTGCCACTCGACCCAAGGATCAGATCGACAAGCCCAACGATCCACTGGAATCGTCGACGATCAATCGGACAATGTACCAAGGCGGAACCGGCGAGAGGTATGCTGCCACTCGACCCAAGGATCAGATCGACAAGCCCAACGATCCACTGGAATCGTCGACGATCAATCGGACAATGTACCAAGGCGGAACCGGCGAGAGGTATGCTGCCACTCGACCCAAGGATCAGATCGACAAGCCCAACGATCCACTGGAATCGTCGACGATCAATCGGACGATGTACCAAGGCGGAACCGGCGAGAGGTATGCTGCCACTCGACCCAAGGATCAGATCGACAAGCCCAACGATCCACTGGAATCGTCGACCATCAATCGGACAATGTACCAAGGCGGAACCGGCGAGAGGTATGCTGCCACTCGACCAAATGCTGCCACTGACCCAAGGATCAGATCGACAAGCCCAACGATCCACTGGAATCGTCGACCATCAATCGGACAATGTACCAAGGCGGAACCGGCGAGAGGTATGCTGCCACTCGACTCAAGGATTAGATCGACAAGCCCAACGATCCACTGGAATCGTCGACCATCAATCGGACAATGTACCAAGGCGGAACCGGCGAGAGGTATGCTGCCACTCGACCCAAGGATCAGATCGACAAGCCCAACGATCCACTGGAATCGTCGACGATCAATCGGACGATGTACCAAGGCGGAACCGGCGAGAGGTATGCTGCCACTCGACCCAAGGATCAGATCGACAAGCCCAACGATCCACTGGAATCGTCGACGATCAATCGGACGATGTACCAAGGCGGAACCGGCGAGAGGTATGCTGCCACTCGACCCAAGGATCAGATCGACAAGCCCAACGATCCACTGGAATCGTCGACCATCAATCGGACAATGTACCAAGGCGGAACCGGCGAGAGGTATGCTGCCACTCGACCCAAGGATCAGATCGACAAGCCCAACGATCCACTGGAATCGTCGACCATCAATCGGACAATGTACCAAGGCGGAACCGGCGAGAGGTATGCTGCCACTCGACCCAAGGATCAGATCGACAAGCCCAACGATCCACTGGAATCGTCGACCATCAATCGGACAATGTACCAAGGCGGAACCGGCGAGAGGTATGCTGCCACTCGACCCAAGGATCAGATCGACAAGCCCAACGATCCACTGGAATCGTCGACGATCAATCGGACGATGTACCAAGGCGGAACCGGCGAGAGGTATGCTGCCACTCGACCCAAGGATCAGATCGACAAGCCCAACGATCCACTGGAATCGTCGACCATCAATCGGACAATGTACCAAGGCGGAACCGGCGAGAGGTATGCTGCCACTCGACCCAAGGATCAGATCGACAAGCCCAACGATCCACTGGAATCGTCGACGATCAATCGGACAATGTACCAAGGCGGAACCGGCGAGAGGTATGCTGCCACTCGACCCAAGGATCAGATCGACAAGCCCAACGATCCACTGGAATCGTCGACGATCAATCGGACAATGTACCAAGGCGGAACCGGCGAGAGGTATGCTGCCACTCGACCCAAGGATCAGATCGACAAGCCCAACGATCCACTGGAATCGTCGACGATCAATCGGACGATGTACCAAGGCGAAGGCGGAACCGGCGAGAGGTATGCTGCCACTCGACCCAAGGATCAGATCGACAAGCCCAACGATCCACTGGAATCGTCGACGATCAATCGGACAATGTACCAAGGCGGAACCGGCGAGAGGTATGCTGCCACTCGACCCAAGGATCAGATCGACAAGCCCAACGATCCACTGGAATCGTCGACGATCAATCGGACAATGTACCAAGGCGGAACCGGCGAGAGGTATGCTGCCACTCGACCCAAGGATCAGATCGACAAGCCCAACGATCCACTGGAATCGTCGACCATCAATCGGACAATGTACCAAGGCGGAACCGGCGAGAGGTATGCTGCCACTCGACCCAAGGATCAGATCGACAAGCCCAACGATCCACTGGAATCGTCGACGATCAATCGGACAATGTACCAAGGCGGAACCGGCGAGAGGTATGCTGCCACTCGACCCAAGGATCAGATCGACAAGCCCAACGATCCACTGGAATCGTCGACGATCAATCGGACAATGTACCAAGGCGGAACCGGCGAGAGGTATGCTGCCACTCGACCCAAGGATCAGATCGACAAGCCCAACGATCCACTGGAATCGTCGACCATCAATCGGACAATGTACCAAGGCGGAACCGGCGAGAGGTATGCTGCCACTCGACCCAAGGATCAGATCGACAAGCCCAACGATCCACTGGAATCGTCGACCATCAATCGGACAATGTACCAAGGCGGAACCGGCGAGAGGTATGCTGCCACTCGACCCAAGGATCAGATCGACAAGCCCAACGATCCACTGGAATCGTCGACGATCAATCGGACAATGTACCAAGGCGGAACCGGCGAGAGGTATGCTGCCACTCGACCCAAGGATCAGATCGACAAGCCCAACGATCCACTGGAATCGTCGACGATCAATCGGACAATGTACCAAGGCGGAACCGGCGAGAGGTATGCTGCCACTCGACCCAAGGATCAGATCGACAAGCCCAACGATCCACTGGAATCGTCGACGATCAATCGGACAATGTACCAAGGCGGAACCGGCGAGAGGTATGCTGCCACTCGACTCAAGGATCAGATCGACAAGCCCAACGATCCACTGGAATCGTCGACCATCAATCGGACAATGTACCAAGGCGGAACCGGCGAGAGGTATGCTGCCACTTGACCCAAGGATCAGATCGACAAGCCCAACGATCCACTGGAATCGTCGACGATCAATCGGACAATGTACCAAGGCGGAACCGGCGAGAGGTATGCTGCCACTCGACTCAAGGATCAGATCGACAAGCCCAACGATCCACTGGAATCGTCGACGATCAATCGGACAATGTACCAAGGCGGAACCGGCGAGAGGTATGCTGCCACTCGACTCAAGGATCAGATCGACAAGCCCAACGATCCACTGGAATCGTCGATCATCAATCGGACAATGTACCAAGGCGGAACCGGCGAGAGGTATGCTGCCACTCGACCCAAGGATCAGATCGACAAGCCCAACGATCCACTGGAATCGTCGACCATCAATCGGACGATGTACCAAACCTTCTCCACTGATAAGGTGCCGCTAGTGATTCCGATGGACAACATCGAAAGCAATTCAGGGAAAGTGGAGGGTCAATCCGTATCAAGGTAAGCGATTCAGTGACCTACAAAAGTGATTCGATCGATTGCAGATTAACGTACACGAATTTCCCATCGAATCGATTGAATCTGTCGGTGCCGGTGGACAAATGGATCCACGGACCATCGTATCCAACCGAGTACAACACGGAGCAGCGGAGTTCCTATCGGCCGCAGCCGGCCCAGCCGTGCCCGGCGGCGAGGATCGTCTTGTCGAAAAAACGCCCAGTTGATCCAATGTATCTTTATTAATCTTATTATTCTTATTATTATATTTACAATAATAAATTTGAATTGTTCTAATGAATCCAAAGGTACTGATTGCTCGACGGATACGATTCTTCGGGTCTCTCGTGGTCGTTGCTCTGCGGCGCTGGCGGCTGAACTCCGGGTCGCTCGCCAGCCGACGGACCCGGTGGTCGATTTTGACAGTGTGCGCAAGTTCCCGGATTTCCGGGCTCTCCCTGAATGCATGATTCATTGATGTGCCGAACTACACCGGCCTACCTTTGGTCCCTGTGGTCCCGGAAGTCCCGGATTTCCGGGATCTCCTCTCGATCCGACAGCGCCTCGAACGCCCGGCTGCCCGCCCAATCCCGGCTTTCCGTCGTGTCCCTTGCCGCCGGGCGGTCCGCGTGGTCCCACTTTTCCTGGCGGTCCCGGCGGACCCGGCGGCGCTCCGTTGAGCACCTTGCCGCGATCGCCGGTCGGACCCTTCTCGCCGGGCGGTCCCGGCTCGCCGCGAACACCCGGCGGACCCGGCGGTCCCGGTCGATTGTCCTCGCCGGGACGTCCCGGTTTGCCTTCGACGCCCGGCGGTCCGCGCGGTCCCTTCGGACCCGGAAGGCCCGGCGGTCCCGGCGGTCCCGGCGGACACTTTTGGCACGAGTTGGTGCCGGGCGGCGGCGCCGGCAAATACTTGCCGGGTATCCCGTCGGGACCATCCTTGCCGGGAAGGCCGTCGCGTCCCGGCGCGCCGTCGTCGCCCGGTTTGCCGCGCGGACCCGGCGCGCCCTGTGTGCACGCGCAACACGCGCCCGACGCCGCCGCGCCATAATTGGCGTACGGCGATTGGCGTTTGGTGAGCGACTTGCGCGCGAACGTCATCTGCTTCCAGATGTCCTTCGACTCGACCTGCAAATTTCAGCGCTCGGCTCTCAAATCACATCGCCGGCCCACTCACTCGACACAACTCGACGTCGGTGAGCATCAGACTCGTGACCTTCTGCACGTGCACGTGCATCAACGGCAATCCGATGATGACGGTGATGACGGCGAACGTCGAGAACACACTGCCGACGACGGTCGTCGTTCGCCACATCGATGTCGACCCGTCGAGCTTCATTCACTCTGAAAATCTGACATGTTGGAGGGGGAGAAGTGAAAATGAGAAAAAAATCAGCAAGGCGAGTGAATGATCGAATGAGGTGACTTCGGGTTGAGAGATATTCGGGTCAATCGGCCACAATGTCCCCAATTTTGGAGATAACGGCGCGGCGGTGGCGGCGGCGCGGCGCCGCCCGATCAGACGACCTTTTTTTCTTTTTAACAAGAATTGCAATGAAGAGTGATCCGATCCGATCCGATCCATGGAATATTTCATAGAAAGTTGGAAAACATGCGACCAAAGCAGATATTAACGTGACCCTTTTTCATTTTAACAAGAATTGCAATGAAGAGTGATCCGATCCGATCCGATCCATGGAATATTTCATAGAAAGTTGGAAACATGCGACCAAAGCAGATATTAACGTGACCCTTTTTTCTTTTTAACAAGAATTGCAATGAAGAGTGATCCGATCCGATCCGATCCATGGGATTTTCGGAGTGATAAAGTCGGAAAAAAATGTGTATGTTTTTTTCAGCGATCTAATATTTTGTGTAGGCGCCTTTAAAAAAAGTTGTTTTTAATTGTGCCAACGAAAAAACGAAGAGTGATCCGATCCGATCCGTTCCACCCGGATCCATGGAGCCATAAAATTCGAAAAATAATTGTTTAATTGTTCTTTCAAAAAACTTGCACATCTTTTGCAACGGTCTAATTTTTTTTATGTATGTGCCTTTAAAAATTATCTATTTTGATTGTGTCAATGATCCGATCCGATCCATGTAATTTTAGGGCGAGAAAGTCGAAAAAACTTTCAAATTTCTTTCAAAAAAAACTTGCATTTTTTAATTGTGTCAATAAAACATGAAAAGTGATCCGATCCGATCCGATCCGATCCATGTAGTTTTGAGACGTAAAATTCGAAATATAATTTTTTTAAATGTTCTTTCAAAAAAAAGCTTAAAAATGATTTTATTTGTTTGCCATTAATTTCGCTTAGACAATGTGCTCGCAAATCATTTTCGTCGTCACGTTTTACGATAAACCGGAGGCGGGTGTGACGTCAAAACGGAGCGTCGTTTATTGTGGGTGGACAAATGTCAAAAATGATGAGCAAGACGTTGAAAAAATTGATGTGAATTAATCGCGCGATTCGACGAAAACGAAAACCAAATTCGATTTTGCGTTGTGAAATTTTTTTGCCGAAAAAGGAAAGTCGACGCTCAATTCGATTTCGAACACGTCTTTTTGTTTTCAAACAGCGCGCCGCTCACCTCCCTTCTATACGGCGTTCCACCATCGCCTACCAACAGCGCGATTAGCGTTTTGCGTGACCTCTAGGCCTAGCCGTCGGCGGGTCGCCGACTCGACGCCGGCCCGCGTCGCCTCATTGTTTTTCCACTACGGTTTATTGCGCAAACGTTCTCAAATATCAAAGGGCAATCATAAAGCCATCCATAATCAGTGCTACGCTATCCGATATGCGAATGTTTACTTTGCCATCGTCTCTCGTCCGGTCACTCCATTAATAATAAAGAACAACTCGCGCGACTCCGTTTTCCAATTTTATCCTATATGGGCTCTGCAAACCGCAACCATGTCGGCAGCTCAATTTAATCCCCATTGCCAAATTGCTCAATTTTCGATGGCCTCAATTTAAAGGTGCACAATAATTGTTTTTTTTTTTAACCCGTAAATTGTCGGCAGATGGATTCTATTAAATCGTAGGTTTGCAGAAATTGAAGAGTTAAGATTTAATTCGCAAGAAACAAAATTCCCCAAAATTGTCCGCAGCACGTTTCGCTCAAATAAATGTTGTTGGCCATGCCGGTTGTCATGGCGGACCATTTGGTGCCAGCCGTGAGGTGCGGTGCCCCGAAACCCACCAATTATCGTGTCCCGCTCGCCAGACTAACTATATGCATATACATAATTATACTAACTATTGTTTTATTCGAAATGTTGGTTGTTGTTATTGGTGATTTTCGACCGTTTATTCGGACCAACCCCCATTATTCTTGTGTGTGTTTTTTTTTCGAAATTCTCGTTTGAGCAGCTTGAGGCCAATTTTTGCTGTCGTCGTCATCGAAAATCGCAATTTTCAATTTTTTTTCTTTCATTTCTCTCTGAAATTCAAGCCTTGCCCAAAAAATGAGCTAAAATTAGTAAAAAATTAAACGAACAACTTGAAATCCGCATTTTTTATGGACCAATCGATTTCTGCCCCCTAGCGGACCATTTTGAACATTCTGATCTAGAATGGTATCGCATTTCCACAGTGGTCCGTTGTCCACACCCAGATTTGGTTTGATTTGCTCGACGGACCATTGAAATTCAATTTTTGATCAACGGACCATTTTGGTCCTTTCTCTTTGGTTTGCTCGACGGACCAATTCTTACTTGTAGCTCAATTAGCCTCGGCTTCCATTTGAGCGCCAAAAATGTCCGCAGCACGAAAAAATTTAAAAACCAAAAATTTTCGTTGAAGAATAAAATTCGAGACACCGTTTTTTTGGAATGTTTGAATTGCCGCCTTGGGTCTCGTACGGAAAAAATTCTAAAATGCTATTTTGCGATGCAAAATCGTCAAATTCAATTTTTCATCTAAAAATTTATTATTTTTTTTCCATATATTTATTGAGATTAAAAAAAATCGGAGAAAAACTCAAAAATTTCGAAAAATGCGCCATGGCCGAATAATTCGCGGCCGCGGGTTGTCGGCCACCGGCGGAATGTCAGATTAAATATTTTTTCGATTAAAAAACGATTAAAAAATTTTTTATTTTCAAATTCGGCACCATTGATGCGAAAAATGAAATTTCGACGAAAAAAACCTCCCATTTTTTTGCCGGACGCGATTTTGCGCTAATTTTTTCACAAAAAAAAATCGCAAAAATTTGAGAAAAATCGAAAAAACTCGATCGCGTCGAGACTCAAATTCACCGTACTTCAAAATCGAGCTATGCGCCTTTAAAAAAATAGGCGAAAAAACCAAACGCAACCCCGATTGCCAATATTTTTTTCGTGGCGAGACCCATTCAAAAATTATTCAGTGTGGCTCGAGCGGGATTTCAAAAAGTCCGCAAACACCGCGACGCGCAAATGCACACAATTCGAAGAAGAGAAGAAGCTTGTTAATCGGTTAGATTTTGGTCTCAAAATGGGACCCCATTGATGGTCCGATGTCGATAGTTCTGAAAAGTTTCGCGACGAGACCCAAAAATTTTGAAAACTAGTTTTTTGCATCAATGCGCCTTTAAATGAAATTAGACAAAACTCGCAAAATTTCGCGTACCTTTTTTGGGATTTTCTCGAACACTTCAAAAATGTGTGCAAACACCGCGACGCAAATTTGCACCGAAAATTCGAGTTCGCGTGTTCCCCCCCCCCCGCTTCCCCCCGCTTCCCCTCGAAAAGGAAATGACAATACGTCGATCCGAATCCCAAAATTTCCTGAAAAAAATATCAATTTTAAAAACCAGTTTTTCGCTGCTTTTCACCCATGCGCCTTTAAAACGAAACTAGGCAAAACTCGAAATTTTTGAATTTCGCGGGCCGGTGTTTGCGGACTTTTTCTTGGGATTTTCTCAAACACTTCAAAAATGTGTGCAAACACCGCGACGCAATCTTGCACCGAAATCTCGAAGTTTTGAATTCGCTTGTTCCCCCAGGCTTCCCCCGCTTCTCCTCGAAAAGGAAATGGCAACACGTCGATCCGAATCCCAAAATTTCCCGAAAAAAATCAATTTTGAAAACCAGTTTTGCACCCATGCGCCTTTAAAACGAAACTAGGAAAAACTCGAAATTTTTGATTTTCTCAACACTTCAAAAAATGTGTGCGCAAACACCGCGACGCAATCTTGCACCGAAAACCAAGTTTTAAATTCGCTTCTTGATTCCCCTCCCCAAGTCCCCCACCAGCTTCCCCTCCAAATGGCAACCCACTGTGAGATTCCGATTGTCTCCCGTCCGTATAGGTTTCGGAATACGGAAGAAGAAGAAGCGCGCACGAATTTCACTTTCCCACTTTTTTGCTTCCTGAGGGGGGTCGTCCAGAAAACGCTGACCTAAATATGCGCCTTGACGACGAAAACCTCATTAAGCGCTGACGGCCACTCGGTGGCCACCCGATTTCACTTTTTGCATTTGGCCGAGTGAAACTTGTGTAAACACTCTCGGACCCCCCCAGCCCTCCCCCAACGGACCACCTATAATTCACATTATTTCAGGTGTGTTATGTCATATGGTGTCTACACACTGATTCTGATTCTTCTTCTTCCACTCGCCGCCCACGCCGACGACGACTGCGCCGCTCCGCACTTCGTCGTCGAGACGTCGCGACGCTTCAACTCGACGACGTCGTCGCGTCTTCTGAATCGCCAACCCGTCGACAGCCTCTCGCAATGCGTCCGATTGTGTCGACTGTTGAAGCGGTGCACGCGTTTTGAGGTGGCGTCGGACGGCGGCCAACTCGTCTGCACGCTTCTGAATCCCGACGACGACGTCGTCGTCGTCGTCTCGCCGAACACAATCGCCGGCACTCGTGTTTGTCTGAAACGTGAGACGGCTACCGTAACCCCCACAGCACATATTTCGCTTCAGGACCATGCCGAGAGCAACGCGCGTTCGCTTTTGAGCGCTTCGCCAAACGCGCTCTAGCGAACACCACCCACATTCTGAAGACGTTCTCGATTCGCCTCGACGAGTGCCTCCAAAAATGCCACGACGAGTGAGTTTTTTCCTACGCGAAAGGTCGCGGGTTCGAGTCCGCCTCCCCCCGGTCTAATATCCTTTTTTGGTGCAGATCGAATTGCCGAAGTGTCGCCTACAACTCGCACACGTCGCTATGCCAATTGTCGCGAGTCGCGATGAACGCCGTCTACAATCCGCGGTTGTTCTTCAAACCATCGACGACGACGGACGTCTACGAGAACAATTGTCAAGATTGTGAGTCCCGCCCGGCCCGGCCGCCCCGCCCAATCTCAATGGTCCCTCGAATTTCAGACGCGACGACGATGACGACCAACGGATGCACGTTTATGCGGATGACGGGCGGCGGATTGAAGGCGTTGGCGGATCAGACGATCGCCGGCGTCGGCGATTCGCACGAATGCGAACAGTTGTGTGTGGCGCGCGCGAGGGTCGCCGATCCGTGTCGGTGCGCCTTTAAATTCCTTTGTGGGGGGGGGGAGTCGCTTCGAGACGTATTCCACAAAACGCGGGGGTGCTCCTTTAAATTTTTGGAATCTCACCTTAAACTTCTATTTTTTTAAACATCGTTTCAAGACCCAACAATGTTTGAAAGGGGTCTTGCGTCTTTAAAATTTTGGAATCTTGAATTAGAATATTTTCGTTTCAAGACGCATGCCTCAAAATTAGCAACACGTTTTCGATTTTTTGAATCGTTTCAAGACCCATCTCACAAAAAATCGTCATGCGCCTTTAAACGCATTTCGAGTTAATACCCAAACATAGAAAGCGCCTTTAAATTCGAATTTTTTAATTTTTTTCTCAAGACCCATTCCTCAAAAATCGGTATGCTTCTTTAAACTTTGGGTATCGCGATTTTCAATATTTTCGTTTTAAGACCCAAAAATAGCAAGCTCCTTTAAAATTATTGCTGAATCATTTCACACAAAAAAACGGTTTAAAGGGGGTTGTTGCGCCTTTAAAATTTTACAATTTCGATTTTCAAATAAAAAATTTTTTTTGAGTCGTTTCAAGGCGCATTCCACAAAAATCGTCATGCGCCTTTAAACTTTTGGGTATCTCGATTTTCAATATTTTCGCAAATAGGAGGCTCGTTTAAAATTATTGTAAAATCGTCTCATTCGTCATGCGCCTTTAAACTGAAACCAAAATCGCGTGCAATTTCAAGACGCGTGCGCGCAAAAAAATGAAACCATGCGCCTTTAAATCAATGGCAAATTGTTTGCAGAATGTACACGTTCGACAACTCGTCGAAATCGTGCCATCTGATGTACGCGTCGGCGCGAATTCTCGGACGAAGTCCGCTCGAGAAAATGGACGCCGCGTTGTCGCATGGCGATCTCGACGACTGCATCAATTGTGAGTCATTATTTGCCGGAATTGCGATGGTAGATCAAAATATCAATCGCGGCGAGACCCGAGCGCGATTCGCGCCTAGTTTTGTGCGATTTTGCGATTTTTCGCAATCCCGAAATTTGTCCGCAGCACGTCTTGATGAAATTGGGTTGAGGGACGAGGGGGCAATCGCTGTTTTTTCTAGATTAGTTTTTGTGCTGATTTGAAGTGAAACGTTTGAATTGACGACAAATTGCGGACCATTTTTGTCGGGGACTTTTTTTGGCGACTAATTTATGCTTTAAAAAATTGCAGTCTCGCTGAAATGCCGCGATTCGAGTCTCGAGGTGAAGGCGTCGTCGTTGCGGCTGTTCAATGGCAAAATGGCGGCGATGAGCGGGCGGCGGAGCTCGACGTGCGAGCATCGAGTCGACGGCGAGTTCGCGTTCGCCGCCAAATTCGAGTTCGACAAGTGCGCCATCGAGGAGACGGTACGATCGATGCGCCGTTTGGGTCTCGAGACGATTCGTAAATGTCCCATGAAAAGCATTTTACAACAGAAAAATTGACTGCGATCGCGTCGAGACCATTTTTAAAGGCGCACGTTGGAAACGCGCAAATTTCGAATTTTTTCAACACGAAATTAATTGCAAACTCAACATCGTGGCGGCACCATGGTTAAAAGTGAATGCCATTTTTAAGGACCACAAATTCATGCTTACCTTTTTTGGAATAAATTTTTATTATCAAAAATAAAATGGTTCATTTTTAAAGGCACATACCTGAAATATTAGGTCGGTGCAAAAGAAATGCAAGCTTTTTTGAAAGAACATTTGAAAAATTTGAATTACGAATTTCTCGCTTCAAAATTACATGGATCGGATCGGATCGGATCACTTTTTATTGACACAATTAAAAATGAGAGCCATTTTTAAAGGTGCATACGCACAATATTAGATCGCTGTAAAAAACACGCAAAAAATAACATTGAAAAAATTATATTTCGAATTTTACGTCTACGTAGATCGGATCGGATCGGATCGGATCACTCTAAATTTTTTCATTGCACGATTAAAACGAAGGACCATTTTTAAAGGCGCATACACAAAATATTAGATCGCTTTAAAAAAGTGTGCACATTTTTTTCCGACTTTCTCACTACGAAATTACATGGATCGGATCGGATCGGATCGGATCGGATCGGATCACTCTTTATTTTTTCATTGACGCAATTAAAACGAAGGACCATTTTTAAAGGCGCATCCATTATATATAAATTTTTTTGTTGCAGAACCATTCCGAATTCCGCGGTGTGATCCACGTGAAGGAGGGCAGCACGAATTTGGTGACGATTCGCGACAAGACCCTACAGGTTTGAAAAATCGTCGAAAAAATTGTCGAAGGGTTTTTGTTTTGCTCAAGGTGAGCTGCCGAATGCACCAACACCAACACCAACACCACCAAGTGGTGTCGATTCGAATGAACGTCGACGCCAACAACAAAACGATGCGATTGGTGTAAGTTGGGTGGGTGGCATGGTGTGATGGCATCGATTGATTCAGATCGAATCCGCCGGAGCGGCCGACGTTCGCGTTGAGGGTCTACACGAACGACGAGCGCGAAGCGAGCGCGGTGACGATCGGCGAGACGGGATGGATTGTGGTGACGGTCGAGGTGCTCGACGAAACGCCTTCTCGAAATGATCGTGTCGTATTCAGAACGCCGCCGTCGACCGATTCATTGTGACGAATTTGGCGTCGCGCGACGTCAACACCGGCGAGATTCGGCGGCTCGTCGACGACGACGGTTGTGTGATTCGACGCGATCTCGTCGCCGGCATTCGCAAGTCGCCCGACGAGATTCGCTATCGAATCGCGTTCGTCGACGTCGCCGAACGCGCCGAGATCGTCTATCACGCGAGTGTCGAGACGTGCGCGACGGCCGACTGCGAGCCGGCGTGCAATCGCGAGCTCTATGAGGGCACCCAACGGTACGTTCATCAATGTCTTATCAAATTGCCCAGCTGCGGACAACCTAAGGGTTCCCTAGTTGCTAAGCAAATCGACTAATACACGCCATCTGCGGACATTTGTCGGCTCTTTGAGCACTCGACCCGCAACAATGTCCGCAGCAGAGTATTCATTTTATGAAATGACCACGCATTAGTACTTTTGAGGATTTACGAAAAAATTGCGACCTGCAACAGTGTCCGCAGCAGAGTATTCATTATAGAAATGATCATGCCTTTATATTTTTGAGGATTTACGAACCCGCAACAATGTCCGCAGATCAAATTTCATAAAGTCATCAGTTTTTCTTCAAATCCAATCTGGTTATTTATCACAAATCCTAAAAAAAATTTCGAAATTGTCCGCAGATAGATTTCGTCTTGAACGATTTGCGAGTTTCGTTCAAAACGCTTAAGAAACAATTTCTCCTTCATACCTAATATCTGCGGACAAATTTTTACCATAAACGAAGTTTCGGTTTCAGAACGATCTTTTATGCACAAATTCAGAATGCTCAAAACGAGATTTGCTTTTCTTTTTGACGAATTGCTGCTGCGGACATTCTAACAGGCCGCCATTTTTCTCATTGGAGATTGAGGCGACCGCAATGATGTCCGCAGATAGACTGGCAGATTTAAGCGACTGACATTTTCAAACAAAACGTTTGAATGAATAAAAGTCTCGGAACTTTCGAATTTCATCTGCGGACATTTTTGCGCGGCACCAAAAAGGTCCCCGAAAAGCCAGTCGACATATCTAATGACCCTTTGGATCATCGTGATCCATCAGGATCATTGTCATGTTTCCTTTTTTTTCAGATCGTCTCCATTGGCTCTTGATCTACCGCGTCGAATGCTGAAACGCGCGATAATCGGCGAAAATCGCCAATTGGAGCTTCTCGGCGACGTGTACCAAGTCAGAGGTCATAAGCTCACACTGCTCAACTCGCGTGCAAGAGCTGGACCAGCTCAGGCTCATCACACTGAGAATGACGATGACGTGATTATTACAAAGGTGATTTTTTTTTGAATATTTTTGAAAACAATTTTTTTTTCAAAATTGCCTATAATTAGTCCTAATTATACAATATTGATTAGCGAATGAGAGTAGATCAAATCGAAACGCAGATTTTTCAAAGAAATCTCCAAAAAATGCTCAAAAATGCCAATCATTCTCGATTTTTTGCAATTTTTGCTCAAAAAAATATTCAAAAGATGGATTTTTCAGATTTATTTTGCGCAAAATTGCATATGTTTTACTTATTAATATAAAATCGATTTTTCTTATTTATGGAATTCATGAAACCGATATTTTGAAGGTTTTTTTTTTCGAAAATTGCGAATCAAAAAATTTCCATACAATTTCTCCATCAAATTTTGGGCATTTTTCATTGAAAACTCGAAATTTGTCGAAAATTTTGAAGATTTGCAATTGCTGGTTGCAAGTGCGCTCCATTGGACTCGAGAGATAGAAACCCGCGAAATTTGAGTTTCATGAATTGCATATAAGGAAAAATTAAGATTTTCAAGAGAATTCCGATAAACTCGAGTTTTGTTTTAAGTTTTTGGGAGATTTTCAACGAAAAAAAAAGAAACACTCAAAATTTTGCTGAATTCAAAAATTTTATGCCTAAAAATTTCGGATTTTTTTCGATTACGGTAGTAGGATTTTCGACCAAAAAAAAAGAAAAGACAATCAGAATTTTGAATAAAATTCAAAGATTGATTGGTTTGGCGAGAAATTTCAAAAATTTTCAGCGGAATTCTGGAAAAAAAAGTGATTTGAAGTTAGCTGGGGGAAATTAGAAGAACAATTTTCAAAGAAAAACAATTTATCTCGGGTTTTTTTTTTTTGATTTTCAATCAAAAATCTGATTTAAATCGTCAAAACTTCCATTTTCCATATATAAAATTTTGCTGAAATCGACAATTTGCGGGTTTTTCGAAAAATTTCAGGAAAAACCTCAAAAAATGTCATTTTTTTCGATTTTCAGCCAGAAATTCTATATTCCACTGCCAAGAATTTAAATTAAAATATTAAAATCCAAAAACAAGGCTTCAAAATACCAATTTTCAGCTCTATTAAAAAAAAATCAATGAAAACCTAAAAAAAACATTCCAGGCTGAATTGGAAATCCTAAAAATTCCCAATTTCCATATATAAAATGTTGCTGAAACCGACATTTTGCGGGTTTTCAAAAAAATGTCAGTGAAAAGCTCAAAAACATTCATTTTCAGCCAGAAATTCGAAATTCCACTCCAAATAATTTAATTTGAAATATTAAAATCCAAAAAAAGGCTTGAAAATATCAATTTTCAGCTCTCCTTTAAAAAAAATCAATGAAAATCTTTAAAAAAAATTGAATTTGAATATGAAATCGTCAAAATCTCCTTTTCTATATATAAAATTTCGCTGAAACCGACATTTTGCGGGTTTTTCGAAAATTTTCAGGGAAAACCTCAAAAAATGTCATTTTTTCTTAAAATTTTCGAATAAAAAAACCAATTTCAAAAAATTGGAAGACAATTTTGCAAAATTCCTCATTTTTTCGGGATTTCCTCGCAAACTCAAAATGTTTTTTGCAGAAGGAGGTGAATCTCGCCGCGTCGTTTCGCCATTGCTTCGTCGACGACGTCACCTGCTTGTTCACCATCATTCTCGCGTCGATTCAATTCTTTCTGCTCCTCTGCTGCTGCCTCATCGTCTACGTCTATTTTCAGCACTGGCGAATGTTTCGAGCGCTCGAGTCGGCCGGCGAGCGACATCAAATCGAATTCTACGAGTACGGCTCCGACGTCAATTCGATTCAGCTCGACAAGGACGATTCCGAATCGCCGCCGCAGCAGCAACAACACGACTAATAAGGACAACCAAAAAAATGATTTTAATTGAAACGGGTTAATTAGCGGTAATTATGTGCAATTAATAAATAGACCAGTATTGAGTTGAAATACACAAAAAAATATCAAAAGAAAGACTAGAAAATCCAAAAAAATTGAAAGCACCATAAGTAGTTGATGATGTAGAAAATTGAAGAGGGGGAATGGCAACTAGGAAGAGAAAAAAAAAAGAAGAAAAATCTCAAATAGGTGGGCGTGGCTTAGAGTTCCGTCGACTGTAGGTTGATGGCCAGCGGACGGGGCGGCGCTTGAGCGTGCGAGGCGGCGCATTGGCGGGATTGGTGCGCGCCAATTTGAATTTCGCCATATCCGGGATTCGGCCTGCAAATTTCGCCCATCGAGCTGCCGACAACATTCCGGGTTTTGAATTCGACTCAATTTTTCATTATTTTTCAAAAAAAAAAATTGAATAATCGAGTTTTTCGCAACATTTTTAGTATTAATAATCATTAAAAATCTGAAAAACGACAAAAATTTCTGAATTTTGCCGCTTATAAGCTGAAAATCGTTTCGCGGGACCCCATTTTCTAGCAGAATTTCATAAAATTGATTTGAAACGTCCATTGCAAAGATGAGAAAAATTTTCAAAATTTCCTCGTTTTTCAATCAAATTTGTTGAATTTACGAGCAAAATCCTCTCATTTCTGTCAAAAATTGCAAAAAAAAAAAACAAAATGTCGGTTTTGAACCCACTTAATCGTGCTTCCCGGCCTTCCAAGTGTGACGGTGTGGACCGTTGAAGCTTGCGCGGAGATGTGCCGCAATTTCCTCTCATAATTATTGCGTTGACGACACCAAATGCACATTGAGAGCAGAAAAACCAAAAAGAAGACGAGCACCGAAATCTGGCAAAAAAAAAAACAATTTGACGTCCGGCGACTGCTGTAGATTTACGGGAATGCGTCTTTCTCTTGGTCTCGCAAAGACTAGCAGGTTATTTCGAACTTTATGGACCGATTCGATAATTTTTTAATCGAATATCGTTGGAAATTCAAGAAAATGCGAAACTCCATCAAGAAAAATGAAGAAGTTCACGTGAAAACAGCAAAATAGGCATTCACGCGTGGCGAGACCTTTTCAAGGCGCATGCGCGTAAATCTACCCGCATCCAGCTGATGCTGACTATAAAATAAAATCAAAATCATCGTACCACAATGATTTGCGGCATTTTCGACGGGATCGGCACCGGCGAGAAAGCTTCTCGAAGGCCGTAGACGCTTCGCAGCTCGCGTCGAGATTCTTCCGTTGAGCTCATCAGCAAACTAAAAGAAAACAAATTATTTTCGAGTTAAAATCAAATTTTTTCTTATTTTTTGTTACAAAAATTGAGATTTGCTAAACTTTTCGTAATTTCTTGCATCAAATCAAACAGATTCAATTTTTTTTGTTGAATTTTATATGCCTTTCATGAATTTTGAGTTTTAAACATTTCTTTGAATTTTTTGTTGAAAATCGTCTCAAAATTTAAATTTTTTCAACATTTTTTCATCAAATCGAAAAGAATCGACAATTTCTGAATTTCTTTTTCACATTCTTACCAAAAAAAGTCTCAAAAGCCCCAAAATAATAGCCCCCAAAATAATATATTCATTAAAAAAATCTTTCTCCCGTTACCAAATTATTCGAAAAAATGTCCACAAATGTGAAATTTCTCAATTTTTAACAAAAAACTGAACTTTCTACACAAAATAAACCAAAAATTTGTAGAATTTTGCAATTATCGAAAATAAATTCCAAAAAAATTCTTTTAACTTCCATTTCGGTTAATTTTTCAACAATGGAGAAAATGCAAAAACCTCCGAAAAAAATTTCCGCAGCTGTTTTTTGCTAAAATCAAAAAAAAACTTCACAGTTCTTTAATACTTCAAATTTTTCAACATAAATCGTGTAAAAACTATCGAAAATTCAAATTTTTTTCATTTCTTTTCGATTTTCAGCCAATTTTCGAGAAACCCACTTCACCGCTCGATCGACATTCACAAATTGTCCGTCTTGATCGGTAAAATGCACCAACATCAGCGTGAAATTCGAGTTTTGCCGACATTTGTCGACGATCGCTTTGAGACCCGTCGCATTCGACAAATTGCTGCAATCAAATCGTAGTAGATCAAAAAAGCAAAGCGAAAAAAATATAAATATTCAAACTTCTCAATTTTCTTCTCGTTTTTGATGATCAACTCGAACGGCGCGTCGAAAACGAGTTCGGTTTGTTGCGCGTACGTCACAACGGAAATCTGCAAAAAAAAGAACACAATTTCAGCCAGATTTGCCTCTTATTTCTCAATTTTTCACAAATTCCCAACACGGAAAATTGTCGGCAGATGGTAATTCTCAAAAAATGGAAAAATTTGGTAGGTGCTCAAAACCAGGAAGATTGCCCACAGGTGTCACAAAAAAAATCACCATGTTAAGCCCATTGGGTAAGGGTAATCAGTGAGTAATTAACTTTTAGATCATTAAAATTAAGTCCAACTACCCACCAATTATCCTTTATATACCATAGGTAGTTAAATAGTTAAATCTATTTTGAAAAGAGACTCAATTTTAGAAATTAATTGAATTTTGCGGATTTTTTTTTCAATTTTTTTCTGAAATACAAGATTTTTCATTTCAAAACCGTCAATTTTCTCAACAACAGAAAAACCAGCACAAATCGAGTTTCAAAATTTCAACAAATATTTTCGTTTTCACGTTTTCAATTTCATTTTGATTTATTTTTCATATAAAAATACTAATAAAAAGAGATAAATATACAATTTTTAAATCTCTCCTCCGCAATTCCACTTAAAAAAAGGCAAAAAAATAACATTTTTCCACCAAATTTTTCCCTCGAAGAATATAAAACCGGATTATTCTTTCGATTTTTTAAATAGCCGATAAGCTGAAGAAAAACGTTCGATCGACAATTTGCCGAGGAATCCAAGAAGCCAAAAGGTATTTTCATTGAATAACATGGGGATACCGCGAAATTTCGTGAAAAAGATTTCGAATAATCGTCAAAAAATTTTAATAGCCGAAATTTTGAAATTCCGCGTCAAACCCAGAATCAACGCTCCCCAAACGAACAGAATTTCGTCGTTCAAGAACGGAATATTCAGTCAAAAGCTCTTCATCATCGCCATTTTCATCACAAATATTCCGGCCTTTCGATTTTCGACAATTTGGCCCATATATACAATTTCGCGTTTTCTATCATAAAATCATTTCTGAAAAATTGACAAATCGATCTGAATTTTTTTTTACAAAATTTTTTTGGGATACTATAGACGCAATTTTTGTGTTTTGGACCTTTTTGCGCATTTTCAAAAATGCGATTTTTTTTATTTTTAAGTTTTTTCGATTTTTTTTCTAGATTTTCCATACCTATCGATGCTTAAAATTGTCCAAAAATTTCAGATCGATTGGTCAACTTTTCAGAAAGTAATGATTTAAAAAAAGAGAAATTGTATTTCTCACTGCACAGCCCTGATAAAAGAGCAACTCACAATCACACTAGTGGTATCCTCATGTCCAGCGCCATCAACGACAACCACCGCGAACGAGTACGACGAGTCTTTGAGCATCTCGTTCGCCGTGATTTCGCCGCTCTCGCCATCAATCGATATCGGCGAGTCTTGCGGCGAAAACGCGTGCGATGCGCTTCGAACGAATCCACGAATCGAGTATTTCAGACCGTCGACTTCTTCGTCGGCATCGGTCGCCGTCAACGTCAAAATGTGGCTGCCCGACGACACTTGGCCCTGCAAAACCAACTCAATGAAACCTCGATTGATGTCGGCAGCAAGTGTGTTGATATTTGAATTTCAAATCAGACTCGTTTTGCACAAAAAAATTGTCAAAATAAATATATTTGCCGTACAAAATTGAAAAATCTGTTGATCCGCAATTTGCAGCGCAAAAAATTCCAATTTCCTACCATTTTTTGTCTGAATTTTTGAAAGAAACGTAATTTCCACAAGGCAAACGCTCAATTTTCCCCACAACAAAATTGAAAACTATGATGACATTTTAAAAAAAGAATTTTTAAGAATGTCAAAATTCTCAATTTTCGCTCAAAAAATCATGTCGATATTCTGTTTGCCGAAAAAAACAATTTTCAAAAAGCAAAAAATAAAAAATCGCCAACCTGAACGACGGTGGTCTGATAAACGCGCTCGGCGAATCGCGGAAAATTGTCATTGACGTCGATCACGTCGATGAGCGCCACTATCGTGCCGTTGGCCGGCTTGTGCGGATCGCGACACGCCGAATGGCAATCGAACGCGGTGATCACGATCTGATGCTGTTTGCGTTGCTCGCGATCGAAACTGCTGTTCGTGTAGAGCACCGGAAGGGCGGCGTCGGCGAAAAAGAACAACGGCGAGTCGGTCGCATAGCACACTTTCGTGTTGTCCGAATGAAAGTCCGAGTCCAACGCCGCCGGAATTCGTCCAATCTGCCGGTGGCCCTTCTCATTCTCGACAACCGTCAACCGGACGTCCTGCTTCGGAAACATCGGACAATTGTCGTTGCGATCGTTCACCGAGATGAACAAGTGCGTCGACGTGCAATTCGTCGATCGACACGCGAGTATCTTGATCTCATGGACCGTCTTCTTCTCGAAATCGAACGGCTGTCTCGCCGTCAGACTGCCGCTCGTTCGATCAATCTTGAACAATTGCCAATCTTTTTTGAACGTCTCATCGAGTCCGAACGTCACGTTCTCGCCGCCCTCGTCGAGCACTTCCACTTTGAGCAGCTCGTCATACACGATGTTCTCATCGAAATAATGAATCGAGTTCGGCTTCGGCGAGATCACCAACGGATTGTGATGGTTGTTCTTCGCCGGGTAGACGGTCACACAATATGGCGCCGTGGATTCGCGCGTCGGCACGCCAACATCGCCAACCGTTATCGTCGAGCACAACCGTTGGCCGGCGTGGCCGTTTAAAGGCGCGTCGACGATCAGCCTTCGCGAATCGTCGATTCGGAACATCGTGCTGTTCGCGCTCATTCGCATCGCCTGTTTGCCGCCCTCGTCGGCGTCCGACGCGATGATTACGGTAATCACAGTACCCGGTTGGGCGTCTTCGCCGACGCTCAAATGGCTTAGATCCGAATTGTGGATGATCGGCGAGTTGTCGTTGACGTCGACGACGTGAACGGTCACCTGAACATGCGAAATAATCAAATGTTAAGGACTTCAGGATAGGGAGGACGGCAGCCGCGGCCGCGAATTATTCGACCACGGCCGCGCGGACCATCGAACGACTCACCGACGCGAAAATCTCGTGAAACGGCACTTCGCCGTTGTTGTCGACGCATTTGATGCTCAACGAATGGACGCGCTGAGTTTCAAAGTCCAATCGAGACACCAAGCGGATCGTCGAGTTTCTGCACAAAATGAAACGATGAGATGCCAAATTTGGGTGAGAAATGCAGAAAAAAAAGACGAAATAAATTTTTTTTTCGTCTAAAATCTCGAATAAATGGTCCCCCTTTCACAAGAAACACAATTTTAAAGAAAATTGTTCAGTGGATTACTGTAATTGGCAAAAATTACCAAAATTTGGGCAAAAGGAGTTTTGATTAGAAATTCGATTATTTACTTTTTTTTTCAAACAATTTTCGTGCAAAAATTTGCCAACTCGATTTTTTTTCTGAAAACCCACAAAATTCAAACTAATTTTGAAAATTTGTGCAAAATTTTCAATTGGTTTTCTTCGAATAATTCGAAATTTCATATTTTTTCCATAATTTTGAAAGACACTATTTTTTAATGCGAAATTTGCCGAAACTTTGCGCACTGTTTTCACTAATTTCGAGAAATCTACTTTCCTTAAAAACTTTCCGCAAAAAATTCTCAAAAGTGTTGCGTAAAACACACGAAATTCAAAAATTTTTGCACAAATTTTGAGAATTACTTGAAAAAAATCGGTAATTTTCTCAAAAACTTATCTCAAAATTCAATGATTTTTGCCTTTTGAGAAAAACTCCAAAAATTCTGCAATTTTCAACGTTCCTCTCAAAAATTGCGCAAAAAAAACTTGCGAAATTTTCACAAAAAATCAATTTTTTTAAACAAATTAACCCAAAAACCACAATTTCTTCAAAAAAAAAAACGCCATCATACCCCTCATCGATTCGGAAAAATCCCTCATCGCCCGTCATCGAATAGCGCAATTGTGCAAATTTGCCAGAATCTTTGTCGGTAGCCAACGGATACGGCAAATCGAGAATCGTTCCTAAAAAAAAATTGAAAAATAGCAATTTCTCAAAACAAAAACCAACCCAAAACCGCCGATTCTTCAATGGAAGTGACAAAAATCGAATTATTCTTGAAAATCGGCCTGAAAATCCAAATTTTCGCGGATAAAATTCCTCAAAAAAAATGTCATTTCTCCAGAAAAATTGTTAAAATTGGTTAGAATCGAAAACCTATTATCATTGGCGTCGAAAATTCGAATCTCGATCGGCGCCACCGCCTCATTCCCATCGATTGTCGCCCTCACAAATCCTCGAATCACCTTCTCGCGCTCATAATCCAATTGTCTCACCAATTTGATGGTCCCAAATCGATCGATGCCAAGTTTATATCGTGGTCCGCTGGTTATATTCAGCATATATCTGTTAGTACATAATTGGGTTAATTAGTGATATGTTAATTAGTTAGCAATTAAAATGGGATCAGTGGAAAGTCAAAAAACAAAGAACTGTAATGTATTTTTTTTTTAATTTTAAAGGCGCATCATCATGGTCTCGTAGCGAATTTTCAATTTTGCACAAAAAAATTCGCCGATTTCACAAATCATCATCAATTTTTTTCAAACGACTTACTCGACACCATCATCCGGCGTGACGCCTTCAGCAGGCATCGACAACACCGTCGTTCCGATCGTCGCCGATTCCGAGATGCTCGTTGTTCGCGTCATCGTGCTATTCTTATAAATCGGCACAACGTCATCGGTGTCGACGACTTTGATAATAAGCTCGACTGAAAATTGAAAAAAAGAACATGCTCATGATTGGTTTTTTTCGATATTCCATTTAAATTATTGATTTTCAAGCAAAAAAATCATTTAAAAAAATCTCAATATTCTATTATAGTAGCCTTTCCATGAGGAAAAACGTAGAAAGTAAAATCAGTCGCCACAAGACCCACATGACTTCCCACATTATGCGCCTTTAATCAATTATTTCATTTTTAAATAAATACAAAAAAAAAACTATTTTGTAAGACGACAAATCGTGAATTTTTCAAATTTCGCTTTAATTGTTTAAAGGCGCACACCATTTTTGGAGTCTCGCAGCGCTCGCAGCATTTTCTAATATTAAATCAATAAAAAAATCTATGCTAAAGAAAAGTGTACTAATAAAAAAAATCTATTCTAAAGAAATGTGTACTAATTGCCTCGAATTGGATGGGCGTTATAAAATTCGAAAAAAAAAATCAAATTACCTGGCACTTCTCGTTTGCCTTTCCGCATACTGATATACAATTTGACTTGTTTGACCAAATCGGGATCGATTCGCGTCAACGTCTCGATGATTCCCGTTTTCGCGTCGATCGATATCCATTTTTTGACCGCTTCATCGTCGAACCCATCGGCGGTGGCGCGAATTATCTCGTACGTGTAGCCCGGCATTCCGGCGTTCAGCCATTTGATTTCGGATCTGCAAAAACAAAAACGAAAAACAAATGATCGAATGTGGAAATTTTCAGATGATTTTCGAATTGCGACGTAGAATCGACGAAAAAAACGGGAGTTTTGACTATGAGCATCGAATAATTGTCTCCGTCTCTCAAAAACACACACTCTTTCGCTCTCTCTCTCTCTCAAACATCTTTTTCATCGCCATTACAATTTTCTTCTATGGGTCCACACGCATATTTCGAACAAAAAAAATTGGGTGGGATACTGTAGCTAAAGGCGCATACACCGAATCGGTGTCCAAAAATCAAATCCGGAAAAATTGCAACAATTTCGGCTTCAATTTCAAAATTTAATATTTTTTTTACAATTTTCATCAATATTTTCTCAAATTTTCAATATTTTCGAACTGAAAAATCTGAATTTCTTCGCATTTTCAAAACGCGTTGTTTATGCACTGGAAAATAGTTCAAATTTGCATCGCAAAGACATTTCCTTGGAATTTTTTCAGAATCGATCGCTGTAGGACCCAACACAGGAAAAATTGCAAGCGTCGCTAATTACAGTATTCAAAAAAAAATTAAAATTTCGCGAAGTTCGAAAAATGTTCAAATTGCCAAAAAAAAAAAAGAACCTCTAAATTCAAATTGCCAATTTTTTATTTTTTTTTTTTGGATTTTTGAACAATCAGAAACTTTTGTGAAATTGCGAGTAATAACAAAATTCTGAAAAAAAAAGTGGAATTACGGATTAAAGGCGCATAGCGCAAAAAATCAATTGGGTCTCGCGGCGAAACATTTGTGGCCAATTTAAGAAACTCCTCACCTCCTCTGCGTATCGTTGCTGTTGATCTGCGTCGTCAACTCATTCTGCAGACCGCCAATGTGCTCATTGAGCACCACCAACGCCGTCGAGCTCAACGCCGGCTGTCCGCCGTCGGTGGCGGTCACGTTGAACGACAATTGCGCGCGTTGGCTGAGAATCCCGTCGCCGACGAATATGATCTCGCCTTTGTCGGTTATTCGGAACGACGGATTCGCACTCGAATACCGAATATAGTTGTTCGGTGACGTCGCGTCGGCGTCGTCGGCCGACACCGAGCCGACAATCTGAAAATGCCGAAATCTGACTTTTTTCCAGATATTTTCACAATAAAAAAATCATGATTTTATCGAATTTCCAACAAAAAAGTGTCTCGAAACTCAATTTCTCGGCTAGATATTCAAATTTTCGCGATTTTTTTCTAAAAAAATATAAAAAATTGCAATTTTCAATTAAAACCCGTCACAAATTTCTCAATGAAAATTAATCATGAAAAATTTGGAAAATTTTCCGCAACAAAAACGGACAAAATCGGTGTTAAGCATTGAAAATGCGCGGATTTTATCGATTTTCGAATAAGAAGTGTCTCAAAACTTAATTTTTCGATAATGAGTTCAAAAATTGCGAATTTTTGCATTGTTTTTTTCGAAATATTAAAATTTTCGATTAAACCAACTCTCAAAAAAGCCACTCTTCCATTTTTTGGGCAAAAACGACACAAAATGACTCGCAAGAAAAATGGCAATCATACCCCGCCAGGACTGATATTCGCGTCGAGAACAATTGAGTACTTCGAATTTGAGAATACCGGCGAATTGTCATTGATATCCTACAAAAATGCCATAAATTATGAGAGTTCTTTAAAAAAAACGCCTACTTTCACTCGAATATGGACTTTCGCGTACGCCGATCTCGGCGGAATTCCGGCGTCCGTCGCGCGAATCGTCAAATTCACGTCGGGCGCGTCGAGAGCGTCGCGATCGATGGCGCCGATGAACAGAATGCCGTCGGAGATGTCGATGGGCAGATTGTCGAGATTCTCTTCGATACTGTAGGTGATGTGCGCGTTGGGACCATCATCGCGATCGGTTGCCTAGGGAACGAGACATTCATAAAGAAAAAAGAAATGTTGAACAATGGTCCTACCACGATTTTGATCTTCTCGCTTTTTCCCTCGTCCACCGTAATCGTGTAGACGTCGCGTTCGAACACCGGCGAATTGTCATTCTCATCAAGAATTCGAATCGACACACGCGACGTCGCCGCCGCCTCGCCGCTCGTCACCGTCAACTCGAATCTCGCGGTCGCCTCGCGATCGATGGGTCCCGTCGCGAAAATCTCGCCGCTCTCGCTGATGTTGAACAACTCGGAGCCTTGAAGACGATAGGCCGACGACGACGAGCCGCCGCCGCCGATGAGTCGCACTTGGCCGACTTTCTGAGCCTGCTGGTTCTCGCTGAGCTCGAACTCGTACACCTCTTTGTCGAACTTCGCCGATTTTGTGGGTGACTGCCGAAGCGGCAGATCGGCCGAAATCGATCGAAGCACAATTCGGCATTGGCCCACGTCGGATTTCAGCTGAAAATTGTCAAATTGCGAGCCAAACGACTCGCTCAACTACCAGAAGTTGCGCGTTGTCCAAATTCTGAGCGCCCACTTTTCCGCTGTCGACAATTTTGAGCTCAATCCGCTCCGACGTTGGTTGGTCCAACTGAAACATGTCGGAGCCGCCGATTAGACGAACATTCGCCTAGAATCGACGAAATTTTATCATTGAAAAATCAAATTTGGCATCGAAAACTCACATTTTCTTTTAGAAGTTTGATGAAAATCGGCTCCAGAAATTCGCCTTTTCCTTCGACGATTTTCGCCTCGTAGATTGGGAATTCGCAAAGCTCCGCGTCGGGTTTCGACTGAAATTCAACGATAGCAAAATTAAAGAAATTAGGGATTATTATAAGTTAAAAAATTATTGTATTGGTTAAATGTTTTAAATTTTTGATCGTTTTTTATTTCCCCTGTTTGAATTTTATCAAAAACTGAGAAAAGAAGAGGTAGTTAATGTGAAAAAATTGAGAAAAGAAAAAGTTTGATTTGAAAAATTGGAAATTTTCAAAAATGTTCACCGGCACGACAAATTGCACACTTGCACCATAATTGACGCAATTTTGGAATTTATTTTTTTTTAATAAAAAATTCTTTTTTTCCTGCGATTCTTTACATTTTCAGAAGCCGTGATTTTTTAAACTACGAAAAATATTTAATAGGCACATATTTTCAAAGAAAAATGTGCAAATTCAGGATATTTCAATATTATTAATTTTCTATAAATTTTAATTACAACAAATTTTTGTTAAATTTCCCTCCAAATTCGATTTTCAGCTTTAATTTTGGGTGTTTAACTAAAAACAGAAAAAAAAATTCAGGGCATACCTGAATTTGAGCGTCGGCTTTCTGTTCGACGACGATCCTCAGCTTTCCCTTCACGGACCTCGTCGGATTCGCCTGCTCATAAGCCTAAAACCTCGTCGATTTTTCACTCGAAAAACGCAAATCTACAGTAATCCTACCGTAATCTCCAGCGATAATTCGTTTGCCGGTATTTTCTCGAGACGAATCTCGCCGGTTTCGGCGTTCATCGTCACAAAATCATTGGTGGCGACCTCGTACAGAATGCTCACTTTCTCATTTTCGTCATGCTCGCCGCATTTCGCTCGGATTTTCGCGAGAATCTCGCCGATTTTCGCGTTCGCCGCAATTTTCAACGGTTTCGAGAGATCCGTCTCGAAAATTGGAGCGCCGCTGAAGGGAAAATTTCTTAAATTTTTTTCCATAGGCAAAAAATTGTTTTTTGAGCGATTCCGTTGGGAAAAAAAAAATGAAAACGAAAAAAAAACGTTTTCCCAATTTTTATTTGTTCTTTATTATATGGAAATTGCAAAAAATCACTAAACTTTAATCAAATTTGCCAACAAAAAAAATTAAATTTTTTAAAAATTAGACGAAATTTATAATTTTTTGGATTTTAATATTGATTTTTAAGATTTAAATATCAGAAAACCCTTCAATTGAATAAAATTTCTTTGTGTGCAAACACGTCCACGCAAATTTTCAAACAAACAAATGTCGCATGCTGCATTTTTTTTTTTGGAAAAAACTGGCTAAATCTAGATTTTCAGGAATTTTAAGTATTTTTTTTTCCTTTTTTCCTTCATTGAAATTTACCGGAAAAGGATAACTTCAAAATTTCGATCTATTAAAAAACTCACTCATGCTCATTGATGAGATTGATGGTTACGGTATGCGCTACAGTATGACTTCGATTCGAATGCGGATCACCATCTTTGGCAGTGATTGTGATCATATGCACCGGTTTTCTGTAAATCGATTCAAAAATTGTCGCAAAATATTGCTTTTTTTTTGAAAAACTCTTCAAAATCCAATAATTTGGCGGTTTTGAGCGTCGTCGTACACATTCCATTCGCGCATTTTCGTCGTGTCAATTTGAAAAAATCGCTCTGAAATTGTCGAGAATGTGGTGTTGCGACAATCGCCGTCGCCTACGTCGATCGCGAATCGCGAGATTCCCGAAATTCCGGTGTCGGCGTCTTTGGTGCGAATTTTGAACAGCTCGGTGCCGACGTCGACCGATTCGGCGACGTCGAAACTCGTCGGCGTCTCGACGAACACCGGCGGATTGTCGTTGACATCGACGACCTGAAAATCGGCGGTAAATCAAATAAAATATTTTAAGATTCATTGAGAAACTAACGTGTCTCTATAATATTTAAGAATTTTCTCAATCAACTTTTGAAATTATTATAAAATTTCCGAATTTATTGAGATAATTTAGAAGTTGCTCAATAAATTTTAGAAAATCTTAAAAGATTTTAAAAAATATTTTTAAGTTTAGCGATTTTCAAGAAGTTTTAGAAAGTATCAATAAACTTTAGAATTTCTCAAAATAATTTAGAGTTTATTATTGAATATTTGATTCTCAAAATATTTTATTTGATTTGCCTGAGCGATACGGGGCGGGCTGAGAGATGCGCACAGATGGAATTTTCCAAACACGAAAAAGGGAAACAAATTTTTAAAGCGCAAAATGAAGCACGAAATCAATTTTTTATCATATAAAAAAGCGAAAATCGAAAAAATGCGAATTTCGAAAATCAAAAAAAAAATGTGTTCATATTTGCGTAATATTGACTGTTTGCGGACATCGCTATTACCGTAACTAACATTTTTAAAAATTATTTGAAAACTACAAAACGCTATTGGAATCACGGGAAAATTGTTTCACACTTTCAAAAAGCAAAAATACTAATAAAAAAAAGTGCGGCACACAAATTCTGAAAAAAAAACTGCAAGTGTGGCGCACTATCACATGCTAATTTTCAAAATTATATGAAATTCTTATTCACAATTTTCTTTTAAATAATATAACAAATTTGGGTTTTTCATTTGATTTTTGATTTTCGCGATCCTAAACACACAAAATATATACGTATTCGTTTAGTTCTACTTAATTAAATTAATTAATTCATCAAGTGTGGCCGTGGCCGAATCTAACATTTGAGGCCATTTTTTCTAGGCCACATTTTTTTTGGCGGACTACAAAATAGGCAAAATGGAACAAAAATGATTTGAAATACCACGGCTAAAGACGGAATTCGTTGCATCTCCGGTTTATCATGGCTTACCTGAATCTCAAGAGTGGCTCGCGATTTTTGTGGTCCCGCGACGACGAGCGAGAACGATTGGCCACGAATCCCGTCGGAATTCTCCTTCTGCAAAATCGAAAATTTGCTCATTTTCCCCTCAAATTCGCTCATTTTTTCTTCAAAAATCGATGGAAATTTTTGAAAAATAATAATCGAATATTTGCTTTCAAGCCTAACCAAAAAAATTCAAATTTTTAAAGGCGCATGGGACCTCAGAATACGTGCGCGCGTCTTTGAATTGAGAATTTCCAATGCTAAATTAAAATGCGTCGCGATAAGACCTTTATAAGACCAAAAATTTGTTCAATTTTTTTTTCGAAATTTTTTTTTTCGATTTTCCGGCCAAAATTGACAATTTTCCAATTTTTAGTCGGAATTTTTGTCAAATTTTCATCAAATTTCAACAATTCTTGATTTTCGATCGCAATAAAATTTTAATTTTTGGGAAAATGTCAATTTTTTTTGATAGAGGCAAAAATAAAATAATTTAAAGGCGCATCGTTGAATGTGTTGTTTCCATTTTTTTGGTGCCAATTTTCTCAAGTCCCTCGCTCGATTCGAATATTCGAAACAATGTGAAGGGGGGGGGGGGTCCGATTCAAAGAAGAAAAAAATTTGGGTATACAAGAGCGACCGAGAATTCGTGAACAGCAGCTCATCAATCAGTGTACGCATCGAGCAAACAAATCGAAGGCGAAACAATCAAGTATATACAAAAAGTTCTTTTTAGGTCCCTCGTCTCCTCCGAGGATCCCCTCCTCTTCCCCCCTCCCTCCCTTCGCTGCTTTCTGTTGACATTTCGACTAATCCGTCACTGTCGTGTCCGGCGACTCGTCGGCCCATCATGATGAGCTTGATACATACGTTTGCTGATTGGGGCCTTTTAAAATTTTAGTTCTAATTTCGAATTTCGCGTCGAGACCCGAAAAACAAAACCCACGAAAATTGCCGGAATTTGAATCGGATATCGCGGTGTGCGGTGGAGCGCGATTGCCACAAAATCAAGAAGGACGATTTTGTCGAGTTTTTAATTGGGCTCGACACGAATTCGCGAGTCGAGAGTCTCTTCAAGCAAACTCGAATTTTTGAAAAAAAAAATCGTCACATTTAAAGGCGTGTGCCTTCAAAAATACGTGGCCGTGGCCGAGTTTTTTTTTCCAAGGCTTTGAGAAGCCGCGCCCCATCTCAAATTTCGCGTTGAGACCTCAATGGGTCCCATCTACGTAAAAGTGTATCCGACCGACTCGCTCGGCTTGATACTCTTCGAGTTTCCGCCAATTATCGCCATCGCGTTTGTCTGCGCCCTCTCAACATCGCACACTATCTCTCTCGCCCTTTTTTGGGCTTCTCGATTCTGTGTGATTGAGCATCTAATGAGCCACCCACGACCACAATAAATAATAAATCATTGATGAGAGAAGTCGTCGGCGTTTTTCGCTTTTCGCTTCGAGACCAATCAAATTCGAATTCGAATGGATTTCACCTTGGGGGAAATGAGCGGGATTATATAGGCGTGTGATGCGCCGCCCGTTAAAAACATGAGGAACCGAAAAAAAATGAATGATGAATACGACGATTGCGATATAATCGGGCTCCCTGATGGTCAGGGTTAATATGTGTCTCGAAGCGAAATATTCGAGGAGGTACTGTAGCTCTGATGGGCCCAGAATTTTGATTGGGGTCTCGAAGCGAAATTTTAGATGGGGTACTGTAGCTTTGATGAGCCCAGAATTTTGATTTTGTCTCGAAGCGAAATTTTCAAGGGGGTACTGTAGCTTCGATGGGCCCAGAATTTGGTTTTGGTCTTGTAGCGAAATATTAGAGGATTACTGTAAGTGAGAAGATGAACATAGTTTAAGGATTGAGGTCTTCAATCGACAACTGATGTAGCCTAGAAAAATCTCTGGCTTCTCGTTTGGGTCTCGAAGTGAACTTAGGTAGATCAAAATAGTGTAGTCCAAAATTTGGGGAAAACACTGAAAAATTTGAAACCTTTAAAATTCACGAAATATTTCGGATAAAGAGGAAAATTATTTCGAAATCGAAACTTTGACAAAATGTGGACCATTGCACTTTTTTTCTCGAGGCGGCAATTCAAATTCAAATTTAAATAGTGGCCTACCGTACTCTGGATAACCTGCGAATCAAACTTCTCAAGAAAAATTCAAATCAAAAAGTTTATTGATAGTTTCTAAAATTTATTGAGAATTGATGAATACAAAAAAAAAAGCTTTTTAAAGACTTAAAAGATTTTCTAAAATTTATTAAGCAAATTCTATAATATCAAAAAAAAATCTAAAATTCACTGAGAAAAATCGAAATTATTTTAGAGGCACGTTTTTTTTTTGCCTTCTAAGGCTCTGTCAAATCGAATAAAATATTTTGAGATTTCATCGAGAAACATTTTAGAATTTGCTCAACAAATTTTTGGAAAATCTTTTAAGACTTTAAAAAGTTTCAAAATTTTTTTTAAAATTCATTAAGTCTCAATAAACTTTAAAATTTATTATCGAATATTCGATTCTCAAAATATTTGATTTGAATTTTGCGTGAGAAGTTTGATTCGCAGGTTATCCAGAGTACGGTAGGCCACTATTTAAATTCAAATTCAAATTGCCGCCTCGAAAAAACAAAGTGCAATGGTCCACATTTTGTCAAGTTTCGATTTCGAAATAATTTTCGTCTTCTCAAAATTATCAAAAAAAATCGTCGAGTTTTCATTTTTTTGGTTTTCCATTCAATTTCTCCAAAATTTGAATTGGCGCCTCACAAAAAAAGAAGAGCGATGGTCCACATTTGATCGAATCGCTTTCCCCACCGTTTCAAATTTTGGGTGTGCCGTTGGTGGCAACAATCGAATTGCGTATTTCAAGTGTGTACCAATTAGTCGAATACAAGGTATGTGTCAAAATACTCGAGAGAGAAAGAGAGAGGCATCTTCCCCCCCCCCTTTCCCTTCCTCTCCTCTCCTCTCTAGTGTCCTTCATCGAAAGCGGCTTCCCCCTGTCTCTTCCAGTCGCCCCGTCCTGTCATATTCACACCATCAATGCCACCATAGATGGGGGGCTTCCTTAATCGAATTAGGCTATCACTCAGTTGACCACAAAAACCGAAATTTAATGGATTCCGCGCCACGTGGAATTCTACCGTAATCCGATTAGCAAAAAATGCCATTTCTCTTAAAGTGTGCACGCACAACCACGCCGAATTGCACACATTTCGCTAATTTCAAAAAAAAAAAAAAACAATAGTGTCAATTTTTGAAATAGTTTCATGCGCCTTTAAACCCAAAAATAGTGACAATTTTTAAATAGTTTCATGCGCCTTTAAACATAAAAATAGTGTCGATTTTTTAAATAGTTTCATGCGCCTTTAAACATAAAAATAGTGTCGATTTTTTAAATATTTTCATGCGCCTTTAAACCCAAAAATAATGTCGATTTTTTAAATAATGTTATGCGCCTTTAAACCCAAAAATAGTGACAATTTTTAAATAGTTTCATGCGCCTTTAAACATAAAAATAGTGTCGATTTTTTAAATAGTTTCATGCGCCTTTAAACATAAAAATAGTGTCGATTTTTTAAATATTTTCATGCGCCTTTAAACCCAAAAATAATGTCGATTTTTTAAATAATGTTATGCGCCTTTAAACCCAAAAATAGTGACAATTTTTAAATAATTTCATGCGCCTTTAAACCCAAAAATAGTGTCAATTTTTAAAATAATTTCATACGCCTTTAAACCCAAAAATAGTGTCAATTTTTTAAACAATGTCATGCGCCTTTAAACCCAAAAATAATGTCGATTTTTTAAATAATGTTATGCGCCTTTAAACCCAAAAATAGTGACAATTTTTAAATAGTTTCATGCGCCTTTAAACCCAAAAATAGTGACAATTTTTAAATAGTTTCATGCGCTTTAAACCCAAAAATAGTGTCGATTTTTTAAATAGTTTCATGCGCCTTTAAACATAAAAATAGTGTCGATTTTTTAAATATTTTCATGCGCCTTTAAACCCAAAAATAATGTCGATTTTTAAAATAATGTTATGCGCCTTTAAACCCAAAAATAGTGTCAATTTTTAAAATAATTTCATGCGCCTTTAAACCCAAAAATAGTGTAAATTTTTTAAACAATGTCATGCGCCTTTAAAAAAGTCATAGGGACCCAAATCGCTCAAATCGTCCAGTTGGGACCCTCAAAAAAAACGGAAAAGCGGGTTTTCATATGTTTTTGTAAGGCGAGAAAAAAACCGGATCGCCTCGAAACCATCAATTTTGGTAAGACATCGGTTTCGAATAACAATAATGAAATGAATTGGTCGCGCGCGCGTGGCGGCGGCGCCGCCGGCGTTCTTGTTTCTAAAGGTGATTACACACACACATTCGGATGAGGTTTCCCCTCCCCTTTAAATTCTGGCTTCTGCTACTGAAGTCTGAACGCGAACGCCGAATCGCAATGATGCGCGAAATCTGTGTGCGCCGATTGTTAAGCCGCTCGCAAAACATTCTCCAACCATCGCATCTCTCTTATTCTAACGGGGCCCCCCATATTTGGAACGGGAAGCGAATTTCAGATGTAGATTCTCAAATGGGAGGCGGGAGATTCAAAAAATGTTTTTTTTTTCGTTCCCTGAGTATTAAATGCGCGCTTGGCACACAGCCAACACAACCTTTTTCGGACTGCGCACATATAGGTTTTCAATGGTCCGCAATTCGAAAATGCCATTAGCTTGTCCAAAAATTATTATGGTTTTCTCGAAACTGCTCAATAATTATAACGCGCTCTGTAGAATACATATTGAAATGGGGGGGGGACCTTCAAAATCAGTTGAGATTTGAATTTTTCGTTTGGCTGAATATTAAATGCGCGTACGATATAATGCAATGTACGCAGTTTGGCGTCATTCTCGCTGCCTGGCCGATAAAAATCAAAGAAAATTGCAAGAATCCAAAAATTCCAACTCACATCGGCGTCGAGGTGCTGATTGAGTCGAAGCGTCGAGCACGTCTCGTTGAGCGTCGACACGCTGAAGAAGCGATTCGGATCGCCGGCGATCACCTACATCATATTGATTGGCAGCTGCGGACAATTTTTTTTTGCGAACCTTGACGTTTTTCGGGCACAACGCGAGCGGCAACGCGTCGCCGATCGGCCAGTCCTCTTCGACGAGCAGAAATTGCGGTTCGACGATGAGCGCGGCGACGTCTGAAAAAATTGGCGACGATTTTGAGACTCATGCTCTCTTATCCATGAACTTCTCATTCATTTCGTGTGCGTTGTTTGCCGAACGAATCTCACAACACGAAAATTTGGGTCAACATTTTTTTTGTTCATATTTGTCAATTTGCCCGACATTTTACGGGTTTCGACGTCGGCAATTTTAAAGGCGCATCGTGAGCCGAAAAGTTCGATTTTCTTTTGACTATGCGCCTTTAAATTGAAAGAAAATGGAAATTGGAATTTTACGCAAAATTGCGGACTTTTTCACCAAAAAAAAAACATTTTTTTAAAAAACTAGTCTGCGCCTTTAAATTTTTTTTGGGCCAACAAATTATTGAAAATTGAATTTTAATTCGCAATTAGACCCAAAAACTGTATGCGCCTTTAAATTCCTTGTATTTTTTTTGTTCAAATAATCATCGTACGCAAAATTGCGGACGCCATCTCTCGTATGCGCCTTTAAACATTTGAAAATCGATCAATTTAGAAATGAAAAAATAAACATTTTTAAATCGATCCCATAAAATCGCCACCTAGGGGGGGGGGGTCCCGCAGCGAACAAATTAGCATACCTGCGAAACGATGAATAACAAATAAAATGACGAGCGGCAAGCGCCAATAAATACGGACCATTTATATCATATATAGTTAATTGTGTGAATTGATGTAGGTATGTGTATGTGTGTGTGTGTGCTTGGATGGGTTTAAGGCGTTCGAGAATGTCTCACAAGTGGGCGTGGCCTCCGACAATGCCGAGACGGCAGAGACGCAGACACACACACATACCATTGGAAGAGAGGGGGGGGGTCTGATATTTGTCGGCTGGATTAGCTGGGCACCATATAAATAGCATAATTGTTTCCTTATTAGCATCGCGTGGAAATTGCGTTTCGAGTTTAACGCGAATTGTGCTTGCGGACAATTTCAGACAAATTTTAGTTTTGTGAAAATCCATCTGCGGACAACAATTTTGGAATCGGCGAATGTTTCAAATGCGCCTTTGATGTATACTGTATGCAGTTGTGATACGCAGCCTCATAAAAACAACCATCTGCGGACAATGTGCGGCATTCAAAAAAATTGTCCGCAGATGGCAAATCATTAAATTTTTGAAATTGAATGTTGCAAACGCGCTCCATCGACTCCCGCGAATTGCAATTCATTTAGAATAATTTATTTTGTATTCATTTTTCATTATTTTGTTAAATGCGCTCCATTGAGACGGAAACCCGTGAAGTGTCGGCGGCACAACTTCTTGACTTCGAAATTTGTTGTCGGGATCGTCGCGGCGGGTTTTTGAGAATGTCCGCAGATGAATATTTATTTGTGGATTCGCCTCAACTCTCAATTTTTTATTGAATGGGATGCCCAACACGGAAACAATGGAATTTGTCTCAAATTTTCAAAGAAACTTGTTATTTTAAAAAATATTCAACCTTTCAATGCCAAAAACTTCGATTTCCAACAAAAAATTCGATTGCTAAGCTCAATTTCTCGTTTTCCATCTGCGGACAATTGTCGAGGCTCAACGCGTGCGCCATTAAACCAGCTCAGTAATATTTTTCTCAAAAAATCTCAAATTTTTGCGATTTTCAATTTTCGCATTGAAAAATTGGTGAAAACAATTTTTTTTTTGATTTTCTTCCAATTTTCACCAATTTTTCGAATTTCCAATTTGTCATTTCCGTTTTTTTTTTTCCAATATCCCCAAACGGGTCCCACCACGATCAATTTTTTGCACAAATCAAAATCACACCGCAAAAACGAATTAATTAATCATCATCATCAAAAAAAAAGAAGAAGAAGAAGGCGATTTTCAAGTTTCATCTCTCCAAAAACTCGGAAATTCATCGCAATCGATGAATTTTCAAAAACGATGCGAACAAATCATCAATTCCCTCAATGATTTATCGTATACATCGCCGCAAATTGTCAGGTTCGAAGCGGATTGATGGCAGACAAAAAAGAATAAGAGAATAAGCGAAATTTCGAAAGTGTTTCCAACTTTTTCACTTTTATTATTCGATTTCGATTCAAACACACAACAAATAGGAAGAAGACCGACAACAAAAAAAAACTTGATGCCAATCGACACGCTTTTCACTTGTTTCTCAGCACGAACGTTTTGATGTCGGTCCAGAAATTCGAGTCATGGTACAAGTAGGTCATACTCTTCTGAAGGGATCCTTGAAGCACCGTCGGATGGTACTCGAACAGCCATAGGACGACACCCCACACGGCGGCGGCGAACCACGGAAACACGGCGAACTCTGCAATTTCCATATATGAGTCGTCGCGAGACCATTTAAAGGCGCATACATCAAATTACGGATTTTGTTTTTCGAAATTTCAAGGAGCATAATCCAACATTATTGTTTGTTTTTAATTTCGGAACAAAATATTCAAAAATTGACGGGAAACTTTTGTTTTTCCAATTTTCACAATATTTTCTGCCCTCAGCGATGCGCCTTTAAACGTCCAACAACCGAAATTTGATCTATGCGCCTTTAAATTACAAAAACCTCACAATTTTTTACTAGCGAAAAAAAATCGAAATTTTAGTTTTTCGAATCCCGCAAAATGTCGGCAGCACAAACTCCAAAAAAAAATTGAAGGTTTTGATTGTATTAGAAACATTGATATGAAATAGTGCGAAAAACCAAAACCATTTACACTACCGTCCTTTAAATATACGATTTTGGCCAGGTTTGGCTCATCCAATCATCACCAAACTATTGGGAATAGTTAAGCATGCTTAAAATATAGTATTTACATAATTTTAAGCAATTTTTTCAACAATAAATAATAGAATCGAAAATAGCAGATATGAAAATATTTTTAATGCTCAATTTCAAAGCTTGCGAAAAAAAAAGAAAATTAGTTTTGATTAGAAAAACACCTTTCAAGGTAATATTTAAATTTTTTAGTTTGTTGCCATGCAATTTTCTGCAATTATAGCCCTCTTTAATTGATTGGGATCAGAGCTGCACGGAATTCCGTCTTCTGTTTTCCGTTTTCCGTTAAAAAAATTTATTCCGTCTTCCGTATTCCGTGTTTTGCTTGATATATGTACCTAGCGCGACCCTTTAAAAATTCAACGCGAGATTGTCCGCAGATGGATTTGGTGAAAATCTGGTCACAAATTTCCAAAAAAACTAACTTGATTTTCAGCAAAATGTATAAAAAAGCATTTTTTCTAAAAAAAAAAAATTAAGAGAATTTACGCCATGCGCCTTTAAAACCTCCAATTCGTCAATCAATTCTATTCGCGCGAATAATATAACCAAATTTGGGCAACTTGCCCAATTCCATAACGCAAATAATCAAATTGGCGCGATTTGCGACCGAAATTTAGGGGGGAGGCCGACGAGAGGTGAGTTGCGCATCCTTATTTGGAAACAAGGGACCATTTTAATTTTATTGCGAAAAAAAAATGACAAATTTGGAGACATCATTTTTTTTTCAAAGCCTTTCTTTTTTCAGAAACATTTTTTTTTGGCAACCATCTAAAACTCGAGAAATTTCAATTTTACGAGTTGTCCAAAACAAAAAATGATTGAAAATTCGCCCAAAAATGATTAATTTTTTGGAAAATTGCGAAAAAATCGAATTTAACTTTAAAAACTGCATTTTAAAATTTACAAATTTAGGAAAATCCCGTAAAATGAATTATATCAAAGCACTCGATAGAAATTCGTGAAACCGGCGTTTAAAAAAAAAAGAAGACAGTCGAAATTCATCATTTTTGATGATTCTCGCGCGAAAAAATGCAATTTTTGCCAAATTTTAGTGTATTTTCGCTAATTTTCAATAAAAAATCATATCCAAAATGCCAATTTTGATCGCATTTTTTTGTACGGAAGCGGGATGATCGCCGAAATCCGTCATATTCCGTATTTATCGAATTTGTGAAACCTAGACTTCGCGGGTTTTCCAAAAAATTAAAAAACCAACTGAAAATCTTGAAAAATCACTAGAAATTTTAAGAGTATTTCCACTTTTTGGGTTATTGCGAAAAATTTTGACGATTGTTGAAAATTTTCGAGATTTACTGGTATCCGTAAAATTGCATTTTCATTTGTTTTTTTTTTTCATAAAAAATTGTCGAGATGATAATAGTTTCATATTTTTGCCTAAAAACAAAACAAGGTTGCAAACGCGCTCCATTGAACTGCGATGAAAAAACCCCGCGAAAATCTCATGAATTTCAACAAAATTGAAGCGCGTTTTTTTTTTTCATCCTAAATTTCATAATAATTTTTTTCTGGAAAACATCGTTCTGGATTATTTCGGCTATTCATATTTGCCTTTTATGGAATTTTTGAAACCGACGATTCGAAAAAAGCAGACAAGAAGAAACTATCAAAATTTAACATTTTTAAATGAAAAAAAGCAATTTAAAATTTTTTCAAATCTCAATAGAGCGCATTTGCAACCAACTCAGTTTTTTCCACATTTAAAGGCGCATTCTTGACAAATTTCTTCTCAGACAAGAATTTTTAATTGAATCAATTTGCGCGCGAAATTCAAATTTTTAAAAAATCGACTCACTCGGCTGCGGGATGACCTCGCGATTGGCCGCCAACTTCACCAATCCGACGACAACTCGAGACAAAAGGTACAAATTGATCTGAAAATTCGAATTTTGTGAGAAATTCATGTCCCTTTAAATCGGTTTGAGAGTGACGAACTCAAAATTCCGATTTTTGAGCATTTTTTTCGTCAACAAACATTTTTATTTGCATTTTATTTCTAAATCGTAGCTTCTTTTTTTTTTTCAAAAGTCGAATTACTGTAAATTTCAGTGTCGATTTACGAGCATGCGCCTTTTGAGATGGTCTCGGTGTGGACAAAACAAATTCCTTTTGGAATTTACAATTTTTCAAAATGAGTCGGTTTTTTTTCAAAGAAGGCAAAACGAGAATTGAGCGAATCGTTGCGAGACCACAGCCAACTTGAAATTGTTGCAATTCTCAATAAACTCGACAAAATTTCTCCTCAACATCCAATTTTCGTTTTTTCTTTTCAACATTCAAAAATTATTTTTTCTTTTTCCTTTTTGCTGCATTGAAATTTTCTCTATTTTTTTAAAGTATCGTGTTATTGCGCTCAAGCGCTCCTTTAATGAGGATTCAGCAAAAAAAAACTCGCACAATGCGTTCGCAGTAGGTCATTTTTGTTTGTTTTTCGAACATTTCAATTTTTGTTCGGCGAAATTCGTTTTTTTGCAAATATCATCCAAAAAATTTTCAAATGTTTTGTATTGTTCGAAAATCGCAGAAAAAAAACAATTCGGTCACAATAGAGCGCATTTGCTCGTTTGATTTTTAAAAAAGCGAAATTAACAAATTTTGTTGCTGAAATTTCGCATATTCTTACCCAAACAGTCAATTATTATTCGCGAGACCAAATCGCCTTCAAATTTTTAAACGCGGATTTTTTTGACGAAAGTGAGAATTAAAGTTGAAATCATCAATTGCTTATTTTTCTTAGATTTATCAAAATTCATTTGCGGACAATTCTGGCCAATAAGAATTCATCAAAAATCTCAAATTTTCAATAGTTTCAAAGAAATTTTTGGGGAATTTTTGGATAAAAATGCCACGTGGATGAGCCAGAAGATTTTTCGACGTCGATTTGAGAAAAAATGAAGCTAAATGCAATTAATTCTCAAAATTGTGTTGATTAAATTATTCTTTAATTTGCTTATGAAAAAAAAAACCATTTGCGGACAATTTTACCTGCATATTCACAGCATTATTCTCGCCGAAAACGAGATAGCCGACGAGGAATGCGGCGGCGAACGAATGCCATTCACGGCGGACACCTGGAAAATGGCGAAAATCGGATTGTCGATGGCAAAAATTAGAAATTCAAATCAAATTTCTACAAAAACCATGTCGAATTTTTAGTAAACCTTCCGAATATCTAATGGTAATCTCCCTAAATTTGCTTGAATCCAACAAAATTTTGAGAAAAATTGGCAAATTTTCTCGATTTTTATGATTATTAGTAAAAAAATTTCAAAAACGGGAGTCGGAAGACGGAAAGTGGAACAAAAAATTTTTAAGATAATACGAAATACGGAGCGATTTTTTTAATGGAAAACGGAAAACGGAACACAAAGTTAATCTAACTCGAATATTTTGAAATTAACAGTGCAGAATGCGAGATTTTCCAAGTGCCCATTCAACAAAGGACCTTCTTTTTGTCGAACAAATATTTTTGGCTGTGGTTTTCAACCTTATTAGATTCGCTAGACGTGCTAGGTACATATATCAAGCGGAACACGAAAAACGGAATAAATTTTTTTACGGAATACGGAAAGCGGAACACGGAACAGGAAAATTTCACGGAAAACGGAAAACAGAAGACGGAATTCCGTGCAGCTCTGATCCCAATCAATTAAAGAGGGCTATAATTGCAGAAAATTGCATGGCAACAAACTAAAAAATTTAAATATTACCTTAAAAGGTGTTTTTCTAATCAAAACTAATTTTCTTTTTTTTTCGCAAGCTTTGAAATTGAGCATTAAAAATATTTTCATATCTGCTATTTTCGATTCTATTATTTATTGTTGAAAAAATTGCTTAAAATTATGTAAATACTATATTTTAAGCATGCTTAACTATTCCCAATAGTTTGGTGATGATTGGATGAGCCAAACCTGGCCAAAATCGTATATTTAAAGGACGGTAGTGTAAATGGTTTTGGTTTTTCGCACTATTTCATATCAATTTTTCGAATACAATCAAAACCTTCAATTTTTCCCAGTGTTCCTTCGAGCAATTTATAGGAGAACACGAATTTGGCGAGATTCGTCGCGTGCATTCGCGTTAACCGGAAGATCGTCTGCAGCTTCTGCGCCAGCGTCCCTTCGCCGAATAGAAACACCATGACGAGAGCGTGAGGCGCGCGAATTCGAACACCATACCTAAAAAAAATCGAAAATTATACGAAATTGAATTTTTTAACGAAAAATGATCAAAAATGTGATTTTACATTAAGAAATCTTGAGTTTCACTTAAAACAATTAAAATTTCTATTGAATCATTAGAATTTTCATTGATTTTTTTAACAAAAATATAGTAAAAATTCAATTATCACATGAAAATCTTTAAAAATTCAATGATTAATCAAAAAGTTTGAAAAGAATTGGATTTCTCCGAAAATCATTGAAATTTTCTTTGAAATTCCATCAATTTCGATGAAATTTCTCGAATTGTTCATATTTTTTCAAAAAAAAATTCAATGAAATATTAAAAAATCGCAAAAACATGAAAAAATCAATCAAGCGTTTCGAAAATTCGGCGTCCGTGCAAACACCGACGGTGCACATCGCGTACATTTTCGATACAGTACCACCAACAGTTAATTGAGCCAACTCGCAAAAACATGAAAAATTGCAATTTTTCGAAAGAAATTCTCATTAGAAATCAAATTAGCTAAGAAAAACCTTACACCAATCCATTTCGAAGTCCTTTTAATGCGGCTAGTAGAAAATGTTGATCCTTGAATTCATGCAAAAACGAATTTCCAATGGCTTCCCAATTTTTAATAACATATTGAATCGTTTCGGCCATCGGTACCACTGAAAACGGAATAAAACTGAGGAAACCAACTCTGTTATCAATTGTTTGGTTTTTGCATTAAAAATGATGGCATGATAATTTATGCGCTTCCGGGATTTGATTGGCGTTGAATTGAACGGGAAAATTCGAAATCAAAAATTGAGAAAACGCTTGAATATTGATAAAATCAACAGCTAGCGGTTTGAAAAGTACAGAAAAAATGCAAAAAATGTCAGTACTTTTAAGGTACTGCCACAATGTAGTCGTTTGGTGAGAGTCGGTGATAACGAAGAGACGCAGAGTGGCAGACGGTGGAGTCTCGTCGAGATAAGGAGTGTCATGAATCACAAAAAGAAATGAGGAGAAATGAAGCCAACTCGTCAGGGGTCATTTTGAGTACTGTAGTGGCGATTGAGAAGTCGTAGCTCTTAAAAAAATCCATCTGCGGACAATTTCAAATTTAAAGGGACATCGATTTTTTTTTGACCCATACAATATTATGCTAATTAAAACGATATTAATTATTTAATTACTTGGTCCTTTTATGGAATTTGTGAAGCCCGGCTCGAAAAAGAAGCTCGTAGGCAGAAAATTCGTCGAAATAATTTGAATCAGAAGACGATTCTCATCAAATTTCGATTTTTTGTGCGATTCGTCGTCAAATCAAATGCACAAGTCCGCAATGGTGCATTTTGACGTCATCATTCTTGATTTCAGCGAAAAAAAAATCAAAAATGCCCAAAAATAAACAAAATCGAAATAATTGCGGACTTGTGCGTTTTATTTGACGACAATTCATTTTTAAAATGTTTTTAATCGAAAAACCGAGCTTTATAATTATTATGCCACAAAGATTTTAAGAATTTTAAGAAAAAGATTTTAAGAAAAAAAAAATATTGAGAATTTTAGATGATTTTGGACCCCTCGAAGAAAAGAGATCTTTTTCAATATTTTCTAAGAATTTTGAAGTTTGAGATTCTTCGAATTTTATTTTCTGAGAATCTTGAATTTTAAAGAAAAAAAAATTTCAAGTGTTTGATGGGGAAACCGAATTTTTTGGGGGATTACATGAAATTATTCCATTTTTGGTTGCCAAATTTGGAATTTTAAAGGATTGAAATTCTAAGAATCGCTATGTAGGGGGCAGGAAGAAAAATACTTTAAAAACCTCAGCCACGGCCACGTTTTTTGGAGCCTACTGTAACACAGTTTTTCATTAAATCGTTGCAAGAATCATTTTAAAAAAATAATTATGGACCATCGCACTTTTTTAGGCGGTAATTCAAATCTGAAATCAAGCCCATCTTAAAATTTTTGCGAATGCATATGCGCCTTTAATCATAATATAAAAATAAGAACTGAAATCGAAAAACTTGAAATAAAAAAAAAACAAAATCGTTCCTATTAAAGGCACATACCCCAAAATTTTATGAGTCTCGCAGCGATTTTTAGGCTTTTTAAATTTTTTTTTCGAAATCTACAAACCAAAAAGATTTTTTAAAGGCAAAATATGCCGTATTTGGATTGGAATTTCATTCAAATGAAAACAAAAATTAGGATCCCTTTCCTCGCTTGAGAATAATATTGAAATTTGAAAAACAAGAAGCGATTGATGAGTAATTATTAGAACATTGCTTGGTTTTTTCTAGTATGACTCATTTTTCGATCCTGACCGACTGTAATCGAATCGATGATTCCAATGAGTCATGTTGAAAACGGTCCTGCAAAGAATCTAATCAATTTCTCGTATATTATTTGAAAATGGTAAATTATTAAGAAAGTTTATCGCAAAAATTGAGAAAACCGCAAGAAAATCCGCTCAAAAATGAAAAAATTGATAAATCCACAAAAAAGTTACCGTAACCAATTTCAAGGCGCATGTGAAATTTGAAAAACAATTTCACGCCTAAAATTTTCAAATTTTTAAAATGATCATAACTCACTTCAAAATGGTTCAATTCTTAAAATCAAAACATTAAAATTCTTAGAAAATTATGGAGAATTTTACATTATGTTTCAGAGAATATATACGTAATCGAAAATTTAAAGGCTCATCCACCTTTTTCGGCTTCAATTCATCCCTTTAAAGGCTCATGCTGCTTCCAATAGTCATTGTTTTTTTTTTTCAAATAAATCAAAAAACATTCTAGAAAACAATTCTCTGGACTCTCCTCGATTTCCCCTGTGCCTCGACTCCGCCTATTTCTTGTACGACTCCGCCCCTTTGTAACACTCTTGCTCATTCCACTCGCTTCATTTTCTTCATTTTCCACTTCTCGCAAACCCTAGTAGGTCTCGCAGCGAATTTTAAAGGCGCATTCTATTCCACCAAGCTCTGATAGTAGACCTCCCAAGAACTCGCTTCAAATGACTCATACGATTATTCTGTTTAAAGGCGCACAGTTTCAGCGCGAGCCGAATGTTCCAGCTGCCGTTCGTTGATCAACTGCGTTCGGCGGTCTCCTACAGCGCCATCGACGACTTCTCCGACGTGCTCAGCTGTTTCGCCACCGCCTTTCTGCTCATCTTCTTCGCCGTGTTCATCTCGGCGAAGACGTACGTCGGCTCGCCGATCCAGTGCTGGTTTCCGAGGACGTACGCGAAAGACTGGCAAGAGTACGCCGAGACGTACTGCTTCATCAAGAACACCCACCATGTTGGCGACGCCGCCCAAATCGACACCATCGACAGCGTCAAGGGTGCCGACAACAACGTGACCTACTATCAATGGGCCGCCATCTATCTCACCGTCATGGCTTTGGGATTTGTGGCGCCGAAATTGGTGTGGAAAAAGGCGCAGTCGATGTATGGTGGGTGAATTCGGAATCCGTCGGCACCATTGCGATGAGATTCTTCCAGAAATTCCGCTGTTGTACTTCTGCGAGACGGCCGCCGAGATCAAGATGAAGTCGAGCATCGAGATTGCCGAAAAGGTCCGCGAGATGGGCAACTATATGAAGAGCAAGCTGACGAATTGCGACAGGGAGATGAAGACCAAGTAACTCTTTCCATCTGCGGACCATCATGCGGGTTTCAGGTCCCATCTGGCAACCATCTACGTCGTCATCAAGTTGCTCTACCTTCTCAACATCATCGTCCAGTTTGTCGTGCTCAGCTTCTTCCTCGGACACAACGCGAATCTGTTTTGGGGCATCGACATCATGACGAATCTCGTGGGCAACGTCACCTGGTCGGACACGGGCATCTTCCCGCGAGTCACCTTCTGCCACTTCACCATCCGCACTCCGATCATTCAGCATCACGTCGTCCAGTGTGTGCTCGCCGTCAACGAGTTCAACGAGAAGATCTTCGCGTTCCTCTGGTATCGATTGTCCGCAGATGGCCTAGCATAATCGGATTTCAGGGTGTGGCTCATTCTCGTCGGAATCGCTACTCTCATCGGAATCATCATTGCTCACGATCACATCAACAGTCATCGATACCTCAAAGGTCTTCTGCATTCGATCGAGACTCCAGATGAGAAGACGTTGGCCAGATTCGCCAAATATCTCGGCAAAGGTGAATCGCGCTGAAGAGGCTTCTTCAATTGATTTCTCGAATTTCCAGACGGCCTTCTGATTCTCTCGTTCGTCAAATCGCAGAGTGACATCGTCGCTTCCGAACTCGCCGTCTTCATGTTCGACGCCTTCAAGAAGACTGGAATGAAGGCCAATGGCATTCTTATTCATAAGACCATTGCAACCGTCTAATTTCAATTGTCTCAAAATGTTTTTTTTTTTCAATTTTTCATTGTGAAAAAATCCCCCCAAAAATATGTTTAATCGACATAAATCGATTTAAAAAATCAATTAATTTCTGAATTGTTGAAAATCTTCGATGAAATTCATTTCGTATTCTTATTTAATCTCATATTAACGTGTTATTCAATCCTCAAAATCCTTTCGAATACCATTTTTGGTAAAAAAATTTTTTTGATCATTATGGCAATTTATTCAAACTCTCAAAATTCTTTTTTGTATGCATATTTTCATCACAGAAAAAGTTATAAACAAATGTTTAAAAATTTTAAAAAAATTGACGAGAAAATCGGTTTCAAAAAATTTCTGCGAAAAAATGAATTACAGTAACCAATTTCAAGGCGCATGTGAAATATTGAAAAACAATTTCACGCCTAAAATTTTCAAATTTTTAAAATGATTATAACTCGCTTCAAAATGGTCCAATTTTCAAAATGAAAGCTCTAAAATTCTTAGAAAATTACGGAGAATTTATGTACAAAATTTGGAAAGAATTGGCGAGATCGATGAAAATACTTTTTTTTCGGGTTGACCTTCGTCGAACTCGAAATCGAATTCTTCAAAATGCCACCAAATTAGCTAAAATTCGGCATAAGGGTGTCAATATTCATTAGTATTGTGTATTCAAATTTTCATAACGATTGAGGATTTCATTTGGTGAAATGCGGTAGGCGGGTATTCCGCCCAAACTCAGATTGTGTCTTTTTTCTGCTGTGTGCCTAATTTTTGCTCAATCGTTAAAAAAAACTTTTTAGGCTCGATTCTAATGCCCTTTTCGATTTCGACGAAGGTCGACCCCAAAAAAAAGTGTTTTCATCGATCTCGCCAATTTTTTCCAAATTTTGTACATAAATTTGCCACAATTTTCTAAGAATTTTAGTGTTTTCTTTTTAAGAATTGAACCATTTTGAAGCGAGTTATAATCATTAAAAAAATTAAATTTTAGGCGTGAAATTGTTTTGCAAAATTCCGAATGCGCCTTGAAATTGGTTACGGTAATGCATTTTTTTGCTGAATTTTTTCGAAAGCGTTTTTTTGCCGATTCTTTTGCAATTTTCACGATTTTTCCGCCGAATTTTCGATTCAACAATTTTTAAAACATTTCGATCCCAAAGCCAACAATTATTTCAGAAACTTGTTTTTCTTTTTTCTAGCAGAAATATAATAGATAAATTCAATTCAAGATTAATTTTTTCGAAAAAATTGAGCGAAAAAATCAAACTAATCGATTTTATCAAGCTAAATCTCAACAAAAATAGACAAATTAAAAGCCTAAAAACCCGGTTTTTCGCGTTTTCTGCACATAATCGTTGAAGAGTGCCTTGTGTGCGAGATTGGACCACGTGAGAGGCGCTTTGATGAACTGAATGCCGGCCGTCAGCATTCCTTCGCATCTGCAATCAGAATCAAGTTGTGGATATCGGTTCGCGTCGAGACCAACCCCGCCGAACTCTGTTGGCACATCTCGTTTTTGTCATCTAGTGTGGTCCCGAACGCCTCGCGACGGCACTGCTCGAGATTTCGCATCGTCTCGCGAGCTTCTAGTGCCCATGGTGCCAATTTTTGACCTAAAAATTCGACAATATTCAATTTTGATCATTTTTAGCAATGGAGCGCGTTTGCAACTTGGACATTATTTTTACAGCCAATTTTATTTTTTGCGATTTTCGACAAAATTGGAAAAAGTGAAAAAAATTGTTTTTTCTTTTTGAATTGAAAATTTTTAAAATTAAATTTCAAATATTCAAAACCCATTTTTTGGAGGTAATTTTAAAAAATAAATTTGCCAAGAGGCTACTGTAATCGCTTTCGCGTACGCAGAGTGCGTCGTCGGTGTTTGCACACAATTTTGAAAAACCAAATCAATTCTGTGAATAAAATTGAAAACGTTGACAATTTTCTTATATGCAATTCATGAAACTTAAATTTCGCGGGTTTCTTTCTCTCGAGTCCAATGGAGCGCACTTGCAACCAATTAATTAAATCTGCTTCAAAAAATTCAGAACTTCTCATTTTTTGACGAAAATTCAATTGTTTGGAAATCCCGCGAAATGTCGGTTTCACGAATTCTATAAGAATCTTCTTCTTTTTTGAGGTCTTGGCTTCCTAATTGATCTAATTGGGCTTAATTATAGGATTAATTAGCTCGTCGAAAATTCTCGGCGAACATTTTTTGATGAGATTTGTTCCCCAAAATTCGCGCCCTTAAATGTGGGGTCTCGCAGCGAATTTACCCGCCGATAGGAAAAAGCTCATTTCTAACAATTTTTTGGCATATTTCGAACATCAAAAATTCAAAATTGGAGTCAAAAAATGCCAATTATCGGGACCATCAAAATCAAAATCATAGGGAAATTGTCAATTTTGAGATTTTCGAAAAAAAAATCTTTGCTGAACCTCCAAATTTTCGAGCTCACCCTCAAATTGTTTCGAAGCTTCAAGTCGCTTCGCATAATTGTCGTGCATTCGCTGATTGAGGCGATGAAGAAGCGAATAATCGAACGAATTGTTGTATTCGACGGCCGGCGGATTCAGAAGACGTCGTTCGAATCGTCTGCAATTCTCATTTCAAAAATTGCATTTATTCACATCCTCCGATACATATAATTAGTCTAATTATCCCATTTGGTAATATATTTTAAATATTATTAAAAATTATCTATTTTTCTTTATAAGCAATTCATAAAACTTAAATTTCGCGGGTTTCTTTCTCTCGAGTCCAATGGAGCGCACTTGCAACCATTTGTTTTTGAGCAAAATTTTTAAAGAAAGAATGTCAGATTTTTTTTCAGAAAAATCAATTTTCATCTGATAGATTGCGTAATTTCTTTTTTTTTGCCTCCGCGCATTTAATACTCAGCCAACTCGTAAATCTACAATTACTCTCCAAAAGCCCCGCCCCTTTTCAATCAATATATTTTTAAAACTGTCTTTTTAATTGAATAAAATCTAATTTTTCGAATTTTAGAAATCGCAAACTCGATTTTTCGAAAAAATTCGTGATTTTTTGAGTTTCTGTTTGAAAATGACGCAACTCTGCTCCATTGAGACCCGCGAAATTTTGATTTCAAAGTAGAAGGGCCCATTTTAAGAATACTCTTGAAAACCCAAGTTTTTCCTTATATGCAACTCGTGAAACTCAAATTTCGCGGGTTTCATTCTCTCGAGTCCAATGGAGCGCACTTGCAACCAATTGTTTCTAATATAAATTCTCAAAAATATTCAACCAATTCGAATTTCCCCCAAATTTTTTGGCATCACCAAAAGAAGCGCGTCGCGCGACCGCGCCGCATCCGACATCGCTCACCTCAAATGCAAAAAGAGCAAATGCGGACTATCGAACATTTCAACGGTCGTATATTGCGTGTCGTCTTCGGAGACCTCATTACGGTAGACGGAGTGCATATCGAAGTGGATCACCTGAAGGCAATTATCATAATTAATTCTGAGTTGATGAAATCCATCTGCGGACAATTTTGAAACAATCAAATTTCACAATTTTTACCATTCTCATTAAAAAAAATGTTCGACGAGCTAATTAATCCTATAATTAAGCCCAATTAGATCAATTAGGAAGCCAAGACCTCAAAAAAGAAGAAGATTCTTATAGAATTCGTGAAACCGACATTTCGCGGGATTTCCAAACAATTGAATTTTCGTCAAAAAATGAGAAGTTCTGAATTTTTTGAAGCAGATTTAATTAATTGGTTGCAAGTGCGCTCCATTGGACTCGAGAGAAAGAAACCCGCGAAATTTAAGTTTCATGAATTGCATATAAGAAAATTGTCAACGTTTTCAATTTTATTCACAGAATTGATTTGGTTTTTCAAAATTGTGTGCAAACACCGACGACGCACTCTGCGTACGCAAAAGCGATTACAGTAGCCTCTTGGCAAATTTATTTTTTAAAATTACCTCCAAAAAATGGGTTTTGAATATTTGAAATTTAATTTTTACAAATTTTCAATTCAAATAGAAAAAAAAACAATTTTTTTAATTTTTCAAATTTTGAAAATAAATTTTCCCAAATAATAATTGGAAAACAGTTGCGTTGGAAAGTGTTCAATTTTTCAATAATCGATCTGCGGACAATTCGGGGGTTGAAAACGCATCGAATGGATGCAAACGCGCTCCATTTAGAAAGAAAAAGCGAAATTTAAGAGTTCCGTTCAAAAGGAATCCGAAAATTTTGAGCTCTTACGGCGAAATTGAACCCACCCGTTCGGGTCGATGGAAAATCTTCTTCGAAACTCGATAGTCCCAACGAATGTGCTCGATTTTGAGCACTTTGGCCAAATTGAGCTCGAATTGAACGTCGGCCGGACGCGAAATCGCGTCCCAATTTTGCTGAAAATCATGTTTTTTTTAAATGACGATCCTCCCAGAAATCATAGGTTCGTTTTCCAAAGAATGGTTGCAAATGCGCTCCATTGAACTACAACTAATTTGCCCCAATTTTTGTTCAACCTTTTGCGAGTTATCGTAATAACTCATTCACCGAACTGCCGTTATTTTATTGAGTTCGTGAAACCGACATTTCGCGGGTTTTTGAATTGGATGTTGCAAGTGCGCTCCATTGGACTCGAAACAAAGAAACCCGCGAAATGTCGGTTTCACACAAAATCGAAATATGAAAAGGAAACTGCCTACAGTAATCTCACTGCCGCAGAAATCTGAAACGAAAAATGAGATAATTGGCATAATTAGTCGTCTAATTGGATGAGAAAATTCTCAAATTTGGCAAGATTTTTTCTTGAAATTCAATTTTTTGGTTTCAATAATGCATTAGAAGGACGAAAATTGTCAATTAATTTCATTTTGAGCAGATTTGAATGTCAATGGTTGCAAGTGCGCTCCATTGGACTCGAAACAAAGAAACCCGCGAAATTTTGGGTTCACACAAATTCCATATAAAGAAAAACCAGTTTTTCAAAAATAATTCCAAATAACGCTTCTCTTGTATATAAAAATCGATCTACAATTCTTAAGTTGCAAGTGCGCTCCATTGAACCGCGCAGAAATGCGTCAAAAATTGACGGATTCTCATTTGATTGATAATATCTTAAAACTATTTATTCGAAATTTGGACATATTTTCGCGAAATTGCTCGAAATTCAGCATTTCTAAATGACTAAAATGTCCGCAGCACGAAATCGATATCAGAAATTCGCTATTTCGCTTTCGTTGTTTATGATTGGTTTTGAATTCGTGAATTTTCTCAAAATCTGATTGGATTACAAGAATTTGGCAGTCATCGAAGCAAATTTGCCGTTGAAAATTGTCCGCAGATGCGTGTTTTCAAGTGCTATTGCGATTTCGACAAATTCTCTTTTAGAAAAACCCACCTGCGGACAATTGAGGGTACGGGAATTCCAGTGAAACTCGCAAATCGTCAACGCACTCAAATAAAAATCCATCTGCGGACAATATGGTCGCATCAATTTTTTGGCGAAAATTGTCCGCAGATGGGAATTTTGAAAAGCGATTGGCGACCATCGAGTGGAAAAACATTTTTTGCGAGATTTTTTCGGTCTCATACCGGCTGATGCGTCAAAATCCAATCAATTTTGAATTGGGCGGCTTTCGGATGGCGTTTCGCCGCCGCTTCCAACGTCGTCGAAATATTCAAATTTGCCGCCAACGGTAGATCATCGAGATCGGTGTTCGAGATGAATTTGACGTGCGAGCGAGCGCGAAGAAGGCAGTCGTGCATGAAGGCGGTCGCCGCGTGCCGGAAAACTCTAAAACCACAAAAATCACCGAATTTCGAGCTTCTCATTCCAAATTCAGCCCTAAAAATAAATGCCATTTTTTTCAATGAATTTTCTCTTTTAAAAATTGCGTTATAAAATTTGTATCTCAATTTTTCAGTTAAAAAAATGCGATTTTTCGAATATTCATGAAAAAATCGCGATTTTGGCAAAAAATTGTCGAAAATTTTCGATCTTAAATCAAATTTTTGTCAATATTTTGAGAATATTCCCATTTTCGCTAAAAAATCTGCATTTCATCGAAATTTTTCAAATTCAAGCCGTCTCAGCACTGAGAGACTATTGCTACCGTAATCCTGTCTTGATTTTTTATCGACATCGTGAAACGTTTGTTTCGCGGGTTTTAGTCCAATGGAGCGCACTTGCGATCGAAATGGTCGAACAACCAATTTTTTGCGGAAACCCGCGAAATGTCGGTTTCACGAATTCGATATACAGTACCGCTCAAAAGGTTGGAAACTTTTGGTTTTTTGGGCATAACTTTTTTGAAACCAAACTTTTTTCCATGAACTTTTTTCCGATTGTTTCTTACGCAATTGCCGATATAATGAGCTATTAGACATGATTCGTGCTTACCAAATAAAGATTTTAAGCCATTTTTTTCAGAAATCCCTAAAAACACATTTTTTTGGATATGCAATTTATGTCAGTTATTTTAACCGGAAAGATAGTTTATCAACACAAAATCATTGGAAACTAAAATTATAAGGTTAATACTTTATTGTAAAACCTTGGGAGTCAATAACTGCCTGGCATCTGCGAGGCATGGAGTCGATCAAGTTGTCGATGACCGAGAGTGGAATCTTTTTCCATTCTTCTTCCAATTGTCAGAACTTTTCGTTCGAATTTGTGGCGGTTCTGCTTGCCACTCTTCTCTCCAACTCTTCCCACAAATGCTCGATGGGATTCAAGTCCGGGGATTGACTTGGCCAGTCCATAACCTTGATGTGCTGACTTGCGAACCAATCCTCAATTGATGAATATTTGAGAAAAAAAACGAATTTTCTTACTTTCACAAATTTGGAAGTGTGCTTTGGGTCGTTGTCCTGTTGGTAAACACAACCACGACCAATTGCCTTAAAATGCGGCAACATCTGCTTTCACAGGATCTCCTTATAGACGAAGCAATCCATGATTGTTTTCACATGGTGAAGCCTTTTCCGGAAAAGGCACCCCCAATCATGCAATTGCCTCCCCCGTGCTTTTCGGTAGGAGTTTGATACTTGGGATTGTATCGAGAACCTACAGGACGGCGGACCGATTGAATTCCGTCACTTCCAACGAGCTCTCATCCGACCAAAGAACACCATTCCAGTCAAATCGCGTCCAAATCAGATGTTGCTTATCCCACTCGTCCTGGCGTCGTCTATTCTTCTCCGAAATGAACGGTTTCTTCACTGGTCTTCTTCCGAATCATCCTGCTACTGATAAACGGTGTTTGATTGTTGATATCGAAACAGGCGATGGAGAATTGGCAAAAACTTCGCGCTGGAAAAAAGTTTTTTTACGGTGCCGTCATTCGCGGGTTGAATCTGGAGGTATGTACAATACTTCTATCAGTCGCACGATCTGTCACGCATAGACGACTAATATGGTACTTCTTTGGGACCCTTCCTTGAGTTTCTCATCTTTTCAAACATTTGAAAATGCAAGTTTTTGTGACATCAAACTGAGCGGCCAACATCTGCAGGGTTGCTCCTGTTTGACGCCCTGCCTAAATTGCCCGTTGTTGCTCAACAGTCAAGTTCCGCTTTTTTCAATAGTGGGCATGTCTAAAATTATAAAAAATAGTAACATCATGCAAAAAGAAGCACAGAAAAACAGTTTAAAAAAAATTTTGAAAAAAAATGAAAAAGTCCATAAAAACTTTAGACATAATTGCGTATGATAGGACTACCGTACCAATAATCTTCTGATTATATTTATCAATATATCTGAAAGTTTCACCTCGATCCATACGTTTTCGATCAAGTTATGCCCAAAAAACCAAAAGTTTCCAACCTTTTGAGCGGTATATCGAATTCGTGAAACCGACATTTCGCGGGTTTCCGCAAAAAATTGGTTGTTCGACCATTTCGATCGCAAGTGCGCTCCATTGGACTAAAACCCGCGAAACAAACGTTTCACGATGTCGATAAAAAATCAAGACAGGATTACGGTAGCAATAGTTTCTCAAAATTTTTTCAAAATGAAACTGACTATTGAAGGTATCATCATTTTGTGCTGCGGACAATAAGCGCTCGATTTTTGTCCGCAGCACGATTCGCATATGTCTCGACTCGAAAAAAAGAGCATAATGATAGATAAACCATCTGCGGACAAAAAAAAAACGAAAATGATCTACCTCGCGTTGGGATCCTTGAAATAATCGCCGCGTTCTCGCGCGTGCACCGGCAAATCGCTCCACTCGATGAGCTCCAAACGGTCGCCGAGCGTTTTCGCGTAGAAATCGAGCACCGCTTTCGTCTGCCTACACACACACACAAACGATAGACATTGGCGAAACCCGCGAAACGTCGGCGGACGGACTGGGCTTGGGTGGATTACCTCGTATAGCTGTGCACGTAGAAGTAGAATTTGGTGGCGCCTTGCGCGAGCCACGACTCGAAGAACTGAATGATGATGGTCCAATCGGTGAAGAAGAATATCGGCTGAACGCAAACGCCGACGAGATGCTCGTAGGCGGCGCTCGGCTTCGGTCTGACGTCGTTGACCGCGATCGGCGTGTACTCGTCGCTCAGCTCGACGCTCACGTGCACCGTCGACATCGACGGCGTCGTCGGCGGCAGACGCACGATGCCGATTCGCGTCGCCATCGTGCAGAACAGATAGTCCATGCATGTCGCGTTGAAGCAGAACCATTCGATCGGCTGCCAACCGCCGCCCGGAATTTCCGCCTTCAGACTGATTCTGGAAGTTTCTGAGGTCTTTTTTAACGTAAACGTGGAGTGTCGTAGTTTCCGCTAAAACCAAGGCTATTCGACATCAGTCTTCCGCTAAAATCAAGACATTCCATTCTTTTTTTTGATCTACCAAAATATGAAGGCAATTCCAAATGTCATCGTTTCTTCACAGACTAGCAAATCAATTTTCATTTTTGATCTACCTTTAGTTTTATTTTTTTGCGATTTTTACTCTTATAATCAATAATTGCACTAAATACAAAAATTTGACTTTTGATCTACCAAAATTCTTCATCATTTCTTCTTAAAGGCGCATAAGCGTAAATTCGGAGTCTCGTAGTTTTTTTAAAGCGATTTTCAAGTGTCAAAAAATTCGCTGAAATCAAATTTAAGAAATCAGACATTTTTGATCTACCAAAATGAATGAAACTAGTTTTTTGTAAATTTTTACAATTTTCAAATCTGCAAAATCAAGACAAAAGTGTCGCAACACTGTTTTGATCTACCTAACAATTGTTGATCTACCAAAATCTACAAAAGTAGTTTTCTTTAATTCTTTTTTAACAATTTTCAAATCTGAATAGTTAATTATTCTGCAAATTCAAGAAAAAAGTGTTGTAGCGCGTTTTTGATCTACCAAAATGAATGAAACTTGTTTTCCTTGAATTTTTGCAATTTTCAAATCAGCAAAATTAAGGCAAAAGTGTCGCAGCACTGTTTTGACAATTTTTGACAATTTTTGATCTACCAAAAGTTTTTGACAAATTTCTACCTGAATATTTAATTCATCCGTCAAAAAAGTGTCATAGCACTATACATATTTTTTTTTGATCTACCTATTATCGTGATTCTCGAGATAAATGATGCGAATCTCGTCGTCGGCGACGCGATACGCATCGCGAACATAGATTCCGGCGAGACTCGTCGGCGGCGACGACGATTTGCGCTTCATCCACGCCTCCTTCAAACTCAAATCGCGCTTCAGACGCACTTCCGACGCGTTCGGCCGCATTCCGACGCTGATCTCGTGCTCGTTCGAGTCGGCCGACGTCGAGAATGAGTTGAATACGAGCACTGCAATTCCATTTTTTGTGGCAACATTGAGGAATTTCAAATTTTCGTCAATTTTCTCCCCATAATTTATACTAATTATCTCTAATTTTTCATATTTAGCGGATTATTTGCTCAGAGGAATCGTATTTTTCTTAGAATTTTCGCGTTTTTTTCTTCGAGTCCAATGGAGCGCACTTGCTGCCGTTTTTTTAAGTAGGCACTTTATCTCAAGTTTGAAAAATTTTCTAGTTGAGAAAAAGTAAAATAAAGCACAATTGACTAAAAATTTTCCAATTTCATAGCGAAGCAGTTGCAAGTGCACTCCATTGGACTCGAGAGAGAGAAACCCGCGAAATTTGAGTTTCACGAGTTGCATATAAGGAAAAACTGGGGTTTTCAAGAGTGTTCCTAACCTCGGCCCTTCTACTTTGAAATCGAAATTTCGCGGGTATCAATGGAGCAGAGTTGCGTCATTTTCAAATAGAATCTCAAAAAATCACGAATTTTTTCGAAAAATCGAGTTTGCGATTTCTAAAATTCGAAAAATTAGATTTTATTCAATTAAAAAGACATTTTTAAAAATATATTGATTGAAAAGGGGCGGGGCTTTTGGAGAGTAATTGTAGATTTACGAGTTGGCTGAGTATTAAATGCGCGGAGGCAAAAAAAAAGAAATTACGCAATTTATCAGATAATTGATTTTTCTGAAAAAAATTTGACATTCTTTCATATAAAAATTTTGCTCAAAAACAAATGGTTGCAAGTGTGCTCCACTGTCCGGTTCCGTTCATGTCGGATACCACTACGAAAATAATCAAGACATCAGTTAGACAAGTTGACTTGGATGTCGCTGTAGTAGAACTTAAAGGTAAATCACTTAGGGACATCCTTATCAAAAATCGTATTTTTGATGTTCGATGTGAGGGTAGAGGGTGCAAGGTTTGTCCGGAGCTGGGAGTTGTTACTTGTACCATTAAAGGAGTCATTTATGAAATCAAATGTGGTTGTGGAAAGAGTTACGTCGGCGAAACGGGTAGGCCTTTGGCCTCTCGTTTCAACGAACATGCTAGAGCTACTTTGAAACCAAATCTAAAATCATACAAAAACACGGTTTGGTCTAAACACTCATTTGAAATTCATAACGAGGAGCCGTTTCAACTTTCTATTAAAATACTAGATATTGAGAGGAACACAACTCGTCGAAGAATACTGGAAGGAATTTATATTAAAACCAAAAATCCTGAACTGAATACTAAAGAACAACTTATAGATTTGGTCTTGGGAATTCGACGGGATTTTTCTTAGTCATGGCTAAAAAAACTTTTCTAAACCTATCCTCTATTTTTTCGAAAAATTGTTGATCTCCTTACATCATCACAATAACGCTGACTTAGATATTTTTTTGTTTCTTGATTGATACTTACAACTTGGAGATCACTACAAGAAGAGCTGAAGGAGCCGTTATCACCCCGTGGTCCACCCAAGCCAAGGACCGCACAGCTTGGAAAGCTGTGGTTCGCGCCTCAATAGGCGAAGGACGAAACGACTAAGTAAGTAAGTAACTAAGTGACTTACAACTTAACTCTCGCCGTTTATTCCTTTTTTGACCCATCTATTACTTATTATCTTGTAGGTAAATTGAACTTCCCTAATGTTGATCTAAAGATCGAAACGTTGGAGAAAAACATTTAAATAGTGTGCAAGACAATTAAAATGGTCCTATCAAGAAGATCTCTTCTACTTAACAATAATCCACACGAGGCACTCAAAACAAGTCGCTCCACAACTCACAAAACTAATTTATATTTCAATTTTTCTTCGAATCCGATTGATTTTCATTTTCATGAGCTTTTTTGAATTCACAGTCAGTTAATCTGTGGTGATCGCTTCTTCATAAAGATTAATGCTGAATCGTGCTGCGGACACATCGAGCAGGATGGAATTGTCCGCAGCACGGATTCTAGATGGCCATGGATTTTCGGTTCTTCGGGGGCTCGAAAAACATTTAAATAGTGTGCAAAACTCACAAATTAAAAGGGTCCTATCAAGAAGATCTCTTCTACTTAACAAAAATATAAATTATTAACCTGTTTCGATTGAAAAATAATTCAATTTTTTTTTTGATTAAGAAAACGCTTAAATTCGATTGATTTATTTCTCATTTTCAATTTTGAAATCGGAATTTTAAAATGTTTCGAAACAGATTAATTCACATTCAATTTAGATTGAAAACGAGATTATTCTCGAATCCGATTTGATTTTTATTTACCTGAGAGCCAGCTGCGGACAATTGGCGGGATTTTGACGAATAAAATCTTAGCAAGTTTTCCACATTGACGCGGAAATTCAAAAAAAAAAACGTCAAGTGTTCCTTTAAAGGTCTTTTTTATTTCAATTTTTCCTCAAAACATCGAAAAAAAATTCAAAAACAAGATTTTTAATAATTATCTCATCTTCAACCATGTTCCTTTAATAACTACCGTAATCCAATTCGCCTCCATCAATGGATTACGGTAGCACTAGTTATTAGTGAAAAAAACTCAGAAATTTTTGTGTAATAAAAAAACAAATTATGAACCTTTAAAACCTACAGTAATCGTTTTTAGACGTTCACCAGTTTTTCATTTAATCTCGAAAAATCGAAAAATCAAAAATGAATGAAAAATATTAACCAAAGATGGTCATCAGATGCGCCAATTTTTTTTCTCGTCAAAAAATAGACGCCCAAAATTTGTGCTAGATTTTGAGGTAAAAATTGGAGTGAAAAAAAAAACGGCAAATCGATGATGGGCGAAATTTGTCCGCAGATGGAAAATATAGCAAATATACATTTTTTGGAATAAAAAAAACTGTAAGAATTCACAATAAATGCCAAAAAATAACATTTTTTGCGGAAGAAATTGTCCGCAGATGGAAAAAAATAAAGGAATTTCTAGTTTGTTTTGCGATTTTTCTTAAAATGCTCAAATTGGTGAATATTTTCTGTCAGATTTTGTCCGCAGATGGAAAATATTGAAATCAATTCATGAAATAAAAAAAGAGATTTTAAAAATTCACATTAAAAATAAAAAAATCAAAAATTAACCCAATTTTGTTTTTTTTTCAAATTTCCGCCAAAAAAGAATTTTTGGCAAAAAAAAATTGTCCGCAGATGGAAAAAAATTAAAGAATTTTCAGATTGGTTCGCATTTTTCTGAAAATGCTCAAATTGGCGAATATTTTCCGTCAAAATTTGTCCGCAGATGGAAAATACTTAAATCGATTTAAATCTTATTCTTTTCTTGTTAAAAAATGGCATTTCATCAAAAATTGCCGCCAAAAAAATCTGGTGACAATTTTTTGAGGAAAAATTGGTTCTTTTTCATCTGCGGACAATTTTTTCCTAAAACATGGAAAACAATAAAGGAATTTTCAGTTTGTTTCGCATTTTTTCGCGAAATTCTCAAATTTTGATAAAAATTAAATTTTTCAAAAAAAAAATCACTGAGAAAACTACCTAAAATGGTCAGAATAATAAGCGCGACGGCGATCGCGACAAGCACTTTTCGATTTCGCCGCATTGCGTGCCAATCGTGTGCGTGTGTTCGGAGCGGACTGAAGCAGTCGACCGACGACGACGACGACACCTGCGGGTATCGTGCGATTCGATCTCCGATCGAACCTGATCCGCTGCCACGACACTATTTAAAACAGACAAGAATGAAGCTGAACGAGAAGCTTTATTTCAACACGACTGACGACAGTTTGAAGAAGAAGAAAAAAATTATGCTATCCGCGCGACGCCGCTTAGAAAATCGGTCTTGCCCATCAGCTGCGCGATTCCCGTCGAGACGCCCATCTGCAATTTCTCATAAAATCAAACATCGCCGAGACAACGAATTGCGCCTTTAAACGTTTTTTTTGGAAATTGCATTTAAAGGCGCATGCGTTTCAAATTGATAGTGTGGGTTGAAAATGGGCGAGTACTACTACTACCATTGTCTGAGCCTTGGTCACTAATTTTTTAAATTAAAATCGTGGTGAGACCTTAATTAGTTGCTTGAACCAAACTTGGCATTTTTTTCATTTATTTTTTGGTCGAAAAAATTCTTTGGAAATACAAAATTGCTGAAATTTTTTTTTCAAATTCAACGACAATTAGAAGCAAGAAATGAACGAGATTGTGTGCCAAATGAATTCATCAAAATAAAACTTTGGTGGAAAATTCCGAAAATCGCAAAAAAATCGGCAAAAAACCGAAAAAAAAATGGATTTCCACAAATTCAAAATGAATTACAGTAACCAATTTCAAGGCGCATGTGAAATTTTGCACAACAATTTCACGCCTAAAATTCAAATATTTGAAAATGATTGAAACTCGCTTCAAAATGATCCAATTCTTAAAATGAAAACACTAAAATTCTTAGAAAATTGTGAAGAATTTATGTACGAAATTTGGAAAGAATTGGCGAGATCGATGAAAACACTTTTTTTAGGGTTGACCTTCGTCGACCGCAAAATCGAATTCTTCAAAATGCCACCAAATTAGCTAAAATTTGGCATAAGGGAGTCAATAGGCATTATTATTGTGCCTTCAAATTTTCATAACAATTGGGCAAAAATGGGGCGCACAAATGAGAAGTGTAAAAATTTTGTTGCGCGGACTCCAAAACGCGACCTTCCACAGATAAACGGCAGCATAGGCACAATGGAAGCATAATGGAACGGCTGTGGATATCATAGGAATCTTATATGCAAGTTATATGGAAGCATAATGGAAGCATTTTTTTGCGGAACCGCGTGTTTCGTATATGGAATGAGCCGTATGCCTTCCATATGGGAAAATAAGAAAACAATTTGATTGCTGTATTCAAAATTTATTTCATATTAACACATTTATTTAATTTAAAATAAAAAAAAACAACAATGAAATGAATTTCAATTAAGATATAATCAAACCATTAGTTACTGGCAACTGCCGAACTATTCGAATCATTGTCAGTACTGACATCGAGCGGGACGCTGTAATAAGTAGAATTCATATCGTTCACACTTGGTTAAAAAGCCGTGTTATGATATTTTTAAAAACAACAACTATTGCTAAGAAATTAGGCAAAAGTCCTAATGCACATTTAACCTATCCTTTTTTCGCAAATATACGCTTGTAGAAAGAAACCGTTATCGAATTTTTACCTTTTCTCCACTTTTCCTAGTCGCTACACTTCGATTATAATGGGCCTATTAATTTGAAAAACTTGTAAACCATTGTTACGTAAACTAAATTTTTCGAGAAAATACAATCAGTTTTTTTTTACATCAATAATTTTCTTAAAAATAAAAATAATTTATTTTTATTGCATTTTTGGAAACCCTTTAGTGCACAAAATAAAAAGTGAATTGGCGGAAGAAAGAACAACTCCAAAATTTGAAGCAAAAAGGCATTTTGGTTAAAATTTCAAAGACATATGAATACTCACATCTGAGGGTTGCTGGTAGAATCAAGCAGCTTCCTTAATTGCGCCGCGAGCGCTTCCGGCGCTACACCAAATTTCCTTTATAGTCGTTGGCGCATTCTATCGCTTAATCAAATAAATAAATTAATAGTCATAGCTCAAAATCTTACAGAAGATTATCCATGACTTCTCGAACCATGCGTAATGCTTTCGCTTTGAAGTCATTTGTCGGTTGTTGCCCAAAGCCATGGATAAGAACATCTGTAATATAGATATTTGCAATAAAGTATAGGATCTTTATATAGTCGGCGTCTGGCGACTTCTGTACTAGAGCCCCACTTAAAAAGATAAATGCCACTGAATGATATTGGTACGAAGGCTGTACGGCAATCGGAAATTTCGGCGATTCGGCTAATGGCAAATTACCGATCGAAATTTTCTTCGGCAATTTGAAAAACCGGCAATTTCGGCAATCGGCAATTCCATTGCCGCACAGCCCTGATTGCAACCAAATAATCAACAAGCTTTAAACTTAGGAAGTACTTTATAAAGACTTCATTGCGCATATTTTTCTAATTGAAACCATTTCTGGAGTCGAACAGGCCAATTTTTGATGATAACAACTTACAAATTGCGCGTACGAAGGTTTAGGAATTGGCGTTGATTTTGTTGTTTGTGAGGACTGTGGAGAAAAATTTTTTTGCTGAGTTGGCGAGTAAATTGGACTATCTGGATCTGAAGTGTCGAGCGAATTTGGTTCCATGTTAGGGACTTCTGGTTCTTTGTTATTGACTTCTAGAGCAGTTTCAGTTATATCTGACAACACTCTCGATCTTGTCTTCATCTGTAAAAAATTTCAAAACATTATGTTTTATTAAAAGAAAAAAGCGAGCGATAATAAAAAATATGTTAAAGTAAATAAAAATAAAACGGATTCGATGAGAAATTAAACACAATTCGATTGAGAAAATATTTAAATTCGATTTTAAAAGTGTCGGAAACGATTTGAAAACATCGTATCGATTTTAAAATTTTCGAATGCTATCAATTTATTTTTGGTTTCGATTTTGATGATAAATATGAAAATTTTTCCTTTATTTTTTAAAAACATTTTTCCTTTAATTTTGAAAAAAATTCTTTAACTGTTGACAAAAAAAAACAAAAACAAAATAAAAAATTCATTATGAAAAAGCAAAAGGACAAAAATTTTGAAAACGAATTTCGAAAATGTGAGGCGTGGCCGCATTGTGCAAAGCGGCGCACGGTTTTGCAATGCTGCGGCACGCCTCTTCTACGCGCGTCTGCTACCAGTTTGGAGCAAATTGTGAGTAGTTTGCGATGCCAATTTCGGAAAAACCGGCAAAAATATATTAATACGACTAAATTGTAGTTGGCAATCTTTAAACAAAGTGAGGAACAGTTGACTGAATTAACATAAATCTGAGTAACATAAGTCATTAAATGGTAGAAGCTAAATTTCGTCCGTTGTGTATCATGTAATTTTCAAATTTCATAAGTTAAGTAATTGCAGTAATAAGTAATAAGTAATAAGTAATTGCATAAGTTTTTTGTATTGATTTTTCTAGAAATTGTCTTGGTCTGCCGTCCAGACGCCAATTGTATAATGTTTATTGACATATGATTATTTTATCCATATTCCATCCATATTTGTTCCACGGCTCGCAAACACCGGAAGCATATTCATCCCGTTTTCATTCCATCCATATTCGTCCCATAATTCTTCCACAGCCACTAAGAATTACATTATGCTTCCTATATGGAAGCATTATGCTTCCGTTCCACAGATTTCCCACAATGCTTCCATTATGCTTGCGTCGCGCTTAATCAGTGTTCCGTGAAATGCGCGCGCAACAACACCACTCGGCCACTCCCTCCACCAATAGCTGTGTGGTGATTGTGTATAAGTGTTGGGAGGAATCGAATGAATTCAGAGAAAAGTTATTCCACGAATTTCAGAGCGTGACATCCTTCGAAAATTCTCACCTTTCTCGTAGCCTCTCTGGGTTTTCCCTTGATCATTAAATACCCAAAAAAGGCGATATCTTTTTCGGGTGTCTTCGCAACAAACCACGACCTGAACATAAACGCTCATGTTTCTTTTTTTTTGATCTACCACCTCTCAACTTTGCCGCTCAACACATCGTGATGGTATTTCTCGAGCGAGTTGTTGCAGCACAACGTCGTCAACAGAATGATGATGGGCAGTAGGATGAGCGCGATGAGCACGATGAAGCCCTCGTTGAGGCGGCATCGACACACCATCTCGATGCCGTTGTAGATCACAAAAATCGAGAGGAAGACGGTGCCGGCGACCAGCGCGAGGCTCAACGCCGCGCAGAACACCATCGCGATCCATTTGACGAGCAGAATCGAGAAGATCAATATTCGCGAGAGGATCCAGCGAATGAAGGCGATGAGACCCTCCTGAATGCCTACTGTAGCAATTGTTTCTACTAGGCGCCTTTAATGATCTACCGTAACCCATCAAACATTATTACTAATCGGCGAGTTGGTGGTTGGTTTTTTTTCGTCCGCAAAAGTGCGTCGTCGTGTGGCTACCGTAATCCCAACCAATTGCCAATTGCATTTATTTCAATTTTTTCTGCGTTTTTCTTTTTCAACGATTTCTTTTATCAGAATAGACATCGATGGATTACTGTAGCACTAGTTTAACCATTTTCTACCATATCCCTTTAATGGTTACCGTAATTTCATTCATACTGTAGCAATAGTTCAAACATTTAGTTTCCTGTTGTTGTTGTTTTTTTTCTAATTCTACAGTAACCTACTTCTACAGTACTCTCTGCTACCATACTCCTTTAATGTCTACAGTAATCTAATTGACCTCAACCGGATTAGGATTACGGTAGCACTAGTTCAAATTGAACAAAAATAAATTTGAAAAGATTTTTCTAGAGCCTAAAATTACTGTATTACAGTAATAAATATTGATGGATTACTGTAGTTCAGCATTTCAACATTTCAAATTGTAAAATATTCTGTCATGCTCCTTTAATACCTACCGTAAACCAATTCACCTCATGGATTACGGTAGCACAGAGGAAAAAAGAACGACTCGCGAGAGAATCATGCGCTTTTAAAACCTACAGTAAGCGCCTTTAAAACCTACAGTAATCATGCGCCTTTAAAACCTACAGTAATCGTGCGCCTTTAAAACCTACAGTAATCATGCGTCTTTAAAACCTACAGTAATGGTGCGCCTTTAAAACCTACAGTAATCGTGCGCCTTTAAAACCTACAGTAATCGTGCGCCTTTAAAACCTACAGTAATCATGCGCCTTTAAAACCTACTATAATCACGCGCCTTTAAAACGTACTATAATTATGCGCCTTTAAAACCTACAGTAATCGTGCGCCTTTAAAACGTACTATAATTATGCGCCTTTAAAACCTACAGTAATAGTGCGCCTTTAAAACCTACAGTAATCGTGCGCCTTTAAAACCTACAGTAATCGTGCGCCTTTAAAACCTACTATAATCACGCGCCTTTAAAACCTACAGTCAGCATGCGCTTTAAAACCTACAGTAATCATGCTCCTTTAAAACCTACAGTAATCTTACCCTTGGAACGACAGGCACCTCAGGCGACTTCTCAACAAGAACGTCTTCAACCATCTCGACCTCCTCCACATTGATGCGCTGAAAATTGAGAAGCGAGCTCGTCCGACACCGATGGCCGAACGTGGCGATGAGATGCGAGGCGGGCGGCCGCCGATCGGCATCGATCTCGAAGATGGTGTCGACGAGCTCCGACACGTCGCGGCCGGCGTTCGGCAGAAGCGCAACGCTGGTGAACGCCAACTGATTCTTGCGCCAATGGCGTATCAGTTCCTAGAAATGCGTGCTGCCGACATTTCGCGGGGTTCGTTCGCCAACGGCCTTACCCGATGCAATTTGTCGCCGTGGAAATGCAGAAAATGGTCGGAGAACGGCGCCGAGCGAGTGAGCATCGTGACGAGAGCACAACCGGCGGCCCTTGAATGGAAATTGTCTCAAAAGGGGACCGGGTCCCAACATACCAAACATCCGATGCCGGCGTCAATTTGGGAAAGTCGTCGAACACTCCAAACGCTTCTGGAGGCGAACTGAGAAGCGCTTGACGCTTCTGAACACACGGCAGCTGTTTGACGAGCATGTCGGCCAGGAGGATGTCGTTGGACAGCGTGATGAGCATGTTGGACGCTGAAAACGATTAGCGAATGTCGTCTGCGGACATCGTTGCGGTTCGACGCACTCGTCACTTTTCCGTGCACAATTCCCTGCTCGTGAAGGTAGTTGAGCGCGTCGAGCACTTGCAACGTGTAGCGGAAAGCGACCAACTGCAAAAACCCGGTGAAGTGTCCGCAGATCGCATTTTTTATTTTGGTTGAGGCGATTTTGAAATTCTTTTGCAATTTCGATTTCGCCAAAAATCGCGCTAGAAAAACGTGCTGCGGACAATTTCAAGGTTGCTCAAATTTAAAGCTTTTCAGCGATGAAAACTATTTTGAGAAAAAGTGATTTTTGAATAAATGAGCATTTTAGCCTTCGTTTTAAACACGTGTCCAATATATGTTTAGCGGCGAAACCCGGTAAACTGTCCGCAGATCGCATTTTTTATTTCGCGCAATTTGTTCGAGACGATTTTGAAAATTTTTCAATTTCGATTTCGGCAAAAATGGGGTCTGTTATTGGAATTAAATGCCCAAAAAGGCTTTTTCGGCAATTTCTTTCAACAAAAATGACAAAATCGAGGTTTCTCCTCGATTTGCGAAATCCCTTATAAATTTCGTGCTGCGGACAATTTCGGCGACACAATTTCGCTAGAATGGCTTGAAAATTGCAATTGAGGAACACGTGCTGCGGACAATTTCAAAGCTTTGAATACAAAAGTGTTTTTTGAATAAATGAGAATCCTAGCTGCCGACAAACTTTCGTTTTAAACATGTGCCCAACCCGGACAATGTCCGCAGCACGTTTGAAATGAAATACCACTTTAAACGAGCAATGATTGAGACGCTCATCAATAATCGATTGTTATCGATTTCGTGCTGCGGACAATTTCCGCGCGTCGAGATTGTCCGCAGCACGTTTTGCACATCACCATCGAACCTCATTGAGGGCGCCTTTCCGCAAATGGTCGGCAATCGTGCCCGTCGGCACGTGCGTCCGAAATATGAGCAATTGATCGTCGCGCCAATGGAATCCGTAGATTCGCGCCAGGCGTTTGTGGCGCAACTCGCACAACTTCTCCAATTCGTCTCGAATTTGCTGCTCGTCGTCCGGTGTCTCAAAAAATCGACTAATTATCGTCGCGAGACCAAAAAAAATTGTTTTGACAATTTTTTGATTCTTTTTTTTTGAAGAAAAAATTTTGGAAAAAATAAATTGGAGATTTTCTGGGAAAATTCGTGCTCGAAATGACAATTACCAATTTTTAAGACCAATTTTTTTTGTTGCAGAGACTTTTTTCTAAAATTCCACCCACCCCAACGTGCGGTAGATCATAAATCTCGAGTGGATGGTTTTCTCTTCTTCCTTATATGCACTATCAATTTTTTGGCGATTTGTGATCATTTCAAAAAATCGAAAAAAAAATTCGACGACGACGACATCGTGACGTCATCGAAATTTGAACCAACTGAAACCCGACGTGTTCCGGTTTTGCGGCGTTTGCAGAGGAAAACCGCCTCGTCGTTGTCGATAAGGAAGCAGGACTTCAATTTGGGGGGGGGATGCGCCTTTAAATTGGGTCTCGAAACGCGTCCCGATTTTTCGGACTCTCATATTCAAAGCGCCCATCCGATCATCAAGAATTGGTCTCGAGTAGAACACCGAAATTGTGCCAAGCTTCCAGGAGGAGGGTCCCGAATGGAATTGGATTACTGTAGCTCAACTGGTCGATGTTTCGGAATTTCGAGAATTTCCTCATAAATCATCGAACATTTCAGTTCATTTTTTTTGGGAAAAAACTCGTTACAAACTATTTTTGGCTGAAAACGAATGGGATTTTCAAGGTTATGCGCCTTTAACACTTCTTCGAAAAACGACAACACCGTGCGTTTTTTTTTTGAGGTTCCAGGCGGACAAATTGCCGAAAAACCACCCGAAATGTCCATAAATGGAAGTAAATTGGCATAAATTGGTCTATTTTCCCAATTTCCTTTCCTTATTGTGATTTCGACAATTTTGGCGATTCTCATAAGCGATTTGTTATGTGTAATAAAAAAGAAGTGGCTGCTGACGTAACACATCACCGCCATTTGTGTCGCCTCGCTCAAGTGTCCCAATAGTCTAGTGGTTCGCTTTTGCAATTTCAAGTGCTTGGTGTCGCGAGTTCGAGTCCACCCCGTCTCGAAACCATTTTGCAGCGATACCTTTCGATCAAAACTCCACTCGACAACCGTATAATAAGCCATCGTCGCCGAATTCACATACTTGCTCGTCTTGCAACACTTGTGGCGTTCGCAAATTGTTCCTGAAAAAAAAAAAATCAACGAATCGCGAATTTTGTGGAAGTGGCAAAACGGAAGAATTCGTAGCGTCGGAAAAAATCGCAAAACCGGTTTTTTTTTTCAAATTTCTAATCAACAACAACACCCCAGAACGCCCGCTCGCTAATTTTTTTTTGTCTCGAACCAACACGGAAAAAAAAACGAATGCCGAGATTTACCAGCAGTAGTCGATCACTTCCTCATTGGGCTATCAGGGGGACAGGGGGGAAGCGTCGGGGGAGAGGAAGGGGAAGGGGGGGGGGCTTGGGTTACCCCGTGTCACCGGAAAACCGAAAAGTCGGTCAGGACAGGGACTATAAAACGAGCGACGCTTCGAGCGATTCCTCACTTCCAGTCAAGTCATCATCAATCAGAGGTAAGTCGATCAGAGTCGACGCGTCATCCAATCGACATTGCAGATGACTTCTGAAGACACCAAAGTGATCGCCTATGAGACGGAGTCGCTTCGAAAGCTGGCGTTTTTCGGTGAGTCCAATGAGGGGGTCCGAATTGAGCATTGATTGACTTGTGCATAGGCATCGCCGTCTCGACGATCGCCACACTGACGGCCATCGTTGCTGTTCCGATGCTCTACAACTACATGCAGCACGTGCAATCGTCGCTTCAAACTGAGGTAGACATTGATCGCTGCGAGGATGGCACCTCGTTGATTTCAGGTCGAGTATTGTCGGCATCGATCCAACGGCCTCTGGGACGAGTATGAGCGATTCGAGAGCGTCGCAGGCGTCGCCGGTCGCATCAAACGATTCGCGCCGCATCGGCGAAGCGCGAGCGGCGCGGCGCCGTCGCGTCGTCAGGCCTACGCGGACGAGTGTTGCTCGTGCGGTGTCGGACGCGCCGGACCGCCGGGATCGCCGGGACAGGACGGCGCGCCGGGCAACGACGGACAACCGGGAGCGCCGGGCAATCCGGGACAGGACGCCGCCGACAATCAGGTCGCCGGACCCGACAGCTTCTGCTTCGACTGCCCCGCCGGACCGCCGGGACCGCCGGGACCGTCGGGACCGAAAGGCGCGTCCGGAAATCCGGGAGCGCCGGGACAATCGGGTGGCGCCTCGCGTCCGGGACCACCGGGACCGCCGGGACCGCAAGGACCACCGGGACAGCCGGGACATCCAGGAAACGCCGGCGCGCCGGGTGCGCCCGGACAACTCGTCGACGTTCCCGGCACACCGGGTCCCGCCGGACCGCCGGGACCACCGGGGCCAGCCGGCGCGCCAGGACAGCCGGGCGGCGCCGGACGCGCGCTCCCCGGACCGCCGGGACCACCGGGAGACGCCGGAGCGCCGGGCGCGCCGGGACATCCGGGAGCGCCGGGACAGCCGGGAGACGACGGAGGACAAGGCGGACAGGGCGCCTGCGATCACTGCCCGCCGCCAAGAACCGCGCCAGGATACTAATTTCGACACCATCTTCATCCTTCTTGTCTTTAATCAAGTGTACTTTAATAAAAATTCAGGCATTTCAAAAAAAAAGCGACTCTGTCCTTCTTTTTTGCGAGAAAAATTGGGCATTTGATGATTTGATGCCGAAAAATGGTTTGCTGAAAATTGTCCGCAGCAAGAATGCGATTTTTAAAAATATTCTCGGTTCTGAAAAATATGTACCAGTGTCGTGAAACTTTCACTTTCGATATATCATTTACGTGCTGCGGACATGCTTCGAGGTCGGATTTTTCCAAAAGTTGGCCAAGAAATTGGAGATTTCTTGTTTTTCTCGAAATTTTCTTTAAACGTTTCCTCTCTTGCAATATAATTGAGATGCTTCCGACATTTTTTGGGGAATTGTGATTTTCTAGTCGAAAATTGACAGTTTCCCGCCAAATTTGAGCAGCCATGAAATAAATTTTAATCGATTTCAAATTTCTGGCCTAATCCTTTCACTACAATGAGACAATTTTCTTATTGCAAAAAAGCAACCCCGAAGCATGTCCGCAGCACGTTGCACGTTAAAGCGAGCCTCGCTGGAATCAAATCAATATTGCGTGTTTAAAAACTTGAAAATTAAAGGTTCTTACGAAATTCCATCTGCGGACAATTTCAATTGTTCATTCGCAAAACCTCGCATTTATTGTTATTTTCGCAGAAATTTTCAATTTTTGTGTCATTTTTCGCTGAATTAAGAGGAAAACTCACCAATGCATATCATTCCGCTCATAATTTCATCAGAAATACACGGATTACTGAATTCGGTCAATGACAACGGCTTAGTCGTTCCGACGCGCTTCTTATTCGGAAACATTGGCCTCGATTTTGATGTGAGCAGCTCATCTTCGTCTTCTTCTTCTTCAACAATCACTTGGGGCGCCTGACGATGCATTTCTGCCATTTTTATCTTATCACTGGTCAATATTGCTCGAGAGAGCCACCATTAAATAATACTAATAATAATAATCTTATTAGTGACGTCATGTCACAGCTTAAATCGATAATTTACGGTCGAGAATAAAAAGAAAAATTGCAAAAACAATTTCTCCCCGGCCGGGAATTGAACCCGGGTCTCGCATGTGACAGACGCGGATACTCACCACTATACTACCGAGGACATGTCGCCGGCACTCCCCAACGGCATATAAAATTTGGGCGAAGACGAAAAATTTCGTCTTAACGAGATTTGAGGAAAAAATTATATTTTTTAATTTTTAAATGAATTTTTATGAAGCGATTAAATAGCGAAAAAAAAATCGATTTTAAATTTTTTTACAATCCGCGTCGAGACCCAACAAAAATTCAAGGCATGCGTCTTTAGCTACTGTAGCTGATTTTTTTCTTTTCCTTTTTGGAACCATTTTTTTAATGAAAACTCCACAAGCAAAATTTTTTTGTTTATTCAATTAAGAAAATTAGTTAATTAGAACTCATCCGAAAATTCAAAATTATTTAGGCTGTTGGCATTTGAATTTTAATAAGTCAATTTTTTCATTAAAAAAAAAGGAATTTATGCAAAAATGCCTAATTTTTAGATTGTTTAGACAAAAAAAAATATTTTTAGATATTCTTAAATTTTTTCATTCATTTTAATTCAGAATTTTCACATTTTCACCTAAAAATCCACAATTTTCCAGTAATATCAATAAATCGCCGCGAAGAAAAAGTGAAAATCTCGACACCTGTCGGGTATATCGCCACCATAAAGCTTTATTGTCTCTAATTATATTCCAAAAAAGGTCAGAGTCATTCGCGAAAACATGAAAAAACAAAACGAAAAGACCCGGTAAACAAATCGGGGTCATCCGTCTCTGCGTCTCTCGATTCAACACTCTATTTTGCCGTCCGGCTACAAGTAATAACTCATCAACTAATATAATTACAATTATTATGTGTTCCGAATATTTTTCGCCACGAGTATATAAAGAAAACAAACGCGAGGCGCTTTACACTGCGTCTTTTGCCATTCAACACTTCTACGCCATTTGCCTCAGCGTCTAACGTGTCCTCGGTAGTATAGTGGTGAGTATCCGCGTCTGTCACATGCGAGACCCGGGTTCAATTCCCGGCCGGGGAGAAACGTTTTGCCTCTTCAATTTTTTCAGATTCACGATGCACTCAGCCAATTCCGTGATGTTTTTGGTGCTCATTGGGCTCGATATCGTCGCCACTTGCGGATTCCTCGGCGGCGGTGGCGGCGGTTGCTGCTGCTCGGGCGGCTGCGGACGAAAGAAGCGCTCGATCGATTTCGACGAATCGCCGAGCTTTTCCAGCGACAATAACGATTTGTTGTGCAATAGTCCCGAATTGAAGCAGCTAATTGTGAAGGTGAGACGATTTTTAGGCGAAAAACCCAGCGATCGATTTTTTTTCAAGAATATGCGTTCAAACGCGCGCGAATCGAGCAAATCCCTTCAATCGGCTCTCGAAGACCACGACAATCATCGGTACGTCGTCGTCTGCTCGGAGAATCCCTTCGATTATTCGGTTCAACGCGATTCGGCCTATTGTGGCGCTCGAAACGGCTCGCATTATTGTCAAGCATTCGCCATTTAGCAATTATCTACCCAAATTCTCGCTAATTATGGGTAATTAAGCAATAATTATCATAATAATATGGGATATTTAATAAATGAAAATTGTATGTTAGAATTTTGACAAGAAAAAAATCGCAAAATAATTGAAAAAGACAAAAAAAATTCACGAAGTCGTCAAAAAAGCAAATTCCTGGAAAAAATGATAATTATGATTATCAATAATATTAAAATTAAGTATAAAATCTCTGAAAATCAAATAAAACCACATTTTTCCGGAATATCGAATCGGAAAACTACGGACAACTGGGGAATTCTGCAGAAAGTCGCGCGCGTCGCCTACAACAACTTCCTTCTCATCATGTCCCGACATGTTGCGGGTTACGCCAAATCCTATCCTAAACACACGCGCGACCGAGAGAGTGTGGGAAATGAAGAGACGCATGTGTGCATACGAATTTTTTCAAATCACTTCCAAATATGGAGCATTTTCAACTAAAATATTCAATTTTTCCATTTTCTCATTCAAAAAATATAAGCAACTTTTTTCCACATCAATCTTCCAAATTTCATAAAATGCTCGTCGAAATTCGTTAAAACCTTCAATGCCCCTTTAAATCGCAATTTCGTTGCGAGACCATTCATATTAATGCGCCTTTAAAACCAATCCATTTCATTATCAATAAAACTGCACATAAGAATGGAGTAATTGAGAGATCTATACAAAAATGCGACATTTTATTGCAAAAATTGCGCGTTTTACCAAAAATGGCAATTAAACGAGTATTTTCAATTCGAACGCGGTCAATTTGAGTCTGCAATAAAAACGAATTGATGATCAAATTGGGGGGACCATCATTACCTGTGAGCTCAATTTGCTCCACGACTTTTTTCTCGAGTTCTTCGACAACATTTTCTGCAGAAAATTTCAAATTTTGATTGAATTTTCAAACAATTTTTATTTTTATTTAAGTTTCTTTAAAAAAAAAAAAACAAAAATTTCCTCAGTTTTTCGTCAAAATTCTAATTTTTATTAATTCTGATCAGATTCGGCTATCAAAATCCAATTTTCCACACAAAAATCGTTAATTTTCCAATACAAAGTCGGAAAAAAATCGCGAATGTGTCAAATTTAGGCAAATTCGCTTCAAAATAATTAAAAAATCGCCATTTTCATCAAAAAATCTCCATTCTTTAAAAAAATTCAATTCTCATCGATTTTTTATCATTTTTTTTAAATCAGCAAAAAATACCTCAGCTTTTCGTCAAAATTTTTATTTTTATTGCCTCCGATCCAATTTTCCCAATTAAAACAAAAAAAAGGCGAATATTTTAAATTTCTGAAAAATCCGCTTCGAAAAAAATCAACAAAATCGGCATTTTTGATTTTTAATTAAAAAAAATCAATTTTTTCCATCCAAAATCAAAAAATCTCGCATTTCTTTCGATTTTATCAATTTTCTTTTCCGATGTTTGACTATTTTTCTCAAAAATTCAATTCTTAGCAAATTTTTTACATTGTTTCCAAAATTTGGCGAAAACTCCGCAAAATTTTCAGTTTTCATTGAATTTTTGCAATTTTTTCCAAAAATCTCTGAAAATCTTTGGAAAATACCTCAAAACATTCAATTTTCATAATTTTTCTGAAATTTTTTCGCATAAATCAACTCAAATTCGCACCAATCACTTCTTCCTCGTGTCCAACTTCAATATTCTCAATAATCTCATCCTCTTCTCGCTCTTCTTCACATTTTTCCTCGTCTTTTTCAGTCGATCTGAAAAAAAAAAGAAATTCTAGCATAAATCTGTAAATTTCTCGAATTTCAACAAGAAACTCGACAATTCCTTCAAAATTGTTCGCAAATTTTCAAGAAATCTCAAAAATCTTCACTTAAATTCAACATTAGCCTACTTTTCTTCACGTTCTTCATTTTTTTCCTCATTTTTCGCCTCTTCAACACCACAATTCCATTCGTCTTCATCGCCAACTTCAGTTTTCGCTTTTTTCGGCGTCGATTGCGAAAACTCGCAATTATCCTCATCTTCTTTTCGTTGATGACAAGCTTCCTGAAGAAAACAGAAGCATTTTCGAATTTCTCGCAAAAATTGAAGACCTCAAAAGCAGACAATAATTGTTGAGTTTCCATCATCGATTCTCTCAATTTCTTTTTTTCCCGCTCGTGTCGCACTGATATATTTCTGAAATCAAAAAAATAGAAAAAAAAATCTCAAAATCTCCCTTTTTTTTACTAAAAACTTTCGAAATTCGAGTTTTTCTATCAAAAATCGTCAATGTCCGCAATTTTTTAATTTCACTAATTTTAAATGGCCAATAATCGTCATTTTCTTATAATTTTCAAATTCAAAAATTCAACTTTTTTTTAAATTAAAATGTCTTAAAATATCAATTTCTGTCAATACTTCAAGTCAATTTCATCAAAAACTGCAAATTTTCTGAAAATTCTCATTTTCACTTTATATTTCGGACCAAAAATCACAATTCCAACAATTTCTCGTCAAAAATTCAGTTGAAACCAAACATTTTTAAGATTTGGCGCATATTTTGCCGAAAATGTCTTCCCCACAAAAAAAAAAGACATACCTAATGTCATTTTTCGAGATATATTTCAATTTGCTCTCATAGTTCTCATATTCGCTTCGAATATAAAAGTAGATCTGATCAGCGGACCATCCCAAATCGAGAAGCTCCTTCACATATTTCTCTTGGGTGTCGGTGAGCCATAAAAGGCGATGATTCAACTCGTGCCCGATGTGGCTGAAGCAGCCCGACGCCTGCGTCGTCCCGTCGGGATTCACGTACACTTTGAGGAACGCCGTGCACGATTGATCGAGTTTTCTCGTGTTCGATCGCCGCTTCTTCGCCACACTCGAGTATTTGCCGACCATGTGACAACGATAGAACGTCTCGCCGCCGTGGCCGGTTCGCTTCGTCAACGATGTACACGAATCCTCTTGGCGTTGATCGAACCAAACCTATTAACAATCTCATTTTATTTTGCGTCAAATTCACTGATTCGACACACTTTTAGCGGAATAAATGTTTCAAATTGAAATTTTTATTTCCAAATCACATTATTTTCTGGCCAAATTCGCGAAAAAAAAGTAAAAATCATGAAAATTCGTCCAATTTTGACGATTTCTTTAAAAATGCCATGTTTTTACACGAATCCTTTGTATTGTTGGGTCGATTTACGATTTCTACTACATTTTTGATTCTCAAATTTTTCACGCGCCGGCCTTTAACATTGATAACGCGAAAAAGATGCAATTATTTCAGAAAATTCTAAAATAATTGATTATTTTTCGTCATTTTTTCCATCTGCAATATTTCTAGGAATCTCTTTTTTTTAATTTCAACAAATTAAAATTTTATAGAAAAGAAATAAGATTTTTAATCAAATTTTCAAGATATTTTTTAAATTTTGATTTTAGAGAATTTTTTTAAAGAAAAATCGAGAATTTTCACTTCTTTGGTGAAAAAATTTGCATTTTTGAAACCCAACACTCGATTTTTCGAATTATGACAAAAATTCCAAAATTTTTCAACCTTTTTATTTGACATTTTCCTATTAGTACCAATTTTAAGATTGAGGCACAATTTATTTTCCAAAATCTCCGATTTTTAGCATTTTTTGCCAAAATTGTTACTTTTCACCGTTTTTGTAAAAAAATATATAAAGAATCTCATTAATATCGCTTTTTTGAATATAAATTAATGTAATTTTAGAGATTCCTGTAAAAATGTGGAAATTTTGATCAATTCACCCGAAATTTCATCTCATCATTTTTTCAATCTATTGAAGCACTCAAAGACCGAATTTAAAGGCGAATGCTACTAAACGCGAAGGATATGCAACAATAAATCTTCAAGCTTTCACTTTTACTCAAAATTGCCCGAAATTTCGCATTGATTTATTGTATTTCTCTTAAATTTATAACTCTTCGGCAAAATTTCAAAAAAAATGTTAACATACAAACTTTTTTTTATTTAGGTGCTAAAGGAATTTTTGATAAATTTGCCAAAAAAAATCAGGCTGCAATATTATTGCAGAATTTTCTAAAATTTCATTTATTCATGGAAGTTTTTAAAGCGATTTTATCGGATTTCCACAAAAAATTACCTTAAATTCATCATAGGTGGCGAATATACGTTGCTCCAACGCAAACGGCGCGATTTCTCGATGATTCTGCTGACAGTGTATGACGAGATCGTCGCAAGACTCAACTTTGAGACCGCACGTCGGAAGCGGACACGCGGCCGCCGACGATCGAAATTTTGACGTATTCATACAAGCCGGCAGTTTTCGTTGAGCAAGCGCTGGCGGCGAACGAACCGACGACTGTCCTTTTCGATAAATCAACTCTTTTATCGCACTCAAATCGACTTTCGGTGACGTCGATTCGCCATTTTCCGATGGTGTCTTGATTTCTTCATAATTGTTGGGCACAAATGTGAACACTTCTTCAATATTGACCTTTTCGTCGGCTTCTTCAACTTTTTCCGACGTTCCTGGATCATCCGGTATCTTGTTCTGCGTTTCGTATAATTTGATAACTTCAGGGCAGCGCTGAAAAGAAAAAAAATTATTCCTCCCTCACAAAAAAAATTACCGCTCTATGCTTCATCATGGCTTGCGGGGTTTTGAAGACGATCTCGCAGCCGATGCACGGATAAGTGCTGCTTCCGTACAAGCTATGCTTCTCCTTTTTGATTTGCTGAATCATATCCTGGCATTCTTCGCGCGTCCAGCCGTGTTGATGCCATAAATGGCGATAGATATTCTTTTGCAAATAGCGTCGACCGCACTCGACGCACGAGACAAGTCCGACGAGATGAAGATCCTCGCATTTTGATTGAAACGATTCGACTTGCATTCGAAAATCGCGGGGAAATTCGACTGAAATATGAAATATTGAATTTAGGAGACGAAATTGGGGTGGATTTACACCCGTATTTCGAGAGAGACGCACGCAACGCGCACGCGTCGCAACCGACAACATTTGCTCCATTGAGAAAATTTCAAATTTTCTATTTATTTCCTGCTATTTTTCATCGTTTTTCCTCATATTTTCACTCATTTTCCGTGAAAATTTGAATTAAAATTAATTTGTGTTATTAATCTATTATACGATATTCTTGAATTATAAAGGAATCCTGATTTCTATGCAAAATCATTGAAAATAATAATTTTAATTTTTAAAACTATTTTTCGCCACATTTTGCACGCATATTGCGTAAAAATGTAGAAGAATATTAAATTTCGTTCTCAATTTACTAAATAATGCTTCAAAATAACCAAGAATAACTCACTTTTCATATAAAATCAACAAAAATAATTTTTTCAAGTATTTTATTATTTTCATATGTTTTACGTCAATATTTTTTAGAAAATTGAATATTGCGCCAAATTTCTTTAAAGTATTTTTTTGAAAGTCCTTTTCGCACTAGTTTCAAAGGTTTTTATGCATTTTTTAACAATTTTAAAATTTCAGGATGCCAACTTTTGGCTTAAATGATGATGATGAGCCATGCGATGATTATCTTGGAGACAAAGACATGTATTTCCGTCAATGGCAATTGAAATCCATGAAACCGGTGCTAGAAAAGAAGTATTTTCGAATGATCACGCCAAATGTGTGAGAATCGCGATTTCAGATTCGATAGGGACCATTTAGAATCTGTGAATAGGAGAGAAGAGAAATTGAAATCGCGTGAAGAACGACGGCGGAGGCATAATGAAATGTTCGAGAAGAATTTTCAAGAATGCGTTGGAAGAATGAAGGCGGCAGTGGTATAAAGATTAAAAATTTTTTATCGTCTCAACGAAAATGCTTTCCTGACAATCAAAGCCTAAGTCAGAACCACAAAATATTTGAAAAAATTCTTAATTTCATTGAAAACTATCAACATTGTGAAAATTGTCAAAAAAAAAATTTGATTTTTCTTTTTAGACCGAAAATATTAGGGATCTAATCATTAAAAAAATGGATTTTTTTAGATCACCGACAAAAAGATTGAGATTCCGCTGTTAAAAGAGCCCACTCCAGAATACAAGAACGCGTTTCGAGAAGCGATCACCAAAGAATTCCTTTGTCCGAGTTCAACGGCAAAAATGCACCCAGCGAATCCGTTGCCGCCAAAACCGCGAGCGAATCCCAAATTCGGGCCGGCAATCACTAATCAAGGCCTTTTTGCAAAATCGTCGGCACCATTAAAGGCGTTGAATCCCTCGATTTTCAATTTGGCGGCGGCGCCAAGGAAAGACGAGAATTTGAACAGCTCATTCCTTAATCATAGGTTTGCCTCATTTTTTTTTTGAATTTTTCGAAAATTTGATATTTTTTTCAGCCAGGAGAGCGTGTTCTTCCCGCAAGAGAACCGCTCTTTCAGAATTGATCAGTATGACGGAGCTAGGCCGTCTTTTGCGTTTGGACCGGGCAATGCGCAGACATCAACGCCGATTTCGAAGTAAGAATTGAAGAAAATTTGAAAATTATTGGTTAAAAATTGCATAATTTCTGAAAAACGGGTCGAAATTTTCATTTTTATTTGAAAAATTCAAAAATTGTTGAAAATTTACAGTGTTTGATGAGATTATAGGAAAAAATTAAAAAATTTTCGAAATTTAAACGTTTTTCATCAAATTTGAAAAGAAAATTGTGAATTAACACATCTTTAGCGAGAATATCCTGAAATTTAAGTCAAGTTTATCAAAATTTTCAATTTTTGCCAATAAAACAATCAATTTGAAGGAAAATTCCAAGAAACTTTTTAATTTAAAAAAAATTGCCTAAAAGTGATGGATTTTTTTCATTTTTATACCAATTTATTATGAGAATTTGGCAAAAATCCTTTTTTTTGCCAGTTCAAAATTAATTACCCTTAATTATAAAAGTAATTAACGTCGCACGATTTATACCTCAATGAAATCATAAATTCTCGAAAATGATTGCATGAAATCGGATTTTTTTGCCATTTCTGCATGTTTTTTTTAAATTTTCTTTTCGCCCAATAAATCTTGCCATTTTAACGTGTTCTTTCTGCGTATTCTAATTCGTTGAAGTCGACAAATATTTTTGACACCAAAAAAAAAATGTTTTTCTTTGATTTTTCCACAAACTTAATGGATTTCAGATCATTTCCGAAGTTCTCTGTGAGCTCGCAAATCAGCGAGGAGGACGATAGTCGATACGTGACCGCGCTCGAATCGCCGATCGTCAAACCGCAAGTTGCTCCGGCTCAAACCGAAGGAAGCCTTTCTGGAGGAGCGTCCACTCAAAACGAATCGGCTCCAGCTCCGACGACTGGAAAACTATTCGGAGTGGTTCCGCCTGCAGTTCAAGCTCAGACAGCTCCAACTCCAGTAGAATCTGCTAAGAATCCAGAAAACGTGTTTGGAGTTGCGCCAACTTTCGGAAATCGTTTTGGCGCGGCGCCAACTCAAAAAGAATCGGCTCCTTCGTTGACATCTGGAAAACTGTTTGCTGTCGTACCGCCATCAGCTCAGGCTCAATCGGAATCAAATCAATTTGGAGCCGCATCAACTGCTGGCCAAATCGCTTCGGTTAAACCTACTCCCGGAAATCTGTTTGGAGCTGCTCCAGCTCAGGCTCAGACAGCACTCACCACAGGTGCGCCATTGGATGATCTTCAACTCAAGATGATCCAACGAAATTTTTAGGAAATCTTTTTGGAGTAGCCTCAGACAAAGAAAACCGATTCGGAAGAGCTGCGACTTCGGCGGATTCTATTAAAACTCCAGAGAGCCAATTTGGTGCAGTTCCTGCGTCAGGTATAGTATTTCGGCAAGAACAGAATGCTTTATCTAGTTTTCACTTCAGACCCATCAGAGTCTGATTCAACGCCGATACAAGACGTGCAATTGAAAGAAAAAGAATCTCGGGAAGCTGCTGCAGCTCAACATTCTTGTGCTCCGCCGGCACATTTAACTCGTCGAACAATGGATTGGAACAGATTGGGTTTGGAGAAGCAATTTCAAGAACTATTGGAAGTGACGAGGCGACAACACGAGCTTGACATGTCGAAACGCAAAACGGCGCAGACGCCGCACAATCCGCCGGACGACACGCCGACATTGGGTGGATCGTCAGCGTCGTCGCAATTTGTCGATGAGAAACCGTCGAGTTCGACGAGTCGAAAATCAACGACGACGACGACGACGACGCCTGTCGATTTCAAGATTCCGCAAGAGATACTCGACGATGAGACCGAACACGAGCGGCAACTTCGCGTCGCCGCCGAAAACGAGCCGGACGATGAGAAGCGCGAGTTGAAGTTCAAAGAGTATTTGAGAGTTCGCGCGTTCTATGATGAGCAGTGGAAGGTGTGCGAGTCGAAATTGAAAGCCGAAGAGGAGGAGATCGAGCAAAGGCATCGGACGAGCCAGCGTAAGCCGAAAGGCGCACCCGCCTGGAAGATGTTCGGCCGATATTTGGAGGTTTGCCAACAGTTGAAAGCCGCCAAAAAGGAGTATATCGACAATAGTAATGTGAGTTTTTGTTTTGTCTTTCCTCGTATTGTCGGATTCTGGAAAAAAAGCCGAATCGATCGCCACAAGACTCAACTCATTTAAGGCATTTCATGCGCCTTTAAACGATTATCGTTTTTTTTTTTAAATTTCGCGATTGAATTGAGTTTACTCGCAATTTGTGATATTTTTAAATTGAATATTTGAGATTTCGAATTTTAAAACATTTTTTTGGGTAAGGTAACGGCACCTGCAGATTTTGCGTCGGGTCTCGCAGCGGCAAATTCTATTTTTTTGTTGTGGTTATTTTGAAGTTGATGTGACTTCCTTGAGATCCCTTTTAAAGGAATTACGCGACCGACTTAAAGGCACATTGAATTTTATTGATGGCGGATTTGTCAGAGCTCAGGAACGCGATTTTTTTGTTTTCACGATTCTTTTTAAAGGCGCATTATCTGAAACTGATTTTTCGTGGAAAACAAGCCTAGTTCGTTTTGAGACCTATATTAAAGGCGCATGGCGAAAATCGGCGATTTAATTTTTTTTGATTTTGAAAACAATTTTTCAGGAGGAGAAACGAGCGCTATTGACGCGAACGATTACCGAGAAGGTCACCGTATTCACGAAACGCGAGACGCCGCATGAGAAACGCGTCGAAATATTGGCGTTTTTCAAGAATTTGCTCAAAAAACTGCCGGTTGAAGGGTAGAAATTTGATTTATTTTTATGAAAACGATAAAAAAATTGTCGCGTATTTATTAGATGAATCCAATTCTAAGCTATGGAATATGGATATTGAAATTTTCGTGTCGAAATGGGACAATTTTTTACGAGAATTTTGATTTAATTGAAAAATGTGGTCGATATTAGCAGATTTTGAAAGAAAAAATGATTTTTTTTTAATCGTCCAGTTTTTTGGAATTATATTAAAAATTTGAATTTTGACGCGTTATTTCTTTTTTTTTTTTTGAAAGTGATTGTTTTATACCCATTTTTAGGTATCAAGGCTTCACTGAACAGCCAACCCATCAAACAGTGCAACTCGAAACCTCCAAAGACGTCACATATGCGATTATTTGCATTATTGAAAAGTATATTGTAAGTTTCAAAGAATTTTTTTGAGAATGGAATGCAAATTTTCAGTCGCTTATTCAATTGGATTCGGATTTGGCGACGACAATTAGCGATTTGATTAGTCGGGTAATTAGTTAATCAAAATGAGTGAAACGATTTTTTTTTTCCAGTTGGCTGCTAGTTATCCGCTCGTTGAAACCGCATTCACTAGTTTGATATTGAAAAAGTCGGTAGTTTTGCGGCAGGATCCTGAAGAGAGGTTTTTTTCTCTCAAAAAACAAGGTGTCTTATTAAAATGTTGATTCAGTGTGAAATTCTTCGAGGAATTGAATAAGAAGAGTGCCGATGAGAAGGCGATGGTGATTAATCGAGAGAAATCGCTTGTCGAGCTGTTTATGAATGTGTTTGTGAAATGTGGGTTTTTGAGAACGATTTTCGAAATTTTTTTTGTGAAAAATTTGAGCGAATACCTTAATTTTTGGCTCTTTAAGAAGAAAAAAATTAAGTGTTTTGTGAGATTTTTGATTTTGAATATAAAAATTGAATTTTAAGAAATGATGGTTGGAAATCGAGGAGTGCCAAAATATTTTTTTAAAACATTTTTTTGAATTCGCACTTTTTTTCACAATTCTTCATAGAAGATTTTTTGGGGAAAAAAAACAAAAAAAAATCGTTTTTTACCGGCGTTTTGTTTTTTTTTTTTGCAAAATCACCATAAAACCATAAAAATTGCAAGTTTTTCCAGGTGCGATTCGCCCAGAAAAAGAGAATTCGACGAGATGGCTGACTCATCTTGATTTGTGGATGTATGCCGAAGCGGTGCTGTTGAATGCGCTCGTCGTGCCAAAAGCTTCTCTTATACTAACTATGGTGATTACGGTATGTATTAGGTTTCGACGCGAAAATCCCTAATGGGTCTCGCACTGATTTTCATTATACAGTAACTGTGCGAACTTTGTCGGTTTGTTCAGATGACAATGGTTTTAGTGATTGTTTTTTGCACTTCTTCTTGTTATTTTTAGAATTTTGAAGCGAAAATTTGACGAAAATGGCCAAAAGAATGGTGGTTTTGAAGGAAATTTTTGATTTTTCGAAAAGAAGTTGTCTTGACTTGAGGACGCGCATTTTTAAATGTTTCCTTTTTCCACAAATTCGTCAAAGTTTCAGTTTAAAGGCGCACGTGCTGTATTCGAATTTTTACGAAGAATAAACAAAATTAAAGATTATTTTTTGTCTCTCAACTTTCGAAAATTTCTTTCCAATATGATTCCCCCTATTTTAAAAATTATCAATTAAAAAAGGGTGCATATTAATTGTATTAGATTTTTTCAGTAATAATTAAAAAAAATGATCAGAAAATTCAATTTTTGGTCAAAATTTGATGCGATTTCATCAATAAATGCAGTTTAAAGGCGCATATCCTTACAGGTTTGCAAACCGCGCCTTCGAAATGATGAGGACCGTTGGCGTTTATTCATTCAGGACCTTGGAGAAACAATCAAGAAACTATTGAAAAATGGATTTGCGGACGATGCGAGTATTAATTCTAACCTTTCTTTTATTTATAGTCAGTTGAATTGAATTTTTTCATTGTTTTTTTTTATCAATTTCGGTTTTTATATGAATACTTTGAGGGATTCTGATTTTCGTTGTTTTTTTCTGTAGTTTTCGATGTCCCATAAATGGTCCTTGCATACTTTTGTGATATCAGTGGTGAGAATGTTTTGAAATCAAAAATAGCCAGATATTTGGGCGTCTAAAACCTTGACATTCTGATTTTTTTCAATTCGAATTGTTTCCAAAATAATCATAATTTCTTTTATTCCATTCAATAATTACCCGTAAATTTCTAGATTATTGGTTTTCCATCGATTCTCAATCGTATCCTCAACTTCTCAAGATTCTTATTGGTCTTCTGAAGCTCATCGATCCATCGAAGCGCTGTTGAATCATCATTTCTAAAAACAAAGAAGAGAAGTGGCGATTTTTGAATTCAAACTCCCTATTTAAAAAGTGCGAATCAAATCCTACCTATAAATCGCTCCAATCGCAAGAATCGTTTCATGATCCTGCTCATGAATCGCTCGTTTCGCCTCGGCCCTTCGTTTCTTCCAATCCTCAAACCAATTCGTGTAATTCTCCTCAAACTCCTCAGTTTTGAATTCGTCCAACGGCGGCAATTTGCTCTTGGCTGTTAGCTGGATATAAGGGATCTTGTGGTCTTGAACATAAACGAGACCCGGATCGACAAAGACCTCGTCGCCGTTGTCGAGCTCATCGATGAGCTGCCGCTGATGGGGGCTCTGCGAGATCGCCAGCCATTTGTAGTCGGCCGAGCTCGAATCGGACAGCTTCACCAACGAGATCGTCGACGCCGGATCGCGCGACATCATCTTCAACGCCACACCAGCCAACTCCGCCGGCGACAACGATTTGCCTTCAACATGCCTCCTATCCAAATATTTATTCGAGTGCTTCAATTTCGGCATCCAATAGAGCATTCGTTTGACCTTTTTCGTCGCGAAATTCCATTCGCCGAACGCATTCACAACGATGTCGTGGATTTCCTTATCCGGCTGCACACCATTCCACTCCATTTCGTCGAGAACTTTGACGCAACAATTTTGTTGCATCGGATAATGCAGAAAGATTTTCTAAAGAATTTCATTGAAATTTCCCCCCATCTCGCAACTCCTCTCACCTGCCACGATGTTTGCGGAATCATTTTACCCTTTGGGAAAATGTCGAGCAATGTTTTATAGGTGTCGAGATCTTTGTGAACACCATACTCCTTTATGTACTTGAGGGCGGTGTTGATGAACTCGACATGCGTCCTACCGCGCTTTTCCTTGAACATTGCTTAAAATTAATCGGATGTTATTAAATATTCGGCGAGACTTACCAACCGCTGCCATGAATGCTTCTTTGTCACGTTTTTCCGGCTCAACTGAGTCGAATTGTTTTTCGACATGGATTAGGCGAGTTTCTGGATTCGCCGCATAGCTACGCAGCTGGACAAGTGTTGCTCTGCGAAACGCGTGGAATAGAAAACCCGTACTAGTTTGAGACATTTGAAAATCTATAAATTTTTGAGATTTTTACTTTTAAAAATTGGAAAATTCTGTAATTGATTGCAAATGCGCCCTGTTGCACAAATGCGCCGTAAATCTACATTGGAGTGTATGAAACACACTGGAGAAACACGCTGCGAAATTAGCACTATTCTATACACCCGGTGCGTCGACATAATTTAGGAATTTATTTTCCCAATCTCTTTTCTCCCAATTTTTTCCACATTTTTGAGTTCTTTTCATTTTGCCGTTTTCAAAAATTTTCAGAACGTTGAGGAAGTGAATTGCATTAGCTATTTGGTATTTTTACTAGCGTTTTATAACAAAATTGCTGCTTCTACATATTCTTCATATTTTGAAAAATTAGAAATTGTTCATTTAAACTGAAATTTTATTTATTTTACCGAAATTTCTCTATTATCTAAATAATTTCTTCGTTTAATTTTCATTTATTTCTAGCACACAATCGTTCTTTATTTTAGGGTTCAACATGCCAACTAAGGCTCTTGGAGAGACTTTGAAGGAATACATCGTCGTCGGACGTAAGATCCCGACTGAAAAGGAGCCAGTGACTCCAATTTGGAAGATGCAAATCTTCGCCTCCAACCACATCATCGCCAAGTCGCGATTCTGGTACTTCGTGTCTATGCTTCGTCGTGTGAAGAAGGCCAACGGAGAGATTCTCTCGGTCAAGCAGGTAATAAATTCGATATAAATTCAACATTAATTAATTTGATTCTTTAGGTCTTCGAAAAGAAGCCAGGAACCGTCAAGAACTACGGAGTCTGGCTTAAATACGATTCCCGTACCGGACACCACAACATGTACCGCGAGTACCGTGACACCACCGTCGCTGGAGCCGTCACCCAGGCTTACCGTGACATGGGAGCTCGTCATCGCGCCCAGGCTGACCGCATCCACATCCTCAAGGTCCAGACCGTCAAGGCCGACGAAACCCGTCGTGCTGGAATCAAGATGTTCCACGACTCCAAGATCCGTTTCCCACTCCCACACCGTGTCACCAAGAGAAGAAACCTCAACGTCTTCACCACCGCTCGCCCAAGAACGCACTTTGCTTAAATGGCGAATTATTGTTATTTGTTACAATAAAATGTTATCAAAATGCTTGTAATATTTGTTGAACTTTGAAGGTTTCTAGCCTTATCTAATTTTATTTCAATGTTCATTGAAATTATTCCGTTCCATTCTCCATAGAAATCATTTTTCACATGCAATCCCTTGTATATGGATTGAGGGTGGGTGATAAATTTCTGCGGGACCCGGAGATATATGTTGATGCGCCTTTATTAAGAATTGCATCATCAATTTTGATTCTTCACCTTCATTTCTGTTGTTTCTTTACATTCCTATAGTCGTGTAGGTGCGAGTTCGGAAAATTTGAATTGCGCGCGGTGTTAATCATTTGGTCCCGTAAAATAAAATGTGCCTATACTTCGTCATTTCGCTCTTTTAAAGATTATAAATGTAACTACAACTAATTTTGAAAAAGTTGGTGCTTTCACATAATGAATGTTAAATACAGCACAACTTGCTTGTAGGAGGTGCTATACGAGACCCAAGACGGAAATTCAAATGATACAGTAATCGCTCTAATTTGTTCGGTCTTGGCAATATTAAAATAATCCATTCTAGTTTGACACAGTAGACAATTGTAACAAATATCAGTCGTCAAACAATCGGAGGGTGGCGATGAGTTCCACTGCATGTCTCTGTGTCTCTCACCTCAGTGTCTCGCCAATGTCGATCTAGTCTGCTCTATTGCATCATGGGCGGCCTCGTAGTTGGTCGGCGGTTCTTCATGAATTCGTCCCAGATTTTTCTCGATGTACTTGAATTTTTTGACAATCTTCTTTCGTTTTTTCTTTAAATAACGGTGAATTGTTCAATTATTTCATCATTTCAGGGTTCATCATGTCCGCTATCCCAGAAGGAGATTACGAGAAAGGAAAGAAGGTGTACAAGCAGAGATGTTTGCAGTGCCACGTCGTTGACTCGAACGCCACCAAGACCGGACCAACCCTTCATGGTGTGATTGGACGTACCTCGGGAACCGTTCCAGGATTCGACTACTCGGCTGCCAACAAGAGCAAGGTAACATTTCAATCATTTTTGATGAAATTCGATGAAATTGAGTTATTTAGGGCGTCGTTTGGACCCGCGAGACTCTTTTCGAGTACCTTTTGAACCCAAAGAAGTACATCCCAGGAACCAAGATGGTGTTCGCCGGATTGAAGAAGGCTGACGAGCGTGCTGATTTGATCAAGTACATCGAGGTCGAGAGCGCCAAGCCACTCTAAAGCATCTTCTAATTAAATGGCTCGCCTAGCTAGCTTCCACCTGTTTTTCATTAGTTAGGCCGTTTTTATTATATTGATATGTTCTCATTTTGCTATATTTTTCATGAATGAAGAATTTGAACCAGGAGATTTGGGACCTTACACCGTGGTTGTCATGACGACGGCGCAGCTCATGAGTCTCCGCAAGACGACGCTGCTCTCACAAATGCGACGCCTTTTCCCGCTTTTCTTGTATTCTTGTATTTCGTGTGAGAAGCCAGAAGTTTGCTATCCCTGGGTGGTTCGCCATCGAATCGATTCAATATTGCCGACGAGCCATTTGTTTTGTGTGAATCGTCAAAACGACGCCATCGAATACGAGCATTTGGAAATTGTGCAAACCGAAGAGCAATGGAACGATTATTCAGCGAGGCGCAATGTTGGCGACGATTCCGTCGAGATTCCGAAGAAGCGAGAATTGGTCGAGATTCGAATAGGCGATCGGATTCGGCCGCTTCATTTGCCGGCGTCGATTTCGTCGAATTCGGAATGCTCCGGAACGCAAATCATAGGTGGCCGACATTCATTTTGCAATCATTTTTTTGTTGCTGCAAATTTAAGAATGGTCGAGAAATTTGACGATTCGCTGCAAGACCCAATTGACGAAGTGCGAATCGCTTGGCGTTGGCGACATGTTTGGCGAGACGCTCGTATGGAATGGCACCAATATTCCATATGTGGTGCACACGCCACTGGTGCAACCGAAATGGAATGGAAGCGCGTGCATCGGAGCGCCGAAGCTGGTAATTTTTTTTGTTGATGCATGCGCCTTTAGCTGTGGTCTCGCGCGGAAAAAAACTAGGTTATTTCAAATTGGAAATTCAAAGAAAAATACTAGGCATTGATTCGCGGAGAGACCATATAAGGAAGGCGCGTCACGTATAAATCGACGAAATTGAAATATTGAAGATTGTTCTCGAGATTCGCCAAAATCGAACGAATGTGATCGGCGTCGAATTGAGCGTCGAATATTCGACGATCGGCGGCGACGCGTACGAGCGGCAATTTCGTGTGGAATTTGTCGAATGGCGACCGCCCATCGCCAATGAATCGCTATTGGCGCAATATCGCGATGGCGAGCCGATTTTTGCGGTCAATGGTGAGCTTGAGATGCGCCTTTTAAATGAACTTCGAATTTTTCCAACGACACGAAATTATTTTGATGAAGACATACATGTATCATTTTGAATCGCCGCCTTGGGTCTCGTATGGAACATAAATCGATTTTGGGTTTTCTGAATATGAGAAGGAATCGATTTTTTGAATGAAATCTTTTTTCATTTTCTGCAAATGGTATTTTAAAGGCGCATGCGAAAATTCAATTATTCAGCAATATAATTTCCAGTAATTTTCATTTCGAAAATATTAAAGGTTCATGCAATTATTAATTAATGCTTCCTCATTCTGGAATTTTTTTTTCTTCAAATTTATATTGATTTTAGCTTCGAGAGGAGGAATGCGCCTTTAAATCAAATCGCGTTGAAGTTGAAGAAAAAAAGTAGCATTTGCAGGAATCGTCGCGATGCCTCTGGTAATCCCATCGCTTTCCGAATGCAATTCGCGCGGCTCGAAATTGGAAACGGTGAAATTCAAGCGATTCGTGTCGACGGTTTGCGAGTTGGCGACGACGAGCTGCGAGCACGCGAAATCGGCGTCGCGTGCGTTCTACGCGAATCTGTTTCCGCGCGAGATTCTCTCGGCGCCCACCGACGATTCGGAAGCGGCGCTCGTGCATCGCGTCAACACGACGTGGGACGAGAAGGCGCCGTCGAGCGGCGCCTGCCGGCTGCCGGTCGCCGCGCTCTTCGAAGTCTACGTCTCGCGGCAAGGCACCACCAGGGAATACCGCGAGTTGATTGTGGCGGCCAGTGTACAATTAAGCCTAGACTATGTAAGGAGTCTAATAAGACAAAAATCGAAAGGGGCGGGGGTCGTGGCGAGACCCGAATCACACTTTTAGAAACGCCAGAATTTAAAGGAGCATAACACGGATCTTGCGAAGATTACTTTACGTCTTTTTCTTTGGAAAGGGGCTCAAAGTACTTTGAAAAAAATTATCAAGACTGTACTTCAAAAAGTGCACGTGTCTCTTTAAGGAAAATTACAAAGAAATAATTGATTCAAAAATGAGTGAGGTCTTGTGGCAATTTAGAATCACAAAAAATTCTTCTGACTGTATCTTCCAGCATGAATTTTCAAGCTCGATTTGTGAGCCAAACAAAAACTCTTGAAATCTCTGAAACTCGAGCTAGAGGTCTTATGGCGCATAACTTGCTTTAATAATTAAAATAAATAACATGTTTTCAGATTGTGTATAATCCTGGCGACAAGCTAAAACTGCCAATCACCATAAAATTCACTGAAATCATACCGAAGCCGATATCGACGTTCGCCTCACTTCCTTATATCGACCTACGACTTCCCTATGATTTCTTCTATCCATTTATCAAAAGCTCGGCAAATTGCTCAATATCGATGCTACAAACTCTCATATTTCTCGAAATTGTCTCATTATTTGCATGAACGACTATAAAAATAAATTTTTTTTCAAAAAAAAGAAAGAAAGAGGTGTTATTAATTTAAATTTGGGTTTGGAACCGTTCACTGTCTTTCAGATTTGAGCGACGCTTAGTTTTGTAGTAATAATCGACTAGAATCTTCTGATCCTCTTGTGGGCACTGCAAAAATTTCGAAAAGTTTACCAAAAAAAACTGTCCAAAAATTACCATATCCCTCATCCATAGAAGCTTTCGAAAATGCTCCGGCTGATTTTTATTGCCCCTCTCCTTCATTAGCTGCCACGACGAGGCGAATAAGGCCTTCTGCGATTTCGAGAGCGTCTCCGGCTCCAGAAGATCCTTCGCCATGTTGATTGTCTTCTCAACGTCATAATCATTATCATGTAAAATGTGGAGAATCTAAAAAAGGGCTCTTTTTTTTCAAAAATCAAAAATTTCAAATTTTACCGTTGAGAAGCTTATATGCGCGGTTTCCTTCTTCAATCGTTTCATATCTTCTTCGGATACTTTGCCCTCAGTGGTCCCTATAACGAGCTCATCGCGATCCGGAATTTCGTCGAGGCTGAAATAAAGCTATTTTTAGCATTTCTGGATTATGACCGACGGATTAGGCACTTACTCGACATCATTTTGCGATGACGACGACGATGGTTCAGAGGATGATGACTTCGAGATACTCTCACCTTCTCTGCTGAAAGTTTAATATTATTGTTTTTGCAAAAAATTATTATAATTTACCTTGTTCCATTTCCATACGTTTTCTGCATTTTGTGCACCTGATTACGTTTTTTACGTGCAAACCCGCCATCGAATGTTGGATAATCGCTGCTCATTGAAAATTAATATGACACCTCCTTATAAGGAAACGCGTTTTCACCCGAAACAAGCGTAAAACACGCCGGTTAATTGACACTGACATATAATCAAAAAATGCGCCAGTGCTAGATGGTTGACGCATTCCGCGCAAAATTGCATGATGGCGCGTTTTTAGTGCATTTCATTATTGGCACGAAATTTTCGATTTCTCTCGCAATCTGTTCAAAACTGTGATTTTTCGATTATTCCGAAATATTCTTTAATTCCAGGGTATTTTAATAAACGATGGAAGAGTACACCAGGGAGCCATGGTAGGAATCTATGCGATTTTAGGAGACATTGTCAATTTTCAGTCCGTTTCGTATTGGAGATGATATTGGCTCGGCATTCGCCATGGGACTCGTCGGAGGCTCAATTTTCCAGTCTTTCAGCGGTTATAAGAATGCGGCAAAAGGCCAGAAGCTGGTAGGGTAGAAGTGTTGAAAAAATTGAAAAATATATTGGCAATTTTTTAGGTTGGTATGTTGCGCGAAGTCCGAATGCGAAGCACATTGACCGGAGTGCAATTCGCCGCGTGGGGTGGAATGTTCAGCACAATTGATTGTTGTCTGGTGGCGATTCGCAAGAAGGAGGATCCGCTTAATTCGATCGCGTCCGGCGGATTGACCGGCGCGCTTCTTGCTATCCGCTCGGGACCCAAAGTGATGGCGGGCAGTGCGATTCTGGGATCAGTGATTCTCGCAATGATTGAGGGTGTCGGTTTGGTGACGACGCGCTGGATGGGCTCGATGATGGACCCCACAGCACCGCCGGTAAGCATTTCATGGAATTTTGTTTCGGAACGTGTCAAAGGGCCAATGCAAAACAATTTAAAAATAAAGAAATCCAAATTTCTCTTTTTTAATTCAAAATTTTGGAAAAATATTTTCCAAGAAACCTATAATATATGCATGGTTTACGATATTTTTCAGAAATTCCAGAAAAATAATTTCTTAAGATTGCATTTCAAAAGCATCATTAATTTTGTAGTTGTCCAAAATTCACGCGGTTACAAGATTATGCCGTCTATTTTTGCAATTTTTCTGTTCGAAAAAATTATTTGGCCTCATTTTTAAACAAAAATCGTTTCCAAAAGCCGACAAATGTCGATTTTCAGCCAGAAGCATTGGAAGACCCGCGCAGTTTGGGACAAAAGAGCCAAACGGAGCCGGGAATCGACAACACGCGGCCATTCGGTCTCCCGACCGGCCTGCCGAATCTCTCCTAAACAATTCCATCCATTCCCCCTTCAATGTTTTGTTGTCACTACGGCTTTATCGGTGATTTATCCATTGAGAAATTCTTAAAAATTTTCATTTTTGATTTCGCTTCCATTATTTTTTTTTAAATCTAGGCTAGAATGCGTTGTTTTTGCTAGGTAGAACTCTCTTGCTCTCATTTATTTGTTGTCCCCCTCTCATAATTGTTGTTGAATTCTCCCACCATTTATGGTCCCCACACGATCCTCCTCCTTCTTCTTCTTTGTCTTCTGTCACTGTGTTGTTAAAAAATGACGAAAAAAAGCAAATATAATTTTCTAATAAAACAATTGAGAATTTTGAAAGCGTTTTGTGTGAAAATGTTGAAAATTCACGAAAATATTTGAAGCGAATTCGGCGTTTTTGTGGAATTATTTCTCAAATTTTAGCCGTTGAATGCGCGGATTGGCATCATATCGGCGGTTCTTGTGAGTTGTGTAAGAATCTCGACGTTTCCGGAGTTGACAATTTCCACAGAAACACCAAAAATGGGCATATTTTGATAGGAAATGCGATTTTTCTCATCGAATTTCATTTTAAAATTGAAAATTCAAATTTGTTTTGGGCGGAAATTCACAAACATTGCAATTTTTAAACAAAATTTGATTTTTTTCTGTGATCCTCACAAATTTGCACTGAAATGCTTAAAAAAACTATAATTTGAGAACAAATTTTCGAAAATTTCAGAACTTGAAAGCTTTCGAATAAAATTAGACAATTTTTTCGGGATTTTTCAAACGAGAAATCGAAAAATGTCGAGTTCATTTTTGTTTCTGAAAATAACAAATTTTTGACAAATTATCGAAAAATTGATCTTTTTTTTTCAAATTAATGCCGAAATATGAAAATTTTAAAGTAAAATTCGCTCAAATCATTGAATTTTCGCCAAAAAATGAATGCCATAAATGTTTGAAAATTTTGGCGACAAAAATTGCATTTTTGAAAATCGAAATTTGCTAACTCGAAAAACTTGAAAAATTGGATAAAAAATATTTTTTTTGAATGACTATTGAAAAACCCAAAAGAATTTTTGGAGTTTTTGACCAACACCGTTTTATTCTCGTTGTGAGACCAGTTCTAAAGGCGCATTCCCGTAAATCTACAATCACCAAAAGATGCTTTCACTGCGGCATTGGAAGTTTTCAACAATGTTTGAATAAAAAAAGCGCATTTGAAACTGAAAATCATAATTTTTTTGGGGTTTTTTCTATATTGCCAATTTTTGTGATTTTTATCGAAAATTTGCCAAAAATGGCTATGATGACATGCAGATTTTGGAAATACACTCAAAAGACCCCATATAACCAATAGGTTTTGTTTTGGGGAAAATTTAATTGCAATAAGAACGGATAACAATTTTAAATTTACGTCATTTTTTGAAATTTCGATTCAAATTACTCGATTTTCCTAGAAAAATGATCTATTTTATTTGAATTGCCCTTAAAAATGTCGAAATATTGCACAATTCCCGCAATTTTTTTCAATTTCAGTAGGTTTTTTTTTTGCAGAACTTGGTCGAATTTTCGCGTATTTTCGTCATCGTCCGCCGAGCACATCGACGAGGATTTATTGGAGAGCATCAAGCAGAGAATCGAGCGCAATCGGCGAATTTTGAAGAAACACTCGGCTTCGCATTTCAAGTAGGCATTTTTTGGCTGAAATTTTGCATTTTTGCTCATTTTCGCCGATTTCATTTTTTTTTCTCCTCAAAAATGTCAAAATTTCGAGAAAATTGCGATTTTTTGCAAATTTCAATTTTTTTTCTCCCAATTCACCAAAAATCGAATGATGCGAAATGGTTTTGGCAAATTTTTTTGATTTCATAAAATTGGTGAATTTTGAAAATTTTTTATTAAAAAAAACCCTTCAAAACAAGTTTTTATCAAAAAACATTGGAATGTTTTTTTTTTCGCCGCGAGACCCGTTTAATTTTTTCGTTTTTCCTCGAAATTAAGGAAATTTGAGAGAATTTCTTTGAGATTTGTTTTCTGGGGGCTAAAAATGTATAGGTTAAAATCGCACAGTCGTGGCGAGACCGTTTTTCTGCCGAAATTAATTTTAATTAGAGAAAATATGTTTTAAAAAGCTCATTTTTTTCTTTATTGACCCTAAAAGGCAATAATTGCGGGAAATTTCAGAGCGCGCGAGATCAGCGCATCGATCGGCAACCTTCGACAATCGATGGCGTCGGTTCAGAAGAAGCAGAAAGCGGCGATGGAGCCGGCGGCGAACTCGATCGTCAACATTCCGAATCAAGTGTCGATTGAGATTCTCGGCAACGCCACCGGCCTTTTAAGGGCGTGCGTTGTGATCCGAACGCCGCTCAAAACCTACATGTTCAATTGTCCGGAGAACGCGTGCCGATTCATGTGGCAGCTCAGATTGCGGGCTTCGAACATTGTCGACATCTTCGTTACCGCTGGTAAACTCTGCTGATTTTGATTTTTCCTTTTTGGGCCGGGTGCGGTTTGAAAAATGGATTTTTTCCCAATTCATCAGTGAATTGCAAAATTTATATGGAATTTATGAGAAAATTAATGGGATTTCAATAATCGATGCGGGGAATTCTTTAACGATTTTAAGGTGCTTTTTTTTTGAACGATGCTTTTGTGTTAATAAAAATTTGCTGAAAATATGAATTTTCGGTGAAATTTTTGCCCTAAATTTGATTAATGAAACGAAAAATCGAAAAAAAAAAATGAAACACATCGAACACACTAGAATTTTATGGACCTATTCATGCAATGAAAAAAATAAAAAAAAACAATTTTTCTCATTTCAATTCCCTATGCACGCACGTCAAAAAATACAAAAAATTGACGCGATATATCGTAATTTTCCGCTATTTATTTTTAAAGGCGCATGCGAAAAATTGCGCCGGGTCACGTCGCGAAGTCGGTACTGTATTTTTTTAATGACTGTTATTTTTCGAATTTTTTTATTCTTTGAGCGTTTTAAACGTTTTTTTTTTTGGAAATCTGTAGAAGTATTTTATTTAATAAACGCTGAAGGTTCATCAGAAGCGTCATCGAGCGAATCTGCATCAAATTAACACAAATATCACGATTTTTCATAATAATTGGCATCTAAATGACGAAAAGTAGACAAATATTGCCGAATTAGGAGTAATTATACCAATAATAATTGATTTTACTCGTTCCTATCTGTTCCTCATTTTCTGTTACTCTAATCTTCAATGTTTTCGCAAATACGGAAAAATAGCACATAGAATGATAATTACAGTACCGACTTCGCGACGTGACCTGCGCAACTTTTTTCATGCGCCTTTGAAAATAAATAGTGGAGAATTACGTTATATCGTGTCGATTTTTTGTAATTTTCGACGTGCGTGCATAGGGAATTCAAATAAAAAAATTGTTTTTTTTTTTCATTGCATGAATAGGTCCATTAGTGTCCCGTTGGAAAATCGAATTTTTGTTGAAATTCTTATAAGAAAATTTGCTGAAAATCTAAACTTTTTCAAGATTTTCGCAATTTCAGCCCTCAAAATCGCATTTTTTTGAAATTTTCGAATCAGAAAAGGCGATGAAAATATCAAAATTTTCGATTTTTGCATATTAGTATCTTCAAATCACAAAAAAAAATTCAAAATTGAATACATCGAAACTCGCCTTTATTTGGTAATTGAAAAACAGAAAAAAGTTTTTCAGCAACATGGGACAACATTGCTGGAATCTCGTCGATTCTGCTCGCGAAAGAATCGAGCGCGATGACGACGCGACTGCACGGCGCGATGAACGTCAAACATTTTCTCGAGTGCATTCGACCGTTTCAAGACTCGGACTACGGTAGTTGCAAATATCCATCGCAGGTGACGAACTCGCCGAAATTTCGCCTCCTGTGCTCAATATTTGTTTTCTTATTTTTTGCAGGTTGAAGAACGACCGTACACGATGGAGAGCTATGAGGATGCCGGTGTCAAGGTCTCGTATATTCCGCTGAGTCCGCCTTTGGATATGCAGAAGGAGAAGAATGGGCGACGAAGCGACGGGCGAATGAAGCGGGTATGTAGGCGCCTTTAAATTTTTGGGTCTTGACGCGAATTCGATGAGACGACTTTTTCGTGGATGATGCTCCTTTAAATTGGACACCTTTTCGCGATCCAAAAATTTTGATATTTTTTTTATTGGGATTTGCAAGAATGGTTTTTTTGCAAAAATTTCAGAATTCCGAAGTCGACGTCGCATTTTTGGTGGAATTGAAGCCGCCGCCTCGTCGAGTCGATCCGCTGAAATTGATGGAGAAAAAGGTGCCGAAAGGCCCATTGATTGGGAAGCTGAAAATGGGTGAAACGGTGACGTTGCCCGATGGGCGGACCATCGAACCCGGCGAGATTCTGTCGGACGCTCAAACCGGAACCGAATTGCCGATTGTGCTGGTGGCTGAATGCGATAGCGAGGAGCACGCGAAGGCTTTGCTCGAATCAACCGCAATTCAGGCGATTCTGAGCGGCGAAAAACATTTGGATTATGTGAGTTTTGGTTTTCAACGAAAATATTTCTCGATTTTTTCCGTCGAAAAATAATGGGAAATCAATAAATATTTGAATTTTGAAACGAGAATACACAGAAGATTCGAGAAAAATTTCAGAAAACGAAAAATTGTTAGAACTTTGAAAGAAAAATTGTTCAAAAATTTCGAATTTCTCGAATTTTGCCGACTTTTTTTTGGCTAAAATTGTCTGAAATTCACATTTATTTGTGGAAAAAAAAAAGAAAAATTTGAAAAATTGTTAAATTTTTTAAATTTCCGGGATTCTGCGAATTTTTTTTTCATCAACAACTGATTTTGAAAAAAACGAAAAAATTTCAAAGAGAAAAATATGAAAAATTCTGAACTTTTTTGCCATTCAGTTGACTCTTTTATAGTCAAAATTGAGCGAATTTCAGTTTTTTAAAGAAAAATTTATAAATATTTGAATTTCGAAGAGAAAATTATCAAAAAAAAAGCGAATTTCTCGATTTTTCACAAAAATTGAGCAAATTTCATTTTTTTTACGAAAAAATTTCTTGATTTTTTCCATTCGCCTATTTTGTTTCAAAAATATTTTTTTTTGGTTTCAGTTCGTCCATCTGAGCAGCGACAAAGTGACATCGAGCGAATCGTACAAGAAGCTTCTCTCGGCGATCGACGCCGGAAACGAGGTGTCGAAGCGAAAAACGCGACATTTGCTGGTGAACGAGACGAATCCGTGGATTCCGTCGGTCGAGAGCGTCTACAAGCACACGAAATTGTTGAATCACATCGCGCCGCGACTGTTTCCCAACCTTCATCCGCTCGAATGGAGCGGACTCGTCGCACAGAACGACGAATTGAGCGTCGATGATGGGCGATTCGTGCGCGTCGCGCCGCTTCAACGATTCTGGATGAGGCGACCCGCTTATTTTCAAGAAGAGCCCATCATAATGGATTTGAGGGATGTCGAGATGAATTTCAGCGAGAGCGCTCAAAAATTGATTGGCGATTTTCAGAATGGTATTCAATTTTCAATTTTGTTCTTCTGATTTTAAGAAACGATTATGCAAAAATTGAAAAATTTTGAGATTTTCATCGCCTTTTTTTTTGATTCGAAAATTTCAAAAAATTCGATTTTTGTGGGCTGAAATTGCGAAAATTTTGAAACATTTTAGATTTTCAGCAAATTTTGTTTTCGAAATTCCAACGAGACTGTGATTTTCCAACGGAAGTCCGGAAATTCTAAATATTCCGGAAAATTTTGAGATATTCTTTTCTTAAATTGAAAAAAATTGAATTTTTAGCGATATTGAACGCTGGAATTTTGAAAATCCGGGAAAAATTTAAGAATTTAGGCATAGTTTGGAAAAATTTTTTGAAATTTTGCAAAGTTTTTGCGCTTTTGCGGCAATTTTGGCACTGAAATGCTGAAAATTAAAAAAAAATGTTTTAAACTGATTTTCAAGCGGTGGAATTTTGAATTTAGATTTTTATCGTTCTGAAATTCTGAAAATTAGGCGAAAATTTCAAAATTGTTCATTTATTCCCAGAGAAATTAAAAAATTGAGAGTTTTTTTTCGGAAAATTATCCCATTTTTTGCTCTTTAAGCTGAAATTTGAAACGATTTTTGAGAAATTTCGGTTTTTTGTGACAATTTTGTGATTATTAATGACCAATTTGCAGAGCAATCGCTCGTGGAGCCGACGTGCGAATATCCGATTGTAACATTCCTTGGGACCTCGTCAGCGGTACCATCGAAATACCGAAATGTGACGGGCTATTTGATCGAAGCGTCGAAACAAAGCGCGTTTCTTTTGGATGTTGGCGAAGGAACCTACGGGCAAATGAGGGCCATATTTGGAGAGGAACAATGCAAAAATGTGAGAATTCTTCTTTTTTCGAAAATTGGCAATTTTTTGATTGGTTTTTTTGGCATGATTTCAGCACAAAACTGGGGCTTTTTGAACGAAAAAATTAATTTGAACACTTTTTTTTTTGCTAATTTTCATTGAAAAATTGTGGTGTCTTTTTTTTTATAAATTTTGCTCAATTTTTTGTCACAATTTTTTACAGAATTATATTAAATTGAAAAAAAAAATCAAAAAATTCGAATTTATGCCGGTCTTGTGGGTTTTTTTTTTAATTCTTCGATTTTTTCGGTCCCACCGAACCACCAAAAATTTTCAGAAGGACCACTATTAATGTAATAATGATCTTCATGACATATATTTTTTAAAAGAAAAAATGTGTAATTATAATTATTTTTTTGTTAATTGCAAGTTAATTCACTTTATATTAAATATGATGCAAATTTTGTGAAATTGAAATATAATTTTTGAAACTGAAAACTCGAATTTTTGGCAAAAACCGAGAAAATTGGCAATTTTTTGGTATAATTCGAAGCTTCACATTTTTTTGGAAGTTTTTCGGCTTCACTGGTTGAAAAAAACAGAGAATATTCGGCAATGAACTTTTATGAACAAAATTTGGGTCTGAAAATGGCTGAACTTGAATTTGGAGCAATTAAAACCGAAATTTTTAAATTCTGAATGAGTAAAATGTGGAAAAGAGTTTAAAAAATTCCAATAAAGGTGCTGAAATAGAATTTAGTCTTAATTTTTAAAATGATAATTTCAAAAATTCACCTTGAAATTTACTTTTTGGACAATTTTTGAAAAACAAAGATGATGATTTTGTGTTAAAATAGCCCAAAAATGGTCATGAGACAGGATTGAAGAAAAATTTTTTGCAGATGTTGACGAATTTGCACTGTGTCATGATTACTCATGCTCATCAGGATCACATGAACGGGCTTTATACGATTATTTATCGAAGGAAAGAAGCTTTTGAGGAATTGGGTGAGAGAGAAAGAGAGTTGAGAAATTTTCTCATTTCTCGATTTCTTTTTTTGAATTTTGAACCCTAAATGTCAAAATTGAGAGCAGATTTTTCAATTTTCGACACAAAATTGCACGATTTGAGCTTGGAATACGAATTTTTGAAGCCGAAAAGACTGAAATTGAATATTTCTGATATTGATTTACGAAAATTTCAAACATTTTTGGGAAAATTCCATAAAAACCGACCGATTTAGCCGGAAATTGTTGTTTTATGTTTTTTTTTTTCGTTGCAGGACTCCCATACAAACCGCTGATATTGGTGTGCAATCGAAATGTGATGAAGCCGTTGAAGACGTACTCGATATGCTTCGAGAACATCGAATCGCTCATCGAGCTCGTCGACATCTCGCGCCATCCGATCACGCCGCCGTCGAGTCCCAACGGAGCATCAGCTAGCAAACGGCCGAGATTGCCGAGTCCGCATTTGCCGCCGGCGCGAAATATCCTCGCGCAGATATCGCATGATATGACCAAATATGGGCTCACCGAGCTCAAAGCAGTACAGGTTCGTTCGTTGTGGCTTCAATGTTTTTTTGGATTGCGCTTTAGGGTTTGGCGCAAGCATAAATGGTGTAGATTTACGGGCTGGTGAAAATAATGGTTTAAAGGCGCAGCACAACTCGTGCCAATTTTTTTTGAATAGGCAACAAAAAAATTTTCGAGAAAATTAAGAAAAAAAAAGATAAGAAAAATTAATTTAAACATTGACCATAGAATTAAAAAAAAAGAAATAAAATAAAAAAGAAAAATAAAATCCCGTTGAGAAAAATGATTATATCGAAATAAAAATCATTCGAGACCATGAATTCGAATTTTTCGAATGCAATTTAGGGCAAATTTGTGCCAAAAATTGAGCAAAATTTTGAAAACAAAGAAACACCACAATTTTTCAATGAAAATTAGCAGAAAAAATTATAAAGATGAAAATTTTTAATTAATTTTTTTGGGAAATTTTCAATAGGAAAACTTGAATTTTTGAAGAAATTGTGAATTTTGCGAAAAAAAATTCGGGAATATTCATGTTTTTTTTCAGTAATTTTTCCATTTTTGAGCAAAAAAATAGTTGATTTTGAGAATATTTTTTATTTGAAATGAACCAATTGAATTGTTCAGGTTCATCACACCCGAATGGCGAACGGCTACGTGTTGGGTGTCGCCGGAAAACGGCTCGTGTTTTCCGGCGACACGAAACCGTGCGATTTGCTGTGCGACGAGGGCAAAAATGCGGATTTGCTCGTTCACGAGGCCACATTCGAAGATGGACACGAGGTAGATCAAATCATTTTTTTTTGTTTTGCGCAAATTTTTGAGATTTTCCCGCGATTTTCACGAGCAAAAAAAAAAAACAGAAATTTTGAGCGAATTTGCGATTTGCATTTTTGTATTGTGTTAGCGATAATTATGGGTAATTAAAATGAAAACTAAAATGAGTGCTCAATGCGTTTTTTGTTTCTGTGTTTGATTTGCGTTAATTAGGGATAATTGCGTTGATTAGACTAAAAGCGATTCGAAATTTCTGATTGCAGGCGGATGCGCTCAAAAAACGCCATTCGACAATGGGCCAGGCGGTCGACGTCGGGCAGAAAATGAGCGCGCGACACGTGATTCTGACGCATTTCAGCGCGCGCTATCCGAAAGTGCCGGTGTTGCCGGAATATCTCGACGAGAAGCGCGTCGGTGTCGCGATGGACATGCTTCGAGTCCGATTCGACCATTTGCACCTTCTTCACAAGCTCATTCCCATTTATAGGTTGGTCGTTTCGACTTCACACCAAAATGCTCAAACAAAAATTGTTTTGTGGTTGTTGTCTGATCGAATTTTGAAGAATTTTTGAAACGGCAAATTGAAAAATTAAAAAAAAATGAAAAAAATTGCAATATTGATTGAAAAATTTAGTGGCTACAAGAGTCTTTCGCTGCGAGACCCATATCATTTTACGCATTATGAGCCTTTAATCGATTTTGTTTTTTAGTTTTTTTGATTGAATTGCATTTTTTTCACAATTTCTGAATATTCGAATATCAAAAAGTTGGAGGTAAAAAAAATGGAAATATTAAAGGCGCACGCGCACATCTTTTGTTTTGGGTCTCGCAGCGATCAATTCGGATAGCCGTTTTTTTTTTGTTTGAAACCGCCTATTGAAATATATTTGAAATGCTTAAAAAAAATCCGAATTCTATTGTGGAATGAAACGAAAAGAAAACACCACCACGATCAGTGTTTTTGCGGACAATGCATTTAATTTGACGACAATTTGCGAGCGTTTCAAATAGATTGAAAATGGGAGCACAAAATGAAGGATTTTCGAAATTTCAGAGAGATTTTCGTTGAAGAGTTATTTGAATTGACGGTTCGAAAAGAGCAGCGAATGTTCAAAGAGCAGGAATTGGAGAAGAAACGAGCCCTTGTTACTCATTAATTCGGTTTTTTTTTCGAAATTATGGTTTTTTTCTTTTTCATTGTTGTTTTGTTGTTTTTTGTTGACCCGGGTTGAAAAAATACGTTTTTTGTCTGAAAATATGAAATTTTGCTGAAATTGCTATGACATCATATAGGTGTACTGTAATTGTGTGAAGTCTGCAAACACTCGATTGTAGTGTTTCAGATTTATTTCAGAAACTGGCGAGAGACCAAATTTACAATATTATTTATTTTTTTTTGGTTGAAAATTTTGATAAAACCTTTTTTGCTTTTTTGGCGTCATTTTTTGTTTAAAAATTTTCTGCTCAAAATTTGCGTTGTTTTTTTTTTTAAATTAAGAAATTTGTGGGTTTTTTTCTATTTTATTTATTTGTTTCGAAAAATTTGCAATGATTTCTAATTTAGAATATTTCTGGTCTCTTTCTTCCCAAAAAAAAGAAAAATAAAATATTTTTGGATACTGTAATCAAAATCCGCAATCACCGAGACGCATTGTTGCACACACACTCCAATTTTCGAATTTTATTTTATTTTTTTTGTTTTTGCGCATTTTTTCCGTGTTGTTTAAAGATCAAACGAGATAATTGGTGTCCGGTGGCAGTAAGGGTTTCGAAACTGATAACGATTCGTTATTGATTTTCAATTGGCCGCCGTTGTTCGTCTTCTTTTTTTGGGGTGTTTGTTTTTTTTTTCTCGATATAATTGTGTGTGATGTGCGCGATAATACGTGAAAAGTTGGCGATTGCGGTTGTGCGCAAAAAAAAACAGAAAAGATTCAAACGCATCGCGTTTTTCGCACAATTGAGAAACGTGATGTTTACCGCGAGTCGCCAATATTTTCTGCTTGTTATTACTGCACAAGGTGTCTCTTTCGATTTTTTTTTGTCACTCGAAACAAAAATTTCCCATATTTTTCGTTATTATTATTATATTTTTTTATTTGCAGACGACGCAGCCGACACCGCACAACTAGACAATTTGGTGAGATTTTGAATTGAAAAAATTTTTTCTCTGGTAAATCAAAACCAATCGTATCCGACAAAATTCGGCTTCGAAATCAACCTTATCCGATTGGTAATTCTACGAATAAGATTGGAAAATTGTCGTATCTGATTGGTTTTTTGGGTTTTTTCGTATCCGATTGGTAATTTGTCGTATCCGATTAGATTTTCTTCGAATCCGTTTTGTTTTAATATTTCAATTTGAATCGGATACGACAATTTTACAATCTTATCCGTAGAATTTCCAATCGGATAAGGTTAATTCTAGAGCCGAATTTTGTCGAATCCGATTGGTTTTGAGTTACCAGAGTTTGTGAAAAAAAAAAACTGAATTTGCGACTAATTTCATGATAATTTTTCGATAAAAATTGACAATTTTTAGATTTTTACCGATTTCTCCAAAAAATTTTTGCGAATTTTCAACTTTTTCTCGCTGATACGTTTCTCCTGGAATTTTTCGGGGTTTTTTTTTCAAGCTCGTTAATGTTTGCTTCAAAAATCGAAATGTTTCAATTTTTATTTGAAATTTTGTCAACACTATTTCTGCGTTTCTCATCAAATCATCGAAATGTTTGATTGTAAAGCAAATTTTTAAAATTTCTCAAAAAAAAAAACAAAAAATCGTTCAATTTGGTAGTAATTTAGAAGAGTTTTCAAAGAAAAACTCGAAAAAAATCTATTAGAAAATTCGAAATCCCTCATTTTCTGCTTCGAATTCTTACCAATTAGTTGTCAAAAATTGGAAGAATCGACAACAACTTTGTTTCGGCCTCAATTTCATTAAAAATTCAGGAAGGCGCCTAATTAATTTCGAGAAATAAAAAGTGCAATTTTTGAGACGCAGACTCGACGTATACGAAATTCCGATTCAGGAAATTGAACACTGTCTAGGGATATAAGCAATGCATTCGCTTCATTAATTCGTGGTCCCAATATTTGAAAACATTTTGATGAGGATAAAAAAGCGACGAAAATGGGTGCATTCACGCGCACGCAAAATTACACACATTTTTTTCAAAAATCCAAAAAAAATTAATTGTTCTCATGAAATTTGAATTTAAATGGTCCCTGCTATCGAGCAAGGTCAATTTGATCTGAAATACTTAAAATTCATAAAAATGATGCTCTTTTGCATTGTGCTAGTTTGAAAAATGCAAAAATTGTACCTAGCGGGTTTCTTTTTCGATATGAGACCCAAAGGCGGCCATTCAAATGATCCGTCAATCGCACGCCCGAAAATTCGTCCGTCCTTGAGAATGCATGACTTTGAAAATCAAAAATTTTAAAGAATGCACACAAAAAATTTGATTTGTTAAAAAAAAATGATGGGAATTTTGAATTTTTCGACCAAATTTATTTTTTTTTCTACGTGAATTGATGATTTCTAGAAGAATCATTCGAAATTTCGCATATTTGAATAAAATAAAAAAAAAGAAAAAAAGCATTTAGATTTGTTCTTTTTGGGAAAATCTAAAAGTTGAATTTGGAGCCAAATTTCAGTAAAGTTTTAGTATAATATGAAAATTTTTTAAGAAAAAATGAGATTCCTTCCACGAATTTGAAAAAATTAAAATAATTTTAAATGAAAAGTGAGGAATTAATTGAATATGTAATTTTTGCGGAATTTCCGCACTTTTTTTTTGAAATTCTACTCCAAAATCCCATTTTTCATTGAAAATTTACGAGTCTTGTCGAAATTTCGTCGATTTCGTCGCTCATAAATCCATCAAAATGCTGCCTGACATGGTTGCTGACGAAAAACGATGGGAAATGTATGATTTTTTCGGTAAAAATGTGAGGATTTTTCAAAAATCGACAATTTCACGTCGAAAATTTGCGGAATTTCTCATTATGTTGGCGAAATTTGATGATTTTTCGGCAAAATCTCTCTCTTACGAAAAAAAAAACCGGTTTCAAAATCAAGTTTTCACCGAAATTCTTCGAATTTTCACGATATTTTCAAAAGTGTTGAAAAGAAAAAAAGAGAAAGCTCACAAAATTTGAGAATTTCGATCGGAAATTTCGTTTTGAGCGAAAAAATTTTAATTTTTCTCCAAAATCGATTTGATTTGTTGAGATTTCCGCAAAAATTTCCAACGTTTGCGAAATTTATTTGAGATTTTAAATTTTTTATCGAAAAAATTTCAATTTTTCCGAAACTCTGGTAAATGATTCCGAGTCGTATACGAAGAAAGCTCAATCGTATACGCTGATATCGCTCTTCAAACGCGGCCAAATACGATTGGGATTTCTTAATATACGATTGGCATTTCTTCGTATACGATTATAATTCTTCGTATATGATTGTGATTTCTTCGTATACGACTATAATTCTTCATATACGGTAACGATTTCTTCGTATTCGATTGGGATTTTTTCGTATTCGACTGGGATTTTTTCGTATTCGATTGAGATTTTTTCGTATTCGATTGAGATTTTTTTCGTATACCATTTCACTTTACACTACTCGTTTGGCATTTTAACGTTTTTATATGATGTAAAGATTTCTATACCTGTTTATTTAAAAAAAAAAATATGAAAGACAAAAAAATGAAAAAGAAAAAGGAATAAATTAATTAATTTTGGTTGGCGCATCAACCATTTTTTTCCACTGCTCGCGCTTTCGATCGTGAATTGTTTCTGAATTAAGTTCATTTGAATGATTAATCATGAGGCAGTCTTCGGCATGTGCAGATTTTGGAGAAAAACGCGAAAAATCTGATTAAGACTAGTTTAGCCGAATCTTTATAATGTTGTCGAGTTTCTTTAAAAGGTTTTTACTGCGTTTCTTTTCAAAATCTGCATAGGCCCACTAAAAAAGTGAAAACTCACAGGAGATAGGTCATATGACCGTGTACCAAATAGGAGATTGTAGAATTCGCCGTTTCGTCAGCCATTCCAGCGATGGTAACCGTCTTTTGTAAAACAGCTGAAATTAATTTAAACATATTTTAAACATTTTTCGCGCTATTTGAGCATACCAATCGCTGTGTTGACAAACCGAACTGGAAGCGTTGCGTGCGGCGGCGTTGGCTTAAACGATGTTGAATAATTCACACGATCGTTATTGGGAATTGTCTGAAGATATTTTTTGCAACTTTAAATAATTGTAAGATACCTTATCGACAAATCTGTTGACAGTAGTATTTATCACATGCTTCAGAGCTGCCTTCATGAACGGAATTTCCAAAAATATTTGGGCGACGTTGATGTCTCCTGTTAAAAGATTTAATACAAATTCAAAGCTTTCGAAACACAAAAAACCCACTATTTCCATCCAGTGATGGAATAATTATTTCTGCGTCTTTAAGAGCTTCAGGGTTGTATACGGCGATCACGTCGATCTAAATTTAGAGAATAGCAAAATTTAAAAAAATACTCACATTGTTTTTGTTTGGCTTTGCCGCGAATTTTTGGGATAAAGTTTCTATCTGGAAGTATAGGGTTTCTATAGTTTCTATTGTGGTACTATGCAGATTTCGCCAAAAACTCAAACAGCGGTAACCATAATTATAATGGTTTTTGCCGGTTTTGACGAGTTCTGATATTTTTTTACGGCTTTTGATGATTTTAATGCTTTTTTTGCGGGAATCTGGTACCATTACATTTGGAATGATTGAACAATAAATAAAACATACCGTGAACATGATTCCTTTCATTTAGAATGTATGGTTGTAGAATAACCCGGTCACCGAACTTCTCATTGAGAAGAAATCCCAATACATCGCCATATTGCAGTGAATTTCGCTAACGAAACATCACGACGCTATTATCCGAAGCAATATTTCTTTGTATTGAGTAGTGTGAGCCTTGATAGCTGTATTTCTCAGTAAACAAATCGCCTTTTTGAGCCAGCATTGAGTACTTCAGTGGTACATCTGTCGTTTTTTCGATATCATCATTCTCCGAATATCGAAATAGCAGTTTTCTCAGTTTCACGATAGACACATCATGTTGTTTTGTCGTTGGGTCCGAATGAAGTCTTGCACGAACTTCG